TTATGATCTTCTCCGAATTTTCGCTGCATTATAAATCTGCCCGAAACGATCATCAGCGGAATATGGTCGTTGCTATCTTGCCATGGTTGCAGACACTCGAGCTCCAGGTCGACCCGGGGACAGGATCTCCAACTGCCGCCTCGTATATGCTTCTAGCAGACATGTTCGAGATCACGATTTGCTCGAGCAGCGCAATGCATAACGAAGTACAGGCTTTGTGGCAAGCTCTGTCAACCGGACCACATGCGGGAAATGTGCAGCTGATCCTTGACTTCATCATTTATCTTTCGCTTGATCGCCGCGATCAGAACTTTGTCGAATACGCAAAGCAGATCGTTGTGTACCTGTCTTCCACTCCTGCCGGTTCACGAGTGTTGGAGTTTTTCATGTTGCAACTCACTCCGAAGAATATGGTCAATGACAGAAAGCATGCCGATGTAGTGATGCCTGATACGAGAAATCTTCCTTATGTTGCTGATCTGACTTCTCTGCTGCCTATGGGCAATAAGCAGGTATGGTAATCCCGATTTTTTAGATGAATCACAGACTGATGAGCCGTTAGGTTGGCCTTTCTCTAGGACAAGTCTCCCTGATTTTCCTGGTCGATCTCATGGTCACTCCAGTAACCCTCGCCAAAGATGAGGCGATCAAGCTCATTCACACGGTACTTATCCTTTGGGATCACTACACAACATCAGTTCAAGAACAGGCAAGAGAGATGCTGGTCCACCTCATCCATGAATTGGTCACCACGAAGATCGACTCCCAGATCCTTAGCTCTGCCAAGTCAAACATTGAAGGTCTGGTTGCGGCAATTCGAACAAACAGTTCTCGGATAAGCTGGACTTACGAGAGCAATACGAGAAAAGACGAAGATGATGGCGCTAGCCGGGTTCCCCAGGCAATGGGTGTCCTCACCGCAGAAATCGTGAACATCTTCAACCTCGCATTTGACAACTTCAGCGACAGCTGGGCTAAAGAAGCGCTGCACTGGGCCTCCATCTGCCCAGTCCGGCATTTGGCATGTCGGTCATTTCAGGTATTTCGCTGCATTTCTGTCAGCCTGGATGCCAGGATGCTTGCGGATATGCTTGCACGACTTTCTAACACGATTGCTGACGAACACACGGACTACCAAACATTTTCGATGGAGATCTTGACTACCCTCAAAGTTATCATCGGAGCACTAGAACCTAAAAACCTCCTGCGATATCCCCAGCTCTTCTGGACAACATGCGCTTGTCTGAATACCATTCATGAAAGGGAGTTCTACGAGACCCTGGGGATGCTTGAGAAATTCCTCGACAAGTTGGATCTATCCGCTCCAGACGTCACGGAGACTATGATGAAGGGACTGCCCGGGAAATGGGACGGTGGTTTTGAGGGGCTACAGCCGCTGCTTTACAAAGGGCTAAAGTCTGCTGACAGTTTAGAAAAGACTCTCTTCATTCTTCACAAGCTCGCAGAACTGCCAGATTGCCAATTGGTTGGAAACGACAATCGCCTCCTCTACTGCGTCCTGGCTAACTTACCGCGATGGCTTCGAAGCTTCGAGTTGGACGACACCGATCCTGTGACAATAGCATCTGCACAAAGACTCGCAGAGGTGGCAAGTGTAGCTGGCCACAATGTTCTTTCCGCCTGCCTTCAACGTTTTGCCAATCACGAAATGACATCAAGTCAGGAGATGCTCACCGCAACCATCCAAGCCATGAAGGCAGCCTACTTCCCAGCATGTGATGCCCCAAGTTTGATCTTTATGATCGGACTGCTAACCAACAAAACACCATGGTTCCGAGTCAAGCTGATGGACATTTTATGTCAGCTGATCCCGATTGTGAATATGAAAAGCCATGCCATCACGACCCATGGACCCGATCTCATCTCCCCACTACTGAGACTGTTGCAGACTGAGCACTGCACACAGGCTCTGGAAGTAATGGATTATATCATGGAAGTGGCGGCTACGCCAATGGAAAAGCATCATATGCGGATGAGCATGGCGTCTGGCTCAGCCAAGGCGATCAGAAAAGAGTATGAGCGGACGCAGAGCCTCTACGGGATACCTCACTCGTCCGGCTGGTCTATCCCCATGCCTGCCATTTATTCTAGCATGACAAGGCACAATGTCCATGCCGTCTTCTACACATGCGGAGACTCGGAGTTCCTACAGGAGCAAGAGACCACCACTCCAGACGTTGAGTTTCAAGGTGACGATGGCTACACGGACTCGTATTTCCCTCCGCAAAGCCGTGCGGAAACCATCCGATCACTGGAAGTTGCTGCAGAAGCCAACGTCAGTGACTTGGTGAATACTCTCGACAGTCTCGATGATTTCTTTGACGACATCGATGGTGACGATGTGTTGACCCCAACCGGAGCCAGTCACCTTGGAGTCTCTGCCATCACGATTCCCACTCTTACTGAACAGAGCACAGCATTGTATGATGAGCAGACGGCTCCAATCCTTCGCCAGAGTCTAGCGCGGACGGCGTCGGCAACCGCCGTGCAGGATGGGTTTACCGAAGCTGGATCCCTTCCTGGCATCACCCATCGGGCCCAACCTAGTCTATCTTCTCCAAACTCCACCGCAAATACACAAACCTCGTTCTCTTCGAACGATGAGTGGGGAGGCCCAGGACCTTCATTACCGAATTCAACAAAGAAGCCAATCCTTCAAAGCGTAATCAGCTCGATCAATCATACTCGACCTGGACTTCATGCCAGATCAATCACCTCCCCAGCGAACCAATATCCGGTGTCACAACCCACCTCAAGTGGAATGGTTCCTGTGTCCGAGGGTATTTCGCTCAGGTCTCAGGACGATTACGCCGACCAATATGATGATGTCATTCTGTCGGATGGAGAGAACAGCCCCTTCCCATCGCTGAGCATGACTCTGTCAAACCAGACCAAATCTTTGTCAGGGCCAGGGCCCTCCGAATATCAGACAACCCCAACCTCTGCGACCGAGACCGGAGGCGCGTTCAGCCTTCAAGGGATGCGAAGAGGCATGCGGCGTCTCACAGGCGGCAAGAGTGAGAGTCAAAAGGAGAAGGAGAAGATCAAAGATATGGCACGCTTGCGCGGGCAATCTGGAGGTCAGGGTCAAGTAACTGCGGCGTTGCAGAGTCCCAGGGTTCCGAGGGTCCCTGCAGAGTATCTCAATGCCACCGGCATGAGCGGAGTCAGTCCAACCTCGAGCCCTGGAGTCTGAAGGCATGGGGAAATGATTTTTGTCTTTCGAATTTTTCCATTTCTATCACCACCACAACGATACCCATAATAGAGCATCATGGAGCATGACAGCAGTCTCATCGGCGTTTCTTGAAGATTTCCAACGGCTGCAATGTGTCTGTGTACCATATACAAAGGCTATTCTCGAAAGGGAGGATAAAAAGCTGGGCTTGTATACTAGTGTTAACAATTGCAGGTGCCCAAGGAAGAGATGTGTCACATCAAAGACTTTCGAAGTCATCCGGAGATTCTCATTTTGTTCACTTTGATTCTTTGCGAGCTTTTGGCGAGAGTTCGCGTCAGTCCACGCGACCCAGCGGAGACATGTCAACGGCGCACTGACCATCACCAGCATTCCTACGTTCTATTACATTCCGAGCAATGGGTCCAAACAGCAGAGCCAGGCGACGCGCGACTCAAGATCGTCTCTATACAAGAAATACAGGTAGGTGAAGCAGAACAGGAGGCGACGCAGCAAGATGCAGCTTACGAAGTGCATCAGATTGGGCCATGTTCTGCTGACCTTGTACAGCTTTACGGCAGTGTCTACCGCGCAGTCAGGTTAGGTGTTCAGTTCCCACCTGAAGGACCTAAATGCTAACCACAATAAAGCATCGACGTTGCCCGACGGTTGTTATCTTACCTCGTCAGTCGTATATGGGAACATCACTGGCTCAAGCAGCTTGACCACCACCAGCCAGAGCCAGTCAACCATATCCACGAGCTCTCCAGCTTCAGCATCAACCTTTAGCAATGGCGCATCATCGTTCTCCACGACTACGCCCTTCAACCCCTCAAGCACACCGAGTCCCACGTTGCCATCCTCAACACTCCCTCCTCCAACATCAAGCCCATTCGTGATCACTGTCAGCGGTGTCGGCAATAAATTGCGCGCTCGTTCACCGGACTTTGTGACGTTCAGTGCAAGTAATGCTTATATCTCTCCCGACAAAGACCTTGCTGCTGTATTTGTCCTCGCTTTCGACGGCCAATTGCGTGTGGGGAATGCAAGTGTCGGTACCAACGGAAATACTGGCTCATTGGCTCTCATGCAGTTCACCGGAGCAACCCAGCCGAGCGGATATAGGTGGTCTTTCAATGCGACGAGACTGATTTTTGGGGATACGACATTCTCTGTGACTCCTGACGGACAATTGTTTGTGATTTTTCCTGGCGGTCAGCCGCCTGAAGGATCTGTGCAAGTTGGCGTAGGAGCTGAGTTTGTTGATGTTTCAACATCCAGCTCGAGTCAGCCGACTACGATAAGTACAAGCTCGAGTTCTTTAGAGGGCACAAGTACTCTCGCGACTGTTACGACTACCGCTGAGGAACAAACGAGTGAGACTACTCTGCAGACTCCTCAAAGCACCTTCACGACCAACAAAGTTAGTTCTTCTGTCGCCAGTACGGGATTAAGTCCCTCCTCAGACAGTACGACGACGACAACAACAACATTGACAAGCACAGCCGGTGGTCCTTTACAATCCACGCAATCAATGTACGTCAGTACAGGTGCCTCTTCAGCATCAGCGCAGACCAGTCCTACGACCCTAGTGCATCAGTCTTCAACACAGATTTCAACCTCTATCCTTTCTTCAGCGTCACACACACCCACCTCATCCTCTCACCCATTGTCTCATTCGCTTACAATTGGAAGCATAACAACAACTAGCCTCTTCACCTCGTCGCCTTCAACTCAGACCACAAATGCTCAAAGCAGCCCGACGACGTCATCATCATCATCGTCATCGAGGTCAACCAACATGACCACAGCGGTAGGTGTCTCTGCGTCTAGTTCAACTTCATCTCGTTCCTCTTCAGCAACGACAATCTCATCGAGTGCTACGCCTACATTTTTGGCTCCCGCTTCTACAAGTCCCTCTCCAAGTCCATCTTCCAGCACGACAAAGTCAACTGCCACGGTGTCAAGTCAAACATCCCAGTCCATAACCAACAGTCCATCCGGGCAGGGCGCCGCCAGCTCATCTTTGATCTTCTCGTCTTCTGCCCCCATCACTACCACAACCAGCGCTGGGAGCTATACAGGTATGAATACGGGATCAACAACCAGAACCAGCAGCATCTCAACCTCGGTCTCCTCTTCCACATCCCGAAGCACATCATCTTCAATTCCTGTACCCACTCCCTACCCCGCAAAACGCGGCCTCGCCTACCGCAACGTAACTACCCTTCAATTCTATCCCCCACCCTCGCCCTACATTTCCTGGTCGTACAACTACTACTCACTTCCCAACGCCAGTGACGACATGGGTCCCTACCCTTCCAGCCAGTACCGCTTCATCCCTCTCCTCTACAACGACGCCGACTCCCTAACGTCCATTTGGTCCGGCAACGTTAACTTTTCCATCACAAACTACGGCGCGGACGCCATCTTCGGGTTCAATGAACCCGACGCCAACTTCAACGGCCAGTCCGCCAACATGCCCGTCGCGCAGTCGATCCAGGGTTACCGCAACTTCATGCAACCCTTTGCCGGGCGTGTCAAAATCGGCGCCCCGGCCGTGACTAACGCGGGCGGCGGGCTCACGTACCTAGCGCAGTTCCTGGGCAACGCAACCCAACAGAACCTGACGATCGACTTCATCAACATCCACTGGTACGCATCGCCCTATAACATCGACTACTTCGAGACCTACCTCCTCCAGGCGTACAACCTCTCCCTAACGTACTTCACAGCGTCGCCCATACCTGTCTGGGTGACCGAGTTCGGCATGGACCAGAACAACTACGACCAGGCCACGACGGTGCAATTCCTCAAGAACGCGACCCTGTGGATGGACGAGCAGGTCTGGGTCGAGCGGTACGCCTGGTTCGGCAACTTCCCCGGCGGTCTTACCAGTTACGGCGCTCCGACGACGAATATGCTCCTCAATGTCGACGGCAGTGGGCGCGGCGTGCTGGGGGACCTGTGGTACATGTACAACGGGACGAATTAGGAAGGGGCCATTGGTATTTGAGAAACCTGGGGAGAGTGGTGCGGAAGCAGGGCAGGACAGGGAGAGGATGTTGTTGGAGCACAGGAGGGGTCGAGGGATGGTACTGAGGATAGAATTATTTGCTATCTACCATCTGCTATCTCACTGTTGGTGCTAGTATCGTATCGTCTGCAGCATGCGGGACGGGCGGACGTGGATGGCGGAGGTCTTCTATTTCCCTTTATCCATCTATCTGTTGACTATCCATCCGCTTGGCCTCCCTTCCTCTGCGCCTTCAGTCCCTTGGGGCTTTCCTTATGTAGGGTTGATTAATTCATCATGCTGACTTTGTACCGTCGACTTTGTAATACTGACTCCTCCTGGTGCTGGTGCTGGTGCTGTTCCTAGCACCGCTCAAAAACACGATACAGCCCTTTCAAATTGGCCACCTCGACGACGCCCTTCAGCATGCCTTGAGTCGCGATGATCCTTGATCGAAACGCAGGAAACAGCACGTGTTCCAGTGCGTGTTCGAGCTCCGTCCTTCGTTTCTCTGTGGCTTCGTCAAGGTCGTCTTGGTTGTTATTGTCGCTGTTGTTGCCTTGTTGGTCGCGAGGTGCAGATGCGGAAGCATGTTGCGTCCCAGCTTCGTTTCCTCCCTCTTGCGTCTCCAGCTGGTCGAGGCCATCAGCTTGAGTCTCCTGCATCTCCTTGTCCTGGTCCTTGAACGTGTGCTGTTTTGATTTCGGCGCGGGCAATATCTCTGGTACGTAAAAGCTCGCCAACTCCCTCAAAAACGTACGGAAACATCCCTCCTCCTCCTTCCAGTTCACAAAGGGGCCCAGCCTCAATAAGAAGGTGGGTAATTTAGCCATACAGGGTATGTACCCTTTCAGCAGCAGCGGAATCGACTGCAAGTGGCCGTCGTCGGAGATGTTGAGGGAGAAATACTCGGCTAACATGGCTTTGCTTTTCATCAGTTGTCCGTATACCTTGTCCACGACTTGGCCTTTGTCCAGGCCTGCACAGGTCGGGTCGGTTGAGATTTGATGTTCTGCTGCTATATCTAGCAGCTCCTTCAGGCTGGGCGCAGGCTCAAACTGGACGAGACCGAAGTTGCCAAAGTCGGTCAACCCGATTTGATAGAAGAATTCGCTAGAGGTCATGCCGTAGTCGACAAGGTAGAGTTTGACGCCAGACTGGATGGCGGCGAGTCTTCTGTTACTGTCCACAATACCAACATAGGTTAGAGAGGCAAACACCTCGGTCAGACCGTTGTGGATTGCATCACGGACTTCAGCTCGCAGATTCTTCACAGACGTGAGGCGGATTTGGCATTGTTCTCGATCGGTGGTTGTGTAGCCTATACCGTCAGTTGTCACTGGTTCGTCTTGAGAAGTTGAAGTTGTCAAGGACCGCGGAAGCATGGAGGTGATTTTTCGCATTTTCGAGTCGGTGCGGACGAGATTGTTTTCATAAGGCTTTTTGGAGGTTGAGGACTTTCTTGCAGTACTATCGTCTGCAGCAGAAATATGATCCCCGGCGAGGGTCCTCGGGTTAACTGGCGTCATGGGCGTGACTCCGGGAAGGAGTGTTTGTGTCTTAAAAGTCCTACTCGTGTCGACTTTTGCCAGACTTTCTCGGATATTCGCACAAACCAACTCGATGATTTCGTCCTCATTCAAAAAATGGACTTCTCGCTTGGTCGGATGCACGTTGACATCGACTCTAGCTGGATCAATGTCCAGGCTGAGGTAAACAAATGGATGTCCACCTTTGGGGAGGAATAATTGATATGTCTGCTCAATGGCTTTCTTGACGGTCGATGACTCGACTGACCGGTTGTTGATGAAGAGGAGCAACATTGTTCGTTTGGAACTGTAATTAGCATTAGTAGCATAGCCTGAAGCTTTGAAGCCCCAACGCGAATCTTCGGTGCCGAATGGCATGATCTCTTTAGCCACCCCGGCACCGTGTGCCTGTTTGAGTCGGTCGATTTTGGTTGCAGCAGCGGCTACCGAAAACCCTATACCGGTTTCGCCGTGCTTTTTGACGGAAAAAGCAACGCCTTCGCGGTGGACGGCATATCGGGTGATGACATCGAGCACCTTGGCATATTCTTCGGAGGGAGATCGAAAGGCCCGACGACGGTTCGGCATATTGTAGAAGAGGTCTTCGACGGTAATTTGAGTACCAGGACGTCCAGCACAAGGCTTCGGATTCAGGGATTGACCAGGTTTGGGGCCAGTGAGCTTTCCATCCTGGTAATGGGCTTGCCAGGCACAGCTGGAGTTGGCGGTCCTGGTAGTGACTTTGAGATGAGCAATATGGCTGATACTGGCAAGGGCTTCTCCTCGGAAACCGTAGGTGCCAATGGACATGAGATCCTCGAAGCTTTTCAGTTTGGATGTTGTGAACCTTTCGCAGAGAATGGGCAGGTCGTCTTTCTGATGCGAGTTAGATTCAGACAGAAACCCATCGGGTGCAGGACGGTACCTCAATGCCATGGCCATTGTCAGTAATCTGTAGGAGCTTGAGGCCGCCATCTTTGACTAGGATTTCGATGGAAGTAGAACCAGCATCGATGGAGTTTTCGAGGAGTTCTTTGAGAGCATTCACGGGGGCGACGATGATTTCCCCGGCGGCAATTTTGTTGACGACGTCTTGATCGAGAGCCTTTGAGAGCGACAGTTAGCGAAACCCCCCCACGTACTGCCTCAGAGACGTCAACATGCCTTGATACGACGTGGAGCCTCAGGAGGCAAGCCTGCCTCTTCCGCTGTCCGCTTGATGCCTCGCGGGGGAGCGGCGTCCACATCCATAGGCTCAGTCATATTTCGGGTGATCATACACAGGCGGCTCTGTGATCAGCCCTCAATCCTATCTGCTTAGTGACGATGGCAAGTGCTTGCCTAGATGGATAGAAAATACATATATATAAAATACTCGGTATAGTCAAGCCGCATGGTGTTGAAGGGGGGAGGCCAAGGGGAGGCGCGACGTCACATGCTCTGGCTGCTTGATGGAGTCCACAGACCCTGCAAGCCTGATGCTTTCCTCCACCTCCACCGCACCCAAAGCAAAACTAGCCCACAACCCTCGACCCTTGACTTTTCCTGCTCTGTTGTGTTTGTGTCCTCTTTGCGACGGCGAGAACAGGAGATCGGTAGGGGCCACCTCCCCCGGCCAAATTCGCTGAAGAAAGAGAATCTGTCCCATGGACCAACGCCGGTAGCACGAGCAGCAGCCAGCAGCAGCGCCCGCAGCAGCTGACCGCCCACCATGGCCATGAACTTTGTGACCTTCAATCAGGACTACAGCCATCTGGCCGTAGGTATGTGGCTATGAGGACCCTTCTGCCACTGTGCAGCCGACCTGACTCGCCGCAGGAACCTCGAGGGGCTTCCGCATCTTCACCACCGAACCATTTGCAAAATCCTTTGAATCCCGAGATGCCGGCAACGTTGCTATCCTCGAGATGCTTTTCTCTACCTCTCTTGTCGCCCTCATCCTGTCTCCGAGGAGACTTCAGATCAAAAACACAAAACGAGACCTGATAATATGCGAACTCACGTTCCCAAATGCCGTCCTCGCCGTGCGCTTGAACAGAAAGAGACTGGTGATTGTCCTGGAAGATCAGATCTACCTCTATGATATCCAGACCATGAAACTGCTCTACACCATCGAGACATCCCCAAATCCAGCAGCAATATGTGCCCTGTCCCCCTCGCAAGACAATTGCTACCTGGCGTATCCGTTGCCTCAAAAAGCCGCCACTTCATCCTTCGCTCCACCTTCGCACGCTCCACCCAACACCACGCATGTTCCTCCGACGACCGGGGAGGTTCTGCTGTTCGATGCCGTCAAACTAGAGGCCGTGAACGTTGTGGAAGCTCATCGGTCTCCGCTATCGTGCGTGATTTTTAACAATGAAGGAACCCTGCTGGCTACGTCTTCGGACAAAGGCACCATTATCCGGGTCTTCTCAGTCCCAGATGCACATAAACTCTACCAATTCAGAAGGGGCTCCATGCCTTCCAGGATCTACAGTATGGCCTTCAACATAACCTCGACCTTGCTCTGCGTGTCCTCGGCCACAGAAACTGTCCACATTTTCAAACTTGGCCTTCAACACAGTCGGGCCACGGAAGAGGGCGAGGAACCGGCCTCGCCCAGCAAAATGACCAATACTCGGAGCCGGAGATTAAGTCAAGGTAGTGACACCCTTGTAGACCAACCTGTCGACGAGGAGGACGGGGCGGAATCACCAACCGCAATGGCAAACCGCAAGCCAAATGGAACATTCATGGGCCTCCTTCGGAGGACGTCACAACATGTAGGAATAAACTTGGCCTCCACGGTTGGCGGGTACCTTCCAAAAGGAGTTGCCGAGATGTGGGAGCCGTCGAGAGATTTTGCCTGGATACGACTGCCCAGATCCAGCCCGGGTACGGCACCGAATCAATTGCGCAGCGTAGTGGCTATGAGCGCAAATTCACCACAGGTAATGGTTGTCACAAACGAAGGGAATTTCTACGTCTTTACCATTGACTTGGCAAAAGGGGGTGAAGGAACCTTGACGAAGCAGTACTCGTGAGTGGTCGCTTTTCGGAAGGTATTTTCAAGGGTGCTAACAGAAAATAGGGTCCTTGATATTAATGACAAGATGGGAGCATCAGGAATGGACTTCTGATTTCAAAAGCGCCATGACGAGGAGGCTCGACAGTCGGCGAAAACCAGATATTGACGTGCACCGACTTCTGACATTTAGCGCTGGCGTTGTGGCGTCGTAGTATACAAGGAACATCTTCACCCCCTTCGCGGTAACAAAGGGGCGAGAGAGGGCAACGATACTCTATTGGAATTGAACGAGTTGGAGGCGACGCATGGCGCTCCGACTCGGTAGGAAGCTGCTGCCGGAACGATGGATGGTGAAACTCCAGACGAGATATTACAGGCGAATTGAGGAGTCAACTGTGTCTGCAGCCAGTTAGTACTCATTTCAACATTTCCGGTCTGTCATGATTGTGTCCTTACGCTGACCTCTCACCTCAGCTGTCTGACATGATCCTTGTCGAGTCCATCGCCGTCTGAGTCCCAGGATAAGAACACGGCACGAGAGCAAGAACCCATCCCATGCATTTCCATCCTGCACTATTGTACTACCGAATGTGTATGTGTATATGCCATTTGGCCTTTTCTTCCCCTGTCCACTTCGCCTCTCTCGTCTATGTAGCCTGGCAATGTCACCTCCCCACGCGCGATGTAGACAAGACACGACCCAGGCTCCGACCCAGACCCAGACCCAGACCCAGACCCAAGCAACCCATCAACAGAACCAGCCCAAGCATCGCGTCGCCCACTAGGCACTCAGTCGCAGTAGAGCCCGAACAGTAATACCCCTGATATGCCGAGATGTCGACACAGGCGGTTTGGAAACAGCATCCGTCAGGAGTCATCGCGTTGTCGGCCGCCGCGTCGACGGAGAAGCCCGTGCAGCATCCCATGGCGAGCAGCGCGTCGTCCAAGGCGCAATATCCCTCGGAACATTCTATGGGGTCCGCTGTGTACGAGTGTATATGTGTCAGTTTCTTGGTGTAAACGGGGAAGTTGGCCGGAGTATATAAGAAGAGCATGGAAGGAGAAGGGGGAGGAGGGAAAGAGTGGCAATTGAAACGCTTACATACAGGAGTTCCCATCGACGTAGCCGCAGACGGTGTCGTTCACGTCTCGTCGAAGAAGGCCATGTCCCAATGTCGCTATCGCTGGCCCTTTAAGAGGCGCCGTCGGCCGCGGCGAAGTCTCGCGCTGAAGCTGAAGATAGGGGAGCATGCCGTTGTTGTTACTGTGGCTGTCATCTGCGAAAGGCGTCCTCGTGGGCAGCCGGGCCTCAAGCGAACATGCTGCGCCCAGGACAAGGCTGCTTAGAACGAGACTCGCACAATCGCGCATGAACCATCTCATCTTGACAGAGATTGGTGGCCACATTTCCGAATTACCCGTCCCCTCACGCAGAGAGTCGACAGATCCTTTTTGACGAGGGCGCATAGGACACGCGAAGCCAGAAGGGAGAGGGGAGACGCCCAATCCCTCATCTCATCAACGTGGTCGAAATGAGACATCGTGTTCAATTAGCAATTAGACTTGCTCGAGAATCGAGATCATCCTCCCATGGCCCGGAAGGCGCTTGGGATCGATGGTGCGTATGAGCTGTCCCACGATCATCAGGGTTGACAGGCCACGAACATCGCCGTCATCGAGGGCGAGCAGCCGCACTCACTCCTTTGCCTGGTGTGGCTTGTTCATAGATAATTGATCGACCATTCTGCCATGATGTGTCGTGTGGGGGGGGGGGGGGGGGAGCGATGCGCATAGTTGGATTTCTGCACAGACTGATCACTCATGAAGTAGATCACTTAGCGAAATGGACTTCGTAAGCTGGTCTGAGACCGATCGCACCTCGTCGCTCGCAACCTTGGCGACGAAAGATGAGTCCAAACTTGTGTCTCCGTTCTCAGACCCATCGGCTCAGTTGCCATAACACCTTCGCCACATTCTTTGAATATTTGTGATTGGCCAGCGCTTGAGCTCATAGCCTAGCCAATCAGGGCGCAGCCCTGATGTAGGGTCTGAGGACGGAGACAAAGTACTTGTACATAAAACTTGCTCGGAGCTCACGTGCGTGTCACCCCCAGCCATGCCGCTTTTATACCGCCCTCGCCCTCGCACTCCCCTCGCTCACCTTCATACTCACCCTTCATCCTCTGCTCCACCGCGTGCAGCGCCAGCGAAGACCGAAAATTAGTAGCATGCTCGAGTTCGGGCCCTCTACTACCTCGGGATAGGTATTCTTGACATCCCCGTTTCCGGTGGCATACTGACCAGACAAAATGACTGTCCGTTACCCTGCCTCGCATGTTACATCTTTGTAGTGGTTAAATATCCTTCCCTTGGACTTGACATGTTCAGCTCGACTCAATCATGTGCGTAAACGTTGAAGACCTGGAGTCTTTTCGCCCGTTACCTTGGTGCAAAACCTACCTCGACCCTGCCCGATACTCACAAATTCCTGGGATAACACGCAAACCAAACGAGCATTCTCGGGCCAATACACTTTTTACACGCACTCTACGCTCCTCCGATTCAATCAGAGCCACGGTTTCCCTCTCTGCTATTCCTGCCAAGCCCAATGATCCCATCACCGAGGCCGTCACACTTATCTCTCTGGGGTCGGACTTGAACGGTTGGAGTGATACGATACATGGTGGATTCTTGGCCGTCTTATTGGATGAGTGCGCTGGAGTGCTCCTGGGCTTGAATGAAGGGTTTGGCGACACTGAACCAGCACGCGTCTACACGGCTTATATAAATATATCGTACAAAAAACCTGTTCGAACCCCCCAAGTCATCGTTGCAAAGTCCAAGCTCCGCATCAAGACGGGACGGAAGAAGGTTGTTGCAGTGGAAATTCTCGATCCAGAAGGCGCCGTCCTCTGCAACGCAGAAACAATGTTCATAAAGTCCAATACAGCGGCGAATCTTTGAAACTTGCTTTGCCTGCGCCAACCGTTCAGTGTCTGAAAGCACATCGTGAGGCCTCGGTTCGTCTGGAGACCTCGGGCCCCGGTAGTGGTCCGCCAGTATGGCGCGAATGCATTTCGCCAGATTCCGCAAAGGATGGCCTGTAGGTATTCGAGCCACGCCCAGAAATCCAGCTGGGTATCTGAGGCGTTTGCTGTGAAGGTCGGCATTGCTCATAATTGAGGTGGCGTTGCAGCTCGGGGCTGGCTTCAGAAATTGCTTCCGGCCACTAACTATTCGCGGAAATCGATTACCACTAAATCCAGAAAGACAATGTAGCCAATATCCCAAAGAGGCGTGTAGTGATGAAAAGGATGATACAAATACAACTACAACTAGTATGAGAAATACAATGAATAGAGATCTTTACTGTCAGCTCTTGGGATATAATTGTTAGGGATAGGCTGTATACTGGGTACCAGAGTAATAGTATGCAAAGTAGACGAACAAGATACTTGAGTAGATGTTATCAACCAAGGTGCTAGGAAGATAACTCAGTTGAGGACGAAAGAGGGAGAGACGCTCCTGTAACTATGGAATGAACGTGGCTCTATATTCGTTAGGTGTTCGGTGGTGATATCGCAGCGGAGCTCAGTCTCAAGGGCGGATTCGTGCCCGCGCCGCAGTCGCAGCGGACAGGCGCAAAGAATTGACGGCAAGTCGAGGGCTGAAAACTTTGATGCGCCCACGAGTTCACGACAGCTGTCTCGTGCAGGACCCAAAATGCTGGTGTATCCGGTCGCCTGGACGGAGCTGGACGGAGGGTACCCGGTACTGGGTACACAGCAATAAGGAATGGGTCCGAACTTACTTAGCCCAGCCCCGCAAGAGCAGACCCCTCTTTCCCCCCTCCTCTTCCTCACGTTTGCCCCCTGGTGCCCCAGCTGGGGGTCTGGGGGCTGGGCTCTCCAAGAGAGAGCGCCCTGGAAGGGGCTTGGAGCAAGAATCAAGGGAGATTTAGCCGCCACTTGGCCTCACTAGTCCTAGCAAGGCACAAGCTTCACGAGCCACACCTGCGCCAAGATGGAGCTCACTCTCTCCCGTCCTATAGTGCTGTCGTCAGTCGTCCTCCAAAAGTTTTCTTCTCCAAACCTCGTTCCATAGTTCTCGTCGCATCTTCTACAGCCGTGGCCTGGTGACGGGTACCGGACGTCGGTGATGGCTAGTCACGGTACAGCGTCAGAAGATTCCCCTTCACTACCACTACAATCACATTCGCGGAAGCGTGGAGCTTCCGCTGCTGGCTTAGGTCCCAAAGGAAGGGCAGCAAGACGAAGAGCGTCGAAAGCTTGCTACTCGTGCCGTACACGCAAAGTTCGCTGCGATGTGGTTGAACGTGGAGTGCCGTGCACAAATTGCCGCCTCGATGGCGTGGAATGCGTCCTCACCAGCTCTAGAAGAGGCAAAGCGACGACTGCGACTGTGGAAGAACCCAGTCACATCCATTCGCCGCAATCGTTTTCTGACCACGCCGATGACCTTCCGGTTGGTCTGACCTTTGAAAACAGGTTCAACAGATCAAGCCAAGCGGAACCCTCGAACCGCTTGAGTGACCCCGGAACCGACTGTGTCATTTCCGGCGTGAAAGATACTGATGCAAGTGTGCCGTGTAAGTCCTGCAAGGAGCGTCCGGCTTCGTCCCTGGCGGCTGCCCGTGCCTCGCAGCTGATGGCATTGCAGATCAATCACGAGATATTGAAACCCACCAACCGAACGACTTCGGCCAGATGAGCGAGGCCTCCCGACCAGCATTATCAGCACCACTAATCAATCCCTTACAAAACGATGACTGCTTTATACCGCCCGGACTCCAGCAAGAGCAAGCGTACGGTCTTCCCCACTACGTCCATCCTCTGCCACCATGCATCGACGCCCATGGAGCTCAATTCCTCGCCCACAAAGGTGCTCTTACGGTCCCGGACGCCAGTCTCCGGAACGAGCTACTGCGCAGTTACGTCCAGTACGTGCACCCTTTTATGCCCATACTGGACCTGAGGCAGTTTCTTACACCGATCGCACGAAACGACGGCTCCGGCCAGATCAGTTTATTGACGCTTCAGGCGGTCATGTTCGCTGGAAGCACTTTCGTTGATCTCCGATTCCTTCAGAATCACGGATACAACGATCGACGGGAGGCACGGAAGGCGTTCTATACCTGGGCTCGCATGCTCTACGACTTTGATTACGAGTCGGACGATTCAGCGGTTCTGCAAGCCGTGCTCCTTCTGACATACTGGTATGAATCGCCAGAAGATCGAAAGCACACTTGGTATTGGATGGGCATCAGCGTATCGGTTGCCTACACCATGGGCCTCAACCGCCGTCAGGCGCACTCGAATCGGGATCACAAGACACAAAGACTCTTCAAGCGGCTATGGTGGGCATGCCACATTCGGGACCGACTGATAGCATTAGGCATGCGCCGCCCCGCGTGGATCAAACTTGAAGACCATGATACTCCTATGTTGGAAAGAGATGATTTTGACACGGAGCCATTGCCGAACGAACTGTTTACATTACTTGGTGGCGCTCCAAGCGTCCTGGATTGTGTCTCCCGGCCTGATCTCGTCTACACATGCATCGATCTGGCAAAGTTGACCGTCTGTATCGGCCACATCTTGGTCACGCAGTACTCTCTCGTGAATACAAGTGGAGGTGGAACTGCGGGGGGGAGCATGATGTTGAGCCCCCAGCGGTCGACACTACAAATGTCTGAGGCTACCCGATGTGAGGAGCAGCTTAGGAAGTGGGAGCAAGAGTTGCATCCTGAAGCTCGGTACACCGTTGTCGGTGCTTACCATTACGGCGGACCGCCGGTTGACCCGGTCATCAACGTACACAGGGCGCTACTACAAATGGTGTACCTGACGACGCTGTCCGCCCTGTACAGACCTCAAGTCTTCCGTCCCAAGCAGCTGCAAAAGGGGCGGCCTTCCAAATCCGAAATCTCGGCGAGGCAGACCCTGAGGCACGCGGCAAATGAGATCACTGATATCATCTCGGACCTGCAAGCCCAGGATCAAATCCGTTTCCTGTCTACTAGTGGTGTCATGGTCCTGTCTCCCACCGTGATTACACTTTTGCTGGACGTCAAGTCTCCGGACCACGACAAGCAAAGCGCCAGCATTGCCCGCTTCTACCGATGCATGCAAGTTCTGCACAAATTGCGCGAAAATTACGCATCAGCAGACTCGGCAATCTCTTTTCTCGAGGCCGCCATCCAAAAGGCTCACGTGCACATTCCATCGGGAAAAGCCGATTTCCCGCCTTTGTCTCACGAGTCTTCTAACGGTGGCATTCGAGCATCGGACAATCGGACACTCTTGGCCACTGCCGGCTCCTTGAATGCCATGTCAGCCACCCAGAATTGCTTGACTGCGACGCTGGCCACAGTCGACAAGGATCATTCACCAGTCTACGGACAGACCGACCAGATGGAAGGACCTTCGAACGACGCCTTGACCATGACTCTGCATGACCCCATGGGTGGCGTGGCGTCTATTGGTGATGACATGCAAGAGAGCAACCAGTTCTGTTCACTCGGCGAAGGAGAGAACAACTCCGACAAAGATGACAACTGGTATTTGGTGGATGCCTTGTTCAACTTTGAGGGAAACAACAGCCTGCACGGGTTTGACGGCGGCTTCGGCACCGGTTTTGATATCTCATAGACATTGTTACGTGCAGGTACTTCCATCACCGTAGCCGACGTGTTCATTCAATCTGTCGGCTGCCAACGAGCATGCTACACTCCCTCTGCCTGGCGCCTGCATAAGAATGTATATCAGCTCCGTTGTCGACGCCGCAAGAAAGGTTCAGTCAAGCACGTCACAGACAGGACCTCCAAGTCCCCCTCTGACGTGCTCCGGGTGGTCGTAGGTCCTGCAGGTAACAGTCGCTGGATTTGCAGCTACAATGATTGACCGCTGCGGCGGGGATCCCTACATCTAACACACCGGATTTTCGATACAGGGCGACCCTTTGCCCTTTGCCTTCGAGCTGGTCGACCTGGCACTCTCGGCTGCTCCTTAAGCTAGAGCTTCATCCTTCCTGCGACATCCGTTTTCGCCTTCGCTCTCAGCTCCCGCCTCAATATCTTGCCACTGGCACTCTTGGGGATGCTGTCCACAAAGACGACACCGCCTCTTAGCTGCTTGTGCTTGGCCAACTTGGACTCGACCAAATCTGCGATCTGGGCGGCTGAGATTCTCGTCTCATCTGCAACCACGTAGGCTCGAGGCAACTCATTGCCGCTCCCGTCCAATGCGGGAACACCAATGACGGCAGCATCGGCAATCAGAGGGTGAGAGAGTAGCAAGGCTTCGAGCTCGGCGGGGGCAACTTGAAGGCCCTTGTACTTGATAAGTTCCTACATTGCCCACGTAAAGATGCTCGAAGTCAGTCAACCCGAAGGGAGACAGGCTATTATACCTTTCGAGGAAGGGGGTGCAAGGAGTTAGACGGGGTGAAAAAGGCTCACCTTCTTGCGGTCCACGACATAGAACTTCTTGTCGCTCCTCACTCCAATGTCGCCGGTCTTGAACCACTTGAGATCGCGCGTGAAAGCGGCGGCAGTGTCTTGATCATTATTCCAATAACCCCGAGTGACCATTGGACCTCTAAAGAGGAGTTCGCCTTGTTGCCCTTCCTCCACGTCCTGTTCGTCATCGTCGACTATGCGCATCCTGACGTTCGACATTAACGGAGAAATACTGCCAGTGTCATCGGTTTCGTCCCACGGCATGGACGTGACGGAACCCATCGATTCCGAGAGACCCCAGGTTTGCGAGAGATGGCATCCAAGCTTTTGCTGTGCCTGTCGCGAAAGCTCGGCCCCCATTGGCGCAGCACCAGATACGGCGTGCAAAAGTGTCTTGAAATGGTCGGTGACCTCGGGACTTTTGGCTATCATCAGATAAATCGGTGGCACAGTGAACAAAGCCGTGGTGCGGAACTGTTTGTTGTACTTCAAAAAGCCGGGAAAGTCGAATCTCTGCATCCAGTACACCGTGCCACCTGACACGATGGGGTTGACAAAATACCCCAAACATCCGGCCACATGTGCGGTTGGTAGATGTGCAAGTGTGCGGTAGGCGAAATTGAACGAGGGATCTTTTAGCTTCCGCCGATTCGCATACTCCCGGATCGGAAGGCCCAAGAGAAGACCCTCAGTGGCGAGGTTGGTGTGCGACACCTTGACGCCTAAGAATACGCCGTCAACGATCATCCTAGAGGTATGAACAGTGACACATCCTTGCGCGAAGAAGATGATCCCCACGTACCTTTTGGCACGCCCGTGGTCCCACTGCTGTAGAGCAAGCAGATGATACTTTCTTCCAGCTCTTTCTCATTGGTAATACGTTCCCAGTCCAGCATTTGGTTCGGGTTCTCGTTTCCTCCAAGCAAGTTTGGACCCTGGCCCGTGGCGTCTTGGAGTGTCCTTGCGCCCGCCTTGCTTTCCAAAACCAGGATCCTGTCCCGTGCTATACCGACCTCTGAACAAGCCTTGACGGTGACGCCGAGACAGTCGCTACTCGTGACGACCAGTCGGGCGTTGCCCTGCTTGAGCTGCCGTGCAAGCTCGACGGAACTATAGCTCGGGCTTGCTGAGCTGTAAACACCCCCTGCAGCGATTGTGGCGTAGAACAGCGCCGGCAGGAGCACCTGACCGGTGGAGACACAGAGGACAACGTCTTTGCCTCGTCCCCGAGCACCTATGTCGTACTGTGATCTCAGAATGTGTGCGATCCGCTTCGTCCACGTCCGTGTCTGCGCCTTGGTGACCGAATTGCTGGGATGGGCAGCCTCGACATGTAGCACAGTGGAATCGTCCCCCAAGCACCACGTTGTTTCTGCAAGCTCAGTGTCAGAGGGCCGGGTCGGACGCGAATCGCATGGTACCCACCAAAGAGTAACGTCAGAAGGTCGAGCGTTGGCAACAAATAATCTTTTGCAGGTAGATAGGTGACCTGAGGCGCCATCGCAGAGGTGGATGGATGATGGTCGGTGGTGTCAATCATAGGACTCTCGACTTGCAGCTCCGCTGTCCAGAGGATCGACGTCGAAACCTCGATTTACTTGGACAGCCCCAGCATAAGGGTCTTAGATGAACCTCGTGTTAGCCTGTTTGAGTGTAGAGAAACACCATCGTCAACCTCACCAGCTTACCTCGTTTGGCAGCGATACCACCGGGGAAGTGGACTCCGAGGCATGAAGGGCCAAAGCGCAATCACATTCATCCCCATTACCGAGGATGTCACTTTCATCAGCGTAACCGAGTCGGAACATGGCATTCGAATTGGCTTAATACACTGGTACCGCATTCAGCTTACATTAGCCAGTTGGGCGCACCCTCCGCATAACTTTTTCTTCGCATATTACAGCTGTGCACACCACCGCAAGGGCGAGTTGGCAGTCACGCTATTCTACATGTTCCTACTAGTGTTGGAATGAAGCGCAGACTCTCAGGCGTTACGTGCACCTACACCAGCAGATCGAATCGGCTTGTGGCTAGCTGCGATGTGTACGACATTGGCTCAATGTTATTGAGCCTGCTTAAGGACGGCGTTGATGTTGTCGGCAACGACAAGTGCTATGATGCTGTTGGAATTGGTTTAGTGACCTTCTTGGACTGTATCGCCGACCTGGCCGGGGGTTCACTTACGAATGAGGCGCGATCCTGAAAAGATATGCACCGAACCCACGGTAGAATCGAGGGAGCCCTTCGTTCCTTGCGACCTCCAAAGCACAATGCCACATCCCTCTGTAGACGGGCGTCCCGGTAGCAGCATTTGCCCTTTGCAGTCGGGTCTTCAGGAAATCGAATGGTAGGCTGAAAAAAGCGGCAGATATTCCAGCAATGGTCGAAGCACAAATCGTCTGTGCCTGTGGGCCAAGGGTCGTGTGGGTTGATAATTGGTGTTTGGATTCAGAGAAGAATGCCAGCTGGCCGAAGTTGGTTGCCATGGCCCTTATCATGGTTGGGAAGGCGCCCGACCATAAAGCCAGAATCCCTTCGTTGCGAGAGATGCGAGCCAGGGTGTCAAAAGCTGAGCGGTAGTTCGCCCTGAGCTCTTTCGGCTGTAGACCGTCGGACTGCATTCGTATGAGCGCCACCTCTGTAGGGTTTGCGACAAGAGCGCCCAACCCACCAGCGGCCAGTCCGGCCAATGCTCGGTGCTCAAAACCCATTTGCAATCCCCGTCGCTGGAGTCGTTGCTGCGTCATGTCCTCGAAAGTGAAAAAAAGGCCAAGTCGAGCAGTACCGTACACGACTTGGCGCAGCAAACCCGCTGAGAGACCTTGATAGAGGTCTGTGACCTTGCCTTGGGTGACAATTGTCCTTGCTATAGAGAACGCTGTGGGTCTCGATCCTGTTCTGGCGCCCTCGCCTGCAAGTTGCAGGCGCACTTTGATCAAATCAATCGGCTGAATGCAGACAGTGGCAACCATTCCGGAGGAGCCGCCAACGATAAACGGAAGACATGCTGAAACCCACCGTCCCTGCTGAGCCTCTGTCGTTGCGGAGACTGGATCAGTGACGCGAGACATAAACTCTCACGAAAGACAATGACCGAGAACGCGACGCGAGATATGGAGCAGTGAATTGATCGTCGTCAACAGACCAGGATTGACAGAAGACTCGAGCGTCAACAAAGTAGATCCCAGCAGATGAGGTGTCGCAAGAAGAGCGGATCACCTCCCGCGGCAAACGATGGACGAACAACAAGAAAGCACGCGTCGGTCAAGGCAATACACACATGGCCAACAACTTAGCTGAATAGCGGGACACCAGAATGTCTGGTCCCGCAGACGCTGGCCATGGTACTGCCAAAGTCTGACTTGGCCGGCAATGTCCATGGTTGGCGGTTGGAGGGAGGGAGGTTGAGATGAAAATCCCATACACGAGTGACCTCGGTAACTGCTTTGACTGGCCCGAACCAAGCGTGATAGCCGACACATGCATCTCCAGGCCTGGCGTAGTGTTGAGTATTGAACGAGGCGGGAGGACAAAAAGACTGCTGATCGAGACGATTCGTGAACTGTTGAGTGTTGATTGTTGATTGATCCGCTGTCCACAAGTCCTCGTTCCGAATAGCGGTCACGTGCCACGGAGGGTAGTAGTCTAGCTTCACAATTACATCTAGGCCCTCATTGCGGTGCATCCCAAGTATTGTCAAAGAAAGCTTCCAGGCCCCAGCTTTGATATTTTGGAGAGGGAATGTCGTCCCCACGGCAAGGATGGAGTTGTGTTTGGAAAGCGTGGCGGCAGTCCAGCGTGGGATCATTCAAGACACTGCCGTATCGCCAGACAAGAACACTTCATGCTCAAACTCAGGAATATCTCCAGTCCAACCAGCCCGACTTTACCGAGTCGCAGCGCACAGTCCGGGAAAGTATCGCCAAAATATGTTCAAAGTACCCTGATGAGTACTGGCTTGAGAAGGATAACTCGAAGGAGTTCCCGACGGATCTTCACGCCGATTTTGCTCGCGACGGGTGGCTGGGCATTTGCATACCGGAAAAGTATGGGGGTGCTGCACTAGGCATCTCTGAAGCTGCCGTGATGATGCAGACGGTGTCGGAGTGTGGAGGAGGGATGACAGCCGCATCGTCAATTCACATGAACATCTTTGGGCTAGAGCCCGTGGTCAAGTTTGGCACCGAAGAGCAAAAGCAGCGATGGTTGACTCCGCTTGTCGGTGGAACAGAAAGAGCCTGTTTTGGGGTCACGGAGCCAAATACGGGGCTTGATACCCTCAAATTACAGTCCATGGCTACTCCTGACGGCGATGGCAACTATATTCTAAACGGCTCCAAGATATGGACCTCAACCGCGCAGATTGCGCAAAAGATCCTCATCCTCGTTCGGACGACACCGTTGAATAAGGTCGACAAACCTAGCCGAGGACTGTCGTTGTTCTATACAGATCTTGATCGCTCGAAAGTCCAGGTTACCAGGATCCCGAAACTAGGCAGAGCAGCAGTCGACTCTAATGTCTTGTTCTTCGAAAACTGGAAGGTGAACGCAGCCGATAGGATAGGCAAAGAAGGAGATGGCTTCAAGATGATAATGCACGGTATGAATGCTGAGCGTATCCTAGTTGCAGCAGAGGCCTTGGGACTCGGATATGCAGCGCTCCGCCGAGCAAGCAAGTACGCCACAGAGAGAGTCGTATTCGAACGGCCCATAGGTCAGAACCAGGGTATCCAGCACCCACTGGCCGACTCTTGGGTGCAGCTCGAGAGTGCGAGGTTAATGGTCTACCTTGCTGCTCGAATGTACGATCAAGGGTTCGAGACTGGGGAGTATGCGAATGCTGCAAAGTATTTGGCATCCGAGGCGGCATTCACCGCATGCGAGCGCGCAGTGTTGGCCCATGGTGGGATGGGCTATGCAAAAGAGTACCACGTGGAGCGTTACTTACGGGAGGCGATGCTGCCCCGTCTTGCCCCCGTGAGCAAGGAGATGATCTTGAACTACATTGGGGAGAGGGTTTTGCAACTTCCAAAAAGCTACTGATGCTGTGGCATCCTTACAAGAGGCACCAGATCCACATATGCACTATGCTCCGTATATATTTACTGCCTCGGCGTTCATTACTCCCAGGTACGTGGACCGTACTCGGCGGATGAAGTGGGCGGGATCGGGTATACATCTAGACACTGTTATCTACCCAGCATAGCCGCTAGCTCACCTGTACTCGGAGTTATTGACGTATCCTGAAAGCTTCTTGCTAGAGCGCATAATAATGTCATCTATTTCACCTTGTAAGCTGCCTCCACCAGTGAATTAATCGACGAAGGTCTTGTGATAGCCATGCGCGAGCATGTTGAATCGCACGTGGAAGACGTGTCTTTACTGGCACAGCCTCTACATTTCGAAATTTCCGGCAGGACTGCCAAAAATCGTTTTTTGAAAGCGGCCATGATAGAAAAACTCTCGTCCTGGTCAGTCACGGACCTTCAAGCATGCGGGATACCCTCACCAGAGCTGGCTCAAGTATATCGGCGCTGGGGAGAAGGCGGAGCGGGTGTAATCCTGACTGGTAATGTCATGGTGACCTTTCAAGATATCGAGGCCCCAGGAAATGCCATAGTTCCGCTGGAAGCCAATTTCCATGGCGAACGATTTGGAGGCTTCAGAAGGATGATGGAGGAGGCCCAAAAAACACGGCAGCTTGATATTGGCGCAGGTCTCGCATGCCGGGTGTCAAGCCGAAGCCCGATTCCAGCCAAATCCCATCTCGGCGAGCGACGTACAACTTCTCAAGATCGACTTTCCAGACGTGAAGTTTGCGAGGCCTCGTGCTGCGACAAAATCGGAGATCAAGGATGTCCTGGGTTGCTTCCCACCCGCCGCGATCTACCTCCACAAAGCTGGGTTCGATGGCATGGAGCTGCACGCAGCACACGGATACTTGTTGTCTCAATTCATTTCCGAAGCCACCAACCACCGCGACGACGAACACGGTGGCAGCATCGTCAATCGGGCTCGAATCGTCATTGACATCGCCAAATCGATTCGTTGCCAGCTTCCTGGCTCTTCTGGCTTCATTCTTGGTGTCACGCTCAATAGCGTGGAGTTCCAAGAACACGGGATCGATCCGGATGGGTGTAAAGAGCTCTGCAAACTTCTAGAGGATGTAGAATTCGACTTTGTCGAGCTTTCGGGCGGGAACTATGAAACAATATCCTACACCTACACCCTCCGGGAGTCCACCAAGAAAGGCGAGGCTTTTTTTTCCTCGATTTCGCCGAGAAAATAACACTTTTCTGGAGGACATTGAAAATTGGAAAGAAAAGGCTGCTGCTGATGAGAAGCTGTCGAAGTACCACGGCTTTCCTGATTGCCCGACGCTCAACGCAATACCGTATTAACATGTATGGCTGGTTCTTTCGCCCATCGAGTCATCAGAAATTCTAGGAAACATCCGCATATCTGCGCCGCAGCTCCCGAAGCTCTATGGCTTCCTGAAAAGTTCGAGATAGTACATTTGGTGAGATCTCTCGTAAATGCCCGTGATGCTGACATCGGCCAGAGACCCACATGTTGACGGCGATGGCGTCAAGCCATCGCTCTGTGTTACGTGAATAATCTCTGAGACTGGGGGTTTGGCTGTGACAATACCATGACATTCATTATCAACAACAAATGTTAAGCATTCATGTTTATCAATACCGTCTTGGGCTCGGTATATGCTCTGAGCGCATGTTCACCCATTTCTCTGCCGATGCCCGACTGCTTTCGTCCTCCGAACGGGACCTGCATATTCATGTAACTCACACAGTTGATGCCTACCACCCCCGAATCCACTTGTGCTGAGACCCGCATGGCTCTGGTGATATCGCGGGTAAAGACTCCAGACATCAGGCCATAATCAGAGTCGTTGGCCCAGCCAAGCACTTCCTCCTCCGTCTCAAACGTCCTGATCACGGCCACGGGACCGAAGACCTCATTCTTGTAGATCTCTGCATCAGGTTGAGGGTTGAGAAACACTGTAGGCTCCATGAAGCAGCCGGTCTCTCCGTGCCGGACCCCGCCCACGACCAGGTCGGCTTGTGACTTTGCACGCTCGATCATACCCTGTACACGGTCGAATTGTGCTGTATCTATCAGTGGTCCTAGCTTGACCGAGAGATCTTGGGGATCGCCTAGATCAGATGCTGCCGCTTTCATTCTCTCGACGTATTTTTCAATAAAGCGATCCGCGATGGACTTTTGGACGTAGACCCTCGTCGCGGCGACGCAGACTTGGCCCGACCGAGCAAGGATGGCATTCGTGGTCCAGGTAACGGCATTGTCGACGTTGCAGTCGTCGAAAACAAGCGCGGGGCTCTTGCCTCCCAGCTCGAGAGTGACACGCTTGAGATTACTCTGTGCCGCCGCCATCTGGATTTTCTTGCCGGTGGGCACACTACCTGTAAAGCTGATCTTGTTGATGCGGTTATGGCTCGCTAGAAAGGCACCGGTCTGCCCATTTCCAGGGAGGACCTGGACGACACCCTTAGGAAACCCAGCTTGCTCGAAGAGGGGGGCAATGGCAAGCGATCCCAGAGGTGTCTTTTCCGACGGTTTAACAATCATGACATTTCCTGTGGCCAAACATGGTGCCAACTTGAGCATCATGGTCGCCACGGGAGCATTGAACGGATTGACAGCCGCGCACACGCCCAACGGTTCATGACGGACTAGTTTAACAAATCCTGGGAATAGCGATCGTTAACCGGGAAGATCGATACGGAAGGCAGGAAAACATTCTTTGGGACGTACCATCGTCGGCAGGAAAATATTCACCCTTGAGCTTATCTGTCCAACCGGCGTAGTAGAGGATACAATTCTTGATGTAGGTTTTCTCTCTTGTAGGAATCAGAGACACGGGGTTCCCAGAAGTGAGGGAGTCGAGTGTGAGGATGGGCATCAGTTTGTCTTCAACGAGTGCTGCCAGCTTGAGGAGACACTCCGTCCTTTGCATGGCAGAGAACTTGCTCCATGGCCCTCGAAACGCCGCCTCCGCGTAGGACACGGCCAAATCAACATCGGCAGGTCCTGCCACGGGGATGCCGTCCACAACCTTGGTGTTGTCCTTGGGGTTGGACAAAGAGTACGTTTCCGCGCTTTGAGCACTCACGAATTCTCCATTGAGGTAGAGTTTGGTGAAATCTCGGGGATTCAGCGATTCGGCGCTACCCATTTCGTAGGAGGCTCGATAAGCACTTGGATATGCCACACACTAAAAGGTAGGCGTGGTGGTGTATTGAAAAGCTCCTCTTGAGCATCACTGACCAAGGACCTCGACCGCAGGCATAACGTTGGCTTATGGGGGGGGGTGGTGGGAGGCGGGCCAGGCGGCCGGCTCAAAATGTCCCATTGGGCCGGAGACCGACAGCGCCAGTCCTCCCCAGAGGTGTCAATCCTGTATAACCTCGGTTACGGCAACCAACTCACCCAGTTCAATGGACAGCGCTGTTGCTGTAGAGAGGAATCTTCATCCGAGTATCTGATATTCAACACGGAAATTGGGATTCGGCCGTTGGCGTTTGATGAATGAAATATGCTCGCTTCCAGACTTTTCCGAACCCACAAGGGTTATGCCTGAGGTAGCTCCAAGCATCTACTTTCTGACCCTGTTTGTAGAGTCGATCTACCGGGACGGGTCTGACGGTCTTGCCGTTGTAGGGTAGCTCACTCAGGAAACCCCATCGAGCAGCCTCCTTCCATCCTTTCTGCTGCCAGTCATTCAGGTTGCCACGAGGGAAAAAGTCGTAGACATCCAGCGCTGCTGGATCATGTGCGATCGTTACTAGAATACAAGGATCGGCATCAAATTCCATCAAGCCAAGCACAGACTTCTCTGCGACAGGTGGATCCTTGTAGAAAGTAGCTGCATCCGTTGAGATATGCGTGAACGGTTCCTGATACACAAGAGGCGCGCTGTCAACTCAAAGCAACGGGCGGTGGAGTTGGGAATACGGGGGAGAGGGCATCGACGTACCGGCCGACCGTCCTCCCCGTGAGGGTGAGATGACAGAAATCCTCCACACAAGCAAGGAAGTGGCATGTGCCGGTCGAGCGCCGGTCCTTCCGGAACAATATTAGGAATCGGGACGTACCTGGATGGTCTGATAGAGCTGGCAAAATGGCAGATATCGGCTCCGAACAGCACGAACGTGTCCTGGGTTGTCCGGACCAGGCCAGCCATGTATCCGACCGCATGTCCAGGTACGTCGAGAAGGTAAAAGCTTCCATCGCCAAAGAAATCGTAAGCCTTAAACTGACCAATTTGCAGAGTGTCCGAGAAGCTGAGCTCCACAATGATGGAAATGCCAGTGGCTAAGCACAAATGTGTCGATGTTACTGATATCGACGTTGCCATTTGCAAGAATATCGTGCACGTCCCGGTCGATTCTCAGCTCTGGAATGAATGCTGAGGTGCTGTAACGATCCCCGAAAGGCACCGTTCGGAAAGGTGCTCAGCGAGCACGGCTCCGTCGTCGAGTTGATAGCGAGGTCGCCAACCGAGATCGACGCGGCTCGAGTGGTCGTCTTGAATGCCGCTGTCAAGATCCTCCTCTGGAAGATTGAGCGTCAACGTGAGAAAACGAGGTATTGCTCAAGCCGTACGGGGTCTCCTCGCCAAAGTCATCCAAACTAATTCGACTCCTCTTCGTACCAAGAATTCTTTGCGATCGAGTTGAGCAAGTCTGCTTAGCCCATGGCCTAATTGTGTCAAAATCCCTTCTATGAAGGACAAGCTTGTCTGTGTGCCTCGCGGGGAAAAGCCCATGTGTCTTTTACTATAGCGAGACTTTGCTAGCCCAGTACTCAGCCCAGTCTACGTCCTTAACCCTCTTCTGGAACTGTGCCATGCCGTATTCGCCCTCAGATCCAGCCGCGACCATTTCGTTGAACAATTTCTGTATCAAGGCATCTTGTTGTGCTCCTCCAGCGTTGGTCCAAGCCAGTTTGAGTAGCTGCTTACACTTGGCGCCGGCCCCTGGTGCTGCACGAGACAGTTGCTCCAAGGTCACATCCAGCATCGTGTTCAGGCCGTCGCCCGAGTCGTCTGAGATGGCGTGAATGGCACCAATACGTAGCAATTCTGCCGGCAAAATCTCTCTGCCCGTGAGCATTGCTTCCCTAAGAAATGAGGTCCCCCATTCCCGAGCTAAATACTTGGAGATGATGGCCGGCGCAAGTCCCAATTTGATCTCTGATAGTGTCCAACGGCTTCGACCTGATGCCAGTCGGATATCGCACACCATCCCAAGCCCCACGCCTCCTCCGTAACAAGGGCCGTTGATGACCGCCACAGTAGTCTGCGGGACACTGTCGATGGCAGAGAAGAGGTCGGCTACGACTGAGTAGTAACTGCCTTGTCCCTGAGTCTCACTCTTTTCTGTGTCGCTGCTGAGATCCATGCCGGTGCAGAAATATTTTCCCTCGGCGTCAAGCACGATATGAAAGACGGTACGATCCTGTGCCAGGGATCGGAAGGTAGCAGTCAGTCCTTCCAACATCGGCCGAGTCATAGCATTGCCATTTTTTGATCTAGTCAGCGTAATTTTGACCCCGTTGCGCGACCTAGCAACAGTGTAGTTCATATTACTCTCCATGGTTGTCCACACTCTGCGTGGCACCAGCGGCTGTGTCTGGCCAACTGGCACCGAGGTGCTCGTTCGCTTGGCTAGAAGGGCGGTGCCAGCCCTACTTGAATTTGGCACCTTGATCTGTTGAGATATCCAGTCTCCCACAGACGTCAGTTGATCTAGATCAACCCCGGTGGAGACGCCTGACTTCTCCAGCGTGTATATCAGGTCCTCGGTGGCGAGGTTGCCCTTTGCCCCTCTAGCGTAGGGGCAGCCTCCCAGGCCTGCCACGCTACTGTCGAAGGAGCGAATCCCCATATCGTATGCTCGGCTGACATTGGCGATGGCTTGTCCATAGGTATCGTGAAAGTGACCTGCTAGGAGATTAGGCGATACATGTTTCAAAAGGAGCTCCAGCAGGATCTGTGTGTCTTTTGGCGTGCCCACTCCCACAGTATCACCTAGGCCGACCTCGTAACAGCCCATGTTCAGGAAACGTTTGACCACATGCAAGACCTCTGAGGGCGACGTCCGGCCCGTGTAAGGGTCAGCAAAAATGCATGATACCACACCTCGCACACGCAAGCCTTGTCCCTTGGCTTGTTCCACCACCTGCTGAGCGCCATCGAGAGCTTCGTCCACAGTACAATTTTGGTTGCGTTTGCTGAAACCCTCCGTGGCGGAAGCAAAGACGACAACTTCCTCTGCTCCAGCCTTGATGGCATTCGTTAGACCCTTGGGATTAGGAGCGAGCACCGGGACGTTGAGCCCTTCTTTCCTCAGGTTCGATATCTGCGCCATGACATCTGCGCCATCGGCCAACTGAGGGACCCATTTTGGCGACACAAATGAGGTCGCCTCAATGTTGCGCAGACCGGTCGCTGCGAGTTTGCGTATGAGATCCACTTTGATTGAAGTCGGCACACTTGTTTTGATGTTCTGTAGCCCATCTCTAGGGCCGACCTCAAGAATGCGAACAGCCGAACTGGGTTGTGGAGAAGTGACAGAGAAATTTCGGGTAGTGATGAGGCGCCAGCATTGCTTCATGGCCGTTCGGTTCCATGCACAAGGCCGAACAGTACCCATACTGGCGCAATGTGATCAGACACCATGGAATGCGACTGAATCCACTTTCAGGTTGCCATTGTCATGAACACAGCTGAGGTTGAGCGAGCTTAAGCTTTTGTCGACTGGCCGTTTGATAGACGCTCCCTCAAACAATACCCGCGCCCGAACTAATCAGGCAGACACCAGCGAATGGGCTGTCAAATCCTTGCTGCGCCGCACCAACCCTCGGCTAATAACCCCGAGGGTTACGGTAGCCCCCTGTCTATATCAAGCCGAGAACAGCTGAAGCATACCTACAAAACAACATAATGCCTTTTCATCGAGCCTACCAGCAATATTGGTCATCTTGCGCCAATCATGAAGCGAGCCCAGGGGATTGTTGTGTCCAAATTGGCCGCTCGTTTTTCGCTGCCTCCAAATGTCCATAGGCCGGGAGCCTTGACGCGCATCCATTTTCGCAATGCTTCTTCGACAGCACCAGCTTCATCCACAACATCGGGAGGGTCATTAGATGGAATCAGGATATTGGATCTGTCCCGTGTACTTGCAGTGTGGCATCAAACGCTTCCCGGATTAGATGTCGATGTGCTCACTATGATAGGCGCCATACTGTACGCAGATCCTCGCAGATTATGGCGCAGATGTCATCAAGGTTGAGGATGTCGCGAGAGGTGTAAGCTTGATGCGAAATTTGGCAGCATGATAGGGGAGCTAATTGCCGTCCTTAGGACGACACTAGACATTGGAAAATATCCGGGGAAGAATCCGCCTGGAATCCCGAGGCCGGGCCCATGTCTCAATATTTTGCCTCTGTCAATCGCAACAAACGGTCCATCTGCTTGAACCTGAAAAGCGAGAAAGGGCGTGAGGTATTTCTGAAATTGGCGGCCAAAGCGGACCTCGTGTGAGGAGCTTTCTAACCCCATCCCTGGGTCGTTGTGCTAACGATTATCAGCGTTGAGAACTTCCGTCCCGGTGCTATGGATCGACTTGGCCTTGGCTATGATGCCCTGAAGTCTGCCAACCCACGGCTCATCTATGCCAGCGTTTCCGGTATGTGATCAGGTAACCCCGCACCTCTATTCCGTCTGACAATCTAGGATACGGTTCGTCTGGACCGTATTCAAAGAAGGCTGGTTATGACATGACGGTGGGCGCCGAAGCGGGCCTTCTCCATGTCACTGGAGAACGCAATGGTCCACCGGTGAGGCCAGGTCTGGGTCTGGTTGACATGTGTACCGGATTGTACACGCATGGAGCTATCCTTGCAGCGCTCTATGCTCGCCAACAGACGGGGCGTGGACAAAAAGTCGAGGTGTCCTTGTTCGAAACACAAATTGCCCTGTTGATCAATGTTGCGTTGTCCTGGCTCAATCTTGGGAAAGAGGCGGAACGATGGGGCACACAACATCCAAGTGTCGTTCCATATGACGCCTTTAAGACCCGGGATCTATACTTCGTGTGTGGTGCGACGAATGACAAGCAATTCAGCACTCTGTGCAAGGTACTCGGTGATGCTGCCCTGTCAACAGACGAAAGATTCAGTACGAATACAGGTCGGGTTCAAAACCGTGATCAGCTATTTCCCATTTTGAACGATTTGTTCTCAACGAAAACCACCGAAGAATGGCTGCAAGACTTCGAAGGTAGCGGCTTACCCTACGCACCGATCAACACTATGGAAAAGGTGTTCTCCCACCCACAGACCCGCGCACGCGACATGGTCAAGGAAATAGCAATGCCAACTGCAAAAGCTGGCAGGATATCCGTATTAGGTGGGTAGGAATCCTCTCCGATCCCAGGGCAAAACTAACGACTTGCTTCAGGACCCGCGGTGAAGTTTACCGATACCCCAGCCTCCATTCGCACCAGACCTCCTCTACTGGGTGAGCATTCTGAGGAAATCTTGAAGGAGATTGGCGTCACAGACAACGAGATCGAAGAGCTCAAGAATAATCAAGCCGTGGGCTTCAATCCGGGATCATCAGGTCCCAAAGCTCCTCCCGTGGCCATGACATGATTCATACCCATGAGCACCAGAGTGTGGTCGTGGACCAGGCCAAGAACGCTTGTGGCTTCGGTTTGCAACTCGGTGTCGTCTTCCGGACTTTTCGAGCGGAGTGGGATAGCCGGTTGAGCCTTCAGACAACCCCAAATGTCCAACCTATACCCATGCTTCCCCTCAATTCAACGTGGCCGTCCAGCACATGTGTGATCGTGTCTGGAGCATGCGTGGAGGACGACTCTTTGTTATGTGCGTATTGTAGAAAATGCCTGAGGCGCGTATCCTCGGTACATTTTAGAGTATTTAGTCCTCTGATCGACGAGCGCTGGTCTATCCCGGCGGAAATGAGAATCGATCATGACAACGGCACATTCTTGGAGTATCGTGCTTCTGGTATTGGGCAGGTTGACGTGCTCGTGGAGATCCGTGAGGATGCCACATCGATGTATCGGACTGTACTGCTGCTCTCAATGACAGGCTCTCGTTCTGCCCGGAATTCGACATTGCCCCAAAGCAATACTATCAACAGCCTAGCGGAGGCTATCAGGAAATGACCACTGCCCGAAACAGGAGACCCTTGTCACGATGGTTGTCTTCATGCTCGTTTCCATAAGCTTCGCCTCGAAATACTCTATCTGGATTGGCCCTCCTAGATGAAACAGGTACATAGTAAAAAGAGCTTAGATCCCAGAGATAACAAAATTGGTTGCAGGGTCCCATTCTAACCGTCTGCAGGACTTGGGCCTAGACCACTGAGGCAAGTTTTGTGCTCTACTGACAGATCAGAGTTTGGCTTTTGGCTCCGACAAAGGTGAGGCGTAGCTGCCCATCATGAGTCTCTTTCCCCCATCGACACTAATGTCCTCGCCATTGACATAAGTGCCTGCCCTTGAAGCGAGATACACTGCGATGCCGGCCATGTCCTCTGGCTTTCCCAGTCTTTTCATCGGATTGTCATTGGCTGCCACTTCCTCGCCGCCAAATTTCTCGATAGCAGGGCTGGCAAGACGAGTGGGATACCAGCCCGGAGCGATGACGTTCGTCGTGATATTCTTGTTGACAAGTTCTATCGCCAGATTCCTCCCCAGATGATGGGCTGCTGCTTTTGAGATGCTATAAGCGATTGCACCGTCCACGCCAGTGTGCAGAACGGCGATACCGCCGACAGAGCTCACGATAAGGACTCTTGCCGGGTCATCGTGGGTTCCAGCTGCAGCAAGGAGAGGGACCATCCTTTGCAGCGCGTTAGCCTCAAAAAAATCTGTCCGACAGAGATCTCCATTGTCATTACTCACTTCCGCGTCAAATTGAAGACGCCGCGGACATTCACGTCCAAAGTCTTTGCAATTTTCCAGTCGTCGAACTCTTCGAAGGGTCCACCCCAGCTGGCGGCAGCATTGTTGACCAGGATATGGAGCTTTTCATCGCCCAGCCGATTCTTGGTATCTTCGGCGAGCTTTTCTACGCCCTCTATGCGGCTCACATTTGCGACAATATAAGAAGCGCGGCCTTGGATATTTGGAAGAGCATTTAGTTGATCGACAGCTTCTTTAAGACCATCTTCCTTTCGCGCAGTCAGGATGACCTCTTTAGCACCAGCTTGCAGAAAACCGCTAGCAATGTAGAGGCCAATGCCTCTTGAACCTATTTTAAAAAATCACTTGAGCTTGTCTTTCGGCGGTCAATTTGCGGAGCGATCAGACTCACCACCAGTGATCAATGCGACCTTGCCATCCAGCCGGAAAAGGGAATCAAAGTTCGGTATTCCAGCCATCATATAAAAGTTTCACAATTATGCGTGGTTATCACTGCAGACCAGAGGATTTTGCGTTCTTTTGGATGACGGTGTTTTTAGTATGGACGAACTACAAATACAAGGGCTCCTGGAGAACAAAGCCCGGAAAACTGAACCTCGCAAAGCCTCGGTCGTCCTGGCTTACCTCGCTCCGTCGCCAACTCGCGGCCAACGGCTCCTAGAAGGGTCTCGTGACTTGTAGCGGCTGAGGTTGACTCGCACGTGTCATTGGCTATCCCTGCAGGCAGTGTTCCATGCGGATCGATTCGTAACATGGAGGCGGTTCCTCTTTGCCGCAGAGAGAGTTTGTTCTTCCAAAACCCTCGGCAACCCAAATCTGCGGCTATGAAGGCTGGTTTAAAGCGAGGGAACTGTCCCTATGACGAATTCTAAACTTTATCCACGACAGGTTATACATTTTGTCACAAGTACTTGGGAATATATTCTGGTCCAGGTGCGAACATTCCAGCAAACACAGTAATTGTCTACACAACACCGTAGTCGAGGAATTTCTCAAAATGCCCCACGCCCATACTCCCCCAGACGAAGAGTGGCAGCCCCTGGACCAATGGCACGGGAAAAAATCAAAGTTGCGAGTCATCCATATCGGAGCTGGTGTGGCAGGTATCCTCATGGCATACAAGATGAGGAAGATGATGACCGACTACGACCTTGTTTGCTATGACAAGTACGACTGCCTTGATCCAGAGAAAGCGCCATGTTGCTAAAAACCGTCATAGAAACCCCGAGATCGGCGGAACCTGGTCTGTCATCGACTGAGGACTTCAAGTACAGTACAGACGCTCATGTTATCAGGTACGAGAATCGATATCCCGGCTGTGCCTGCGATGTGTAAGCTTTCCATTCTATTGATCAGTGTCCCCGTCTCTGATGTCATCCTAGTCCGTCTCATGGCTATACGTACCCGTTCGATGGTTATACAGACTGGTCTAGTTTTTATGCATCAGGTCCGGAGATTCTGCAATACTTGAAACACTTTGCTGCGAAGCACGATCTGGATGACTTTTTCAAGCTCAACTCAAAGGTCGTTGAAGCAATATGGGACGACAAGCAGGGCGTTTGTGAGTTCTCTCATGCCTTTGCCCTCCGACGACGAACTCACCCATGACTATAGACAACGTCAAGATTGAGCAAGATGGAGAGATCATTGAGGATTACTGCCATGTCCTCGTCAATGGAGGAGGATTTCTGAACAATTGGAAATGTATCATTTCAAGGTCACGATCCTCTTAAAGTAATCCACATTGACCAGAAGCAGGGCCCAACATTGCCGGACTTTTTGATTTCACAGGCCAATTGGTGCATAGTGCCAATTGGGATACATGTACGATGAAATTTTCTCCCCCGACAACAGATTCCGTTGCTGACCACCCAAAGCGGTTGACTATGCCGGTAAAAGAGTCGCAATCTTGGGCACCGGCTCTTCTGCCATTCAGATTGTTCCGCGTGTCCAGAAGAGTAAGTTTTACTTGAAATCTGGTACGCTCGTGCTTGCTTATCACCGCTAGCTGCCCAGCACCTTGTTGCGTTCATGCGCTCCAATACATGGTCAGTAGACATCAGGGTATATCCTCAATGCACAAAAACTAAGATTGTTCTAGGATTTCGCCACCATTTGGAATCAATGTTCTTGGACAAACGGAGAAAGATTCAAATGCGGCCCCCGAAAAATTTCCCGTCAGCCCACAACACCAATTTACCGAAGAAGAGAAGGAACGGTTTCGCAAAGATCCCGAGTATCATTTGAGATATCGACGGCAACTTGAATCGAGTTTCAACGCCGGTTTCGACATGTTTCTTCCAAACACTGAATATGCCAAGGTTGTAAAAGAAAACATGAAAGCCGAGATGTTGCGAAGACTTGGACCTGGCCATGAGGAGTTGAAGGAAAAGCTGATTCCAAGCTGGCCCCCTGGGTGTAAGTTCGATTGAGCGGTTTCTATTGAAGTTCTAACATGGATCTTATAGGCCGCCGGATAACACCTGGAGAGGGCTATCTCGAAGCATTAGTTCAACCAAGTTGGTATAGCCTCATCCGACCACGTACCTTGTTAACATTTGCAATGCAGATGTCGAAACAGTGCATCAGGAAATCGCAAAAGTGGTGCCAGAGGGCGTCGTAGGCGCAGATGGTACACTTTATCCCGTTGATATAATCATTTGCGCCACTGGGTTCAACATTGCGTTCAGCCCTTCCTTGTGAGTTGAATTACTTCCTATTTCTTCCAGATTTCTAACTCGTTTCCACAGCCAGGTCAGAGGTGTCGGTGGTGTGGTAATGGAAGAAGAATTCACTCCGGATCCTAAAGTGTACATGGGATTTACCGCTCCCAAATTCCCTAACTTCTTCACCATCAACGGACCAAGGGCTAATTGGGCAAACGGATGTTATTTTCCCTCGGTCAGTTCGCCATTGATCGTGCTCGCGAATCCAAAACTTATTATTTTACAGGTCGAACTTCAGGTAGAATACGTCATTAAATGTGCGAGTAAGATGCAAGAGGAAGGCATCAAAGCAATGGAGGTCAAGCCTGAAGTCATCGAACATCTTTATCGCTATCACGATGCGTGGCATCGCAAATCAACATACTCAGCACCCTGCAAGAGGTATGCTACTTCTCGATCACGCCAGTCAGTCAATACTAATTCTTTAAAGCTGGTACAAGCGCGGTAGCACCACAGGTACAGTCTGGGTATGGGGCGGATCGGTAAGTTTTGCGAAGCCCTTCCGGTCGCACGTAACCCATTAACAATTTCCCAGGGTCTTCATTATCTCAAGGCTATCAAGGAGCCAAAATTTGAACACTATAACTACACATATAAGAACAGCAACATGTTTGCATACTTCGGCAATGGCCGGCTGGAACTTGAATGGAAGGGTGAACAGGACAAGATGGCTCCATACATCAGAAACGGAGATGTCCCATGGGATTTTGAATGAGACATCTGACGATAAAATAGGCATATAAATCTAGAAACTGGTGTCAGAGCTGCTGCCTCGGTACCTAACAGGGTTAGGCTCCTTAGTAACAGACATTTAGTAGTTATGAATTGAGTGAGGGGAATGCAAGGTATGAGCAGTGGTGTTACTAAGAACGGTAGGATAGCATGAGTTGGCTACGGAGAGGGTAGAACTACAGAGTGGGAAGGGAGCGTAACTATATACTTGTGAGGACCTCCCGAATGAGGCAATGTAGAATGGTACTACGTTGGTCTGTTGGTCTGCTGCCATACCAACATCCTACCAGCTCCTTCCTATCCTGGACATCACGTGACCCCTTCAGCCTTGCTCCTCAAGGCCGCGTACCTTGGCTGAGTCCCCAAGGCTGTGTCTAACAACTGGATACAAGAAGGTCATAAATCATGAGGAAAGATCTTTCTAAGTCGATACTTCAAGCAAATCAAGCATTATTGTTCAGGAACACGGGAGACGATAAAGAAAATGATATTGTAACAGAGCACTTCAGGGTTCGGCGTGCACGTGCAACAACGCACAGAGGCCTGTCCAGCAGATCGGGAATCGAGAACGCGTTTCTGGTTGATACTGACTAAACACCACCAACACCACCCAGAGGGGCAGCGGCTAGGGCTACGAACACCTAGCACAGCGGCAGCATCGAGGAACAGGACAGGACTGATAAAACACTCAAGAATAGACTGACGGCGTCAAAAACCATAGAATTCATGATACTCTGCTCCAACTGTAATGAATGGCACACTGCCAGCACTGCAAACTGTTCCGCACCCCCCTCTGCCAGCCCATTTAGGTTTGACATGTGACTAGACAACTTTTCCTCCCTGCCACCGCTCTACCAGCCCAGCCCAGCACAGCCACCTTGCCTTGTTACAATATGTATGCCTGTGAGGACGCGTGGACCTTGTACATCTACATGGTTCTAGCTATTCTCTAATTCGAATACCGTGCCTGGTTGCTGAATTCATGTCGAATCAGTGCCTAGAGAGAATAGACTTACCGCTCTGAAGCGGTAACAAGCACTCGGCTCTTCTCACTCAACAATTAGTAGGACCTCTGTTCATCTTCGGCATAACACTAATATTGGCGGCATGCCTCAACTTCGTATGCTAATTCCAAGAATGGAAAGATTGGTTCAGAAGGATGTTATTTCTTCCTTCATTGGATGCGGCACACTTCAGAAGAGCTCCGGAAGGACCGGAACCCAGAGTAATTGACCGTACGAAGTCAGTCTGGAACCTGGATCGACATTCCGATGGCCGGTCTTTGAAACATTATCCGTGGGTTCTATCCACGCAAAATCTGTTCTCTGATCCACATGATAGCGCTGTGGGGTTGGACATGCCCATGGGGCCCCAGGGCCGATACTGCGGCGCCCCCTCTGACGAACATCAAACCGAGGAGGGCAGTTCCACGAGGTTAGGCGGCCGGCAACACTCTCGAATTCCACACATGGCACTCCTCTCCAGAAGCAACCTCGGATAAGCTGATTGAACTTTGTCTAGGGTGATTTCAGCGTTTGGACATCACCAACACCCGAACTAACGTTAAATAGTCACCAGATACCATGACCAGGAATTTGGCAGAAAACATACGATACGGTTCTGGTAGCTTCACTCGTGACTGCAACTCTCCAGTTTCGCTGCGCCGAAAATGGTGTCCAACAAGGATCGAGCTGCCATCACTTGGTACAACATTCTCATCGTTGCCTTTGTTACAATAGCTGCAGCTGGCTATGCTTGGACCAATGCTATCATAGGAACAACTCTGGGTATGTAATCTGGAAAGCTACTGCAACGAGATTAACCTTGCCACCCAGGCCAGCCTTCATTCCTGAAGTACTTTCATCTCGACACTGCTTCCAATGCTACCGATCTAATTTCCACAATGAATGGCCTTTTCCAGGCCGGTGGATTCTTCGGCTCTCTCGCTGCGTCACCTGTCGCAGATCGATGGGGCCGAAAACCCTGCCTGGGGGTGGTCAGTCACTGGTTCAAAGTGAATGGCTTTACCAAAACCTAACGTGGGTGTTCAGGCCGCCGTTATCATGATCATATCAAATGCCTTGTTGGCTGGTAGCGTTCATGTTGCCATGTTCATTAGTATGGGATTCCACCCGCCGCAGTTTGAAGATATACTGACGTTTTCACAGCTTTTCGTTTTTTCTCCGGGTTTGCAGCTTTCTTCACGCTCACAGTTGTCACGGTACGCTTTGCAATATCGGGGCTATAAATCTATACCTCGTGGCTAATTCGGTGCCTAGGTCTGGATGAGTGAAGTTGTCCCTCCGGCCATACGAGGGACCGTTATGGAGATGCTTACTGTTGGTTTTGTTGTCGGCTATGTTGGCGCCTCCTGGACTGGCTTCGGGTTTTATTTCTGGCAAACCGACAATGAAAGTGAATGGAGGCCTCCCCTCGCGATTGGTTGCTTCTTCCCACTCGTTTTCCTGGCTGGTCTCCGCTGGGTTCCAGAGAGCCCACGATACTTGGTCACGAAAGACCGCCACGACGAAGCTCGAGCCGTTCTCGAGAGGCTTCATCGTGGCAAGGACAGTGCAGACGTCTCCTTTGCGCATGCGGAACTCTATCAGATCAAAAAACAAACGGCCATTGAGCGGACGCTTCAAAGTTCCTGGGCCGCCATGTTCAAGCGGCCTTCCTACCGGAAACGCTGCTTCTATGCTATGGGCTATATCGTGATCACACAGTGTATTGGAGAGTTGGTCATCAACAGTGAGTGTTTCAGTCATGGCATTTGGCTATCAAAATTCACGTCCAGTTAGATTACAGCCCTTCACTATATGCTGGCTTGGGCTATGGCCCCGTCAAACAGTTGCTCTACTTTTCTGCATGGATCACACAAAGTATAGGCCTCGTCGTCATTGCCATGATCCTTGTCGATAGGTTTCCTCGACCCCAATACATGGCATTTGGCGTATTGTTCTCGGAGGTATGCCTGAGCATCTATACTGCTATAATAGCAATCTATGGGGAAACGTTGGAGAATAAGGCGGCTCTCCGTGCTGCTGTGGCGATCCTTTTCATCTACCTCTTTCCGGTCATCGTTTTCCTCGACGGTGAGTTGTCGATTCTCCATCTTCAAAACAGTAACAAAGCGGCCTCTGACAAATGTTCTCATAGGATTGCTTTTCATTTACGTTGCTGAGCTGTTTCCTAATCATCTACGTGCAAAGGGGACCAGTCTAGGCATTGCCACTTTTTGCCTCACCAACATTATTTGGCTTCAATCAGCGCCAACTGGATTCAAGTGAGTTTGGCACGGTCTGGAATGTTGAAGCTCTTGCTGATGACGATCTTCTCGAAAGGAATATCGGATGGAAGTATTACCTCTGTCTCATCATTCCAGGAACGATAGGCGGGTTGATTCTCTGGAATTTCTTCCCCGACACGAAAGGTGTTCCTCTCGAGGAACTAGCAGCCCTTTTCGGTGACGAAGACGAGGTCGCCATCTACCAGAGTGAGATCGAAGTCAACAAAAACACTGGGGAGGTCGCGGAAAACCGCCACGAACATAAGGCGGAGAAAGTCGTTTATGTTGAGAGTGTAGTTTGAGTTACGGTGATCGGAAGTTGAAGGAATCAGACCAAGTTCTTTGCGTCTTGTTGGATTTTAGGGGCTACTGATTCAACATCGAGTCCTATTGTGAGTCGGACACAACACCGACCAATTCCCCCATGACTTCAGTCTGGGCAAATCTAATCAAGTATAAGAGAGCTTCTATACCATTATTGCGTTGGGTTGCTTTGGCACGCTGTATATGTCGTTAAACGTATTGCCACGGGTTCCAAGAGCAAGTGGATGGATGACAAGTGTGACCACTACGAGGTTCGACTGTACAATCAACAGAGAGTGTGTGCCTGATAGAACGCAAGGCGAAAGCCTAAGAAGAGGCATTCCTTGCGATTGTTCTCGATGAGGCTTACGTGCGCCCAACTCTTGCGTTGTCTACCCCCATCCATCGTTCTGTGGGGTGTGTCACGATGCACTTCGGATACCCTGGCTGCTCCGGGGCCGAATCGAAGGGATCGGGTGAGATTCAGAGTCAAGGAGATAGACCTCGGCATTCATCTTTTGCCGGGACAATATTTACCATCATAACCGCAGAAGCTACTCGGAATCCGGCTAACGAGACTTTTGACGCGCGCACTTGAATAATATTCTGATAGCCTGGGGTGAATAGATAGGTATTCCTTGAATATGGATGGGAACCCGTATTTCCTGGGCGTCTCTTGACGTTCGCGACAACGTCCTTTCTCATTTACTAGACGTTCAAGGGTTGAAATCTAGTATGATGCATTTGGACCGTTCCGAAGTGGTTTGTGAGATGCGGCGCCGAGTCTACGGCCTCTTTTGTTTGTATAGCCTGCATGTGGGCTTCCACGGAGTCCCAGCCAATAAGTGCAACGAAAGCCTTGTGTTTCTCGTCCCCAGGATTTTCCCCGATATCTTCAATGGTGAGACCTGAGCTGCTCGCCCGGAATCCAGTGGATTTCGCCAGAACGGATGAAACCTTCTCAAACCCTTTCTCGATTGCAGGTTGAGCAGAGAAGAAGTAAGCAACTTCCATGACGGGGGATGTTGCGACGATTTCATCGGCCCTTGAAGCAAATTGGGCATGAAGCACACTTGGTGCTCCGTTCAAGATCGGCTGCAACGCGGCTCTACCTTGCTCGCATTCCTGGGACTTCGTGTAGGCAATGCAGTATTCCAGACTGTCCCAATCTAAATATCCGGGTTGAATGTCAGCGCTACAACCTCGATATGTTGATTGAGCCAATCTCTTCGCTAGGTAGATATGTCGGGTGTAATGTAAGAAGGATGGAATTATGCGAATGAAATACAGGAGAACTGACCGATCCACAAGTCGACTTTATCGGTAGACTCAACATGCTGGCCCCAGAATGCGCGTTGGAAACCCGGGCGTTTAGAGGCGACTGACAGAGCGGTCTGTATCGCTTGAGATATATCGGATCCTGCTTTCACGGGCAGCATGATCAGCTCTGTGACTGGAACAGCCATTTCTTTTTGTAATACTGAATTCAGATACGAGGTGAACCGCACGCTAAATTACATTTTCCTAGGCCAACTGATGTTCTCTAAAAGGTGTTTCGGGGGTGGTTGATGATTATCAAAAGATATCGCGGGCACCCGAGGTAAAGAGTCTTTCGAATTCCACGCCGGCAGGCCCTGATGATGGTAGAAATGGTGCTTTGACGGCGCGGGTCGCACTGAGCACGTCCGTGGGCATTGCGATGGAAGCCCAGGCGCAATATCGGCCGGAGTTCAGTGCTTTCAGAAGTGACAAGAGTGGATTCGTTATGAGATCTCTGAATGCTATATCCTGCTATATTCACGTGAATGACCAACAATATACCATGTCAAGTGGATACAAGAAGAATTCCATGTCGTAAGCCGCACCTCAATAATCCGACCTCCGAAAAGAGGCTCCCTAGGCTGTGTGACTGGGCATGCCCCCCGCTTGACCGACGAGAGTCGAGATCCACCCGCACCCTGCAGAGGTTCGGTCATCCACGCTCCGGTTGCCCCAAGTTTCGTACTCCGCCGAATGGCTGCTTTTTCCGGGGGACCTTGGGTGACCTCGGCTCTCTGCTTACATTATGGGGTTTGCACGGGGCTCGCGAGGCCTCCGGCTCCCGGGTAACCTTATCGTGATGTTTGATCTTCTTGTTGACGACGTGTCATGGCTGATGGTCTAAAACTGAGCGCTCTTGATAGAGGTGGCGCGTCTACCTCACCAGTGATAGTATCGACCAACATGGAAGCCTGGGCAGTGGTTGAGCACGGAAAGCCGCTGGAGAAGATCCAGCGGTCAATTCCTGAACCTCAAGGAACGGAAGTCCTGGTCAAAGTTACGCACTGTGGTGTGTGTCATTCCGACCTACATTTTTGGGAAGGCTCCTATGATCTTGGAGGAGGTCACCGGTTCAACATCAGCGATCGTGGTGTCAAACTGCCCCGGGCTGTGGGACATGAAATTGCAGGTGTCGTCGCTAAGTTAGGTCCTGACGTAGAGGGCGTGGCCAAAGGCGACCGCCGTATCGTCTACCCGTGGGTTGGGTGCGGGAAATGCAGAAGGTGTCAGCAAGAGCAGGACAATCTCTGTGCGGCACAGCGAAGCCTCGGCGTCGCCCAAGACGGCGGCTTTGCATCCTATGTTTTGGTGCCTCATGCAAAGTACCTGGTGGATGTGGGCGACGTCGACTTGGCCGTGGCCTGTACATTTGGCTGTTCTGGAATCACTGTCCTGAGCGCAATCCAGAAAGTTATGCCACTCGATGCGGACGATGCAATCATCCTCATTGGCGCAGGTGGTCTTGGGCTGGCCGCCATATCGATGCTCCTCGGCCTAGGCCACCGGAACATCATCAGCCTCGACATCAGGGAAGAAAAGCGTCAGGCGGCGCGAGAGGCAGGTGCGAAGGTCGTGGTCGACAGTACTGCTTCCGATGCTGCAGCTCAGGTGTCTACTGCTGCGGGAGGACCGATCTACGGGATTCTCGACTTTGTCAACAATTCGGCGACCGCGCTTTTGGCAATGAACTTGTTGGGCAAAGGAGGCCGCATGGTGCAGGTGGGTGTTTTGGGGGGAGAACTGAAATTGTCCTTAGTGGGCATGATTTTCAAGGCAGCCACAATCTCGTTCAACAACACGGGCAATCTATCTCATCTACGCCAAGTAGCTCGACTGGCTACTGAAGGGAAACTGAGGCCACTTCCCGTCACGAAAATTCCTGCAGACCAAGCAAACGCAGCCTTGACGGCCTTGCAAGAAGGGAAAGTGGTCGGTCGTCTAGTTTTGACCTACACCTAAGCATCGATCTTGACGTCCAGCATCGGTCCTTGCACGAAGGCTGGTGTGTTGGGAAAAGGAGACATTCCTAACCCCTAGACAAGCTATATAAAGGAGGATCTCCCCCGATACTAGAGACGGGGAAGTCAAGGAAGCAAAAACCCCTTCTACTGACATGGTGGCGCGCCCTTGAAACCGTCTGAGGCGATAAAGCCTCCTACGCCATGGCTGACTGTGTTTTTGACCTTGTACATTAACATCTGGACATTCGGTAGATGTCATGTAATTATTCCTTTGATCCAGAACCTGACAACGCATTGCTGTGTGATAATCGAAGATGAACCTCCACGAAGGAACTGCAACAACATTCGCCCCCATAAAAGGAGGTCCAAAGTGTTCTCGCCGGCCGCGGATCCAAATTGATCCATAGTGCGTATGATTGAGCCACAGTTGGTTGCTACCTGGAAGACATTCGGTACGTGGGGACTCTGCGGATACAAACGAGCCGAGTGTTCAGTCCAGCCAAAGGTTGCCGAGGTTGTGTATACAGTATATACAGCGGACGAGCGCACGTGAGCTATAGCGCGCTGTCCCTGTCAATGCCATAATTCCAGGAAGAACAGCATCTGATTATACGGCAGAAACACCATTCAATCCATTTGTAACTGCGATGCATCCCGGGACTATCCGTTTCGACAACATGGTTGTCGCCATCACCAATGGTGGCAGCCAAGTAGGGAAACAATTGGCTCTCGATCTTGCTTCTCGAGGAGCGTCTGTTGTCATTCAAGATGACAACAAATATGCCGCCGATGCACTGGTGGACGAGATCCGTCGTGGATCCGGGTCTGCGACTGCATGTTTGTGCCCTGCGAGGGACGGGCAGAGGGTTGTGGAGGAAGCGATCAGCGCATTCGGAGCTATTCATGTCCTACTCAACAACATGAGAGTCGATCCATGTGCGAACAAGAAGTTTGCAGAGATCTCGGACAAGGAATGGGATATCTTCACGGAGGTAAGCAAAAGTTGGTTGTCAGACAATCTTCGAGACTCCACTGACAGTACCCAGGAACACATCTACGGCACCTACAAGGTCAGTCTGCGGTCTGAGACGATGCTATAAGTTGTCCAAGTCATATTGATTGCATACAGTCCTCAAGGGCAGCATGGCCCTACTTCAAGAAGCAAAATTTGGGACGAATCATCAACCTAGTACCAACCTCGGCGCTGTATGGCCATCCAGGCCATGCTGTCTCTCCTGTGGTTGAGTTTGGCATGATTGGGTTCACCGAAACTCTGGCGAAGGAAGGCCGCAAAAACAACATTCTTTGTAATTTGATCATGGCACCGTCAACATTTGCTCCGGAGGTTTTGATGGGGACGGTGGCGCTCGCAGGCCTCCTGTCACATCCGAGCTCGCAGACGAGCAATGCACTTTTTGAGGCGAACAGAGATTCTATTTCTCGGTTGAATTGGGAACGTTCAAAGCCACACGGTCTGAAAACTGACAGCAACCTGTCTGTTAGTGCTGTCCTTCAAGCCTGGCCAAATGTAGGGGACTTCAACGATTCGGACAGCCATCCAGATGGTCCATGGGACGCGATGGAGTTGCTTGAAAAGTCAAAGCAGTTGCCAGCCAATACACAGGACCAGAATACGGACTTCGAGGCCAAAGTAGCAGTCGTGACTGGAGCAGGAAACGGGTCAGTGAAATCCATGATCCTCCCGATGAATCTTCAGGGTCTCTAACGCTGTTGCACAGTCTAGGTCAACAGTACGCCTTGCTATTAGCCAAGATGGGTGCCAAGGTGGTGGTTAACGATCTTGCTGATCCCCAGAAGACCGTGAACATGATCAAGGCTGCAGGTGGGCAAGCCATCGCTGACCGACACTCTGTGGAGGAGGGTGACAAGATCATCCAGACAGCACTGGACGCTTATGGCGGCATCCATATCCTCATCAACAACGCGGGTATCCTTCGAGACAAGTCCTTCCAAGCCATGGCTGATGACATGTGGCGAATTATCCAGGCCGTCCACCTTCGCGGCACTTACAAGACTGCTCGTGCAGCATGGCCACATTTTGTCCGGCAAAAATATGGGCGGATTGTCAACACCACCAGCGTGAGCGGCATTTACGGCAACTTTGGCCAAAGCAACTACGCCACCGCGAAATGTGGAACCATCGGCTTGTCCTGCGTGTTGGCCAGAGAAGGACTTGAGCATAACATTCGCGTTAACACTATCGGCCCGAGCGCTGGGACGCAACTAACACGAACGGTCATGCCAGAGGAGATGGTCCAGGCACTGAAGCCCGACTATGTTGCGCCATTCACTCTCGCGCTTCTCTCGGACCAGCTTCCTGGGGCAAGCACCAATGGCCTCTACGAAATCGGTTCTGGCTTCATTGCCGTAGACAGGCTACGAAGGGCCGCCCTTGAGACCATCCCTGGTCGGCCGACCATCAGTGCCGAGTCACTGAAGACATCGGTCGAATGGAACAAGCTTAACTCAATAGACATAACAGCAAGTCAGACCCCGGGTAACGGTGCTTTGTTACCAGCGCCTTTGAAGGCTCAAGAAGATGAGACGATCAAGTACTCATACAACACGAAAGATGTCATTCTCTACAATCTCGGTGTTGGAGCTCAGGCAACAGATAGCCGGTGGGTCTTCGAAGAATCTAGATCGTTTGAAGCTTTGCCGACCTTTGGTATGAAATTTCGATGTCTCGGGCCAATGGCTGCTAATGTCTATCGTGCAGGTGTCATTCCATACTATGACCCTTCAGTCGCGACCATGTTGGCGGATATGCTTCCGAACTTTTCGATGGTGAGTCAACTTGAGCACTCCTATGGGTATCGCTGACCACAAGGAAAGAAACGTGTCCTGCATGGCGAACAATACCTCGAGATACGCAAATTTCCGATCCCCGTGAGCGGAAACTTGGTCACGTATCCTGCCGTCAGCGAGATAGTTGACAAGGGAAAGGCGGCAGTTGTCGTGACCACCTTCCGTACAGTAGACTCTTCGACCGGAGAGGATGTCTTCTACAACGAACAGACAATTTTTGTGCGCGGTAGTGGTGGGTTTGGTGGTTCGAGTACAAGTCGAGACCGTGGGCGGGCGACAGCACCCAACAAGGTTCCGTCACGAGCTCCTGATGCCGTCAAGACCGAAAAGACGTCGGCGAGAGCGGCAGCACTCTACAGGCTCTCGGCGGATCTCAATCCATTACACATCGACCCGGAGACAGCGCAAGGGGGAGGCTTTGACAAACCCATTCTGCACGGCTTGTGCTCTTTCGGTATCTCAGCAAAGCACATCTACACAACTTACGGCCCCTTCCGCAACATCAAGGCACGTTTCTCCGGCGTGACGATACCCGGGCAGACCTTGAAGACGTCCATGTGGAAAGAAGGTCGTACTATCATCTTCACAACTTCGATAGTCGAAACTGGACAAGTCGTACTGTCTGTGGCGGCGGTAGAGCTTCTGGGTGCAACAGCTCGTATGTAAGGTGCGATGTGTTCCAAAGGGCAATATCGGAGCATGGTAGCTATATACATCCAAGGTGTCCTCGTGTCGAATTCAAAAGCATTCAGAATGACCAAAGTTCCCCTGGCCATGCGAAAATCTCGTGGCAGGGCTAAAGGCCCATTGTTCGTCGTCCACTCTCAGCGTTGGTTCATCACGTCAGGAGAGAGAACAATATGTCCCCGTGAAACGATTGTACTGGGGTCCAAGGCACTGAAATCCTGACGAAAGGGTTCATCAAATGCCCGCGGCTTCATATGTACACCTAGAGCTTACTGGGTCTCCTGCCTGCAGACTCCTTCGTCGCTTCATCCCGTAATACATTCTTCAATATCTTGCCGTTCGCTGATCTCGGAATCAGATCAACGAATCGAACTCCTCCGTCTAGCCACTTATACCTGGCTAATTTAGGTTTGATGTAGTCCTTGACCGCCTTTTCGTCCAAGTCCTTCTCCGTGCAGCCCTCTCTTCGCATAACATAGGCTCTAGGAGCTTCTAGAGGCTCTCCATTTTCGACAAGATGCTGGACACCAATTACGGCGCAGTCGACAATGTCGGGATGATCAAGCAGAATTTCCTCAATCTCAGGTGGCGCTACCTGAAAGCCTCGTACCTTGATCAACTCCTTCTTCCGATCCACGATGTACCAAAGCTTTGTCGTTCCGTCGCAATAGCCGATATCGCCCGTGTGGTAGAACCTCTCGGAATCGAAGCTTTGTGCATTCGCTGACGGATTGTTATAATAACCAGGTACTATGGTTGGCCCTCGGAGGCACATCTCGCCACGGGTGTTGTAGACTTCACCGAGGTCGTTGCCATCATCGTCGACCAGCTTCATCTCGAGATTGGGTATCAAACGGCCAATGCTACCGGTGGCATCCTTTTCTGGATATTCGAAACGGGTTGCCGAGCACGATGATTCCGTCATTCCCCAAACCTGGGTGACCGGGCAATCCTCGCTTAGGAGCTGTTGCAGCTGGGCTTGTGTCTCGGGACGTAACGGTGCCGCCCCGCACATACACCAACGGACGCTCTTCATGGAGTATTTTCCGCTGTGCGGTGATTTGATGATGTTCAGAGCCATGGTGGGAACTATCCCGAGGCATGTTACTTGATACCTCTCCAGGTTGGCGAGAAACTGCTCAAGGTCGAAGCGCCGCATGATGTAGGTCTTCTCACCCTCTTTCAAAGTGCTAGTGTGCGCTCGAAACGCGATGGCAGCGTGAAACATGGGTAGGGGGAAGAGATGGATGTCGTCAAAACTCGTGTTTGCAACATGACGTCCCCAGATCAAGTCATGCTGCGCTACGACATTGTAGTGCGATACATCGACCGCTTTCGGCAGGCCGGTGGTTCCCGAGCTGAACAGTCGCATGGCTATGGTGCCCCTGGACCTTTCCAAATCATTGAATCGGATCCAGTCTTTCTCTCCATGCTCAAGCAAGGCCCTCCACGATTTCCAGCCACGAGGAGCCTGCTGGTTCGGTAAAGGATCGAAAATCCATATTCGGGAGTCGGCGATGTTGAGATTGCGTGCTGCCTTGTGCAGAGGATCCAATAATTCAGGCTCGGAAATGAGCCATGTAGCCGCTGCCGTTTTCAGGGCGTGTTTCAGTTCGTGTTCCGTGTAAGCAGGGTTTGTTCCGGCGAAAACGCCTCCTGTTGCGATGATTCCCAGGACTATGAGAGGATAGTAGATGTCGTTGAATGCATGGAGGCACACGCAATCGCCTGCTTGTAGACCAGCGGCATCGAAGCCTGCTGCCAATTGCCGCACGATCGTGCGAGCCTTTCGACTGGAGATGGATCTTTCCACGTTTGCCGCATCAATGTAAACCTTTGTTCGACTTCTTTAGCCTCAGAAGATCTAGGCCCGGGAAAACACGTACTGGCTTGTCTGGATCATATTTTACATCGTCGAAGATCCACGAAAGAACATCCTTGGTAGAGAGTGCGTAACGCTCTCTGGGAGCAAAACCCATCCTTGGAGCTTTTGCGGCAGAGGTTCGAGCAACCGCGTCGACTCCCTCGGACTTGGGACAAATTCGCTTTGCCCACACTCTTACAGACTCAGTCAATCCCGTCAAAGTGCCTTGATGTTGTCTGTGAGGGTGAAGCTGAACACTCGGGTATGCTGGCCAAGTCCATCCCGCACGATCCTCGGCTATGCGCGGGGAGTAGTGAGGGTATCCGTTGGGTCGAACAGAATATAATTGTGGATATCTCTGCTCCCATGGCTGGTCCAGAACCGAGTTGCCGAGGTCGAGTGGAGCTACATCATGGAACTGGGTATCTCTGATCATTGAATCATGTTGCCAACACTGGTATTAAATCTCTGCCGGTTCGCTGATTATTTCATATAATTCCGGTGGGACTGACGAGATGGCAACCATGAACGGCGTGACTACTGAGCTCCATACAAGCAATATACCCAACCTCACAACCGATGTGCTCATTGTCGGGGCTGGTTTTGGAGGCATATATGGGCTTTATCAGTTCCGAAAACTGAATCTCTCGGTTAAAATTGTCGAAGCTGGTTCCTACTACGGTGGTACTTGGCATCACAATCGTTATCCTGGCGCCCGTGTCGACTCGGAGGTTCCATACTATGCGCTGTCGATTCCTGAATTATGGAACACATGGACATGGTCGGAGCGATTTCCAGGTCATGAGGAGCTACGTGGTTATTTTGCGCACGCCGACAAAGTTCTCGAGCTTAGCAAGGACACATTCTTCAACACTAGTGTCGTGGAAGCCCGCTTCGATGTCAGTACTCAGCAATGGACGGTCAAGACGCACAACGGTGGCGTAGTGAAAGCCACTTATCTCGTCCTCGCTGCTGGCAGCTCTTACAAGACATACGTGCCGGACTTTGAAAACTTTTCCACGTACAAAGGCCGTGTCTTTCATTCATCAGCATGGCCCAAAGAAGACGTCGACGTGAGCGGCAAGGCAGTCGGGGTGATTGGGAATGGGGCTACTGGAGTGCAAATTGTTCAAACGCTCGCTCGCCAGCCTTGCAAGCTCACAACTTTTATCCGTACACCAAATATTGCCTTGCCTATGCGGCAACGTAAGTTGACCTTTGACGAACAGGACATTGCCAAGTCATTCTACGAAAGCTGGTACCAGACAGCTCGAAACACGGCTTCGGGATTCCCGTTCAATACCATCAAGAATTCCATCTGGGATATCTCCCCCGAGGAAAGGGAGCGCGTTTTCGAAGAGCTCTGGGGCCGCGGAGGCTTTAACTTCAGCGTGGGTAATTATCGAGACTTCCTCACGGACAAGAAAGCGAACGCTCTCTTCTACGACTTCTGGGCTCGAAAGGTCCGTGCTCGTATCAAGGACCCTTTCAAGAGAGATGTGGTTGCTCCGCTGGAGCAAACGCAGTACTTCTGCACCAAGCGACCCTCACTTGAGCAGGACTACTATGAAGCATTGGATCAACCCAATGTAACAGTTGTCAACCTGAACAAGACGCCAATCGTCGAATTCGTGGAGGGCGGTATTAGAACTACGGACAAAGTCCATGAATTTGACATTATTATCATGGCTACCGGATTCAATGCGGTTACAGGAAGTCTAACAGAGATCGATCTCTATGATACAGATGGCAAAACTGTGAAGGAAAAGTGGCAAGACGGAGTTTACACATACTTGGGACTTACTATCCCTAAGATGCCTAACCTCTTTATGGTCTACAGTCCTCAAGCCCCCACAGCTTTTGTTAACGGACCGCCTGTCATTGAGATCCAGATGGAATGGATTGTGGATGCTGTAAAGAAGATGCGAGAAGTGAAGATCAAGTCGATCACTCCCAGTTTTGACGCAGCAGAAAAATGGCGGGACGACATTCAGAAAATGAATGAGAAGACACTCCACATCTATTCCGACAGTTGGTACATGGGTTCCAATATCCCCGGAAAGAAACGAGAACAGCTCTTGTATATGGGAGGTCTCAAGACATACAACAATGTAATTCGAGATGCCCTCGATGGCTGGAAGGGCTTTGAGGTCACCCGAGCTTGACTGCCAGCTCCCCTATTCTAGGGGGAGAGGAGTTCTGTGCAGAATGGTCACAAGAAATGCCGGAATTCAGCAGATGATCGGCTCTAGGAATCACACCAAAGCGAGAATAATAGATGCTAGACATCTGAATAGACTACAGAACACATGGAAATTGCAACCCTGTTTTTTGGTTCGCGAACTTCTGGCTCAAACTGCAAACTGGGAGAGGTTATCGTCCACAGGCAATGTGATCAGATCAGGCTTTTGCCTTTGACTGAACATCGTCAAAGTCGAAAGAAACTCGCAATGAACCTCCGCGTCGCTCATGCAACGATCACGGGAGTCGATGGCGGCAATCCTTTGCCAGAGCCAAGTGGTCCTGGACGAGGGTTTGAATTAAAGCTGTTCATTCTCGCCTTCTGCAGCTTCTCTATAGGAGCAAGTCCTGGTGCATTTCGTAGCCTCTATAACAACCCAGCTGGCCCGGCAAAACTGTTGCAGTAGTGGCAGTCAAGCTTCAACTGAGAGGCTGGCTTTGCTTCTGCGCAGTGATTCTGTTCTTGATGCGTGACTGTTTAACCCTTTTGTAGATGCTGTCTCTTGCGCACGGCGCCCGAATCTATCTCTCGAGCAGACTGTAGAGCGAAACCTCAAAGGTTTATTTTACTGTTGCATCCTAAAATGCCTTGACTCCGAAGATATAGACGCCAGACCTGGTCGTATGAGTCTCTGTGTAGTGAAAGAGGAAAAGTAGCCGCGGCACCTCAGCGAAGAATGGGTTGGAGATGGGCAAATGTTCATGAATTATTTGAAATCGTATGGTGATGGAATTCTCCCCAAGCCCTACTCATACAATTTCGACCGCAATAGTTTCATCCGCAAAACTCGAACGTACCATCTGCGCTGCACGGGCTAGCAGCTGATATTCGAGGGTCTCAGGGGAGCGCTCGAGCCATTTGGGTAACCATGATATCAAGTGCTGCTCTTCCCAGGAATGTACCCTGACGTCTACCGTTTTCGTAATGCTTTCGATGATTCTTGCGACGTAGTCGCCACACTCGAAGCGTGACTGCATTTTTCTCAGAACCTCCAACATTTGGGCCAAGACCGGCATTGCTTCAGGTTGGTGCTCCCTGGGTCTGCAACCGAGGCAGACAAGAAGGATGGCAACAGGCAGAGTGATCCAAGAAGGACTACAGAGTGTCCGTAAGTAGGCATTTCCCAGAGATTGGAAAAGCAGACTTACAACCAGGCGGGCAGGTCCTCGACTCTGGCAACCTCCCACAAGCTCTGGACAGCTTCACCGATGGCGAAAGAAGTTTCTTTGACTCTTTCTACAGATGCTTTGTACAAGAGGAAGGCTGGAGACCTCTGTTGAATGAGATATTTCATGTATGGCTCATAGAGTGACATCAACGTTGATCTGAAAAATCAGTGTTTGTTCTTCTGGTTCTGCCCGCGTCATCACTTACAAATGAATAATTCGCAATATCTGGAGCGTCAAAAGCTGTGACCTCGTCAGCGCCCTTTTTTCAAATAAACCTCGGTGTAAACTCTTCCAATTCCCGAGATCCTTGTCGACGCGGACCACGTAATTCAGATCATCTTTACACATGGATGGCCAGGTGTTTTCTGCTCTCCAGTCTGAAGGCTTTCCCGAACGATTTCGAAGAATCAGAATGCGGTTCATCAAGTCTGATAACTTGCAGAGAGCGATAAAAGCTTCAATCTCGAAGATCTTCCTTTCCATGCGGCCAGCTCTGGCAAGGAAAGCTATAGACCCAAAGTCTTCGGATTGAATCATGCGCCCCGCCTCGAAAGATTTGACCTTATCTGGGCGACGAAGACCGAGGGCGAGAGCCCGAGTCCGTGCGACACAGCACCACCAGATGACACGGCTGTATTGCTTGAGGCCCTCGGAAAGATTTGCTATTGTGGCATGATGGAAAGCCTGGTCAACCCAGTAGGTACTGACTTCTTTGGAATCATCAAAGGGACTCCAATGACTCAGGAGCAATGCAATCTGAACCAGACTTATATCGCCAGGGCGACTTTGAGAACTTTTGTCAAACCTGTATTTGATGGTGCGGAAGCAGGCTCTCTGCGCTTCAGGTATCGATGTGAAAGAACTCAGTCCAAGCTCCTCGTCACTCACATGAGCAAAAGCCACAAAAATCATTGCACCAAGGAGTTCTCTCGCTCCATGGCCGTCAAGTTGGTCGGAGCCATACCAACTGGAGAATTCGATCTCATCTACAACTGGACATAGTGGGTGGAAGTTCTGGAAGTAGATTTCCACTAGGCGATTTTGCAAGTCTGAACTGAGATCTGGAAAATCTGGCTGATTTTATAAGTGGGTTTTACTTGAGAATTCATCCCAAAGAACACAAACTTACACCAGTTGTAAGTTCCTGTTGGCTGGCATGGGCCTTTTCAGGGGCTGCAAGCAGCTTCCAAGAGTGTGGCAAGACCCCTAACCCGACTATCATGGTCAGTGACCGGTCCCAAGGAGTTTGCCTGGTGAACTCACTTGATCCAAGAAGCATGTTCTCTAACTCGAGCATATGGTGCGAGGTTGCGTCCTGGTTCGTATCGTCATGCTGTTGGACAACGGAAAATTGCCCATCAAGGTCAACCTCGAGGTCTCCCTGGAACTCTGAAGCGCTGGTGCCATCGAGGAATGACAGAGCACTGTGCTCAATGATTTTAGAAGTTGAATGGACCTCAGATGTGTCCTCGGTGTCCAGAAAGTCCCAGATATCTTCTTCGACTGTAGACCTGGTCGATTCGGCCATACTCTACTTGCCTCTCGTCTGGTTTGGAGTTCTCCACGATCTCTCGATTGGTCTAGAGAAATGGCATTTTTTCACACGATTCCGAAGCTGTATTCGATAATTCGAACTTAAGGAACTTTCCAACTGAATGAAGCTCTTGGGAGCCGTAACACCCCGACAGGATTATCTTTCAAATTGGAGGATTCAATTTCAAGCCAACAACAGTGGCAGAGAATGCCATGGACTTCTTTGAATGCCGAAGGTTGGACCCATGTTGGTAAGGCTCTGTGGGACCCACCCCCAGAATCGGCTCCGCTGCTTAAGATGGACCTTTTCTACCGAGGTTATCAAATTCAGTGAGGCGTCCTTCACTTGGTTCCCGAAGGAGCACTAAACCATACACACCAATGCAGCTTGATGCTATCCGAAACGTTTCCCTTGAAATTACCGTGGGTAGCCTGTTTATCCAAGAATTCTGAGGTCGATTGCTGGAGAGATCGAAGTCGCTTCCCAGCAGACTTGTTGGCGCAGTTCAGCATAGCGAAGTGAAGGCGTTCGTACACCCGCAGGACTGATCGGATGGCGGGACCAGTCCGGCTGCCCATCAACCTCGATGCGCTGCAAGGATATCTGGAGACCTCCGTGCCAGAAATCAAGACTCCCTTAAGCATCAAACAAGTGAGTTGCTCTTTGCGCCTCCAGCCGTCACTGACATTAACGATACGCTGTGGAAGTTTGGGGACGGTCAATCGAATCCAACATACCAACTAACCGGCGCCGATGGAAATCGATACGTTCTGAGAAAAAAGCCTCCCGGACCACTATTATCGCAAACAGCACACAATGTCGAGCGTGAATACCGAGTCCTTCGAGCTCTAGAGAAAACCGACGTCCCCGTCCCCAAGGTGTATTGCCTCTGCACTGATCCCTCGATCATCGGTACGATTTTCTACGTCATGGAGTTTTTGGATGGCAGAATCTTCATCCAGCAGTCTCTGCCAGGTGTCAGTCCATCGGAAAGGACAAGCATGTATGATCTGCACGAAGTGGTTCTTTCGGGCACAACGACTAATTTCATCAGGTGGCGGTCAGCCGTGGAAACGCTTGCCAGGATTCATCGTGTCGATTACAAAGGGTTAGGCCTGGGAAGCCTCGAAAAGCCCGACAAATTTTATGTCCGCCAGATCCGAACCTTCAAATCACTTTCGATACAACAAGCACAGGCAACAGACAAGGAAACTGGTGCTCCCGTCGCCAAAGTTCCTCACTTTAACGAAATGACCGAGGCATTTGAGGTTGCTCAATATCAACCAGAAGATCGCAAAACCCTCATTCACGGTGACTATATGATGCATAATCTGTTATTCCACAAAACGGAACCATATGTCATTGGTGTCCTGGACTGGGAAATGACTACAGTTGGCCATCCACTAGCGGACTTGGTGAATGTGACGGCCCCGTTTGTGTCCGCTACTGCTTCGACTCATGTCGGCGCGAACAAGGACTCGGCGGCCTTCAAGCCGGGAGCAACACAAGGACTCCCAACCAGAGAGCAATGCGTTGAATGGTATGCTCAGGTGGCAAGATGGGATCCTTCAGAGGATCTCGCATGGGGAGATGCGTTCTCAGCCTTCCGGACTGCGGTCGTGATGCAAGGAATAGCGGCCAGATATGCATTAAGACAGAATAGCAGTGTGAGGGCATCGGAGTTTGACCTTCAGGTAGCACCCAATTCACACTGGGCGTGGGAGTTGGTGCAGCGCTTCAAAAAGCAGCGAGGGAAGCGCACACTATCACCCCGAAAGCGTGGCACACCGAGTTCAGGTAGATTGTAGTGCTCGAGGAGTCATGAATGCTCAGCTAACTAACTCAGCCATGTATCATGGGATGCTCGGTCATGGGGAGGTCAATCTAGGAACTCTAGCTGGGGAAGAAGACCCACCTTGCATTCTTTCTCGAACGCTTTGTCATGCTTTCACATCTGCATTTTCACAATTGCAAGAGCACTAGGGGTCAGTAGCCTTTTTTTGCTTGGCCCTGAAAGAGGATGAAAATGCTTTGTCTCATTACAGGCTGCCTGGACTTGGACGAAAACTTCATTGGTTTGGCTGACCACAAAGATCGATTAGTTCAAGTTCAAACGTAGCCGTAACAAGAAGTAGCTTTGTGGCATAGGTGCTCAACCCGAGGGTATTGTGATCTCCTCGGGTAGAGTCTCCCCTACCGCTTATTGAATTCATGTGGGACGATTGCGCAGTTCCTCACCGAGGGTTGCCACCCATGTTATTGGGCCCCCGTAAGGTCCGTGATTCATGGTCTAGGAACAGCTCCCCAATGTGCCTCATCGATAAAGGGTCGTTGAGTTTTCCAGAAAGAATTCTGAAGGGCGTTGGACCGAGGCCCATGCAGCTCCATTCTCCTTAGATTCGGACGATAGCTAAAGCCATAATACTCGGCGTCTAACATCCTGATCTTCACGTCTTTTTCTCGAGCTCACCGCCAGTAGAAAGCTGTTCATAACAGGACCCGTTCTTTACCGCGGATATATTATAGCTTGTTCATCGTCACCTGCCTCATAACCTGCCATTTGCCCGTCAAGAGAAGTGACGGAGAGATAGTCGATGTCTACCTCTGCATCTCAGAACATCCCACCCATTGCTCTACCATTTGTGTCGGAACGTGCGAAAAAGCTTTTGGATGTGGTATAGACCTCCGTTTTATTTGGATTCCCAGGTTCTGTTATCTCTTAGCGACTATATTTGCATCTTTGAGGCAGTGATCAAAACAGCATTGCCCATCCCCCCATCTCCGTCTTTTTGCTTACCCCATCCATTTATTCATCCATCCACTGCTCAATCTAGAATGAACCGACTGGGACTCATTGCCTAACTCGTTGTAACAGGTCGAAAGGTTTGTCCACGAAGAATGCATACCAGCGGATCCGGTTTTCTTCTCCCAAGTCGGGACCGGCGACGCCCGCTGGCATGGTCACCCATCCATCATAGATGAGTTGAAGAAAAAGGCTCGCACTCTGGGCATGTGGAACATGTTTCTACCCAAAAATCATTACAAGAACGGCCCGCAATTCACCAATCTCGAATACGCCTTGATGGCCGAGTATCTAGGCAAGAGTACCATAGCAAGTGAGGTATGTAATTTTCATGGATTGAATCCGCGCCCCTTATAGCAAGAGTGAGAGGAATTTAAAGTCCCCTAGGCATGTAATTGCTCCCCACCCGATACTGGCAACATGGAAGTCTTCGCGCGCTACGGCTCGCCCGCTCAAAAGGATCAATGGCTCAAGCCACTGATGGAGGGCGAAATTCGGTCCGCCTTCCTAATGACCGAGCCTAACATCGCTTCATCCGACGGCAGTAATATCCAACTACGTATAGAACGCCGTGGCGACTACTACCTTTTAAATGGATCAAAGACGTGGGCCTCCGGCACCGGCGATGAGCGCTGTAAGGTTTATCTCGTCATGGGCAAGACCAATCCGGATCACCCGGATCAGTATCGGCGACAATCTATTATACTTGTTCCGTCAGACACGCCTGGTATGAAAATACACCGGATGCTCAGCGTATATGGATATGACGACGCCCCTCACGGCCACGGCCAGATTACCTTCACTAACGTCAAGGTGCCGCTTGACGCACTGATTTTGGGCGAAGGCCGCGGCTTCGAAATTATGCAAGGCCGCCTAGGTCCGGGTCGAATACATCATGCTATGCGCGCTATAGGCGCCGCCGAGTACGCACTGGAGTGGCTGATTAACCGTCTCAATGACGAGCGCAAGAAACCATTTGGCAAACGACTCTCCGAGCATGGCGTGTTGTTAGAATGGGTCGCCAAGTCGCGTATCGAGATCGATGCTTCACGGCTTATCGTACTCAACGCCGCAATCAAGATTGACCAGATGGACGCTAAATTCGCGCTCAAGGAGATTGCGGCAGCAAAGATTAAGGTGCCTCAGGTCGCGCTAGAGGTGGTGGACCGAGCGATTCAAGTACATGGTGCGCTGGGTGTAGGCCAGGACACCCCACTGGCGAGCATGTGGGCGCACCTGAGGACCTTGAGGATTGCAGATGGGCCGGACGAAGGTTCGTATTGCTCCCTCGTTGAACTTGAACATTCTTCTCGATGTCCCGAGAATGAGGCTAATTCTTGTCTGTGCGCCTAGCTCATCTGCAACAACTTGGCCGTCGGGAGAACAAACAGCGCAAGGACGAGGTCAAGAGACGCCTAGCCCAGCAGCAAGCAAAGACAGAGTTCCTCTTCCACTCCATGGGCGTGGACCGCAAGGAGTTGGGCGCCGCCAAATTCAACGCGAAGCTGTAGATTTGTCTTAGCCGGTAGCCGTCCATGAGCTCGGTACGAGCCTGCGAGGGAGGATGCGTCTGGTTTTGAAACTATTTGGGTAAAATAAGCAGCGGGAATGCGGGGGTGGTCAGGGTGGGATGCGCTCTGGATCGAAGGAAAACTAAAGCTTTAGGCAGCATCAGAAGATATCGGTACTCGACCGACTCCGCATCGGTATCTCCGGCCAACAAATACACTGTGGCTCCATAGACTGAATGTTTTTCGGGCTCCTAAAGAAGTAGACGTGGCGAGAGGCGGCTCGGGAGCAGGAGGTTTTATCGCAGCTGTAACAACGAGCTCGCATGGTCCAGAGGTGCTCATTGTCGAAAAGATAGACTACTACGGAGGCACAAGCCTACTCTGAGGAGGTAGTCTGGATTGCCTACAACAAGCGTCAGGAGTCAAAGGGAATGTCCGACTTTGAAGGAAGCGTCCCGGAAAGCTCGGCGTGAATTTACAATATCTTCTGTCACGTCATATTAGGGCCGCTCCCTAATGTTCGCGGCTCAATAGGGGTTGGGGGTACAGGAAGCCTTTGCTGAGTAACTCTGAAAGAATAGGTACGAGCGGTAAACATAAATTGACTACGAAGAGAGTGTAAACTATCTGGGGTGTGGTGAACGTGTACCAAGTATATATAATGCACGTGCTCTGTGTGCCTTATGCGCTCTGTCGCCCTGCTCAACAGGGCCGACAGGGCGAATAGTCCAACAGGGCACATCACGTGTCGCCTAGCCTTGTACCCGGTACTGGGTACCCTGGCCCTTGCTGCTTGCTGGCTTCTCTTCACAAGGCAGTCCCTGGCAAGTGTGCATTCCAACCTCCTCACGAGGCTGTTTCCAACACGTCTATTCGCGGAGAGATGCTCTTCATCTACTCGACCTGAATCTTACGGATTACCCTATTAAAGTAGCGAGTTGTTATGAATCGCGTCCGTCGTACAGGTCACGAGACAAGGTGCGGGTCTTGAACAGAGGGAGGTACCCGGTATACAAGTAGAGTGTCCTGCCTGCCCAGGTAAAGCGGGGCGGACGGGTCCTGCTCGGAAGTGCATACAGTATTCAGCGATGCTGCTTTTAAGAAGTGCCGCATTTTCATTGGGTGGGCTTGGGATCGCCAAGGATGCCATGACCGTCGGTTTAGGTGGCCAATTACAGCCGACTACACTACAAGGGTTCCCACCGCGGCGCAGGGTCGGCGTCGCACCATACATGATACCCGGTACGGCGCGAAGGAGTCCAACCCCAGGAGGGGTGAGTACAGAGCGGCATCACCCTTGTCCCGATCCGGGGTGAGCCCGCGATCAGTTTTAACTCACCTTGGCGGCCCCAACCAAGTGCTTCGTACGGATGAGACCAAAATCTGCCTAGTGCCTCACCGACTCAGCCTCATTTCCTCATGCCCAAATTCTTGCTGCCTTGACTGACGACAAACCATAGCGCCATCTAAAGGAATCTGTTGGTCTTGGTAGTTGCGATCCACGAGCGGAATGGTATGACTTCAATGAACCTCTTGCCGGACAATCGTAGTCTGTCGCATGAGCCTCTAATCTTTGGAAATGCCGTGGGCTGACAAGAATCCTACGCCCACGCAAGTTTCCACGACAGGGCCGGCATGTTTCTGCTGATCTTTCGACGTATCGATACCGCCCTCTTCAAGGCCCATCCTGGATCCGAGTGCTTCGGGTTGAGCCATCACCGATCTTCGAAGACCCACTTCAAGTCAGTATTCATCATTTCGACCGTGATGCTATCCCCTACACCTTTGGGCCACAAAAGCAGTGCTATGATGCACTATCATACGCCTGGGGCACCGAAGGGGCTACTATCAAAGTAACGTGCGATGGCAACTCAAATCTGGACATCACCCCCAACGTGAACCAAATGCTCCGACGCCTTAGAGCCAGGGATAAGTGCAGACATTTCTGGGTAGACGCCATATCTCTGAATCAAAAGGATAAAGTGGAGAAAGCAACGCAGGTTCCGCTGATGGGTGAGATCTATCGACAGGCAGCAAAGGTGCGAGTGTGGCTAGGTGGAAACGAAAACGGTGGAGACGAAATGGCCATCAAGAAAATCTTTGCGTTATTCCGAGTCCTTGTCGTGAAAGAGGTGAATCCCGGTCGGGACGAGCTGGTAAGACTGTTCGGAGCAAATTCGACGTCGTGGTCAGTCATCGACGGATTTCTGCGTCGAGCATGGTTCCACCGGTATGCCTGGCTCTGAGCCTTAAATGCTAAGATACTGACCTGATCAGCCGTTGGGTGCTTCAGGAAGTTGCGCTTGGCAGAGACACTGTTGTGTATTGCCATACCGAGAAAATCTCTTGGTCGTTGTTCGCCAGGGCCTTGGATGCTTGCCGCACCTCACACTATCATCGTCATCTGCACTTCGAGCCGACGGCTTTGGCTGCACTTAGCCATCTCTCAGCTTTGCAAGAGAAGGATAAGAAGATACTCACGCTTCTTTGGAAGTTCGATCATGCCCAATGCACAGACCCCCGAGACAGGCTTTTTGCTCTCTATGGCATCGCTAATCACATTAGGTTCAATGATCTGCCTAGTGTTTCTGACGTCGTTGGCCAGAGTATCCGGTGCTATGCCGATTATGATGTACCCACGAACCAAGTCTATATGGATTTTGCGAAAAGCTGCATCCAAGGCGGGCATATTCTCTCTATCTTGGTACACGCCGTGTCTTTTGGCAGTCTGTACGAGACGGACTCGTCCATGCCAACTTGGGTACCGGACTGGTCCCGCCCGAGACGCCAGACGGTGCTGCCACGCACGGAATACGGTATAAATGTCGCAACGATAAATCTCTGCAAGGCTGCCTGTTCGACATTACAAGACTCCAAACGTCTCGGAGCGAGTATCGTTGGCCGTGTCTCGCAAGTCGTACGAGCAACAACCCTAGCTTCCTCAGAACAAACACCAACGTGGGCTGCGATTGCATTGCACCTCATGCAGGCCCTTGGAGGGTCCGAAAGCCCGAGCAGTGACTGGAAGGAACAGCTTCGAGAGATGATAATCGTACTTCTGGATCGCATTGACGCAGCACCTGGCGTGAAGAAGGGTGCCATTTCTCCAGGCATTCGGCGAATAGAGATCGTCGGTTTTCTGACAGCGCTCTTGGAGGAGTATCTGCTGATTGAAGTGATGAAAGAAGACGATCGCCAAGAGCTGCATGGCCACGACGACTTTACACATTATTCCGCATGGAGGCAATGGATGAGCAAGGATGTACTGAACCTTCTAGCGAAGGCTTTGGAGAGAACATGCATCTTTCATGCCACAAATACAGACGATGAGGACCCTGTTGTTGGTGTTCGTGAGATCAGGGGCCTGGCTCCAACTGAGATCAGGGCTGGGGATTGTATCATGCAAGCAAGTCTGTTAAGCGGCGTGCAATGGTCAGAGAAGAATGGAGGGAAACTCGATGGGCGAACACTCGATGAGGGAACAACTTAAAGACCAACGTCGATAGAACAATATATTAGTGAACAGCCAAGGCCAATATAAACAGTCCAACTAAAAAGCGATCACCGCTACGGCACGATCTAGGAGGAATTGAATTGCATGCTATGCATGTTTCGAGAGGAAGGGAAAGTGAACGGCGACTTGACCAAAAGTCGGAATTCTAAAGTAACCCTCGAAAAAATTCCCTCCCTAGGTTTTCTGAGCCAGATCTGTATGCCTCTATTCCTGAAAAAGGAATTATTTTACGGCAGCTAATTCAGCAAGATGGTTTCTAGTCACGCTCATCCTGGCCTGTGAGATGTCCAGAGGCATGGGGCGGAGCCACATACATGAAACTGTGGCAGTTCCTAATTTCCCCCATTCCTTCAAGCTCCTTGCTGCGATCAATCCTACAACAACAGCACTGCAAACTCTGACATTCAGCCCCTCTTTTCAAGGCCATATTGTACTTCCAATCCCCTGGTACCCAAACACAACCCGCAGCCTAACCCTAAACCATGCAGTCCCTCGATCAGAAGTATGCCTTGCGGAAGACCTCCATCAGCATAATTTGCGGCCCATTCTCTCTGTCCTCTCCGGGAAGCTGACGTCTTCGATCAGCTGCATTTCATGAGAACCTCTTCGCTCGGCATGAAAGTGTCGGTTGTTTGGATGTCGCTGTCTCTGACAAGCTGCAGTAGCTCTAATCTGTCATATCGTCCATGCTCCTCTCCCTTCAGCCAGCCGGGTATCGCGCCTTCCATAGCATCTCTGCTGCCTCTCTCTTCGGAGTCGGCTATGTGAAGTCCTCTCTAGGCTCTTGCTTGATTGTAATAGATGCCTCGTCGTATTCTGACTGATGTTTGGCCTGAGGTCGAGGACGAACTGCAGGCTCAGGTTTGACACCAACGGCTTGCTTGAAAACTAGTTCAGCACTGTTGACAATCTCCAGGACTCTGTGAGGAATGGTTGGCCGATCTAGGGGCTTGACTTCTTGCCTGACCAGCACACTAGAATACTCTCTCTGGATATCCAGGAAAATAGCATCAAGCCCGCTGAGTAAGGCTTCTCTCAGCCCCTTGATCATATTCTTGATAAGCCCATGGACGTGGTCGACAGCCTTCTCAAACATTGACGTCTTTTCATCCTCGACATACCGCTCCATGTGATCCCGCATCCGTCGGTAGGATCCGGGGCCATATTCGTTGGCGCATGTGACATAGACGTCATGCATATGTTCAGTAATTAGAGGTTCAAACTCGCGGTTGAATGTACGCTGCTGCTCGATTATCCAAGATCTCGCGTCGCTGATTATGTCCTTCAGCCGTTCCTGGTACAGAGGTATTTGTTGCTTTAGCATCTCCAAAGAAGCCACCGAAGCACCGCTGCGGACTGCGCGGCGCGCAATATCATTATGGAAAGTGGTGATGGTATGAATCACATTCGTTGAGAGTCCATTAAGGATGATCGGCGTCCTGCGAGTAAAGACGGATTCCCAAGGCCCCGCGAGGTGACGGATTAGTGGTTCAAGTAACTGCGCGTTGAAATTATGACAGCCCTGAGCGTTTGTGAAGCATCCATCGCGGCGAACCACTGCTTTGTACGTTGCCCAATAGAGACCTCCTACAGCTCGGTCTGACCGATTGACAGGCGACCCCCATTTCTGAACAATATCATCTGCCTGAGCTCGCGCAGCCGCCGTAGCATGGGGATACGCAGCATAGACTTTGTCATCAAGCTCATCAGCAAGTCTATCGACAATTTCGTCGCCTGCCTTTTCGAGCACCTAATACCGGTCAGTAAAACATATTTCCGAACCAGCGCTGGCAAGAACGTAGATGTTTGGGGGTGCGGGGAACTCACCGAATCGAGGTTACTGAGCATTTCTTTCAGCATTTGAGCTTCTTGGCCCATCTGCTCCTCTGTGAGATTCTTGGGTATGCTATCATTCAAGGCCCATAGACGGAGGGAATTTAGCAGCTGAAACATGCTCGTGAGGAACTTGCGGGCGCATGCTTGACGGGCAGTGGCGGTCAAATGAACGCAGTGAGCTTGCAGGGCTGGCACTTCTGTCTCATCGATGTGTTGGAAGCCTGGAGGAGTACGGTCTCTGCGGAGTCTCCCCTTCAACTTCTGATATGCGCGAGAAGATACACAGAAGACGGGTAGGTTTCGAGCTACTTCATCGTAGTCGCGCGCATCCACTTCGGGGTCGAAGTTTGCCGCGTCTTCTTCTTCAGCGAGCTCCTGATCCAGTTCGCGGATGCCAGCTGCGTAGTCCTGGCGAATGGCACCTCGTGAATACTCGTTGCGACCTGCAATGCACTTGCTTGAAAGCTTCGCGTTGATGTCCTCGCACTCCCTGTCCACTACTTGCATCCGAGCCCGCAATTTCTGGATGTGTTCATCAATCCTGGACCTCTCCCGGCGCCATTCCTTCCTGGCACCTCGGAGCTCGGTGATCTTGTCCGAGATCTCATCTTCAGCAAGCGGCTCATCTTGATCGTGACTGGTGTTTGAGGAGGCGGAGTTAGATGGTGCGTTACTGGCGCACTCATCGCTGCTATTTGTAAAGTCATCGTCCGAATCCGCCTCGGCATACTTGGACTTTTTCCTCGCCGGGCTGTTCGCATCTGAAAGTTTGCGCTTGTGGCGTTTTCCGTTAGGTCTGAAGACAATTTTACCCCCAATCAACTCTTCTTGCAGCCTTTCCCAGGTGTCCATCTCATCTTCGGCGGAATCCATAGCCGCATCTACATCGGACTTAGAGTCTTGGAGCTGTTTGATCTGCATCTTCATTGCATCCTTCTTCTTTTCTAGGTCTCCCAGTTCCGCCCACATGGGCGCGAGTTCTTCCTCGAGGCCTAGAGAATCCTGAGCCTCAGTGATCGAGATGTCGTCTGTCTTGCTGCAGATGAAAGTCACCGAACTCAAGCCGCCGTCCATCTTCAATTGGCGTTTGAAAGAGTCGCCAAGCAGAGTCTTTGCTGATTTGTCGTCAACCGCTCTTGTGATGGGTGCAACAATTAACAGTCCGGTGCATTGTTTCATGTAGTCCTGGTTTGCCGTTAGCATCGGAAACTTGTCGAAGGAGCTCTTTTTGAGGTAAAACTGCATCAACACTGACATAACTTATCAAAGGGACTTACCTTAGCGACCGCGGCGCGAGCCTGATTGCTGTCGTGGACACCCGGAAGATCGACTATCACTGCACCAGTGGCTAGAGCAGGAGCCTTCACATAGAGTTTGACAACCCGGATTAGAGGCCAATACTCCTGCTCACGCGGCTTTTTCTCCTTCTCAACCCGTTCTTTCACCCCAGTGGTCTTCTCCTTGCTGTCTACAAAGCGCTGCAGCTGCTTGTAAAAGGACATGGCATCCTCTGATTCAATATTGCGCTTGGTGCCTAGACAGGCGACGTTCGGGTGCTCCATCAGTTTATCGATAGGGACTTCGGTCATTTCTTCTTTTGTTAGCCGCGGATAGACCGCTTTGACCTGGGCATAGGCAACACCAGATTCCGAGTCTTCGTTCGTACACTCGCGGGAAACCTGACCCGATTGGTCGAGGAGATCTTGGAAGAGAACATTGAGCATCTTTCGCCAGTCCTGCTTGGAAATGAATTCGACCTCAGCTTTGTACGGGGCACCTTCTTGGTAGTTGTAACTGATTTCTGTTACAACAGCGGTGCAGGCTCTCATGCAATTGGTCGGAACTAGCCGCTCTTCATCGAGCATCGCATTGATAACAGAGCTTTTTCCTGCGCCCGTCGCACCGACAACACCAATGACAGTTCTCGAACGACGGGCTTGAGATCGGATCTTATCAATTGACTCAGCCCACCGAGTCACTTCTTGACTTGCCACTTCTCCCAGAGTACGTTGGACCTTTTCTAGCAGCTCCATCCCTTTTTCAACACTCTTCTCAAGCTGCTCAGGAGTGCGGCCGTCGAAGAGATCGGACATATTTATGCAAAAAGGTGCGATGTCTTGTGCACTGGGCTCCCCTCGGAGGCCGGGGTGCGAGTCTGGTTCGTGAGTTGGGCCATCGTGCTGGAAGGTCTTTTCTTCAGGCCGTACGGACAGCGCATGTTCTTGCTTCACCCATGGGTTGTCGGGTTCTCTATGCTTGGTCGAGAGTTCTTCTCGTCCTAGTTGTTCCCCTGCCGCGCGGGGGATATGAGCAGGCATAGCGTACGGGTTGCAGCCACCGAGCTGACCCCATCCCGGCAGAGGCAGAGTAGAGTAGGGCTGCTGCCCGTCTGTTGTCGGGGGTTCGTTTCCCTTCTTGGGCGAGAAAGCGTGGCTGTCGCTTAACTGTCGGTTGGCGCGGTTGTTGATCTCGCACAGTGCAGGACGCGCCAGGTCATCCATAGTCTTTGTCTTATTAAGGTCTTCCGCACCTACAGATTTAACGGAAGTGAGCTCACTGGCACAGTGAATGACAAGTGAGGCGACAAGTGGGGCGACAAGTGCGGCGACAAGTGCGGCGACTATGATGCTTTTCCCAGGTTCTGAGTCGTTTTTGAAAAGAGTTATCCCAAATTCAAGACAGGTGTCTGCAACCTGGATGAGTGGGAGGACTGCTTTGACTTAGACCGTTGAATCCACAAAGCGTCAGGTCGTTCATACTCAAGGCAGAAGATAGTGATGGTAGAGGATTCAGCCAACTGCCCACTCGGGCCACACCTAGGTTTCTGAGGGGAAGCAGGATAGGACTTAGGGAAGTTAGACTTGTTAGCGTGAGGGTAGAAGAACGTGTGCTCAAGTTCTTACAAACGGCGTCTAGATGAGCAACATGCCTAGGAGGTTACAAGCTGTCCCTCACTGGTTGGCGGCAATGAGGAGTCAGAGTAATGAGTGGGGGAAGATGTAAGGGATTCGATTGAACTGTGCACGCGTCAGGAAGACGCGTCTTTGGAGTTGCCCAAACAAGGTCGTCGCTTGGCGCGTTGGCTGCCCTATTGTTCGCGCCACAAGTCTTGATCCGCCGTACATCAAGAGTGCCGAGAGTGCCAAGAGTGCCAAGAGGACATCGCGATGGATCATTACTCTGGGCAGTCGATGCCAATGCCAAGTGGGCGATATTGCACCACCGAGTACGTAATTCCAGCGAACAATACTCCGTCTTCCCACAGATACAGGATGCTCTTCCCGATTCGGCCCAAAGAGATGCCCTTCGATATCGGCCCGCCTCCTCTCCGGGGTCTGCGAGCCGTCCGAGCCTTCGAGCGGTCCACGTTACGCACGGTTGATCTTCGGAAAAGTGAGATCATTTGCTCCTGTTCGTCCAGGTGATTTTTTTTTACCGCATCTTCTTGAATCCCAAGGGCCGAGTATATTTAAATGAGCTCTCTGTAGCTCGTGCGACTCCTCATGTTATTGATGATAGTCGTATAAGACACTTGGGAAGATGCAAATCAATAATTCCTCTTCTTATGGAGGCTCTACAGTCGTCCTTGAAATGCCTTCGAGGTCCCATCAAGAGAAGGAGTCCAGCAAGGACCTGCCTGTATATGAAGATATATCAGCCGGAGCCTTGCCTGCTCCTTCAACCGCTACACCTCAATTGCAAAAATGGAATTCCCCCAGAATCAACATGTGGCGTTGTCTAGGGACCTTCTATTCCTTCGTCGTCTTGGGTGCTAATGATGGTGCATACGGCGCCCTAATACCTTACCTCGAAACATTCTACGGGGTCAATTATACAGTCATCAGCCTCATATTTCTGTCGCCTATAGTGGGTTATACGATGTCTGCACTGTTGAACAACCACATTCATACCGTGTATGGACAAAGAGGTGTTGCATGGATCATGAGCATGTCCCATTTGTGCGCTTATAGTGAGTATGTTTGGTATTGAAATGTAATATATGACTGACTCGTTGATATAGCCGCCATATGTGTTCATCCGCCTTATCCTGTTTTGGTAATAGTGTTTATTCTTGCCGGTTTTGGCAACGGGTTGGGCGATAGCGGATGGTGGGTTGAAATTGTTGACCTTCTGACGTACATTCGATGCTGAATCTGCCCACAGGAATGCCTGGATTGGCGACATGGCTAACGCAAATGAGGTACTTGGCTTCCTGCACGGATTTTACGGCCTTGGGGCAGCACTTTCGCCGTTGATCGCTACAGCACTGGTTACTCAAGCAGGCTGGCGATGGTACGAATTCTATTATCTCATGGTGGGTGCAGCCCTTGTTGAGGTTGCATTCCTCGTTGGCACTTTCTGGAGAGCAGACGGCCGGGCATATAATGCTGAGCACCCTCAGACTGCTGATATGGATATTTCTGGGTCAAGCACTCCAACAATTTCTGACGTTACGCACCCCGGTTGCCAAGCCAACAAGCAACAAGGCATTTTCTCCAAACTGAATCCGTTCGGCAAAAGAGCGAAGGGCAAGAGCAAGACTCTTGAGGCAGTCAAGCAGAAGGTGACCTTGCTCGCCTCGGTGTTCCTGCTTATCTATGTGGGTGTTGAGGTCAGTGTTGGCGGGTGGATCGTGACTTTCATGTTGCGCGTCAGAAAAGGCTCGCCGTTTGCTTCAGGTCTGACATCGATGGGCTTTTGGCTTGGGATCACCGTCGGTCGATTCATACTCGGATTCGTTACGGCTCGGGTATTCAAGACAGAAAAGCATGCGATAGCCGTGTACTTGGTGTGCAGCGTGGCTCTACAGCTGATGTTCTGGCTCATCCCAAACTTCGTCGTCAGTGCGGTCATGATTGGCCTCCTGGGCTTTTTCTTGGGGCCTCTCTTCCCCGCAGCCATTGTGGCTCTCACAAAATTGCTCCCGAAGAGGCTGCATGTACCGGCTGTGGGGTTCGCCGCTGCTTTTGGAGCAAGTGGTGCATGTGTGCTGCCGTTTGCAGTTGGGGCGATTGCAAATGCAAAGGGTGTCAAGGTGCTGCAACCCATCATTCTGGCAGCCTTGGTGCTATGCCTGGCTGTGTGGCTGTTGGTTCCCAAGCTCCCTAAACAGAGGATGGCCTGATCATCGCGAGAGGATACAGTGCTGGTCAGGACATACCTATTACCCAGTACAGGCTCAACGGTATCAACAACTACCACATTGGCTGGCGGCACCAACGGTGACTTTGGACGGCATTGCGTGGCATATTTGAAGGGTTTGTCGCATTGACCTTTTCATCATTGGGATGGCTCGGGGGGGTCGTAAGATTGCCCTATTTATAGCCACTCACCCGAGGCTGCGCGCAGCTTCGTTCAAGGTTAGCCGCAAATCTCCCAGCGGCAGGGATCTCATGCAAGTCATCCGCTGGAAAAACGGGCATCTAGCGCAACAGAAATACGAGACGGCTGTTTCATGATTGAAGGTAGACGGAATACTGGGTACGCACGACACACGCTTCCTGCTCCTTCTGCACTTGTTAAGAAGGAAAAAAGGGGTGAAAAGGGAGCGAAGGTGCAGGGCCAAAAGTGAAACATGTGGAGACCAAAATGGAAGCGACAGCCGAGAGGCGCTAGTCCTAATGGAGAATTATGGAGCAAGGGATGTTCACGCTCTCGGCCAACTTTTCTCACGCACCACCTTCCACCTTCGGCCCAGAAGGGGTTTCAGCTCCTTTTTTCAACGACATCCCTTTCATGCGACATAGCCCACTCCTGACCTTGATATCCGTTGTCTTCATTATGGCCATCTTTGTGCAATCACTTAATCTCGTATCATAGACTAGACTGATTGGTTTTGTTGGATAATCCTGCCGCTAAAGGCTAAAAGGAAAGGAGCCTCACCCTTGTCGCGTCTGGAACGCGTGTTTCGCCACCCAAGACACTGTTGTTTTATTTTTGGATATTGGCTCAAACGACATCTGGCCTCATCCTCTATCACTGGAATCGAACAATCCTCAGCAACTGACAACTTCAAATCCCCCCAATGCGCTCACCTGGTGGCATGTTTACTCCAAGGCATGTGCCGGTAAAGGAGGGTCGTTCTTTCCCCGGCCTACCATATGCAGGACCAACACGACGAAGTCTCAGATCACGGCAGGGACTTGTCATTATATTATTATTGCTTTGTATTCCTCTAATATACCTGCTCACTTCCGGGGGCCCAAGTACGACCATTCAGCCGCAGATTGTATCGCCTGCCGAAAGATCAAAAGAATTGCCATCAGACCCTGAGCCCATATTTCGAGCAACTCAAAATGAGGCTCCTAGCCAAGAACAACTTTCGGGCAATGCGATCGTGCAGGAGCCCGCGCAACCCAAATCAAACCCAGAGATGCGTTTCGAGGCTCCCCCGGTTGAGCCTCTTATGCAAAAGCCAAAGGCCCCTCCACCACCCGAAACCGAAGGCGAAGAGCCAATTCTATCCAAGCAGGACGATGTGGCTGCACAGCCGAAGGGATATTCTGCCAAAGGGTCCGGTCTATCAGGGTCGCCGAAGCCACAGTCTAACCCAAGTTCATTTTCCGAGCGCCCTAAGTTTGAGAAGGCTCTCGCGCGAGTAATCAGTCTTCTTCCAGGTGAAATGGAAGGCAGAGACTTGTTACGCGCTGTTGAAGGAACCGGAAAAGAGAAACTTCGCGAAATGGGTCTCCGGGTCCGCGAATATAAAAAGTTTTTCCAGGCCTGGGAAGACCTTCATCTCACCTTTGACGAAGAAGGAGGCAGCTACGTGCGCGATGATGTTATCCAGTATCTGCGACACCATCAGCATCAGCCTTCTGACGACGACATTGGCGAATCTTCTTTGGCTCAAACGATCCATTCCTACGAGGCGTACCGATACTTCCTTGTCAAATTCGGACAACTGCTCTTCCCATGGACGGCACCGTACTTCCCTGACCACATGACTCTCCATTCACATTTCAAAAAGGGAGGTAGAGGCATCGTTCTCACAGCCGGTGATGATCAGGCACCGTATCTGCTCACGATTATCCCCACGTTCCGAAAACTCGGGTGTACCCTGCCGATTGAGATCATGTATTTGGGTGACTCGGACCTCTCCGAGGACTATCGTTCTGATTTGGAAAGCCTGGATGGCGTACTCACTCGAGACATCGCGCAAATGGTAAATGATGAGGGCTGGAAATTGGCGGGCTGGGCTGCCAAGCCATTTGCAATCCTGTATTCCAGTTTCCGCGAAGTCATCTTCATTGATGCCGACAGCCTGTTTTTTGTAAACCCGGAACTCTTGTTCGAGGATCCTGCATACCAGAAAACCGGCGCTCTTTTCTTCAGGGATCGTTTGATTATGCCAGAGTCGAAGAAGCGCTGGCTCCAACAGATTTTGCCAAAGCCCATTTCAAGACAAGTCAAGCAGAGCCGGTTCTGGACAGGGGATAGTGGTCACATGCAAGAATCGGGTGTAATAGTGGTTGACAAATGGCGTCATTTCATTGCCCTTCTTCTGGTCACGAGAATGAATGGCCCTGACCGAGACGGAAATAAAGAGGAAGGCCGGGTTGGTATATATGACATGGTCTATGGTAAGTCGGGTTTTATACTAGGCTGCTTGACTTTCCTGACAGTTCGTTACAGGCGACAAAGAGACTTTCTGGCTCGGCTGGGAGCTTGTGGGAGATCAAGAGTACGCTTTTCATCAGGGCGATGCTGGCACAATGGGTGTCGTTCAAGCGCCCAAGGAGGAAGAGAAGAAGCCCAGACTGGTGAGAAAGAAGAGACCGGTCATGGACGAAAACGGCCTGCCCAGACTGGACGAGAACGGGCAAGAGATGGTGGAAGAATATGACATACTTGAAGAAGCCGAAGAGCCAGAACCCGGGGAAAGAGCCGAGCCGTTAAATTACACCATCTGCTCTCCACAGCTTCTCCATTTGGATTTGCGGGGCAAACCACTTTGGTTTAATGGATGGCTTGTGGACAACAAGTTCGCCGACAAGAAACAGAAAAAGTTCGGCAAATTTGAACACTATCTAATTGAGCCTAGGGATATCAGGGAGCCTGGTGCTTGGCAGTTGGAGGAAAGCAACATGTGCTGTCTGACAACTGACGCAGAACTGAAGCGCGATTTTTCACCGGACGAGAAGGAAATATTGAACATGATGATTAATCAAGCCAAGGAGGTCGGTATCGCAGGGTGATTTGGAAGCACACAGGCTGTTGGATAGAAATATTTGGAAGGAGTCCTGAAGCGTGAACGAAGGCGTCATGATTTTTCGGCTGTGGTAGGAGTTTGGGTCACAAACATCGATTTGATTTAGCAGGTGTTAATCCCTCCACAATCTGGGCGTCAGATATCGGCATACTGTGTTCGACCTGCGAGACAAGAGGATAAGTTGGGGCCCAAAAACAATCAACATCGACAATTTTAAAAGCTGCGTTGTCTCTATTTCGGATCCAACATCATATCCTTGCTTGCGACGCTGAGTTGAGAATCGACTAAGCCAGGCCGGACGGACACAAAACCCCAGACAGCAGGAAAGGGAACTGAGGGTTATCGCGAAAGACTCTGCTATGTAGAACATACGACATCTTGCATCTCGCACCTCGCACCTCGCACCTCGCACGGCAGAATTTAAAATATGAGAAGAATGAGAAGAAGCAATAATTCAGCAGGCTAGAGTGCACGCTGTCTCCGGAATCTCGTATCAAGAAACCCGATTCAAAACTCATGACGTTGAGAGGTGTAGATCTTGGTCGAAATATCCCGTTGCATGTATCACACCTATAGTTGTCTGGACGTCGAGGACTGTATTACGAGTAGGAGAGCCTCGTCGATGTAATCTGGAAAAAGGTAGGGATTGCCATGTAGCCAATTAGGGGTCGCAAGGCTGAAGGGCGTAATGTTGAAACCTTTCGTCAGGATTCAGATGCCAGTCAAAAGTTGTGCGGAGAACGGGAGGGAAACCATTGCCACCCCGAGTTTGCGACATACCTAGGTCCATGTCCTTCTTGCGCATTTGAGCCGCCCAACGCAATTTCGAAGGAGCCCACAGATCGAAGAGTCAGATCATGCGCGCACCGATCCAGCGATTCGAGACAGGAGAAGGTCCATCTCTACAACGATATGGCGGCGGAAACGACGAGGCCACAGCGCCAGGGCGTCACCGTCACCCGCGAGACGAGGCTATCCCGACGCCGAAGAAGGAGAAACCCCCGAATAACCCTCTAGTCAGGGGCATTTCCGAGTTTTGCAGGGTACTGCAAGATCGCCACACTGAAAATGAGGATACCTTCTCCCCCATGTCTCCACCAGCCTCAGACATGCCAAAGCGGTACACGCTCTACCCACCGCTCCTCCTCCTTCCGGCGAATTTCACCACGCAGAATCCGCGATGGACGGCGTTCTATCAGGCGCTTGGTGAGAGCGACAACATGGAGCTGTTTAGAGTTATTGCTGAGAAGGGGTTTAAGGGGATGGCGGTTTCGCGGATCGCGATCAACGCGCCGATTGCGGCTGAGATTGAGGAGCGAAGAGGAGACGACGGCTTTGCTGGTGGTGGTGGTGGTGCCGGAGACTTCTACAGGGTCGAAGAAGACACCATCAGGCAGAATGATGCGTCGACCACCAAGGAACAAAACGTCCTCCGCTGTCCTTCGGGTCTGCTCCCGGTGTACGGCGACTGGGGCCCCATGCCCGACCATGACGACAGACAGCAAAAGCATAGAGGCAGGATCCTCCATCCCACCGTCCAGGACTTTGACGCGGCTTTCTGGACATCCACGTCTCAGCTGCAGGGAATTGCGCAGTGCTGGGCTCCGTTGTACACGATGTTCAGTCGCGGGAACATCTCCGAGAAGGCAAGGATACTCGGATTACAGTCCCACTTCCCTGGGCTTGCTGAGTCTGAATTGAACCAGCCCATCGGCGATGTCGACGTGGTCGATTTCTACATCGGCATTGGATACTTCGCATTCTGTTATCTTTCTAGAGGCGTGCGACGAGTTTACGGCTGGGATATCAATTCGTGGAGTATTGAAGGGTTGAGGAGGGGATGTGAGAGAAACGGATGGAGGTGCTTGGTAGTCAGAGTTGGTGAAGCAGGGAGTTTGCAAGGGTCGGGAAGCGTCAGGGATTTGGTAGAGGAAATTGCAAGGGGCGATCACGCAGACAACCGGGAGGCGGCGGTCAGGTGCGTTGCCTTCCTGGGAGACAACAAGTGGGCATGGAAGGTTCTGAAGGAGATGCAACACGAATGTGCCAGGATTGATAACAACGAGGGAAGGGTAGGATCGCGATTCAATGTCAGACATGCGAATCTTGGACTCCTTCCATCTTCCAGGGCCAGTTGGCAGGAGGCTCTCCAGGCGATAACAGGGTTGAGCGAAGGTGGAACTGGTGGATGGTTGCATGTCCACGAGAATGTCGATGTCCGGGAGATCGATGCAATGAAGCTGGATATTGTGAGGGATATTGATGGATTGGTAAAGCGAGAACCCGGGTGTCCTCGCACAGTCTCTTGCCCACATGTTCAGCAGGTGAAGACATATGCGCCTGGCGTAATGCACTGTGTATTTGATGTCGAGATCAAACCCAATGGCTGATGTCCCTTCCCCCCTCCGCCTCATCTCTATTTGTAGTCTTACGGATCCTTCCACGCCCGTGCCCTGCCAGGAACGCCCTGTAAAACATCACGACTGCCTCCTAAATTTCATTGGGATGTTCCTCTCCACAATACTCTGTTTTTGCTCTCTCAGTATGCGATTAGCCTCATCTTCCCTCATGTCATGTTTCCTGAAATGTTCTATATCTTCTGGATGGATCAGATCCTCCTCTTTTGTGTTTTCATCATGGTATTTCTCGAAGTGGTGAATCTCGTACTCGTATTCGTCGTCGCCGTGGTGGCCTGGCCCTAACCCAGAGTCTGGGAGCTTCTTGCCGGCGCGTATACCTTCAAGCCATTGATCGCGGGTGATGATGCCGGTGCTATGAGGATCAAATAGTTTAAAGACCTCAAGGACGGTCTTGTCTTTAACATCGGCGGGAGTGGACTTCAGAGATTCGTCATCCAGGCCATATGTTCGGCGGACCTCGTCAGGTGTCCAAGAGCCGTCGTTGTTGAAGTCATGCAGCGAGAAGAATGAGGCCGGGTCGAAGTTGGAGATATCTGTGTGTGTGTCAGTTAGATGGTTTCAATTGACCCAGGACTTGTATCACGTACGGTGTTCTTCTTGCATGTGGTACAACGCCCAGTCGTCGGCTGGATTGGCCAATTCCTCCTGCGAGTGTGAGCCATGAGCGCTGGTCAACCCAAGAAGAGCAATGAAGGCTGCTACAATGGTCCTCATTGCGGCTAAGAACTTCTTCTGTATCCCGTGGCTTGTTACATCAGTCGTGAACGTGGCTGAAGGTGAGATTCTCCCCGGGTCATGACTGCAGGGTGATTGTTGCTACGAGGAATGACATAATGTTGGCGCAGGAGATCGAGGACCTATGTACTTAGGGAGTCTCGTTGTTGCCACGATTAGCCCCCTTGTGCCCTGGCTTGGCTCGTTCCTGGCGATCGCGACCGCCAACGGGCTAACCACACCATGGCCAAGCATGGCTTAGTTTCTGAGATAGGCGCTCTTCTCTACTTCCTTGCACATTGTGCCAGATGGTGAGGGAGGGTGACTGCTGCAAGAGTGATAGATCTGAAGCATTGAGGTAGGAAGGCACCGGTCAGACAAACCTGATTCCAATTTTGTCACCATGTAGTGAATTTGTTTGCTTGCCTGCGCGCTACCCGCCATCCCCAAGTCACTGTCACTTTGCTTCACTTTACTGCCCGCGCAAGATTGTTGCAACCTCTTAAATATTCACGGTGAGATCGGTTCAAAACACGTCTTCTCTTTCCTTGGTATCACTCTCGCGCCTTCTCTCCCCATCGCCAGGATGGTGGAAGCCGATCAGCACGCCGCCGTAGAGGCAGGGGCCTCTATAAGTGATCTCGATCAGTCTCCGCCAGACGACCTCACAGACTCTAGCAACGAATCTGACTCCGAGAACACCAGTTCAGACGGTCAGACAGACCAGGAGACCAACAAGGCGACTCTCAATAAATATATCATTACTCACGCTGATGACGACGACGAGACCCACACATCCAACCTTCCCGAGAACGAACAGTCAAAGAGCATTATCGCTCAAGCCCGAGAATACCAGCAAGAACTCTTTGAGAAGGCCAAAGAAGAGAACGTGATCGCTGTTCTGGACACCGGGAGTGGAAAAACCCTCATTGCTGCGCTCTTGATCAGACATTACCTGCAACAGGAACTCATTGATCGAAGTCATGGCAAACCAGCAAAGATTGTCTTCTTCCTTGTCAACAGCGTCCCCCTCGCTCGACAACAGGCCCGCTTCCTCTCCAACAATCTGCCACAGAAGGTCATTCCCCTCTTCGCCGATGCCTCGGACGATCTGTGGAAGAAGGCAGAATGGGACAAGATTTTTGCGGAAAACAGCGTCATTGTGTGCACAGCTGCGGTGCTGGACTCGTGCCTGATGCACTCATACCTGAAAATAGGTCAGATCTCACTTCTTGTTGTCGACGAAGCCCACCACTGTAAGAAGGACCATCCATATTCGACAATCATTCGAGACCACTACATCAGGTGGAAAGGTGACAGACCTCGTATTTTCGGCATGACAGCGTCCCCTAGCGACTCAAAGCGAGATATTGACAAAGCTGCGGAGGATTTGGAAGCTTTACTGCAGAGTAAGATCGTGACCACGAATGATATGTCCGTCTTCGATTTCGCACCTCGAGCCGAGGACGTCAGATGGTACTATCCTCCACTGAATGCAGGATTCGAAACTGGTCTATATTCGCAACTCTTGCCATTATGTGGCTTCCTCGAAGATCTAGCGCCATACTTCCGTTTCGCTCGCATGGCTTCTGGACAACTTGGCGCTTGGGCAGCAGACAAAATCTGGCAGTACGCCTTCCCAGCATCTGAGAGCGAATCAGCCGTCATTCTTCGAAAATTTGAACGAAGCCCAGTTTACACTGAGATGACTGAGAACGAGAGACGACTGGCAGCTTTAGATTCTGTCCGTGAGGCCATTTCAGTCGTCCAAAATCATCCCTTCGGGCCTCTAGAGATCGACTCGGACCAGGCTGTATCTTCTAAAGTGAGAAAGCTATATGTCGAGCTCAAAGAGCGCTTTTCGATTGCCGCTACGACTCGGTCAATCGTATTTGTCGAGGAAAGATTGACGGCGCTCATTCTCTGCGACATGTTCAAGTCACTCAGTCTCCCGAATCTACGGCCGGGCGTCCTCATGGGTAGGGCCTTAGCTTCGAACCTAAAAGGTTCGTGGAAAGATCAAGAGGCAGTCATGGAGAAGTTCCGCACCGGCATCATCAACATTATATTTGCTACCAGTGTTGCTGAAGAGGGCATTGATATTCCCCAATGCAACATGGTGATCAGATTCGATCTGTATAAAACCCCAATTCAGTACATGCAAAGTCGTGGCCGGGCTCGGATGAAGGGCTCTATTTTTGTCCACATGATCGAGGAAAATAATCAGTCCCAGGAAGCAGACGTCAATTTTGCCATTGCCCAAGATGACTATATACGACGGTGGTGTCAACAGCGTCCTCCTGATCGACTATTGGGCCGCGGCTCGAAACTGAAACAGCTCATGGCTAAAGACGCAAGTTGTCGAAGTTTCCAAACTTCTTCTGGCGTCCTTGCGAACTACTCCAATTCCCTTTTGCTCCTGAGTCGGTATGCAGAGTCCTTGAAGAAGATCGGTGGCGCCTCGTCAGAAGTGTACGAGGAGATGATAGGTGTCGAAGAAAACATGTTTCAGTACAAGGTCATACTTCCTGTCACCAGCGACCAGCGCACTGCTGCAGTCAAGGGCGCCAAAGGCGAGCCGCGCACAAATAAGGTGCTCGCGAAGCGGTCCGCTGCATGGCGTTGCCTTTTCAAATTACGCAAAGCACAACTGTTGGACGAGAATCTCAACAGCATCTTCTTCAAAGCCAAGCCAGCTAATCTGAATGCCAAAACCGCCGTTCCCGACCATAAGGACAGCTACGACAAGAAGGTGAAACCGGATTTCTGGGTTGGGAGTGGTGCAACATTGTCAACGCTACCAATGAAACTCTTTGTCACGCGTGTCTCTGTTGAGCCAAAATCACCATCCTGGAGCACTGATGGCTTGCTACTGCTGACGCGTGCATCTCTTCCAGATATTCCCACATTTTCCGTCTATGTAGACGACAATGTTGAGAAAAAGGTCACATTTAAGCGATTCATTCAACCAGTGGCAGTAACGGCGGACCAGATCGAGTCTTTGACGACATTTACTCTTCGTGGGGTGTTCTACGATTTCTTTAATAAATTCTTTGCTCACAAATCGACATCTATGAGCTACTGGCTAGCACCCCCCGCCAGGGGAGATCTGAAAGACACCTTTGAGTCTATTGTCAATATGGACGAGCTTTTGGCCGCGCAACTCACTGAACGCCAGAGATGGAAGCCATTTGCAAGCGCGACAGAGGCACAAGAAAACGCAGAGAAATGGTGCAACGCATTTCTCATCGATCCAGGAAGCGGAAAATGGCGTTATTTCACAGGTGACGTCTTGCGAGGAAAATCTATCTGGGACCCTATTCCAGATAGTGCAAAGGCCATTCAGAAGAGATTCAAGAACACCATTATTGAATTTTCTGACAGCACGTGGGGAGCAAACAGAAAAAATGCCGAATCTGTTGCTAAGATGTATGATCCAAATCAACCTGTGTTGGTCGCTAAGGTTGTCACAGCCGGTCGAAATTTCTTAGAGGAATGCCCCAAAGATCGAAAACGGTATGCCATGTGTCACATTGCCCCCCAACCGCTGGAACTTGGTCGAATATCGTGCTCGGTGGCCCAAACTTGTCTACTGTGGCCTTCTATCCTGCATCGCTTGGAAAGCTACCTGATCGTCGGGGAAGCACTCAAGAAGCTTGATCTGATCGAGGTGCCTCTAGACCTTGGTTTAGAAGCTTATACGCAAGAGGGCCATACCAAGGCGGACGGCGCCGAAACCGAGTCACGAAGTCTGGATTGCCGTGATGTTGAACTTCAACTCGGCAAGAAGGAGCCAGAGGCGGCTATGAATTATGAGCGATTGGAATTCATTGGAGACGTTCTCCTCAAGATGATGACCACTATCACAGTTTACAACCGCACAACGTGCGACGAAGAAGGCATGCATTGCAAGCGTATGGACCTGCTCTCCAACAGCCGGTTGTGCACCACTGCGTCTGCTCCCCACTACGAGCTTTTTCGCTACATCCGCTCTGCAAATGATCATTGGCGTGACACATGGTACCCTGAATTCTTGGAGCTGGAGAGAGGTCGAGTCATCAAACTGACAGACAAACACCGCAAGCAAGCGCTAGGGAAAAAGACCATAGCGGATGTCTGTGAGGCAACTATTGGAGCATGTATCATGAGCAGTCGTCACTTGCCCACGGAGGAGAAGCTCGATCTCGGGATCAAGGCGATCACTAAATTTGTGGAACATCCTGATCACGCTATCAACTCCTGGAGAGAGATTCTTCCAATGTACAAACCGGCGCCTTGGGTCGCAGAAATGAACGACCCGATTGCCAATGATTATGCCGATAAGCTCTTCGAGGCCACCGGCTATCGGTTCAAGAATCCACGTCTTGCGCGTTCAGCGTTTACCCACTCGTCTGACCAGCACTCGCCAGTTCAAAATCTTCAACGACTCGAATTTTTGGGTGATGCTTGCCTAGATTGGGTTTGCGTGTGGTGGTTGTTTTCCACTAACTCGACTCGTGGTCCTCAATGGTTAACCGAGCACAAAATGGCCATGGTATCGAATAAATTCCTCGCCGCCTTGGCGGTTATTCTGGGATTCAACAAGTGTCTCTACGCTCATAGTATTGCCGTCTGCACAGATGTAGCCAGCTATGCATCCGCAGTCCAAGAGGCCTGGGGGCAAGAGAACGTGAAACCCGACTTCTGGACACGAGTTGCACCCGAACGCCATGTACCAAAGGTCCTAGCTGACCTAGTGGAGAGTTACTTGGGCGCTGTGCTTGTCGACTCCGGCTTCGACTTGCGGGAGATCGAGAATTTCTTCGAGAAGCACGTCAAATGGTTCTTTCAGGATATTGAGGCCTACGATACCTTTGCAAACCGTCATCCAACTACCTACCTTTACCGTCTGCTTGAGCAAGAATTTCGATGTCGAAAATGTTCACTAATTGCGACCGAAAACAGTTTCCAGCCCACCACAAACACCTCTCGAGATAATGGTCACGATGATGATGAAGACGCTGGGGGAAGAGGAGAAAATGGTGACGAAGCTGTCTCTGGAGTGATGGTGCATGTAGCATGGTTCGTGCACGGAAACATGGTGGCAGTGGACAAAGGAACGGGAGAGAAGTACGCCAGGGTCCGAGCGAGTCGGGCTGCCTTGAAGAAACTGGGCAAATTGAGTGTCGACCAATTTAGGAGAGATTGGGGCTGCGATTGTGCGAGCAAAGAGAAGAATAGTGAACACGATGCCAAGGACGAGGCTGTGGACGGGAGTGTTGGCGAAGAATAGACAAGATTGATGAAGCAGCCTGGCTGGGGAAGTCAGATGCATACAAACTTGACTTGGCAAGGAGACACCGCGAGATCACCACGAGGTTCCTCCTTTGGTATGAAGCTTAAGAGGAGTAGTTGTGGTGGTCGATATCTCTCGTTCGACATCTGGTCGGCGCGAACTGGCAGAAGAACACGGCGAGTATCAAGGCACGACATGTACAAAATGTTTTTTTTTTTTTTTTTTTTTTTTGCAGAAGCAAGCAGAAGGCGTGAGAGCAGGGCGAATTGAACAAAGCGCTCGGAGCCTGCACAAGTGTCCTCTGCACTCTGTGTGTACTCGCACATTAGTGGCACGCAGGTGGCATGGGTAAACTATGACCTAGTTAATGCAGGTACAGAAGCACCACCACCGAGTCACTGACGAATTATTTTTTTTTCACCGCATTCGTTCCGATCGAATAAGTCTTGAAAGAGGAATTGAAATTAAATGCACACACCACAGAACAGTACAGCCGATACCTGTGTAATCTCCGCAATCAGTGACGGCACAACACGATGGAGGGTTCCGGACGGAGGGAGGTAGAAATATGTAGGTATCTAGGGAGGCGGTACCGATGTATATATAGATCGCCCACATTTTTCTCCCGTGTTTCCTAACCACAGCACGCCTAAGCATGTATGTACCGCGAGAACGTTGGGACATATACTTAGGTACCTAGGTAGGCAAAGGGGCCCTCCCCTTTCCCCTTGTTCCTTGCCATGTGATGCAAACCCCGCGTTCTTGCTATCTATCCACCATTCATCTCTTTTCTCCATCTCTCGTCTGTGGTCGTGACCCCGTGCTGCCCCGCTGCATTTGCCCTGGCTTGCGATTCCCATCCTCGCTGCTGCCACCGCCAGCAGCAGCAGCAGTAGCAGTAGTATGTTCCGGTTCGTGCTCAGGAGGGAATAGCTCCTGCACCAAGCCCGGGAGAAACCGATCCAAGCGCCTCACCGTCTCGGGCCAGATTTGAATCTCCCCATTTTCGTCATCAAGGCCGAGTGGGCTACGAGGAGTTATTTTGCCTCCTGCCCATATAATATCCTGGGCGTGGCGGCCGAGATATCCTGCCCCGTCCATGACGAGCAGCGTGTTCTTCACGCCCTCCCGGACAGCCTCCGCGAGCGCGTCGCCTTGCTGTTCAACCACGGTGCCGGCGTTCATCAGCCGGTCGAGGAGTTCGAGGGTCTTGATCCACACGTCTGTCATTTTGTTGCTACTGCCACCTTTCGCTGAAGTGGCCTTCTGTTGCTCTTCATCATCATCTTGCTCTCCTTCCTTTTCGTCATTCTTTTTTTGGTCGTCATCTTCGGTCTGAGTAACGAGTGTGATGTCGTTCAACCTGTCCAAATACCTCAGAAAGACCTTGCACAGTAAGCCTCCCATCTGTGCTCGGGTCTCGTTCATCCCCGCCGGATCCAACTGGTATATTTCGGGCTTCAACAACCTAAGTGTAAGCGGAAATAATACCTCGTCGAATATCGCTGTCCATTCTGTATGTTGGTCGTCCTCCGTGCCTTTCTCATCTGCCACAGTCTCGGACAGCAACGTGCGCTGCAAGGCAGCCAAGGCACGGTGTCTCACTTCACGACAGGGATTAACACATTGCGCGCACAACGCTCGAAAGATGGGACTCCAATACGCAGCCCAAGCCTCATTCCTCTCCAGGTGACTTTGGTCGATTAGACCCGGGACACGATTCGTAAGCTGGTAGATCAATCCAACAGCTTTATTCGCCCTTTGAACAGCTACGATGTCTTCCGGTTTCGCGGGCTTGGCTTGCCGGCCCTGCTTCGCGGCAAAGTCGCGACGCTTTTCTTGGATCGAGCCGATCGAGCCGGCGGATGCAAAGTCATTTGCAAGGGAAATGGCTGATTCGAAGTTGTCTGCCGTCAAAGCTTGTTGGTCTTGTGCCTTATTCGGCGACGAAGTGGAAAGCAGCGTGAGGATGTCAAATACACGATCTGCCTCGGTTTTGTGCTGATGGAGACGTTGTAACGTTGACCAGAAGTCGGGAGACTTTGTGATCTCGTTGCGCAAGGCGGAAGGAGAGCCAATGGAATTGGAGAACCCCTGAGTTATGGTGGAAGCTGTTCGGTCGAGCACAGCGTCATCGAAACTTGAAATCGCGTGGAGGACGACGGGGGCACGCATAAAGTCGCAGGTCTGTGTGATTTGTTGTGAGCGGCATGCTTTGACATGAAACGGAAATTGAGAGAAGAGGGATGTCTTGGGTGGACTTACGTAACTATACCGCAATAATTCAAGGAGGTAATGCACAACTCTAGACGCAGCGAGAGGATGGAGATTTGAAGCATCTCTGACAGCGTTCTGTAACGATCCGGTAAGTTGCTCTCCGGCTGCAGCAATCGTTTCGTCGTCTCTTAATGTGAGCAGCGTTGCAAGCTCGAGAAGAAACACGGTGCCAGGATCGTACTCCGGTCCAGCTTTTGGCATACGGTGGCCATTGACCCTGACAGTAACGGGAATTGGGCGTTCAGGCTTAACGCTGACGACTGGTGACAGTTCTTCCATCTGCGACAGCAGAGCAGACACCACGTTTTTAATTTGCGAGGCAGGAAGTGAGGCCATATGTTGGAGGACAGTGTCAGGTCGACATGCCTTCACGCAGTCCACACATGAAAGTGTATTTTCGAGCTCTTCTTCCGAAGGCTCTGGTGGATCGTCGGCAGCATAGCTAGAGAGATAAGAGGTAAACGTTGAGAAGATGCCGCTTTCGCTGAGTCGGCCATCTCGATCGATGACTTGTGAAGGTGATTGTAGAGGTATCGGACCAAGGCTTTCGAGTCTATTTTCCTCGAACTTTGGCAATGTGATAAGAGAATTGACAAACAGGTTCCGTAAGATGCGCACGACGTAAATCCAAGTGTCGCCAACGGCATCCTCATGGCCCTGCAATATTCTGAATAGTAACACGGTTGATAATTGTGCTCGAAAGTCTCGTCCGAGCCTCACAGCCAGCTCGCTGACCATGATTCTCTTCTTCCCAACCTGAACTTCTGTATTCAAGGATGTGCTCGGAGGAACTTCTGCAGCTAGCCCGCTGATATGACTGACGCTGTAGACAATACGGTCAAAAGCTTCAGTAATTCTATATTTTGCTGCGATCTGCGCGCATTGATCGAACCCGACGACAACACGAGAGAAAACGGCATCATCTGAGGCTGACATGAAGACATAGCAGAGAGTTGCAATGATTGGTTTCCAAGTTGCCTTAAACATTTCTGCGTCAAAAGCGTTAGTGTCGCACAACTCTAGAGAACCGGCGTTGTGCGTTTTCAGTAACAGCTCCTTCCAAGCGTATTCGAAGGCATGTTTGTTTTCGTGCTCGTCTGGGAGAATGATCTCGTTCTCTTTGATGGCTTCGTAGATATCCTGCAGTAATTCTGTGGAAAAGTCGTTACCGGCATTGACGCCCCGGAGATTCCGCGCAAAGTCCTCATAAGACATTCGCTTCTGTGTCTTCGCAACGTTTGGGTTATACAAATCGGTGTTTAGCATGATGATCGCATATGCCAGGACGAAGGCAGCATCTTTGTCTGCAATCTCCTCGGATGCAGCGGTTCTGCAGTATTTTTCCGTGAAGGTGTTGACGATTCGTGAGATAAGTGCCGCTTCCCCAGGAAGGCGGAAAGAACCCAACATTTCCCGAAGGGCCTCGTCGATGCGTTTATCCTCGAAATCAAATAGCCCGATGAAGGCTGTCAACAGTGGTTCATTCGACTTCTTGGTCAGAAACTCTCCCAGAACCTTTTTTGAGACGTGCGAGGTCCCTTTCAAGAACTGAGCCACCTGTACAGGATCATCTGGATTTTCTATGATGCCATTCTTGACCAGATATGCCACTCCTGCTTTCGGATCGTCGTTGAATTTGGATGCGCCAGCCTTGATGATCTTCTTCCTCGCTCGCTGTAATCGTATCTGGTCTATTCGCCCTTGTGACCATGCTGGCATTTCGTGGTCAAGCCTCTCGGCTATAAACTGGACGAAGCTCAGCAATGAATCCAGACACAGCGGTGGTACATTTGTGGTACTCCAAGTAGCAGAATCTGGGAAGGCATTCCGCGACAGAAGGCCAACCATGTCTTCGCAAAGGTCCTGCCTGTCGACTTCGCAGTCATAGTTGAGAAAGAGTTCCGCCATGAAGCCGGGAATGCGGACCAAGGTGCCAATACTTTCAACCATGGCTTCTCTGGCTTCCGGCCTCCTAGTACCGCCTTCCAGACCCAGCTTTTGCCTGTCCTTGATTGGAACCGGGGTTGACCGACCGCTGCCCGGCTGCGATGGTGCTGGTTTCACTAATTTGGGGGATTGTGGCACACCCTCATAGAGCGACGAATCAATCCCTGGCTCCTGGGGGATATCCACCCGTGGATGCAGACAAGCGACCAAGTACGAAAGGAATAACTCTTGCTGCAGCTTAAGCAACTGTCGGCATGTAGCAAGCAGCGAGCCAGCGACACGCAGAGAGCTGTTTAACAAAACCATATTGTCCGATCTGACGAGCTGGAACAAATGCCGACAAAGATCATCCTGGACTAGTGCTGCCAAAACAGGCTGTTTCGCTATCGAAGGCCCAGAAACTTCTAGGGCAACATCGATAATTCTGAGGGCCATGATGCGCATCGCGTCTGTATGTGTCTTGTCATGTGGATCAAGAAGATCAATTAGAACGCGGAAGAGCTCTTTGATGGAGGGTAGGGCGTATGGCTCAACGTTTTCGAACTCGTCTTCCTTCGCCGGGGCGGTGGTATTCTGCGGCTCTGTGGAAGATTTGGATCCAGTAACGTCTTCGACACTGGATCGCCCGTCAACGTCAACACTAGGCCTTTCTGGTTCGCCATTTCCCATGACGCTGCCCGTCATCGGCGGTTCAATCTTCAGCTCTTCAGTCGCACTAAGGAGAGTTGTCCTCGTATTCGACCGACTTCTCATTTTCGGTATTTCTTCCACCTTTAACGATTTCAGTCTGCTGAATACTACCTGGCACATGGTCACCATGGCCATCTCGGCAGACCTCCTGAGAACCTCTGAAAGCCTTGACTGACAGCACATGCTTAATCCGGTACTCATCATCTCGCAGATACTCTCGTCGCCCAACAGCTGGCCCTCTGGCCTGGATATGACCAACTCCATGAGTCTCAGGATGCGCAGCAAAACCACCTCATCCGCCGCTGTGTCACTAGCTTCGAAACGGCAGTGAGTGATCGCTGCACTGAGGAGGTGCATTCCCTGAGAGATACGTGGTGACCTGACCGTGATAATGTTGTACGCGAAGAACTTCGTGATCGAGATCACCGCTAGACTAGTAATCGCGGCACTCGTCGAAGAACTGCGTATGACTTGCAGGAAAGGGTGTAGGAGTTCGGGGGCATCCACGGCGGCCACGTCTCGACAGCCCGCAAGATCTCTTCTGAGACGTGCAAAGGCAGTTAGCAACGGGTTATCTTGCATGCTCTTGCCCTTTCGACCTCGCAGACCCCATCGACTAGCAAGGCTGGAATTTTCATCGTCTGAGGTGTTGGGAACGTTCAGCCTGGCCATGCCAGGATCCAGTATCACGGGCCCTTTACTCCCCCGGCGACTTTGCGAGGACGAGCGTAGAAAGTCCTTCTCTTGCAGCCTTGTAGCCCCTCCACCCAGGATTGCAGACACCGAAGACTGCGCCCAGCGGGCATGTTTCCGCATCGCAGACGTGATTGTTATGCATTCTTGGGTAATGAGGGCAATTGGGTCAATTGCAATTGCTGGTGTGCGATCGAAGGTCATATCAGGGGCAGCTGGTGTCATGGTCTGTAGTTGTGAGGGAAAAGGCTGTGGTATCGTGACCCTAGGCCCGGGTACATTGTTGCTGCGCTCAATATCATTCATGGCGGCCATGGTGGGCGAGTGGAGGTGTTCCAGGTTGTTAGAGTCCTGGATGTGAGGCGTTCATTCTGGCTCTGTCCGAGGTACGCTTTCTCCGCCGTCTGCTCGAGTTTCCTGCTGCCAGATTAATGGAAGATGTTCAGGGAAAGCCGTCGCAACATTCTCCTGCACAAACATATATATCTGTCCACAAATGGGCGCCTGGTACATTCGCCATACGCTGCCATGCCGCCTCAATATGAGTGAAGTGTCCGCAGTTCTTTTCAGGAAAGTTTCCCGGAGCCATCCACGTGACATTCAGCCTTGTCAGTCTGTCTTTGGCGCAACTATCATCCAGCGAGATGCTACATATATAGCACAATTGAGAGAAGATTTATCTGAAATTATGTTCTTGGGATCTATCTATGATAAAGACCATAGTCGCAGTGTAACGACACAGGGTATACCCGGAATGTAATCACTCTGAAACACCATTCGCCATGCGCTCAATAACTGTTGCGACAACGAATTGAACACCCATTTCGTTTCGAAGGCAAAAATTGTCCATCTGGACACTGACACTCTAAAGTCATGATTGAAACAATCCTCTGTTCCATGGAAATCCAAGCCATTGCCCGGCAATTTCCATGATACCAGTTCAGGAGCTGCCATACTCCTCCGACAATGTCTGCTCTCCTTCCTCTAGTAAATCCGTTATCCTGGCAAGGTTGCCAATCGTTTCTCTTCCTTGTCCCATCAACAGCAACTTCTCTGCATTTGCAGGTAGTCCTAGATATGCTGGTGGCTCCCTCTCAGGCAATTGGTCCACCCAACCCATGAAGTCACGAATAGTTGTTCCAGAAGGAACCTTGAGTGCCTGCCCTTCATCTGGAGCTGACACCAATTCATGGTCATTTTCATATGCTGCAGGGTCAAATACCTTGCTCACGATTTGACTCAGCAATGAAAAATCACCCTCATCATCAATCTTGCCACCGTACATTTCGGTAATCAAGGTCCGAAGTAAATCCCAAGGTAATTTGACGGGTGCGATGTTCGATCTCCCTTGTGCAATCGCATCAATCCAGACGTCAATAATGAACGCGCAACACTCGTAGTCGCTGTCATTGAACTCCCAAAGCCCCTTCCAGCCTAGAGTGGGGGCATATCGAAGTCGTTCTTGGAGCACAGCGTGAAGGAAACACAGGAGGAGGTAGAGCCTGCCCTTCTCGACAGGAGTTCGGGTCCCTCGGTCCGACACTACAGTTAAGGTATCCTTCATATTTGCTCTCATGCCAGCCGGTTGTTCGTAGACAAGAGTCCTGGAGGCTTGAAGCAGGTTGACGGGTATCTTGGGACTTGACTCCATGGAGAGGAACAATCTGAAGTCATTGTGCGGTTTGAGGGCCGACAGACGCTTCTCCAGGCTCTGCACCCATTGAGGAGCCAGGTGAACATTCTTGATCAAAACCCACGTACCGTTCGCGGCCGCGCTGGTGATGGCTTTATCCGCACTGGCAACACTTTCATCAGATCCCATAGCAACATTGGCGCAGTTCGCATTCTGCTTCTCCACAAGGGCATCGACCTTGTAGCTTGCATCAAAACCGGGATTGGAGCAGAGCGCAATGGGGATCGAGGAGTTGACTTGATTGACAATTGCTGCCAGATCATCAGTGCCCTGAAAGATTTCTGGTCCAAAGACGCCTGCGACGAGTGCTTGAGCTGCAGGCAAAAACCTGTCCGGTCGGGCCAGCTTGATAAGGAGTAACTTGTAGAGGTTTTGATCGATCGTATTGTCAGTGTCGTTCCAGAGCGTCGGAACGAAGTGCTCTGCACGCTCCGCGGAGAGAAACTGTATCCAACTCTTGCTCGTGGAGTCAAGTCTGTCGCTGTTGAAAATAGGGATTCGCTTCACAGCTGCCACCACGTCCTCGACACGAGTGTCAGTAGGCACGGTGCCTCGGGAATGTGGTCGGTCTTCCAGTATAAGTTCCATGGCGGACCGATCAAAGTTATATGGAGAGGCACGGACCAGAAGCATTGCCAGTGTAATGCGATCTTTTTGCAATAGAGACAAGGACGTTCGCCGATAAGTCTCAACGAATATGTCTTTTAGAATGATCTCGCCACGTTCTTCATGGTTTGTCTTGTTCATAAGATGTGGGTTATCATGGAGCACCGAGTTGAATATATCGATGAAATATGGCAGCGAGAATCGATACCCGTGGTTGAGGTGATGCAACTGCTCAAGCAAAGCAAAAATGGCACTGCAGGCGTTGGCAATGTGGCTGTAACCTTGTGTGATCCGCTCAACTTCCGCCATGACTCCTTCGGTTTCAGCAACCTTCTTTGTGATGACCGCAGCTTCCTTTTTGAGAGTTTCCAGAGTTTGGATGACATTGTCATCATCAAGAATATTACCCCGGGATTCATTGAGAGCTTGCAAAAGCCTCTTTTCCAATTGCCTGAGGTTTGTGTCAAATTCCCCTTGCATTTTGACCAAGTTTGTTCTTCGCTTGTCGACATCCGGTCGCTCGGCTTTCAGGACTTCGTTCAAGGACTGTGTTTGCAAACTGCTGCGGGTAACAGTGAAGTTGATGAAGGTAGTCCTGCTGCAAACGTCTGGGGCAAATGCTGCCGAAGGATCCCGAGTAGATAGATATAATTGGAAGTGTTCTGAAAAGTCGATCTCTTGCTTGCCAAGCTGGATGAGCACTCGCCCACCAGTCTTCTGGTATTCCTTGTTCAAGACATGCGTCAAGATGGGATCTAGGTATTCGGCGTCTTGGATCAAGATCGGATTGCCAAAGCGCAAGGCACTCTCGAGCTGTTTAGTGAAGGCGTCGTCTAGGAAGCTTGTGACTGTTAGCTTCCGTCCTTGGTGTTCTTGTTTCAAAAACTCAGTCACCCTGCCAGGCGGGTCGATGATCAATGGGTATCGGTTGAAGCGCTTGAGCATGATGGCATTCTCCATGCATAAGTCATCGGCTGGAAGGGAGTGACGCTGCCATTGGAGGCGTTCGTCGGCGGATGACAAATATCCAAGAACTGAGCCATCACTTTTACAGGAAATGCCGGACTGTGACATGTGATGCATCCAATCATCAACCATTGTCTTTCTAAATTGTTGATCATAGAGACCTCCATATGCGAGGAATGCTGATGCGATGACCACATCTCCAACCAAGGTCTGGATCTGCGTCTCAAAGGACTTACTAGCTGCCTCCCATCTAACACGCTCGGAAGATAGACTGTCGAGCAGACGAAGACTGCGATCTACCTTCGTCTGAACTCGTGCCATTTCACCCTTGATGGCTTGCGTTTCACTGATGAGGGCAGCATATTCCGTCTTGTAGGTTGCAATACTCTCCTCGAGTTTGGCGATTCTGTTTTCAATAGCTTTGGCTTCAGCTTTGGTCTGGAGAGCCTTGTCTTCCAATTGCTCCACTTCAGCGCGCAAGGGTCCGACTCTGTCAAGAATCTCAGAGTAATTCACTTGAGCCTCCACCCACTGCACCAGAGGACCACATGCTTTGCTTGCACGATTGACCTTCTCAAATGTGAAATCATCGTTGGACAGGTAATCGTGGCGCATTTTCTGCCGTAGGTTGGGTGTCATATCTTTCTCATTGTCGTAGTTGACGATATTTGCAATGAAATCGTCCCGCCGAACAACAGCTTGAATGGCTCTCCAGTTATCGACCTTGTGACCAAGTAAAGTGCATACCGATTCCAAAGCAAGCTTAACACCAGGTGGCGGATTAGCCATGGACCTAACCTCAGTGAGATGTTGTCTCTTGATGTTGCTGACGCTTCGCTGTGCTTCGATGACTGCCGGTTCCGCCTTGGCCAGGTCATCCAGCACGATTTCTTTCCGGCTAGCAATCTCTTTCTCTTGCTTCTCCAATTCTGTTTGTATCTCAATGGAGGTGGTCTTCTGAGACTCTGCGGTTCGCTGATCGGCGACCATCCGTTGAAGCTTTTCATTTGCCTCGGCATCTTTTAGCTCCAGCTGATGCTTCTTCTGTGCCAGGCTTGCTCTCAAGTCGCGTACTTTGTCGACAGTATCTCGAAGTTTGTCTAGACCAACATTGAGATGGCGTTGTTGTTCCTCGAGATCCTCGCGCTTCTCCCTGAAGAGTTTGCGGAATTGCGTAACGAAATCAAGGTAGTGGCGAGGCGTAAGATAAGTCACAATGCCCTGTTGACGCTCCAAACGCTCGTTGGTTTTCTGGACAGAGTAGTGTATATGCACCATTGCATTGATAATCGTGTCGCGGTGTGAGGCAGGAAGTGTTAGATCACGATATGCGACAGGGATACTGTCAGGAGCGGAGAAATTTGGCTTGTCTAGATCGATAGATTGTGTGAGTTCGTAGCCGACTTGGAAGAGAGCCTGATCCGACCAATCACCCATCCAGTTGAGGACACATCTGTTGAACAAGGCCGGGCTGGTAGCTGCCTTCGACGAGAGGCCGTCCTGCGGAGGATTCATTGTGAATACGACATGCAAGTTGCGGACAATTTGCTGGGTGAACCACTTGTAAAGTTCTTCTTGCGAGTCCAGGAGCAGACCTTGTCGTTGAGCACCTTCCTTGCAAGCAGTCATAAGAGCAGAGTATTCGTCACCCTCGAAAAGACCGGGAACTTCTCCGTTTGCTAGCAAAGTGTTCATCCGCTCGAGGAAACCAGAGTCTAGAACATTGGATTCGTCCATGATGAAGCAAATCTTCTGGCCTCGGCAGCCGCACGCTCGGAGAACCCCTCTCAAATCATCGTCGAAGTCTTCCGCCGAGTATCGCCCATGGACCTTTATCTGGAATATGGTCAAGCCATTCATCCAGGCGACGAACCTAGACAACGTGGTCTTGCCGCTACCGCTGGTACCGATAAGAATGAGATGGCCTTGAGGTTGGCGGAAGACTCGGTCAATGCGAAGAGCATGTTCGAGGACATCATTGAACAACACAAGAGGAACATCAACTTCTTCCTCGCAGAATGTCTTCAGACGTGCCTTGACAAACTCGCGTAATTGTTCTTGCTCAATGGAGACATAATTCTTCGAAAGCCAGTTAGAGAACAGGATCGGTCCCTGTAATGCTTGATCGATGTCGGCGGTGGGGAAGTGTTCTAGCGCTGTTTGTCGAACCATATCAGATGTCCAGGCTCGCTCTTCTTGTTCGACAAGTCGATCTTGGAAAAGTCGCAATGCTTCGTGCGCCCAAATACGAATCAGCCCTTCCAATGAGAGGTGTTCGAGAGGGGCTATGGCCTCGTAGATGCCACGTACCCAGCGAGTCAGTTCTCTAGGCGAGTAAACATAATGAGGCTGAATATCTGGCGTAAACCTCGTTTGGGACTTCAGGTAGAACTCGACCATTGCGCGCGTCAGGGCTTCCGCGAATCCTCGTAAGGAAGGCACTACCTTGAGGACCGCATTGTTGAAGGTGCCGTAAATCTGGGTTAAAGAGACCTCGCCGGGATAGTCAACCATGACCACAGGCGCGTGTCTCAAGAATCGGTCGCCCATGGGATGACGTCCTACGTCTTCCGGTGGATTACAAGCGCCAACGAATTGAATACGCTCCAAAGTTACCCACACCCTGTCAGCAGTGCGCCAAAAGCCATTTTGTTCCACCAGCTGCCGCAGGAAACTGATGGCGCGTTGAGTACCGTACTTGTCGGGAGCAGGAAGATTGATCTCGTCGCAGAAAATTACCAACCATCGACCAAGCTGCGTAGGGGAGAGGACCATTCCATTGAGGGTCTTTTTATACTCACAGTATTGCTCAAAAGTCTTGATGACGAGCTCTGGCTGAGTGGCACTGGAAAAGTTGAGGCCCACAACCTCCATATCGGGAAGTTTCCGAAGGGCGCTGAAGAGAGTCATTGTTTTTCCAGAACCCGGAGGACCGCACAGCATCAGGGGTTTGTGTTCCGACAACCACGAATACAGAACGTCCTCGTGGCGGACGGTGTCGATCGTAGGTATAATAACATCAGTTTGAGTGATCGAATGAGTGTTCAAGTCGACCGTGGGAACTTGAGTCTGCCACGGTACCCATTGGGTATGGGGCAAAGTCACATCGTAATCAATGAGTGAAGTAGAGCTGTCGAGAGTCGGTAGGTCGACATTCGTCATTGTAGACAGGAAATCACCGAACTCCTTGCGAATGCCCAGGGATGCATCACCAACGAAGCTCCAAACGATTGCCAATAAAAGCTTCTTCGAAATGAAGGCCTCAGTTTGCTCCGGCTCTAGAGGAAATTCAGGATGATTCATGTTGTACTCCAAGATTGTGCGACACCCTTTAGCTAGGAGACTAAACAGACTGCCTAGCGCCCTGGCCATAGTGAACTCCATGATATGTTTGTGAGTTGCTGCAGATGATAGTGCTTTGAGGAGAAGATCATCCCGTTGCATCGACGTTTTCAAGGTCTCGACTACGTGGCGCTGTGTGTCTTGAGCTTTCGTAGTGAGACCGGCTGCTTTGATCTCATCATCCAGGTCCTCAAATGTGCGGTCCGCGAGCTTCTGAAGGTGGTGGTCTATCATCAGGGACGGGCTGACGGTGTCATCTGAGAACCACACCATACCACAACGACTGACCGTGGCAAGGGTGGCATATTTCAGACTCTCGACTTCGAACATGATTCGAACATTTGGCGGTAGGTTCAATCTTTCCCCGTTCGGCAGGGTGAGTAGTTTGTTGTCGTCGAGAACGCTGTTCAAGTTTTCTACCCATTCAGGATCGACATCTCCGTCAAAAACGATCCAATGCCGCTTACTGTCTTCGCCACGGAGATTGTCAACGACCTTTCGCAGGATGGCGGTGAACAAGCCATCAGTCCACTCTCGGGTCGTGCTGTCGAGGCTTCCATAGAGTGCTTCTTTCGACATAACCTTCGGATCAATCACATGATATACGCCTTCAATTCCCTCCACCCTCTGTAGGGCTTGAAGTAGGACTCTCCATATGGCAGATTTACCAGAGGCGGACTGTCCGACCATCATGACTCCGTGGTGGATGTTTTGAATCTGATACAGTTGGAGAATCTTCGTCATCCAAGCCTCGCTTTCCGTGAGATGCTGTTCTTGCATCACCTGCTTGATTGCCTCCATGAGCCTGGTCATGTTTGCGGGGACATATTCCACGCCTGGGAAGTCTTCTGCCTGGACCTCAATAAGAGTTTCGACGTCTTGTTTGATCAGTTTTGGTGACACTGTCTCTCGAATGCTCTGCACAATGATCTGCGGCTCAATGATGCTTTGGTCTCCCGGAATTTCTGGCGTTTGCGTTCGAACTCTCTTGAGCCCACCAGAGCTAATGAGGACGCTTTTCAGTGCTCTCAGACCGAAATCGTAATGAGGTTGCTTCGAGAGCCGCTGTGCACAATGGTCGAAGAATGGGACGACTTGGTGGGAAATATGTTTTGCTTGCTTGAAACCTTGTGAGAAAAGCATGACTTCAGCGATCAGCTCCTTGTCTGGTTTCGACATTGCAACACTCCTAAAGAGCTTCTTCAAATTGTCTGGCAGGTTAGAACGTCCAGCATAACCAGGATTCATGGTGATGAATAGGCCGGAATTTGGGTTGACTCTGAAACGGCGCCCCACGAGGTCGATTTGCGCCTTTTGCTCGTTGGTGGTGTTCTTGAGGCCAATTTGGATGTTTTGAATTTGTTGTGACACGGCTGAGAGTATCCTCTCTTCAAGACGATTGAATTCGTCAAAACATCCCCAAGCACCAACCTGACACAGCCCAAGGAATATGCGGCCCATCGCCTGGAAGTCGAAGGTGTCGTCGCAGCAAAAAACCAAGGTGAAGCGCCCCAATTGGAGTCCCAGGGCCTTAACTGACTCGGTCTTCCCAGTTCCTGCAGGACCATATGGAGAACCTCCAAGTCTTTGGCAAAGGGCTTGTGTCAAAGTTAGAAAGCATCGATCAGTCAGGGGTGTCCGAACAAGGCGGTCTGGCACACCAAGATATTCGTAGCCATAATCCAAGTCTGCATTTGCCATATGAATGCGCAAGCGATTCATCAGGTCTGCATTGGGGTCGTAAACGTAGCGCATCTGCAGAAGCCAGAAATAATGTCCAGGTGAATTTGCTTCGGCTTTCATGAGTTTCGCAACAACGTCTCGTTGATGGACAGCCTCAGTGATAAAGTGTTCGCATTTCTTTCGAGTCAAGGCTGGGAGGTCTTGCAATACGCTTTCGGCTAGGACGTCGAGTAGTCGCACTTCATGCTCGTGAAGTTTCGGTAACCCTTGGCCCCCGCCTTCAAGTGCTCCTTGCACGAGGTCGGTCCATACGACTTGCGCCGCTAGGATCATTATCTGCGCGGGAAACCGCGTCATGTACTCTTGAAACTCATGGGCATCGAGCTCAGGGGCAGTAAACAAGGGTTTAAAGGCAGTGGCAGCTTCCGCAAGCAACTCAGCCAAGGTCTGCTTGACACTGGTGTCGAGCGCCGTAAGCCAATCGTTGATTTTGGGGAGCTTGATCAGAGAAACCTCTTTCTTCAGCCTGACGACCTCGCCTTCTTTTGAAGTAATAGCTGCGATTGTGTTGTCATCGGTGACTTCTGCGCCGGATATCCCGGCAAACATCTTTTTGAAGTGCTTCGCAACGCGGGTGCTGTCGTTGCTGTTGCCAATAATCTCGAGCAAATCTTCATCGCCAACGAAGTAAAATCGAGGGAACGAGACACGCTCTCGTTCAAGATACTCGCCCAAGGCCTTCTGAATTTTGCTCAGGAGTTCTGCCAGGCGCTCTAGAGATTTCTGCACGCCAGGAATGGCGAGGACATCCATAACAAACGGGGACTTATAGACTTTCTTCATGACTGCAGAAAATTCAGTGTTGATGTTCGAGAATCTGCTGGATTCAGTGGGCAGAAGGTGCTTGATGTCGTTGTTGCCAGTAAAGACTCCTTCTAGGTAGACCCATTGTCTCTGCACGTCAATCCAGATGTCGAACAGAACATGGACTCGATTTAGCTTGTCCTCCCACGATGAAGCTTCTTCCTCAAATTCTTTGTAGTACGGGGAGTGGCGCATAGCTTGGAGGGAATTCAGGTTCTCACTGCATTTGGAGAAAAGCTCATCCCAGCCACGAATGAGTCGGCACTTGTTTTGATAGTTCACCAGATCAAGCGGATAGCTTTGCCAGGTTTCTCGCACTTGTCTGACAAACTCTTCGAGCGCCAGTTCTCCTCTCGCTTGGACAATAATGTCCCGGATAGTTGCCTCGCTGGTTATCAACTGAAGATCCCAGACATCTCCCAGAGTCATCGACACCTCAGAATATCTCTTGTTGGGCTTCAATGCCTTGTAGATTTTTAGCCAGTGCCTTTCTCGAATGGCATCGGACTTGAGGTCGTTGAGAAGTGGATTCGCCTTGATCAACTGTCGGAGAACGGTCTGGACATGCTCGAAAGCAGCATACTGCCGCATTCGACTGGGCATCTCTTTCGTCATCTTCACCAAGCCGTCCAAAGATTGACGAAGCTTCCGTGGTTGCAAACTAGTCCATAACATGTCGCGGAGTTCGTTGATGCTCTGCCATATCGTTGACAGAGCGGACCAAACAGACTTGAAATCGCTCACTTCCTCCAACGCAGCAGCCAGGGAATCATCCTGAGTGGACGGTAATGCAAGGGCTTCTTTTGCGCGCGAGACAGTTTCAGCTTCTGCTTGCAACTTCTCCATGCGGGCTTGGTAAACACGCAAGAGCTCGGCGGCTTCCGCAGGTGGAATTGTCCCAGAAACAGGCTTCTCCTCCGTCCATTGAGCAACCACATCAGCAATCCGGCTACCGATAACGCGATCCTCTGCAATAATATTGGCCCGAAGCGCATCCGTCTGATCTTCAACAACCTTGCTTTTGCGATTCAAGATCTCTTCAAAAGCATCCCATTCGTCGCTCACCTGGTTCGCAGAGAGCCAGTCACTAGCAAAATTGTATCGTTGTCTTGAAAGGGTAGTCTGGCCTTGCCTGAAGATCTCGACTTCAGGTCCCCATACCATCGCATTTCGTCTGCATTGCTGGACAATGGTGATGAATGCTACCGCTTGCGCCGTGGATGACGCCTCGAGGGAGTGATTTTCGAGTTCGAGGCGCGATCGTTTCATGTCAGTGTACACTTCCGCCATACGATTGCCGAGGATGCCACCGAACTTGCTGGTGATCTCATATTGCCATTGATCATACTTCTGTGTAATCTTTGATTGGACCTGCTCATAGTCAAAGACGACACAGCCAAAGCTCTTGCGTCCCTCAGAGGTATCAAAGGTTGAACGTGCGTGGCGGACTTCTTGTAGTAGCTGGTGCCATTGGGCAAGATCGTCACCAAGGGTTTCGTGCAATTGATCACTACGGAGATCCCACAAATTCTGGTAGGTGTACCATTCCTCCAGGTAAACGGCCATATTTTCGATCCTGGTATCGATGGCGCTGTAGGCCGCCTGCAGGACCTCAACATTCTGTAATGGTAGATCTATGAATTCAGGTGTTGCTTGTGGTGAACCAATATCCGCAGTCACAGAGTATCGAGAGGCTCTGACTTGTGGCAAGTGGCACAAGACTTCCAGCCAGTCTTCCAGCTGAAGCACCCAAGAGGCCTTGACAAAGTTCAGAGGCGGGTCGACGAAAACTGTTTGATTGTTCATCATTATCTCGATCTGTGTAAGGGGAAACTGAACATGGTGCATGGCTTCCTCTGAAGCAGGATATTGTTCATCCGTGGAGGTAAAGGACGTGATCCAGTACTTTAACGCCGCTCGTAGTCGTTCCTCAAAGATTTGGCGCAATTGCAAGTTTAATTGAGACACCCAATTAGAGAGATTTGAGTAGTTTTCCAGATTCATCTTGTCCACAGCGTTCTGAATAATGTCCATTTGAGCCTGGAAATTCTTGGGTGTATAGGGACAGCTCTTCATCTCGGAAAGAGCAACTTGGATGCTCTGGTCAAGGCTTCGAACAGTCGCAGTCTTGCTTTGCAGAGTTGTGACCGCTGTAGCCAAGTCACGAACATACTGCACATGCGCCGAGTCATTGGTAGTGGCTTTTCCCTTGATGTGCAGTTCGTATGAATGGATAAAAGAATCCCATCTTAACTTGATACCAGTGGCAAAGAGGATTTGCACCTCCTTCTCATAGCCTGCCATCAGAGGTGCTGTGTTCGGCATTTCTTGAATAGCTCGAACAGCGGAGAAGTACCCTGCAACGCTCTCCATAAGACTCAAAGCGTACGGATACACGCGCTGAGCTTGTTTCGCGGTTGTTGCTATCCGGTGTGGGATTTGGTAGTTCAGCCAGCTAAGATTTCTGACCTCTTTGAAGAGTGATATAGCATGATTGTCAAAGTTCACAATGAGCTCCATGGCACCATTGGCCGTACGACTCCGCGAAATAGAGAATAGTCTGCCGGTAACGGAGATATCTCTGGCCTGGACATCGCGAAGCCATGCTTCATAAATGTCTCTGGTCGTGAGCTTCTTTCGGAATAGGTTGCTTTCAGCTTCCAGTTTCTCTCCGTCGGTATGAAGCATCCAGTCTTCTCCGAGAACAGCTTGGACTTTGGACATATAGTTGTTCAATTGTGCTTCGATTTGACGGACCCACAGGATTGCACCTGCCACAGGAGGAATGTCGCGAAGTTGAGCCATCATCTGCGCCTCGGAGCCACCGTATTGCTGCTTGAATCTTTCGTGGAGAGAGGCAATGGCGTTCTTGACATTGTCCAAGAGCTGAGTCTGATATGCCGCAATGGCACCTCGAACTTTCGGTCTAACCAGCAAAGCGTTGAATTTCTCAAAAACTCGGAACATCTCATTTGCTGTCTTTGCTTTCCCCAAGCGGTCTCTTAGTCTTGTGATAATTGAGTCCTCCACTCGAGATGTCCGTTCGGTATACTGCATCTCGGCCTGGACCCAAATTTCTGTTCCTTTTGGCGACACGTCTAGCACATCCACATGGCGGACAATGTCATAAGCACCGGCCACTTCCTCAACAGCATCAACGTCTCCTAGTTCCTCGATGATTGCGGCTCCGCCATCATCTGCTGGTCGGGTCGGGTCGGTTGCGCGAGCCTTGGGTCCAAGAACGTTGATGATCGTCCGCCGCAGTTGTTCGTGGTCATTTCGAAAGCGGTAGACGTACCGCAGTCGCTCCTGAGTCTGGGCATGTCTAGGAATTATCTTCACGGGCACAAAATCGGTGTTTTTGCGTCTTGTTATCTCCCGAGCAACAGCCGTGAAGCTTTTCATTTGATCGTCCCAAGTCTCCCACACCAGGTTGACCGAGTTCATCAGGTCAGTAAACTCGTCCCAGCTCAGCGACATGATCGAGCGCCCTTGAAGCAGACGAAGAATCTGGGTATTCATGTCCTCCGAAATACCTTCCACCAGCTTGAGTGCTCGGCGAATAGGGTAGTTGCAGACCCTCCATTTCTTGTTCAGGTGGTTGAAGATCAGGACCAGAGCTTCTGCCAATTTTTGCAGCGACGTTGCGGAAGACAACTCATCCAAGGGGAAGTCCCGCATGAGAGTGTTGTAGTTCCGCACGACTTCGAGAGCGTCTCTCCAGCCAGTGTCGGTTTCAAAACTGACGACAGCCTGTTGCCGCTTGGCCTTCTTCAGGATTTCCAACGTCAAGCGGACATGATCGAGGCTTATTTCTTCCACAAGCTTGTTCAATGAAGCCTCCAGAGAAAGCCAGAAATTGATCTCTTGGGCGGCAGAGGTCTGAGTAGGCGTTGCATCCTTGACGTCTTTGGTAAGTTTGGTGATATTCTGTATTGACTTGATCCACCCAATAACATGATTCTGAATGCTGTTGAGAACGGTGGTATTCTCAAGGACGTGTGCCGGAATCAACTGCACAGATGGCGACAATCCTTGGGCTTCGGCATTTTGCAAGGCTCCCATTACCACCTCGTGCATGGGCAAGTGGATCATCGGAATATCAGTATTTTGTTGCAGATGCAGCAGGCTCATTTCCAATTCCGCAATCCTTCTCTTCGCGCCTGGAATACCGCCTTTCGCCTGCGGATCATACCAATTTCGGTTGGTTGAGCCATGTTGTCGGGTGTACGCCTCAAAGTACGGGCTGAGGACGTTGTGTAAAAGCGAGTAGACTACTTCGTATGGTGAGATAACGTCTCCGCCGGTGTTTGCTTCACTACCGATGTTGTACGAGCCCGGGAGATTGAAGACTTGGATCTGGCTGGCAATCGACCTTCGTCCATCAAGAGGTCCAGAAAGTTTCAGGAAGGCAATCGTGGCAACGGTCGTTTGTGCAGGGGACAATTCGGATGAAAGGCTATAAAGATGTTCGATTTCTGCCAATTGGATTAGACTCTTCATCTGGACATGGAATTTTGTAACTGACTGGGAGTGTCATCGTGACCATTGACCAACTCTTCCCGCACGTCCTTCTGCGCATAGAGGGTAAGTTGAGGATCGGCTGCGAATCGAGCACATTTGTTGAGGGATTCGGGACGACTGGCTTTCGACAGAAGGCTGCCGACCGCTTCGAGCTCTCTTCTTGCGGCACCAAGGGTGGTCTCAATCAGATTCACGATATGTTCAAGGACGTCGAGGGGGTCCACGGGCTCCAATATCGCAGTAGGACCGGGATCCCCGTTGGGAGTGCTAGTCGAAAGGACGTCCATAGGGGATGGGTCTATCAGTCTGACGGGGGAACAAAATCGACGGCTGAGACATTTGCCAGCATGTCAAATGCCCTCCAACGCCGGTGCAATGCTGACAAGAACAGATGTCTGTGGCGAGGGAGGAGGTTTGGAGGGAGAACAAGAAAGAAATTGATGATTGCAGGCGTCGAATTGTACGAGTATCAACTGGGAATCGCGCAGGGCCCGCAGACGCGTTTTCTTTTGGAAGTGGCCGTGCATGGTTGGAGGCAGTCGGAGGCTCGAGAGGGTCCTGCCTGGTCCAAGCTGGTCCTGGTCCTGAGTGCCAAGGAAACTGTCCAGGCGGCGTTGGGTTCCTTTGGTACCCGCCAGCCAGTCAATTTGCGGGTAGGTGAAGGAAGCTAATAATCAGGCCCGATCCCCTGATGCGTGATGTGTCCAGGGGCCGCTCGAACACCTGCTCGAGCTACTGTAAAACACAGGTACGTGCCGAGTACCAACCACGTACACACGATGTCAACCAAGCACATACTGTATGTAGCTCTGATGCTATTCCTATTTCCAGTCCGCATCCGTTCGCTATATATGCACATCTCTGCAATATCCTGGGGTATCAAATGCAATGCCAGTTTAGAAAACGCTCCCAAATCCAATCCTTCATCCCTCATTGCTGGAGTCGTATGGAGTGCTCCACGCTCATTCTGAGCGCTGTGGATAATTCTTCAAGTCCTCACAAAGGTTTTCTCTTGAGCTCTGTTTGCCGAATCTCCTTTATTCGGCATTTCCCAAGTTCAAATAATTGCACTGCCACTCGGATGAGGGGTTAATGCACCTGGCCACGGATTCCAGCTGCCGGGACCATGGCCGTAGCCGTCTTTCCGGCGAAGTCAGTTGGGCGGAACCTACGACAATGGTTGTTCTGAGAGCCTGACCACAATCGGTCAAGTACTGGGACTTTCCAGGCTGGAACGGTCAGTGGGTGAATCTCCGTCCAGGCGCTGTTGTGGCGACCGCATCGTGCTCTTGAGGCTCTGCGCGGCAAATGTTGGAAATGTGTTGGTAGAGGTGCCCTTCCTTTCAGGGCAGACTTCCAAGGATCACCTGGCGACGCCGATTGATTTTCTCCTATCGCGTTGTTTGTCCATCGAATCATTGGTCATCGACCGGACCGCCATGGCATATTCGATGTCGACGTCGGAAGTTTCTTCAGAGGAGCGCCTATGCAGCCAACTGCCTTGGGGTTTGAGCATCTGCGTGTCACTCGACTCTCGTTGAGGGTCGGCATAATCTATCGCATCAAAAGGATTCTCGTCTGGATCGCCATCTCTCGAGCCATTTCGTGCGAGATCTGCAGCGTTTCCATTTTCCACATGAGCTGAGCGGGCGTGTTTCAGCTCTTCCCAGCCGGGCTTGATGTAGTCACTGTCAGGGCTGGGCAAGATTGGTAGAGGACCGACTGGTTGAGGCTTGTCACCATTGGGTGCAACAGACGGAGTGGCCCAATTGTTGGTGCTGTTAACGTCATCCCTGTGCTTCTTGTTTCGGTTGTCTGCCGCGTCCATGGCGAAGCTGCCGAGCCGGCTCATTTTAAATGCCCTCAATCGGTCCAGCGCTGTTTTGAAATCGTCCAAGACAACTGAGTCGGTCAAACACTTGAAGACAAAGGAAAGTTTCCAGAACGGGTTGATGCCCACGGGTAGCACAGACTTCAGAGCCGAGGTAACTGAAAGGACGTCAAGAACAATAAAGCATATGCTGAGTACCATGGCACCCAGCATGACAGCAAATCGAGGAGAGATGCGGACGATTTGCGTTAGAGTCAAGTCGTACTTGGTCTTGATGTTGTATATCAAGAGGCAGGCCGCCAAGATCCACCATGGATCCCGACATAGCGCTTCCCATGGCCTCGTCTTCAGGAAGACCTTGTTGACGTTGTGAAAATAGGTGAAGTTGGCGTATATCTCAACAATCCAGTACGGGATAACTAAAATAACAGTGCCGATGAATAGTCGACTGACCGTCTTGTTGAGAAAAGGTCTCAACTTCATCCAGGCGATCACATTGTGCAACCACCAGGAAATGTTGAGCGGAATGGCGGCTACGGAAAGCCACCAGGCGTAGACAGGCGGATTGAACAGGATGAAGAAGCCTTGCCAATACCCAAGGACGAGCTGTCAATCCCAAGTTTCTGGTCAGTCTCTTTAACGAGAACAAACGGCGTCGAAGAAGAGCAAGGCCTAACATACCTCGAGCAAAATCAGCTTGTGCAGCAGAACGCCTTTCCGCATATTTGCCAACGTGATGCAGGACATGATGATAAGTGATCCAACCATGTACCCTTGAGCTGTTGTTTGGGAAAAGTGTTGTTTGTCAGCCATTTGATCTTCTGGACGGGATTGTACGACAACCCGGATATAGGTCACTACCCACCCCACGCCTCAAGGACAAGTCCATTGGGGTCACTCGGTCTCTGTTCTGGATTATCGGGCTCATCGCGCCGAATCCAGGTGTGCAGGACATGTTCAATTGTAGGAATAGGGCTCATATTTGTCCTCTTTCCAGAGCACCGCAACCCGTGCGCAACGAGCAGAAGGGCGAAAATTCGATCGCGCCCATTAAGACTGAATGATCAGCGACACCCTGCGCATAGCAGAGCAAAGGATAGGGAAGGCCGCTGAGGGTCGAATTCTGAAGAGGACAGACAGGTTCTAGACACCGAAGGATGGGAAACGAGTCGACTGGCGACTTCAAGCGAGTGAAGAGAAGGAGGCTTTCGACGGACGGGTGAGAAGGTAGAGTTCGCTAGTTGGGCAACGAGCGATATCAAAGAGTTGACAGAGCTGGAGTCGAGGAGGAGATTTGGGTGTAAGGTGTAGGAGGTTTTGGACAGGAGGAGGAAGCGATGTAATGCTCATGGAGCCTGAGCGAAAAATGCGGGTGAGTGGGAGGTGGAGGGATCGGAGGGCTCGTTACTGGCCTTGTACCTCGTAGTCGAGGCCAAAAGGTGACAGAAGTGAAAAGATGACCCTCTCCACACCACACTGAACCACACCGACGACAGTGACTGAGTGGACACACACGCACAAGACCCAGACAAAACGCCATCGCGGCTTCTCAGACCCAGACCTGATCCTGGACTCCTGGGGGAATTTGGGGGCACGGAATTTCGCAACCAAATGTGTTGGCCGGCGGGGATGTGGGCTCACTGGGCTGGTCGAGGCGAGCGGCCAGTGGGTGTCAGTGGTGGACGAGCCGTCTCGCCGTTCTCCTTACGCCATTCTTCGGTCAATCCGTTCCTTCTCGGGTTAAAGCGAGACCTTACGAGGGCTTGAGGGGCTCAGGAGAGATCCTACTTACTGGCTACGGAGCCTGCCTACGGTATTAGGCAGGAGCAGGAGCCTCCCCCAGACCCAAGAAACTTGCTCGATCATTTGCTCGATGCTGGACAGCTCGCGTGTCTCGAGGGTCGATCAACACCCGACCAACGGTGCTCGTCTCCGCCCCTGTGTCCAGATCAATAACAAGTACATATCCCAACAAGTTAACAACGGTTACTTCGTACACCGCCTGTGGTCACAAATTGCGATTTAATCGAGTCGCCTATTATTTTAAGCGCATCGCTGGCTTTAATATTCGTTTCCCAGCTGGTACAGCATCGACTCCGGTCGCACAACCACGCTCTATTGTTTGGAGCTCTGCCAACGGAATATTTCCCTGCTCGCCTGGAGCAACCGTTGCGCTCTTCTGCATGCCTCGATTTTTCTGGGCCCTGAGACCTGCAGCAATCTTCCTTCGGCAACACTGATGTGGCCCATGCAGGGCAAGAAATGCAGATAATGCATGGGCCAAGCTTGCCGCAACCATCTCGCCGTGTCTCGTGGCTGTTGTGAACAGCAGGAGGTCTCCGAAGTGTCTTTCAAATCGTCGCCACTGGGGGCATCCATCCCGTTGGGAACTCGTGCGATCATGATTCATCTGATGACATAGAGTCTGATCACCAATGCGACGATTATCCGGCCAGCCGCCCCATCCCCATTAGCAGTCTATGTCAGGATAACTTGGACGTGTGTATATACATATGTATGCAACCCTTTCTGACAGAGAAAGAAAAGGCTCAAGGGTTTGTCGAGCATTCAGCACCACCGAGTCGCCACAGATGTGGCTACTTCTTAACAAGTACAATAAATCATGCAGTTGGTGCCGTTGGTCTGTTGCGGGGACCCCTGCTGATGCTGATCCTGGGCTGGTCCTTGGATCCTCCGGCTAAAAGCGCAATGAGGTTGAGCTTCGCCTCGGCGCCAGCTTAGCGGTCCTGGCCAAGTGGCCACCCAATCCGTCAGGCCAATATTCCTTTCGCTTGTGGGCGAATGTGCGCGAGGATGCGCCATCACCGCTGGACTCCGCGAGGAGTGTTGGTGCAAGTACTCCGCAGTTCCGTGACAAATTGAGGAACCCCCTTTTGGTTACCGATCACGATCCCTAACCCTCTTAAACGGCCCAGCAGGTCCTGTCACAGCTCCCCAGACGCAGGGGCTTCGTCCTGCATCATGCGTGCTTCACTTCACATCCCCCCCTATCAAACCCCCAGAGTTTTTCCAACGAATCCTCGACGCATGTCTCCTGTCGATCAATCGTTCTCTTCCGTTCAGTCGAAAGTTAAGCAATTTCCTACATTCTGCCCCCCTGCCAAAGTTGCAATGGCAGCCAGAAGAGACGAGAAAGATTCGCATATCAACGCGTCGAATCATCAGGATAAGCCCCGCTCTTGAGTCTCCATGCCTGCAAGGACGCCGGCTCCAATGATGCCGCCATCCCGAGCTTCTCTTAAGAAAACACTCTTGCCGCCGTCCTGAGGACCTGCTCTCATCACTAACCGGTCGATAAACCGTTGGCACTGTTCTTTGAAGTTGGGATAGTGCTGGATAATTCCACCAGTGTAAGCAATGACCAATTCTTCTGGTCCGGACTTCCAGGCTGTTGCACCGGGAGCCGGTGAAAGACCATCTCTGGCGTCACGCTGTGGCAGAGAAGGGACACTTGATTTGGGTGACGCTGGCTTGCTGTCGGTCAATACCATCCCGTCAGAAAGCGACGCAGGACTGCCAGGCTCTGACAATGCGATTTCGCCCACAGTAGCCAGAAGCCCGACTGTAGCGGCGGCAATAAGCCCGGCGGATCGAATCTGAACCATCTGCGCAATTTTGCGCAGCGCGCCGGCCGAATGCGGTGACCACCCCCAGTTCGAAGATTCCGGAGGAGGGATGCGGCGCTTCAATTCGCCAGCCAGTTCTGAATCTGACCGAGCCCGTGCAACCACTGCACTCACAAACGTGGTGCTAAAACTATAGCTGTGTACAATCGTCGCGGGAAGAGAGGCTGCGGGCACCGGTGGCTTGTGGGCACGCGTCATGTAATCAAAGAAAATGATGCGAATCAGCTCCCCAATGTATCGGCCTCCGGTCATGTATTCCAAAGGCTGGAAGCCGGGTCGCGCACATGCCTGATCCAATTGACGATCCCATTCAGTTGTAATGCTTTGTAAAGGCGCGCAAGCACCAGCGATTGTGATTTCTGTGTTCACAACCGTCTCTGTAGCATGAGGTTTGTTCATTCTGATCGGTTCGACTTTGGTCTCGCCCAAGCTGGAGAACTTCATGGGGATCGTGGCGTTGCATCCCGTTCCGACGATTATACCGGCGACGACCCGAGAATTCGGCAGGGACTTGACAGTGTATGCCAGTGAAGCGAGAGTCGCAATCGTGTCGTTGGAGATGGCCGTGATCTTCAGCCGAGGGAGCGGGCCGAGCTTTCTCCGCTTGGCCTTCGGGGACGAGCCTGTGGGAGACTGGCGGCGAGTGTGGCGGGCGTAGCCTTGCAACAGAGTAGATCCAAGATCAAGATCAGAACTGATGGTGAAACCTTTTCCCATGGGCATCAAGGTCGCGGACGATAGCTCCGTTTGCCTTGATTCGCGTGTCAGCACCTGAACCTTTGGATGCATCGTCGGACCTACATCATGGGAAAGCTGAAAGTGATGCCCATCGGGAGCTCGTCTGGAACGGGGACTTTGCCCATGTCCGAAGTCAACCGGTCCCCCACGACCTCAGCTATACAGTCGCCAATCCAGGCGAAGAGATCCTCTGTCTTATCCATCTTCAAATGCTCTCCAATGGGCCAGGCCTTCTCCAAGGTCCGCCGCACGCGAGGACGTTGAGCGTTGCGAATCGTCTCACGTGACCGTTCCACACCATTGGCTGTAGGCAGCAGCTCCTCCGTGTCGCCCAACAGTTCGATAAATGCCACCCGTAGATTAGTGCCTCCAACGTCGATGGCCAGAAATTGGCCCGTCTCATGTCCTGTGGGCAGTTTGGTTACCGGGGTAGGCAGAAATTGCTCTTCGGACCGTAAGGCTAGCTCTCCATAGACCTTGGAGAACTTGTAGGCCAGGTTGTGCACCAGGTTGTCGTCGATAAGCAGTGGCTGAACAAAAGCATCAAGATCATGCTCGAGATCATCAGGCGGCGGGCTTCCATTGCTGGCCGACCGATGCGAGGCCTGTTCCGACATGGCAGTAGACGGTTTTGAGATGTCGCAAACTCAAGTGGCTGAATGCTGGCACAAGTCGATACTTCCGTACGTTCACGTGCGAGGCAAATCGGTCAGCATCGGAGTAAAAGGGCGGTTCAAGGGTGGCCTCGCAGCAGATGTCAGGGGAATTGATATATTTTGGCTTGCCAGTGTCAGTTCGAGGATCAGGTTTCGGTAGCGGGTCAACGAGGGTTCATAGATGAAACAGGCACAGGATAAAGCGACCGTGCCCGTGAAGAACAGGATTCGATCGCTATATCTCGTGGATCAGATGTGACCCTGGGGAGTCGGAATGTGACGCTGGGATTGAAGAAGGGAAAAAGGGAAAAGTCAGCCTCAGGCCGTTTTCGAGTGCGAATCAGCAAGTGTGTGAAAAAGGGTTCAGGGCATCTTTAGGCGCACAGGCAGGCCCCAGCCGAGCGAGACCAACAGCAGCAGTTGTTCTGTGCACAAACGCGATGGTGGCTAATGAATGAGGCTTGGGAGGGGTAGGAATGGGGGAGAAAAGGGAGGGCTAGTGAGGCTAGACTGGCCATTTTACTGGGAGCAGTGGAGGCTACCAGGTACGTCTGATATTCCTACCGGGTACTGGGTACTCCAGACCGGCTGCCACATGGCTACCTAACTGTAGGTACAGTACTAACTTGGGTAGGGGGGAAGGTAGGGCTACCGCCACTTTTCGGAGCTTGCTATGGTACCCTGGCGACCCTAGGAGATGAAGTCATTCTGTATGCGTAAGCAAAGGTTCGAGAGGTCTCCTCGGCTTGATCTGGCCACCTTTTTTGCATAATTTGGCCTGCGATCACGGCAGCTGCTTTCCAGACTGGAGGATTCGGTGCTTGCACCTTGGATGGACGTGCCCCGGGTACGAGCTAGGTACTGAGCTCTGAGAAGTGGACTATCGGATTGCTATCTATCTGTCAAGCGCGTTTGTCATAACATCTCGAGAGGAGTGTCAAGCGACACTGACCCCAAAGATCTCGCATTAGAGGCATAGCTCGATACGTCCCAAATTTAGGTATAATAATGACGGAGTACTCCGGGGCGTCAACCGGTGCCTGCCACCGCCCTGCACTCCCCGTTGCTCCCGCTATGCACTGGTACTTGCTTACAGGCTCGCATATGTGCCAAGGCGCCTCCTCCCCTCATCTCAAAAAAGACCGGAACCCGCGAATCCACCGAGCGCCATCCAACTCACTCTTACACTAGTCCTGTACCCATCCATAATGGCTCTCCAACCGCCGCATTCCGACGAAAAGCTCCCGGCATACGAGTCGACGGCTCGCGTTGTACTCAAACAGCATGGCCCTCGACGACATTACCTCGTGAGGCGAGTCATCCCAGCTATCCTGACGATACTGGTGATATGTTCCCTGTTTCGTACTGCCTTCGTCTGTCACCACCACTACCACCCGCACCTATGGCGAACACCCGCACCCATCGTGGAGGATGAGGCCGCAGAGAGCAAAGTCCCGCTGGAAATACACGTCATGTCCAAGTGTCCCGACGCAAGGGATTGCCTGCGCGAGCTGATTGTACCAACGATGATCCAAGCCAATGAAAAGGTGGATTTCGCAATGTCATTCATTGGAAGGTATGCTATCCTGCACCTGGTCGCAAATCAAACCGCCGCTCACACAACTACAGCGTCGATCCCAATTCCGATGCGGTTTCGTGTAAGCATGGACCGGGCGAATGCCTGGGCAACATCATCCTCCTCTGCGCTGCGAAAGTCTATCCCGAAGTCAAACTCTGGCTCGGATTCGCAAACTGCATGATCACCGACTACCCCGACATTCCAAAGCGAGACCTTGTCCAGAGCTGTGCCATGGAACACGGTCTTGATTTCCAGCAGCTCAATTCGTGTATCAGCGAGGAAGGAGAAGGAATCGATTTGCTTCGAGCCAGCATCGAGAGAAGTCAAGAGAACAATGTCACAAGGAGTTGTACAGTCAGGCTCGCGGGAAAGGTGCGATGCATCCGTGACGGTGGGGAGTGGTATGATTGTCCCGGTGGCAGCTCCGTGGACGCTCTTGTTGACGATATCAACAATTTGTATGGCTAAGATGGCGCTTTGCTTCTTTGGTGATTTGAGTTGGCACTGGCAGATCGGGGCGTTGTTTACTATGCACGATACCCGAGCCCGACATGAGCGGCTCCCTAAGCTTCATCATCAACATTGTCTTAACAGATTGCGGTATGCACACTCAGATATGGTCGCTTCTGAATTGAGCCGGGACGCTTAGATGTATCTGAACATGTTCTCTCGAACACCCCTCTTCATGGCAACGGGCTTGCCGTCTTCAAGCTCAAGTCCAGCTTCTCCCCCATCTCCTGCAAGATTCTCCATAGCCTGCCGCATTTCCTCATCTGCTTCTGCCATGCTCTTGTGTGATTTCTTGAGTTTTTCCAATGTTTCTTTCTTTTTAGATGAGCCTGCTGTATTGGCTGCTTTGTCCCCAGATTCCATCTTAGTATTGGCTGAAGAAGTGAGCCGATTCTGGCTCAGCACATGATTCAGGACGAATGGTCGGCCACGGTAAAAGGCCGCGGAGAGAGGTAGAGCTCGTTGCTTCATTCCTGCATATACTCGAACTAAGGAGGAGGCTCTTCCGGCCTGAGATGGCCATGAAATGGTGCGCATTCGAGTTGAGGTTATCCTCGCCCCGTGGGGTGACAACCAAGATAACTCCAAGTATATGAAGAGCTGTCAACCAATGACGTGCAACATAGATGCCAAGCTCGGATGTTCTGTTCCAGCCAATGAGGCGCTGCGGCTGGACATCCAACGGTCGACGACCCTGGTCACCTCACATAACTTCCCTTTGTCTGCCTCCGTTGCCTGCAACTTTCGCCTTTACCTCACCTCCATCCCGTCTCATCGCTAGAGGATCCCCCGGCCGCCAGCTCTTGTCAGGGAAAGACTCGAATTGTGAGCGAACGAAGGAAGAGCACAAGCAGCGGCGATGGCGACGCAACAGTATTACGAGTTGTACCGGGGAAGCAGGTAGGTTTCCCTGTATCCTCTGGCGCCTGTTGAACTGTTATGGCGTCTATCGTAGAATGGGGCACCTTGAGAAACAAGCTGGAGAAGATGTTGACACAGACATGCAGTATCGGCGAGGCGCTTATCGATACAATTGACGATCTCATCAATGATGGCCGAATCGAACCCCAACTGGCCATGAAGATCCTCAGCAACTTCGATCGCGCAATCGCCGAGACACTCGCAGAGAAAGTCAAATCGAGATTGACATTCAAGGTCGGCATCGAAAACTGATAACCCACCTGGACTTACTGACATTCGCTGTAGGGACACCTGGAAACCTACCGATTCTGCGACGACGTGTGGACATTTCTTGTGAAGGACGTCAGATTTAAGAGTGAAGGCGGTCAAGAGTTCCATGCCGATAAAGTCAAGATTGTTAGTTGCAATTCAAAGAAACCGGGCGAGGCATAGGTGCTTTGATGAACGGGGACATCGGTCATTTCAACGGTGGTACTCTGTCAGCAGGACTGCGCGGTTATGGATGGCGCATGCCGACTTCAGACGTTGCTACAACATATTCTTTGGCCAATGGAAGAGATCATAACCGAGAACATTACATGGAGTTGACGGCTTGATATGGGTTATGGGCGCTCTGCATGAGTGAAAAATGATACCCCCTGGCTGGTTAGATTCTACTAAGGCTGCAAGAATGCGTCTGCCTACATCAAAAAAAATCTTGCGTTACCAACTTTTTAGGATGAATTTCATTCATAAGTCAGCTCCTCATTCTACTCGTATCATTTCACTCTTGAACGAAGGAGGGAGGACGAAAAGATGGCAGGGTACCGAGTAGAGGGTGGGGCAATCTAGCGGCAGTGGCAGTTGCAGCAGCTTCACCGCACGCCAGAACCCAGTTGTTCACACTTCGAGTCTTAACCCCCGATCATTGCCTTCAAGGTTCGCTTCAACCAAGAAGGCAGACATGCGTATAGCTCTTTCCAGGAAATGCCACCCGCAACGGGCAAACCCACCTTGAGCTTCTGCATATTAAGGTCTCCCAGGCTGTAACTGTCTAGAAAAACCAATGGCGCGCACCTTGCCGTGGATGGTGGACCATCTTCCGCCAGCAAAGAAAGCACGAGTGACTCCCGCGTCTCGTATCAAGCACGAGCGGGCATCCTCACCAGCCCGCAGCGAAAGGTCGGCCGATAATGTACCCGTAGCTGACTGGGGTAGTCCCTCAAAGGCAACTGCTTCGACGACGGACCGAAACCGTGAGTTCTCCAGAGAATGCGGCGAAATGAACTGCACTGACTGCTGGGTAGGGAGAACACCTTCATCCTCTCCTGTTCGAGTACCTCCAACCACAGAGTGAGTGCTTAAATTCGGCTACGCAGAGCTTTCTTTGACAGGTATCCCAGGCTCATGCGAGAGGGGTATGATGGCGACGACATCTATATCATGGTGGAAGACGAGTTCCAGACGGTAGCGCAGGCATATACCGCACATCTGCATCATGCTGAGTATAAGAGACTCGTCAAGCAAGCACGAGATGCAGCCCCAAAAGCTCTTCCTGAACCTACATCGCCCATGCCCGAGAAAACGAAGAGACGGCTCAGATCTGCCGCCTTGCACAAGAAGCAGAAAGAGACTTTGCGACGAGTCATCGGAAATTCGACTGTCGAAGATGATGAAGACGAAGACAAGATCACCGACTTGTGGTCTGGCACCAGTCTCGCTCCGCTGATGGCGAGTAGCAGCCAGCAGAAGATGTCTCTAGTTGGCTTGGAGGGAATCTCGAGCACTACAAAGGCCGGCATGGGCCTCACCAGAAGTCAGAGCCACAAACAAAGCATCAGACACTCGAAAGAAGATGGCCATGGCCAAGTCAATATCGCACAAAACGCATCCTTGAAACGAGACAATGTCAACCGGCTCTCGACCTCCCGTGTAATTCAATACAAGGCATCTCTACAAAACGGTCTACAGAACACGTGGACATCCCGAGCTTCCAACAGCAGTGTCCTAGACCCCAGACAGCCTCCTATGCACAGCAGACCTGAAGAGCGGCCTAAGAAGCACAGATTCGTTGTAGACCTCGATGATGATTCTTGCGCGGCAGCAACCGTGAGTGGATCTCAAAATAATGGACGCAAATCGAGAGCAACACCACCACCAACTGGCAAACCCTTGTCGAAAGATATAACAGATAAGGAAAAGGACAAGAAATCGCGACTCGAGGAAGTGCCAATGTTCATCATTTGATGTTCGCGCCAGACTTTGTACGTTATCCTATTTGCATAGCTTATCCAAGCTATTGTCCGGCATGACGGCCAGAAAACCACATACTGACCAGCGGAGAGCTCATCGGACAAATGGTATTTTGTCTACAGCCCGCCGTCACGAGCGAAAAGGTTGATTGTATGGGGACTTCTCTTGTGGGATCTCAATGCGTAGCTATTCTGTGCGCGGCTGAACAGTCCTGTCGCTGTGACTGTTGTCTTTCTATCCAGCAGTGTTCCCGGGAGGCTGTGTTTTCGAAGCAATGTACGTCGCTTGGGCATCTTCTCGAGCCTTTTCCACGAGGGTTGTGTTTCTGAGGGTCTTATATCAGCAAATGTTTCGTAGAAGGAGGGCGTTCTGGAGTCGAGTACCCGTCAACGTCTGTCCCCAAAGTGATATTCTCGCGACGGAAATCAGTTGGATGTCCCTTTAAGCAGTGCATATCAGCTTTCCATTTTGCATCCAATCGCCCTGTCCCTCCAGCAACTTACAATGATGATTTTTCTCTCCTTGGGAGTTCTTTGGAGGCGTCCTCGCAACTTGCCTTTGAGCCATTTGCGACCCGAGCGAAATTTGTCCATCGTGGCAGTCTTGAATCTCCGAAATGATGGCATTGACCGGTATGCAGCGAAAGGACAGGACTGGGTTTTCGTGGACTTGTGGGCGGGTTGGCTTTATTTGGTGGTCGGACGGGCGCCCTTGAGTTGAACTCGTTCCGATATACACCGACTGCAGGTGGTGAGCCAGAGCGTCCAGGCTTTGTTTGTCTACCTGACTTGGCCGTTGGAAGAGTAGAGGAACCGATTTTCGTTTGCCGCTCTATTATGACAAGACATATGCAAAGGAGTGACTGATGAGTTGGATGTGAAACGAAACCGGAAAGGGAAGGAAATATGGGAGACGAAGAACACGCAGCTCAGAAAGACAAGAAACTTGGAAAAGAGAGATGAAGGATCAGGCCATGACTTGGTGTCGCGGCGGTCAGGTTGCCTTGGTGAAGAACTGTAAAGACAAGGCGAGATGGAGAGGTGATGGCAGAATGCCTGGGATGCGGAGCCCTTCAAAATGTCAAACCGAGAGCTCAGAGCGCCTTCATTGTTCACCGACGCACACGCCCACACGAGCACACGAGACAATGGGAGATGATGTGCTGTTGAAGACTTTGTCCGCCCTCCAATGCCTCCGAGATGATCACGAACCAAGGGATCACAACTCCTTATATCCTGTAAATAGGATCAGGGCAAAAGTCAACCCTCGTCCTCGGATCGACAACTAAACAGAAGGATATGATTTCCAATACAACCGGCCCGGCACTCTCATGGCAGCACCTTCTGAAACAGTGGGACCGTTGACACAAACAAGCCACATTTTCCGCCTCTTACAAAAACAAAAAGCGTGGTCTGCAAGTTGTCGGTGCTGCCTGTGTTCCCAATTCCTCCCATTCCTCGGGTTGATCTAATGGCACGGGCAAAAGGTCGGGGGCTCCATTCAGGCATGTTGCCTTCGACGGCACTTGATTGGCATCTCTTCCAATTACCGGATTCCTCCGAGTTACACGACATGTGGGAGCAAGCAAGGAGGAAGGGCTTCCAGAAGATTGCCGGTTCGCAATGTTCAATTCTTCACGAATCTTCCCTCCCCTTTGCATGGCAGAAGAAAGGGGGAGCTGTCAGGACATTCAAGAGGAGGGGCACGAGTCAAGAAGGGATAATTGAATGCCATGCTGATCAATGGGGTATCGTCTCCATGGAAACCTCGCCTGCTTCTAGGCTGCGTAAGAAAGAATCAGGACTCGTTGCTCAAGTCATATATTCTATCATGGCGGCTAAACGACCGACTACATCTCTCAACGCCCCGAATCCTCTCAATTCAACATTTGCTTCACTTGGAGGGGACTCTCACGGGTGATTGGAATTGCCATCCGCGTCGTTGCGTCTCAAAGGAGGGAAAGAAAAGGCACCAGCACTCAATCCTGACTCGTATCCACTACTGCGGCCAACGCATACTTCTCATTTTGCTCCCTCATTTCCCTCGCAAACTCCCTCACATGCTCGGGGACATTTTCCACTCGATTCGCCTTCTCATCCCCTTGCACAACCCCTTTATATCCCACCGGCTCCCCAAAGCACTCCCACACCGGAATAACGCCGGTCCACACTGTGTCCCTGATATCCTCCCTCTTCAAGTCCTTGAGCTCGTCTCTCGGCCCGCCAACCCTGACTTTGCCGCTGCCGCCGACAACCTTGACCCTTAGGATGCTCGTGCTCTGCATTTCCGCGCCGTCCGGGGGGACTCGCGTGTGGCGCCACCGGTCGCGCACGACCGAGTTCGTGACCTGCTCCATGGCCCAGAGCTTCTCCTCGACCGACGTCACCAGGCTAGCGTAGCCGAACAGAGTGGCGGAACGGTAGTTGACGTCGTGCGTGTTGGGTGTGAGCGTCAAAACGAGGCCGTCGACGAGCGTGGCGGAGATGGTGACGGGCAATCCCTGCGCCGTCGTTCCATCACCGTCTGTCGCTGCAGGAGGAGGAGGCGACGACGTCGAATTCTGTGGCCCGGCATTGCGCGACAGGTTCATCAGCCTGGAACTGACGTAGCCATGCAGGTAGACGTCGAGCGGCTCGCCCAGCGACGCCGAGGGGTGTTCGAAGCTCGCGGCCACGCCGACCATGGGCAGCGTAACGGGAAACGGATTCGACGCGTCCGGCGTGTTGAACGAGACGTGCACGACCGTGCTGGTGTTGATGATGGTGTGGATTTGCTCAAGGTCGTACGTTGCTGTGTGTATCCCAAGAGTGTGTGAGTGTGTGGTTCCGTGATGATAATGCCTCGACCAGAAGGGGGGAAGTAAACGGGAAAAGAGTTAAAGCGAAGGAAACTCGAAATACAGGTACGCCATCGATGAAGAGGGGGGGAAGAAAAGATATCTCCCGCCAACAGAAATGTAACCACGACACAACACGACATCTAACCTGCCTGTCCGTCCCTCCGCGCGCTCGAATTCCAAGGAGAAAAGAATGATTCCTCCTTTGGCGCCCTCTACCTCCATGGGTCCTTGTTCCTTGCACACACAGACACGGACACAGAAACACAGGTAAACACGCTCTACCTCTCATTCTCATTCTCACCCGGAAGGTTGACACATGCTTGCGCTGCGGACTTGCTTACCTCGCTGATTATACCGATTGACCCTGTTGACGGGCGTCTTGGGATACTCGAGGGTCCTGCCGTGGCCCATCTCGATAGGCAGACAGATAGACAGACAGATAGACGGATGGGTGGATACAGGTTGTACAGGATGGAAAGATAGGTAGGTAGATAGATATATACTATCTCCGGCTGGATGGATGGATGGGGATGAGCGTGGTTCTTTCCCGTTTTCTTCTCTCCTTTTATCTTATTCAGGCTTGTGGTTTGTGGCTTGTGGTTTAATGTTGCAGAGACAAATGGATTTTAGCGTGCGAAGGGGAGGAAAAGAAGAAGAAACGGAAAATAGACAGGTGAAAAATATATGTTATTTATATTGTCGTCTCCCCGTTTCCTCAGAGAAGGAATGGCAGACGTTGGACCGCGGATAGATACCCACAGGTGCATATACTGGGTACACGTATATATATAATCCCACAATCATGGTCATGGTCATAGTCATATAGCATCTCTTTAGGTCACAGAATCACTATCAATCCCAACCCAGGGGCACACAGTATGCACCCCATTGATCCAATCCCCAACCTCCACAGCAAAAGTCTGGCAAAGATACCGAGTAGTCGGAGCCTTATCAGATATTGGTAACCTGCGCCATGCACGCTCGCTCGCGGTAGACTTCCCCTCCTCTCTTTTCCATTTCCAGTCAACCAATCCCAGTTCTAATCATCTGCCCGTTGACTGGCGGGCTCGCTGGGCCGGTCGCGAAGGGTGCTGAAGGTGAAAGGCTAAAGCCGCAGAAGACCGCACCCCGCAAATAGTAGGTCCACCCGAGCACAAAGCGAGAAATAAGCGAATCGGCAAGGCTCGCGAAGATAAGGAGGTCGTGAGTACATGACTCGCTGTAATATCAGAGTTGACGCTGTTCTCGCTTGGGCGTTCAAGGCATATAAGCGTCCGAGACGACTTTATGTGCAAATGAATCCATGCCGTCTTTTCTTCTTCTGCGGGGCATCTGCTGGCAAAGGCGAATGGACCTGAGGAGACAGCATGCACCCTGTTGGCGTGCTCATTGACGTATGTTTACTAAATGGCCTCTCACATAGGTCTCTCTAATTCAGCGCCTTAACAAACTATCGATGTATTTGTTTGCAGACTTGAATGCAACCTGTTGCAATCGTATCACAATTTGACTCTTTCTTGGCTGCCGCTGAGCCTTCGCATCTGAGGTCGGAAACTTGGACTTGCCGCCAGATTCACGCTTCCCGACGGCTGACCTTCCAAACTCGATCCCTGACCAGGCTCATTGGTACCTTCGGAAACTGAGCTCCTCGCCGAAGACGCCGTATTTGACGCATGAGGCTGAGCTGATGGGGCGCGACCACGCATTGGCCCCGATTGTTGCTGCTGGCCTGCTCGTTCGCGATTTAGAAGCCATTGCACTTGTGATCTGGTGCTGAATAATGCGGCGTTGGTGTGGGCTAACTCTTCTTTTATTCTTAGTGTTTCATTCATAATCTGCATTGAAGATCGAGCGTCTAGATCTGTGAGTGCATTAGACATCGTTGAAACGTCATGTTCCAGATTCGACACGGTTCCGCGCAAGGATTCGTGCAACGCAAGGAGGTGCTGTTGTGTTTGAGAAATGGAGGAAGCCTCCGGGTCTGGGGAGGGTGTCAAGGCGCGAAGATGTGCTGGCATGAGAAGATCACGGTGAGATACGGCTGAGGGGATGTGATCTCGTTCAATCTCCTCGATGTCCGAAGTCTCACCCGCCTGAGAATGGTCGGAAGGACCAATATGAGGGAGGACACGGTCATTGACAATGTCGTTTATTTTGTCAAAGCCAGCCTCGAGAACTTCATTTCGGACTTTGACCATGGCAAGCTGTTCCTGGAGAGATTGAAGCAGTTGCGCCTGCTTTTTGAGGTACGGCGCCATGCGAGCCAACGGACATGTCTTCACGTGATGGTCGCGATCATCGGGATGGAAATCGTCTGTACAGCCGTGTCCTCTGCCGGGACAGAGGTGATCTTCGTCGGCGCCGCAGATATGGCCGGTAATTCCATTCAGATAGTCCCTAGCCGAAATTCTCTGGCCACATCGCTTACACTTGACGCCCGTGTTTGGACAGTCTTCATCCTTGTGTCTCAGCCAATCGCCTTTGCCCAGTTCGATGACGGCGCCGCAGTCGCATTCAATGTGGGAGGTGTGGATGCACTGTTCCGGCACATAATTCTTTCGTTTGACCAATTTCCCACAGTCTGGATCCGGGCACTGAAGTCGCTCATGCGGACACTCTTTCGTTGCGTGGCGCTCGACGTAGCCTCGTGCGACGACCTCTTCACAATCCTCATTGGGACACTTGACTTTGATATCATTGCACATGTTGATGATCAATCGGGAGGCCTTGTGGGCCGTCGACAGCACGAAGGAACGACAAGAAGGACACTGATTGCGGGCCCCGTTAGAACCTCCTTCTCGATATTCTTTCAGGCATGAGTCGCAGAAGGTGTGATCGCATTCGAGGACAACGGGCTCGATGAAAGGGACGTGGCAAATCGGACACATTAAATTGCCGTCATAGTCGGCCACATAATCGAGCGCGCGGAGGTCGATGGTTTTCTTCTCAACGTCCCTAAACAGCGGCTCGTGGGATAGAGAGGAAGGAGATCGCGGAGGTGAGACTCGGGGACGAGAGCGAGCGAACTCGGCAAAGAGGGTGTCGAACTGCGACTGAAGCGGACTCGGTGAGGGGGAAGAGCCATAGGCTGGGGCGCCAGGGTATCTCACATCATCACCATCATCCATTTTGAAAGTTGGCAGGATTGAGACGACAATCTAGAGGGAGGGAAGAGGAGAACCTCGCACTCGGCAGCCAGAGGGGCATGTTTTAAGAGAGGGCGCTGTTTGGTTGAAGTCGGTGTGTGTTGTTGGAAGTGAATCGGAAGACGACGTGTGGAGAAAAGATTCGTCGCCTCGGGATTTGATGACGGTGATGGTTGGGTGACGGGTGTGTTGTTCCTGGGTCTGGGCCTTTAACTCGCCCTAAGGCCCTAAGTGGAATGGGGAGGGGCACACCCAAAGGGCACTATAGGTGACCCCTAGGCGACCCTTGGGCGACCCTACTTGTTAGGTAGATGCCCCCCAGCCTATATTTCCGGCTCCTGGTGCTTGGCAAGTGCAACTTCCGCCCACCCGCCCACTCGCCGGCTGCTGCTACTTGCCCCGGACTTTCCGCTGCTATTCTTTCTTCCAGGCAAACAGGCTTCAGCTGACCCGTCCAGGTGCGCTCTATACAAAAGAGCCTCTTGCCCCATGCGATTCGTCCAACTCTGTGAGACACTCCCTACATACGACATTCACGATCCTCGTCCAATCCCTCGTTCTCTGTCTCTTGCCTTGGTATCGACCCCGGGAACATCCTGCTGTCACCTCCAACCTCCCCCGCAACACTTCGCCTCGAACCTCGCGCCCAGTCGGACCTCGCAATGTCCAATCCATCCCAACTCCTTCTCCTCGCCGATCACATCAAACTCTCTCTTCTCGAGCGCCAGCGCGCCATCTCGCTAAACCTAGATCTCAACCCCTCGCAAGACTCCAACATCGCCCGCTCATTAGAATCCTTCCGAGAAGGCATTGAAGCCCTCTCCAACCGCTCTCCCGAAGACGAATCGCTGACACAACTGTGGAGTCAATATAATGACCTGTCGCTGCAGTTTCACGGAGAAAGTTCCACAACGACCGAAGAGACACTCTCTTCACCCAATGATCCGGCATTGAAAGAAGACTTTGAACGCGCAAAAACCCGGAAGCCTAGCGATGCCTCGCAACAACAGAGAGCCTCCAATTTACGGAAACAAGATGCGGCGGGGGCGCAGAGTCAAGGCGCCAAAAACGTCCGTTTCCGTGATGACCCCTCCCAAGAATCCCTCGATGCCCAAGATGAGGCGAACCGCGCCGCCCTCTTCCCTGCTCGCTATACGGACGAGGAGGGCTCTCGCGCTCGTACCCCAGACCCCACCGAAAGCATGGACAACCAACAAATCCACGTCTACCACCAACAAGTCGTCGCCGAGCAAGACGAGCAGCTTGACCGGCTGGGCGAGTCAATTGGCCGTCAACGTCACTTGGCCATGCAGGTGGGCGACGAGTTAGAGGGTCAGATCGCTCTCCTAGATGAGGTCGACCGGGGAGTTGACAGGCATCAGGGTCGGCTAGATGGGGCAAAGAGACGGTTAAAGGGTGTAGGGGAACGGGCGAAGCAGAATTGGGGCATGACTACCATTGTCGTACTGATTGTTGTTTTGGTGTTACTGATTGTATTGTTGAAGTGAAGCGATCTCGGGGAGGCGAACAATGCATCGTGCCTGGACAAGAGCAGGCAATCATGTATAGGTGGGTATATCGACAGGAACATTGGGCCCTTGGTGGTTTCTGGGGCCCCAAAGCGAACGAAGCGAGAGGAAGGGCGGTTGTTTAATATCCATGGGCGAGGTTTCCTTTGCGAGGCCGATGACGCATTGACATGCCACTCACTACATGCCTCCCGTGTTCCTCAGCTGTGCCCAAAAGCAATGAGAAAATACTCGATCAGGGCCAGAGAGGGAGGACCTACGGATGATACGAATCTCACTGGCTAAGTAAGCGATACCTTTTGGCCTTTGTCGTACCGAGTAAATTACAATCAATGAGAGCGGAACGCGGAAACGCGAGCCACAAACCAAATGTGTCGGGAAACGACTCTCGGCCTCACATGGAATATTCTCAGCCCACTAGCCTCAGCCTTGCCTCGCCTCGCCTTGCATCCATCTTGCTCTGGGTCTGGGACCGGGACTGGTCTGACTCTGACTCTTCAAGCGAACGGGTTTCTTGTTTCTTGTTCCTACCTAAACCGTAGCGGGCGACACCGATTTCCCGAGAGAGAGGAGAGAAAAAGAGAGGGAGAGAGAAAGAGAGAGAATGGTCTGTCCTGTTCGCTGAGTTCCCTAATGCAATGTAATCAATGTAACAAATGCAGTTCTATGCTCTAGCTCATCGGTCCTTTTTCCGGAGCCTTCGTCAAGCATTTCGTCTCCATCAAGCACACCGCGTGAATGTCATTGCGGCCTTCCCTGCCTTCGAGAATGGCGCATTCGTTTGTGTTTTCCCACTTAATTCGAGATGCCTGTCGGCCTCTATGGATTGGATTGGCCGGCCAGTCGTCTCGACATCAAAGGACCATCACCTCACGACAGCTCCCTTCAGCGTCTGAACCGTACATCTCCCTTTCCCCTCGACAATCAACCACCCTTTCTTCTCCTTGTCGCCCTCAATCTCCACGCCCGGTCTTCCAGCATCAAATCCAACGACACACTCCTCACTCGTGAAGAAGCCCGGTTGCACACTCTCCCACACTTTCTTCTTGGGATTCAATTGCTTCTCAGGTCCCTTGCCTTCCCCATACGGCCAACTCTCAAAGTAGACTGCATCGCCGGCCTCGCTTCCCTCCGGAGGGTTGACCAGTTCCACAGTGCGATCGGCGGCGTGCGGATCTGCACCTTCTTCCATCGGCGGGGATGCAGCCAGTACCATCGCTGCCGACTTGATGCTCCGCATATTCACAGGCTTCAGGTTGGCCACAACCACGACTTTCCGATTTTGCAGTTCCTCCAAGGGCACTAATCCGTTGAGGCCTGAGCATACTGTCCGCACAACTTTGCCCGTCTCCTCGTCGACTTGGGTATGTTCCGTCCCTTCGGGGTCGCCCATTGCAATGGTGGAGACATAGAGGGAATCAGCATTCGGATGCGCGATCGCGCGAAGAATGTGGCCGACTCGCAAGTCGATGAGGGCGGGAGACACAGGTGCTGCAGGCGTGGCGGGCGCTTTCGGCGGTTTGGGCTGTTTGGGAGCCTTTTCTTTCTTTTTGTTGTTGGCGGTAGTTCCCTCTGCGGGTGCCGGAGCTGAGGTGTTGGATTTGACATTCTCGGCGATCTCATGGTTGAGGGCTGCCTTTGCCTCGGCGGGGATGGCCTTGTCAATAGGTCCACAACTCGATGAGGGATCCATCGTGGCGGGCTGAGGTTTGGTGCGGCCGACGACCAGAGGTTTGTGTTGTGCGGGAGTAGAGGTTGACGTTGAAGTCGAAGAGACTTCGGACGTCATTGATGGTATGATGGTCAGAGAGGGTCCGGCAAGTAAACCTTGGTCAACGCTGTGGGTAGAAGACAAGGAAACAGGAGATGCTATCGGTTTCTTTGGTAGGATAAAATTTTCAAGTTGACTGTGGCGTGGAGGGCCGATCAACCGCGTGGTTTCATTCACTCTTGCGCGCTTTGCCTGGCCCTGGAAGTCCGCCTCCACCAAGGTCGTGATGTGTGTTCTTTCTGATCTGTGCCTTCCCTCCTCTGGCGCAGTCGTCTGGAATCTGTAGGGTTTTGGAAGCGAAATACGTTCAAGGGTGGGTGCACTTCGCACGCTGCGCGCAGGGACCGGCGAAGTCGAGAGTTTGTGTTCGCTCGGGGGAGGTGGAGGGGATCGCACAATGATCCTTCGGCGGCGCTTTACGGTGAGCTGAGGTTGAGCGTGAGATGGCTGACTCCTAAGGGAGTTGATTGAGGTGACTGAGGATGAGTGGTGGGAGTCAGAGTCACGCAGGTCGAAGCCTGATGGGCGTGACTGGAACCGGGACTGGAACTGTGCGGAGTCGATGAAAATTTGTGACTGTGGTGACTCTGTGGCACTTGCACTGCTTTTTGGGCCTTGCACGCCAATGAAAGCAGCTACGATCTGGCCATTGGATGTAATCAGGTTCTTGCGAATTCTGTTCCCATGCCGCCTGAGAGCATTCATAGCTCAGATTAAACAAGAAGCGGTATGTCGTGGCGATGTCTTTCACATGGGAAATGTGTGCTGGCAGAAAATAGTCGTCTTTGGCGCCCCTTTTCGAGCAAAAACATCTACTCCGTAATACACGTTCCGAAAGATCCCATTTCGTTGCCCACTTGATCGATCTTCCCCTTCTCCAAGGCACGAATGCACAGATTCTTTCGTGCACTCACGATGACAGCTCTGTAGTCTCGGCGGTTTGCTTCGAGGTGAGTGTCTTGGGCAAAGCAAGGGTTTGACGGTCGGATAAGTTTGAATCAAGTGGTTCTGCAGATCGCGCGTTCACTGACTCGTATCGTTTTTGCTGAAATGTAGCTCCGGATGAAGACGAACATCCCGTCGGACTCCTCGGACTATTGTGAGACGGTGCAGATGGTTTGGGGCGCTTGGGCTGGAGCAAAGGGAACATTGGGAAGAGATATCTGTGAGTGACCTTGCTGTTCTTCCTACCCCCTAAGTCTAACTACTCAAGGATGAACTTGGAGTGAAGATTCTAGGTATGACCACTAACTTGATCTTTTAATATGGTATCTTTGATAGACTATAGTAGTAAGCTATGGAGAGTATGCCGAATACTCTGTACTTGTTCTCTATATCCCAGGATGAATACAAGCACCTCCGGTGGAGAATAATGGCTCACGATTCTCCACAGAGTCCCCTTTCATTGGTTCACACTACTATATTGCCTGGATCTGATGGAGCTCCTGCATATCAACCGAGTCATCCTTCTTCTCTCCTGGCCTCTCAGTCACTTTCAAGAAGACCCAAACTTCACCTACTATGGCCCCCTGTTCCGCCTGTACTCGGTACTTCGCGCATCGAATTCCGTGATAAATCAGTTCTCTTCCAAGGTCTCGGAGTAGCCCCTGCTCTCTTCTTCGTTCTCCGTAAATATTCCCTATCAAGAGTTTTTGTGGTGACAGAAGACAAAATCTATCGAATGCCTAGACGAGGCTGTATATGACCCAGGAGATCAATTGCTTTATGATCGCAAGGCTGGCGCCAAGGCTTGTAATGACAGCATAGCGGTCCCGCCGTCCGCTTGAATATAGGCCCGATCCGTCGGCTATTATGTGTTGTGGATATATACTGGTCTGACAATCTTCCTAGACCGGGCGTCGGAAGACCGGAGACGTTCGAATACGATGAGTGGACTAGCATGGGGATAGGGGAACAGAATATCTGCATCTTGTTCCGTGTTCCTCTTCCCTCTCATGCGAGCTAATCTACCTGCTCTTTTGGCTGAATCATCATCGTCATCATTATCACCATGACTTGCCCTATCGCCATCGTTACAGGTGGCGCGTCTGGCATAGGCGCAGCCCTCGTTGAACACCTCGTCTCTCTGGGATGGAACGTGGTGATCGCAGACATCCACAAACCAAAGCACTCCCTCCCGGGCACCTTGTTCGTCCACACCGACGTTTCCTCCTGGGAGCAGCAGGCCGACATGTTCAAACAAGCCTACGCCTGGGGCAAGCGGCTAGACTTCTGTGCGCTGAACGCGGGCATCGATGACCGGGACGACATATTCAATACGCTCTCGTACGACATGCACAAGCCGCCCAAGAAACCGAACACAGACACTTTCTCAGTCAATATTACTGGAACGTACGCGATATTGAGCTTTGGCATCCTTTCCCCCTTCCCTTCTTTTTTTTTTCTTTTTTCTTTTTTGGCAGCGAAAGGGGCTCATAGTGACTAACCCTTCGATCTAAATGTATAGATACTATGGCATCAAGCTCGCCGCGCACTACATGACAGTTCTCAGCGGAGCGGCAGGCAAGCCGAAACCGGGTGGCAAGATTGTCGTCACCGGGTCTGGAGCAGGGCTATTCCCCAGCCCCGCCATCCCTCAGTACACGGCCAGCAAGCACGCCCTTATCGGCCTCGTGCGCGCGCTCGGCAAGAGCGAAGCTGCGGTCGAGGCCAACGTGCGCATCAACGCCGTCTGCCCGGCCATCGTCGACACCGGCGGCCTGCCGCTAGGCCTGCTAGACAAGCTGCTCCCCGGTCAGATCACGCCGATGAGCACCATCCTGCGCTGCTTTGACACTCTGGCCGATCTGCGCGACGTGGGCAAGGAAGACTGGGTCGAACGCGGTCCAGCGGGCGAGACGCTCGAAGGCAATGTTCAGGATTTGATCTGGCATTATCCGCCGGACAAGAAGGTGCATGGAGAAAAGGGCAAGACTTCGAGAGAGCCCGGGGCCTCCCAACCGAAGGGAGAGCAGATTGATTTTTGGTAGATGGACGTCCCTCCCTCTCTCTCTCCCTCAACGGGTTTCAAGTTTTTACTCCTGCGTACCTGCCCATGACCGTAATGAAGATAGACATATATGAGTGGCCAGGCAAACTGTCGTAATATAGATAATACAGTACAAGACTGATCCCTTTTTGGTTTGCTCAGAACGATGGCGAATTTCAGAACCGGATCCGGCTTCCAACGAATGGAGTATTTGTCTTTTGCCTCTGGTTCAAAAGGATGGAGGCAGTCAGTCAGTCTTACTACTTAGTTAGGCTGCATAAATACCGAGGTGATCTTCTGGGGGTATGAGGCTGGGGAAGAAACGGGGGTTGGGAGGGCCCGTGATGGAAGGCCATCCATCTATCTATCCATCCATCTTACCCTACTGCGAGAAAATGATTGTTCCTTGTGTGTGAATTAAGTGATCCAACGCCTCAGGGATAACTGCTAGTTTTGTTGGTGTGAAAACTCAATTGGGCTATCTTGAGGCATGGTAGTACATAACGACGTGTTAATCTTTGGGTTTAGGCCCACGACCTCCGTACTGTGCTCTCCACAAGGCCGCGCGCCAAAGCCCTGCCCCAAACCCACCCGTCGACATGCTATCCTCTGCAGCGAGGGACTGGCAGCAAATAACCCTTTGATTTACTTTTTGCCACAAACCCCCCCACAACCTCGGGAACTCCATCTGGGCCTCAAGAGTCTCCCTGTTCGTGCCCAAAAACCGGAACGCCGTGCAACCTAACCCGATACAAACAAGTAAACTCCGCGCCGTAATTCCCGATCACCCTCAGCACGAAATTTTGCGCCCCGTACGTCAACGCGCCTTGGTTCACGTCCAGTGGAAATGACTGGACATGACTCGCTTCGCTCGAGGCATCGTATTCCATCTTGCCGAGCAGTGCGTAGGTGGGTCCGAAGGGATTTCCCGCCACGCCCTGCATCGACCTGATATTTAGCTTCTCCCACTCAAGACTGTCCAGCTGTTCAAAGTCGGCCCACAGTTCGATGGTTTTGGGAGTTGAGCCTGGCAACAGAGAACCGGCGCTGGGGTAGTTTTCGATGACCACTTCGGTGGGATAGATCATTTCTATCACTCTCACGCCTAGTCTCATCGTCTCATGTCCTTGTTCTTGGTCGTCGCCGAGCACAGCTGAGGCGCACCAACAATCTCCCACATCTTGCCACGGAGTGAGAGCTGTAATTGGTGGCCTGGTCACATACCGCGTCGACAAAAGCATTCGCAACAGCACTCGGCGCGCGAGTGTCAGTGGCTTTTGCATGGTTGGCGAAGTTAGTCGCGGCTCAACCATGGCTCCGTTATTGGGTGAGAAATAGTTGACTTTGGGAATGACTGGGGAGGCAACATCGCCAGACAAGGTTCTCGATCCGCCACCCTTTTTCAATCCTGCCATGTGACTTGACAACTCTGAATGTTGTCTTTTGAGGGCTTCAACGTCTTTATCAACCGCTGCATATTGTGCGTCCATTTTGTCGGTTAGTCGTGTTTCGAGGATCCGAAGTTGTTGGTTGATGTTGTTGATTGCCGATGTGAGTTTGGACAAGTCATTTCCATTGCCGACTGTAAAGTTGAGAGTCGCCGCGCTCGGGCTCCGGGTGCATGTTCCGCAGTATTTCTGGAGAGTCAGGCCAACAGGAGAAGTTGATAGAGGGTCGCAAATAAAATTAGTGTAGGTGTAACATAACAGAAGGCTTGCTCCGCCGACAAAAAGCGAAGCGAAAACAATGCTGGTCATGATGGAAACAAGAGGCGAATTTGGGAAGTCTCGGATTGCTCTGCCACTGAGCCGCAATAATCGTGTGAACCAGTCTGATATCGAAAACAAGACATCTGATGAGCTGTGTCGAATTCGTTGGACAGCATCTTTGCTGCTATTCCACGCTTTTTGAATCCATGGGTCTTGCCGTTCTCGAATCTTGATGTTTGGTTTTCGGATTCCCCGCTCATAATTGTAGCTGTGATCGAATATCCCGCTGGGGAAGCTGGAGGGGTCTGTTTCCTTGCTGGTATCATTGTCAGGTGTACTCCGAGCCACGGTCTCCTCGCCTTCGCCTTCGCCTTCGCCTTCGCCTTCTTCTTCTTCTTCTTCTTCTTCTTCTTCTTCTTCTTCTTGTTGTTGTTCTTTTTCTCCCGCTTCTTGACCTTCTTCCGGTATCCCATTTAGGCGGTTATCGTCCAAAGAACTGGCCCATGCTGCTACCCGCTGACTCCGCTGTTGCTCGGCGTCATCGCTAGCCACGGAGGCTTCTTGAGAAGGTTCGCGGGAAGCTCTTCGTCGAGCCCTTTCGGCCCGAGAATCCTTCTGCAGATTTGCATGGGTCTCTTCAATATGGTTTTGAAGATGTTGCTGCGCTTGTTCGACTCCTGCATCGATGGTTTCGGCCATCTCCTCTAAGTTCATCCTACTGCGCGCGACCAACTGGGTGGGTAGCACGGGCGTTTTGCTCGATCCATAGGCATAAGACTGCTGAATTTGCACTTCGGGGAGTCTCGGGTTGTTGACATTACCATCTGCTAGGGTTGGTTGTTGAGAAGTTCCTCGAGTGACTCGCCGCGAAATGACGCCCTCAGGGGCGACGGCACTGCCCGCACGAATCGATGGGTTTGCCGGTGAATTTGCACGTACAGGCGTCGCACTTGACATCCTCGCCGTAGATCGACGAGGCGCCATGTTGTGGTGTTATGGCACGGAGGTCTGCAGCGATGCTTTGTCCGACCTTTGATTGACAAGTTTTGGATTGTAGGAATAAAGCGCAAAACCCGGCCGTGAAGTGCGGAAGGAACCGATGAACTCTCTCTCTCTCTGTGTGTGTGTGGAAGGTGGTCACTGCTCCGCTGACCCATGGGCACCGGGGTGGGAATGAATTCGAAAGATACCGTTCATCGAATTCAGTCGCAAAAGACAGGGCTGGATTCTATCCACAAAACCAAGCTTTGTAGTCGTTCCGGACAGTTTTGGGAACACGATATCACAGAGATGAATTTATTGCGCGCGACGAGAAGGAAGTCCAAATTTGGGATGAGCAGTTCTCGAGTCCAGATTGCGTGAAGGTGGTGAAGCAGAGCTGAAGGAAGATCCGCTAGCGTGATTAAGATTTTATCGATGGGGTGAAGGGAGCGGGAGTGGTCCCGGCATACAACTCAGTGTTTCAATCCAACTTTTTTCATGGCGACTTTTGAAATCTTTCTGAGTCTTGTTATGTTCTCTGTTTAGAAGAACGCGTCGATATGCGGATTCGAAGTTCGAGGTTGTCTGTCACATTCCAGAAAAAACTTTATTACTAATCTTCGGCTAAGTTGCCCTCTGAGAGCCAGTCCATTTTCGGACCAACCGCTGAGCATCCTCCGCTTCTCTGGACTCCCTTTTACCGACTTACCGGGATCGCATTGCTGTTCCAATCCCTTGTCCCCGGTCCGCCTGGTCCATCCGCATGGAGGTAGTTACCCGGGATCTTATTCAGTAAATCAGCCACCCCGAAAACACCTTTACAAGCAGTCCAATCCCCGGGATTCAGGTTTGACCGGTCTGGATAACTTCCTCCATGCAGACTTGTTGACCCCGATATTCCGAGTCTGCCTTGGAACGTTGTCCAGAGCTGATCGCTGATCGGCTGCCCTTGGTCGTTGAGCCCAAGCTGTCTCCAGTTGCTCTCTGGCATTAGCCATGGACGCCACATTTGGTCTAATTTTGTGCCTGAATCAAAAAGGGGTCCGATTTGGAGCTCGCCAAAGAGCACCGTATTTGCAGAGAATTGCGTCACCCAGTCGCCCGTGAATGATTTCCGATTCCAGATCCCGTGTCCAGCAAGGGCAACGGAGGCCACTATAATTTAAGAGTTTGGTCAGCGTATCGAAGATAGGTCTGTCGATGATGATGATGATGATGATGATGATGATGGAAAGACCGATTGGTATCGCACGAAGCAAGAGGCGCATGTCTGCAAGGATCGCTTTTTCGCCGTTCAGCTGCGAGCCGGACAATACTTACCAGCGTGGGAGCCATTTGGCCCATCGTGATAATCCACTTCATCCGCCTTGAAAGGGTTGGGATTACCATCAGCCTCGAAATTAAATAAAATTCCTGCTTGGCAAATCCATCCGGCTGACTGCTATCCGGCTTCAATGTGACATAAAAATGCTCCACGTCGGCCTGGTGATAGCCGATGTTCCAGATAAGAGCAGTGAAGCCGGGCAGGCGGATAGTCTGGCCGGGCTGGTAAGCATATAGGAAGATGTAAAGGATAGTAATCGTCCCTTTGTCTTTATTCTCTTGGACCGCATAGTATATCGGCGCATCCCCTAGAGGCTGACCGGACTGGACGCAGTCGGTGACATTGAGAAAGTAGTCTGGGGATGAACGAGCCATGAGGTCGGCTTGTGTTGGGTTTGAGATTGGGGGGATGTTGGCACTCAAATCCGCCGCCAGGTAACAGTTGCAGAAGGATTGGTTAGAGTCTGTTCCACACCAGGACAACCAAAATCTTCCTTGGAAGAATGTCAAGGATGGCACCGAACCTGCATTTGGGATCTCTTGCGTGTTGATCCAATTCACCCCATCTATGCTCTGAGACGCGTAAAACTGAGAGCTGGTATTAGAGCTGTATGCCCACCAGGAGATTTCCACCGGAGTTGTCCACCGCAAGAGCGACTTGATAGGCTGTGTGACCTGGTATCTCCCAACTGTCCTTCCAACCACCTTGCGCGGTATATGTGCCCTGGCGCAGACTAGGTGAGCCAGTAGAAGAGGAGAAGACGCAGATAACCGTGTCACCCCTCGTCACAAGGGCTGGTGTCTGGTTGATGTCTTCCCCGTTAATCTGTCCCTTGGCTGTCCAGTTCCAACCGTCAGACGATTGGGCCCACATGATGTGGCTGCTGTCATAGGAGCTATACGCCAGGTACAAGACCCCATCCATTGCCGTCAATGCGACGCCATAAGCATATTCATGGGGAATCTGCTGTGCGCGCCAGGTTTCCAAGTCGGAGCTCGCTGTGACCCACAATTGGGCCGAGTTGTTGTCTTTGTACACAATAAACAGCTGGTTGTTCAAGGTTGTGCCACCGCTGCAGAGGTATTCAATGCTACATGAAAGCCACCTCTCGTTCTGATGGAACGCCACGGCGGGAGCATAATTTCTGACGATCTCCAGAGGGAGGGTTGCTGGAAGAGACATTATGGTAAGTACGAGAACACGAACAACGCGGTCAACGTAAGGCAGGGGAAGGATACTTGATGCACCAACTGCGAACCCTTCGGAATCTTGGGCGCGGCTTGTGAGCACATCACGAGGAATGAGGCTGGGAGCCCAAGGTCTATGCACCGAGCGGAGGTTTAAATACTTTCCCGTCCACCCACAGTCTCGTACCTTGATTCACGTTTCTTTGCAATGACAGATGTCATTATCAGGCCCAGAAAGCGGCCGATACCCTCCACCCCGTCACCGTGTCTGGTCGGGCTGGTGGAGCATAACGAGACGCCTCCTGAGATTGTGAGCTTGTGAACAACGCAATTGGCGGGGCTATGTCAGCCAACAGCCCACGAGCATAGATCAGCTCGTATATTGTGCTGAATAGATATGCATGCAGGTTGACTCGACATTTGTAGCTTTGTTTTCAGCTGCAATTTCTGGCCAGTGGAAATGTGGCCTGCGCAGTTGTTGGAGAGAATCGCGGGTCAGCGGCTGGGCCGTTTCAGCTCCATAAAGTTACCACAAAGAACGGGTGCTTAGTTGGGGATTGAGGTTTCGTGAGAGGGGCAGATGATTGAAGTTCTATCGAAGCTTTGGGAGGAGCAATATAAGCTTTTGCGTGGCGCACGCTTCAACAACCAGCAAAACCAGCTAACCAGGCCGCGAACATCCTAGTGACGTACTAGTACCCAGTAGTAGCAACAGCTTCCTCTTCAGGTTTGGCCAGCATGAGCTGGACAGAAATGGTTCATTAGCTCGGAAGTACCATGTACTGTCCTCCAAAGCCGAATATCGTTATTCCTGTGGCTGGCTGGATGCTACAATGTACCTCGTGCCCTGAATCGCACCACACCTATCAGTCGCATCTTTTCCATAACCGTATTCCGACATATACAACTATCAAACTGGAAATTCCAGATCTGTGTTTGACCCACCTCTGGTTGGCATGTGGTCGTCGAACATTTCTTCCTTAGAGTTGACTCGAGTTGCCATACTGCTACCGCCAATAATATCTCCGGATTCTTGTAGCTACTCCCGGGGTCTCTGTCCCGCGCTATCATCTCCAGGACCGCTGCTGCCATTTGGAATGTGGAATCGGCGGTCTAGCAACATACGAACTGGCCAGTCGCCGCGTCGTTATGTACTGCCGGAGGGGGCGTTCCGCTCCTCCAGTGCTGGTTAGAGACTGCCAACATCCAACCGTAGCTTGTCGAAAGACTCCACAAGCGTGCGCGGACAGCTGCGCCTTCAAACCCACCAGCTCCATGTTGTGGAGCCAACAACTTGATTCTATCTCACTTATTAAATAGAGAAGGAAAGAAATCCGCAAACACAGCCAAGACAGAAAGCCGATATAGCATGCCAAGAGGTCCCTTACTGTGTTAAGCCTAATTGAGTTAGTGCAACAAATAAGGCTTGGCAACCATTTTCCGCGCCGCCAAGCTTCCTGCCTCCATCCTTGAACAACAATACCTCGTATTCCGAAGTAAGATGATGAAGCGGTTGAGTCGCGAGGACCCAATGGATCGAGAGTGTAACCCAGGATTTCTTGCTCTTGCTCATTAGTTTCCTTCACTTGGGACTCCAGTTGGATCTCGCCATACGTCGAGTCGTTGTTCCGCGCCTCTGACTAGCTACAACGATGGTCCTCATAAGGCATCCATCGTGTTTGCTACCCCTGACAGGTTCTGCATCCGAATTTAAAGGTCCCCGTGGCCCATTAAAGCACCGCTGCAGCCTTTGCCTTGAGCCAAAACCTAAGCTTTCCAGATGTGCAGGCTGTCAAGTGGTCCGCTACTGCTCCCGAGAGCACCAGGTACAGCATCGCCAAGAGCACAAATCAGTTTGCAACAAGATTAAAAAGTGCCGCACAAAGCTCAACAAAGAGGAGCATGATGTTCGCAATGCAGAGCCTGATTACATAACACCCCATAATGCATTCGAAACTCACGTTGGGTATTTCTGGGGCCTCCTCAACACTCGAAACTACATGCGTGCACGGTTCGACTTAGCAGATACTGTCCGCAGATTAGGGACACTGGACGGTGTCATTGAGGGACTTGATCACATGCGGGATATGCTGCGGCTGAGCAGAGCCGACAACATGGGGGTACGAGACCTCATACCTCCAATGATGCTACGACTGGATCAAGACCAAGAATGCTATGACTTCATCAAGTGGCATGCGACAGATGGGGAGCGCGGTGACTATGACTGGGGTCATATGGACTTAGCATTCCTCAACGTCAAAGATGCCAACTTGCTTGAAGAGGTTGGATATCTGGACCAACTTGGGCATGTTCAGCATACCTCTGCGGTGATGTTGCTCAAACTGAAACTGCTCATCGACATAGTCAACATCAAGCTCGCCCGAAAAGTGTCTGCAACTCGCTTGCCTCCCCAGCTATGGAAACATGTCGAGTTCCACGTTGTCCGAAGCCCAATCAGCCGCCAGTGGGTAGGAGAGCCTTATCATATCCTCACTTACTTACAGCACAAGTTTCGACTTCATGTCAAGCTTCTCGCCAGATCCATCCAGATCTGTAACAAACACTTTGTCTATGTTCTCTTGAACGCTGATGAGCATTTCGGTAGCAACCCAACATATTGGTCGCCAGGCTCGTTGGAGGAGATCGAATTGCTTTTGCAATACAGCTATGCCGCTTGGTGGGAGCATGAGGGCGCTTTGGAGCTGCTGCAGTCCGCCAAGTCCATCGCAGGCAAAGACTCAGAGGATGAGATTGAGGACATGATGAGTGGTAAGACGTTCAGAAACAATCCCGGATCAGACAGGACTAGGGAAGAATTGTTGGATGATGTGAGTCGCAACCGACTTTGGGCATATCTCGACGACGCCGTGGATGATGCCCAGTGTCTGAGCGAGAATCATCCTTCTGAAGTCAGGAGGTTAGAGAGAAAAGCGACGTGGGAGGCGGCTAAAGAGGAAGAGGGTGAATACAGCAAAGACGATGGGGATGACGATGACGATTACGAGAGCGAGTCAGATTGAGTAGGTGCTCCTAGTCGTGGTGCAGAGCCGTTGCTCCTCACTTACAGTCCCAGCAAGTGATCCTGCAGCATCTTACGTTCTTACGCCAATAAAGCCCTACGGAGAATCATCGGATGTTCAAAATTGCCTGGAGGCTCCCATCGGGTAACAATTGGCTCTGTGCAAGAGCGAAATGCGAAATAGCGAGCTTCAGCCATTCTGGGCTTCGCGTTCAAAGTGGAAAGCCGCAAGCCGCTGGGATGGAGGACTTGTTGCTGTGCATGGAGTACTCAGCAAACGCTTATTCTTTGGGATCGTCCAAAATGGAGCAGAGCAGTGCTCCTCAGTCCCAAGACTTTTATCGAGACAATAGGCCGTAAGCACCTTGTACTTGATCAAGCTTTCTGTCCAAATTAGGTTCGATACAAAGCGTCTTGTTCCCGAGACACTCTGAATTCACACCCTTTAGGAGGTAAGTGATGCCACCCTATGGTGCTGCATCCTGGTCCACCAATCGCTCTCGAAATATCTCCCGCCTCCACTGAGCGGAAGTACAGTCCATCTTCTCAGCCATCACGCAACGGAAGCTCACAGCGTGTTCCGTTCCTTCTCACCGATCGCCATGCCTTACTCGTTGTCTTTGACGTCGATAACGGTCGACTTAAACTTCCTGGCAGGAATCTTGCGATTAAACAAGATGTCGCTCTCACGGTAAGAACGATGTTTGAGCTCAGGAAGAAATAAGAAGGCCATAGCCCAGCAGACACAGGCGGTGCCTCCCCAGACGTAACCGCACTTGCCTGCGAGGTTCCATCCTGTCGGGTTGAGCATCTTTGAGGCCAGATAGATCATGGGGATTTCCGCGACGTAGTAGGCGGCACGGCCGACTGCAGTGCTCAAAGCGCGAAGACGGACGGAGGACGTCTCGGCAATGATGGTGTACGAGATTGGTCCCATGAAGCCGGCAAAAACGAAGGAGATGAGGATGCCTAGAACGGCCTGGGCGTAGTTGGTTGCATTGTTCTGTGGTATAGAGGCGCAGATGCCGAGAATAAAGAGCAGAGTGATATTGGTGGCTGTGCCCCAGAGATAGATGGTTCGGCGACCGAACCAGGCGGTAAGAAACCACGAGCCCGCGTTGGCACAGAATTGAAGACACGAATTGATCAGATTGAGCTCAAAAGCACGGTCAGTCGAGATCCCGGCCTCTAGACAAGGGAGTCAGTCATCCATGCTTGAAAGCTGTCAGACAGAAGAGTTACTCACGTTCAAAGAAGAAAGTTGCCTGGTTGGCAATCAGGTTACCCGCAAAATTCTGTGACGCGTACATCAAGCAGATGATAGTGGTTCGTCTCAAATCGGTGCCCTTGAAAAGGTCGAGGAGGGTAGGAGTGCCACCCTGGCGCAATTCGATCTCAACAGTTCGTTCCATCATCGCAAGCGTCTGTTCGGCATGCTCCGGAGATTTAGTACCGAGGCGCTTGATGGAGCGAAGGGCTTCCTGTCTGCGTCCACGACGAACAAGCCACCACGGAGATTCGGGGCCAAGGAAGATGAGAATCAAGAGGGGGGTCTGGACAAGTCAGATCTCCTAGGTGCAAGATCTAAAGCAAGGGACTCACGGGGAAGATCCATTGCAAGGCGAGAGGCACTCGCCAGGCCCACTGGTCGTTTCGCTTGTTGTAGCCGTAGGTAGCGGCGGCGACAATGATTTGACCGACAGACCAGGCCATTTGCAGACTGGCCGTGCAGGCGCCTCGAAGGACGAGGGGAACAATCTCGCTGGCGTAGGCGGGGGAGTTCGCAATGAAGAATCCCCAGGGGACGCCTTCCAACGCTTGTCCGACTGTAAGTACTGTGAGTGAGTCGGCCTAATAAAGTGGACGTGGTCAGGCGATACGCTCGGCAATGAGGTCGTGCTACTCACAAAGAACGAAATGAAAATCGTGGCATTCATAAGAATCAGGGCCAAGATGGTAGTCCAGCGGTAGCCGAGACGGTTGGTGACAGGTCCAGCCAAGAATACGCCGACAAAAGCACCACATTGACCAGATTGGAAGAGGGCACTCTGCCATCGGGTTGGTATCGCATAATCACCGCTCTTTAGCAAGATACCGTACTTTCTTTGGAAAATGGGGAGCGCCACAAAGTTGCCGTTCAGAAACATGTCGAACGCTTCCATGACCTGATGGATATCAGCTGTTATTCCACCCCAAATGGGAGATATCCTGAGATTAGAGATCTAGGAAATGGACTCACAATGGTGAAGCACATGACAAATGCATACAAGCAAGCCCAAGGGTGTTGCTTAACCGCCGCCCACATGCCCATTCCATGTTCCCGGACTTCGCCATCGACGGCATCGCTCATGAGATTCGGGTTGACCAAGACCTCGGAATGATCAAGATCGGCTTTATCGCCCTGTTGCAACTCGCTCTTGGCCTCGACCAAGATCTCAGAGTGATGAACATCGCTCTGACCGCCCTGGTGCAACTCACCCTTTGACTTATCGCTATCTGACGACATTTTGGGAATGTTTACTCCGTCAGCGTGCAAATGGAAAGGGAATAGAAAGCAAAGGAAGAAGTGAAAAAGGGAGTTTGGTCGTGCATCTTTACTACTTGACTTGCATGCAATCAGGCCGGTGTGCCTTTCTCCCAATTGATCCAAATTCCGGTGGTGGCACGAATGCCTCACGGTTGGAGCTCTCCCGGGTGGCATACCACCACAACGGCGCTCAAAATCCTAGCTGTCTGCTCGCTGCCACTGATACCGAACTGCCCGCGGGGAGGTCCCTTTCGTTGAGCGGTGTTGGGGCATTGTGTCACTCTATGCTCCAATAGGAGGTGAACCGGATGATCTGGCTCGTCTGGAAATACCACCAGAGAGAGTAACGTAACATGCAGTCACCTCTTCCCGGTAAGCCAGTCCGCATTCATGGTTTAAGCGAGGCATGTATTCCACAATCCCATGGGGTATTGTGCCTTCTGAAGAGAGCATACAACAGGCCCTTCAATCACCGAACAGGGGGGTTCGAAAGTGTCTCTCCTTATCTATGAGCGGCTTCTTCGGGGGACTTACTATATGTATAGATAGCCATTTTTAAGCCTCCTTTAGGAAATTAAAGGTTAAGCCAAAATTGCTTAAAGCGAGTGTCTGTGTGGAGGCACAAAGGATTACCATATGGCGAAGAACAAACTCAACATCAATGTTGCATTAGGGTTCCCCATGGTGTCCCCACCTTCGGTCCATCATTATCACGAACACGGCACTGGGAGCGTCGGAGGAAGCAGTGCGGGGTTGATTCGTACTTTTGCCCCGCGAGCCAGCTACAGGACCAAACCCATATATCATGCGACGAGCCCTTGCCGTGTTTGAAGCGGAGCGGAGCGTGACACGTCGGACGAAGCTTCTACAGCAAATACTCGGCACGCTACTTGAACGTTGGTTGCAAGATACAGCGATGATCGGTGAGTGCCGCCAAGATGGACACGGGCGCTCCGGCGCTGATACTGGGTGATAGAACCTCTGGAAACCGAAGACGTGCACGACTGTGATCTGCCTATGCCGAGTACACCGACTACACAGTATCCGACTACACAGTATCCGACTACACAGTATCCGACTACACAGTATCCTGTGTGTTCTGATGCAACCAAAATAAGGTTTAAGTTTGCATTCCGCCCGCCAAGGCGATGGAGCCCTTTGTGCTTGTAATACATTTGTACTTGGCAGCTTGATAAGGCCTGTTCCACCGGGCCCCCACCGGAGCGTAAATAAGCTTGTCTGGTGAAGTGATTGACCTCTCGGCTCTATCGGCATGAGAAGAGCCAATGTACCACCACTCCGTATTTTGGTTTGTATGATCTGAAGCTGTCCTTCTATCTCCGTTTCCAAGTTCCAACTCCTGTCATAAATACCGAGAACTGGATCTTCAAGGGGCGATGTCCTAAGCCCAACAAACCTGAAGCTCATGTCCTAACAGCTGAGCCCAAGGGGTGGGTAGCGACCACTACGACCAATTTCTGCGGGGATGACCAGATTTGAAAGAAAGCCCAAAAGGCAACAAACGAAGGCGATAAATGATGGTTGAATTTTCCTGGAAGAATCAAAGAAAGGATAGAATCAACCCTACGGCAGTAAGTGGATTGAGTTTTGGAAGTATTTCATAGCGCAGAATACGGCTGATAATTCTCCCCCTTCAGTGCAGCTCAGTACAAATTTGTCTGACCGATATCTGCGGGCAAAGGCCAAGCGAGTTTCTGTCATTTTGAAGATTCCATCGAAGCTACAGCCACGTCAGCATCGTATTAGGTTAACAAAATAGAGCAACACGGTCTCCGCTGCCCAGGCATCGCCATCTCATTACCTCCGTATGGCAATGTCGGAACAATCTAGGGGGCCATAACAGATTGACTGAATTGATCGATTGTGAAGGAAGAGAAGTTGTGATGGAAGAGAGATTGAAATATATATTAGCCCGGTACCGCCGTGCCAAGGGGTGTCAGTAATTGCCTAGGCGGGCTAGCCCAACAGTCAGTGGCCTCCATTTATTTCCGGGAATCTCGTCCATACCACTCCAATTGTCTTGGGAGATTCGCTTCTCATTTTGCCTCTGGATTCAAGCTACAAAAGAAGATTTCAAAAAAAAAAAAAAAAAAAAAAAAAATTTAAGATGCAAGGCATGTTATATTCCGTGAAGTATGCAATCTCCAATAATATGCGACTATATTGTAACAGAGCACTGCTGGGTTCGGCGTGGACGTGCAACAACGCACAGAGGCCTGTCCAGCAGGTCGGGAATCGAGAACGCGTTTCTGGTTGGCGCTGACAAGACAACACCACCACCAACACCACCCAGAGAGGCAGTGACTAGGGCAACGAACGCCTAGCACAGCGGCGGCATTGAGGACTGGACAGAACTGATAAAAACACTCAGGAATTAGGTAGACGAGACCAAAAGCCATGGGATTCATGATACTCCTCTCAAACTGTAAAGAATGGCACTCTGCCAGCACTGTAAACTGTTCAGCACTCCCTCTAAGGCCATTTTGGTTTGACATGTAACTACGCAACTCTCCTTCCTGCTACCCCCCTACCAGCCCAGCACAGCCACTTTGCCTTGTTATAGTATGATTTGGCTAGCTTTGTTAATGGAAAATTTTTGTTCTCGGGGTATCGGGGTGCTCCACTGTGGTCGGGAAGTGAGGCCCCTACCTTTGGCATCAATTCGGGGGGTTTGCTTTGTTGTAGAAGAAAGCGAACTCCGCAGCGCGGGGGATGTTGTATATGTTCCCCAGTTATTGTTATCAAGGCATGGCTGTTATGTTACAGGTTTCACGTGAAAGTCCCACGGCAATAGCCCCAGGTTGTTTCAAGATCTTTAATACGCCACCGCGAGCCCCAGCCAGTCCGCGCTTCTATCGAATCAATCAGCTTAACTATGATGGAATGCTCCTCGAAATGCGTGAACAGTTTTCCTGCCACATGCAGAGGCTGGATGGCGTTGTTGATACATCCGGGATGTGGGTTGGTCAACGAAATGCCCACCACTCTCCGGGCATGCCATAATGACGAGTGAATCATCTTGCCTTTGTCAAGTGTCGCGTCGTTCATGATTTCCAACATCAAAATACACGCGGTATGGTAGAGTTGATTGCTCGAAATGGCCGCCCAGTGAGGAAAAAATATCATGGGGAAAGGAGAGCCTCCAGCTCCGGTCTTGATCTCTTTGACCGGTGTCATCTCGGGCGGTCGATGCGTGTACCACCCTTGGAGTTCTGACCACAGCTTGTTCCACTCCTGTTCGAAGTTCTCATCGTCACAGCCGTTCTCCTCTCCTAGTTCGACACATCTCGTTCGACGTGCGAGGAGATCGCACACCTTGGCGCAGAGATATACCGCACAATTGGCATACATGTCGGGTATCTGGCGACCTCTTTTCAAGAACTCGGCCATGATTGCTTCCTGTTTTTCGGCCTCTGTGCCGGAGAAGTCAGGCAACAATGCCCATTTGTCGATGGGGTGGATGGTCGCTTCAGCCCCATCTGCAATGATGGCGCCGCAAAGGTCCATTCGAGCATAGCACCAGAAGACCGCTTGAAGAAGCCCTCCCGAGAACCCATTGATTCCCGAGGAAGCAAAGAGGGCTGCACAACCTTCGACATGCCGCCTCCAGTCTCGTGGACTGACGCTCATCATTTCCAAGACACAAAGGATACAGGCCGTTACCATGACATTGGGCTCCTTGGTATTCAGAGAGGATGTAAGTGACGAAATGGCCTGTGAGTACAATTCCAAGCTGTCACGCGAGCCTTGCGTATACCCTCGTCGTTCGGCTGTGCGCGCAGCGAGAGCCAACAGCGCATGAAAGACCGCAGGCGACTTCTGCGCAATGATGGGTACTTGCAGACCGAAATGACGTGCGCTGTCGAACATATCCAGCCACGGTGCACATTCAGTGATCCAGACATGGAGATACTTGATCTTCCATTTCAATGGGATCTGATCGGCGCTGTTTTTCAGATGCCCCCAGAGATGCTGGTACCCAGGCTTGTGTCTAGTGGTAGCACGGCTAGTGTCCGGAGGTGAAGCGCTGTTTTCTCTTGTTTGATCTCGGCTGGTTGCTCCAACCACAAGCCATGACCGCAGTTCGGTCTGCAGTTGTTGGAAACGCGGATTGGCCGCATACTCATCCAGGGTACTTTCATTCGACGCTGCGCCCGGTGATACAAATTGTGTGTCGGTCAAATCAGCCTCCATGACGGCCGCCGGGCGCGAAGTCACGGCCCAGACCTGTTCATCTTCCCTATCTCAATGTGGCTGATGAACCCTTTTTAGGGTAAACACTTTCTCTTGAAGATTTTGCCGGAAAGTCTCCTCGGTGTCCATGGACCCTGTAACAAATAATCTACAAAAGGGGTAGGCCGAGGCACCCGTTGCCCCTTGCAGATTGATCGGCCGCTTTCTCCAGGGGTGAGCAGCCGCCTCGGCAGTTCTGGCCAATTCCACAATCTGAGCACGGGCAATTCTCCCCAAATCACTATCCATTTTTATGGGCTTGCGACTCCCCACGAGAGGGTTGAAGGGCTGACCACTGACGACACGTTTCATCTGGGACTAGTATATCCTGGTCACGACTTTGAGACAGGATGCCGCTCCTTGATCTTAGTAGCCTTGCTCGGGCATTACGTTATATCGTGAAGGAAGTCGACCGTTGTAATAATACTTCTTGCAGCCCGCGAGAAGCGCAACTCGGGTGCACTGTTTATGTTTGTATGAATTTCTAAGTCAATTCTTCTCAGGCGAAGCACGTATTGCTATCTTTTCGTTGATTCATCAAAACATGGCGGCGCAACGAAGTCTTCGAGTCTGCAAGACCAAACCTCGGGTTTTCATTGTCTCTGATATCTCAAATGAGCCCGACGACGCCGAATCTCTCGTTCGATATTTACTTTACTCGAACGAATTTGACACCAGAGGCCTGGTCGCATGTACTTCCACATGGATGAGGACTAATGTCCACCCAGAAGACATGCAAACCATTGTCAAGGCTTACGGGCAAGTCGTCCACAATCTAAACGCTCACGTACATCCAGAGAACCAGTACGCGGCCGCTGATTATTTCCTTTCAATCATCAAGACGGGGCCCTCTTTGTATGGGAAAGAGGCCTTGAAAGACGACGTCCCGTTGAGCGACGGAGCGGCATTGCTGATCCAACAAGTGGATCAATCAACACATCCATTGTGGGTTCTTTGCTGGGGCGGTATTAATTTGCTCGCCCAAGCGTTATATCATGTACAGAAAGAAAAGTCGGTAGCGGACTTTGGTCATTTCCGTTCGAAACTGCGGGTTTACACCATCTCCGACCAGGACGACACTGGCATCTGGATCAGAATTAATTTCCCTGATATCTTCTACATCTGCTCTGTGCATGGGTGGAATGAATATGGAAAAGCCACCTGGACCGGAATCTCCGGAGATATATTGCACGATCTCGACCGGGGCGGACCCGACAAAAGGAAAATCACAAAGGAGTGGCTGAGAGAGCACATCCAAATTGGGCCTTTGGGCAAAGTGTACCCCAGCTACGCTTTCATAATGGAAGGTGATACACCCACGTTTCTATACCTCATTCAGAATGGCCTTGGACATCCTGAGCACCCCGAATGGGGTAGTTGGGGCGGAAGATACACTCGCGTGGATTTAGGTGGGTTGGCGAATCATTACCACGATGCAATTGACGAAGTCATTGGGGTGAATGGCCAAAAGTTCCGCAGCAACCAGGCTACCATCTGGCGATGGCGAGACCAGTACCAAAACGACTTCGCTGCACGGATGCAATGGACCCTGACTGATGCTCGCAGTAAAGCGAACCATGCTCCTGTGGCCATCGTTAATACCAGCACGCCCGGTCCAGAGCCACTGCTCTTGGAGGTCGAGGCCGGTACGAAGGTGACTCTCGACGCGTCGCAAAGCTATGATCCAGACGGCGACTCACTCACGTTCAAGTGGTTTCAGTACAGGGAACCAACTTCTTCACAGTCGCCGATTCACTGGCTGGTTCCAGACATTGAGTTGCTGCCAGTAGGTGAAGACCAAAAAGTCGTCACGATCACCCTCCCTTCGCCGGAGACATCTGGCGTCAATATTGTCACCGGGAAAGCGTTGGAGAAGGGCATGGTGCTTCATTTTATTCTGCAGGTCACTGACGATGGTACCCCGAGCCTGACAGCTTACAAGCGTGTTGTTGTGCAGATCACAAACAAGAGGCTCATCGGCGGCCGAGAATATGTTTTTGAAACAGTGACTGCTGCGTTAGGGAAGGACTAGGTTTTCATCGAAGCCGTAGAAGAAGATTGAGAAAGGAGGAATCGGGACTCGGCTTCGTCTCTCCCCCTTTAGGAACAAATATCTCTCTTCTAGCCTACAAGGTATGGCGGTATTCCAGGGTCTCCATAAATTCCGGGAGCGGAGAGGGAGCTATATCCGCACCAGAGATGGCATCCGTACAGACGATGAAAACATTTCTTTCAGAACTCCTCGAATAGTTCGTTAGCGGCCCACCCAATGACCAAAGCTGTGCGAGCGTTCATTGAGTATACAAGATCCTCGATGCATTCTATACAGTAGCCTCTGAATCATTTTGCTATTTAATTTACACCACCAAAAAGGACAGATAGTCCTTCCGCGGCATAGAATCAGCTATAGCTACCTATTCGACTAATGCGTCTCACGCACTCATCGCGTCGAGTTTACACAACTGACTCTGTCTCAAGCAGTCATCGCTTTTTGATGTTCCACAGTGTCTTTGACCACCTCGCCCTTTGCCTGAGCATCTGGCTTATAAGACTTGAACTGCCTCGCTGGAACACGCTTGGCAAACATCTCATCCAACTCCTCGTAAGTCCGGCCGCTAGTTTCTGGCTGGAAGTACCACAGATAACAGAGACAGAGAAAGCTGGGCCCGCCGAAGACGAAGGCGACCTTGCCGCCAAGGTTGCCTTTGTCCGGATTGAACATGTAAGGCAGCACAAATTGCCACATGACGTTGACCGAGTTTTGCAACGCGAGGCCGATCGCGATCGTCTTGACTCGAAGACGAGCCGTGGCCGTCTCCGTCATGATGGAGAAGGCGGTCGATCCGATCGAGACATTGTACATCCAGCTGTAGATCAAGATGATGGCGACGGTGCCTTTGATCTCGCCGGGGCTGCCGCCCGTAGCGAGCCCACCTTCGATAAAGAGGAGCACCACTAAAATGGCCAGACCGTAGAAGGTCAGATTGCGTCTCCCTACCCTGTCGATCAAATAGGCTGCCATGAGATTGCCCACAATGGAAAGCACCGGCTGCGCAATCTGGATTCTAAAGCTTTCCTTGGCCGAATAGCCCGCAAGTTGGAGGTAGTAGGTGAAGTACCCAGCGACGAAGGTAATACCCGTCAGCACTTGGATGATCAAGGGCCCAACGCTAATGATTGTGCGTCGGAGATTGGACCGTCTGAAACACTCGAAATAGGTGACACCTTCGGTTTCTCTTCTGATCTCTTCGAGTGTCAACTGGATCAGTGCCAGCCTCTTGTTGCCCTCCTGGCCTTTCTGGCCAAGTTTGCTGAGGCTCCTGAGCGCCTTTTCATTCTTCCCCTTTGAAACCAACCACCAGGGAGACCTAGGTGGCGCAAAGAGTCAGCGACGATCGCAATTAGGGGGGGGGGTACAAATGCGTAATACATACTCAGGCATGAATGGAGCCAGAAGTGCCGAGACACCCGCGAAACCGTATTGGCAGCAAAAAACGACACGATACGCCCAACGAGAGTCGACATCACCAGTGTAATTGACAATGATGAAGGCCAAGAGAGGACCAATCTGTCGCCATTTGTAGAGTCAGCGTCAACATCCCAAGCTTTGGAAACAATTTCCAGGGGTCTCCATTGTCTCAGACATTGGTGAAAGGATGAACGGAGGTTGGGGACATACGCCAAAAGCGACTCCAATGCCTACAGTGAAGATGCCCCTCCAGGCGTGAGGCGTGATCTGAGTTGTCAGTCAGTAAGAGAACTTGAGAGCATGAGGTACAATGTTTGACATGCCTCTCCAATATAAGTCGTCATAACACCCTGAATGGTTCCGACCGCAAAGCCGTTCAAAAATTTGCCCCCAAAGAAAACAGGATTGGTGGTTGAAGCAAACTCGATGCTGATTGCAGCAAAGCTGACTGTCAATGCGCCTATCAAGGTGAATTTGCGCCCGATCATGTCGGCAACAGCGGCGCCACCAAGCACACCGACAATGGCAGACGCCACTGGGGCGGCATTGAATGCCGACTGCCATTCCGCGGGCAGCACATAGTTGCCCTCGAAGTAGGAGCCAAAGTCTTTCCGGAATTCAGGGATCCCCAGAACGGAGCCTGCTGCTTGGAGCTCGAAGGCAGCGAGGACGATAGACCAGCAGGCATAGACACACCAAGCACAAGACCAAGGATATCTTTTGAGAGACTCCCAGACACCCAACTCGTGGTCTTCCTGGTTAGCCAGATGGCCAAGCTGCTCATCTGCAGTGACTTCAAGATGATCGATGCTGAGCTTTTCCTTTCTCACGGCTTCGACAGATTGCTGCTCAGGGTCGGCCCCGAGTTGGGAGATGTTGGAGTTCATGGCTGGGAGCACAGGTATGAAAGGTCTTTGATAAACAGCTGGGGTAGGTGGTTGAAGGCCAGTTGCGAAAAGGTCCGTGATACAGCGCCCAGAAGGAACTATGTAGGTCTTTTTCTAGAACCAAATTGAGCTTCGAAACCCCATGGGCAAAGGAACAAACGCGGGTTGCAAGCGAAGGCGGAGGAATTGCCGAAATTTCTGTTTAGGGGTTGACGGGTTGCTCGTGCTTACCGTTGTTGTGAGAGATGGGGATAACCTCCAAGCACATTAAGACACATCGGGGAATCCGAGCCTGCGGTGTCCCAGAAAGGTAAGTGCTGCCACGTCAAGGAAGCATTCTCGGAGCGGTGAAGCGCGGTTTTCTCGACTCCTCTTTTGTATACTGTGTATGCCCCGAGTCAGGAACTGGACAAGAAGCTGCGGCTGGTAAGATACGACCCAATCAGACTTCACAAGCAGATTGTCTTGCTAGCGCCAGGGGAATTATTCCTCCAAGCTCTACAATAGATTTGCCATGATGATAACGTACAAGAGTGATCACCTTGACTGGACAACTCACATGTTATTAGCCGAGTGTTTCCCCATAAGTGGTTTCGATCTTGTCAATCTCTTGCTGCAGCTGCAAACCCGTCGTCTGAGCAGCTTTCTTCATGATGTTTGCCACTACAGCTAATTGGGAAGGGTGGCTCAGTTTCCTGGTCCCGTAGATGAGACCTGCGATCACCAGCGGGTCGAATATTTCTGCTTCGTCAAATGTAGCAACCATGCCCACGAGTCTTTGAGCGTGCCATGCCGGCGACGCTGACCAACCAGATTCTGCAGTTGGCTTGATCAATCGTGGCTTGTGGTGTAGTAAATAGATCGCCGTCAGGTGGTGCGAGAAATTGGCCAAGAGGGCGCACACATTACTGAAGATGATGATCGGAAATGGTGGACTTGACGGGCTTCTTGCAGCCAACGCCTCGGACTCGTCAACCTCGAAGATTTGTTGCATTTCCTCGTTTCTCGCAAAGTACCATAACTCACAATCGCTCCAGCAGGATTGCCACACGGTGGCCATCGGTAATAGCGTTCGCTGGCCCTCGATCCCAGGCGCATTACCCGGTATCGTGAACGCACGCGCAAGGTTCGCCAATGCTTGGCAAAGTTGTTGCTTGTCAGTGAGCATTTGGCCTGGCAAGACCGGCCGCGCGCATTGAAAGATGAAGTTGAGGTCAATGCGGCTTGTTGGAGCAGAAGCAGTAAGCTCGGCGGCAAGAACAAGCCGTGCCATCATCTGCCATTGTCCTTCTTGCAGATTGAAGGTCAGAAGATTCGTGTTTCGGTGCAACACACTGCTCCACAGCCCCGGAGGAGTCAGGATGACTTCTCTGATCGTGAGGAGGATTAGAACTGTCGTCTTGTCCTCCTCCTCTGTGTTAGCAAGCGACCGCATTGCCTGCAAGGCATGCTGTTCAGACCCTGGATCATCCACCTTTCGATGTATACCCTGGGAAAGGTTTCTTTGGCAGCGAGACAAGGCCAGGACGCTTTGACATACAGCATTGCAAGTCTTCGCCCTAAAGAGGGCATGGACGCTAAAAAACTGATCACCCACACCAAGATCCAGGCGCGGTGCAATATGGTATCGGTAAAAGGTTAAAAGCTCTATCGTATACCGCCCCTCGTCACGCGGATCCAGCTCCCAGTTGGCCGTAGCGGGACGATTTGATTGACGCTCTAACGTTGAATCCAAAGAACGGTCCGAGACGAACTGTGACGACAGTGGAGGAAACGGCGCCGATACTGAGCCAAAGGGATCCAAGTCATCTGGAAATGGGGTTTGCGGCGTGGACAGCGATGTTGGGGGAGCGACGCTATCATTGAGCTCAACGGTAAAATGATGCGACGTATTTTGGCGCTCCTTTCGCATCAGCCGGTTGTCAGACAACGACGCCGGTGCGTTCCGGTGTCTATAAATCGTATGTGTCCTTAGAAGGGATCCATTCCCTTGGGAACTGCTCGCATCGGTTGAAGTTTGTCTTCGTGGCTCAGATCGATATCGAATGGCATCATCGTCCGTTGATGAGTGTGCCGCTTTAGCGGTCTTGAGATTTCTCGATTCGACAAATGTGATATTGAGACCATACCGGCATTGAAGATTTTTGGTTCTGCAGTTTTGGCATTCTGGCTTTCCTTCGTCACATTTTCGCCGTCTACCCCGACATGTCAGGCATCCTGAGCGCACGCGTCGCCGATGTGGTGGGGTCCCTCTGAGTTGTTCCTGCATGAGCAATCGCTCAAGAGGTTGTCGACTGAATGACAGGTGTTTTTTGAAAGCAGAAAGTGGTGCCTCGCAGTGTTGGTTTTCCGGGGGGTTCTGCTTTTTGCCATTTGCTGGGAGCAGCTTAGATCGGTCCCTAGAGGCACTGAGCATCCCCTGCCTTGCCCCTGCCAAGCCCGGCAGTTGAGCGGTGCTTAATGATACCCGAAGCGGTAAGCCAGGTGGAACCTGCTACTCTTGACCCCTCGTTTGCCCCTCGTTTCCACCATGAGATCTGAGGCATGCAAGTTATTACCATATGCAAAAACCATTACTCCGTACATTGCCGACACGATCGCCAGTAATGTCCATGAGGGCCATCAAAGACCAAAATACCATACTCCGTAGATCGGCTCAATTCAATTCCTTCAGAAGAACCACCTCCGGATTGCCCCTTATGGCCCCCCCCCAGGCTGCTTACCAGTCTTGGGCCTCTACTCGCAGACGCGTCTCCCTCATCCCCAGTCTCTGGAATTTAGATATGTGTTGAACAAATATCACGCGTGTGCAGTTGGAATAATCTCTTACGGTTTTAAACCTCTCACGCTGATTGATCTCCAGAGATGACGCCTTCAGTCAGCATCCCAGGTCCTCATTTCGTCAATGGCGAAAGTCCTATCGCCAAAAAGCCCGCCATGAGCCTGGTGGAAATCTTCAACGGAGACGTTGCAAATCCATGCATTGACCGCATGGCTTCTAAGTTGGCTGCGTACAAGAACCCATCTCTATTCGTCACCTCCAACCACAGCATTCACCTGGAGGAGACTTCAATACCGAAGCCACGACCAACCGAAGTATTGATTCACGTTCGTGCCACGGGAATCTGCGGCTCAGATCTTCATCTATGGCATCGAGGAGCCATCGGGCCCCTAGTCGTCAATCATTCGCACATCCTGGGCCACGAAGCATCCGGTGTCGTGCTGGAGGTCGGTTCGTCAGTCACGCATCTTGCCGCCGGAGACCGAGTAGCCATTGAGCCTCAAGTTCCTTGTCAGACCTGCTTCCTCTGCACGTCCGGTAAATACAATCTGTGCGAGAAGGTAGCATTCTCTGGAGTATGCCACGGCGGAACGATCAGGCGTTTTCTGACGCACGAGGCTCGTTATTGTCACATCCTCCCCGAGAGCATGACCTTCGCACAGGGCGCGCTCCTGGAGCCCTTATCTGTCATTCTGCATGCCATTAGACAGTGCAAAGGATCAGTAGGAATCGGACAGCCTGTTCTGATATGTGGCGCTGGTCCAATTGGTTTGATAGCTTTGGCTGCAGCAAGAGCTTCCGGCGCATGGCCTTTGGTCATCACGGACGTGGAGGAATCGCGTTTGGATTTTGCGAGGCAATTTGTTCCAGGATGCCAAACATACCATGCTAGGATTTCGAAGAGTCCTCTGCAAGCATCAGAGGAGATCAGACTGCTGTTCGGCTGCGCGGGTGGTCGCGACGTTGAAAAGGGTGTCCCGGACGTCCGCGAGTACCAGGCGCCAACGACAGTTCTGGAATGCACCGGGGTCGAATCAAGCGTCGTCACTGCCGCGTACTCCTGTCGGCGAGCCGGAGTTATCATGGTGGTTGGGGTTGGTCAGAGTGTTATGAACAATCTCCCGTTTATGCATCTCAGCCTGGCGGAAATCCAACTAAGGTTCATCAACCGGTATTCTGACACCTGGCCCGCGGGAATAAATGCCCTTGCGAATGGTCAGGTACTGAATCTGGACGCGTTGGTGACGCACTCATTTCCGCTAGAAGAGGCCGTCGAGGCAATGAAGCTCTGCGCTGATCCGACAAAAAAGAGCATAAAAGTACAAATCGTGGACGATCAGGAGATTCTGCAGTAGACATTTGGACTAGATTAGATTCCCGGAGAGCTCTTTTTCATTTCCAACGTTCAACGATAGAATAGAATTAGGGTAGGAGCCTGAGGAAACTCGGGCTCCATGATCATTGACTGCTTAATGCATCCTGAACTTCCAGAGGATTTAGAAGCGAAAGCAGAAACAATCCAATCATGAGCCAATAATATCAAATCACCCTATCCGACCTTAGCTATTTTCACGCGAAAATGCGCAGTGGCTTGTGAAGATAGAAACCAGGATCATTGAACCTCAGACCCCTGTCTAGATCACTTATCGCTTTAATCTCCTGCTCTGTTAAATCGAAGCTGCCTCCTCCACCTCCCAGATTCTGTCGCAGGCGATCAATGTGGTTGGACTTTGGGATGACAGCTATTTTTCGCTGTGTAGCCCATCGAAGGAGCACCTGAGCTGGGGTCTTGTTCGTTCTGGCCGCTGCGTTCTTGACCACCTCGACGTCGAAAAGAAGTTGCGTGTCTTTTGCTCTTTCTCGAAACGCCGCGGGCAACTCCAAGAAACTCTGCGGTCCGAACGAAGAGTAAGCGGTGATGGCAATCTTCTCCTCTTGCGCCAGCTCGACAAGTTCTTGCTGCACAAGATATGGATGGTGCTCAATCTGCAGAGAAGAAATCGGATACCGGCAATATGTTTGGATGTCGTACAACGTCTGTGCTTGGGCGTTCGAAATACCGATAGACTTGACGATCCCTTGCTCGACGACTTCCTCCAATGCTTGCCACGTTTCCTGAACTGGCACATTGGCTCTTTCAATTAACGTCTGCTCTGGATCCATCCACCAAGCCTGTTCAGTTAGTGCTTAAGTTCCAAAGTGACTGTGGTGATCGAACTCACTGGATAACGCAGTTTCTCAGGCTCAATATACTTCAGTGCAATGGGAAAGTGAATCAAATACAAGTCGATATATCCAAGACCCCAAGCTTCATTCTGCGCTTTGGCCATAGCCAGCGCATGTTCTCGTTGGTGGTAATTATTCCAGAGCTTCGTCGTTACAAAAATGTCCTCTCTTCTGACTAACCCTTCATTGATGGCACGGCGAATGCCCTCGCCTGCCTCCTTTTCATTCTGATAGTCATATGCGCCATCGAAAAGTCGATAGCCAACCTTGATGGCCTTTCGAGAAATATCAGCAATGGCAGTATCGAAAGATCGAATGTTTCCTACTCACGTGGTAGACAATGTCAGCGGCCTTTTCGGCTGGTACCTTCCACAGTCCAAAGCCAACCAAGGGCATTTCGTGCCCTGAGGCTAAAGTGACTGTGTCCGAAGTCATATCCTTCAAACGTCGGGCTAGTTTTGTGGTTCCTACCAACTCAACGCAACACGTCTTGCAGATATGATAGTATTGTGAAGACACTCGGGAGAGATATTCAGGAAAAACCCCGATCTCGGCTCGTATGGCAATATTGAAGCCAAGGAGGGACTCGGAACACCAAATTTGAAATTGGGCTCCTTACAAAGATCTTTTTTCGATCGTAGATGTTGCAATGATCCGCTGTGGCTTTTCCAACAACCGGCCTCCTGCGGCAGCTGGAAAATAGCAAGCGATGAGGCAGCCCCGTTTTCGAGGTACGGAGTATGGCGGAGTCGGAATAACCCCGCCTAGTGGATTCATTATAAACATCAGGTGGTTGTGGTCCAGTGGCTATTCTTTCCTATATTGGCAATATACATAAAATATTATTAGTAGGTGAAGCAACTGTCAAGTCGGTAAAGACGCAGTCATGAAGCAGTCTCGAGTCGCTCGCTTCTTTCCACATGCTTGTGTGCACTTGTTTTGCTATTCGGAAATTTACAGCCTCCACTTGCACGTCTCAATTGCGTTTACTGCGTCCAGGCTGTCTTCGAGTTTGTGTGCTCAGCCGGAGTTGTAAGGCTTCTGACGCCGTCCCTGACAGGTTAAGGATTAAGTATTTCTTGCCCGAACGAAGGCCGCGTGTCAGCATGTGGCGGGACTGTGAAGTGTCGTTCACGTAGGTGGAAGAACATCATTCTTCTTATCGATCTTTTTGATATTCCAGGTTTCCTCTTTCACACGTCGACACTGCAGTCAGCTCCTTTTCCGCACTTCAATCGGACAGCTCACTTTAGATCCGACAAAGGCGACTCTTACCAGACATCATGAGCTCAATTGGTGTTCCTCTTGGTGGACAGTCAATGCAACTTCCAGATGCCGACTACAAGCTGACCAATGATAAGACTAAAGATCAGGCAGCGTCAAAGAGATGTGGCTCCATCCGGCTGAGCTCCGAAGAAGAACTGGTTTTGAAGAGCTTCAGAGTACTCATCGCCGACTTATGTCAACAATTTGGAGGCGGGCATCCTGGGTACGGTGATCGGATTTGAAGTCCTCTGAAGAGTCAACGCTAAAGGTTGGATCAGGGGCGCTATGGGAATAGCCGCAATTGGTGTCGCTTTATGGAAATATGTGATGCGATACGCACCTCACGATCCAGATTGGATCAACCGGGATAGATTTGTGCTATCCAATGGCCATACCTGTCTGTTCCAATACTGCTTTTTGCATTTGACCGGCTACAAGACCATGACTTTCGAGCAACTGAAGTCCTATCACTCGGATCGGACGGACTCGCTTTGCCCCGGTCACCCTGAGATCGAGCACGAGGGTATCGAGGTCACAACTGGTCAGCTGTTTGTATTCACGGGGTATATAGTAATCGCTAATTTGTTGAGCAGGTCCACTTGGTCAGGGTATTGCCAATGCGGTGGGACTGGCCATGGCTTCCAAGCATTTAGCAGCCAGCTTCAACCGACCAGGGTTCAATGTAGTATCCGACCATATCTGGTGCATGGTCGGTGATGCTTGTCTCCAGGAAGGAGTCGGACTCGAGGCCATCTCTTTCGCAGGGCACATGCGCTTGAACAACCTGACCTTAATATACGACAATAACCAGATCACCTGCGACGGCCCTGTCAGTCTAACAAACACCGAGGACATCAATGCTAAAATGAGGGCATGTGGCTGGAACGTTGTCGAGATCGCTGACGGATGCTGGGATGTCGGAGCCATCACACAAGCTCTGGAGGCCTCTCGTCGTTCGCCCCTGCCAACGTTTGTGAATTGCCACACTGTCATCGGTGTTGACACGGCCGTCGCTGGGGACGCGGTCGCGCACGGAGCAGCTCTGGGATCAGAGACCGTCATATCCCTCAAAAGACTCTATGGGTTCGATCCAGAGCAGCGATATATCATTCCAGACACGGTTCGAGATTTTTTCAGCGGTCTTCCTTCCCAAGGAGAGTCTTTGGTGGCCGAGTGGAATCAAACACTGCAGCGTTATAGCCAAGCTTTCCCTGACCTGGCGGAGGAATATGCTAGGCGTATGGAGGGTGACTTGCAAGACAACTGGGAGTCCCTGATACCAGACGCTTTCCCTTCAACACCCACACCGACCCGTGCCGCGTCTGGATTAGTATTTCATCCGCTCGCTGAGAGACTTGATCAGTTCCTGGTTGGAACTGCCGACTTGGCTCCTTCGGTGTACATGAGCTGGAAGTCTAAAGAAGATTTCGAACCGCCATGTCTAGGGACTGGAAGTTATGCCGGGCGCTTCATCCACTATGGTGTTAGGGAACACGCTATGGCTGCAATTTCGAACGGACTGGCTGCCTATCATCCCGGCATATTCATCCCAGTCACATCTAGGTAAGAGGATAGTTTATGATGTCGGCCCGCTTGGACATATTGCTGATGGCTAGTACCAGTTTCTTCATGTTTTACCTGTATGCAGCGCCGGCGGTACGAATGGGAGCGCTGCAGCATCTGCAAATCATTCATGCCGCCACGCACGACTCTATTGGGATGGGAGAAGATGGTCCAACGCATCAACCAATCGAGCTTGCAGCACTATACCGCGCAATGCCCAACTTGTTGTATATTCGACCCGGGGATAGCGAAGAGACGGCAGGTGCCTGGATAGAGGCGATCAGGGCAAGGCACACGTCTTCCATTATTTCCACCTCTCGGCATGCCCTCCCCCAGCTTACCGGGTTGGCGAAAAGAACAGGAGTGGCAAAAGGCGCTTATATCCTCGAAGAAGTCACAGGGACGGCCGACCTTACTTTGATCGGGGTCGGTGCTGAGCTCAACCTCGCCATCAGCGTTGCGGCCGAGCTGCGGAGCTCCCATGACCTGAAGGTGCGCACGGTTTCTTTTCCATGCCAGCAGCTTTTTGAAGCACAACCAAGAAGATATCAACGCGAAGTGCTTCAGCGACAGAGTGGTGTACCGGTCGTGGTGATCGAAGCGTACGCTGCTAATGGCTGGGAGCGCTACGCAGATGCGGCTGTATGCATGAGCTCAAACCGGTTTGGCAAATCACTACCGGGGCCAAAAGCGTACGAGTATTTTGGCTTCGATGTTCCCTCGATAGTGGCCAGAGTTCGGGGCTATCTGGAAGATTTGAGGGTTGATCCGGATCTGAAGCATGACTTTGTAGAATTGACATACGCGAAAACAGATGGATAGGATATTTTGTCGATAATGGGAACTGATATTGCGCGAGTGTTGGATATTGTAGTCGTCCTTCATCTCTCGAACTCACTAGTCGCCGTGTCGTTTGGGTTACTCTCGGCTCCTGAGCGTCCGGGACCCAATTTCCACGCCCTGAATTGGAGGCAGTTGCTAGTAGGTAAGGTCGAAGTCTGCCCTGTGAGCACCGCCGAACGACTTGTAGCATAGCTTGAAAAGAGAATGTTGCGCAGGATGGTTGACAGTACCTGCAGCCCAAGGCCATGATGGCAGATTCGAGGACAGCTAGCTAGATGAGATAAAAAACCTTTACGTCAACATCCAATTTATCCCACACGGACCTTGGGATGGAGCCGATACCTAGACGTTCCAGGGGTTTGCAGTCGTTATCAGTCGTAGGAGGTCCACCGCCGAGTATCAATCCCAGGATGGCTGTGTCGTCGTCTTCCCAATCACTGCGGCTGGAGTACGTGATGGAAACTGTCATCTCATCCGGTACCACAAATTCAAGTAATGAGGCAAAATACACGACTTTATCTTCTGGTACAAGTTCGGTGTTGCGGTTTCCATGCATAACTGCATGTCCAATCTTAGCTCCGCCGTGGATATTCTTCAAGGGGTTTCCGAGTATGTTCAGCGACCAGTTTGCAAAATCCTCGTCTAGCTGCACACGGACCATGTTACTCACCAAGAGCAAAACGCCATTGGGAAGTGTTCTCTGGTGAGTCTTGACCATGTCGTAATACGCTAAATCAGCCAGAACCTGTTGTACGACGTCGGTCGGATCTTCCGGGCTAGTCCTGATGATGTCTTCATCCATGGCTAGGGGGTCTGACAAAAATCCAGGGTCAGGAAATCTTCCTCCGGAGCCTTGCGTTATATGATTAACGTTCCGCACGCCCTCTTCGTCAAGGAGCGATATCATCTGCTTTTTGATTTGCTCGGCGCTGTCAATCGCATAAAACTTAGGCCCCGTCAGTGAGTACCAGCTCCAAGAGGGGAAGGCGTGCTGTGGTTCTTCTCCTGTCGGGCTATTGGGATCTGCCAGTCGCAGTACACGCCCCGGCGTAGAAAAATCAAACTCCACTGGCCCCCAGCGCCTTTCGGTTCCCATAACTTGTGGTTCCCAAGCGAGAGTGAGCCAGACCAGAGATTCTTGTTCGCCCCATGGTGGTACACCGAGAGGGATTCCATAGTGCATGGATGCTTGCATATGCTTGCCTATCAGCCTTGCGGTACCGGTGAACGCGTACATGACGTCGACAGGGTAAGTGAATGATCGTTTAGTATATTCTTCGACATGTCTGCCATAATCAGAAAATGAATAGTATCCAGACTTGAAATTGTGCTTAGCCAGATCGTTGTGAAAGTTTCCTGACGGGTTAACGACTCCGAAATAAGCTGGGGAAGAGTGTGATTTGTAAGATTCCCAGATTGACTCTCGTTCGAAGGTTTCTCCGCAGCTGAAGAAGGCTTCTCGTTCGGTCAAGTAGATCGTGCGACGAGAAAGAAGCCCTTCTTGAAAGATCCACCCTCGATTGTAGTATGTCTTCCTTTCAAGGATGTGGTGGAACGGAGGGAGGCTTAGGCCTATCGTGCAGTTCTGGAGTTTGGCACAATGCTGCAGTTTTTCTCCTTCACGAGATACGCCAATTCCCCGAATGCCAGAGTCGGCGTTGACGCCACTCACAACAGCCAGGCAGCATACAGCTTTACTGTAGATGGATGCCATGGACTGCAATAATGTAAACAGCTCAGTCTGGTCATTGTGGATGATGCAAAGAGAATCTACCCACAGATACCGCTCCCCAAGAAGCGCTGTCAGTTTCAGAGCATCCTTGATGGTATTTGGCAGACGGAGTGGTATGTATGGGTATCGGGCAGATGGTCCGTGCTGCCAGTCAATAGGGATATTCGTGGACGGGTCACCGCAGACGTAGCTCAACGCAACGTAGCGTGAGTTGACAGCACCGGACACAATTCTTTGACTCTGCACGTCGATCAACTTAAAGTATTTGCCGAAGCGTTCTCCTTGAGGTGTTTCCCCATGTGACAGTAGTTGAGAGGCCTTTGAAGTAAAGAACCGGCGCAAAGTATCTGTGGGCTTCGCATCTAATCCTTTTTTGCAGGTCTTGTGATTCTTCTCACAGCGCACAATCCAGTCTTTGAGAATGTGGATCGAAGAACTTAGTGAATCCGAGATCTGGCGGCCCTCCGTAAGGTGATCTGCAGAGATCATGTGCAAGAACGAATTTCTGCCTTCTTCAAGACTTTTCAAATATCTAATTTTGTCTTTGCTTCCCCGAACCATCTCGATAAGAGACCTGGAATCGCCTGGCGGTGTTAGATAAGCGTAAACATTGCAGCTAATGGGCGGCGGGATCCGATCCCAGTCCAAATAGCCCATCGGATCTGCCAGAAATCTGGCCGCAGCGTTCGACAAATGCAACGTCCAGTCCTCCCTGGGGCCGCTGTTGGGATCATCCCCACATCGCGGCCACAGAGTCCGTGGGTTTGTCAAGAGCTTGCAGAAAACACAGTCGACGGAGCGTTGTCGCACCTCGGACAAGGTGCCTAAGGTAAGGTCGATGTTCTCTTCACGAGAGCGCCGGATTTTGTTGTGATTCCTAAAAAGAGCATGAAGGTCAATTTGTTGACAGGTATTGCAAAGTTGAGCCATGGCCGTGTCCGAGGTCGAAACTCGTCACTCAATGCCAGCCAACGTACTACATACATACCTTGGCCCGACTAAAGGCTGCCTGTCCTGCGGGCTGGGGTAGTGAATTGAGAGGCTGATCTCAAATCAATATAGCTTGTCAATTGCACATTTGCCTCGTAAGCCTTGAGAAAGTTGGCCCAGCTAAGGAAGCTAAGAGAGCGACCGAACAGTACATCGCGCTACAAGCTGTGATGTTAGAGGCTTGGCAGCTCTTATTTTAGAGGAAGTTCGTACTTGGCGCTCCGTACTCGGTATTTGAGTATTGGGCTAACAGTGCGTGGCAGCGAGGGTAACTTAGCCGATGGAATGGGGCCCCGAGGCCCCTCAGGCTGAAGGGTATTGCGCGTGTCTCGTGAGGGGCGGCGCGTCTCGGACAAAGCATGTGCTGTGCAGGCAATGCCACAGGTGTGATGTTAGAAACATCAGGTCACTCGTTGTCCGTCCACTTCTTATATAATTCCTCTGCGAACCTTGTTCTGAGCACATCTCTGTCTTCAGTTGGAAACCTACATTCAACCTGACTGATAGCATAGCCATGGCCGCGGCCTCGGGAAGCGCCTTGAGCGCAGACTCAGTCCTCGATTACATGGTCAAGAGCCTGCCGACCCCGCCTTCCGATTCAGAGCAATCCACTCTCATCAAAGATCCATTCGCCGCCATTGCCCTATTCTCACATGCCTGCATGCTTGCAGTAGGCTTTCGTCTCGTGGGTTTGGGAGAAGAGCACAAGATAGGTAGGCGTCTCTGACTTCGCAACAATCCAGAAATCTCACCACTAGTAGAAGCCCAACCAGACACCCAAGATGTTCTGCCCTTACCTACCGAGTGGGACAAATCTTCTTCCTACGCCTTCCGCTATGCTCATTCGCAATCCGCCATGGAGTACCTTGTCAAGGTCAATCGACTAGGAAGCAAGGCTCTAATATTTGGAGCCGGCATGGGTGACGATAAGACTGCCTCGTTCGAGGTCAAAGCCAACGACTACATTTCCGAAGGGTCAATAAAGGAGGCAACGCCGACATCGGACAAGGCCCCTGCGCTCCGAAACGTTTTCATATCCAACGGCCGAATTGCAGACCTCGCGTCGCTCTTCAAGTTCAACATCATCCAGAAATTAGCTCCGGGGATTCAGAAGACTGGGTACGAGGACACAGCTTCCACTCTAGAGCAGCCACGACGACATGAAGAAACTCGCCCCCCTGAGCACGAGCCGCTGCAAGATATCCATCCTCCTCCTGCCCGACCGTACCCTTTCGACGATCCCTTAGCGGCCCCTCCGCGAAGACCTCATCCGCCAGGAGACTTTCCACCGCCGGGTTTCGAAGATGAATATGAGATAAATAGACCTCCACGCGGGATTCCCCCAAGCCGTCAACCATTTGGGAACATTGGGGAGAGAGACCTTTATCCTCCCGGGCTGGGCCCACATGACCCGCTCAGGATTGGACCTGGAGGGGGATTTCATGGCGGAGGAGGAATGCATCCGACCTTTGATGATCCCATATTTGGCGGCCAAGGAGGCCAAAGGCCCTATGACCCTCAGGTGCCTCCAGGGGCTCGATATGACCCAGTTGGCCCAGGTGATGGTCCTCCCAATCATCGAGGGGGTCCACACTTCCCAGGAGGCGGCGGTAGAGGAGGGGGAAATAACCCATTTGGAGGGTTTGGAAGCGGTGACTTTATCTAGGGTACTGTAAAATCGCTGCAAGTGACAGCATGAGGGCAATGCGTGGACGAGGAATGATCCAAAACATCACATTTATTGTACAAGTAAGCGAAATTCATGATTGCGGACGTCACTTAGCACGATTGTAAGATTTGAAGCAAACAGCATTTGAGAAGGCGTCGTCATCTCTCTAAAGGGAGGACGAGATATTGTGGTACCCAGTACATGCGAGGCTTCCTCCCAGGCGTTTTGAGTCTTTATCTTTGAGTGGTGAAGGCATGTAAATTAACAAGCAATTCACCTCCCCCTTCATTCCAGGCGAGGGCCATTGGGGACACCAGGGCTGCCCCCGCCACCACCGCCACCCTCAGCAAGGCTCAGATTATAGGGTACTCTTGGGTACTGTATACCCAGTAGGTTAACCCATGGGTGACCCAGTGAGGCCAGCTAGGCTTGCGACCTGGCTAAGCACTTAAACGGCTAGCTGATTATTAGTTCCGCGTACATGGCAGAGGCAGGATTTCGACAGGTATGTCATGGCCGCACCTTGACTACAATCTAACAACATCCTCAACACACTAAGTACCAGGGACAGATAGTGAAGACAGCAGCATTTCACCCAAGATCATTCTGCATTTGACATTCCATCACGTGCGACTCCCCTCCTCGACTGCGCTACTTTGACATCCCCCAAATTGAGACCACAACAAGCCATCCCACCTTAGCACACGACATAGCGAACCCTCTTCACGACCCGTCTCTCCTCTTCATCCCTTGCCATTCCTCTTCGCATTTGACACTCTAGGCGGGTGTATGCCCAACCATGGATACAAAGATGGACGTCGACGTGGGGAAACCAGCGCAGCCACATGGTCTGTCTCCCGCCACTGACCCGCAATCAATACCTACCCTCGATGGCTGGATTGAGAGCTTGATGGACTGCAAACAGTTGGCGGAGAGCGACGTATCGAGACTTTGCGATAGAGTGAGCAACGCCTGCAACCCGTGTACAGGCTAAAAGGCTAACACTGAGCGCAGGCTAGAGAAGTTCTCCAAGAGGAGTCGAATGTACAGCCAGTGGTGAGTTTTCTGTCGCGCGTCCAAGGCTGTGGTCAGGTGGCTGACTTGGTGCAGAAATGCCCTGTCACAGTCTGCGGCGATATTCATGGCCAGTTCCACGACTTGATGGAACTCTTTCGGATTGGTGGACCCAATCCAGACACGAACTACCTCTTTATGGGTGCGCAAAGATACTGTCTCTGAAAATCCACACAACTGACAATGAAACCAGGAGACTACGTAGATCGTGGCTACTACTCCGTCGAGACCGTGACCCTCCTCGTCGCCCTCAAAATTCGATATCCTTCCCGTATCACCATCCTCCGCGGCAACCATGAGTCCAGACAGATCACCCAAGTCTACGGCTTCTACGACGAATGCTTGCGAAAATATGGCAACGCCAATGTCTGGAAATACTTCACCGACCTCTTCGACTACCTCCCCCTTACCGCTCTGATCGACAACCAAATCTTCTGCCTGCACGGTGGGCTTTCTCCCAGCATAGACACCCTCGATAACATCCGTTCGCTTGACAGAATTCAGGAAGTCCCTCACGAAGGCCCCATGTGTGATTTGCTCTGGAGTGATCCTGATGACCGATGTGGATGGGGGATCAGTCCAAGAGGTGCGGGATACACATTCGGGCAGGATATTTCGGAAGCATTCAACCATAACAATGGCCTAACTCTGGTGGCCAGAGCTCATCAACTGGTCATGGAGGGTTACAATTGGAGTCAGGATCGAAATGTGGTGACAATCTTCAGCGCGCCCAATTACTGCTACAGATGTGGTAATCAGGCTGCCATCATGGAGATCGACGAGCATCTGAAGTATACCTTGTGAGTGTGACCACTCTCTAGTCTTGGTTCGGTTTACTGACAGAAATGACCTTTAGCTTGCAATTTGATCCATGTCCCCGCGCCGGCGAACCAATGGTCAGCCGAAGAACTCCAGACTACTTCCTCTAAACCATAGACGTGCCGAATCCTGCCTGCGTTGCCCGACTAGAGACCTAGAACCGACACATCCTGGGGTGGGATGGTACTTCATTGCACTTTGATAGACCACGGTTTCACACAACCTAGCACGACAACAAAGGGGGAATATCCAGAAAGAAACGTGTGTGCAGGAAGAACCACAAGGCAGTATGTCGGCGAAAAGGCAATCCAGATATCATGGAATAGAGGGAGATGAAAGCAGGCATGATGAGCATGACGAGTGGGAACAGAGACGCAAGCGGTGTGTGAGCGAAATGCCCCTCGAGGAGACACGAAGAAGCGATGTTTGATAGACATACAACACCAATGATGCATTTCGCCAGAAGGGAGAGGTGTTCTGCTTCGCTCATTGCCTCTGCTGCCAGGGCTTCGGCCTCTTGTGCGATGTATAACCAATAAGGATCGCTCATGAAGGGATTGGGAAGGAGAGTTCTCGCTTGGTTTGCCATTGGTGTTGCTTGATTGTCTTTACTCCGTGTCACACCGCCTTACTATCGTTCAGTATCATTCGGTGTTGCCTTTTCACCCCTTTCGCCATCTGCACAGATTCTACCCAGTCCACAGCTGCTATGATTGTATATGTCCCAAGCTGTGTCTGCCCGCCCGCCATCGTGAGTGTCTCTCTCTCTTCCTCTCCCTGTCTTCCCGATCCAATCTCCACTTTGGGGACACCTCGTAATCTCGATCTCTTCTCCCTCTCCAGAGCACATGCCGCCTTCATCACCACCACTATCACCTTTGGGTCTTCCCAAACCACTCCCCCCTTGCCCCTAGCTTTATTCTTCCACCAACTCGGGCAAAGCGAATCCATCGCCTTTATCCTCCGCTTGCGCCGCCTTCTTAGTCAACGGGCCGTTCTTGACCATGATGGTCATGACTTCGTACAGCACGTCGGCCGCGGCCATCGTGGTGAGCTCGGCATTGGTGTCGTAGGCGGGGGCGACCTCAACAATGTCTGCGGCCACGAAGTTGATACCCTCCAGGCCGCGGAGGATGGTGCGGAGCTCGCGCGTGCTCCAGCCTCCCGTCTCGGGAGTCCCCGTCGCGGGGGCAAAGGCCGGGTCGAGCGTGTCGATGTCGATGGAGAGGTAGACGGGGTTTTCGGTGCCGACGCGCTCGCGGATGCGGTGGATGATGCCGTGCACGCCAATCGTGTCGATCTCGCGCGCCTCAACCCTCGTGAACCCGCAGTAGCCGTCGTTCTCGTAGTCCGAAGGGCCCGAGAGCGTCGTGCGGATGCCCGCATGGATGCTGCTGTCGTTCGCCAGCAGCCCTTCCTCGGACGCCCAGTAGAAGTACGTCCCGTGGTTGATCGCCGCCTGCTTGGACGGCGCCCCGCCGAACACCTTGGGCTTCCATGTGTCGAGGTGCGAGTCGAAGTGGATGACGCTAATGGGTCCGTACGCCTTGTTGATGGACCGCAGCAGGGGCAGCGTGATGGTGTGGTCGCCGCCCAGCGTGATGATGCGCGGCAGTGTCTTGCCCGCCTTCGAGATGCCCGGCTCCTGCGCAGCCGTGTACGGCGTGCGCATCAGAAGCGTGTTGTGGCCGTCCTCGATTTGCTGCAGGGCATAGTGGTTGTCGTACCTGGCGTCGTCTTCGTCAGCCCCCGTGCGTAAAGAGCCAACAGTTGAGCCAGCCGTCTTTCGATGGCCAGGGTCCATGTACTCACGAGGTAACTGGGATATCACCACAGTCAATGACTTTGCCCCAGAAGTTGAAGGGGTTGGATTTCATGGGTCTGTTTGGGGATTATCTCGCCGATGTGTTAGCCTTCTTCTTTCGCTTCTCGTACTACTGCTGCTGCCGCCACCGCCATGTTCCTTTCATTTCATGGAACCAGCATTTTCAATCTTGGGCATATTCTTTGGGTAGATAGGAGAGGAAGGGGGGGGTTCAAACCACGTACACGTTATACCCGCCGCTAAACCCGAGCTTTCGTGAGCCTTTTCAAATTCCGTCGCAAAGTAAGCCTTTGAGCAAGGACGAAAACAGACGTACTAGAGATTGAGGCGTCGAGAACCTTGTCTGATCCCGCTAGGTCCAAACCGAGCTCCTGGTCGATATGAAGTGCCTGTGTCAAAGGGTGCGCCTATAGTAACGAGCAAGACGCCGATGCAATTAGCTCTTCGGGTTCTTTGTCTCTTGTCTCTAGACAGATTGAAGTGGCGAGTTGATTGACGCACCAAGGAATGCAATGTCATATTTCTCCTCGTCGCTGGTCAAGCAGGGGAAATAGGGTAGGCGGCCGAAGGTCGAGATGCCGGAAAAGACAGAGTCGGCCTGGATGTCATCGTGTTAATGGAGCTCGTTCTGCCAATGTAATTCGGCTCTTCGTGCTTACCTGTGTACCACCGTCACCTGGCAGGGTGTTGTACCAAAGAGACCTGTGCGGTCCAGCGATGGGAGTCTGATCGTGGCCGTGGTCGCCGTGGGCGAGGGCGCAGCTGGCACATGCCAGCAAGGCAATTGACTTGAGCAGCATCTTTTGCCTCAAGTTTAATGTAGGTCAATCTTGTCCGGATACAACGAGGAAGAGTCAAACGGCGAAAAGTGAAGAGAGAATTTCACGAAACACAACCCCACGAAGCAGAAATTCGGAGCTCGAGAGTGAGCAGCTTTGTTGTTTTCTTCCCACGAGCTAGGTAGTAGCTCCCAGCCAGTGAGTTCCTGCAGATAGCTACCAACTAGGGTAGGTCAATGCACCTTACCTGACCATGTCGAATGATGTAGATTTGGATTTCCTCTTACCTAAAGCTTCCAAGCATAACAGTGGGCGCGGGAGTCTTCCGAGCGAGACAAGACCTTCCTATCAATGCATGCCCCGCCGTGTTGACAAGAGGAATTGCCAAATCATGACGGCATGAGAACTTTCAAGCCGAGCGCAGAGACCGAGACCAAGGGGCCTTGGGGAGCTACCAGAGCTACCAGGGTTTGGAGCTTTGCGTAACACTTTCGAGCATCTCGCGGGGCGCATCGTCAAGCAGCCGGTGAGCAGCAAGGGAGCCACATGGGTTGTTGGATAGCAGGCAGCGCGCAAGTCCATCCGAGGGGCTTGCGCATGGACTTGACCGGCGAAATGTCAGAAACGACAGGCATGAGCCAATGCTGTGTGTCATGTAAGGGGTGACGCAGTCATTGTCGGGATGCTTATCAGTGGGAATTGAAGAAAGAGAAAGAAGCTCGTATCATGCGCAGCTTTTTGTCCGACGTTGGAGGGCCACGCTGGGGGAATAGAAGCTAGCCGCAAAAGGAAGCTTGTATCGTCGAGTACAGGGCGCTGCACAGTCCGACATTTTACCAGAGCCAACGCAGCCCAGGACGAGATTACTTTTTATGATCTATCTTTGGTCTCTGTTCGTTATGTATCTTCCGTTCACTGAGGGCCATTTCCCGCGGGTGCTGGCACAGATGGCGTTGCGTGACCCCCCTCCACTAGCTCGTCCTTGTCCATTCGAGCAAAGGCTTTGTCAACCTCGTGTTCCCAGTTGCTGAACGCCACAATGGCCCATTCCGCAATCCCAACCAGATACAGGGCAATGCACTGGCCGACCCAGAGTCCCGGAAGGCCCCAGCCATGGAAAGCGAGCCAGATACCAAGGGGCAGGGCGCCGCAATAGTAGCTGACGAGATTAACGGCAGCTCCAATGTGCTGTCTGCCCATGCCACGTAGAGATCCGCCACAACTGCCATTCAGTCCGTCGGCAATCTGGAACAGCGCCACATATGGCAAGACTTCTGCGGTGAGCTTGACCACCCGCTCATCGTCGTTGAAGATCTTGGCAAAGACGTTCTTCGTGCCCATCAGAATGGCCAACACCACAGCCCCCATAAACATGCTCAGCCAGGCAGCGGCGTTGGCCGATCGTGCTGCGCCTTTCGCGGTGCGCGAACCAAGCATGTTGCCAACCCGCGCACTGGCCGCGACGCCAATGCCGAAGGGGATGGTGTTCATGACTTGGTCTGCCGTCATGATGACGCTTTGAGACGCGAGAGGAATTTCTCCAAGTCGACCAGCCGCCAACGCAACAATCTCGAAAGCCCACCACTCGGTGCCGACATGAATGACCCCCAGGAAGGCCAATTTGGCAAAGACTCCCACGTTCTGGAGGCATTTCTTGGTCCAACCGCCCCAACATTCACCTCCAGCCACGAATTTGGCGTAGAGCACGAGACCGAGGAACGAAAGCCAATAGCCGATGCCGGTCGCAAACGGCGCGGCAAAGATGCCCCAGCCGGCCACATAGACAAACAGGTAGTTCAGTAACGCGCTGATCGGAGACGTGATCAGGAGCACATAAGTGCCTGGTCGCATAATCTCTTGGGCCTGAAGATATTTCTTCATGGTCTCAAAGTAGATATAACCCAATCCACCGGGGATCAAACAGCTCAGGAACTTCGAGCTGTCGTGTGATAACTGGGGACTTTGGCCCAGGGCTTTGAAGATAGGCTCCGAGCACAGCCAAAGGATGGCGACCGGGACATAGAACAGTGTTAGGACGATGAAGGCACGCTGCAGTAAGATGCCCAAATCGTGCTTGTTCTTGCTTCCGGTGAAAGTGGAACTCGCTAGAGTGTCCAAGGCGGTCGATCCTCCCATACCGATGAGCCAACCCGTACACATGGCGAACATATACGAGAAGGCAGCAGTGGAGAGATCTTGCGGTGAGGCTCGGCCAACGATCAAGATCGATATTGTTTGCAGCGAGTTCTGTAGGGAATAGGCCAGAATGACGGGCACAGAGCCTCGGAACAAAACCCAGAATTCATGGAGAATGAGCTTTCGAGGCGGCGTGTCGTTTTCTGGAAGGATGTCAAGCAGCTCGCCTTCCTCCTGGCTGGCTGCTTGATCTTCATCGTGGCGCTTCTTGGGCAAAAGCCCCGTTTGCTCGGTGGGCTCTTCTCCTTGAATTTCCTCGCTCATCAATGCCAGTGAACGCCGTCTGTCGTGATCTTCTTCTGCACAGCCGTTTGGTGAGCCAGGAGAACGTTTGGGCTGCTGTATCGAATCAAGACTTACCGGTCGAACTATACCTTCGCATGGCTGGTCAGCAGAGTCGTATAACCTTTTTCGGGATCCCAAAAATAAATTAACAATCTGACGGGGTTGCCTTCCAGAAGAGAGTGGGAGAAAAAGGTCCAGACTTTAGAGAAACAAGAGAAGTTAGTTCTGGGACGGGACAAAAAGGTATGTGGAAACGCGGTTAGTTAACGTATCGATGAGATGCCTCATCTAAGATACCGATGCCTGTACGGATCGCACGTCCCCCCGGGCTCGCGGACATATCGCTGGCAGATGCATTAGGTGATTTTCGGGGCGGGTTGTTCGAAATCTGATGTGAAACGGTAAAACGTAACGGGAAGCCGCCTATCAAAAAGAATGAGCAGATGCAGCAAAACCCTGGAATGATGCAGCCGTGGAAGCTTTTCGCGTTCGACAAAAGTCATTGCATTATCCAATTGTCGCAGCGCTTTTCCTTTCCTTATCTTCAGCCCGGATCTGACTGCTGGCGATTGGGAGGATTGAAAATCGGGGACGGGGAGAGCGGAAGAGCTGCTTTTAACTAAGCCCTAATGATAATTTCCCATGGATTGTGGGTCTTGGCTGCTCTGACCGCTGGGAAGTGGGATTTGGTAGAGTCCATCAACGACTTCGAGAGCGTCATAACCTCTGTATGCCTTTTAGGTAGGATGAGAGTTGGGCCTTGATGTTGCCCAGTAAATCTGACACCGTGTGACGGAGTTTGTAACGGAGAGGAGCCACAAATGGATAGTCATCCATCTAGCGGCTGCATACTGAAATGTAACTCCAGCATTGGAAAGCTTGATATCGAGTCTCGTTACAATCGAACAGAATCCAGATCCTCCTTGGACTTGAAGTTGGCTATCAGTGTGTCTTGCCTGCTGCGCGTCGGCTGTGCCTGAAAGGTGTTTGCGACGAGGCTGCCAGAATTGACTTCTGATTGGCTAGCAACCCCGCCTCCAAGTAAAAATGGCAGCCTTGTCACCGAGTTCTCTTTTTCTTCGACTCATTGACCACTCATAGATGTCTGCAACATGGATAGAGATGACATCCTGAAGATTCTTGCACTTGGGACAGAGAATGAACGTCCTCAAACTACTACATTGCGCCAACAAGCTCTCGCCCTCATCTCCAGCACACCGTCCGGCGAAGACCATGACCATGTAGACGACCTCCCAGGCAGACTGCTCGACCTTCTCACGCAAATCATCAAGCCACTATTCACCAGCACGAAACACCCGCAGTTGACATCTACCGGCCGCAAGTCCCTTGTCCCAGGACCGCCGCCATCGATAGCAACGGCACGCTTCCTTGTCCCTTTAGACGACGATGAACAAGAAGAAACTCAGAAACCCTGGAAGAGAACGCCCTTCACCGTCCCGCTGCTGAAATATGTGTTAAAAAGCTACCCACTTCTTCCAGCATCGCGGCGGAAATCAACCCTGGAATCCCACTTCCATCTCCTCGTCCCTCCCATTCTCAACATGATCGACGACGCATCGCCCCAGTACAAATCCGAGGGCTGCCTCCTACTGCATCTCCTCTGCACGACACTAATCTCCGTGCAGGGCGACATCTTACGCCGTACCGGATTGGCGGAGGTGTTTGTTGATGCTCTCAAGACAAATTTCCTCCTGCTGCCCACTTTGACGCCCGAGGAGGACAGTTTGCTGGTGCTGACGGAACTGTATCCTGCTTATTTGGCGCTTTTGGATGCGAGGTTCATCAAGCTTCAAGTGGCCGTGGCGGAAGGTGTCGATATCGCCACGGGCAAGAAAGTTGATGCCGGAGCGACGTGGTCGATGGGGGAGGACTTCATGGCGAAGGAGGCCCTGCTCACGAAACTTTACAGGCACGGCATAATAGCTTCATTATCCCACCTGTCCTCCTCTACAGACTCATTTTCCAACACAATTTCCGCCCAGATAACGACTTTCCTGCTCGAGCAGATCCCGCCTGTATTTCAGCGCATGGGAATCCACGCAGCGAAGCACCTCCAGACACTTTTACCGATGATGAGGATGGGGTTAATGGATCCGTTCGTCCTAGCGGCGCCGGAGATGGCGCTTGCAATGCTGGATGTTCTAGACGTGGTTGTTGAGACGTGCAAACCGAGAGTCAAGGACAAGTGGTGGACGGAGATCCTCAGGGGCTGCGTTGCGTGCTGGTGCAATTGTTTGGACGAAGGGCAAGGCACGACCAGTGAGACGGTCGCGACGCCGTTACAAGAGCAGATGAAGAGAGTCAAGGCGCTGGTGAAGACGTTGGGAGACGTCCTGGGAAAGGAGGAGTGGGAAGGTGTCAAACGGCAATTGCTAGAAGAGGAGAGAGATTTGAACGGGCTGTTTGAGGATTAGAGGATACGTCAGTACGGAGCATCCATGGGGAAATATGCTATCAAAAGTCACCATTGCAAAAATGATGCGTGCGAGTCAAGCCAGGAGTGCAAAGCCATTCATACGGAAGATCGGTGCATGGCGCCTTTTGCTGCCTTCGACGATATCCCAGGCTGTCCCTTTACACGAAACAGATCTCGAGCAGTCAACCACGCTTCAAGCAGACTATCAATTTCATCCGGGTATCATGACAAGAGCGAATTACCAAGAAAGTCCTCTCAACACCTGGACCTCGCTGGTCGACTCCATGTCCATGGGCAGCTTTCAAATCAATTAAGATCGAACCAGCGCCACCTGCCTACCCGACAACCGGCCCATCCGCATTTCCTTCCATCTCGTCCCCGACCACGGGCCTCTGCTTGAACAAACTCTTGCCCCTCAACCACTTCCTGTACGCCTTATACCTCTTCTTCCCGCCGTCCTCTTCCATCACAGTCAGCGGATCTTCCACCTGGCCGCTCGCCACGAACTCCAAATACTCATCAAGACTGGCTTCCGCCCTCTCCTCCATCGTCAACGTCACCGCACCGCGCTCGTCATCGAAATGTCTGAGCACTTTGTGGTCGGCGGGGTCGGAGGTGGTCTTTGACAAGTACTCGAGGAACTCGAGCGGCGCCGACGAGTAGTCTATGTCGCTGGACACCACCAATGGGATGGTTGACGGGTGTGCGACGTAGCGCTGATACTCGTCCAACTGGCGGACTTGCGGATTGAGAGAGTTTTCTATCAGGGAGGTGAAGGCTTGCAGGGCAAGTTCGGCCTTTGTAGGAGGGCCCAGTAGTAGGGAGCTGTTGGTCAGGTCACTCGGAGTGGCAGTCGGCAGTCTTGGAATTTTGGGCACCGAGGTTGACTGGACCTCGAAGGAGGGTTCCTTGATTATCCCCGTGTATTGGCGGCGTCTCATGGCGTTGTGAAGTTGATGCTGGGCATCGAGCCAAGGTCCCAAGGTGTTGGGTTTCGGAGTCGGCTCAATTGCTGGTGTAGTGGCCGAGTTCAAACGTCCGTCGGCGGACGAGAACGTCGTGCCTCCTCCGATGGTGGAGGTAGTATCGTCCGACGGTGCAACTATCTTCACGCCCTTCCGATTCCCGTGCCCTTTGTCATGTCCTTCACCGTCGCTGTCATTCGCCGTCCGCACCCTAAACGGGCTGAGATCGTATTTCCCGGCGGACGTCGAGCTGATCGGGATATATTGTAGATTCGATCGCATTTTGAAGGAAAAGAGCTTTCGGAACGAAGAAATGGCTAAAGGGCGGTAGTATTCGACCCAATAGTCATCAAAATATGCCAACGGTCGGTCGCGCAGTTCGCGCGGCCAAAGTGATGGTGGCATCTGCGGTGACTCGAGGTATTCGTCCGTGTACCAATGGCGATAGCTCGGTCTCCGTTTGCCAAACATGGAGCGCGGGTCGGAGTGGTGCAAGTAGTAGTCCGTGGTGAGATCCCAAAGCATGGGCTGGCCCTGGGCGAAGACGTAGTTTCCGAGGAAGAGGTTGTACGCTTCTTGCCGCTGTGCGTCCATGAATGAGTTGTTGTAGTATCGCTTGAAACTCTCGACCATGTCACGCGAATGGCTCGTCCATTGATTGATCTTGCGGTACGTGGCCATTGTATTGACCAAATGCGAGCCTCCGTATTGTACTGCTATAGTGTCGCCATGGTCGTGCCACATATGCGTGAACAGATTCACGGCATCAGAGTCGTACTCGACCGATGGATGCTCAATCACCCCTAGAGCTTGGAGTTGATAGCCAAAGGCCTTCTTTGCAATGACAAATTGTGCGGCGTTGGTACGGTCGAGGCAGTCAATGCAATTGGTTCTCGCTACACCGCTTTGGAGTCTGAGGCCTGATTCCTCATCATTGCCATTCTGGAAGAAGCCTGTCTTAGGGAGAATATCTTCCGCTATCGCCTCAAGGCTGCCGATGACATCTTGATCTCGACTTTTCGATGCTCGGCTCATATCCCATGCATGATACAGAATCTGTTTGTCTTTGGGTAAGAATTGGTTGAGGTAGTTGACAGCGAGAGTATACTCTTTCAAAAGCTTAGACTCTCTCGGAGTGCGCTCCCGCGCCTTAATCAGGTTGAGCACGTAGATGGGCGTTCCGTACCGCTTGAAGAGGTTGTCGAAGTGAAGAGCAGCGGCGCTGAAGAACGGGTCCACCACGTTGAGATGGATATCAGGTTTTGGTGAGACACCTGTACTGTCTTGAGTCCAATATAAAGGAATGCTGCCACGATGTTGCACATATGAAGTGTACTTGTTGTTGGCGAACAGTACCGGGCCAGGAGCATGAAACGAAGTCGTCAGCATTTCTGAAACGATCTGTTCAGTTTCCACATCGTTGGCCACGTATCCAAGGTCGTTGGCGCCTCGTTTCAGAAATCTGGCACCGGCGAAGAACCTCGATCGACGGGCGATGATTGTCACGTAGACCACCCTACCCCAGTATACTGACAGTGCACTCTGGTCGACATAACCATGTACGACTGACAAACACCAGTCGTATGGGTTCTTGAGTACTTCTTTGGCGGGCTGCAAAAGATGATGGTTCCAGACAAACATATCATTATGATCTGGCTTGTGGGGCTCCGTGAGTCCTTCGTGGAGCGCTTGCCGTACTCGCATGATATTGTGCTGCAACGTTCGAGTGACATCGTAGGAATAGCTAAAATAGAAGGACCTGGTAAGATCGAGATTGTTTAGGATACCGATGAATCGCGTTTCTTCGAGGTGTCGATCAGACTTTGTTCGTGTGGATGCCGCCGTCACCAAAGGCATGAGTTCGGTCTTGTCAATTTGATATATGTAATGACCACCAATCATGGCAACTTGACTCCTTTTGGTCACATACAACATGTAATATTGGGCTGTGAAGCGGATGAAACCCAGCAGACCCCAGAAGCTGGTTTTGATTTTCAGCCCGCCAGTGGCTCGGTTGCCCTCATCTATGGCATTGAGAATCTGCTGGGTTTCTTTTTTGGTGTAGACAATATCATCCTCTGTGATATTGAGCTCGCCAGGTTCCGATGTCCGATCGATCTTCAGTATCCGGAAGGCGGAGTCCAACAGGTCCGAACCAACAATGTAGTAATAGTTGGCGGTTTCGTGGAGAGTAAATTTGTGCATTTTGCTGACGCCTTCATCTCCCACTTTGCTGACCAACGCACCCCTGTTGCGCTGCAGTGCTGTTGGGGAAGGACTTGCTGTGCGGTGGAAAGACTTGGACAAATCGAATTCGTCCTCGTCGTCTTCAACCTCCCTCTGGCCTGGTGCCAGGGGCGGTGACTCTGGGGGGTTATTTGATAGCTGAGGATACTTCTGAGGAACTGTCTTCTCAGTCTCATCAGAATCGGACTTGCTGACTTCCAAAGCTCGAGGAAGGTCACTCCCAATCTCAACGTCCTGCGAGGGCGTCTTGTGTTCGCTACCCTGCCCGTCCGTACCGTTGGTGGAAGCATATTCAGTTGTCTCTGCAGGGTCCTCGTCAGATTTGACCAGGACCTGATTGGCGACGAACTCTCTGAAGGACTCCATATCGTATCCCACGACTTAGGGTGCCTGGAGAGGCAACGAACTGCACCCGTTCACCCCCATTAGCGACAATCGCTTTCTGAATCGGTCAGTAGCGGCACAGTCTGCAAGAAAGACTCGATGCATCCGAGGGCATGATACTGCCTATAATTGATGCAAAGTCTAACCGCTTGCAATGTGTAGATTCGATGAAATGCCTGGCCTTTGCAATGTTTAAGTTGTCGCCGGGAAATCCGCCTTCGGTTTAGGCGGTTCTGCCGTTTCAGGCATGGTCGCGGACTGGACGCGCCGCCGCTTTTAACGGCTATAAGGACCTCGCCTCTTATCCCCATTCCTCTCTCCGTCTCTTTCAACCTCGTTTTTCCCTTCTCTCATCGCCGTTCGTCCTGACGCACCCTATCGTGCTTCACTTCGACACCGCCTGAATTCTCCTCCTTGCCGCATCAGGTTCTCTATCGTCGATTTCTCTCACTGGCTCTCTCAAAATTAGCCTCGTTACCTCAATTCCTCCCTGCCGCATTAGGCTTCCTTCGACTTTTCTTTCCGGCTTCTTTAAAATCTACCTCGTCTCTTTAAGTGCGCCCCGATTAGCCTTTTATCTCTCGATCTTCGCCCCTTTTACACTTTCGAAAAGGACTCGTTTCGGCCCCATTATACGCCTGATCCCTTCATGACGCATTTGACTTCGCTGGCCGCACATTGTCTAGGCTCAGCTAACCCCGCCTGTCATCAATACCTCGACCAGGGTCCTAAGAATATGGGTTTCGGTCTCGGCAAGTCTCCTTGTGCCCACTTACGAAGGTGAATCCGAGTAATGGGCTCTCTCTAGCCTCTGTCACAGACCTATAAAGACCCTACGAGATTATCATCGATAATAGCAAAATCGAACATGTTCGGGGCGCCGTGATAGACGCTTAACTCTCTATACTGTATCATCGGGGCTAGGATTATATACACACGGGGCGCGTCCGATCACAAAAATACCGCACAAGGTGATCGGCAGTGTATAGGTGCATAGCTGCCTACGCTCCGCCTCAAAAATGCAACGCTCAGAGGTTTAAGTCTCCTATTTCAGCCCTCAGTGGTTCCGGGGGAAAGACTTGCCCATCTGGCGACAGGGACACGTCAGTATATTGCAATTGGCTTCTTAACCGCTGCCTTGTTTAATGCTAAATGATATACAGCGGTTCCCAAGGGCTTGGCTTGCCCAGCGAGGAACTGAGTGAACTAGCTACGGAACGTTGTTGACCTGTTTGCAATGGTTGTTCGAGTTGAGGGCTCTCTTCAGACTATTCATGTAAGTCTACGTTTGGCCTCAAGCAGCTCAGTCCTCCCAGCATTTTATCAAAAGCCAAAGGTGTGTGCCCATGTTTAAGAGGATACATTCCCAGACTTCTAAACTTGCTGTATATATATATAGGTTCCCCTTTTATCCCTTGTATCGACGATCCGACGACCCTAAGTCTCTGACACATTTCAATCCATCGACAACTATTTTGCAATCTTCTCCCTGATCCATTCTCTCACAGCGGCCTCCTGACACTCACGGCCAAGTCCCTCCAGTTCTTCTGCTCGCTTCGGTCTTGTAACAGGAGTAATATGTATCTCCTTCTTCCCCACCACCAGCCTGGTCACATCACGGCCAACCCCTTTTACAAACTTGTCGGCCCAGCTGAGTATTGAATCACGCAAAGTTTCATGTTCTCCTACAGTGACCAGACACGAAGACACCTTTGCACCCGACCACCAACTCGCCGGTGCTACTTCAGGAGTGATGTATTCATCGTCGCTGCTCCCTTTGCCTTGGCCCTTGTACTCTTCGATCCAGTAGTGCGAGCAAGATGTCAGGACTGTATCTCGATTGGCGAATTCAGTCATCGATTGGAATCTCGCCTCGTCAGAAGACACCCAAGGACCTATGGCCAGCACTCCGTAAAAGTTCCCCGAGAGGTAGAGCGGTTTGACCACTTCAGATCGCGGATGCGGGTGACCGGAGACGTGGCTCACGACAGCAAGCACCAAATTCCCTCCACACGAGTCTCCGCCGAGAAGAGTCGTCTGAACTGTCCGACCTGGCAATGAGAGGACGTAACGAACTGCTTCAACACACTCTCTGATCTGAAGAGGGTACAGACCGTCAGGGGCCAGGGTATAGCTCGGACAGAAGATGGCCAGCTCACCGTCCGACCATTGCACGAAGCGAAAAAGCATGTTCAGGTGTCCGACAAAGCCAGGCATCACGAATGCTCCGCCGTGGAAGTATACCATGGCATATTTTGCCGACTGTTGGTTTCCAATCCAGAATCCCCTGATGTTGATGTTAGGGATGTCGACGATATCGGGTTGAAGTTTTCGCTGTTTGCACCATCTTTCATAGTTGGATGCGAACGGCGGCATAAGGAGTCTGCCTTGTGTCAGTTTTTGTCACCTTTCCAAGCAGGGTTGTTGCACACTGATCTGTCCTGGCTGGCGAGTGCGAAGGGAGAGTACTTACTGCAACTGGCCTATGGTAGCTGCCTTGAACAAAGCCCGAAAGGCGCTGGTGACGATATGATCTCCCGCAGTAGGCGCACCATTGACTCCACGAAACGGGCTGTTGAGTAGCGCCAGCAAGGTTCTGACAAAGACAAAGGCCAACAATGGCGCCAATAAGACCCGGTCGACAAGGGTTGGGACCATGGTACTGGAATATCAGGGGTACCTGGTTCTCTTTTGGTTGCAGACTTGTGAGTCGAGTTGCGTGCAGATCTCAAACTTTGATAGCAGAGAGGGCTCAACAACAACAACAGCATTTTAAAAGCTCGTTGCGTGCATAGAGATAAAGCTGCCGCGATGGCAAAAGAGACTATACGCGCGCTCTCCCCTCTTCGATCAGTATACGCCGGCCTTTTGGGACCCGTTCACCGATATCTTTTGAACCCAACTGTTCTTTGCAACTCGACATTTTGAGAGAACGATTAGAAATCTATATCTGGAGAGGAGGAACAACGTTTCAATTCTACTAATTCCCGTTCACGAGGTAGGTGGATATCAGAGCGGAGCCAGAGCAGAGTCACTCTGGTTTTCTTTTTTACGCTCTGCCCACTTACACATTGCTCTGACCTTTGCCGTATGATGGTTAAGTAAGGAAGCACAACTAGTTTTCCGCTTAGGAGGTCCAAGGAGGTCCCACCCGAACTGAACGCCACGCCAGTAAGCACGCACAACCCATCGACCCCATGGATTAATATCACAGCCAATAGTAGGCCAAATTAGAAGAAACCTGGTGTTTCAGAGACCTGGAATCAATGCAAAGCTTTCTAGCTACAATTAATAATTATCCAAGTGCTGTGGCTTTCGTAGTTGCCTTCCACTTCTCAAGAGCTAATCTTTCTCGCTTTTCTAGCTGTAGAGTAGCAGTAGCCCTACTTAATTCCGCCTACTCTTCCTTACACTGCGGCCTAGCTGAAATCGAGATAGCCTGGCGAAGTACAGCGCACATAGCCCTACAGGCAATGAGAAAGAAGGAGGAGGAAGTAGTGAACTACACAGGGACAGTCGGAAACAGGCTCGAGCATCTAGCCAATTCACAGGATTCTCCAATGGCCAAGTTGAGCCTATCTGACGCCAAAGGCGACGACCTCGAGGAAGGTTATACACCTTGCACGCTTCTATATAAACCGTTAAATAACGTCCTCGAGCGTGTTGAGGTTGTGCCATGTGCTTATGTACCTACCTTCAGTGGTCCGGAACTCAATCTTGAAGTCTCCTCTTAGCTCTTTGCAGTTTCTATCAAAGTCGCCTCGCAAATGACCAATTCCGTTCTTCGTTCTTATCACCTTTGCGCTAGCAAGCCTCAGGGGTTGGTCCCTTGACTTTGTAGCTCGCCGTGCTCGACCCTTAATTCTGCTTAGTATTCTGCAAAACATTGGTTAGCAACAGGGGGACCATCTACCTTTATGAAATGTAAATGGGATCGGTTCCAGGAACAAAACTAGAGTCGCAATGGGGCCATAGCTGCGAAACCCGAGCTTCGTCTAGCTCGTCGAGATTTAGCACTTCCGCAAGGTATTCGATGCGACCTTCTGACTGTGCAAGACCAGCTAGTGACTTGTACCGGTACCGTCGGTTTTGTCCGAATTTGGCACCGTTAATGTACCCAGCAAACATCTTTTCATGATTGTCCAGTAATTTCCTTAGGAGATATGCAGCTGAGCAACTGTTATTACTACTCAGCCTTGCCATCGAGGCTGTCGTTGGTTAAGCACGATGGTTTCCATTTTAGGTTTAGTCCGGCCAAGCATTTGAGACCGAGGCTCAACTCGGCCGCGTCCTTGTGTTTCGCGCTCCCCGCGCATCCTACCCAAGGTCGCTGCTGACTCCAGCTTGTTTCTACAACATGTAGTCCGCAGGTACTTTTGGAAGCTTGCTTGCTTCCTCACCACTGACTCTACAGCTGAAGTCATACCAAAATGGCTCCTCCAGCACCCTTCTCCGAACCTCTTCTCCCTCAGCTCGACCTCCCCACGAACCCGTACTACACCGAGAAGCATCACCGTCTCCGTGCATTTGTCCGCAACTACGTCGACACAGAACTCGCACCCTATGCGCAAGAGTGGGAAATAGCTGGCCAAGTGCCTGAGCACGTCCGTCTACGGCACTGCCAGCTAGGATTTGCGATTACGCACCCTGTCGTTGATCCAGCTGATGCGGGTGGTATTCAGCAGCCTGCGGGAATCCCCTGTGACGAATGGGACACCTGGTGCAGTGTTATCGTTGGCGATGAGTTCGCTCGATTGGGCTGGTGCGGTCCAATATGGGGTCTAGGAGGCGGTAACGGCATTGGCTGCCCTCCTATTGCACGGTACGGAACAAAACAACAAAGACAAAGATGGCTACCGAAAGTTGCTACAGGGGAGATCAGGTTTTGTCTTGGTATCACCGAGCCGGACGGAGGAAGTGACGTGGCTAATATACGGACAACTGCGGAGAGGAGAGGTGCAAATTATATCGTGAACGGTAGCAAGAAATGGATCACCAACGGAATCTGGTGCGACTATTGTACGGCTGCCGTGAGAACGGGTGGACCTGGCCGTGGGGGCATCAGCCTATTGGTTGTGCCGTTGAAGGCGAAGGGTGTCACAACACGAAGGCTGGAGAATCAAGGAGTCCATGCAAGCGGTACGTCGTTGCCCCCCGTGCTTTACTATCCTTGCCCTTCTAACAATCTCAGGATCAACATTTATCACTTTCGAGGACGTCGAAGTTCCAGTGGAGAATCTCATCGGGCGAGAAAATCACGGATTCCAACTCATCATGTCAAACTTCAATCCAGAACGCTTGTCTCTCGCCACCGCGGCACTGCGTCTTGCCCGAGTTTGCGCTCAAGATGCATATACCTATGCCTGCGATCGCGAAACATTTGGCAAAAAACTCATCGAACATGCCCCCATTAAGTCAAAGATTGCTACGTTCGGGCTCCTGATCGAGCCCGCCCATGCCTTCCTAGAACAGCTCTGTTATATAATCGAGACCGGACGTGTTACGGGTAGGGAGGTGAATGTGGGAGGTATGACCGCCTTGCTGAAGGTAATGAGCACGAGGTGTCTGGAAAAAGTCTGCCGGGAGGCCCAACAGATCATGGGCGGAGCTGGTTATGCCAAGACTGGACGAGGTGCTCGCATCGAGCAGATCAGCCGAGATGTGCGTGTCCATGTTGTTGGTGGTGGCAGTGAAGAGATCATGATGGACCTGGCTGTTCGTCAAGAGGCAAGGGATGTCGAATTGAGGGCTGCTAGGCTTGCAGCAAGCTCGAAGTTGTAAACGGCAAGCCGAATCGAAAAGTATTTAACTGGCACGCTCCAAGTCTTCGCTGTTCCGACGGAGATAGCCTTGGCCCTGCATTGATAAATCAGCACTGCGTTTGCCTTTGGAAATAGAGGTACTCTGCCCTTTTATGTACGCCATTAGCTGTGTTCGATATGGCAACCACTTCGTCCGATATTGAGCTCTCTTTGGCCACATTAGATACAGCGTGTATCTTGCGTCGGACTGTGTCGCATATTTTTAATCGGCTGAACGGACAATCTTCCTGGAAATAGAATTTATTTCTTCTGTACATTGGATTTCATCTTCAATTCATGCTACCACATACTATTACGATCAATAATGCTGCTGGAGCTCCTGAACTTCCTGAAAGATCGAGTTAGCTTCCATTAACCGTGTACGAATATTGAAAATACATACCCCGAGCGCCGCCTGCTGCAATCCTGATACTTGCTGTTGAGTTAGACCCTCATAGGCGGGGATGCTTCTCCTTAGCTGCTTTGGTGCTCAGCTGTTGCTGAAGCTGCCGCCGTAGCGCTTCTTGATAAGCATTGCTGGTGCTGGTGCTGGTGGGTGCCTTGTCTAGATCAAACGACATTATTAGTATAGCCATCTTGATCATAGTCACGTAAGAATATACAATGAGTTAGGGGTGTCGGCGGCAGCGTCGCAGAGGGCGGTACAACAGCCGTGGGCAGCGGGGTTGTAAGTTCAAACGTCGGCTCGTTGTGCAGGTCGATTCACCCGGTAGCAAGTTTAACACACCACAGAGAGAACGCGGATCGAGGAAAAGAGAGAGTACTTACCAATTTTTGGTTGTGTCCGAGGGAGAGGTGAGAGGAGAGTGAAGAAGAGGATGGGGATGGTTGTTCTATATGAGAATGCCGAAGCACACCAGAGCTCCTTCCCCAGCTCACCCGCGCCTTTTTGATCTGTCGTCCGTTTCCATTTTACAGCCATGATCCACGCGCAGTGACTTTTCCTAAAGCCACAATCTTCAACTGAGACCTAGTTCCGATCTTTTGCCCATCATCATGTCAATTGCTTCCTCTTTCGCCCCCTGAGGATGGTCGAACTGCCAGCGTGCAAGTTCATCGACCGCTTTCCCGAGCCAGGGACCGACCTTTGGATTTCCCAATGCTTCTCTGATCTCGTTGCCCTTCAGAATTGGAGTTACAGCATACGCGTCTTCCAGCTTCTGATAGTGAATGTAAGCAAGGAAGTTCTGATACCGGTCAGTCACGGTCGCGAAATCTTGCTCCACGAGGTCGCAGAGCAGTGAGAAAAGCACATGCGATCTCCACGCCTCTTTACACCGTCTCAGTGTCATACCCACGTCTCCTCGGATGGCTTTCTCGTCGTTGGCGGATTGCACTCCGTCGAGGATGGCGGGCCGCATGTCGATCGCATCTCTCAGGACCTTGCTCATGCTGTTTGTGGCCTTGATGCCTTCCCTGGACGCCTGGTATGCGTTTGCAGACGACTTACACCAGGGCGTGTACGCCGCGAGGAACCAGCTCAGGGTTTGGTCCTCCCTGGGTCTCAGGCTTAGGCAGATCGAGGATTTCTCGTCCAGGATCCTTTGGAGGCCGTCGTAGGCGATGATTGCATGACCGGCGTCAACCGAGTCGTCGATCGGCGGTGTTGCCGGGTCGGCGAACACAGTGAAGTAGAGATCAAACTCGTTGACGTACTTCAATCCGGTGTAGGGATCAGGTCCGGCCATGATCTTGCCGATTTCCACCCCCACGCGCTCTCTACTGATCTTCAAGCGGAGGGCCTCGTGGATGGTTGTGTCTTTCATCGCCTCTTTCGCACTCGGCTCGATCTCGTACTGCAGTCGGCAGGCAAACCGGATGAGGCGCAGAACCCGTAGTGGATCGTCCTTGAATGTCTGATACGGCGCAAGGGGCGTCCGGATGATCTTGTCCTTCATATCCTCGAGCCCGCGATGCGTAAAGTCCTCGACCTCTTGCGTGTCCAGGTTGTAAAAGAGGGCGTTGACGGTGGCATCTCGACGGAGCGCATCTTCTTCCGCAGTGCCAAATTCAACCTGTGGATGGCGGTTTTGACGATTGTAAACCTCTTTTCTGAGATTGACAAAGTCGACATCGATACCGAACATTCTGGTAGTGATGGTTTCTAGGTGCTTCGACTTGTCCGGATTCGCCTCGATCTTGTGAATATCCTTCAACTGTGAGTTGAATCCTTGTTTCCTGGCTTGCTCCTCATATTTTGCGCCGTGCTCCTTGATGAAAGTCTGCAGCGCCTGACCAAACTCCCATCCGGTCATCGTGCTCAGTGCCACGTCGATGTCATGGCTTTGCACACCGAGCAGCTTATCCCGGACCCAGCCCCCTGTCCACCGAAGCACGAGATCCTTCATCCCAGGGACGGACTCCATCTGCGTTCGGCAGTCCAGCAGGCACTCCCGGAACAGCTTCTCCGCTGGTGTCAGTGGGAGTTGTACTGTAGTCATTTTTGATGAGGGACGAGACTGGGCAATATTGCGGAATGGGTTTGGAAATTTTTTGATGCCTTTAACGGCCCGAAAGGGCATAATATGCACCCACAATCAGGATGACACGAATCTCAGTCCGAGTGGCCGTGTCCCATTTCTCTTGGTGGTATTTGAATTGCTGGCATGGCGCTATGAAGAAAGAGGGATGACTTTCATCTCCAGGATCAGTCACGGCAAGTAAAGGTAGCACGAAGAAGCTAGACGAATGCAAACTGACAGATTTGCTGGTTATTTGCTTCTCGGATGCAGTATCAGGATATACGTTTGAGTCTTTGTTGCTGTTTTCACATTAACGTTCCACGATTTGTTTTCATTAGGCTAAGCATCAGCCTCGCCAGGCCATTAGCGTCGTCTTGTGTCCGGAATATCATTACTCCGGAACCCGAAGTTGACCTCGGCCGGTGTCGGCTTTCGCAGTAGAAACAGTTCTGTGGTTGAGATCCAAACTGCACTGGCCGTACCGCTTGATCTAAGCTCTGCAATACTGTCTCCAAGAGTGTCCTATTCTCGGCCAACACTCGCCTTGCAAAGACCGCAAGATGCTTGTAATCGGGCTTACAGGCTCGATCGCAACGGGCAAATCCACCTGCTCTCAGATACTGTCCTCTCCCCCGTACTCTTTGCCATTGGTCGATGCCGACTTGCTAGCACGAAAAGCAGTGGAACCAGGCACATGGGGATACCGCCGCATAGTCGCAACCTTTGGTCCCACGACACCAGAACTCCTCCTTCCGGCCTCAGATCCCCAGTGCGGCGGCAAGGAAAATGGGCCGAACGGCAAAGGGAGACCGTTGAACAGACCCATGTTGGGGAGAAGAGTGTTTGGCAATACAGAAGAGAGGATACACGACAGGAAGAAGCTGAACGCCATCGTACATCCAGCCGTGCGGCTCCTCATGGCACGCGCGATGCTGTATTACTATCTCCGAGGACATTGGGCTGTGCTTGTTGACGTTCCCTTGTTGTTCGAGTCTGGTCTCGACATCTTCTGCAGCACGGTCATTGTCGTCGCTGTCTCCGATCCACTGATCCAGATGCAACGTCTCCAAGACCGAGATCCGCATCTATCGTTTGAAGATGCAGAGAACAGAGTCAAGAGCCAGGTCGATGTGCGAGAAAAGGCTGTGCGATGTGAACGTCGAAACAACGGCAAGAAGGATGCGGGAAAAGGTTATGTCCTCTACAATGACGGAAGTAAAGACGATCTTAAGATTCAGATTGCGGACGTCATGGGGAAGATCAGATCTAAAAGTCCGCGGTGGTGGAGTCTGCTGCTTCTTGTTTGCCCGCCTCTTATGGCTACGGTCGCGTCCTGGGAAGTATTCTGGAACTGGTATGTACGGCGGAAGACTATTAAGGCGAGAGGCGAAGAAATGGCGAAACCGAAATAGAGAGAGAGGTTGTATAGTGAGTAGTTCTCTCTCTCTCTCTCTCTCTCCCTATAATAATAAGTTTAGAATGCTGCTAATACGTATAACGATTCTTATTATAGTTTTATATCTTTACTTCTCTTCTACCATAATCTATCTCTCCTCTCCTCTCTGAACTACAAGATGTAAAAAAAAAGTCCAAAAGCCCCACCGGATCTGATCTTACCTTTTCCCCCCTTAACAACCGGATCTCCCACTTGGGTGCTGCGGCTCCTGGCCTCCCCCCGGTGAGGAGCGTTCTCGAGCAAACTTACAGCAGCCAACAGAGAGACCCGGTTGACTTCTCACCAAGACCACGATATGACCGATTCATATCGTGCTGATGTGAAATGAAACGTTTGAACAGAAGGAGAGACATACATATGGGCCGAGACCTTCTGCGCTACCTTTAGGGCACACAGCGAAAACCACACATGAAGTAATTCCCTCCTTTTATTTTTCAAACACAGGGGGAGGAAGGCCCCGCCCACCAAACCCGATGTATGGAGAACTTTGAACTTTTTTTCGTGTCCGTATATCCGGCCACTCGAAGTGTAGCTTGCGAAGGTCTCGATTTATTCGCAGTGCGTTACCCCCAAATTCTTTCAAATATGTTGACAGGATTTGGGCGACATAAATTGATATAGTGCATCGGAGCTTGCTGCCGGTCTCTACTGTTTTCCTTTGAAGCTTGGCGAGAGTGGTGAGGCAGGAAGAAGTGCTGGGTAGTGAATTGTTGACCACGAGACTGCACGAGGCTGCACGAGGCTGTAGGTTGGCGAGCTCGGTATAGGTTTGTTTAAATAAAAGCTACGTCGCTTGCATAGATTCCCAAGATGTCTATAGACTCAAGCACATGCACGCTATTCTCCCCTCTTCAAATATCCACTTACAGCCCTCGAGACGGTTGTAACTTCACTCGACTGTTGCGTGGAAATCGGAAAATGCCCTTGTGGATGCGGGCGATAGCCAAAAATCGGAACTCTTCTGACATTATTTTCGTTTGGAAGCTGGAGATTTACATGCAAGCAATGTTATTCGACTATACTAGGCTCACATATCACGAAAAATAGACACTCAAGACTCCTACTGAGATGGTTTCCACCCCATCTCCGTCGCTCGCCCCTGCCATCTCTCCCTCTCTGCTTCGATTGTCGCCAACTTCTTCTCCAGCTCTCTTATCTTGTCAAGTTTGTTCTGACGATGCTTTCGAGAGTTCATCGTGTTACGGATCCGTTGAGCACCCTTCTTGTCGGCCATATCGACGAAATGGATTTGTGGTCCGTATTTCGTCTTGGGACCCGGCGGGCGTTTGAGCGCAGGACGGGTATTTTCACTTGAGCTCAATGGAGTGCAGAGAGTCGACTTTGGAGATTTGATGGAGTTGCTGAAGTCCGATATCCCACCGAGACCGGTATCCGGCGTGATTGGAGATGCCTCGGCGCCAGAATGGCCCGAGTTCGCAGCGGGCACTGAGGTGCATTCTGGGATGAATTGGATCGTGGGTGCTCCAGGGCATGGGATGTCTCCCGGGAAGGAAACGGCAAAGGGATTGGCAAAGAAACTCTCGGGAAAACTCAGAGTCACGTTGCCCAACACCTCGACTGGATCCTCCCGGGGCGAGGCCGCATCTCCCGTTTGAGAAGAACCGTCGCCCATTCGGTGCGTGGCCTCCTCCAGAATCCGATATGTATCTTGATCGCGGCAGGCGTCGCCGATACAGTCACCGGAGACATCGACATTGTCCCAGCCGAGCGCTGAAGAGCTATCATCATCGCCGATGAGACAGTCGTAGTATTGTGATTGAACAGTTCGCTGGCCATGATTGACAGCCAGAGGATGGGACCGTAGATATAAATTGCGTGAAACCGGAGACTCCCACTCGGGCCATTGATTGCTCTTATGGCGGGAAGAGGGAGGTGCAGAGACGGGTAGGCTGGGCAGTAATGGTGGCAGCCATGATGAACAACCGTCCAAAGTGACCTTCGATCAGGACAGGTGGAAAAGTGCTAGACGCCTTGCTTGCTTGCCTGGTTGCAAGGCGGATGAGGGGGATGTGGAAAGGAAAGAGAAGAGAAGAAAGCGGGAAGTGGGATGGGAGCATTATTGAGCCTCGCGTCGTCCGAGCCGGATGAATCTATACCAAACACGGTAACTGGGACGGGCGTCTCTGTCTGACCGGATCGAGTCGATGCACCACCCAAGACCACCAAGACCACCCCAAAATGTGACGGCAATTTCGTCCATTCCGGCCGCTCGACAGCCCGTTTAAGGCCTTCGTCAGATGAGGAAGTGTTCCTTGGTCAGCGGCAATGACTCACCTGTTCGCTGCTTGTGTTGCAGCGTCCCATCGTCCGACCGAATGAATGATGTAACCTGCTTGGATCGAAGAAGACGGACGACGAGATACCGATTCTAGAACCTTTCTGGGGCTTTTCCCCTTTTTCCAATCGTTGCCCGACACATTTGCAGCTGGAGACATCAACGGATTGTCCGTGCCACTGTGTCTCGCGCTCCACAGTATCAAATTGCCAGACATTTCCACCTACCACAAATGTCCTAATACACAGGATGCAGCTGTTGCTCTCGGTCGTGTCTCTTTCTTACCACTTACCTGAAACAGTGCAATATCAACAACGTTGAAGATATCGAACAAACCGACGCTCCATGCCTCAACGCAAAGCGTGTCTTTAAAAGAACCAATTCGCCATCCTACTGCTGGAGAGCTCTGCGTGAACAATCCAGCAGCAGTGATGACGAACATTATCTCGATTGTCCAGCCGACATCGTTTGACAACCCTCGTGAAAATCACAAGTTTTGCCGATCTGAGCTCTGGTTGTTGCTTCACGGCCGTCGTCCCTTGCGGCCAGGGGCAAGGTTAGAAAAAGAGGGTGTGTCGAGGATTTGCGGCACGAATGGGGCTGTTGTGGAAATTAATATATGCTTTATGGCAGTCGACATGTGCCACTACATTGGATATGTATTTGGATATACAAGAATTTGAGTCTATTTCCCTCCTGAGGTTCTCGATAGTTCCTCTGCTAACCGCGCTATGCAAATATGTAAAGGATTGGACGACTCATTGCGAGCCAATGATATTGATGTGTTTCATTCAGCATCCGGTTCGCCTGCTCACGAACCGCAGGTCATGTCGATGAGAGGGTCGTAGTTGGAGTCGACTACAGCGAAGCTCGGTGAGGCCGCGAAGTCGTCAACATCGTAGAAGAAGTAGTTCAGACTGTCGAAGCTTGCACACGAGACCTGCCACCAGTAGGTTTGCAGATTTTCGACCGAGGGGACAGAGTTGCCCACAGCGTCGCCAGAAATAGGCCAGCCGGTCTCAGTTGTCCACACGTCACGACCGCCCGCGACGGCTCTAACTTGATTGACTGCAGCCCAATACGCGTCGTTTGCGGCGCCATTGTCGATTTGAACGCCCTGCCAGTAGGGATATGCATCATTACCAAGCCAGTCAACAGCCTCAATCACGGCTGTATTGGCAGGGTCCACCCAAGCGGTCCAGGTATCGACGTGCCCAACAGACTTGCTGCTTGCTCCAAGGCCCCAAAGCATACCACGGACATCATTGATCTGCGATGCCAATGTATTTGCGTCGGTGTCGCCCCGATACAGATCTTCAGAACCAACAGAAACAGCCAATATCCAATCATGCCCGTATTGTTGAATGGCTTCCAATAATGCTTGCTTTTCTGCCTCATAATGATTGTTATCCTCGGTCCAGACGCCGACAAGGAGTGCGGTCCCAGTCTTGATGGCGGCAGGCACTGCGTTTGCCAGGGTATTGCAGTCGCTCGAGGCGTACAGCCTGGCGCTCTTGAAGTTTCCTGGAAAGCTGGCGACCTTGTTGAAGACGAATTCCCAGTCTGACTCGCTTCGACATGCTCCGTTGGCCAGGTTAGCCCCGATATTGAATCCTTTGTAGTATGCCTCAGCGCCGGAAATAGCGGCAGTAGCAAGAGTAAATAGTTGACTGGTCTTCATGCTGATTTCGAGACCTTGGAAGAGACCTTATTTTATATAGGAGCGGTCGAGTAAATATATGGGGGAAGGAGAGCAAACGAACGACTGTGACAATAAGAAGAAACCAAATGAAGGACTTCAATATACTCAAGCGAGTGACTTGGACGACGAGGAAGAAGACGAAGAAGACGAAGAAGAAGATGAGGATGAGCAGAGCAACGAGAAAATATGTGCCCTCTCAAAAAAGAACGAAGATCCAGAACATTCAAGGTTGGACCTTGCAACAAACGAGACAGTGACCTGCCATGGTGGAGAATCAAGCCTTGAAAGCGTGAAAAAGGGGCGCCACCACCGCCATCCGACGGCCACTGACCCATTCTTTGGTGGCAGGATCAGCGCCCGCTGGTTTGTGGCTGTACCTGCGTTAGCGCTGCTTGCGAGATTGAATGGGCCTGCTCTTCGACGAATGGTTCGCAGATTGGGGTGCGTCTGGACGACAGGTGGACCAAGAATTCAGAGACATCGATTTCAACTTGACCAGAGATTCCCCAAGAGAAGACTCAAAGCCGCGTTGTTGTTTTGATTCGAAGCGAGAAAGAACTGTACTTGGTAGGTACCATTTGCTGCGTACTGTAGATCCACCAAAACCGGCTGACCGGGCTATCATCCCCGTCAAGCCAAGGGTATTTTCGCCTCCGGTAGGTCTTAACTGGAATCGGCCTAACCCTGACGTGGCGTTTTCGGCACAAGACGCCTTGCTCCAAGTCCTTTTTGATGCCAATCCACCATGCCGCGTACTGGAAGAGCAAGAGCAGAGAGTTGATGACAAGGCTGGACTTGTATGACGAGCGCTTTCTGTTCGCCCGTGTCCCGAACGAGGCAAGAGCACACAAGGAACCAGGAATATCAACTGTCAGCCTGACCATGTGGGCAAATTGAAATATTGAAACACATTCGCGGTATTACGGTCGACATGCGTATGCGATGGTGATGCGCAGAAAGAGGCCGCTGCTCGTGGTCGCCACTGCAGGCATTCTGCTCTTCTTGATTTGGCATCTTTACGGCTCGTCCTCGGAATGGGTTCGTGATGGATCCTCTTCTGAGTATGGACTAGGTCACAAGGACGAGGGAGAACCGTTGAAGGAGTTGGAGGAAGGCCTCAGTCACCGTCCTTCGAAGCCCGGGAAAGGCCATATCATCAATCAAATTGCCAGCTTTATTCCGCTCCCCACAGCAATTCAAGATCTTCCCAGGATCCAGTATGACTTCAAGCCCGAGAGCGGACCGGCCAGAGAGTCTCGGCTGGCTCGTCTTGAAGCTATCAAAGCGGCAATGATGCACTCGTGGAAGGGCTATCGACAGAGGGCATGGCTGAAAGACGAGCTGGCCCCTGTGACAGGCGGATATAGAAGTACTTTCGGTGACTGGTCTTTGACTCTGGTGGATACCTTGGACACACTCTGGCTGATGGGCTTCAAGAACGACTTTGAGGCCGCCGTTCACGCGGTGGCCGGCATCGATTTCAACACTGCCACACAACTTCCAATCAATGTCTTCGAGACTACAATCCGTCATCTTGGAGGTCTGCTCGGAGCGTATGATGTGAGCAATCGTCAATATCCTACATTGCTCGACAAGGCTATAGAGCTTGGTGAAATGCTGTACGGCGCATTCGACACGCCAAACCACATGCCAGTTACGAAGTGGTCAAAGATTGGTGTCGAGGGTGCATCAGGCCATACTCTCGTCGCTGAGCTTGGGACGTTGAGTCTTGAATTTACCAGGCTCACGCAGCTGACCGGAGACCCGAAGTATTACGACGCGGTGCAGCGCATCTCAGACTGCCTCGGAAGCCAGCAGAACTATACAAGGGCACCAGGCCTTTTCCCACATATTGTCAATGCGAGGGAATGCTGGTTTGGGGACGGCGTGACCTTTTCTATTGGTGGGTCAGCCGACTCGGTTTACGAGTATTTCCCTAAGGAATATCAGCTGCTCGGAGGAGCCAACGAGCAGTACAAGAGGCTCTTTGAAATCGCCAAAGATCCAATGAAGAAGTTCATCCTCTTCAAACCCATGACACCAACCAACGAAGACATTCTCATGGCAGGTACCTTAAAGTCCTTCAGGCCCGGCCATACCGAACTCATCCCACAGACTCAACACCTCGCCTGCTTCGCTGGAGGCATGTTCGCTTTGGCTGCGAAATTGTTCAGTTCTCCTGAAGATCTGGAGACGGCCGACAGATTGGTTCACGGCTGCATCTGGGCGTACAAGCAGACCGCGACAGCCATCATGCCGGAGATGTTCCACCTCATTTCGTGCCCTGCTGACGACCGTCAGTGTAAATGGGACGACAAAGCCTGGCACAAGCACATGCTCCTCCTCAACTCCCATGACGAAACTCCCCAGGACAAACTGCTGCCTGAGGGCGAACGCTTCCGCAAAAAGTCCCAGCGGCTGCGCTTGCCCAAGGGCATCGCGGCCATCGCCAACCGTGCATACGAACTGCGCCCCGAGGCGGTCGAGTCGATCTTCGTCCTCTATCGCGTCACGGGCGACGAGTCCTTGCGCGAAAGCGCGTGGGAAATGTTCGAGGCCATCACCAAGTACACGCGCACCGAGTTTGGCTATTCTTGCATTGAGGACGTGACGCTGTCCGATCCGCGCAAGACGGACAAGATGGAAAGCTTCTGGACGGCTGAGACGCTGAAGTACTTTTGGCTGTTGTTCGAAGACCCCAACGTCGTGAGTCTCGACGACTTCGTCTTGAACACGGAGGCGCATCCATTTCGATTGCCCAAGAAGCGATGACAATATCCACGTTTGAAATGTTTTTGCCATGAATAGAGAGATTTGCCAGGCTGGTTCCTCAAGCGACGATAGTCGGTTCGACGCGAAGGCAACGCATTAGAAAATCCTGTTCAACACCTGTTTCACGTCGTCGCTTATCTTTTCGTCCCCAGGAGTGTCCTGTCCTTTCTTCTTGCCCTTGACTTCAGTCTGCCTCCAAGTTCTCCTGACATCCAGACCAGTCCCATCTCCACCACGATGTTCCGGATCCTCGCCGCCTCCTTCTTTGCTAGCCTTCTTCCTCTTGATTCCCTCTACCTTCCTCCCCGTCTCCACGCCCTCAATGAAGCGTTTCGTCTCCCTCGCGATGATCCTCCTCTCTTCGTCCCTCCTGCCCTCTTCCTCTCGCTTCTCCTCCCTCACCCCAGCCATCAACTCCTCCCACCTCATGCCTTTCAAGTACTTCATATTCCACACGTCGTCTCTATACCAGCCGCCCTTCTTCCCGCCCACGGTGGTGGCGTTCAACGTCTCGGCGCACCTTCGCGCGACTTTCTTGGACGAGAACTCGATCCAGCCTTCCGTGTAGAGCTGGCGCGAGTTCTTTTTCGAGTTGTGTGCGTGGCGCGAGGCGGGGGATAGGAAGAGCCGCTTGATGGGCGAGAAGCCCCGCTGTTCTAGGAGGTTGCGCAGCGCAGAGGGTTTCAAGTAGGGAGGGAGCGATGAGAGGTAGATTACACCTGGGGTCGTTTCCTTCGGTTTAGACTTTTGGGTTTTCTTCTGGTCTGCATGTCCGCTCGTCACGGATCCGGATTGAATCTCTTTGCCTCTCGTCGCCACGTTTGCTTCTGCGCTCTCTACATCCCCAAGGTGTTCTTTATTCTTGTCGTCCTTCCTATTCTCGTGCTCGCGATCATCCGATCCTAAAAGCGGAGCCGCAGACGGTGTGCTCGCGGTCTTTGGGACTCGGGTGTGCCTCAGATCGAGCCCATGTTCTTCTTCATCGCTGCTTTCGCGTTCGATCTTTCGTCTCTTACTTGCTCTGCCAGCTTTCGATACTTCAGCAGCTTCAGAGTCGTAGCCGGCATCCTGGTCGGAGTCGTCCAAAAACCCTGCGTCGAGGTAGGTATTCCTCCTCTCCGGACCCATCGTTGTCAGCTTCCGACAATTTTAAACTCCGTAGGTGAAGGGAGGGGGGCTACAGAAGGTTTTGCTGCGTTTGAGGGCAAAGATGTTGTTCTGAAATACGCAACAAAAGACTAGGAGTGCACCAACTACCAGTTGAGGTGCCAGTGGTGAATGTGAATGTGGAGAAAAATTTTGGTTGGAGAAACCCTGGTGGGAAAAGTAAGGCTGAGCAAGGCTGCGTCGAAAACACTGCTGTAGGTATGTTTGTGAATCGCTGTTCGCACGCAAATGCGGGGCTTTTCCCTCCTAATGCTACATTTGTCTAGAGCAGCCCCTCTAATGTAGTCCATCTATAAACGGGGACTTTCACCTTTCCAGCGAAGGGCTTTGCCATCACTGGAAACAGTCTTGCGTGCAATTACATCTTGGACTTTCTCTCTCACGCCAGCTTTGTTCTTCCACTGCCTCAAAAGCTCGTCAACCACTCTCTTTGAGCCTTCCTTGCCCACGTCCTTGACAACAACCTCGATATCTGCCTCTCGGGGTAACGCAAATTTGGCGTGCGGATAGTCTGTGTAATGCTGGTCGAGTGCTCCTTTGTAAGGCTCCACCAATTCCAGAGCCTCTTGTTCAGTAGGCATGACGAAAAATTCATCCACATCCGCTGTCGAGACGTCCTCTAACTTGGCAGGTTTCCACTCGGGTTTCGTGGGCGGTTTGTTGATCAGACGTGCAGTTACGCCCTCGACAAAGTCGGGGTGTGCCATGAATCTGCTGGCCATCTTGTGTTCTTTGACGAAGGTCTCAGAAATGTTCCAGTGCCTCCCTTCTCTTAGCTGACGTAGCGTGACCCGAAGACTGGTGGGAGATCGAATGGCGATAGTCTTTTGAGTTGCTTTCGCCCATTCGGCGATCTTCGCATCTGCTGAACCAGTTTCTTTCTGGAGAGCGCCCAATATCTCCTCTATCGTGTTGTACTTGAAGACTCGATCGACAGCTTCTCGCAGTGCACCGGTGAGATTTCCATATTGGGCAGCGTCGTACGAATCCGGTGAGGGCAGACTGCTCGAAAACTCGGAGATCGTGGAGTCGATGAGCTCAAGTCGTTCCTTAAGATCTGCGTAATCCTTGAAAACAAGCTCAGAGAGTCGGGTTGTCATTTGTGCCAACACAGAGCTGTCGATGTAATGTGTGGCAATGCCAGCATAGAAAGCCTGCACACCATGGAGTCGCTCGGAGGTCAACGATAGATAGGTACCAATCTCACCATCCAAACGAGGCAAAAAGAAACTTCCACCGACATCAGGGAAGAAACCAATGGTCGTCTCAGGCATAGCAAAGACGGTCTTTTCGGTGGCAATCCGGAAAGGTGCATGGACTGAAAGACCAACGCCACCTCCCATGGTTATACCATCCATGATTGCTATGTATGGTTTACTGTATGTCGCAATCAGATGGTCCAATTTGTATTCGAGCGCAAAATAGTCCGAGGACTTCTTTTGGCCTTCTGGACCTTCTTTATTCTGCAGCGCTAGTTCAGCAACGTCACCGCCCGCGCAGAAAGCTTTTGGGCCAGCGCCGCTGATTAGAACGACGTTCGCCATTTGAGATTTTTCCCACTCCCGAAGCCGAGGCAGGATTTTTCTTGCCATTGATCCATTGAGTGAGTTGAGCTTCTTAGGCCGATTCAGTTCTATGGTTCGCACGCCGTACATGGAGTTGAACAGGACATCGTCAGGGTCGTCCGTGGGGAGCTCTTTCGGCATGGCGCCGTATCTGATGGTTGTAGAAGACATCTGCAGGAATATGAGCTCAAAGTGATCCCCCTCTACAGAATAGACCTTACCGTTCGACGGCCCAGTCCCAATGGAGAAAAGGGAGCTTTGGACCTTGCAGCGAAAGTGGCTGTTCTAGCAACAGTACCGAACGCGACAAGAGATGCCGCGTATCTCGCGCAGCAGGCTTTCATGTCGAAGAAAAAGGACAGGAAATTACATTGAATGCTGGTGGGCAAGTTGATCTGGGGGAATTCGTTCAATATGACGGGCTGCGGAGGACGAACCTCGGGAATTTGTCCGCATGCTTCAGCCCCGAGGCTTTGGCTCCATGCCAGCGAACTGCTTGACCTATTAAAGAAGGTAAAGCGAAACATTCACGTGCAGCACGTGCGAGGCTGTCCGATGAAAAAGGTTTCTTGGCTCCGACCGGGGTCCAACAAGTGGGAGGCGAATTCTGAATAATATAGAGACACTTTTTCTCTTCCATTTCTCAGACGCATCTTCTCTCGCCTCCTGACTATTTATTCTTTTACCTCGTGAAGTAATTCTGGCTGTGCTCCTTCATAAATCGTATCTGGTTCACGTCACAGAATTCCACGATGTCGATGGACCTCGATGCGCCAGTCGCTCTTCCTACTGTGAACAAGCCACAAGCAGCAACAATTCTTTGTTGTAATTGTGGCGCCCCCATCGATGGGACCGCCTCCGCAGGTGCTTTATGTTATGACTGTATCAAACTCACTGTCGATGTATCAGAAGGAATCCAGCGGGAGGGCGTGCTTCACACGTGCAGAGATTGCGAAAGATGGCTAAGCCCACCCTCACAGTGGGTATCGGCAGCCCCAGAGAGTAGAGAACTGCTGGCGTTATGTCTACGAAAACTCCGAGGCCTCAACAAAGTTCGGATCATCGATGCCAATTTCCTCTGGACGGAACCCCATTCTCGGCGGATAAAGGTCAAGATTACCGTTCAACAAGAGGCGTACGAAGGAACGATCCTGCAGCAAACTTTCGAGGTGGAGTATGTGGTCGCCTTCCAACAATGTCCAGAATGCGCCAAGTCATACACACCAAATGTATGGCGAGCCTCAGTCCAAGTTCGACAGAAAGTCCCTCATAAGCGAACCTTCTTGTATCTCGAGCAGCTGGTCCTCAAACATCAAGCGCACAAAGACACGATAAACATCAAAGAAGTCAAGGACGGGCTAGATTTCTACTTTTCTCAACGAAATCATGCCGAAAAATTTGTCGACTTCCTCACCTCTGTGGCACCAGTCAGAGTAAAGAAGTCCCAAGAACTGATTTCCATGGACATCCATACATCCGCAAAGTCCTACAAATTCACATTCTCTTGTGAGCTATTGCCGATCTGCAAAGATGATCTAGTCGCTTTGCCCATCAAGATGGCCAAATCCATCGGGAACATCGCACCCTTGACCCTCTGCTACAGAGTAGGCACGTCAATCAATCTGCTAGACCCTACTACGCTACAGACAACGGACATGCCCACATCGACGTACTGGCGAACGCCTTTCAAAAGTCTTGCAGATGTGCAGGAACTTGTAGAGTTTGTGGTGCTCGACATCGAACCCCTTGGCACTCAAAACGGTCGGTTCTTCGGAGCCGAGGCCACCGTAGCACGAGCGTCAGACCTTGGAGTCAATGACAAGACTTACTACTGCCGGACACATCTTGGTGGCGTGTTGCACGCTGGGGACTCAGTACTTGGCTATCACTTGACAGGAACAAACTTCAACAACCCGCAGTTCGAGGATTTGGAGCAGAGCAACAATTATTCATCAACCATCCCAGACGTGATGTTAGTCAGGAAATTCTACGCCAGGAAGAAGAAGGCCAAGTCCAGAAACTGGAAACTGAAGCGGATGGCTAAAGATGAGGGCGAACTGTTGCCAAAGAAAGCAGACCAGGATAGGATGGATGCCGATTATGAAATGTTCTTGCGAGACGTGGAGGAAGACGTCGAGCTCAGACAAACGCTAGCATTGTACAAGAGCAAGGATCAGAAAAAGAAGGATGCAGATGAGATGAGCATGGTGACTGGAGAGAGCAGCGATGACGAAGTGCCTCAGATAAACATGGATGAACTGCTGGATGACTTTGAAGATCTCGATGTAAACGACGAGGTATGATCGGAGGATACGAGCGGGGAGAATGCAATACCAAGGTCTGCGCCAACAGGGCATTTGATGGCGAACTGCTTGACGAGTCACTTGAATAAGTCAATTGCCTGATGCAGCCTCGTGCAGCCTGGTGTAGCCTCGTGTAGCCTCGTCTCTCTTCCAGACCTTCCTACCTTGTATATGACGTCATGTGATCCATACAGTGGGAGCTAGTGCGCGTGGAATAAGGAGCGGGAGAGTTGCTGAGTCAATTACCAACTGGTGACCTGCAAGCCTGATATATCCTCCCATCGTACCGCCTACCTTCGGGTTGAAGCCGGTGTAGGTTTCTCGCCCATTTCAATTGAAGGCTGAAACACGGTTGACTCTTGGAACCTTGTCACATTGTCAACGTTCGCACGCCCTTCGACTTCTCAGTCAAGGCAGAACGGCATCGAATCGTGTGGCACGCCTCGCCAAGCTATGAATGGCTACCTACCGAAAAGGTGTCCAATGCCTCGCATCGCGTCACGGGCCACAACGTAGCCGTGTCAACAATAGAGTATAGACGACTGAACATCCAAAACACGTCGTTTTCTTTATTCTCTCCAGAAAACTGCCATCGTCTCTAGCTGTTGACTTGTCCACCCAAGACCGTCAAGTTGTCCGTTCCTTCCGCATTCCTTCCTCTTCGTGCGATGGTTATTGTCTTTAGAGGGCTGCCGCGAGTAAGGTTGACTTGCTGTGATTGAAGAGATGAGTTCCGTTTTCTTTCGACGCCCTTCCGATGGAAGCTCCTCCTCCAGCTCAGAAAATGACAGCTCAGAGGAAGATGAGCACTCTACACAACAAGTTCACGAAAGTGTTGGGGAAGGCCCGACATCTATCACAGAATCACTGTCAAGCCATGGCAGTGTATCATTTGGAGACGAGGTGGATGCCCCGGCCAGTTCTTTTTCAAATGTCGAACAGCACCGGACCAACCTGCTCAGCGCTCTTCTGGAGGACTTTGCCCGGAACAGAGCATGCGAGATCATGAACAATGCAAGGCCAGGATCCAGATTCACCAGACTCTCGGCGGAAGTCCAGCCACTGGCAGAAAAGTTCTACGAGCAACTGAGTCAATCATTATCTCTGACTGGCATCCTCCCGGCCAGCAATGACAGGGGCAACCAGCAAACACGAGCGGCATACCTCGCCGGCATCGAAAGTCTTGCCCTCGGGGGCGTACAGAGCCACGATCTTCTCCACGGGCCAGCTCGGAATCAGCTTCCATTACTTGAACATCAGCCGGCGGTGAACACCGTCAACAATCAGCCCCAGAGTCTCTTACCCAATTTGCTCGGATCGCCTGTAACAAGTCTCTCTTTCCATGATCAGACTCTTTTGTCACCTTACCGGGACTTGATGTTATCTGTGGCCTCGACCCGTCGCAGTCACTACGAATCCAGCTTTCAGCAACTGAGATTGCTCGGAAAAGGGGGATTTGGGAGAGTATATCATGCTTACAACCTATTTGATAAGAAGGAATACGCTGTCAAGAAGATTCCTTTAAGCCCTCGGCTATCGCAGCGGTACCGAGAGTCTGGACACAAAGAGCTGGAAAACATATTGCGAGAAGTACAAGCTTTGGCGCAGTTGGAGCACAACAACATTGTCCGTTATCATGCGACCTGGATAGAGGAGCCGAGGAGAGCATCTGATGCTGTATACCAGCCTGGAAAACAAACCCTCACAGTTCAAGGCAGGAAACTCATTGCTGACCGCCCAAGACATCCCCAGCCAACGAATCGAAATGCTCCAACAAGATTGCCAGAGTCAGATCGCGGCGATGGTATCATCTTCGGCTTTGACAGTAGACCGAACACTCCTGTTCAGGATATGGAAAGCGCCGCCACTCCTACGCGATCCGCCAGTGAGACCGATAACGACCAATCCTCCGCACGGGCTTCTGAAATCTTCACAGATGGCAACGCAAGGGCCAGCATTTCGAAAGATCCAGCCATGGATGAGTCAGTGTATGTGCTACACGTGCAGATGTCAGTATATCCCATGACACTCGCACAATATTTAGCACCAGCACCAGCCAATGCAAGAAGTGCTCCCGGCAACCCCGTTCGCAGACACTGTTTCCACCTGGTACCAGCCTTACGATTGCTCATGGGTATCCTGTGTGGTTTGCAGTACATTCACGCGAAGGGACTGGTGCATCGTGACATCAAACCTTCCAATATCTTCATCTCAAGCTTGAGCATTCCCATGGTAGGGCTGGTGTCAGACGGATATTACGAGGTTGGATCCTGCGTCGGCTGCGCAAATCCTAGCGCATATTACGTTAACCCACGGATTGGCGATTTCGGACTTGTTGCGCAGTTGGCTAGAGAGGGTGACGTCGAGACCAGCAACAACGGCGGCAAGACCAGCAAAGGGGTGGGCACAGAATACTATCGACCTCCGCGGTGGATTGACTCAGAAGGCAGGGCAAAGTCGAATCCAGACGTGGATGAGAAGGTGGACGTGTTTGCGCTTGGTGTCATTTTTGTTGAATTACTGTGGCCCTGCCTGACCAGCACAGAGCGCATCCATGTCCTGCGGGACCTGCAGAAGGGCAGGACGCCAACTGGCCTGGCTGAGAAAATTGACAGTGAAGGACATGAACCCGGCACAGGCCAGAGTGTGGTTCAATGCATATCCGGAATGCTCGAACGAGATCCGCGGCGCCGATGGGGATGTGAGGGGGTGAAGCAGGAACTGGACATGTTACTGAGCAGGTCTAAGACCTTGGTGGTCAATCACGGTAGTAACGGAGGCGTTCGTGGAATCGACGGCGCCGACATGAGAAAAGTCCACAGTTTAAGTGAGGCGGGTGGAGAGGCAGATGGACAGGCGGAAGAATTGCTCCTAAGATGAGACACCGATGTTGGCAGCGGCGACGGTGCCTGACGACAAGATCTGTGCTCCTCCATACTCCTTACTTACGGGATAACCTACCTCGCTACCTACCTACGAGTACGAAGTACCGGGTACCTCGTACATGCTCGTGGGACCTAGCGAGTGGGTAGGCTTCATTACCTTCGAGTAGTGCAGACCAGCAAGTGGAGGTGTGGAGGATCTTCAATGATTGTTGCAACTGGACTACAGTAGCTCGCTGGTTAACCACAGACGGCAATGAGCACGTGAGCTCATTGACCAGAAACGGACAAGCGCGTCATTTCCCGGAGAATCGGCGAGTGGTTCCTTGGCATTTACCTGCGGTCCTTTCCAGTCATCCACCATCCTTTGCCCAATTTCTGTCGGGAGGTCACTCCTACTTCGCACAGAGTTTGAATCTTGGTGAATGTCAATATCGGTATCGCTCAATTTGGCTAGGTATGGTCATCTGGCCAAGACGACGAGCCGGTGTTTGCAGCTCGTTTCCCCATCAAGTGCGTGTTTCGGGAGCGAGCAGTCATAACCCACGACTCCCTACTCACAACTTGGACGACCTGCCAACTTCATCCCAACGTCAAATTTCGCTTGGCCGCAAAGCAAACCGGCCGAGATGGCAGGGTGTCTCTCCGTCTCAACCGTTTCTTTGACGTCTGATGTCCTCGGGACATACCTATATGGGGTGCAGTCCACGGGTCTATGTACCGAGTATGATCTCGGGAACAGCCGCTGTCATGCGCAGTGACTGGTAGGTTGGTTGGTATTGAAAAAAGCTGCCCGAAACTGGGGGAACCAAGCAGCACACCCTTTTTTTGTTTTGTGTCTGTTTTAATTGCTTCGCTGAGCTTCGACTCTTGTGGGTACCCTTTATCTGCTTCCCAAGGAACTTACATAACCGGCTAAGCCGCATTCCGCACGATTTTGGCGCCAGACCCCCTGCCGAGTGTTTGGACTGAAACGAAATAGGGGGAGTTTGAGAGTATGGCCCGACACCATCGACACACGCCAATTTCCCAAAACAATGTCCCTGGAACTCGGCAAAAGGGTCAAATCGCTGTTTGCGGAGGGATTTTGAGATGCACCTCTTTTCTCCAACCTGCTGTGGCTTTTCTTTTCTCATCGTCTTGACCTTATATCTTCTGTGCGTCGCGTGCTTAAATACCTGTTGACCAGGATCGAAGAACTCAGCAGTCCACCGAAGAGAAGCCCGTACAGTATTCCAAATGGTCGCCATGAAGACATCAGCCCTCGCTCTGGCGTTGGCAGCCGCGGTCAGCGCCCAATCGTCATCTGTTATCAACGTTTTCATTCCTGGTGCGGATAAACAAACTCTCATGGGATCTCTGATTGCATCCGTATGTACCAATTCTCTCTGATTGCATGCATGTCGACTCAACTTTGGCATTGTAGGATGCTTCCAGGACGACGATGGCCATCTCGTGTCCGACAAACGCTGACATGACCGAATGTGGCTTTGGCCCTGACGCGGTCACCATCACTTACGGCCCGTCCACCTTTCTCGCGGCAGAGACCCTCGACCCGTTGTCGCTCATGCTCGACTGCAATCTGAAGGGGACAACGGCTGCTACATGTACTGAGACATACATCGGACCGGCAGATATCCTGGATGCGGTAACGGCCACGGCCACAGACTCATCGACGGCAACCGACACTAGCACTAAACTGATCACGACCACGACGACCACGGTGCTGTCGCAATCGGAACTGTAAGTCCCATATTCCAGGAGCTTTTCTTATAGTTATTTTCAGAGGGGGGTTAGGCGCTCACAACACTATAGCGTTTTCATTCCCGTGACGATCACCGCATTCGGCGATTCTAGCAGCAATACTGGGGCCAGCGGAAGTGCATCCACAGCTGCGTCAACCGGAAGTGCTGCGGCGTCTAGCAGCGGGAGTGGCAGCTCCACCGTTCAGAGCAACAATGGCGGCAGCGTGGGCGCCACTCGATGGGAGTTGGTTTCCGCAGCGGGGGCCGGGCTGATTGGGTTGACGCTTATGTTGTTTTAAAAACAGTGACACCAATTGTTCAGGCATAGCAGGGAGCATATGAGAGCGCGGGCACAATGGGGCATACAAGGACAAGTATAAAACACATATCCTCGGCTGCTTTGTGTGGAACTCTGGAGCAACAAGGAGACGGCTGCCATAATAATAAGATACCCAACAAAGCAACAATCGACCACAGATTTGTCTTGTCGACTGTGGGCACGGGTCGAAGTCTTGCGATAGTTGCAAACGGAAACCCTGGGCACTATGGGCCTGTGACGATGGTCGGATCTGACGTCCGGGGGAAGAGCCACACCTAGTATAAGGAGGGCAAGGGGAGGGATACGGCGAGGGTGAGCATGGTGAGCAGGCCCGGGAGATGACACATGCTATGACATCGCCGATGGTCGCTGAATTGTCGTGTCGTCGCCTCCTTCGTGTGATGTTGATTTTCCCGTGCTTTGTCTGTTTGTTTGTTCCCATTGAGAAACGAGAGTCGAGGGTAACACCAAACCACGGGGCCACCAAGGCTGCATTTGGCTCAGCAGTTCTCCCTTGCCCAAAAGTTGGGTTTCTTCCTGTCTCGTGCCAGTCGACGCCTGCTTGCCACGATTGTGGCTTGCCCCTTGGGCTGACCGTACGTAGTGATTCGCCCGCAAGTTGACGTAGCCGAGCGATCGAACTGCTGGGAATCGGCGGTTATGTAAGACGGGCGATCAGCATGGAAATCGACGATGGCCAGCGCAGGGCTATCAGCGTCTCGGTGGATTGCTGAGGTGTGAGGCAGTGGTTGATTCGACGGAGGTGCGAGCCCGAGTGGCGCTGAGTAGCGAGTGGATCAGCGTGGTAGATGGCACTTTCCATGATTCCCATGACCAGACACCGCCAGAAACCCACCCGAGAACTGGGGGGATCTCCGCCGATCTCCATGGCCGATGGTCGATGACATAGGCGGCGAGCGATCCCCAGAGCTGGGAGCCAAGGGGAGCTAAGGGAGCTAGAGGGGGGCAACGATGCGGCTTTGCAGCTACGCGGGCACAAAGATGCTCGATGAGTGACATGCCACCGCCAACTGCAAACAGTAGTGTTGGCTACCTTGTACTTGTAGTGCATTGGTTGATGGGACAGAAGCGAGAGGCGAGACGTTTGGCGTGAGAGCGTGAGAGCGTGAGAGTGTGAAAGGGTCTGAGAGGGGAGAGTTGGGTGAAATTTCCTGGAGCCTCTTGGCTGGCATTGGACTGCGTTGCGCTGCCTGCGCTTGCCACGGTTGCTGCATGGGCCGTTTCCGTCTTCCCTCTTTTCTTTGTTTCCTCATCCAAGCCTCCTGGGGATGAGAGCGAACTTCCAACTTCTGTGTTATTGCTCTCATCTGCCCTGCTGCCTGTTCCCTGCTCCCTGCTCCCTGCTCCCTGCTCCCTGCTCCCTGCTCCCTGCTCCCTGCTCCCTGCTCCATCCTTGCCCCGCACCCAGCAGAGCACCAAGCACGCTCCTTTTCTACCTACCTACACATGCCGTTCTAGGACACTTCTTCCACGCCACCACGGCCACCACGGCCACCACTGCCACCACCCGCAACGAGATACCTCTCCAGCTCCTCATTTGCTCTCCTACACTTTCCCGTCCAGCCCGTCCTCTCTGCTCCTCTCTTCTCCTCCCTCTTGGAAGTTTGTTCCTGGGCATCCTACCAGGATTGCTGGAATCAGCCACTCCACCCTTGCGTCTCGCAGCCACTGGGGCCCTTGTGCTCAGGTGGAAAAGCCACTCTCAGGCCCGGGTCAAGTATCCGCCACACTACCACTAGAACCATCGGTCGATCTCTGGCTCTCCTCTCACCCGCCGCGCTCCACCTGTGTAGCAAGACAGCCCACCGCGTCCACCTGGCACAATCCAACACAATCCTCACAACACGTTCACCCAGCAAGAGGAGGATTTTTCTCCCGATCCTTTCTCAGATCCAGTGCGAAATCCCGTCCTTGGAGTTCCACCCCGTTACTACCCACTCCTCGATTGCTGATCCTAAATAAAACTGTCTCCCTTCCGAACCCCAGCTACGCGCCCTACCCATCTCCTGGAAGTCTGTTCCTCGCTCCCTTCGCTCTCTCTGGAACATTCTTTAATCTTCACACCCCCCCGCTTCCCACCATAGGAACCATATATCCCTCCTCTGTACCACCATTCTAGATACGTCCAAACAAACACACCTCGTCAGACAAACAGACCAATCCAACGCCACCCTCTGGCTTTCAACGCAGGCGATACCCCAAGCGGAATCTACGCCCTAGCAAGCCACAGTGCTCTCAAGGGCATTGAAGCTCTTTCAATTGAGTAGTTGTGGGTTAAGAAACATTCCTCATAATGGGCACCCTTGCGAGTCACTCCGGCATGTCGTCCGCTGGCATCGCTTCCGCCACCCCCAGCATCAGTGACCTTGATGGTTACAACTTCCGCGACTACCAATTTCCTTCCAGCACTAGCTATGCACCTGTCTCATCTGGAGACGACGATTTCGGCTTTGACCCACCACAGAAACCTCTGGTGCTCAACGACTTCCAAGTTTACAGTCCACCAGATGACTATGCTATGTCTCAATGGCCTGAGTTCGAGCGGGACGATGACTTGAAGCCATCTACAGAAATGCCGCTCAACCTCGACAGCTACGAGATGGACAAGTTCATCACCTCTGTGTTACCCAACCCCACCACGGCCATCTCACGATATGGCCAAATGACACCGCCACGATCGAACTCCACGGCTAGCTCTGACTCAAAAGAGGACAAATTGTCTCCCAAGTCTCAATCGGCCGACCCAAAACTACGAAGACGGGGGAAAGGTCGCCCGAAAGCTACAGAGGCAGCCTCTGTACCGCCTAAGGCGACTACCGCGGGGCGGAAGCGAAAGGCCACGCGAAAGTCTTCCACCACGATCGAACAAGGAGACTCGCCAGAAGCGCAGAAGAGAAAACAGTCACTCGAGAAGAACAGACTGGCTGCTGCTAAGTGCCGGATCAACAAGAAGGAGAAGACGGAAAAACTACAACGTGACTCGCAAGAGAAAGCCATTGAGAATGCCTACCTCAAAGATCAGATCATGCGCATGAAGGACGAGATCCAACAGATGAACGCAGTCCTTGTCGCGCATGCAAACTGTGAAGGATGCAAATCTCCCGAAGAGATTCAGGCCCACCTCAATGCTCTCGGCAACGAGTTTTTCACTCAGCAGCTGGCCCTGGCCAGTCACAACTTTGGAGAATTTCCTCAGGTGAACTTCTCCAGTATACCCGTCCTGCCCGACACTTTCTTTCCCGGCCCGAGCGAGGGTGACATGCTACATCCGCCTCTGCCAGAGTTTAATCGCTCTGCAGAGTTCGAGGTTCACACTCCGGCACCGGCCGATTGAAAGAGAGGAAAAGGCCTTCCACCAACAATTAACCATCTTTTACAACATGTACCAATTAGCGCGGAATCTGTTTTGTTGCCCAGGAAGACCGGACAGGGCAGCTGCTCTTCCCATGGTTGCCGGATCAAGGCGGCCTTTTTGATGATACCCCGCACAGAACTTTCTCTGTGGCTTCAGCAGCTCCGTGGAAAACCGAGGATCCTTGATCAATCAGACGTGCAGGCGGTCCTGTCGAAGACAGCTAGCATGGATTGGAGGGGTCAAGAGTCTCTTCGTCTGCCCCGCTTCACGTGGCGGTGCGACTTTGTGACTGACTGAAATGGTCCCGATTCGATGCCGCTCCGACTTCCTTATCACCGCGGAATGAGCTTCTGTTTCAATATTTTCAGCTGGCTCCTATCCTTACGAGTCCGGGTTATGCACGACCGGAGCCCATAAAATTGCTGCCTTGGGGGCTCGCTTCGGCGTTATCCGGCGCCCAGGGAGCGGCTCCGCAGCTACTCATCATGCTTGCGCAAGTGGCTACAATAGCCCCACGACCGCTCGGACCAGCATGGATGAGATTCTGGCTACATTTGAGCGCGTCAGAAGGGATGGAAGAACAGGCCATCGTGATGGAGGCAGCGAGAAGTGGTCTTTTCACATGAAAAGTGGAGTTCAGCTTCCTGCAATGATATTACTGCGGGTATGTACCTGGTGCTGAATCATTCGGCCTTATGAGATATGTAATGGTAGTTATTAGTTGCAATGGGATGATCAGCACATTATGCGACGATTTCTTTCCACGCATGTCCGCTTGTACTTATTCAATCACCAAGTTAGAGTCTAATATGTGGATTTCTCCTGCGAGGTACAAGTCGATTGAGGTAGGAGTGCTCGAAGATCGATGACCGAGTGGAGTGAGCGGCATTGGAGAGCAGGATCCGAGGAGTGGTTAAGTGGTTAGGTAGGCAAGCCTCCCTTGGTGCCTTTGATCGACCTGGCAGAACAAGATTCTAGAAGATAAGGAAGGGAGGAGACTTTTTGCTCGTTTGATTCCAAATTTTCCAAAGTAACCTTTTCGGTTCAACTGGCTCTGCTCAGCTCTGCTCTAGCCATGTACCAGCTACCTAGCCAACGTAGGTATCTCGGTATGGACCAGGTATGTGTCACATGCATGTATGTTACAGGTAGGCAGGTAGGCAGGTAGGTAGGTAAATCTGCTCAAACCTTTGTCTTTTTTTTTTCTTTTGGTTTTTTTTTTTTTTTGCTCTCGGGTTGATACAGTACCAGGATTCAAGGTGATACGATATATTGCGGATCCGGGGAATCATTGAATCAGCGATGGAGAGCGGATCAGGTGGAGTCTGTATGTACCGGGTAGTTGTCACCGAGCTGTCACTCCTGTCCAAGCTCTACAAGCACAAGGAGTGTGTCAGAACAGACCAACTGGCAGCAGGAGACCTCCCCCCCCTTCCACCGCCCTCCTTGTCTGTTTAGCCTCACTGGCGCTCCAAGTGACATTGACATTGACATTGACATTGACCTCATCGGGTGGTCAGCCTGGAGGATATTCCACGACCTCAACTACGTGCTGTCACTGTGGCTGTGGCTCTCGCTGTGGCTTATGCGAGGGGATTCTGCGTCGCGCAGTCAATGATAGATGCTGCAAGCGCAGCGCAGACGAGGCTGGAAAGGGCTGAACGACCTATACAGCGCGCAGCACGCAGCGCGCAGCTCAAAGCATGCGGAGGATCCAGTACGGGACTGGTATACCGAGCACACAGGACATCCATTATGTACCTCCGAAGGACTCTTCTCCCCCTCTTTCTGTCTTTGTTTTTCTTTAGAGGAAGTGGGGTCATATCATCATTCTATCCTCCGTGCCTGGGTGAGGGCGATGATATACGCCTCGGGCAGACGGACAGACGAGGCAGGAGGAAGTGGCAGGACAAGTAGGCAGGTAGGTAATAGGCAATAGGTAGAAAGTAGGCTCTTGAAAGCCGCGCCCCAAATTCCTCTGGAACCCTTCTGAGATATTTATCTAGATCCTGAACGCCCCTTTCTTTCTCTCTTTTCTTCTTCTTTTCTTCTCCTTCTCACCTGACCCCCAATACCTTATCTTGACCGTCGATTCCGCCCTCCCGCCGATCCCGCTCCCGATGGAAACGCCTCAGGAGGCTGCACCGCTTGCGACGCTGACGTCGGCAGCCAGCCACCACCGCCACCCATACCGCCATAATGCTGGTCCTGCTGCTCCGAGAATCCAAGCTCCGCAGCCTCGTTGAGGTCTCCTCCCGTCTGGCTGAGCAGATACTCGGCTCGCGCTCTGCTTATTTCCAGGGCTGCTGTGAGTTGTTGGATCTTGGCAGGGTCGGCTCGCGCAGTGGTCGTGTCCTGGGTGCCAGCGCGCGGAGTTTGTGGCGTGGCACCGGGTAATGAATGCTCAATTGGACTTCCGTTGAAGCGGGGATTCGAAATCGGGCTTGAAATCGGCTGACTAGAGCCCGGATATGGGACGGGCGCTGGCGGCGACAACACCGGCGGCGCAGGAGGGGCTCGCGTCGGCCGTGTGGGCAACGACTTGTCTTCTCGGCCGGGCTCCGATAATGGCTGTGAGTTACTCTCCAATTTGACATCCTTCCTCCTAATCGGTGTGGCAGTATGGTCGTGGGAGAAAATTACTCGTGGGGGCGGCGGCGTCGGCGGAAACTCTTGGGAAAATGGACTACGAGGGTCATGGCTGGCAGCTTCGTGACCGGGGAAGCCGCCTGGAACGTTGAAAATATGTGCTGCGTCCGCTCGAGGGCCGCTCACCGTGTGAGTTTGCTCCGGCCGGAGCACGCTTGGAGGAGTATAGGTTCTCTCCGCATGTGTGGAAACTCCCGTCTTCGGCCGCGACGGCAGGGCCGGCGAAGATTCAGGCGGCAAGGTCCCGGGCGAGTGAGTCTGCTTGGGTGTGACAGGACTATTGGGGACAACAGGCGGCGCGGTTTGACCAGGCCGAAATGGATTCGACGGAAGAGGTCGTCGACTACTAGAGCTTTGGGCCGTTTCCACGTCGCGAGATGATTGTTTCAGAGGCGTTGCTTCCATGGCCGGTGCTGGCCGTGAACTCCTTTTCGGCCGTGCGGGAACAGTTGGAGCCGGGACGTATCCCTCTCTGATGGATTCTTGGGGTTGGTACGGCTTCCTGGATTGGTGGATATCTTTGATCAGCTCACAAGATTGGACATGGCTCTTCAGAGCCGCAGCTGACGTCTCGAGGGACGTCTTCCCTCTCTCAAGGCAGGCATAGCACGAGTATGCGGCTCGTCTGTCGTGCAGGGAAGCACACGCCTGGACATGACAGCTCACGACCAGTGGCCAGTCCTTGTCGAGAGAAACGGCGCTGAAGCTGTCGGCGTCTGCGATGACGAGATAGCAGTGTTTGCAGGTAAGGTTTCCATTGGGCCGGTGAATCAGGATTGAATCTATATCTGCTCGCGAGTCTTGAAGGAGACGTGCCCCTTCGCAGTAAGTGATGTCCATGGTCCTGGCGACGGAGACCACTGTAGTTTTCCTTTCCTCGCTGGGTTGTTCGGGCGAAGGTTATAGAAGAGGAGTCAACGATGACGCGATGTGGCTTTAGGATAAGATAGGACCGAAGAAGAGGTCAACCACGCGTCGAAGCGGCTTCCTGAAAATCAGTGTATTCGCCAGGGTGGAAGAACCGGGGAGGTTATCTTGCCTGCTTCAGTGTTCGCCCTGCTTCGCCCGCCCTCTTCTGGAAACTAGAGCTCTTCTGGTGGATTGATTGAAGTGGGCGGGCTAGCGATCAGGCTCACTAACTAGGCAGACCTTTTTGTCAGGTTGATGATGATCAAGGAACACTCTCGATCAGGCTGGGCTGAAAAGAATATCCCTGTCGTTATGTATGCACCAAAGACGCCACAGAACCCTGTGTTGGCTCTGTACGAGGTATTCAGTGGACAAACTTGCTTGCAACTGCCGTTTCAGCCTACCTGCCACTCTGTAACCGAGTCTGGACTAGATAGGTTGACTTCGAGATAGGCACCGTGCAAGCAGATGCACGCGGCCGAGACGGGGCAAAGTCAAGGCAGAAAGCAGAAACCATGACCGTGGGAGGAGGGACAATGAGGCGTTTTCTCAGCATCAGTTAAGCAAAATGCGTGTGTGTCGTCGCCCGAACGAGGCGCCGAGGCACCAGATCTGGGCCATGTTCGCTTGGGGGTGTGCAGGGATGTGCAGGGATGTGCAGGGCTTGTTCTACCTCGCCCATCTCCAGCGAGCGGTGATGGTCAGTGATGGTTAGAGATGGTCAGAGATGGTGCTCTAGGCTCCAGCATTTCTCCAACGCCACCACCATCTGCAGGGCCACGAGGCAGCTCCAATCATATTGCGGCCGTGGTTGGCGAAGTACGCGGCTTGTTTCTTGCTTCCCATTCCAACTTTTGTTCCGCTGTAGCCTGTTGTGGTGCAAGATTGTCACTTGCTTCGCAGGCAAGGGAACACAGTGGCTAATTGTGCACAATATGCACACGACGATGACGGCTTTGAGGGGCGAGAGGCGAGAGGTAAGTGGATCGACACAGGCCGCGCAAGATGGCGAACTGCTGTGCGCCAGTAAGGCTGAGCTGAGTGAGTAGTAAGATAGAGAGAGTGTGTGAGTGGGTGTCTCTGTGTGTGAGAGTGAGTGAGAAGCGACCCGCTAACCATGTCACTAACTGCTTCAGCCCCCATTGGCATTACTTATGTACCACATCTATGTATGGAGATGCCAGGCAGGCCGGTTGGTATACTCAATATACTACGGCACCTCTTTCACAGTCGCCCACCCATCCATCCCCATAACTCGATTACTTCTTGTTCCTCTTCTCGAAGCCGGAACCTTGCACCCTTCATTCTTTTCTTCTATCCAACTTCATCCTCCCCTCCTTGCTCTTTTCTATCATTCCTTCTTGCTTTCAAATGGCGTACCAGCAAGGCTACGGCACATCTACGCCAGATATCCTGCAGACCCCGACCGTCAATGGTTACGTCGACGTTCCCAACCCTTTCACGGATCGCTTGAGAAGCCTGCAGAGTCAGGAGGAGAAACGGCTGTTTGAGCTGGTCGATAGACTCAAAGACCTTGACGTCAATAGAGAGCTCCAACTGCCTCAGCTCGTCGTCTGTGGTAGCCAGTCGTCTGGAAAGAGCTCGGTCCTTGAGGCCATCAGCGGCCTCTCGTTCCCCCGAGGGGAGTTTACGTGCACCAAATTTGTGACCGAGTGGGTTTTTGATGTCTCCAACTTTGTGGCCACTACTTTTGGCTAACTTCACCCCCCCCCCCTTCCCAGACTTCGATTCCGTCCAGGAAATGTAGAATCAATCAATATCGAGATAGTCCCGGATACGGGACGGAGTCCCGATGACCAGGCACGCCTCCGCAATGCCCGGTTCAAGTCCAGGAGATTGTCCGAGCTAGGTCAAATTGTGAAGGAAGCGGAAAAATGGCTGTTGGGCGGACGCGGAGGGTTTGCCAGTGATGTGCTCAAAGTGGAAGTTGTGAGGCCGCATCAACAACCACTAACCTTGATTGATACCCCTGGTCTGATAGCCTCGCACAATGAAGGGCGCGAGTATATCGACCTTGTCCGACGCATCGTTGACGACTGGATCAAGCAGCCACGCACATTAATCCTGGCGGTGGTAGAGGCCAATCTCGATCCGCAAAAGCAGTCCGTCCTCACCATCGCCAAAGAAGTTGACCCAACTGGAGAGCGGACCTTCGGCATCATCACAAAGCCAGATCTCGTCGAGTCGCCCTCTGGCTTGGAGGATTTCTGGGTCAAGAAAGCGCAGAACGGCGCCGACAGCATGGCTGAATTCAACTTTGCAAAGGGCTGGCATGTACTTCGAAATCGTGGCGTGCGCGAGACCGGTAATGAGACTTCGACGGCGGAAAGGGACGAAGCGGAGCGCATGTTCTTCATGTCTCCCGAACGCAGATGGAGCCAGGTTGACCAAGCCTTCTGGGGGATCGAGTCACTGCAAGGCCGTCTGAGAAGTATCTACTACGATCACACTCGACGGCAGCTCCCAATCATCCAGGACGACATCTTGCACCGGCTCCAGAAGGCCATGAGAGAAGTCGACGGGATCAACGAGAAGCTGGCCGATGCCGACGAGATCTGGAGTAGGTTCTGTGGGGAACGGACTGGTCTGGCTGTTCAGGCAAAGGGATGCGTTGACGGGACTTACCTCGATGGCTTGGCCGATTGGGATGGAGCACCAGACTATTATCTGCGATCTCGAATCGAAGAGGATCACGACGAGTTTGCACGTGAAGTGGAACTGAACGGCCACGGTCTTCGTCAGGTAAAATCTGCACGCAGCCTCACCGAAGACAGGGACGGTTTCCGCACCTATGTCCAGCAGATGCTCGAATCGACCCGGGGCCGCGAGTTGAAGGACAGCTATGATCCCAATCGTCTGAACCTGCTGTTCCGCAAGCACTCTGAACCTTGGTACGGAATCGCCATGATGCACCTGGACCGGGCTCACCGCCGATGCGTCGCGTTTGTCGAACACATTATCGAAAATGTGCTCCGGAAAGAGCTGCCCGCGGTTCCGACGCGCGTTTCGCAAGCCATCAAAGACCATCTGTACCAGGCACTCGAGAAGCAGAAAAAGAAGGCCGAAGACGAGCTCAAAGCCATCGAACAGGACAGGCGACAGCCCGCGCAGACGCAGAGTAGACGCTTCGAGAAGCTGGCGCGGCAACTGAAGGCCGACAGGAACTTCGCTTTGGTTAACCGTGTGGCCGAGGAGGAGGACCCGTACATGGCAAATGCGTCGCCAACGAAGACGGAAAGCCTGAACGAGAGAGAGAATATTATGCCGCCGCCGACTCCTGGGAGCGCCACTCGATTTACGCCCGCGCATGTTGATCGAGTTTTAGCGCAGGACAGCCGTGCCGAGTCGGCGGAGGAGATTGGAAAGAGGATGATCATTTACTACGAGATCGCACGCGAGGTCTTTATCGACAACGTCGTCGTCCAGGTGGTCGAGCGACATCTTTTGCGGCCCCTGCACACGCTGTTCCAGGGCGACTTTGGCGTGGACAAGGACGTCTTCACGCGCGCCGTGGATGCCGAGAGGGACCAAAATCTGACTGCGAGGAGAAACGCGTTGAACGAGAGGATCAAGCGGTTGAAGGCGTTTGATGACCAGTTGCGTGCTATTTGATTGATATCACATATTCCGGGTGAACGGCGTCGAGACTTGCGAGTTGTATACTAGGTACCGTAAGATGTGCCGAGTACCCAGGTCGGCATCTTAGATAGTCATTTGGTTTAGAGACCGTTATACGGACGGCATGTAGGAACAAAGATCTATAACAGAGTGTATCCATGGTAGCCGAGGAGGTCAAGGGGTGGTCAATCGAAATATCTGTACCGTGTACAGGTAATACTACATATGCTTGCTCCGCTCGGGTAAATTGGGGCCTGATGATGCAGCCGAGGCTCGAACCACCACCGATCAGAAAATCAATCTTCCGCAGCATCAGTTTTAGACATTGGATTCATGCGGACATATCCCTTTCCCAGACTGCGGCGTGTTGATTTTGAGACTGCCATTGTGCCTATGCCTTCGTTACGAGGATGATCACGGCGTCGTCTGTTTGATTTCTAACACCACACATATACGGAGTACCGTGTACACCAACCCATTCTTCCGAGCCGATCGGCCTGCAGCAAGCAACCATGGAATACCTCTCGACCCTGCAGTCGCCAGTCGACGACCTCAAACCGTCGCTGTTCGAACTGCTCTCGGAGCAACAGCTCTCGTCGCTCCTCCCGCCCACGATCCGGTATCTGCTCGCCCTGCTGACCCACCGGTACCCGCGCTACCTGCTGCGCATCCTGAACAACTACGACGAGGTGTACGGGCTCCTGTCCCTCGTGGTCGAGAAGTACTACCTCGAACACTTCGGGGGCAGCTTCACCGAGAACTTCTACGGCCTGAAGAGGGAGAGGGTGCTCAGTGTGCGCGGCGGCGAGGTCAAAAGGACCCAGGTCGCCGTCCCCGCCGAGGTCAGGGAGCGGCTGAAGCTCAAGGGCTGGGATGTGTGGAAGAACCTCGCCGTGCTGGTCGGCATACCCTACTTGAAGAGGAAGTTGGATGAGAGTTATGATATACATATTGCGCCGTCGGCCGGTTTGCTGATGAGTGGTGGAGGCGGGTTGGGAGGAGTTGAAGGAAGGAGGTATTTGGATCGAGATGCATTGCCGCCAAACCCAACAGTCAAACAACGGATTATGCGGTACTACAAGTGGTTCCTGCGGCACGTCTACCCGAGTTTAAATGCAGCATACTATTTCAGCATCTTGGCCTTTAGCTTGGGATACCTGTTTGACGGGACTAAATACTCAAGCCCATTTCTGTGGATGGTCAGGACCAGGATGAGGAGGATGGGTGCGGCGGATCAGCAGGCCATTGATGCGGCGAGAGAGGCTGCTGATAAAGCTGTCGCCGCCGGCGCTGCTGGGAGACCGGGACAAGGGCTAAGCGGCATCTTCAATCCACGGACAATGTATCCCCGGCTGTTGTCAAGTTTGAGGATTCTCTTGCCGACGAGTATCTTCGCATTGAAGTTCTTGGAATGGTGGCATGCCAGTGATTTCTCTCGGCAGTTGACCAGAAAAGCTGCAGAAGGGTTGGAATTGCCGCCTCCGATTGTCTCGGGGATGGAACTCGCCCGAAAGATCATGGCAGAGCAACGAGGTCCCCTGCGCACGTTGACGACAAAGAACGCGACGGCGAAACGGAGTCCGCCCGTGTCGAACATCACTTTCCTTCCGATCTTCACAGTCCCGCCGCCACCGTCGAGCGACCTCTGTCCCATTTGTCTCCATCCCATCTCGACAGCAGCCGCGTGTCAGACTGGATATGTTTTCGACTACAAGTGTATATTCCAGTGGATTGAAGGGACGCATGAGCGACAGGAGGCGTTTATGAGAGGTGAAAAAATGAGCGAGTGGGAGGATGATGACGAGGAAGAACACGACGAACACGGACAGGCCGAGGGCGAGTCGAAGAAAAAAGAGCACTACAGTCGTGAGGGAAGCTGGGAAAGCGGGAAGGGAAGGTGTGCCATCACCGGCAGACGAGTCCTCGGCGGTACGAGCGGGTTACGCAGAGTCATGGTTTGAGTGCGCTGCACCAAAAACTGTTAAGCCTGTGCGAATGGAACTCTTTGAATACCCTGCCCAGGTTCACGGCCAGGTCCGCTGAAAGAGTCGGTTTGCACACCACCACTAAATCTGGGCAGTGGAACCTCCTGTTGAGTCGAATGCTCGCGCCTCGCTTTATCTGGAATATGATACTGATCTGTGGGGTATCAAACGATGAGATTCATATCTTTCCTGAAGGTACCATACTACAAAGCGTCAAGATCCAACTCATACTAAGACTACACAAGACCCCAGACAACCCCAAGCGTCGCCGTTCAAGAAAGTTTAGTTGGCAACGACCTCGACCTCTGCTTCAACGATCTCCGTCTCAACCACAGACACGACTGGCTTCGCGGGTATGACAACCTCTTCGGCAACGTAGTTGATCTTTTCCGACGCGACGTACAGCGGAAGGGCCAGCTCACGCCAGGGTTTGGGCGTAAAGAGCAGGATGCTTTTCAAACACCACCCGCTCAGCGCCTGCGTCTGCGTCGCGTCCAAGAGACTCAACCCGGGTGCCTTTCTGTGCATGCACACACTCGCCATGTTTATCCGCTCATAGCTGCCCGGGCCACCGTTCTTGATGGCATCTTCGGCCAGGGCCCAGGCGAGCGAGCTGTACATGACGCCTTCGTGCGAGTACGCCAGCCCGGCAGGTTTCATGAACGCGGCGACTTGCAATTCACAATTGGTCACTCCGACTTTTCTCTCGTCCTTCATATAGGCCGACGCGTGAGACCCGAATTGCGGCTGCACGACCTCGTCCGTCGCCGAGTATATCGATGTCGTGGGAACATAAGCCGAGTCACCGCCATTAGAACGCAGTGTCGCGATGAAGTTGGAATTCATGGTCTGGTTCCACACGGCGGGAGTCCCAGGAACCGCGCCCTGGAGCGGGGTCAGGCCCCAGGCTTGGACCGTCCCTTTAAAGTCGGCCGAGAGACAGACGAAATTGCTGACTTGTGCGCGGGTGCTCGGCCAGTATTTCAGCGCCCATTGCGTCGACAGGTTTCCCTGCGACCATGCCACGACTGCAACTTTCTTGCCGCCGCACACCGCTGCGATGTAGTTGATGGCATAGGCGACATGCTCGGCGTTCTTGGGCGCCTCGTCGCACATGCGGCCGGGGATGTTCAGCCACACAGGATCGCCAAAGGTGCTGGCGCGAAGCAGTTTGGCGAAGTTGTGGTCGAAGGCCTCGCCGCCGTACGAGCCCGTTCCGGGTACCAGAATCACGGGCGTCTTGCCGTCAGTACCATGATTGAAGTCCGCGGGCACGAAGATAGCAGATCGCAAGGGCTGTTCCTGGATGGAATACGGTGCGTCTGATGCGTGCAGGGCAGGGTAGATGGCGACGGACGGGTCGGGGTTTTTGTTCTGAGAGCTGTTTACATTGATGCTGTTGAACCCGAACACCATCTTGGGGATTTCAATATGGCGCGGCGAGAAGGCTTAGAGGAGGAGGGAGCCAGTCGACAGTTGTCTTGCGCGTCGTCGATATGGAATCAAGATTTCAAAATTCTCACTCAGTCTTGCTGGAGATAAGTATTCCCCAAGGCCTCGGAGATTGCCAACTCAGAGAAGGTGCCCGATGCGATTGTTATAGCATCTACGAATATACTATCGAAGAGCTAGGATTCCTCCTCGATAGATAGATCCTAGTGCTGGTTGATGTACTCCCTCAGTCAGTCCTTTCGTCCTCCCAGATGTTCCGCCCGGATGTACGGTTGGTTCAATCGGCCTTGGAGCAAAACGAAAACCACTCAACAGGAAACCATGCAGTATGTAAACCAAGGAGCAGCTGGGGCTGAGCCTGAACCTGAAGCTGTAGAGCGCACTAGCTATACGGAGTAATAGTATTGCTATGCAGATCACTATCCTGGCCCAGGCATGGCTAAGGCCACAAGGTCAAGGAAGGTCAAGGTTCAGCCCTGGGATAGAATAGAACGGCTAGCTGTTCTCTCTCGAGTCCCAAACACGACGAGGAAATGCACAGCAGGGCGGAACGCACCACGTAAAAGAACACGGAGACTCCGTCGCTTCACCCCCGCATTTGTCGATATTCTACGTAAAATCCACCGCGCGTCGCCAGCACCGTTACATACTAAGCTACAAACCACAGCCAACCAGCCACGATGCGAAATGTTCGGAACTAACTCTGTCCTAGACGCCTTGGATGCAGCGGCGCGGCCCAATGGAGACGCTGGTGACGCCTGGCTTCAGTCCCGAGCGAGCCGCAGTCGTCTTCGCTGCTCGCTTGGTTCTCTTCCTCGCCTGTTTCCCCCTAGAAAGGTCGGGCAAAGCGCTGCTAGATTCCAGGTCGAGTGTGGTGGCTTCGAGGGCTGAGGAAGTGATCGTCGTCGTCGTCGTCGTCGTCGTCGTCGGTTTTTGCATTTTACGTACATGGCGGGTACCATTTTTGGACTTCTCTCCTTGACATGGCGACGCCAGGGGTTTCTGGTGGTGCGTTTCTGTCACGGATAAGGTTCATGCGGGCTTTCGCTCTCTGCGGCGGCTTCTAGCTTCCTCAATGGAATGCCCATGTACGCGGTGAAGCACTGGTGTGCCAGCGCCAGTGCCGTTCGCGGCGTTGGCGCCTGTCCAGGTTTGTGTCAATGGTGGGGTAAATGCTTCGTTTCCTGTCACAGCCATGTTGTGTGCGAGACAATGACTTGAACAATGGGTGGGATGTTCATGACTGGGCTTCGTGCGTGGTCGGGAGAGCCGTTCGTCCTTTTGGGTGAGGCAGGAGCTGCAGCCAGCGTGCTAATTAAGGTACGAGATATACTCGTAGGCCATCGTTGTCAGGCCTCTTGGTTCATGGTCGACTCTTTCGCGCAGAATGATCTGTTCTGTTAGCGGCCTGTTCTGCCGCCCCAACAACCACCTGGGTCATGAAAGGATGGTCGAGGTATAAAGCTTCTGCCTCAGCACTCGCACCCAGCCACCACACGTCCTGGCAGCAAACATCCCGTGCGAGAAACATCCGTGTGAGAAACATGTCGTACCTCCTCAATAAAGCCGCCAGCGCCGCTAAAAGCGTTCAGAGCACCGTGATCAGCACCAGCACAACCCATTTAGAAAGTGTCACCAGCAAGTTCGGATTCGAAAGTGTGACCAATGTCGTGACCAGCATAGTCACCAGCAAAGATGCCACCCCCAAGCACCGATATTCCAGTGCGGCGCCCATCTCGGAGGGCAACAGTGTCAAATATCATGTCAGCGGGTGCGCATACTTCTGGGCTGTCTCGGAAGCATTGGAGAAGGCCAAAGAGTCGATTTGGATCCTTGGGTGTATGTATAGTACTTCCCAACCCCTCCCCTGATTTGGAGCATATCAAAATGAGACGAGACTGAGCGACCACCCCAGGGTGGGTTTCACCAGAAGTATATCTTCGGCGACCGCCCTCGGAGAATGAAAAGTACCGACTCGATCGGATGCTTCTGGCCGCTGCCGAGCGAGGTGTCAAGGTAAATATCATTGTATTCAAGGAAGTCCCTCAATTCATGTATCGTAAGTCTTGCGCCCACAGATCTTCAGATCACTCCATTGAAAGGAGTTGTCGTGCTGAAATTGCTGTCATTTCAAGTCTCGTCGCATCACACTCAACGCGCTCTGGAGGCTTTACACCCCAATATCGCTGTCTTTCGATATCCGGACCATTATACCGGTGCCAAGGGAGTCCTGTCGTCGACCAAGAGCATGCTGCAAAACACGGTATCCGGCGGTGCAGCCAATTTGGGTAAGATCTCAGACGAATCTTTGCAGAACCTGTTCGCATTGGCCGGTGGACCGACTTTGCTCTGGGCACATCATGAAAAGCTTGTCATCTGTGACAGAGAGACCGCCTTTATGGGCGGCATCGACCTCTCTTACGGTCGATGGGATACAATTCAGCACCCGATCGTGGACGCTCATCCCGGAAATCTCGACGACATCGTCTTCCCCGGCCAAGACTATAACAATGCCCGAGTCATCGATTTCAAAAACCTCGATAACTGGGAGCACAACAAACTCAGTCGGTTGACGACGTCAAGGATGGGCTGGCAGGACATCTCCATCAGCCTGACTGGGCCGGCGGTTGCCGACCTCTGCAAGCATTTCATCGAACGTTGGAACTTCGTACACAGCATGAAATACAACACGGGCCTCCCACGGGACTCGCGATACGAACGTCTCTTACCCATCAGCGATCAATCTGCGCAGGATCCGTCGCACCAGCCTGCAGGTCCAATGACATGCCAACTCGTTCGCAGTATCGGCAGCTGGAGTGGCGGCTCAACCCTCGAGCACAGCGTGTACGATGCGTATATCGACATAATCGAGAAGAGCGAGCATTTCGTATACATTGAGCAGCAATTCTTCATCACGTCTACGGGGACCTGGCTGGGAACGGTTTGGAACCGAGTCGGCGAAGTTCTCGTGCAGCGAATTTTGCGGGCCGCCCAGGAGAAGAAACGGTATAAGGCCATTGTGATATTGCCTTCCGTGCCAGCTTTCCCAGGCGATCTGCAAGCCTTGATTACAGGCCACCCGCCCCGGGCAATCATGAAGCTGCAATACAAGTCTATCTCTCGCGGCGGATTCAGCATCATGGACAAGATCAAACGAGCTGGTGTCGATCCGAAGGAGTACATCAGATTCTACAACCTTCGGAACTATGACCGGATCAATGAGAGCGGGGTGATGCAGAAGGCGGAGAAGGCTAGTGGCGTCGAGTATAAACTTGCTAGCCAGGACCACGACGATATCGTTGACCCCTTCGGACTGCGGGCACAGAAAGAGATGGGTGAGTTCGAAGGTGATGACGTTACTCGCAACCACGAAGCCTACCAGAAGTACCAGAGTGCGACGGGCCACACACACAGCAGCTGGGACTCTGTCAGTTCTTGTTATATGCTCGGGGGCGTTGACATCCGGAAGGTCCCGTGGGTAGGAGGTGGCACCATCAAGGAAATCGACGCCTTTGTCAGCGAAGAACTCTATGTGCATTCCAAGGTGCTGATCGCAGATGACCGAGTTGTCCTCTGCGGCTCGGCAAATTTAAACGATAGGTCTCTCAAGGGGAGTCGAGACTCGGAGATTGCACTGGTGATCGAGGATCCGACGCCAGCCGTCACGACAATGAACGGACAGCCATTCCAAGCCAGTCGATTCGCGGCCAGCTTACGCCGATATCTGTTCCGAAAATATCTGGGCCTGCTCTCTCCTCAGGACATGCGGAAGCCAGATGGGCATTTCACGCCTGCACCGGGCGACAATGAGTATGACTTTGGATCGAAGGAAGATGTCCTCGTCTCCGACCCTCTCAGCGACCAGTTCCTCCAGCACTGGAACGACGTGGCGCAGCAGAACATGCTGGCTTTCCGAAAAGTCTTTGCGCCAATGCCGGACGACACGGCGCAAACATGGTTGCAGTATCAGATGTTGTTCTGGAAGCGTTTCACGGGGCCGGACGGCCTGCACATGGCCCAGTGGGGTCATGTCATGAAGGACAACTTTCCGCGAGGTGATGAAGGTGTCAGGGCTGTGAAGGAGGAACTGGCAAAGATAAGGGGTATGCTTGTCGAGATGCCGCTAGAGTTCCTGGCCAGAACAGATATCCAGATCGAGGATCCAGGATATAACATCGTTACGCGGCAGGGTTATGTGTGAAGAATGGACGAGAGAATTATGCGGTGCGCGAACTCTATGGGACTATGCTTTGTTGTCGGATAGCCCTTCGGGCTCAAGATGCACTTTAAGCTGTCTCCGCACTGCTACATTGCGATAGCCACGACCCAATTCTTCTCATCGCTGGTTCTCTTCTATAGACACAGTCCAAGAAACCTGTCCAGCATGCAACCTCTCACAAGCCATCCAAGGGACACGGGCAGTGCGTGGCGACGTCGAGGGTGGTTGCATGTGGTTTAAACGCAGGTATCGAGTCTGAAGAAACTTCTGACAAGCACCTCTCCCAATCCAAGAGCCGCGAATGGATGAATTGGTGTATATGCCTCGAGATGGACGGACGGATGGATGCTTTGTACATTCGCGGCTGAGACGGCGAGGCTGCCGCTGTCAGCTCAAGCGGCATGTAATTCTCAGCCTCGTGACCACACTTTGCGGCGAGCTTCCCAGTATCCAGTACTCGCTACGCAGCACGCTAAAGCGGCGTGGAGCTTTCAGCCACACCACGTGGGGTCCTCTCTTCTCTTCTGCCTGTAGCCTCATTTGCTCCCTCCTCCCTCTAGCTCTCTCTCTTTCTCCATTCCTCATCCAGTGCTCTTCTCTCGTCAAGTCCAGCATCTATGGCAGACCCATTTTCTATTGCGACTGGGGTCGCCAGGTTGATATCGCTTGGCATCCAAGTGACGGAATCCCTTGCTGCTTTCTACACTTCATATAAGACCCAAGACGCCAATGTAGCTCGAACTACCGCAAAGCTCGAAAATCTGCTGAAAACGTTTCGAAATCTTGATGGTATACTGAAAAATCGTACATTCGAGCCTGATGAACAGAATCTGACCAGGAACATCGAGTCTTCGATCCAATCATGTGAGGAACTTATTCGAGAACTACAGGATGAATGTGGAAAACTCAATAAAGCTTCTGCCAGTGACATGAAGAGCGCTATCAAAATCGCAGGGCGACGAGCGGCATATCCGTTCCGCCAAAGCACGCTCCAGAAACTCGATGAAGACATTGGGGAGATACGTGATAACCTATCACTGGCACTAGACGTGCTACACCTCGAAAATCAGAAGAAGGCTGAAGACGATATCGCCGAGGTTAAGCTGCTTCTCGCGCTCGTGAATGCAACGCAGATCTCATCGTCGGTCCGTGACTGGCTTAAAGCGCCAAATGCGAGCATTAACCACAATTCTGCGTGCGCTAAGCGCCACCCAGACACAGGCATGTGGTTCATCAACGGCCCGTATTTTACCACATGGCTGAAGCAAGATGGTTCCTTCCTTTGGCTTAATGGCCCTGCAGGATGCGGCAAGTCAGTCTTATGCGCAACAGCCATCCAACATGCTTTCCGCCAGAAGCACTCGGGTGTAAATGTGGGCATTGCTTTTTTCTATTTCACTTTCAGCGATAATTCGAAACAAGATGAGTCTGCAATGTTACGAGCTTTGCTCTTACAACTATCTGGACAACTTTCTGATGGTCAAGCTATCCTTGAGCTCATGCGGACTTCCATCCAAGCAGCCACACCTCCAACAACACTATTAATCGAGCATCTCCGAAATCTAATACCAAGGTTTCACCAGGTGTATATCTTACTCGACGCCTTGGACGAGAGTCCTCGATATGCTCAACGGGACCAGGTCCTAAATGCATTGCAGATGATGAGGAAGTGGTCATTGCCAATGTTGCACCTCCTAGTCACTAGTCGAGACGAACCAGACATACGCGATACGCTGGACCCAGCCCACAACCAAATCCTGATCATGAAGAGTGCGGGGATTGATAAAGATATCAGCGACTTTATCTCGAGCCAACTAGACGTCGATCCGAAACTCCGAAAGTGGAAAGCGCATCATGCCCAGATTAGAAATGCGCTGATTGAACGTGCTCAAGGCGTGTAAGTAACTCAGAGTCGGTGAAGGGTTCAAGTATTGGCTGATAGAGTTGGAGATTCCGTTGGGTCGGATGTCAATTCGAGTCTCTCAAACGATGTCCTCGTAGCGAAAGTCACCTCGATCGATGTTTACACTCGTTACCGCGAAGTTTGGACGAAACCTATGAGCGGATGCTCTGTAGTATTGATGAGAGTTCCGTTGAGGATGCCCGGCGGATCCTGACCCTATTGTGCTTCTCATTCCAACCTCTCACAGTGCCGGAACTTATTGAGGGAATCGCAGTCGACCTTGACGAACCTGCACGACTGAATTGTCGACGTCGACTACAGGACGCAGATGACATTCGCAATATTTGTCCAGGTTTGATTGATATTAATGACCACGTGGACAGCGAGAAAATGCAAATGGCGCCAATAGTCCGTCTAGCTCACTTCTCGGTCCAGGAATACCTCGAATCCGATCGGATCACCAAGCAAAAGGCGGCAAATTTTGCGCTACAAAGCGCTCCTGCGCACGCGGAAATTGCACAGATATTCCTGGTGTACCTCCTGGAGCCAGAACTATCTAGTGGACCACTCCATGAGACGATCAACACATTTCCGTTAGCCCTTGCTGCGGCTGCGTTTTGGTCCGACCATTATAGGAACGGAGGAGCTGTAACATCCCAATTGAAATCGCTGATCTCGAGGTTATTTAGTCAACAAAACTCTCTCCGCACTTGGTTATGGCTGTACAGGATACAGAACTCTTCGTGGGTTGTAGCGACATTTGACATCGACTCCCCCTCCACCGATCTGCCAATAATTTGTGCGTCCTATTTCGGGCTTGACGAAGCTCTATATGAGCTACTCGCTCTCATGGATAGTGACAGTGACAGGAAAATTCTGATAGATAGCCCAAGTGCGTACCCGGGCCTGTTTCCATTGGCAGTGGCATCAGAAGAAGGTCACGAAAAAGTGGTGCGAGTCCTGCTCGATGCAGGTGCCGATGTGAGCGTCGGAGGAAACGAGGCAATCTACGCGGCGTCAAGATATGGCCACAAGAACGTTGTCCAGATACTATTAAATTCTGGATTAGATAGAGCAGGCGTTGACAGAGCAATGATGGGAGCATCAGAGTATGGGGATGGGGGAGTGGTGAAGATGCTAATCGATGCTGGGGCAGATGTCAATGCCCGTGACGAAAAGGTCGATACTGCACTGCAAGTAGCATCAGAGTATGGACATGGCGAGGTGGTGAAGATACTAATACATGCTGGGGCAGATGTCAATGTTAAGGGTTCGAGGGATACTACTGCGTTACAGGTAGCATCAAATGCCGGCCGAGATGAGACGGTGAAGATACTGCTGGATGCTGGGGCAGATGTTAATGCTGAGGGAGGCAGATATGGCACAGCATTATACGCAGCATCAAGTCACCCCTGGCTGGGCACCATGAAGATGCTTCTGGATGCCGGAGCACACGTGAATACTCTGGGAGGGAAATTTGGTACTGCATTACATGCCGCATCACGTTTCCCCGACCCAGTGGGAGTGGAGATATTATTGGCTGCTGGGGCAGATACCAATATGCAAGGACGACTTGGTACTGCTTTACATGAAGCATCACGTTTTGCTAGGGCGAAGACGGTAGAGGTGCTTCTAAATGCTGGGGCAGATGTCAATGCGGCAGGAGCAGGGTGTGGTGCTACTGCCTTAGAGCTAGCATTGGCTGGAGGCGAGAGAAAGGTGGTTGGTATGGTTGATGTGATCCAAAAGCTACTGGATGCCGGGGCTCTCGACGAGAGGGGAGAAGTGCGGGCTTTCTTGGAAATTGCTCGACAACGACGAAGTGGTCGGTATATCGAACGCAACTAACGGCGTAGGCGAAGGACAGAGCACCTCTCATTGCCAACGATGGCCCCCTCCGTTCCTGACAGCGAAGGCTTCGAGCGTGTCATTTATTTTTCAATTCAGCTTGACACCTTGTTTGTAGGTCCTTGCTCAGACTGTGCCGTCCTCCTCCAGGAGACGATAGAGCTTGCCGGGTGCACATATATCATCAAAAGAGCATTCATAGCCATTTGGTATAAAACCTCGCTCTCTCATGGCATGTAGAGGTCCGACATTCGCCACGGACAGCCGTGCAAAGAAAAGAGCTTTGGCCGGAGCAGAATACCCCAAGCTTCAGGGAGGTGGATGCCGAGCGCAGTTGGGATTGCACTGGACGCAAACAAGACGACGGAGAGTATGCGTTGCGCATAGTAGGTCGGAATGGACCAGAGGACAAGCAAGACGAAGCCGGAAGTAATGGCGGTCGACGTCCACAAATTCACTTGCTTCAAAACCCCGTGGAGCAGGGCAGGATTGGCATTTGGACCGCGCTGGCGGTACCACACGGCCCAGTGCGGATAGAACCACCACTTGATAGGTAAGCCGTCGTACAAGATGAAGAAGCTGGCCATCGACAATGCCCACATCTGCAACGTGAAGTGGAGGCTCAATAATCGCGGAGCTGAACAGCAGAACTGGAGCGCCAGGAGCAGAACCGTCACCATGTGGAAGTTGAAGAGCAGTATACAGAACACCGGTAGTCTCGGCTCGCAACCTATCCGTCGCGCCACGCTCTCCAGGAAAGCGTTATAGTCAATAAGCGTGAGAAGGCTCGGACTCAGGGAGTAATACTCGCGCGAGGCTGCGGCATCCCGCCGGGCTTCTGCCGAGTAATCGGGCGGCAGGTCCCTCTCTCCATGAAGCAGCAGTGCAATGTATCGGCTCAGCATCTCGGCCAGGACAGGGACGCCCCCTTGGTGGGGTCGCGCATAGCCCAAGAAGCAGAGACAGTGGCCTAATCCTTCTGGGAAGCAATTCAGAAACCACGAACGTGGGTTTGGTGACAAGAGCTCTTTCCCGGGCAGATGGATCCATGGGAACTCAATGCGGAAGAAACCATAGGCATACACGTTTTGTCCGGCGCTCATACGATTTGTCGTGGCAGCCTCGAGAAAGCCGTTGGCCGGGAAGTCGACGGTCATGTTCGCCTCGACCTGTTGCATTTCGTTTCTTTTGTTCAGGTATCGGGGACCGACGCAAATGGGACGGCGCAGCCAGACTGTGACATTGGGCGACAATTCACCGAGCTCTGCTGAGATGTCTGCGCCGCTCTCGCCTCCCCCTACCACCAAAACTTTCAGTTTTTTTCTCCGCGACATCATGCTTGAAGGCTTCATCATACTGGGATGAGTGGATCAGACGACCGACGAACTCAGAGAGGTCTGCAGGCGGCGCGTTAGGTATCCCATTCGACCCAGTGGCGACAACGAGAGCATCTGCCTGCAAATGGAGAGTAGATTGCTCTGATGCTATCAAATCCTGAATCTCTAGAGACCACAGCCCGTCGTCTCCTAGGGTCGCACTGCGAACCTCGTTATGATATCTGATACGACGTTGGAGGTCGAAATGGCGAGCATATTCGTGAAGGTAGTGCAGGTATTCTTGGGCCGTCGATTAATGCAGCCTCGTTGGGTCTGGGAAGTCGGAGAACGCCGTGGCCCAATTGCTGATTGTGAGATGCAAGTTTGGATATGCAGTCGCACTTGCAAAGACACCGCCCAGTTTTTCTGAACGCTCGATCAAGATTGCCTCATGTCCACTTTCAACCATCTCTTTCAGGGCCACGAGGCCACAGGGGCCGGCCCCTATAATCACCACACATTTCATATCGACAGGTAAGGCTTAAGCCGACGAAAACAATGGGAAAAGATTGATAGAACAATCCAAGAACGCGAAAAGAGAAGGAAAAGGAAAATCGAAAGAAAAGTCCTGGAACACAACCTTCATCCTAATTCTTTTCATCATCGAGGCACAGATAAAAGACAGACACAGGGGTATCCGCCACCCTCGGCGATCTAAAATAGCATGGAACAAGGGCTACGTTCCAATGACGGGATCCAGGCTCTCTACGAACTGGAATGCAACACTGTTGCTTCGATTTTCTTCGAAACCAGGGGGGCCGAAGGGGCGAGGAGCCAATGAGTCTCGAAGGTCACACGAGCATCCATCATCTGAACAGTGCGAGGATCTCGGACGAGATGTCGAATGGCAGCGCCATCGCGTGTTGCCACCCAGCCACGAAGGATCCATGCTTCCTTGGAGCAGTGCGTATTGTTGGTCTTGGTCAGCGATTGTTGAATTTGCCTATAGATCTTGAATTGAAGATGGTTCACGGCTCTCAGCCCACAGCATCAGGCCATCTAACTACTGACTCTAGGTATACAAACGCGCCCCAAGCGCAGGAATTAAGAAGCAGGAACTGTGTGTCCGAGCCGAGGCCAGATAGCCGTGCAGATGTGGTTGACTTTACATGGACCCACGGTCCCAACTGGCGGTGACTCAACTCTTTTTGCGCGGAGACAAGCAGTATACCGAGATTATAGGCTATTGACAAAGTCTTGTTAACTCTGAACACAAGATCGCTCTGGGGACCCAAGTTTACGTAAATGTGCAGAGCTCTCCACATATTACCCCAGCCAGCAAGTCATGTTCGCCTAGGACGGCTTCTCGGGCCGTTCATGTTCAAGTGCCTGTATCTCGGTGGATAGAGCTTTAGGGAGCCGGGGTTGCCTGTTCTGGTAGCATCTTTTCTCCTCTGATTGGCTCAGCAACACTCATGCATAATATTAAAATAGTTAGGACTCCACAATTATAGGGAGCGCCGCAAGGCTATGAAAAGTCCCTCGTCAGCTTACGGGAGACTCGCCGCCTGCGTCACCCTTGTTCTCTGTGCTCGCCTGATCTTGCCTCATGCAGTTGTTCTAGATCCCCGATGGGTACGCGAGATAGGGAGTACTTGTTCGTACGAGTGGGGATGATACACGGGTCCAAACACCCTGTGATTTGCTCTTTAGAAGGTAATAATCTCTGTTGCAATGGCTTTGGAGACACCAGTGCGACTGTCTGCTACTAGGTATAGATTCAAATAGGCAATGGATGCCCTAAGACTAACTCCGGATTATCGGATTCCAGACCCCGTGCGCTGATTGCCCTGAAGGAACTGTTCCACAGATACTCCGTACCTCGTAAATGTCTCCATACACCCCGTATTTGCTGTCGTTGAAATGGTCGCCTATGCCGGCTACGATTGCGGGGCGAACACTTCCTTAGTCCTATTCTTGGTCTCTAGATACGAGTCGGTCGTTGGTCAAAAATTCAAGTCTAGCAGGACAGCTCGTTCTCGCCCTCTTTTGAGAGGCCAGGCCAAGTACATAAGCATTTCTGTATCTGAATGAAAGGCCACCCGTACGAACAAAAGTTCTCTTCCCTTGCCCGTCCTGAAACAGAGATCCTGCCATGCCATCGCCAAAGATCAACAAGCCTGCTGCGCAGCTCCGGCAGATTCTGGCACTACTCTCGGCCGCTGTGGAGAATCTAGCGTCCGAATGGGAATCATCTGCGAGGCAGGACAACGGCAACACCGTGTCACATGGCGAGGATGATGCCGTCAACACCATTATTGCCGCACTGGGCTGGCTGGAGAGCCTCGTTCTAGACCCTCACACTCGCCTGCTGAATTTGTTCATGTCCTACCTTGTCGCTCGAGCCTTGCATATAGCCGCCGAGCATGAGATTGCGAAACTGCTTTCCCATGACACGAACGACGGGGTCAGCGCTAGTCATCTCGGCAGGATAACTGGCATAGAAGAGGGAAAGCTATGTATGTTCTCAAAGATCTCCATGACATCCAATAGCCTCTCTAAGCGAAGTCAACCAATCCCTAGGCCGAGTCATGCGAACGTTGACTTCACACCACATTTTTCAAGAGGTCAAGGAAGGGTGGTTTGTCAACAATCACATCTCTCAAGCACTTGTCAGTGATGCCGCATTTCAAGCCAACATTACTATGAAGTAAGTTACGCCCTATTTTCTCTTTTTTCCCTCACACCATAAACGCAACAGCAAGAAAACGGCAAGAGGCAACACTGGAAGACGGAAATGGCAAGTCAGTTAAAGGGCAAAAATTGTAGTATATCTTTTTGACCGTTCGCAGGGCCAGTTGCAGTATAGCGTCAGTGACTTACTCCCCCAAGCATTGGCAAATCCTGCAATTCGGGATAGCTACGACTCAAGGAAGACCGCCTTTCAACAGGCCATCGGGACAAAACTATCCTTGTTTGACTGGATGAACGAGTTTGTGCTTGAATTCGACGCGAATTAGCGGCCCCGGAATCTACGTAGGCACTTTGCGAGGAGGACGGTGCACCGCATTCATTCCGTCATTCAGGCCAGAAGATGGTACCTCGTCCCGAAAAGCAACTCTTTAACCTTGCAATCAGTGCCCAAGGCAGGAGCACTGAAGAGTATTGCGTTCTTGACTTCCCTTGGAAGGATCTTGAGGGTGGCGCGACTGTGGTGGACGTTGGCGGCGGAATTGGTAAGTCCCAGATGTTACCCCCTATGTGGGCTGTACCTGTGAACGCCTTACATTAATGCCTGGACGGGTTCGTTTTGCATGCAACTCTACGCCCACCATCCTAGTCTGAGTCTCGTCATGCAAGAGAAGGAGCATGTGATTCAACAAGCAATTGCAGTATGGGAGACCAAACACCCTTCTGCCATTGCTGAGGGTAAAGTTAAACTAGCTGCGCACGACTTCTTCAAGAAAAAACCGGCCGTTGGTGCTGAAATAGACTGGCTACGATACATCATGTAAGCCGCTCCCTGTCAATTTCTTGGATCATTCTCCAAATGCCTATGGCTGATGTATGTGATGCACACATTTAGGCACGATTGGGCCGATAACGAAGCAATCGCCATCTTGTCACGGGTTGCAGAGTCGATGAATTCCAACTCTCGCGTGCTGATCGCCGACATGTTGATGTACACCACGTTACCCTCGCAAAAGCTCAAAGTCAGCCCCTAAGCCATTGCTGGCGAATTATGGCCAGGCAATGACTTCTGCCCATATGATGGATTTGAACATGATGATGATGATAAACGGAAGGGAAAGGACACCGGCTGAATTTGAGCGTATTGTGCAAGCAGCTGCTTAGTGTTGGACAAGATCTGGGAGTGCCGGGGACCATTGAACATTATTGAATGTCGGTTAGCATGATTGCACGGCGACAGAAAATCGTCCCAGTCCGTGAGCCTGAAACCTGAAACCTGTAAGATGGTGAGCGAGATGGTCCAAAGTAAACTGCGCTATGGTGTAACAGCAGGGCAAACCAGGGTTAATCAAGCACACCAAGGAGTGGAAACAAAGCTAAGGGGGCTCGGGGGAAACTTGGTGTCGATTTAAGAATGCTTGGCATTTTAAATGCACTAGCCACACTAACCACACTAGCCGCACTAACCGCACTAGTCGCGCTAGCCGCACGAACTACTTGGTCAGTAAGCTCACTAGCGCCGGCTACTAAGCAACCGCAATATCGCCAACACTTGCACATTCCTCCGCTTCACCACAGACTGTACCGAGTACCGACTTGTAGGTCTTACATTGAAAGACCTCGAGGTGAGTTCGTTCCATCCCTACCCCTTCTAATACCTTAACACGAAAACTACAGCGCAATTTATATTTTTAACTCTGCTGCCTGCTTCCTTAGCGAACGGGGTCCGGAACAAGACGGGTTTCTTGCTCAGAACAGTCACGTGGCACTCCGGGGTTGGCTCGGAAAAAGTTTTCCCATACGCAAAGGGGCGAGGGGGATTTCGTTGATCAATGAATTTCCTTCTCACTTTCCTTGACGATCCTCATCTTTTCAGGGAAGCCCAATTACTCGCCGGGCTCCAAATTCCTCAAATACAGTCGGGTGAAATGGAATTTGGCCTGGGTTTCTTTCAAATACAGCGTGGCGCACTTCCTGGTTTCTGCTAACACGGACCTTCGAGATGCCTTGCATCCCAAAAATTCGTCGAACACATATCAAATCCAGAAACGGATGCAGTACATGCAAGAAGCACCGAGTTCGGTGTGACGAGTACAAGCCAGAATGCACGAGATGTCGCCGTCTAAACCTCAGTTGCGGGTATACGGAGCAGTCCTCGCAGCAACATGACCAGCAAAGGCTCCCATCTACAGACCATGAAACGGCAGTGGCTCTGGTATACCCTGCGCTAGCACATCTGCCCGATGTCCAACTTCGGGACCGTTGCATTTTCACCCACGTGGCCAGGATGTGCCACCGCCTAGAAGAATGCCAAAGCCATGAACTCGCCTTTGGGACGCTTGTGCTGCCAGAGTAAGTCTACCATAATCGTTATCCCTATCCTAGAACCTGCCTGACCTGAGACAGAATCCTTAAAATCGCAGTCTCGTACGATTTTGTTCGACATAGTGTTTGCACGCTTGGTGCTCGCCATATGGCCCTGCTCACTCGTTCGGCATCGATGGTATACGTGGAATATCATCACAGGGGGCTAGCTTTGAAAGGCCTTCGTCAATGTTTAGAGAACTTCTCCGATGAGCATATTGAGGCAGTAATTGCTGCTTCGCTTTTGCTTTCTTGGCAGGCTCCTAAGAGGTCGCCAACTGGTCTCTCATTCTTTTCATCGCATGCTGACGAAGAGATAGTGACGAATATGCGCACACTATGCAAGGGATCTGTTCGGTCTGCAATCAATTCTGCTATTTTGGGATTACTTTGTCTGACTCGTTGAGCAGGTCTTGCATCAAGTAAAAGCCGAGAACTGCCGTTCTACCTTTTCGCATCTCCTTCTTCCGGCGAAGAATACTGAGGTCGCTGCTCAACTAGCGCAGATGGATCCTGACATTTTGCTTGACCGAGCCAAGCAGGTCATATCTGAAATGCAGCAAACCTTGGGCAGATCCGAGAGCTATCGGGGTATCAGCTTAGGGATTAAAGAACTCAAAATCTACATCACCAACTTGCGTATGCAAGGTTCGAATCCACCATCGACGCATCGGCAGTTGACGACGCTATTTCCCATCCGAAATTGGATGTTTTGGATCCCCAATGCCTTCGAACAGCTGGCACAAAAGGATCCTTTCACGATGCTTTTCTTCGCCTGTTACGAGATGATACATCTAGCAATCGCTCCTCTGTTGCCGGCAGGAAATCTACCACTTGCCTTGTCGATCCGGCCCAAATTCATTGAGCGAATCAATTGCGAGTTTTTGGTTCTTGCACAGTCTGTGATGGTAGCCAATCAATTTCCCTTGGAGGATGTGACTTCTACCCTGCAGCTTTTCAGGAACTTGATGGCCGGCCCGCTCCGATACGCCAAGCTGTACAATGGTCCCTGAATCAATCGAGGCTTTTGTCAAATAACGCTCCCTGCTAGTTTTCCTGGTTGCACGAATCTACACATTTATGTGCAGGTTACTGTGGCTTCTGGAGCACGTCCTCCATTCCCAAGCAGGTCTCCTTTGGGAAAATCGGGCAATAAAATCCACAAATCTTTGCTCACCCGGTCGGGAGTTGCGAATCTCCTAAAGTTGACTTGCTTGTACACAGCTGCCTGCTGCTCGAAATTGAGGGATTTTTGACATCCCAGACAGGCTTCGGTGTATTTCCCCCCCCCCCCCCTCCATGACGAGCCGAAATCACTGCGGCGTGGTAAGCGACATTGCACAGACTTGAGAATACATGCGACCTTTCATTATACAACCTTTTTCTGCATGACGCAACATGCTTACCACCGGCTTCGCCTTTATTGGAGCATACGAGCACCACGTATTGTGGAACTAAAGCTTATCATCTGCACCACGTAGGTGCTGCCCTATTCTAATCGTTGGCGCGCGGATACAATCGCCTACTTTTGTGGGCCATTGAGCTGCCATGGAGGAAAACTAATCCATAATGTCTCCTAGAAAAGTGAGTGATATTGCCACCCTTCGGAATTTCATATTCAGAAACTCTGAAGATCAGCATCGCGAACTACGCTGCTCAATACCGACTCCAAGACGCAGGTGGACTAAAATGAAAGGCCGACCACGAAGATTCTAGTGACTCTCTGGCCAGAGAATGACAACGGTCGAGTCGCCTTTGCCAACCAGGGCTAATCCCAAGGTTCCATCAGGATGAGCACCTTTCACCCTAATGTTCATGGGAGGAGGGTGATGCCGGTAAAGGTGCCCGCATTGTCTTCGTACACCTTGACTTTGTTGGCACCATTGAAATCGGTCTTCCAGAGAGTGCCGCCCAAGTCAGCGACAAAAATGGCGTTATTTTTGCGATCCAGCTTCAACCCGATGGCTTCATGAAAATTCCTGGCGATAATCTCATGTTTAGGAAAGCGGGCATATCCACCATTGACCGTCTCCCCAACAGCACTGAGCTGAGATCTGTTCAGACTGTTTCCAAATGGGATTTCTCCTCGATCAGTCCAGAATAAACTGTTCAACTCCTCGTCGTACTCCAGATCAATGGGTTCTGGGAGCTTGTCGAAGATGACTCGAACATCAGCACGATGTGCTGGACTCTGAGCCGTTGGCATATCGATGTTGGCACTGAGGATGCGCCCCTTTCCGCTCTTTGGCGGTCCCTTTTGCGTCCAGAAGAATTTTCCCAGCTTTGGAACGACGGTCATGCCCACGCACCACTTGGTCTGATCGGCCTGCTCTTCAGGATTTTCCCAGACCCCGGTCTGCACAATGACCTCGAAATTGGATCCGTCCAGACTGACTCTTACCACGCGAAGACCTTCGCGGTCGGAGATGTAGAGTTTCCCCGCCAACTCGTCGATTGCGATCTGTTTTGGAGTGTGGACACCGCCCCGGGGAATGATAACCTGTAGATCGTTTCCGTCAAGATCACATGATAGAACACGTCCATCGTTGCTGCCGAATGTGCCCATGTCTGTGTAGTAGAGACGCCCGTCCAAAGAATTTAATGCAATTCCGTCGGGAAAGCCGGCCCCAGATACTAACGTCTTGACATTCTTACCATCCTTGGAGAGTTTCAGCAGCCTGCCCTTGCCTCCGATGTCACGGGGACTTGGAATTCCTTTCAAGGAGCTTGGAATACCCAAGTCCAATAAAACGATCCCCCCGTCGGAAATTCCCTGGGGTGTCGGGGGGTATAAGCCACCTTTGGAGCACTTGTTCCCCAGTTTACCATGTTTGAGGTAGTTTTCCTCCAAGAAACCGACCGTCTTCTCCGACGGAAGGCCCCTCTCGTGAACATAATGTTGTTCGATGAGAGTGACGGTGTCGAGGCCTACTTCTGCAATGGGAGCGTCAAAGGATGTTTGCAACGGACGCATGGGGCAAACTTACGATCCATCATTCGACAAGGAGATATCTTCGAACCCCAAAACAAGTTCCACATGTTGTCGATCTCTTCCGGTGTCGAAACTCCCTCTGCCAGAATCGTGAGGACTTCTCGTTTAATTGCGGCCCAGACTCGGTTGAAAATAAACCCGGTTGACTCCTTCCTGGCGATGAAGGGAATCAGAGCGGCTTCTCGATGACGAGCGGCCAGAAATTGGAGGATTTCTGGATGTGTATGGCCGTCCGTCATGAGCTCGACCAGGCGGTTGTCCGGAGGCATGAAATAATGCGTGTTGAGGATGCGAAGCTTTGTGTCCTGGTCGACTTTGTCCAGCATTTCGCTGGACTTGTACGAGGAAGAGTTGGATGCCAATATGCAGTCGGCAGGTGCCAGCTTCTGGAGCAAAGCGAAAGTCTCGATTTTCAGATGGAGACTCTCCGGAACCGCCTCGAAAACAATCCAAGCATCCTTCACGGCAGGGTCCAGGTCGGCAAATGCTTGAATAGTTCCTGGTGTCTTTCCGGTCAACTCGGCGTATTGCTGAGCGTTTTGCGTGACATAGTCGACGGCGTCTTTGCGCTGTTGAGCTCCTGGGTCTCGAACAGTGACATTGTACCCAGCTGCTGCCCAGCAGCATGCTATCCAATGTGTCAGTGCGATCCATCGGTAAAGGATGCGCAGGCCTTTTCTCACCAATTCGCCTGCCTAGGACTCCGCCGCCGAGAACGGCGACTGGCCTATGCTCGTAGTTCTTTGGAGGATTCCACATGTTTGTCGTAGAAAAAGAGAGAGAGACAGACGGTGTAAATTGTCCAGTGTCCTGTTCGCCGACTTTCAGGGACCTTTAAATGGACACCAACCGCTGCTGTCGTGGTACACATAATGCCTCATGCAGATGGATGGTGGACCAATTCAAATTGAACCTTCCGGAAGCTGGATTGCGGTAACTGAGGGCCGATGACGCCGCACAGTGATTGAAGACTAAACTGGCCTGTGAACCGCGCACAACTAACTAACCTTTTGCGATAGTTTTAGCTGACAGGGGCAACAGCCTTGACACTTGCTTAGTACGTAGGTCTCGCGCCAAGCGGGTTAAACCTTCCTAGCGTCATCTATACGATACGTCCGTTAGACACTAAACCCACAGTAGGAACGGCAAGCTAATTCTTCCCTCCGTCCAGATTGAAGATTCGAAATATTGGGATCTATCTCGGCTCTGGAGTATTTCAAGGAGCGATCGGCTGTGTCGGAGCCTTGGGTCGCAAAAACCCTCCAACTCTCCACTGCGGACCAGCATAGTTGCCTTAGGCATGGAACAAATTGCGTCGGAACCCAGGAGAGCGATAGCATTTTTGGCGCAAGTCATGTCCATTCGATAGATGCGACATATAAGGATAAAGGGAAAAGGCATTCGTCTTCGAAAATCATCCATCTATTGCATCTCCCCGTGTCGTCAAGTTTGATCTGCGACAACTGTCATTCTTTGTTTCTGAGCCAGACAGTTGCTGTTTAAGGATTTCTCCCATCACCCAGCGCACCCAGAAGCTATGGATTTCCAAGCAGATCGAAATGGCGGTGAAGGCCTCCAGGAGTTCTCGGTCAAAGATGTAGCCAAACACAACACTAAAGACGATGTATGGATCACCATTCACGGAAAAGGTACACTATTCTATTCCTCCAACTTCCCAGCAATTGCCGACTGACATTATGCTGACCGAGCCCCAAACTCACAGTCTACGATATCACAAACTATCTCGTCGAACACCCTGGAGGTATCCAGTCCCTCATAGAAGTCGCCGGCCAAGATGCGACGGAAGCATATGAGGATGTGGGCCATTCCGAGGACGCGAAAGAAATCATGGCTCCTTTCCTGCGCGGGACAACCAAAGGTGCCTCTAAAGTTGCCCAGAAGCCACAGAGGGCTGCGGCGCCTCAAAAGCAACCCACAGCGCAAAAGAAAGAGGGCGGTTCTAGTTCTCTCTTGAAACTGAAATACCTCCCCGTGGCCGGCGGCCCTCTGGCGCTGGGATTGGTCGCCACTCGAAATCTGCCGCAATGGAGTCTACGGAGCCTCAATCTGGGAGTGGTGAAGGCTATCAAGCTCAACAGACCAGACCTCTTGGGCCTTGGCGATGGCGGGTTTGTGCAAGGATTTGTGGTCGCTTTGACGCTGTCTCTCGCCGTATTCGCAGGCGTTGCCGTCAAAGTCTCACATGCAGCCAGCATTGAATCTGGGTTTCTGGGCTACCCAACGCATATCAAGGCCGTCGCGACACCTGCGCACCACCCCAAGGGATTCCTGAGCCCTAATACGTACCAAAGCCTCCCTTTGGTCCAGAAGGAAATTCTGAGCGGCCTGAATCTAGTGAGGTTGACATTCGAACTCCCCTCGCCAAACATGGTGTTGGGGTTGCCTATTGGCAAGCACGTCGCCATCAAAGCGAAAGTGGGAGACCAAGTTGTAACACGCTCATACACGCCGACTTCCAATGACCGTGATCCTGGAGTGTTGGTGCTGGTCATCAGGATCTACGACGACGGCCTTCTTACGGGTGGCTATCTTTCAACGCTCAATGTGGGCGACGAAGTCGACTTCAGAGGACCAAAGGGTGCGATGAAATATCGCAAAGGCTATGCCAAGAAGATCGGCATGGTGGCTGGTGGTACTGGAATCACTCCGATGTATCAGTTGATCCGGGCCATCTGTGAAGATGACACAGACACAACCGAAGTCAGCCTTGTCTACGCAAATCGCACCGAGGACGACATTCTTCTCCGAAGTGACCTGGACCGATGGGCAAGGGCCTATCCGAAGAACCTCAAGGTCTGGTATCTCCTGGACAACGCCCCTGTAGGTTGGAAGTTCGGTACCGGATATGTCACAAAAGATATACTCACGAACCGGATGCCTGTGCCGTCAAACGACTCGTCGTCAAAGGTCTTGCTATGTGGACCTCCAGGTCTCATCAACGCGGCAAAGAAGAATCTCGTGGAACTGGGTTGGAAGAAGCCGAGTGCTGTTAGTAAAATGTCCGACGACATTTTCTGTTTCTGAGATGTGGGCAAGGCTGGGCGCTCGTGGACGGAGGCGCGACTCAATAGTTCTAGTTCTCGAATAAAATTGAATTTGTCCATTGATCTTGCCCTCGATTACCCTTGTATTCGGCATAAGATGACAGGGACATCGTCGACTCAGCGGTGAAGTAAATCTCTGCATATACCTCAGTTCCCACTGAGGAATAGTCAATCTGTCTATGAATCGCATTCTGGAACGATCCAGTCTGGCCGGAAGGCTGCAAAACACATGGTTGGGACCAAGGCGTCGTGTCGGTCTTTTCGCCGCAATTGGAGTCTAGAAACATGGGTCCACAGGCCGCATGCAGATTCAAGCACAGCAAAGAGCGAGATCCGGTTTCGTTTCGAGTAATGCATGCATTCATCATTGTCTCAATCATGTCGATATCAATCGGCGTCTTCGTGTCGGCGGCTGGCGAGGCAGGATCTCAAGACGGGCCGAGTGCCGAAAAAGTGGGGCGCATATCACGCTATATTTCTATACGACGGGCTCCACTAATTTTACTCCTTTTACTCCTTTTTCAACCACGGATACAAGTTGCAGCCTGCGACTGAACGCCGGCAAGGAACCAACTACGGACGGGAAGATTGTCAGTATGCACGGATCTGCGTGGCTTATCCAACTAGCGATACTCCACTCTGGCCTCGTAAGCGACTTTCCTGCGAGTTTCACTTATCTTGGGATACAACGCGATGGAGAAACGAGGATTTCCCTCAAATCGGGTGCGTCTGTGGAAATTTCTCAACATGTCTTGAGTTATGACCGAAAATCTTGTTATATCCCTCAGATCTGTGATAAGGAATATTTCAAGCGGTGGAGATTTTCGAGGCGTCACTCGGGTTTGAGGCCCGCCGAACGATCCAGCAACGGTGCAAGAGCGTTGCTTGCTTGCCTCATCCCGAAGTCGTTAATAAGCCTCATGGAAGTACATATACTCTTCTCTGGCGGCAAAGACTCTGGCCAGGCCTTCTTCTAACACGGCTTCTCTCATCCCGCTGGGACTTACTTCACAATCGTCGAGCAGGGATTGTTGATTTACACTGATCAACAAGGATGGCCGTCAAGCATTTCTACCTCTTTGGGGAGGATCCGTCCAAGACGCGAGAATTGAACCTCGACCCCCAAGTCCAACAAGAATACGAACACGTCCGACATCTAATCGCTGAAGAATTTGCAATCATCGAACCTTCAGGTAAGGCAATAGATGGCGCCTATACATCGTGATCTCGCTAATTATCTTCCAGGCATCGATCTTTCTATTGATGGCGAGACTTTAACGGATGTGACCGATGTCCTTAGTGCGAAAACGCCGATGGCCATCTCTATCGATGGCAAGCGGATCAGAGATGTCCCAGGACCCAAAGGATATCCATACCTAGGCAACTACTACGAAGTTTACCCTGACCATCTGGGAAACCATCAACGGTAGGTGCTTTGTTATTATGATTCCAAAATATCAAACATGCTGACAACGTATTCTTCCGGCAACTAGTCTGTTTGAACAGTATGGCTCAATTTTCAAGACCACCAACATGGGGAGCACAGTCTACGAAACCAACAGCCCTCAAATCGCGCAGCTGGTGTTTTCGGAATCGCAATATTTCAGCAAAGAGATCACGCCATCCCATCCCCTTTATGGTATTAAAGACCAGACAGCGGGCGTTTTCCTGGCAGACACCAACACCGAGGCCTGGAGGCTGGCTCATAAATTTCTTCCTCCGGCCTTTTCACCAAAGGCTGTTCGGCACTACGCTCCTCAGATGCAAAAGACGGTTGAATCTGCTTTCAAAGTCTTTGACGAACTCGACAAGCGAGGAGAGGCGTGGAATGTTTACCCGTACATGCTCAAGCTTGGTTCGCAGGCTGTCGGCAAGTTGACCCTGGGCGTGGATTTCAACCACTTCCACGCGGTGGACGCACCGCTGAGCCGCATGGTTCTGCTGATCGCTCAACTGCTCGAGTTGAACAAACGAGTCACTTCCAAGGGAAGTTGGTACTCGTCTCTTCCCTTCGGAGAACCCAAGGAGTTGCGCAACTGCAGGAAGAATATCGATAACCTGGTGGAGGATGCTCTTCACAAGATGGCCCCTAACGGGGTCGAGGATCTCGATCTTCAGGACGCCGCCCTGAAGGCGTCGTGTATTGCCGGTGCGATCTTCGTTCTTCCAAATCCCCAATTCTGACGTTCTGCGTGAGAAACTAACATATTGCATACAACAGACTACGCCATGCGCGCCATCGATCGACAAGGCGAGAAACTTCCCCGAGAATATCTCAAGTCCTCCCTGGTGGTCGCCACCGCAGCTGGATTCACCACCACGTCCAGCCTGCTGTCCTGGCTGATCTTTGGCCTGGTCAGCTATGAAGGAGTGCAGGAACGGCTCCTGCAAGAGCTGATAGACAACGACATTGACGAAAACACCGTTTTTGACGCCGACACCATCGGCAAGCTGCCTTATCTTGAAAACTATGTCAAGGAGATGCAGCGTCGCCACAACCCCAGCTTCCAGCCGTGAGTACTTCTGTCTGCCCAAACCAGGAGGAAAGAAGAAAAAAGGGAAACATGGCGGTTCCAACGGATTGCTGACACACCAATTTATGGGCTTTAGTGGACGTACAGCACAACAGGACGTTATTCTTCCCGGCGGGTTCAAGATTCCTCGCGGCGGCGTGGTCATCCCGGCATTGCACCACATCCACAACAATCCCGAACTGTGGGACAACCCGACCAAGTTCGATCCAGACAGGTATGCTAAGTTCCCAAAGTCAAAAAGCGGAAAAGAAGAAGAAAAAAAAAAACCAAAACCAAAACCCCCCATTTTGGCTGGGCCATTAAGAAACTGACCCTTGATTGATTTCCCTGGCCTTGTTTCAGATGGAACACGGACTCGGTCAAGAACAGACACAAGGCAGCGTACATCCCGTTCGCGATGGGCCCGCGAGGCTGCATCGGCTTCAACTTCGCCCTGCTTGAGGTCAAGGTCTTTTTGCCCAAGCTGGTCTACCGGTACAAGTTCGTCCGCGAAGGCGACGACCCCATCCAATACGACCCGATGTTCCAGCTGATCCGGCCTCTCAATCTCTACGTCCGCGCCGAGAGGAGGCACAAGTGGCCTGCGAAAAGCGAAGCGTGTGCCTGATTGAGCCCACGCACGTCACACACCACTCAGCATGCTATGGTAAGGAAAGACAACCTTTTTTCCCCCTCGCTTTGAACATAAGCTTAGCGTGTCGAGGAACAGCTCAGAATTGGGAGGTGGCGGCCTCTAGAGAAAGTCTTGCAGGCAGGCAGGCAGGCAGACAGTCCATCTTCCTATCTAAAAGGAACATATAGATAGTCAGACCCTTAGGCAGACAGGCACGGACGGCCCAAGGGGTTCTAGACCTAGAGCTCGATCTGGGTCTGATACTCCAAGTCTGGATTCCGACGCTGCCGTCCGAGGGTCTCGGGGTTTCAAAGGGGGAGTTTTGCACGGAATTCGACATCTGCGGCAGTGCGCACATTCAACTACATAAGGGATCATTTACATCTGCGAAGGGAGAGATAGTGTTTCGAGTCATCGTCATGATCTTTCTTGAGCTCGATCTTGATCTACCCCTTCTCACTCCCACTCCAACTCTGTCTGGCTCTCCCCTAGTCCACTCTCACATGACGGATTAAACACCCCCCATTCTTGCATGAAACCGATCAAATACGCCCAGAATCTCATCACTGGGTAGTAGCTAGGCCATCTACGCGGCTATAGCCTACTTGTACGTGGCATGCAGGTATGTATGTCACCCGACTTGAGAATCACATCAATGCATGTCTATAAATTAGCGCTCCCGCGAACGTGCAAAACGGTATGCTGACTCTTCTCCGCGCAGTGATGTCTGGGCCGTTGGTGGCCTCGGGTAGATCCCACGGGTCCTGGTGCAGCAGGGCCTCATGTCCCCAAATACCGTCCTTGCCATCATCGTCATGTCCAGCGAAGGGATTTGATCCGTATTCTGCGCATCGCTCGCGGTTCACCACCCTCGCCGCTCCACCACACACGTCCGGTCCTCTCGGCTCGTCAAAGATTCAAGTCCACTGCACCCCCCTTCTTCAACTGACCGAAACACTTCTTCCACAAGTCATTCTCCTCACCTAGGAAATAATGCAAATCCACCTCGTGCATGCCTGCCTCCTCGTCACCTTGCATGCCTTCCAACTGTGCAATTACATTTCCCAGTCCGAATGCCTTGCCTACGCTCTGCGTCGTGCCTGCCTCTAACATGGCATGCACCACGTGGACATGCAGGTGATAGTACGTAGGTTGGTAGTGAAGGTAGCATTTGACCTCATCGGCCTCGACCTGGCCAGGAGGGAAGACTTTTGCGGTGGCGGCGGCGACGATTTGTTCGCGCATGGCCTTGAGCCAGGGGATGTGCTTCTTCTTTAAATCCCTCAGGGACCAAATATCCCTCCTCTGCACGAGAGCAAGTAAGTGCATTCCCTCAACGGTTTTCCTGTCCCAGTTCAAATCCGGTAAGAGTAGAAAGCCCGTGTTGGAAGGAGAATCCCAATCGACTCGCGCAATCACATCTTCTTGCTCCGTGCGGCCTTCGAGGATGTTGAAGACCCAGTCGAGCCGGCCGGCTGCGCGTTGGCCCGTTATGTATGGTTTTATATGCGTAGAGTAGATGTGCGGTGTTTCCGTGACCATACGCACGCGCTGGGCGGAGTATTTTCGGATATGTTGAGCTGAGCATGGGTAGATCAGGTTGAGTTTAAAGTCTGGGATGATCGAGAGTGAAGATGTCGCAGATGACGCAGATAAAACGCCAGTAGCCGATGAAGACGATTCAGTAGATCGATTCGCCAGGTACCATCTGTAGATGTCGTTGGCGCCAAGATTGGTGGTATTGATGAGAGATTTCAGAAGCAGCGACACGAGCTCCGGCTCCGTTGGAAATGCGGCCCGTTCAAGCGTGATAAGTGCGGGCATATCAGCGATGCTGCCCAGCAGGGAGATCCGTCGGCCATTTTGGTCTACGTCAAAATTTGGTCAGAATGAGTGTGACCAAGCAGAAAGGTAAGCGATCTATTAAAGTGTAACGATTGACAACGCTGTGGGTCAGATGCTATACGAGCGAAGCTGGTCACATCTCACCTTGATTGAGGACCCTCTCGAGCTTGAATCGAGGCACGAGTGATTCGGCCTCGGCCTTCGTTTCTGGCTGCGGAGTAGACATGATACATCACCCGAAGGCGAAATTCGGAGCGCAGGGCTCCAAAGAGCCGCGTTTCATAGACAGAGTCTCTCGAATGATGCACGCGGCTGAAGGGGGCCAGGGAATAGTACCCGCTTTTGTGTCTTCAGCGGGCACAATGACTGCCAGTCTCAATTCTTTAGCGGCAGAAATATGTGCTCTCAATGTAGATCAAGAATCTAAAGAGTTGGGGCCGAGCACCACATTGCTCTAAACGTCTGATTCCTGGAGTATGCGGATGCCAGATGTCGAAAAAAGTTCGAGTCAGTGTGATGCCAAGGAATGACGGGCGACCCCTGAACGAATCTCGTCGCCGCAGCCTGATGACGTCGATAAAGGGCGGACGAGGCTGGACGAGGCTGAGCGAGGCTGACTCTTCTACTTATTTGGCAAGGGTTGAAGGCGCGAGGCAGGAAACGATGAAAGCATTCCGTACTCAGCACAATTGAATGCGAATCTAGTCGGACGACCCAAATTGGACAAGAAAGATGCGGATAATGGAATTTCGACTTCCACGACTATGGCAATTGAGACCCAAACAGTCTCTCGGCGGTTCTTCTAGCAACCACCGCTCCATTAGCACTTTGTCTTTTTCTTTCTGAGGCCGATCCTCCTTCCAATACTTAGTAGCATAGCTCTGCCGGAATGTCTCGACAAACTCCTCTACCTCCATCGGGATCAAAATATCTTCAAGCATAGTCACGATCTGTCGAGCACTTCGGTAGAGCAGGTTCATGGCCTGAATAAGAATCCTCTTCTCCTTCTCCTCCAGATCCTTCTAGTCGATGCACCGGGAACCGAACCAGATGCAGACAACAGCATTTTCAATTCATAACTCTGTGCTCCGGCGATTTCCCAGGCTTTGCTTCGGTCATCCCAAAGGTCTATTTTGCCGGTCTATAGAAAATTTCCCGAACTTTTCCACCGTCACAAATAAACAGGGAATCTCCTTCTAATTTTACCACCATGCCTACATTTCGGATTAGAGAGACAAGCCGGCGGGACTCCACAATGATACGGTACCTGTAGAACACCATCGGAATGGGAACCATGATCAAGGCCAAAAATCCCAATAAGGTATTCCCCCAGCCCAGACCCAGGCTCTGATAGAGCGGAGGCGCCGCCAGCGGTAGAAATGCTGCGAACAGCGAACGCATAACTGTTGGGGCGGCAACAGCGGAGGCAGCATGAAGGGGGAACGCATCGACCATATATGTCTGAAACGGAAGGAAGATGCCTAACATACCAATACCATAAGGCACGGTGCCAGCAATAGCCGAGAGCCTGTAGAGAGGAGTAAATCACCTTGAACCAGCGTGGCTAACACACTCTAGTACTCAGGTAAGCACTTACCAGTGAGAATGTTTGTCTGTTACCCAGCCATACCATATCAGAGACATCGGGAGCATGATTCCACAGTATGGTGTCGTGGCCAATCTCATTTCAGCTGAATGCGGTCAGTATGGCAATAGAGGGTGTAGAGGGACGGTGATCTCTACGCTCGAATAATCCATTGTTCTTCGTCATGAGCTTCACGACCTGTGCGTCATTGAATCTGATCAAAGCAAACAAAGCGATCTAAAGAGGTTTGACTGTTAGAAATACCTCACCCAAGGGGCCAGGCGGGTACGGCGCACAAATGTCCCAAGTCCCACTGCGTAAATGGTCAGCCTTAAGCAATGACGGCGGGTATGATAAGAAAGTTGCAAGCTCACATCCAAGATATGAGAGGCCTGTGAGCTGGAGGGACCAGCCATATGCTTCTTGAAAGACTGTCGGAAGGGTAGTGAACATGAGGTCTGCGGCAAGATCAGTTTGGGAGCGAGAACTTCGTCACGAGTGCAGGAGATCGGAACACTCACACAGCAAGCCATACGCCGTCGCAACATAGATGCTTATAAACAAGACGATTGGGGATTTGGCCAGCAGCTAAGATCAAAATCAGCCGGCATCTGGATCATGGGATTGGCTGGACTCAACTTCAGCGGCCTTATCAGGCTGACTTTCAACAGCTCATGAGCAGGCATCCGGTTTTGAACTGCTGACACCAGCTCAGGTCTCCCGAGCGTCTTTCTCAACTTTCTGACCTTCCGCTCTAGAAGAACAACAGCGTTGGATTCTTGCATGAAGAGCGTGATTATGGCAGTGGAAGATCCAGCACACAGCACCAGGATCCAGTATGCCTGTATCGATGTCAACAAACACCCTCCCCAGTCTCAATACGGAGCAAGATGCCGAACCCATCGCCAACTAAGATATTCCGTGATGAACCCTCCACAAATTGGTCCAACTGCCATTCGCATCAGCGTTTCCGCGCGAAAAACAATGATCGAAGACTGCTCCTTACTGATAGGACCCAGCGATTGGCTGCCTACAATGATCGCCGAACCAAAAGCCCGCCGTTCGACAGGATACAGATCTCCCACAACAGCCGGTGAGATGGTGATGATGGCCGATCCACCAACTCCGGCTAGGAAACGCATGATGATGAGACTCGGCATGTTGGGCGCGAAGCTGCACCCGAGGAGCCAGGCCACGAACATCCAAGAAGATATCATGACCACCGGATATCGGCCGTAAATTTCGGATAGAGGGGCCAGGAATAGGGGGCCTATTGCATATCCGAGAACGTAGATGGTGATCATAAGAGACCCGAGCACACGAGATGGCTCATGCAAGTCCTCCATCGTGCTCTCGATGGATGGAGCACACAGGGACGAGGCCATGGGACTGCAGGTTCAGGTAAGCAAGCTGTTTGGCCATTGCCGGTATAGGCTCATTCTGTGTCGAGAAGCACACCTGATGGTTGCCAGGACAGCCATCTGAAACATCAAGAAGGCCCTCTTCTTTCGTTTCCAATTCCTAGAACCCTAGTCAACAAGTGATTCAACAGCGGTCGAATGTATACGCTCACTTGGGATTAGCAGGGTCAGCGACCGAATCCCAGCCAACGACGCCTCTGTCCAACTCCATCAGCGGTACTAGGTTGGGGCCTAAAGGTGTCCCTGCCACGGGGACCTCGACCTCCTTGTCCGGCAATTCGACATTGCCATCCGGCGCAACCACCCTGAGGGCATGATCGTGGCCTTCAATTTGAGAAAACTCGGTATCGCCTTCTGCCTTGGGCATCGTGGATGGTGTAAGGATACAGAAATCTAGAGACGCCTCTGCGTCTTGAAAGAAAAGCCATTTTCACAACCAGGCACGCAATTTGTGCATTGACCTTAGGGTAAAGGCTATCTAGAAGAAGCAGAGTCAGTCAGTCTCTTCCCCATCCGCAGTCCTCGGTACATGCTGATAGTCTTGATTGGTCGACGCCTGGGAGTCTCCAAACTGAACCTCGGCTATGGTGCCAATGCTCCAGCTGTGGAGTGTATAGATGTTTTCAATACGAGAGGAGAGGGGGGTTTAATTAGTTGCCCACGGTCAAGCTTTTTGATTAGTAGTTCGGAGCAGTTCATGCCAAACAATCCGGCCTGAGATAAGAATCGGACGGCGACTGACATTTGCGCTGGAGTTGCAAGGCGACTCGTCGACCAGGCAAGACAAGGCTCGAGCCGAAACGTCTTGAACGTCGAGACACTATCGTTAGCCGCCTGACTTGCCAAATACGTACCTCATACCTCCTCGTACTGGGTAATATGTTCCGAACAATAACCGCCTAACCACCTAACCGCCTCGCCGCCCTGTCCTGCCCTGCTCCCTGCAAACCTGCGAGCCTAGCCTCTCTGCTGGCCCCCTTGATGGCTCGATGGCCCGCCCAATCCTCACAAATCGTGCGCTGTACTATGTCGTTAGCTATCATGCACAGACCGCGCATCAGGCAGAAAAGGCGTCCTTTGTACGACCTGAGGAAGTATGGGCGTTCCGCTGCCCATCGAAGCTCGCCGCGGCCTTCACTCAGCCCATTGATCAAGGTATCAGATACATGCAACTGACGATGCTAACTGGTAGACTGCAGCAATGCCGGAACCATTGGCAATCGTGACCGCTGTCGCGACTTTGGTGACAAACGCCTACAAGCTTTGCGGCGGACTTTACCAGACGATCGACGAGATTAACCAGGCTCCCAAACACCTCCTCTTCCTCTCTCAAGATCTCAGAGCCTTCTACACTGTCCTTGGAACGCTCGAGACCCACCTACAGGAACATGACTTCTGCCCCAATGTTCTCCATCCAGCTGCGCTTGCCGACCCGAATGGACTCTTGGAGGATTGTGTGAAAGTTTTGAAAGCTCTGCAGAGAATTGTTAAGAAATTCATTAAACATGATCGAGCGCCGAAGTTAGAGCCGCAACATTCCACGCCGTCTGGAAGTAAACTGCTCAAGCAGGCCAACTCTGCTGAGCCTGATGCCGCCACAAGACAATGGGGATATGATCTCGGCACTTGGGACAAGGTCAAACTCGTCTTCCTTGAAGACGAGGTAGCCAGGCTACGTGCCCACCTGTCTAACTACAAGATGACACTCAATATCGCCATAGTATCAATAGCCACAGCGAGGTGATCAGTGCCGACACCAATGCCACAAAAGCCATCGTCAATCGGATTGAACAAGAAGTGCTTGAGACGAAGAAGCAGGTTGAGCGTTTGTTGATCGCCTTGGAAAGGGCAGAAAACCGCCACATCGAGCGTGGAGTGATCCTGAAAAACTACCATTCAACACTCCGACGTTTGGCACCTTCTGCCGACTCGATTACAAGTGCAACATCTTTCGCAAACCCCCCAACTCCTAGTGCAATCCTCACTCTTCCGCTATCCGTGCTGTCTGTTTCTGGTCGGCTGAGCTCTGCACCTCCCGAGCCCTCCCGAGCCGCACCTGAAAGCTTCTCGAGCTCTTCAACCGACCATACTGCAGTAGTTAGGTTGTTAATAGAATCTAGCAAACCATCTATCCAGTCCGCAGAAGTTGGTGGAGCTCTTCATAGGGACGGAAAGGCTGACAAAGTCTTTGTTCGCTCCGAGTACGAATCTTTCCAGGTCTTTGTCAACGGCATTGATAAGTCATCCGTCGCCATGTGGGTGGACTCGCAAACCATGGTTGATGCTCTGAAGAGTCGTCTTCAAGACCGGACTGGGGTGCCTGCAGACCGGATCTACGTTACCTTTCGCGGGAAGTTGATGTGGGACGGGGATCAGCTTGGGAAATACGGGGTCAATCATCTTTCGACACTACACGCCCCCTTACGAGCAGTAGCAAGAGGTGCAGAATTCCCGATTTGGGAAGCCGAAGCAGCCGGAGCGGATGGCCGCCTGCTCACCCGGTCAGTAGATGGTCTCGCCCCTTCCTCGGCGTCCACAGGAGAGCATTCTCTCGGCTGGTACCGGAGACGTGAGTATGCATGGCGGCGCGTGTTCTCTCTGCGCCTGCCCACCGTCTTCCACACGGATTCAAGGGAGAGGAGTGTTTTCACCGTAGACTTCTTTGTGCGCCGCCGCTTGAGTGGAGAAGTGAACCGAGGAAAGAGGTCTGACAGACAGGTATGTTAAATTCCATGAAATCTATTATTGATTGAGAGAATAAGCGGTTGGATCCTGAAATTTTGTGATTGTGACAAAATATTAATAAGTAGCCAGGCCACTACAGAAAGTACTACATATCCTAGCGCCTTAGGTCGCCTGGAAAAGTATCGTCACTTTGGAATATAATGCGGAATTCGATGGGTCGAAAAGTTTCATGAACTGATTTTTTATTAATAACAACTCTGCCAATAGAGGTAACGTAGCTGTGTTTTCACCGCCGTGGGAGTTTAGAAAATGACGCATCCCAAAATATCTGTTCCCCCTACATTCTCGTTGCCTGATCGTCAAAGGACTTTGTGCTCGAAGTCGAATTGCCCAACCGTGCCAGGTCCATGGCATGTTTGAAGCCAAAGCAACTATAGAGTCTGCGTACTCCGTCTACCTACCTGCAGGAAAAGGACATCTAGGCCATCAAAAGAGATATACTGACGATTGACTTGTAGGAGGAATGCCAGACCCGCCGAGTTCGCGGCTAGCCTTGTCGCCATCTTGTGCTAGTCCCGATCAGGCAGTAAGTTTTTCAGCAATAGAGGGGCTCGCTTAGCCAGCGAGCCTCGCCAGCAAGTGTTGACGCAGCCACATCCATTTCAACGGTCCCAGACCCCGTAACGGACACGGAGCATGGTAGTGGCCCGTTGGCTCGGACGGACTGTCCCTCTGGAGTAAATGGTCGATGGAGCCTGACCCTGAACGCCACCCGAATGCATCGCCATTTGCTGGTGGTGTTCCCAGGGACGGGTCGGCTTTATTGATACCGGCCTCGTACTCGGTATGGTGTGAGCAGGCATATTCGCGCCACACTATTCTTGCCAAGGGACGTTCGGGTGGTCTTTGAGGGCACAAGAACTGAAGCGGCCCTAGTGATTCGTGTACATATTATAAACTAACAATCCCCCCTGTCCAAACACCATTTTCAGCCTAATCACTTACCACAGCCTGTAGATGCTTTATAGGTAATACACCGCGCCGATCACGACATCATGTGCAGAATCATAACAACAGCGTCATAAAATATTGCAAACCCTCAGAAACCTGCAGTTTTGAAGCATGGATTCTCTTGGCTCACCGTCGATATGCGCCCAAGCCATGCGACTCGAGCTTCCCTCTCATCATATTGATAACGTCAAGTCATCGAAGGGGTATGCGACCCCGGATTTCGATCAAGCTTGGGCGGCCGAGGGGTCTGAATGGGACGAAGTGAGTTTATTCTTCGCGTCCTTCCGTACAGGATATTCTAACCCTTCTTTTTTTCTCGAAGTCGCCTACGAGAACATCGCTTTCCTCCGACACAAGCCCTATCGCAGCCTTGACATCGGGAGAGTCCGCTCCCCAAGGCGGAAGCCCTCCGATATTGGCAGCAAGGCGAAGTCGTACGCTGAGTGGTGTACATGTTATTGTGGACCAGTATGGCAGGGAATGCGAAGTGGTTCAAACTCGAGGCGAGGTCGGTGTAACCAAAGGGATGGGGGCGAGGTGTACCAGCTGACATAGTCACCAAGCGACGACGCGCTCAGAATAGAAAAGCCCAGCGAGCATATCGAGCACGCAAAGAAGCCCAGCTGAAGTCTGCATCATCGACCTTGGCCGAGCATCAGTCGCAGCTGCGGACTCTGAACCGTCACAACCGCGAGCTTCTCGACACAATCAAACGACTCAAGGCCATAATTCTCCAGCTGGAGGCAGAGAATCAGCTCCTCAAGGAGGTGCAAAGCACAAATGTAAACGACATGGATGAGCCGGGCGGCTGGATGCTTGAAAGTCCAAATTTCACTTCGCCCCTACCCTCAGAACTGTATTGGAATGCACGAGAAAGATCGAATACACCATGATCATAGGGACCGCCACTAAAACAGATCGTCCAATGCTGCCTTATCCTCGCAGATGGTTGAGTGCAACTTCGCTCCGGCGCATGGCCCTCGAGTGGTGGATTCGTGCACAGGGTGACTCTGAACGCTTTGGGGCTAGGCTTCTCGAATCGACAAAGAGTCATTCAATCGGTAGGACGCATCTTCCGATATCTTGACGACTATTCTTGGTCAGCACTCGGAATTGCGCACAAACCTTCGATTGTGTGTAATTCGATTGTATTCTAGAGTTCGAGAATTTCAGATATGGATTAGGCGAGGCAGAGTCATCCAGACGGGATTCCAGAATTTGAGTAACCAGCGTTTCATAAGCAAGATATATCCACTCGGGTGGTATCAATGTAGTCTGTATGGCGACTATAGCTTCGCTTATCTCCAGTAACGCGGCTCCGTCGTAGTGATACCAGGGAGGAAAAATCCACGTACTACTGTTGTGGCAATTTTTGAGTCGGAGTCTTGCTGCCTTGGGCAGGCAATTTTGCACTTCCTCGACCAAAACTTCGGGGCTGGTGTCCCTCAACGAATCTAGGAAAGGGTCTGTGCTTACAAAAGCAGTCTTCAGCCAGCTAACCTTGTGCTTGCCCGTCGAAAGCGAGGAAGTCTGCAGAAGCCAGGCTCAACCCGAGCACGATTGTGGGGTTTTTGTTCCCCAAATGCTTCAAGTCGGCGACGCTAATTGATAGTGCCGGTTCCTCATTAGGAAGCCTGAGGAGGGGTCTGATTGGCCGAGCAAAATGGAGACAATCAAGCTCCGTTGACTTCGCAGAGTGCGAGTGCTTATTAACACTGGTCGTGAAGCGAGCAACCAAGCACGCAGGCAGCGGCTATCTAGCATTGTAACGTTGATAGTGTGATGTGAATTGCCGAGCCTGTTTGCTGAGCAGGGCCATGTGTGCATGTTTATTGGCTGATTGTTGTGACCACTGCCTCTCGTCGGCACGTCTAAACCTCGAAAATGGGTGGTGTATGGGACAAGGGCAGAAGTTCTGTCCAAGAGGCTTGAGCAATCTGTAAGACTCTTCGAAGAATAACGTGAAGGGGGGAGGGGGATTAGAGAGTTCAATGACTTTTGTCGTTGTCCAAAGACAGCTCTTTGTGGCTTGCACAAATTACTTAAGCCTGCACTTTCTGCAGCCCCTGGTGGATGATCATCCGAATCAACGCTTGTTGTCTCCTTATTTGTAAGTTTCGATTTTCTGTACAACCTGGTCCGCATTTTAGACTGGTCCTCTATCATGCGCTGCAACGCTACCGATGTAATGTGGTTAGGGAGAAGAAAAGAATGGTATCATTTCCGGTGAGTTCGAAGATGGAAGTAAATTTTCTCAAATGGCGTACCCTGGTCGATTCGTTCGTCCATGTCTTTCTGAAGAGACTGGTTCAACAACCCCATGCATTGAAGCATTTGACGGCTTCGAGGGTTATAAACATCCTTGGCACAGCCCAAGATAATTTTTTAGATGGAGTCTCGACTCCTGTAAAATCCGCGTCTTCATTAGCCAAGTACTTGTGGGTCCAGGATGCTCTCGAACGAATAACTCGGACCCGTTGCGCTGGTCGTCGAAAGAATTGAGGCGTGAGTAACGGCTGGCCATAGAGGGAGGAGGTGCGCGGAGGCGGCACCCGTATCTGACAGATTGCCTTGTGGTTTCCAAGTGCGGCTGGGGTACTTTCGCTGTGCGGTCATGCTATCAAGTGTCTCTGTATTGAGTATCTCGGGTCCACTAAGCGCAGCTACGAGTGTCGATCAGAATGTTAGCTCAAGGCATAGAGGAAAGCAAAGATATTGATGGAAACGTACCGGATCAGAGATCCAAAGGCTACAGCGTAGTTGGAAAATGACGAGCTGTAGTGTCATTTAAGCTGAATGTCGTCATGAGAGACTGACACCTGGGTTCCCTTTCTTCAACACCCAACCACTTCTGAGCGTTGCGTTAACGATGATTTGTACTCTTCACCACAACCATGCCCAAGACAACAATCGAAAGTCTAGCGTCGCCAAGTCTCCCACTAGAAGCGCCGGCATTAGATGATCCACAACTGCGATATTCGTACGAAGTTGCACGAGGAGAGAAGGGTGTCCTGTCTTTTGAACCATACAAGAGCCTCATCTTGCCCTATTGGGCTTTTCGCACTGTGCCGCTTGCACAGAAATCAGCAGAGCTCTTGTGGTCCATCTTTGGATCGTATGTGGAACGTGGGGATTTGGTTGGGGCGGACATGACTCGCAAATTCATCCAAATGGGTATGACCCGCGCCCGTCGATATGCCAACCACAAAGGAGGCCGGAAATATGGTGCCGGTGGGAAGCAGTTGGGAAAATGGACCGGAGAGGACGCGGGTGGGAAGAGGAAGGAGAAAGCAGAGGCTAGCGAGATTTTCAAGGGTTATTGGAGACGGTGTATCGCGTCGGAGGAATACATTCGCCTGAAGGAGGAGTGGTCGAGAGCCAAGCAGCAGTATCTGAAGGTTCATCGTGGCTAGGACATTGAGGCTTGCGGCGTCGTAGAAGTGTCTCGATTATCCTTCTCTTTTTCATCCTCAGCATCATTCTGCTGGGTGTCTTTCGTGGGATGGACATGAATCGCCTCCGCAAAGGAGATCCATTCTGCAATCCCCTTCACAAAGATGTCTTCGTTAGTGGGCACCGTGTCATGACCCCAGACTATAACTTCTTCAAAGGTTGACGACTCCTCAAGTACCTTGACGGGATCAAGAGGCTCTTCGTCTTCTTCATCGGCGATCTCAATGTCCTCGTCCACCACGGTATACGTGGGGCCGGTCTGTGATTTGCAAGGCTGTGGGAGATATCGATCGGTGGTCTTTGCAATAGCACCTGCGAGTCTATTAACCACAGCGTCCTTGAGAATCTTGCATGGGGATAGTACCTCGATATCCAGCGGGTAATTTTATGACTTTGCCCCGTAGCCTGCGGCCTCGAAAGTAGGAGGTTGCCGTGCCATCTTGCAGTATCAAAGTTAGTATACGCTCAAAATGTATAGGCAGAGACACTGAAAAAAACACCTTTGTCGAACTGAGGCGACCAATATCTCTTCGTCACTTTGGTTGGCCCATTATGATGGATGCGGCAAGGGAGGATGTTGACGGTGCATTTATCTCCAGGATTTCCGGTCCGTTGCAAGGCGAGCATTTCCAATGATTCAATGATACTTTCAGAGACGGCAGAGTACGCAGTGTTATCGGTTGTCGTAGGGAGAGTTGGATTGGAAGGCTTAGATTTGAGTCTGAGGCGCGTCTTAATCGTTTGAACGACGCGTCAAAAATTCCAATTATGTAACCCGGACAAACTTCGGAGCGACCTTGAACTACCTAGTGATATGGCTGGACTTGGGTGGGAGCAGGTTCAAAAGGAAATGAGGCTTCTGGATAATTAAGGCATCAGTTTGTGGTCTAACACAGATTGCGCAACGTGTCAATTGCGATGTGCTTGTATCATTGACTATACCACGAAAGTCATGTGTTTACCCAGTTCGCAAAGCTTTATGCTAGCCCGATAGCCATAAATCATCATTGATCCTCTTACGGTGCATGAATGCCCTTGTAAACGTCCCATTGAATATCAGTCGCTCATTGTGGTGTCAGGGACGAATATTCACGGCTTTCTTTCAAGAAATTACCTACTCCTGCCCAATTTGGAAGCCAGTCCTTCAACTGGGAGACGGATCGCGAGGTGAAGTCTTGGAAGAAGCAGACATGAGGACGTCAGACAAGGTGATTTGAACGCACAATCAAAGCTACAGACCACATCTCGGATAGTGAAACTTGCTGGGGCAGCTTTGCCCCATGACCGGTTTAGGAGACCGCCTATCGTGTCACCTTCCGAGCTTTGAGCCGTTAGCAATCCCAAGATACGGGCAGGTGTATTCGTGGTACGCCACGCTGCCAGCTATGGGCATGTGAGATTCTCGAGAATTAATTCGTTTACTGTAATGCTAGATTTAACACCAGGATATTGGCCGATACGATCATGATGGCAGCGTGGAGAAACCATAAATTCGATGGAGGACATACCAATGTGATATTTCATCTCCTAGCGGTAAGTGCCCATTGTCTGTTTCAAATCAGTTGCTGCTCTGGTCAATGCTTTCTTTTCTTCTTTTTTTTCTTATGTTTACGAGGTTTCGTCTGGTCTTCCGCATCCTGGTTTCTTTCGGGAGGAGGTTGTGCCGGCCATCGCTTGGAATGTTCTCGTTCAAAAGCGGCTTTGTCTTTTCTGAACAGTAGCATGCAAGCCTGGGCATCTTCGACACTGGAATGTTCACTCTGCTGTATCTCAAAACCTAGCAATTCAGAAGCAAGGATTTTCAGTCGCGGTGATCCACCTCCTGCTATTTTTCGATAGGATGGATGGCGAGCTGTATCCCGGACATCTCGTTGAGGATGGCTGATCATCAATGCTTCTAGATCATGCCGTATGGCGTGGCCAACTATAACCCTGTCCTTTAGGATCTTTGCCACTTCCACTTGAACCTCCTTGAATCGTCTGGCAGTCTTCATGTGATTGTGTGAGATTCCACTAATATGCGTTCGGTAGTCCGTAACGGTCTCAAGTGGAAGAACGTAGGAATCGTAGATTTGGTCGCCATTGTAATTGACGATGCTGACACGGGCGAGTGCGGATTCTCTCTCTGGGTTCGGGCCAACCCCGACCATCTCGCAATCCAGGGCAACGTACCTGCCAATTTCTACCCTAAGGAGGGTGTCAGGATAGGCCACTGAGAGGGGAATAGTAAACATACTCGGGAGACAGCCCCGCGTTTACCTTCTGCGATGGCTCACGAGGAGGTGGCCGTGGACGAGGAAGGTTGTCGCGATTCTCTAGTTCTTGGATCGACGATGGTCTCGTAGAATGGTCGCCATCGAGAGCCATGGCCCTGTGGATGTGTGGTCTCTTCCTAGTTTTCGGGGGCTCCGCGGGGGATTTACTGGCGATATTCTGGACGTCCTCCCGTTTGCGTTTCACGCCATGCTTGAACGAGGACTTTGTGGAGAAGCTGCCTGTCCTGTTGTTGAGCGTCGCTTGCAGTTTCTTCCAGTTTGCTGACAGGTTGTTGAGGTCCATCGCAGACCATCAGAGCGGCTTAGAGGGAGACATGGTTGGCAGGGAGAGCGAGATGGAAGGAAGAACTCCGTACCGAGTACGAGGTAGTGAAAAGAGAATGCGGAGAATCTCTTACGAAATGTCACCCACATAATGGAACATCGTTGTTCCGTTCCGATACCCACCTTGTCTTGCGGTTGCACAATCCAATCTCATACAGCTTTCCACCATTCATTTCGTAGCCAAATGCCCCAGAGATTCCTCAGGATAACTTCGTGGAAATTTGCGTTTGACTGGCGACTGGCGTTGACGTGTTTCAATGTGGTTTCATTCGCTCCTCATTGTGCTCTAAGATTTGAAAGACATCATCATTTTGCTCTTCCCTAAAGCAACTGCCCTGCCCGAGAGATTTTGAACTCGCGTGCACCTCACAAACTCCTTGATTTGGGACCTTAGGTTCGCAATTGAATAACAAGATGTCATATGGAACAGATCTGCGAAATCTCTCAATCCTTGCGTCAGCTGGAAAAGCTGCTAGTGCTGGAGAGATACCTCAGAAAGCACACTACTCCCCACCATGGGCCGACATGAGCATTATTGGAATAGCTGGATCTTCCGGTTCGGGCAAAACAAGTTTGGCCGTGGAAATCGTGCAATCTCTGAATCTCCCTTGGGTCATCATCTTGTCTATCGATTCATTCTACAAGTCGTTAACTCCGGGACAAAATGCGATGGCGCATCGCAATGAGTACGACCTGGACTCGCCTGAATCCATCGATTTTGATCTCCTCGTGGAGAAACTGATAGACCTGAAACAAGGGAAAAGAACAGACATACCAATCTACTCGTTTCAACAACATCAGAGGTTAGACAAGACCGTTTCGATATATTCACCGCACGTTGTGCTTCTCGAGGGCATCCTAGCTTTACACGATCCCCGCGTACTCGACTTATTGGACATGAAGATCTTCGTCGAAGCCGACCCAGATGTGTGTCTGTCGAGGCGGATCGTCCGTGATGTCAGAGAGCGCGGTCGAACCATTGAAGGGGTCATCAAGCAGTGGTTTAGATACGTCAAGCCCGTCTTCCAGAAATACGTCGATCCACAAAGAGAGATTGCCGACGTCATAGTACCCCGAGGTATGCAGAACAAAATGGCCATTCAGATGATTGTCAACCAGACCAGACAGATCTTGAAGGAGAAGTCCATCAGGCATAACGCAGAGTTAGAGAAACTGGGCCAGCACAGTGAAGATTACACCTTCTCCGAAAACGTCATGGTCCTCGGCGAAACACCACAAGTCGTCGGAGTATCAACAATTCTGCGAAACCCAATAACTGACCAGGTCGATTTCGTCTTCTACTTTGACAGGCTGACAGCGCTCTTGATCGAGAAAGCTCTCGATTGCCACCACTATGTCGCGATGAACATAATAACTGCAACAGGCTGTAAATATTCTGGACTCAAATCGGCTGGCATAGTCTCTGCTGTGGTCATTCTTCGAGGCGGAAGCTGTATGGAGACCGGCCTCAAGCGAACGATTCCAGATTGTCTCACGGGCCGACTACTTATCCAATCCAACATGCGCACCGGTGAACCAGAACTGCACTACCTCAAGCTCTTTCCTGATCTTGCTGAGCATGAAACAATTATGCTTCTTGATCCGCAGATGTCCAGCGGTGGAGCTGCTCTGATGGCTGTCAAGGTTTTGGTTGATCACGGCGCAGCCGAGGAAAAGATCGTTTTCGTCACATGCCTGGCTGGGCGACGGGGTCTGAAAAGGTTGATGACGGTTTTCCCCAAGATCAAGGTGGTGGTTGCCAGAATTGTCGAGGACAATGAGAAGAGGTGGATGGAAGAGAGATATTTTGGCTGTTAGCTGGCTCTGACGCACCAAATGGTGGCCAAGGCTGGCGTCTTTGAAGCAGGAATCGCTGCTGATTCGCCGAGCCGGTCAAGATCCATGGATCCGGAGACTGCTGAGGCCACAAGTGCGAACAAATCCGACAGTACATGCATACATACGAGGCGGCACCGTCAAAACCTGTGGATTCCATGAACTCAGAAGGTCGGTTAACTCTGGTTGGAGTGGAGCACGAATCTCGACATCAGAAGGTTCTCTAGATGAAGAGGACCTTCAAAAGCATATAAACCCTCCCGGTTCTGCTTTCAAAAATTTTCTTCAGCACCGCAAATATTCTCTCAACAGCTCTAATATTGCACACCTACACTGTTATTATCTCAGAAAAGACCCTTTCGCAAGTTCCAGCAGTCGAAACGGGGCTGCTCCAACATCCCGGCATTTCAAAGTTCATATTCTTCAGATCAAAAGCTCTTCGATTCCTGAGACGTCATCACTCCTACAACTGAGAGCGACTGTCTTCACTATGGTTGCATTCAACAAACTTGCTGCGGTTTCAGCGCTAATTGTCTCGCTCGCCGCAGCCGCTCCCGTGAGAAATCCAAGCCACCTCGATCAAAGGATCAAGTGCCTGGCTCTGGGCTGTACACGCCCGGCACTAGCACCGCCTTCACCCGCCGTTGTAAACATGGCGGGAAGTGATGCGTCGGCTGAGAGGAGCGAGAACGTTAAGGATTTCGCAGAGACTGAGAGTTCCGATATTGCTATCCATGATGATACCTTGGCTCACGGGGACGAGCCCGAAACGATCATCCCTGATGGATTGAGGATCCTTGTCAAGGATGACATTATCAAGAAGCTGTTGGAGGAGCACGTGGGAGATGAGAGAAAGGATGTTGGTCATGGCGAGCGCGAAATGCGGGAGCAGCTTGAACAGCCTGGTGTGGTAGAGGAACATGATGACACCACCCTTATGCCTAACTCCCATCTTTCCACCACCGGCTCCGACGAGATCCCCGAATCAGCCCAGCCTGACGAGACCGCGCGCAATCCGCCCCTCAAGGCAGAGGAGAGACTGGCTTATAGTCTGAAATCCGATTTGACAGAGTTGGGCCACGGGAAGGATTAGCCTGCCTTGCGATAGCGGACGATGTTCCTTTGATGGTTCCCAAAGCCCAGGGTCCTCGACGAGTTGCACAGGAGAGGAGAAGGAGGATTGGTTAGAGGAATAGAATTGGAAGGAAAGATGTGGTGGCGAAGGAGGAGCCAAAGAATGTCTGTTTTTTTTTTTAAATATGAGACTTGCGAGAGCAATCGTTCGATAGCTAGGGCCGGACGGGGTGACTAGACAGTATTGTTTAGAAGGGCTTGGACACACCGTTCGGTGATGGAGGATGGAAGATGAAGGATGGAGGTTAGAGATAGAGCAGCGTGGAGCTTTCATATACCCGGTACCTAGCTAGGATGTATGAATGATATATCCCGGATATGAAAGATGAACTTATTACTGCGTGCTGTGCCCAGTACGTTAGAATACCTAGCGAGGCTAGATCGAGTCCTCCTGCACCAGCAGGCGCCAAACTCTACCGTACAAATCGAGACTGCGGAGTATTGCGGCCGTATAGTGCAGTATCAAAGGAACGCGACATCCGTTGCGTTGCCTGCAGCCCGACCTTTCAATGAGATTTAAATGATTCTACCTACAAGCCACAAGCGTACAAGTATCTTCCTCCTCCCCCCTTCCCACCTCTAAACAACATTCACAGGGATTCTTTTTTGGTTCCTAGACGAATCTGAGTTTTCCTTGACTATCAAGGCTTCAGTGTGTCCCGACTTTGGAGAACTTGACCTCATTCGAGCCTTCAACCATTTTATCCCATCTTCCACATTCCATTCTCACGCTGCCCGTCATGGTGAGTTGTGCCCCTAGAAGAGGAAACACCTACCCCAGCTCTAAGAGACCATTTTCGAGGGAGAAAGGTCCTGGAATCACATTAGAAAGTAATATATACTAACGATACCACGATCGGTCTGTCTCCAGTCTCTCCGCGTCGCCCCTCCAGCAACGCATCCAACCAGCACATCGAACACGACAGCCTCGAAGCTCTCGTCCAGCACCAAGTCCAAAGACCACCTCGACCGCGGCGCGCCCTCGGCCCCAGGCCTGCACGACACGCTCCGTGCCTCGCTGTACCCTCCCCCCCAATCTTCCCCAACCACACAAACACTCGCATCAACGCACCCTCTGGAATCCCGCCTGGCGAACTGGCAAGCGACACAAGAGGCGACGCGGCTACAGCTCCTGCGCCGCAACTTTGGTATTGCAGAGCCGCTCCGCCGCGGCATGGAGCTCAAGCTGGTGCGGGAGGCGGACTCGTTTCGGCCCTCCGTGCTCGGCAGGCCGGCGGGCGTGCACGAGGAGATATTGACGGGGCGGGACACGGAGATTAGCTGGGAGGACGTCTACGCCGGACAGGACGGGGTGAGATTAGCCGGACAGGGCGGCGACGGACATGGGGTCGGGTGGATGGAGGAGATGGAACGAAAGGTCGGGATGGGCAAGTGGTGAGTGAGGGGCTGCGGCTGGTGGGTGGATTGGCTGGTTGGCTGCCCCGTGTAAGCCAGCACTGCTACAGATCGACGAGAAGGAGAGGGAGAAGGACAAGAACAAGAAGAATGGGAACGGCACGCTCAGAGCCTTCCCCTTCAGCGGTGGTGATCTGAATTACGTGGCAAAGGGGGAGAACGCGCTCCATATTGTACCCTGAACACTGGACCGGCCTGGCCTGGCAGAACATGCATACCCTTTTCATTCTCGCGCGGAACCCGCTCGGTGTACGGGAGTACGGTGTACTAGGATGGGGGATACCAAAAGAAAAGAAGAAAAATAAAGCGAGGGCGGGCGTGGAGGCTGCTCAAACTGATCTCAATCGATCATACAGATCGCATCCATCCGTTTATCTATCCATCCTGCGACAGATGGAAGCGCTCTGAGGAAACCCAACAGGAAAGGCATCGTGTATCAATGTCAACGGCATTGATATTGACTTCGACGATGATGAAAGAGACGCAAAAAGATGTGTATTCCTCGTGCCCCGCGCAATATGTACTCCGTTGCAATGCTGCAAGATCCTGCCTGCTCTGGCCCCTGGACGAGAGCTTCATCCACCAAATCCTGGCTGCTGCACATATGACGCATGACGTCCATGGCCCGACAGCCGTTCACGTCCTTCTATATACAGCAAAGTCTCGAATTCCGTGCTGCAATGTAACTCTTCTCAGATGCTTTCGGTCGCTGCGTTGGAAAGGAGAACTTTGATCTTCTGCCCCAGTTTCTCACCGGCTCCTTCGTCTTTTGCTCCTGCTTCTTTGATCCGCGTGGCATTGAGAAACCCCGAGAATGACCAGCTGCGAGAGGTGCAGATAGAATGGTGGGAATATAATGGAGATCCGCCTCTCCACCCTTTCGCAGACCCGGTCCAACTAAAAACATACCAAAATCCCGTCTGTTCCACCAACGCCATGCCATGAATTCAAGACAAAAATGGATTCTTCCACAAGAAACTCGGGATGGAGCTGAAGGAACTACCCTCGCTGGTCCAAATAAAAGAGACCAAAATCTCTTTCCGCCGCACAGTGACCTTCGTTCAGGCTCTCCTTTCCTATTCACTCGTACTTGACCAATTCATATCTTATAACATGGCCTCTTCGGATCGCATTTAAGCAATAGCATCTGTGATTAAGTGAGGCGGAGACATCACATGATGATGCAACGACAGCCGGGGCTTCTGCCCTCACCCTCGCGGTGTGCTGAGTATGTGGATTTGCCGCCCTTGGCGTCGTCTTCTTCAACATAGTCTTGCGGTTTGATTGTCATGTGCAGCACATTCGGTGCGTCGACGGAGAACTTGTAATCTGGTGTGTGCGCCAAAGGGTAGCAAGAAGTTAGATCTGAAGTGAACAAGCAACGAACCACTTCACGAGGTTGTTCGTCTTCTCCTACTCTCGAGACGTATTTGCTCACCTTTTAGGGATGCTTTATCATCCAATAGCTTGCCCATACTTATCAGCCGGATGGAAGTCGGACTGGACGGTTTTGTCTCCCACTCTTCCCGCCATTCGCGCAAAATCAACTCCTTCAGCTTGTAGACGCTTAGGTTAAACGGATCATTTTCCGGAACCTCGACGTTGCGCTTGGCGAAGTATTTGTTGTCCAGCTTGAAGGGATGCCGTGCTCCTGAGGTGAGGAGCAGGGTCACCGTCAAGGCTGGGCCTACAGCAGTTGGTGCTGGTGCTTCGTCTTTGGCGGGGACGGTTGGTGACGTCTCGTCTGAGGAAGGGCCAATCGCGGTAGAAAACTGCCTTGACACTTTCTGCTGGGGTTCGGCGACTGCAGCAGACGGTGGAGGTGGATTCATAGCCTGAACCATTGCGGTGTTCGTGTCGGTTCTTTGCGGACCGAGCGATTGTGGCAGTTGAGGCTCATGCGCAGGCGAGGACGTGGTTGTTTCTGGAGGAGACGAAGAGGACGGTGGTGCATCAGGGGAGGCAGAAGGGTCGGGAGAAAGGTTCGACATCTCGACGGGTGCAGTGGAGGAGAGGTGGTGTTGTTGCGCACGAGATTGCAGTTGCAACCGAGGACTATCTTGGGCTACTAGCGAGCTAGTGACCTCGATGGGAGCGCTTGAGTCGTCGACAGCGCTGTTGTTGGAAGTGGGACTCATCGCCTCATGTGAGGCGCACACAAACCCGTTACAGATATATGCACAGACGAGGGAGAAGACAAAATCGGTGGTGGCAGAGAGCAGAGAGCAGAGAGCAGAGAGCAGTCAATGCATCCAAGTCCAGCGAGTGACTAGAATGGGAAAACCATGCCAAGTTTCTGGAGCGAAACAGTCAAGGAGGAAATGATGGTGATGATGCGAGCTGAGAGAGACTCCGAGCTGAGCCCGTGCGCCTCTGGTAATAAAGTGTGCAGCAGTGGGTGTCGCAAGAGTAACTCGAGGAGGCGACGCCGAACACGAAGAGACCAGACCACGCAGCCAGCCCTTCCTCCCTTCTGGAACGGACGGGTCCCGGAGAATTTTGAAACTGAGCCACAATGAGCTTGGATCAATCCATGGCTCATGCACTCGGGCAACAGATCTGGGGGGAAGAATAGTAAGTCTTAATATGCTCGTTGGTGCCGTTGCTTGTCTGGTCACGGGCAAAGAACGAGAGAAAACGGAGGACGGATTCCAAATGGCAAATGGCGCAGGTAAGGATGGTGGGATTTCCCGGGGGGGGGGTACCGCCTGCCTGGTGGCCCATATCCCTGGCGCACCCGCCCCTATTGCATGCCTATTGGAGGGATCTCTAGGTGCTAAGTCGGGGCTTCTAGATAGAACTGCGAGGGCCGCTGGGGCTGCCTCCTGCAGTTAGTAAGTTAGTTAATCCTCAGGGTTCTTGGGGCTCCTCTGGTGCCTGATGAGAAACTTTTGGCCTGAACTCTCCAACCGGGCGACTAGTCAGCCATGATTACGAGAACACTCTCCTCCACCTCTCTGCATGCCCATCAGACCACCCGCTCCATTCTCTTTTATCTTTGGTTCCTGTCCCTCGTTCTTGTTCCTGTTCCTATTTCCTGGCGAGCTGGTACCTTGCAATGAGGATGACGACATCACTATGGGGGAGTAGTTCACAACCACATCTCATACTGGCTCACGTCCTCCATCCGGATGCCCTCATTGTCCTGCTTTACCCCCAACAATCTGACATGCCCAATTGTCGCACCGCTCGCATCTTGACTCTTCCATCCTTCCAGTCGGGCCTGTAGTCCCTTGACGGATTCGCCATCATTCTTCACCAGTAGAGACACGGCATCGTACCCTCCCGCCCCCGGCGCAACTCCTCCCACCACGCCAGGCAAGCTCGTGCAGAAATCCAACAACTCGGTAATCACAGGGGGTTCAATGGGCACCTTGGACTTGACAGACATTTCCCTCACCAGACTTCGAATGGTGAGAATGATATCCCCCAATGCCGTAAAGTCATTCTCGATGCCTTGGACCTCGACCAGCCGTCTCAATTCTCGGCACAGTTCCGCTTGACCTTGTTGTAATGCAGTCCACAGGAACGTCGCCTCCGCATCATTGTCTTTGCGCCACTGCAGTACCTTCTTGACCATCCCTGGTGTCTCCGATCCACAGTCCACGTCGCACATGACCAGCGAAAGACTCTCTGGAATCTGCACTGCCCGGCTCGCAATTTCGACGTCCCATCTTGCGTCTACATCCAGATCGTCCACGCAGCGGTGTAATCGTTCGCCGAAGCCGGCACTCGTAGGCTCGCCCACGTTCTCCAGGATTGAAGGTGTGAATCTTCGATAGAGGCAAGAGCCGTAGACCGCCGCTGCAACATCAAAGCCTGAGCCGACCTTCCCTTGGGCCGCGCAGTGTGCAGCCTGAGCCAAATTGTGGATAGTCCGATGATTTGGCGGTATTTCTTCGGCAGCGGCAGCAGCAGCAGCAGCAGCTTCCCTTTTTGAGTAGAATGCAAGCAGTGCAGACACGAACGCTGTGACCAGCGCAGCCGAGGATCCCAAGCCAGTCTTGTGCGCCTCGCTCAGCTTGACTCCAAAGCTCGTAAACCGCGTTGACTTGGCCGCCAATGGCTCGGGAGACTGAGGTTGTGATTGCGAGTAATAGTCGTCGTCGGCCAATATCGTCACTTTGATCCTCTCCTCGAAGACATGATGCGAACCACCCGACACATGCGACAGATAAGTCAGGGCGTACCTCAACGTCGTCTCGACGAATCTGTTCGCACTCGTGGTGAACGACCCGGCCCCTTTGTGATCTCGAACTTGCTCAACCGTGACCGCACCACTACCAGCAGCAGAGCCGTCGATCCGATATAGCCATCTGGCGTCACGAAACTGGGGCGACTGGACCAGGACGTGCGGCCGGCTGCTCAAACTGTCAGGCAGGAGGTCGCCTCCTCGCCACGGCTGGACAATCACATGGATCCGGGCGTTGAGACCGAACACCAGACCCGTGTGTTGGCGGTCCAGGACCAGGAATCCGCCTGCGAAGAGGACCTTTCCTGGGGCAGAGACGGCCACTACTGCTGGAGGCGACATCGAAGAGAGAAAGAAAAACCCACGGAGAGGAAGTTTGTGAATGAGATGGCGCTTTTTGGTTTTAAAAGGGGGGACAAATTCCATTGCCGAGCCTTCAACAACACACATGGTAGACGGTGAGGTTCGAGCCAATCACTGTGCGCAAAATATCCTACCAATCATTGTCGCTCCATCCTTAAATAGATCTATCAAACTACTCGGCGAGGTCAGTAAACGAAAACAGCCTACACCTAGGTATGTCTACAATCACGCTTGCAATCAGTCCCTGACGAAGAACAACCATCCCCCCCTCCCTCATACGACAGTAATGACCTGTCGCGGAATAGCCCTCAGGATGGCGTCCACTCTGCCAAACCTGGCTTGGAACCCCTCGCGGCTCCAATCCGCAAAGACATGGTCTTCGACAATTTCGCCGTATCCGAGACGTTCATAGGTGCCGGCCTTTCGTTTCGCTCGCAAAGCCAGCACCAAATGCGCATTATTCTTTGGTCCATCGCTGTCACTCTCATCGAGAAGCATTGTCGATATCGCGATCGGCACAAGAACGAACTCCGAATCCCATGAAACATGGTGTTCTCCCGGCAAATCGTAGTCGTAATCTGGATAGAATCGGTTCACATCCATTTTGCCATCCTTCATTTCCGTGCTTCGACTGATAATTGGCCACCGACTCCGAACCCAGGGCTTTTTCCAAGTTGCCTTGAGAAGAGGTGCACGAAGGGTAATTACAACTTCATCCCTGCCAGAGAAGCTGCCCATCTCCGGTGGGCCCTTGGTGTCGCACCGGACATCCAACAGCTCGACCACTCCGAAAACGGAATCTAACCTCAGATCCCAGGCAACCCTGACTTGGACAGATGCCCAGGACCAACTCGGAGCCCTCCATTTTGCTGGTCTTCCGAACTGTGGCCCCGCCGGAGCCCGCCACATCAGATCGAGGAGGAGAGTATTTTTCCAAAGACCTGCGAGAAACATGTCTTGAGGCTTTAGCCTGTGCAATCTTTGAGTCAAAGCCGCCAATGCGGGGAAAATGTCGCTCGGATACGAAATATGCAGACGCGTGTACTCTTCCACCGTTCGATACCACAGTGTTCTCGGGTCTTCCTTCCCGTTCTCGCCCAGCGTCTTCCACGAAGGATCCCAACCGTGCAAATCCGTCAAATTCACGAGTTCATCTGTCGCCTCTTCGTCGCTGACGCCGCTCTCACTTCTCCTCATGCGTCGACAGGACCAAATTACCTCTTGGGAGCAAAAGTGGAGCACACGAGCAGACAAGTGCATCTCTTGATATACCCAGGCGCGGTCCAGCAGTGGGAAATTCTCTAGATCCAGGTAGACTTCGTGAACTGGGTAGCTTGGAGGTTTTAAACGAACGTAGACATTGTCGCTCCCACCAACCAGGCGGGCCAGGTAGCGGGGATCAGCGGTACTATAACAACCTTGGCAGCCTTCCTTGGACTTGGAGGCAGCAATGGTGATCAAAGCGTTTTCGTATATGGAACCGACCTCCGCAGCGTTCAAAGACCAATCGGCATTGCTATCTTGAAGAATGCACAGGGCATCAATCCACAGAAAATCGATGCCTAGCCGGCGACAGATGTCTATGGCGTCTTGAAAAGTTTTGCTGAGCTCTTTCCATGGTACCTCAACCTTGAGCTTTTCGATCGTGGCTCGTTTTGCCTTAAGAATAGTGCTCTCAGGACGTCGAGGAGAAGGGCCCCAACAGTGGCTCAGGCATGCGTAAGGATGTCTCTTTTGTCCAGCGACTTCACGGAGCACGACCTTCCCATTCGCGACCTCCAAGAGGCGCCGAGGCAGCGGCGGCGTATGGCTACCATTGCCAACGTGGGATTTGGGGCAGTTCGGATGATTGCCCAGACAGTCTGTCATCCAAGCCTGGATTGTCTTAAATGTCGCTTCTGAGGACGTCTCTCCAGGAAGCAGATGTCGAGTCTTTTTTGAACCGGGCGGCCTCCGACTCTCTGCTAGATATGCCGCTGTATCAGTCTCTTGTACCGGGCCTCGTATCATCAGTCCAGCCAAGAGCTGTTGAGAACAAATCCCAGCGCAATCGAGGAAGAGTGCTAAATTAGCCTTCGGAACAGGAATAACACTCACAGCCAGGGGAGAAAATGTCAAGCTGGATATTTTCCTCATCTGCTGCGTCTCCATCCCTGTCCAGCGTCAAGTCAAACCAGAAGTCCCACGATCCATCCAAAGAACCGTCACGAGTAAGGAGACTAGGGTCATAGCACGCAATGCACTTGGCCAGAAGAGAGCACCGACAGCAGCCGAGTTCTGCAGCACGTCGGAAGTCACTCACAGCGCAAGACCAGTCCCGGCCACGGCTGGACGAATTTTTGGGCAAGCGGCAACAGAGGCATTGTTCAGAAGAAGGAGCACTAGTATCAGCAAGGCGGACTCTGCAGAACTCGAGGAACGAGCTCAAAGTCATTGGAAGGCCTTGAACTGGATAGAGAGCGGGAGATGGCGACTCGGCGAGTTATGTAGTGAGAGGAAGGTTGTTTCTGATGTGGTGCTGGCTGCGCTAAACCACATGCGGCACCAGCCCAACCGCCATCATGTGACATGCAATGCATAATTTCTTACAACTTGACTTTGTCCAACCTTTCTCTTCATCTTCAACCAATCCCTTCACATCTCGGATCCAAATATCCACAGCCCGCTTCTCTAGCGGATATAGGGGGCCGTGCTGTCCATTGCTCCACGGCTTTTTCATCCAGTCGGACTCCCTGGGTTGCGGATGACGTGGTATGGCCCGTCGAGACTTATGCCCCATGAACGATACGGAGCCTTACGACTCCGTCGACATGGCCAGGATCTTATCTCTTGTGTGGTTGTGTCGCGTGCCCACGGATGCTCATTTCCATTTCTCGTGGAGCCTCGCTTGTCGAAATGGGAATCATCAATCTGGCACCTGAGGCCACTCTCACGAACTCAAAATGTCTTTGTTTCCGGCAAATCCGTCGCCGAGGGGTGCCTCTCGATCGCCTGCGTCCATCCCTGGGATTTGATCTCGCTCACTGTTTGTTGTTTTCTGCAAGATATCCTTTGTTCTTATGTTGGCTGCGTACGTCCTCCTTGTCTGTTGCGTCAATCTTTCCTTTTGCGATCCTTCGGTAGTCACTCGGGCGGTATCTGGCTAAGCGAATCCCTCATCTGCTCCATCCAATCAATTCAAGAGTTGGAGTTTTGAAGATACACTTGAAGGTGGTAATTCCGGGGGTCCAACTTGGACGATTGCCACGGACTTAATTGAGGGCTGTCGCTAGAACAGACAGGCTTGGGGCTCACGATAGGATAATTGAGACGGGACATCCACCCTTGCCCGACCCTTTGACGAAGTCAGTTCGATGTGCGCAACAGTATCAGGGAGCACGGAATTCTAGAGAATACATAATGGGGTTTCTGGGCCTTGGCGAGCCTTCCTGGGGAACTCTCATCATCTTTCTCGGAGCATGGATCAACCGAGATTTTACCACTCCCACGGCACAAGCGAGTCAAGACTCTTACGTCGCTCTTGTGGAAGATGTTGGTCATGAGATGGGACTTGAGTCTCTAGACTCGATAGACACCGGAGACGTATCGGTTACGCTTTCACCCAATCCCGATCGACAGAGGCATTGGCGTCATAGAGAGTTGTCTCTGTTCGGGCTCAAAAGGACAATCCGAACACCAGAGACAGCTGTCTTCCGGAACAGAATGCTCAGCAGAGTGCTTCTGCGCTTTCCTTTCTTGGTCGAGATCGTTTATTGGGCTCTCATCTACGGCGTCAGTTGGGGCTCATTCTCTTGTTGTGAGATAGGCGGCTAATACATTTTGCAGGTCTACCAGTTCGGTCGGGGCCAATTGGCTATAAGATTGGTCGACAAGACCATCGACATCGCTTGCCATCATGCTCTGGCTGTTATCACATTAGAGCAACGTCTCCACATTTTTTGGGAGTTGACCATCCAGCAGTTTTTCCTCCAGTACCCTGGGTGGATGTGGTGGATCAACCGGATCTACAGCTTCGTCCATCTCCCCGCAACAATAACTTTCTTGGTCGGCTTGTACTATTTCGCCATAACACGGAACCGATCGAATATCAATTCGAACTCGCCTGATCATGTCCGAAGCTCTACCGGCCCCGAACTCTACGAGTCCAGGCGTCGGGCTCTGGCGCTTTGCAACCTATTTGCATTTTGCGTCTTCAGCAGTTGGCCATGTATGCCCCCTCGTCTGTTGGGGGACTCGAAATTACCAGGGGAGCCGGGTGAGCTCGCGCGAAGTTTTGGCTTCATCGATACCATCCACGCACACGATGGAGCCGTCAGCATTTTCAACACCAGAAAATGGACCAATCAACTAGGTAGGAGGTACAACTTTGTGGTCGGAAAAAGAATGCTAAGCCTGCCTAGCTGCAATGCCCTCGCTCCATTTCGGATATTCGCTCCTTGTCGGAGTCTCTATCATGCGACTTCCTCTGACTCCCCCAGCCAGAAGACATAGGGTATCCCTGCCCGCCATGCCATTCCTCAAATCGAACCATACCGGTTTCATCGTCCGAATCCCCTCTCTTCCCAAGTTCTGCTGCGAGATCATCGGCTTCTTGTACCCGTTCTCAATCTTGATTGCGATCGTTGCGACTGCAAATCACTTCATCTTAGACGCCCTGGCGGGAGGCCTGGTATGTTTGTTTGCACTGCGATGCAACCATTTCATGAAGAATTTTCTCCTCGTCGAGGACTATGTCTTCTGGTGCCTTCGCATTCACAAGCCGATTCAGGAGCCGCCGGTTCAAAGTGCGCTTCTGGAAGACAAACCTTAGCCATGGATTGGCACAGCACCAAATTTTGGCAGCGTTCTTACGACGATCTTACGGTCTTGCGGAATAAACACTTAGTGAAGCCTGCTGCGAAAAGGGGACCAATTTGCAGCACCACGCGGCACCGACTCTCTGATGTTCTCGCATAGCAAGGCAGTCGGATGGTCCCTTGCTGTCGTACAGCAGCCGACGCCTGTCATGGCAAGCGTCGAGGAAGTTCTTGACAGCTCCCATTCTCGAAGACGTTACTTAGGCCCAGGACAAGGTGGGAAGGGATATTTGGCTATCACAAGATAGGACCTGTTGCAAAGGATTGCCAGATACCAGATGCTCAGCGGAGAGAGGACCAAGGGGACGTCACACATAGGCGGGATACTCCCCGAATGTGCTCGGGAATGTGGGCACACTTGCGCGGAGTTCATACTCCGAACTACGAGTATACCCAACGACCATCGTTGAGCGAATGCGTCAATCCAAGGCCAACAATGTTACGGCTGTATCTCCCGAGGTCAAGGATGCGTCTCCAACCCCTTTTCCCCCACTCGGGTGTCCCATTCTCGCCATCTTATACCTCTTTTCCCCGCTCCAACTCGGTGCTAACGCGATGCGGCAACGTCGCCTGCTCGTACTTCAGCCTCGCCCCTCGGCCTCCCACAATCCAGCTCCCCTCTTTGAAAGTGGTCACATAGCGCAGGCCCTGGCTAAACCCACAGAATAGAGAACAGCATAGAGCCGTAGACCATTTTTTATCAAGGAAGCCTTTTCAGCCACTAGCGGCGCCTTCAGACAGTTACCATTCCATCCATTCTCGAGCACCTAGGGCACCCAATCTTTCCCAACAATGGCTCCCTCCGCGACGAGCAATGGAAAAGCTGTGGCGGTCAAGGCTGATGTTAGCAAGAACCGTGCCGTTATTCTCTCAAAGATCAACGATGTCTCTGTCCAGGACTGGCCTCTGAAGCTGGATTCCTATCGAGATAGTCCGCCATACGAACCAGGCTCCCCTCTTCCGAGTGGCAAAGCCCTAGTCCGCGTGCGCGCCGGAGGCATCTGTGGCTCAGACGTTAGTAGTCGTCCATGTTGAGCGGAAATTTTGTGTAAAAGGTTGACCGAGTCCCTCAGATACATTTCTGGAAAGAGGGCCGCGCAGGCCCTGATATCATCAAGGAGCCGTTCATTATCGGCCATGAGGCTGCTGGTGAAGTGATTCAGGTCGCTGATGATGTTCAGTCGTGGGTTCCCGGCGACCGTGCCGCCATCAAGCCTGCTCTTCCCTGCCTGGCGTAAGTGTGTTTTTGGATCACAGGCGCGGCATCATACTGAATATGACCACAGTTGCGACGACTGCACGACGGGCTATTCCAACCTTTGTAGTTCAATCGAGTACTACGGTGTTCCGGCACCCGGCGGCCGGCAGGATGGATTGCTCACCACCTACAAGATTGTCCCGGTCACTGCGCTGGCTCGCCTGACGCCCAGAATCTCGTGGGTCGAAGCTGGTGCAATACAACCTCTTGCCATCGCTCTCCAGATGACCAGGCAAGCGGGACTGAAGGCACACCAGACCGTCTTGATCCTTGGCGGTGGATGTATCGGGTTGCTGCTAGGAGCAGTTGCTAAAGCGTAAGTCAGACTTTGTAAGGCAATAGACAATTGACATGCACACTAACAACAATCCCACAGATATGCTGCAAGGAAAGTAGTTGTCTTTGAGGTGCAACCCCACCGAGCCGAATTCGCAAAGACGTATTGCGCTGACCAAGCATTTGTCAACCCGCCACGCCACCTGAATGAGACGACAGAGGAATACTCCAACAGGGTCGCCAAACATATTTTAAGCTCTGTCGACGGGCTCTACCGTGGTTTCGATGTTGTGGTGGAAGCCGCGGGCGCGGAAGAGTGCATGCAGATCGGACTCCATGTCTGCAAGCCTGGAGGCACCTGTGAGTATCTTCCGCATTCAATATGAGACCAACCCCAGAGTGATTTTCAACTGACCTGAAACGTTCGGTAACAGACGTCCAAGTCGGACTTCTTAACAGCCCAATGCCTCGGATCCCCATAATGGACATTTGCTCTAAACAGCTCAATGTGCGAGGTGAGGATTCTCCCAACTCACTTCCCGATCTTGACATGGACAGCCTCGTGGGCTAACAGTATTGGTTGCAGGGACCTGGAGATATACTACGAATTGCTTCGAGGATGCCATATCGCTGATTGATAGAGGCCTCGTCGACATGAAATCTCTGATCAGCCACGTTTTCCCTTTTGAACAGAGTCTGGAAGCGTTTGAGACCGTCCATGAGGTTAAGGCGAAAGACGGTAGGAACGTCTTTAAAGTGGTTATCTCCGACGAGAAACTGTAGATTCCATAGTATAGATGCCATCCACAGCAAGCCCATAGCTTGCGCTGTATTTTGCTCGCATCTGGCAGTAGACCTCATTCCGAATTTCAATGGCTACGAGACAAGTGTTGAGTCAGTGGCTATTGCTTCGTGAGCCGCCGACGAAGGAATGCGCGTCCGGTTGGCCTAGCTGAGAGCAAATTGTTTCGCCCATACTGTCGCGGTGGGACTTTTCCAAACGCTGGTGACGAGGATTGCAGCGGTGTCCAGGAATGGGGATTGTGACGAGGAAGTAGATGAGGCTGAGTATGATGGCTCTGGCAATGGTCCTGGCGGCTGCTGCGGCTGATATGTGGGTCGGCTCCCCGATTCAAATGACAAATGCAAACCGTGTGAAAATGGGTATAATGACATTCAAATGACGACCTACCAGTCAGACCCTCTTGACCCTCCTCGACCCCTTCACCAGACCCCCCTTCTCACCTTCAGCCCTCTCGCCCTGATGTAGTCCGCACCAGATTTCCATAATTCTAATCGTGAGAAGATGTACAAGGCAATCGCCGTCCATGTTGCTCAGGAAGCAACCCGACCCTTCATTGTCTACAACGACAATCTTGGATGGTAAATACATGCCTTTTGCAACCTACTCAACATCATTAGATCTATAAATATGCGTCCTCAACTCCTTTCCATCATCTTGAACCATACCAGCGTGCGCGCTGCCAGCCGAAACCGTGCCTTTTGCTAACGCCCGGACCCCATTTGTATGCATCGTGTTGATCGTCTCCCTACTCCTCGGGCGACCTCATCTTCTCGAACTGTAGCACTTGTCCATCCTCTCCATACTCAGTTCCCGTCTGTTCTCACACATTCTGCGGAGGAATCTGCAACGTCATCTTGTCTCCCTCCACCGTAGGAACACCAGGAACAACACCCGGGGCAGGCGCTGGTGGTCCCGTTCCCGATCGTCTCCTCCTTTCCCTCTCGGTAGGTCCACTCTCAATTTTACTGAGCATGAAGCCACTGTCCTCGCCAGCAATGCCACTCTTTCGGAATTTCCCACCCATGCCGTACATCCAGCTATCATCCTCGTCACTGCCCAACCAGTAACTTCTGCCAATGCTGATCATAAATCGACCAAATTTGCCCCGCCAACCCTTTCCCTCCGGCCTGCTCTCAGAGAAGGGGTTCTCTGCTAAATGCGGGTTCGTTGATGCAGCGGTATAATCGATGCCAGTTTTAGAACCGGAGGAGGCGATATGCTGTCGAATCACTATGCGCGCGAAAGCGAGCATGATGAGGCAGAAATACGCGCGAATGGTCCACATGGCGATGATGACGCCCACAGAATTCATGTTTTGACTGTCCAGCATGGCTGATTGTAATGCACCGTTGCTTCCGCTGCTCGCGGCGTTGGTTGCTGGTACTCCAGCGGCAACGGCATCTTGACCAGTACCCCCCAGGGGAGGTTGGGGTGTAGCAACGACTTCCACTCTTGAAACGTTGAACTGAGGATCCGTAAATCCTGATACTTGATCCATGGTCGATGCCCCGAGTCCTTTCTTATCGGTCTTTCCCCCGTCATGTTGTGCAAGCACCAAGAACCATGCCGCGGCGAAGATGGCAGTATATGCAGCATTAACGATACTGTCGAGGACGTAGAACCAAGCCAGCGCAAGACACTGAAGTGGTGATTGCTTTCGGATGTGTTGTGCGAGGTAAGCGGTAAGGACGAGTGCGATGGTGGAGTAGATGTACATGGTCAGCTGGAAGGGTGAGAGGTGATAGCCCGTAAACAGCGCCAGAATTCCGTAGAGGCCGGCAAGTTTATTAACAAGCATCGAGAGGGTAATGAGGCTGGCGCCCGTCGAGAGCGTCATCGTGTAGAAGAATCGCTGTTCGGGCAGGTCAGCATTGAGAATGGAAACTCCAGGCTCAAGGCTCATTGTCATACCTTTGGACGGGCCAGGCGCAGCAGACGCGCAGAAATCCCATAATTCGCCATGGTCAACAAAACTGCAAGAAAGGAATGAAAAGGGATACTGTTGTCACCGACGACAAATGTCACGCGAGAAGACGGGAATGGAGGTGGCGGCAAAGAGCGGGAAATTAAACAAGCTGGAGAACACAAGGGACCGCAGGGAGCGGCAGCCGCCGGAAGCCTTTGGGCCTCCGGAGTTTACATCATCATGCACAAGGCTGCACAAGGCTGCATTAAAGAGCACCACACCCATCAGGAAGGTTGCAGAGGGATATGGGAATTCTCAGTCAACCATTCTATTATTTTGCCTGCAATCTCATCTGTCTAGGTAGAAGGTAGAATACAAATTTGCCAGGCCATTTGATGAATTTGACGGGCATTCCTCAAAGCACGGCCATCAAGAGCACCATTCCAGCAACCATGTCCATGCATAAAACTGTGAACCACATCTGAGTGTGATTCTCGACGCCTTTCACTTTCTTTGCGCCATGAGGTCCTGTGCAGAATAGTGCTCTCCATCGAACCAGCCAGTTCAGTGGCAATGAGCTCCGTCGGAATTTCCACCATCTTAGTCGTACAAGCTGTCGTCATTACCAGCATCACCGAAGCCAGTACCATTTGCGGCATCAGCCTCTTGACCAGCAGAAGGGAATTTGAAGAAAGCACTGCCACCGCTCTGTTTCATGGCTTGAGCAAAGGCCTCGTAGCGGCGAATCTCCACATCGCTGACCGACCGCCGCGCGACTTGCATGGCCTCTTCAAAGTGTCGTCGAGTCAACTCGGGAACGGGATCTTCCATATCGTCGGCGTCCATAGCGTCTTCACCAGCAGCTTCGCGTTCCTTCTGTCTCTCAATATCCGCGGCGATCGACTCCTTGATGGCAAGCTTGACGGCGCGTTGCGTGACGAACCCCAAGTCGGCACCAGAGAAACCGTGGGTTTTGCTGGCAATGTATTTGAGATCAACATCTGCTGCGACAGGAGTCTTGCGTAATTGCGCCTTGAGGATCGATTCACGCGATGTCTCGTCAGGAAGGGGGACGTAGACCAAAGTGTCAAGACGTCCAGGTCGGCAAAGAGCATTGTCGAGCTGCTCAGGTCGGTTGGTCGCACCAATAACGAACACGTTCTTCTTTGAGGTCATGCCGTCCATCTCGGTAAGCAGTTGGTTGACAACCCGGTCAGATGCCCCACCAGCATCACCAACAGAGCCACCACGAGATTTGGCGATGGAATCAAGTTCGTCAAGGAAGACAACACAAGGTGCTGCGGCACGTGCCTTGTCGAAAATGTCTCGGATGTTGCTTTCAGACTCGCCAAACCACATACTCAGCAGCTCAGGGCCCTTGACCGAGATGAAGTTTGCCGCACATTCATTGGCCACAGCTTTGGCAAGCATAGTCTTACCAGTACCGGGAGGGCCATAGAACAAGACCCCTCGAGATGGCGAAAGGCCGAATTTGACGAATTTCTCGGGATGGTCGACAGGGTATTGCACGGATTCGATAAGTTCGCGCTTGACATTTTCGAGACCGCCAATGTCGTCCCAGCGAACATTGGGGACTTCGACCACTGCCACTTCGCGAAGAGCGGAGGGATTGGAGACACCAAGAGCATACCGGAAGTTATCCATGGTCACGCCGAGAGAGTCCAACACCTCGGCATCGATAGTGTCCTCGTCCAAGTCGATGAGGTCCATCTTCTCGCGAATCTGCTGCATGGCTGCCTCAGAGCAGAGCGACGCAATATCAGAACCGACATAACCGTGAGTCTCGGCGGCGATCGACTCCAGATCGACATCCTCAGCCAATTTCATGTTCTTGGTGTGAATTTGAAGAATCTCCAGACGACCAGTCGGGTCCGGAATGCCGATGTCGACTTCTCGATCGAAACGACCGAAACGTCGAAGGGCGGGATCAATCGAGTTAGGTCGGTTAGTGGCGGCCATGACAACGACATTGGACCGGGCTTTCATGCCATCCATAAGCGTTAGCAGTTGAGAGACAACACGTCGCTCGACTTCGCCGTTGGTTTTCTCTCGCTTCGGTGCAATAGAATCGATTTCGTCGATGAAAATAATGGCGGGAGAGTTCTTCTCGGCTTCCTCGAAAGCCTTTCGGAGGTTGGATTCTGATTCACCGGCCATCTTGGACATGATTTCAGGACCATTGATAAGAAAGAAGAAAGCTCCGGTTTCGTTGGCGACAGCTCGAGCCATCAGTGTCTTACCAGTACCGGGAGGTCCGAACATGAGGATACCCCGGGGAGGTTTGATGCCGATTGACTTGAACAGCTGTGGATGCCGCAGTGGCAATTCAACCAACTCGCGGATCTGAGCCATCTGCTTTCTGCAACCACCGATATCGTCGTATCCGACCTCGTTAAGGTTTCCTTCCTCATCCTCACGCTGGATGGGATCTCCTTCACAGTGAATGACAGTGTCTTGTGCCACAATGCCATATTCCGGGGGGTCGACTTCGACGACTTTGAATTCGACTTGTCTCATACTGGCTCGGACCGTAAAGAGGTCTCCTTGTCGCACGGGCCGATAGGCTTCGCGAAAGTAGGGTGCGAGAAAAACATCGAAGAGAGAGCCGGTCAAACCCTCCACGGTGTCTGCAATAGGAAGAACAGCAATGCGCTTTGCCTACGGAGAGAGTCAGGAATGTGCTGGAAACCATAAATCGAGACGGTACTCACATATTTGATGTCAGGGCAAGGGTGAACAGTGATGATATCGCCGTGCTTGACTCTGAGATTGTGGCGAACCACTCTGTTGATGCGAGCACTACCATCATCAAGATCGTCATCGGCCAGAACGATCAGGACAGTATCCTTGCGTTTCTTTCCTCTCACCAGGACAGTGTCGCCCCTGAACAGCTGTAGAGTTTCCATAGTGTTATTTGAAAGAGCAATGATGGAGTTGTCATCGTTGGTGGCATCGGTCACACTGCGTCATTTGTCAGCCTCTGATTCCATGAAGACATCCCAAATTGTCCAACTTACATCAACGAGTTTGGCTTCTTCTTCTTTTTCAGGATGGCTGTCGCTGTGTCGAGCTCCTGGAGGAGAGTGTCAGTCTTGAAGTTGTCACCAGGCAGATTTCCCGGATGTTATCCATACCTCTTTCTTCTCTGCGCCAGACGCATCACTTCAGCTGTCGTTAGCAGCGGCTCTCATGAATGTCATGGATGTAACACATACTGTAGGTTAACCTTTTTGTGGTGGGGATGATTGGGTTCTGCAGACATCCTGATGTCTTCAGGAGATCGAATAGGGTCCGAGAAGTAGAGTCAGAGGTTTGTTGATGTGGTTTCTAGAGACCAGAGGCAAGAGCGCTGGTCGTCGCAACAGTAGTTTAGGGACGATGAAGAATAAGACGGGTAGATGTCAAGGAACTCCTTATAAGAAGAGACTTGAGAAGCAGAAAGAAGGGATGGCAACAAAAAGGTGAGAGGGAGCAAAGCGGTTTGTTGGAAGTGACGAGGGAACGTCTTGAGGACTTGAAGCGCAGGAGAAAGGCCCGTCTTGGCGGGTTTAAATGACGGTCATTCACGGCCTAACAAACATACGTTGCCTTTGGCAGCCTACGAAAGAGAAGATGGTCGAACCTTCTCATACAGCCCAACACGATTGCCTTTGCCACGACGGCTCTACAAGTACAGGTAACAGGTCCTTGGTACAGTACATAGCTATGCTCGAGCGACTGCTGTCAGCACGATAAAAGAAGCCACGTTTCATTTTGGACCTGGCTTCATTTTCGTATTGTCTGCTTACCCCCCGTCGGTGTCGACCTCGGAGTGTGGCAAGGCTGAACCCTAGCCTTGCCGTAGGGACGCAATACTGTATTCAAATTCGCCGCCCATGACGAATAGTGGGAAAAAAGTCCATTCATGATGATCAATCGATAGACGCGCATTCATCCATGTTGACAATAGGTTCGGGGCAATCCCCGCCCTGATTCGTAGCCATACCATATTCTCGTTCCGCCAACCCTTGCTTTTTGTCCCTCCGATTATTGAAGTGCGGAGCGGAAGGGTTCTCAGAACCATGCTGGCCTCTCGTCTCTAATCTACAACCTCCCTCCAGAGCGCTATAAGCCGATACCAATCCCTCCCTTCTATAGGCGCTGCTGGACAGCCCGTTGGAGGACGTTTTCTGCCAACAACAGCAACTGGCAGCTTTCTGCCGGGATTTCAAGTTTCTCCATCTCGAATAATAAAATCAAAGCCACAACCCCACTAAAGCCACATTCAGAGCCCCAAATCACGTCGGTGCACCCTAGTACCTCAAGCTCCTCTCTTTGACATAGCAGAAAAGAACATGTCGACCTCTGGGCCTTCAACGGAGACGGCGACCACAATCCCTGTGCCTCCTTCCCTCACCAGCTCTACCTCCTCGTTACCACCCGCGACCTCCCAAGCTCTCATTCAGCACCTCCGCCAAACTGGCGCAATCCCCGATCTCAGCTCCCTTCTCGCAGACAGTCTTGCCCGGACTGGCTGGACAGACCGCGTCCGCGCCCTCGCGCTCGAGTTACTCAGGAATGGCATGTGCGATACTTTCCCGGAGTTGATGACAGAAGTCATGCGACGGGCCAAGATGCCCAAAGATAGCAAGAACCCAATTGTGGAGAAGGAGAGTAAAGATGCGAAGACGAATGGTACAAGCACGCCTACGACCGCTACAAAAACGACAGGGCCTGGACCAGGAGGCGCGGCGACAGCGACAACATTGAATGGAGGCGGCGTGAACAGCAACAATGCCATTGCGCTTTCCAAAGAATGGTCCGGCGGGCCGGATGGATTACCAGACGTTAGGATTCCGGAAGTCACCGTTGAGCTAGGAGTGGAATTTTTGAAAGAGAAGATCAAGGACGTTGTCGAGCCCGTCGAGGATGACAGTGACTAGTAAGACCTCTAGGTTGCGGTTGAGCTACGGGTTGGGATAGGAGGCCTAGAGGCTTCCGTGTATGATATGGCATAGCGAGCGGCGTTTGATGGATTCGAGTGAAGGGAGGTCTCGGTGCAGGACAATTGGTACTAGACGGATTATGAATAGGGTGGAAAACCTCGCTCTACATCGAGTCGGTGGCGGCTTTGATATGGTTGGTGTCCATGTGCTCGTCGAGGATCTTACCATAAACGAAAACGAGCGCCGCCTCTTCGGCTCTCAAATCAATATCGCTTTTGAGGCCCTCGCTAATACTCCGTATCTAAACAAAAGACGCAACATGTTCATAATACACCGCCCGGCAACGTCTGCGCTGTTGGCATTGTCCTCACGCTCGCTGCACCGCCAGGAGCTACTCCTGTTGCAGCAGTCCCTCCACCGCCGCCGCCCAATCCTCCAAGGGGCGGCTTCATCCCTACCCCTGCCGTTGATGGCATGTCCCCAACGATTACATTTCCCAACTTTCTTAACATAAACATGGGCTTTTTCCCTTCTCTATCCAAATCCTTGAATAATGCGAGCGGCTTCTCTTCCAGTCCCACGCACCTCTCCTGGTCGCCATACACAATATACAATGCATATTGTCGCCAATCGGCCTGAATATTGTATTTCCTGAGTGCGGCCGGGAGCACTTTATAGCATGGATCTTCTAGTCCGACACGGAAAGATTTGAAAATTTCCACAGAGGGGGCATCGCCTCCTCCACCACTGTCTTTGTTGCTATGCGGATTGTGGCCCACACCAGCGCTCGAGGGCAGCTGGGGCGGGACAGAGGCGGATAGTTCCCTCGAGGGTATGAGTGTGGAGGCATTAGAGATTGTACTGTTTGTAGGGTTGAGTTTTCCAGAGGCAGACTTTGCGGAAGTGGGAGGGTCACGGTCGCGTTCGATGGTGACTTGCCGCTCGTCCGCACCATCATAGCGCGGGATGGCAGTAGTGGCAGTTCCCCCTTCACGTTGATAAGAGCGCGGGGCTAGTGGTTGATGTTGGTAGGGGAGAGGTGAGGTCGGAGACGGGACTCCTGGAGAAGGATGTGGATATTGCGGTAATGCGCCACCTGACATTTGTGCCGTGAGCGAGTTGGAGGCTAGGCTTGCTGCTGCGGAGGGATCTAGCGAGCCGTTTTCGGCGGCGAACGTCCTGCCTTCATGGATCGTGCTGGGTATGTGTGTTGGAGAATTGTTCTTGGGTGTTGAGCTGAGACCTAGCTTCTTTGAGAATGTGCGTGTGAGGCTGCTCTTTTCAGGGACTGGCTGGGTTGCCACGGGAGGTAAGACGACATCTTGCTGATACACCTCGGGACTAATGGTAGCGCCTTGATAAGGGGCATAGGGAAGAGGTTCTGATCGTTCTTTGGCCATCTTGAAGACCGGCAGTAATTCCTGGCGTAATTTACGGTAGTCATCTGCCAGTCTGGTCAACTGCGCCTCCGCCTGAGCAATTCGCTCGTCCCGTAGTCTGAGGATTGATCGAGCCAGTCGATCAATGTCTTCCTTGGTTGCCATTTCATGCTGAGGGTTTTGCTCGGCCGCTAGGAAGAGAATCAGCCTCATACCAACTGACAAAGCGGAACCAATAGCTTACTTGGAGGAACATAGTCATCTGGTTCAATGGGAATGTCCTGGTTGACTTTCATATCATAGACATTCTTGAGGATTGTGAGTCTGTGTCCCACGCTTGCGATTCCCATCTCTTTCAGCTCATCATGTTTAAGTGCAACAAGGGCTTCTCCTTCGATGCCATGTTCTGGGAGAAGTCAGTCCTGCACGCACTCATTCGCCATCGCTATCTGTGAAGCTGCTTACCGACAAAAGCATGGCAGTACTGTCTCAGGTTCAAACTCGACACAAATTGAGCGCATTCTTCTGATGTCCATTCTGTTATTATGGTCCTGGGCAGGCTTGGGTCTTCCCCCGAGTTGTCAAACGTCGTTGGAGTGTGTTCGTTGGAGGCTGGCTCAGAAGAGGTCTCCGAATCGGTATGTAGTTGGGTAGGCGACGTCATGACGCTTCTCTCATACTCATCGTCGGCGTCAGAATCAGCATGGTATGTGGTTCCGCTAGGGAAGGCCATGGTGTTTGCGTCAAAATCCGATTGCGGCGCTTGGGTCAAGTTCAAGCTTCAGTCCTCACGCCCCAGCCGCATGAAGGCTCGGGGGCAGGATAGAGACTCAGCAGTCGTTTCGACGCTTGACGTAGGCAGTTGGCAACGATACTATTTGATTGTTGCTTCAAAGTCGGCGGTCTTAGGGTAGTTGAAGACTTCCGTCGAGTCAATTCGAAGGGGGGGGCTGGTCGTACTGGGTGGTAGGTTCGCGGCGAAAGGCTCTGTCAGGGGCTTTGTCTTGACCGTCGAATGTCCAGTCAACAGGCCAGGGAGGCTCAGTCGCGCTCTATGCAAGAAAGAGGAGTCTCAGTGAGACTCAAAAGCGTTCAAGTCCAAGAAAGCTGCTTGAAGGGAAGTTCAAGGTGGGCATGGGATCGCAGCATGCGTACGAGGTATGTACGGGGCAGCGACGGGGGCAGAACGAGGCTAGCCCCGTTCTGCCCCGTCAATAGTCAATAGCCAATTACATGCCGAATCCGCTGCATACGCTTTCTTTCCATTTTTGGCCATGTGATATCTCGCTTCAAGCCCAGTCCAGTCTGAATTGGTGAGAAGGTTTACTCGGTACAACTTAATATGATTACGAGCATTTAGGGAGTCGGATCCGCTCTTCGTTTGCAAAGCTATCAACATCACAAAACCAGTCGCTCAAATGAGTACTGGCCTTTGTTCCTCCTCTCCAGCATTCTCTTCTGTCGGATAGTCCGATGTTGTAGCTGACCCCCACCCCTTCTGATCTTGACGGGACTGACCACATTCTCAACTTTCATGCTCAGAGGAAGACCTGGGCCAAGCTGCAGGTCGTCTTCACCTTCGACCGTCTCCGAGCACAGCGTCACTATGGCCCCAGGACGCTGGTTAGAGACCGCTAATCCAGTTCCATAAATGGGAAGACGCGCTCCCGCAGCCTGTTGCTTCCGCAGAGATTCTTGATATCTCAAAGTCTCGCGGAGAATCCCTTGCAACTCTGCAACATCTTCAAGGTTCTGCTTGGTATGCGTGATCTCCGTCACCAGTTCAGGCACAATGTTTCCCATAAAATCCTCGTGATCCAGCGCCCCAAAAAAGCCAAGAGGTCCGATGGCGTCGACGCATCCTGACAGTATTTTGATGCTCGCAGCGAGCTTGACAGTCGGCGAGGACTCACAGTTGGCGGGTAGGTTTTGGAATGACCGTGTGTGGCCCCCTTGAAATAATTGCTGCCGTAAGAACTGAATGAGAGCAAGTGCTTCTGTCTGAGAGAGCAAAGCTTTCAAGTTAACAGAGATGACCGAAGTTGCAGCAGCGCCGAATCTGTCCAGCGCCTCAATTAGCGCTCTCTGCAGTTGGGGAGGCAGCCACGGCGTGTTTGTTGCTGATGCCGACAATGTCTGCACTTGCGCGCCAGCGGAATTCAAGGGAACGTCGACATCCATTGGATCTGTTCGTCGGTCTGCTTCGGCCCCAGCTGCCTCAGATGACGTAGCTAGAGCTTGCCGAATGAGAAGCTGCACCACAGCTGCTTTTTCTTCCACATATGGACTGAACCCGTTTTCGAGACATTCAACCAGTAACCCATACGAGGGGTCGGCGCCGAGCAGAGCTCGTGCAACTGCGTGTATACCACCAATTGTTACCTCGGCCCCAGGCAATGAACTCGAGATTGCTTTCTGCAAGCTTCGAGGTGAGAGTAATCCCACTCGACACAGCCAGATAATGAGTTTAAATGATGGAACCCGGATCTCCAATTGCTGGCCCGCGACGGTGGCGTCATTGCTTTGGACACTGTGACTCGGAGCTGTTTGGAAGATCTTTGACAGAAGGTAGTTGGTCTTGAAGTTCGGGACTGTTATAAGATCCAGAGGCAAATCATCGTGCGTCTTTTGAGGAAGGGAAGACTGCATCGTAGCCTGCCGGATGTCGTTGACAAAGGCGTTTTCAAAGCCGGAAACATCCCCGGCCTCGGCTAACTGGTCGAGACGTTGTCTCACAGACTGCCAATCCGCGCTGGATTCTGGATCCATGGTTGCAATGCCAGTCGCCGGCGGCAGCTGTTTGTCGAGAGATTCAATCGCCACATCATGGCTCTTGATTCCACGTCCGATATTTTGAAGGAGTTTGGTTCCAGTCTCAAGTAACTGCCTCGAAGCATCTGCAGAGATGTCTATTGCGAGCAGTTGATGACGCCGTCTCCCAATGACACGCGCAGACTGAGGGAAATAAGCGAAAAACTCAACAGGGCCGCTCCGGTCTTGCACAGCCATTCTCATGCGTTTCCGCTTCAGATTGCCCTTGTTGGCATCGATTCGAGCCTGTACACTCTGGAATTTGAGGTCATAGAGCTGGAATGACTCTTGAAATGAGCAGATGGCAAACGCTGGTGAAATGGGCATGATTTCGTAAGAGCCATTCAGCCCAGTGTGTAGTGTCGAAGACAAGTAAGGTACCACACCGGTCAAGTCATACGAGTACAAAGTTGGTCCAGCACGGAGGAACAGATTCGACGCCCTGAAGTTAAATGCGTAAGATCTGTCTTTCGACGAAGGTGGCTTTGGTTTGTTTCCTCCTGGGGTAAGTTCATGATCAAACAATGGGTAAATCGGTAGCCTCTCGGCCGCAGCGCTCCGATCAATTGCGCCTACTGACCAGACACCATAGAACACGCCGTTAGGGTTTGCATAGTGCTCACTTTTGCAATATGTAACCGCCAAGTAGCAACTCTCGGGTGTAGCCTCACTGACCAGATCCGATCTTTCCTTTAAAACTGTTTTCTGTGCCTCCGAAGTTGTGAGATGTTGGATGGCCAGTATTTTGACATTCGGGAAGCGTTGAGAACAGAGAGATCCTTCAGATAACGTAGCGTTCAAGTTTTCGGAGAAAGATACGAGATTGCCATTTTGCTGGATGACTAGAAGTTCTTTTGCTCTTCTTTTCAATACCACTTCAAGTAGTATAACGGGGCTCTCTTGTTCATCCAATGCTGCGCTTGCAAAGGAGGCAGGACGGAGTGTATCATCTCCTGAAGTCTGGAAAGATTCAATCCGTAATGCCTCTCGCTTTATGGCACAGTATGTCGTTCGTTGGGTCTGCCCTCCGGAGTTTTCGCGAATTGAGCAAGGAGGTCCGAGAAAACGGGCGGAAGGAGGCACAGGATAGGAGGCAAGAATGGTTCCATTTTGGATCTGGAATCTTGTCAACGTCTTGTTGTATGTAGAGGATAGTGTATTAGTACTTCATACAGCCCAAGGGAGTTACCATCCACAGCCACACAAATTTCTTTTCTTCGCTTCTTCAGCCCGCTGCGTACCGAATATACTGTGCCGAAGCGGGTAGTAGCATCTGGCTTGGCAGGACGAGGCAATCTTGACAGGACATGGGGAGTTGAGATCTCCATCATTGAGGCATGAGGCTTTCCAGCACTGCAAGACGGTGTGCGCACTGCGGACAAAAAGTTTTGAGGAACTCCACAAAAAGTTTGCGGAGGCTGCGATGGTCCTCGTCGAGACCCGAGGGCCGCTTGTCGCTTGGGTCGCTAGGCGCTCCAGGCGCTTCCCTAAACAAGGCAAGAAGAGCAAGCAGGACCCCTTTGTCGGCTTAGCGGTAGATCTCCCGCCTAAGCAAGCCTATCAGCGACCGATTCGCCATGGGCAGATGCAGCCAATAGAGCCTCCCCTGTACGAGGGCTCCGTGCCTCCCATTGCCTGGGCAGTAGGCATGGCAATCGCGTCACCGACGCGCTTCCTCTAATTCAGTTACACCATAACCACGCGCATCTCAATTTACCGTCAGCACTGACATTCTCTCATAGGAGGACCTCGACAAACACTTACCTGCACCCTCAACGGCACAGTCAATCAATTGATGTGCTCCATACAAGGAATATGAGCAGAATCCAGACTCCGTGACGCCACCAGTTACTGGAGAGCGACTGACTGGCAGGGCAATGGCGACGCTGCTGGACTATGGCGCTCCTCCAGAACACAAATCCCATATGCATCCGTTCTTCAGGAAAGGTGCACAATCATGTCCTCTCAGAGCCTTTCCAAGTTGCTGACACTGGTCATAGCAGTCGTAGCAAATGACACTTCATCCGATCGACCACCTCCGAGGACATTGGAATTAGACGGCACAGTTGAAGACGAGTCTGCGAAACATTACGAAGGGCCTGGTTCCATGACTGGCCATGTGTCATACATGGGGGCAGCTGAGGCCACCACCGGAAGGTCGTGGAGTGTCGCTGATGGTGATGACCTTGAATACGAAAACACCAGAATCAAAAGGCGAAGAGTCTCTGTCAGCCCAGAGCATCCATCCTCTGAGCCAGTGACAACGAGGGCTACAAGTACAACCCAGATGGCATGGCATGATCAGCTTCAGGAAGCAGCAAAGACATTTGTGGAGGTTGAGCCACCCTTGGGATGTGCTGAGAAGCAGACAACACCAGGCCAACCTCTCTTAAGTGACGAAGAGAGTGTGATTCACGCGCCTCTGCCGATAATGTCAAAAGAAAGTTCCTCTAAATCGACAAGGACAATCCCTTATGTGCAGTCTTCACCTGATGCTTCGTCACTTCCGATTGACATCGACCTTACGGGATCTCCTGTTCATCAATCTCTACCAACCAATAGTACTATGGACGATCATTCGTCCAAGCAAAGCAAGCTTTTCCCTACTCCCAGGAAGAAGATTTTGAGAAGCGGTCACGGAAAGCTCACCTTCTCACCAAAAAAATCAAAATCTCCAATGCGCTCGTCACGGACCGTTGAAACCGACACGGGTGGGGAGAGCAGTGATGCGAAAAAGACTGCCAATAGATCTAAGAAACTGGAAATGAAGAATGGGAGGTTTGTCTCCTCCTTGCGCGTTACCTTGTCATATACCGCTCCAGACTCTGGACTCAAGATCAACGATATCTTGTCCGGCAAATCCGAAAAGGGCAGCAGTGAAGCTGGGGCAGCTCAAGCAAAGGTCTCATGGAGCAATCCGGGAACGGGCAAGGCGACACATCCGTTCTTCTTAGGGAGATTGTCCAGCAATATTCAAAAGCAACCTGAACTGAAAAGTGAAACGTCCTCCATTGCAGCGGCCTCCGAGGATGAGACCAGCTCGAGGTCCAAGCCGCTGAAACCCTGGAAAGACATTATCTTCGAATCTAGAAAGTTATTCCAGAACAAAACTGCTCCCTCGCTGCCCCTAGTATGGCCTCCAACCGAGATTCAACATGTACAACCGAATCAGGTCCCAAATTGTGCAGTCACAGTTCGGACACTCCCTTTGTCACGCCCCAAATCCAAACAGCATGCCATGCGCATCAACACGGATGAAGACGTTCTATGGAACTTTTCTCAAGATTTGAAGCACAAAGTCGACAAGCCCCTCATTCACATTCCTGAACGAAGGGTTATGAGTGGCAAACAGCTGGTGAGACTGATTGAATCTATGTATGGTATGGAAAATCAGTCCAGTTGTCAACCAGCTTCAATCTCAGATCTAAAAGTAGTCATCGAATCGACACCGAGTTCTTTTGACAAAGGCATGGCAGCCGGACCCCAGTTATGGTGTCACGAGTATGCACCAAGATGCTGGCAGGAGGTCTTGGAACCACAGAGTAAAGTCCTGCACGACTGGCTGGACAACTTGAAGGTACATCAAGTGCAAACTGGCAAATTACAACTGAAAACGAGGCCCTCGACTCCAAAAAGGCGACGGAAGAGGAAATCGGAGATGGACGACTTCATTACATATTCGGACGACGATGATGCCCGTTCGACCACTATTGGAAAGAATGCCATTCTACTCACAGGCCCTCCGGGCTCGGGGAAAACTGCTTCCGTCTTTGCTGTTGCTCAACAGTTAGGGTTCGAGGTGTTCGAGATCCATCCAGGTATGCGACGAAGTGCAAAGGATATCCAGGACAAGGTGGGCGACATGACACAGAACCATCTAGTTCGACACGCCGACTCATCGAGCCGAAGATCCAGTGTCTCGATCGAGGACAGAGATACAGCTTCTCCGACTGTTGAGCCTTTACCAAAGACCCACAACCCTATCACAAGTCTCATGGCTGTCGGCATGGATGGCAAGCAGGCAAAAATCGCTGACATGAAAGAAATCAAAGAACCCAAGATCAAATCGCAGAAGCAATCTCTCGTCTTGCTTGAAGAAGTCGATATCCTGTTCGAGGAAGACAAAGGTTTCTGGAGTGGTGTCCAATCACTTATTCGGACATCGAAGCGACCAGTCATCCTCACTTGTAATAGTGTCGACTCCATCCCGATGGATGAACTAGACCTCTTCGCTGTCCTACAGTACGGCCGTGCCCAGCCAGGGGTAGCTGCACAGCTACTAGGATCCATTTGTGCCGCTGAAGGACATCTTCTACGTCAGGAAGCCTTGCAGAACCTCTACCTCACGAAAGGCCAAGATTTCCGTGCGTCGGTCATGGAGCTCAATCTCTGGTGTCAGATGACAGTTGGGTCCCAGCAGGGAGGTCTGGATTGGATGCTCCCATATAACGAACAGTCCAAGCTCAACCCAGATGGCTCGGTGACCCGAATTGTCAGCCAAGACACCTTCATCAATGGTCTTGATTTGTTACCTACGGATTTTGACAATACAGAAGGTCTGATCCAATTCACTCAGGACCGCCTGGGCATTCCGCCCTTGGACTGGGTTAAAGATAATGTGTGCACAGGTCGCACTGAGCCGAATCCAGTCTTGACACTGGACGACATGCTCATTCTTTCCGAGGCAAAAAGCGCAGTGGATCTGGTCGATGACAAAACAGCACTTATGCTAGCAAGCGCGATGAAGAAAATGGCCAATCCCGCTCCTAGTTTCGCATGCGCTTACCCATCCCGAAGGGATGAAGTCGTTCGTCTGTGCCTCGACCAGCTGAATGAATCACGGCTTGTCCAATCCACGATATGCGAAGCATTCGAACCTCTACTCGAAGAATCACGTATCGGTCTCCCCAGCGCCCCAGGCCGTAAAGCACCCTCCCTGGATAATCGCTCTGCCATCTCACTTGTGACGGAAGTCGCTCCATACATCCGCTACATCGTGTCAAACGATCAACGACTTGAACAGGTTCGGAATGAATTACATGGAATGAGTCAGCATGGAACAAAGAGACAGCGGCGTACTAGGGCAGCAAGGGCAGCGTTGGAAGGTGGGAACAAGAGTACAGTAAGAAGAGACAGGTGGTTTCCTGAAGAGTTGGATTGGCATGCAGTGATGAGGACGGGGAACGAGTGGCCTCAAGCCAAATATGTGGAGACGTGGGATGGTTCGGCGGCGCCAACACCTTCCTCGTCAACAGGAATGGGAGTGGAAGCCGCAGAGCCTGCAGTGCATAAGTCCTGCAACCCACCAGTGCGGTAGGCGAGGACGGGCGGACATTGAAGCCAAGAGAATACCAATTTGGGCACCTGAACAACGTAAAGCCTGATGTGCGTTGAAATCAAGGCAGCTGGGTTTGGGCGAGGGTTTTTCACCAAGCAAAGGGATGGATGAAATGAGGCTCGGCCAGATATGCCACACCAGCATCAGCATGGGAATACAATATGTTACACTACATTGCATGGAATGACGATATTCTACCATGCGACGGACGAGAAAGAAAAATGAAAAGGCCTCATAAACCGCGTTGTCGACAGTGCAGACTTTGCGTTCCTACCATCACCCTTCTCACTAATTAGTACCTTCCACTCCTTTTGAGATCCAGCCTCGTCTACTACATGCGCAGGTTAGGCCCAAGCCGAGTCAAAAAGAACTAGCACACTCCTTCGGGAGGCCTGCGCTGTTAGAACAGAGGTGCTCTTCGTTGGTAACAAGTATTCATTATTCCACTTGCCTTGGAAATAGAGGTCCTCTGTCCTCTACCAACACGATCAGCTATGCTCGACGTGGCCAGCACTTCGTCGTTATGAGCAGTACCTGGCAACGTTGGATGCGGCGTGTGTTTGCGTTCTCGGAAAACATCCCCCCATAGATAGGGCCGGATTCGTGGGATGCGGTCCACCAAACAGTAACAAATCAAACGGACCTAAACAACGGATCAGTATGTTAATATTGATGCATTGTGAGATTGATCTCTCAAGTAACTACATGCTTAGTTATCATATGCAAGCTTTCGGGACACAGGCTATTCAGCTCTCTTCCCACACCTGGTATACCGACATAGTGCCCGGACCATATTTTCTTCCATCGATACACAAAGGTCAATGTCTTGCTGTACATGAGTAATGAATGGCGTCTCTGTTCATGTTTCTTATATGTGGTGGTGACAAAATGCATGCTCCAGGGACGATTGTGCATGCTCGAGGCAAGAATGAGCAAAAGGAATCAACATGGGTAGTACCAGCAGACCAAGAACAAGATGCACGTCAAAAATAATTGGAAACATGCGAGAATGGATGTCCTTGGCAGTTCTGACATGGCTGGCTCATTTGCTGGACTGCGGAGGAGTGGTGGTGTAGTTCTCCTTGCCGCTGGCTGGCTCAACTCTAATGGTGACCTTCTTGGGACTTGGAGTCTTGGTCGTCTTGCTTGGGTCGCCATTGTCCGCGATGATTGCAATGGAAGCACCAGACTTGGACGGGACTTCAATGTAAGGATGAGGTGTTGCATTGACCGGAAGGTTGGTTCGAACAGTGGTGGAGTTGGTAATTGACTGCAGGCCCCCTTGCATCGGCCAAGTCGACGTGGAGTTGCGAACCATGTTCACAGCCTTGTTGTTGACACCTGGCAGCTCACTGAGGAACACAAAGTCAGTGAACTTGAAAGGCACAGGGGCTTGGGCAGTAAGGCAAAACTTACGGCGGAGAGACTGACGTCGCTGGAGTGAAGCCATTGGTAGTTCCAGCAGGTGACTGGTAACTGCCGTTCGGGCTGATGTGGTTGTTCATGTTCTGCAGTCGGGAAAGAGTTGGAGATGGAGTGTGCTCAACCGAATAGCTGTACTCTCGGCTGCGCCAGTTGCGACGTTCTTGACTCTGTTGTTTGAGTTGCTTCTGAGCCTTAGTGTCGGCAAAGCGGAGGAACAACTTGATGCCGTCGTGCTCATTGAGGACGGAGTGGAACTCCTTGATGACACGTTCTGCAATCTCACGGGTTTCGAATCTGGGACGGTCAGCAACGTCTCAAGGATTGAGACTTCTTTCAATACCTGGCAAAGCCAACTTCTTTGCTGACTCCGGACGGAGCATCGCGGCAGATCTTAGTGGAGACGGCGTGATATGGCAGAAAGTGTTTGGCCAGGTCCTGGTCATGTTAATCAAGATGGCAAGCATGATAGGAGAGCACAAACCGATTCGTTCCAGTCAATGGGAACCCCGGTGCAGTAGATATTGGTGGAGTTCTTATCTTCAAGGTCCTTGAGTCGAGAATTGCGAGATTTCTGAGAGTGTTAGATGAAAGTGAAATACAATGGCAGTGTGCTGACCTGGGCATAGCTGGCTTGAAAGCCAAGATGGAAGAAACCGCGGATACAGTTCTCTGCTGCAGCAGGAGAATAGTACATGACGAACCCGAACCTGGATAATGTTAGCGAGGGTAAACATGTCAATGAGGTGGGGCAACGGACCCTTTGCACTTGCCAGTATCTTGTTCGATGATGGCCTTGCATGATTCGATCTCTCCAAAGCGAGAAGCCCAACGTTCGAGATCCTCATCAGTGGTATCCGGCATGAAGCCACGAATGTAAACATTGGTGATACCCTCAGGGTTCTGAAGACATTTGGCCAGGCTGAGTTCTTCTTGGTTTGTCCACATAGCGGGCACTGCGCGAGGCATGGGAGGATCACGATTGACTAGCTCATCAAGATTGACCATCTCGTAGGATTTGTTGTCCTGGCACTTCATGGGTTGAATAGGTCCGGCAATATAGTGTTGGCTGGCAGGCGTCGCCGATAGATAGGGCATGGAGTTGTAGTAGTCCGATTGACCTTGAAGTGCAACGGCTTGGTTGTTGGGAGCATTCTCTTCGTTTGAAGACCAGGAGCCTCGACGACCTGGATCAAACCCGGCAACGTTGGATGCGAGATTGTATGGCCAACCATATCCTGGGAGCGTGCTCGTAGTCATGTTGGTGTTGCCAATGAAGCTTGGAAACATTCCAGTGGGAACGTAAGGCAACTGGGAGGCACCATCTCCGGCTGAGGTCTGGTTCTGGCCGTAGAAGCTGGGGAGCGGCACGGCTTGACCGGATGGCAACACCATCAAAGGACTGCTGTATCCCGGACGATTGACTGCACTCATCTCAGTCTCAACAGAAGCAGAAGGTGGCAAGGTCGCTTTGAGGTTCTGCATGTTGGCAAGAGGATTGGAATTGGTCATGGTCATGGCTATTGCGTGGTGAGCAATTGTACCTCCGACTGTGCATTCCAGCTCTTACCTCCGTTGTACTGTTGATAGCCCGATGCAGTGTACGGCATTCTTGACTGGGGATAGCCAGCATATGCAGTGCCCGAGGCAGACTGGGTTGCAGGTTTGTCAGACATGTCTACTGGTCTCTGGCACTCGAAAGTCAGTATGCTTCTGAGAGCAAGGGTAGGCTCAAACAAGAAGCTCCTCATCCGATTGGACTCACCCGCGACGTCGTCACCACAAGAGTAGCTTGACACCACGCCTCTCTGTGGCTTTTCTGGGGGTTTGGGGGTGTAGAAATGGGATGGAGCCCAATGAATAGAGCAGCAAACGGGGGAAATGAGAATGAGCAACCAAGATGCAGAGCTGGATGGATGATAAGAGGGAGGAGAAGCTAACAGCGGGGGACTTGAACAAGCAAAGCTGTAGCTTTTGTATTAAGTGAAGTGAGATGAAGAGAGTTGAGGAAGAAGAAGAAGAAGGAAAAAAAATGAGGCGGGTTGACATAAGAGAGAGAAGTAGGAGGGAAGCCATCGAGGCGGGTGCGTCCACGGCGCCCACGGCGTCGGTGGCAGGAGCAACGACAATAGGCTGGGCAACCTCGAAGTTTGAATAGCCCAGCACAATCAGTCCCAATGGCAGTAGCACTGCTGGAATGGGTCTCTTCTCAATGCATCTTCGAGTCATGTTCTTAACGGGCATCAATAGGGCGCCATTCATTTCTACCACACCTCCTAAGCGACCACTGGAGTGAGGAGTCGATTGAGGGCCATGAGCGAAATTCTTGGGTCGCCGCCACCCTGTACAGCTGCGCCAGCTACCAGTCTCTATGAGAAGCCACAGTTAGCCTCTGTCCTCTCGATCTTCACCTCATGGCCTCGCCCTCTGCCGAGTCTCCTGCGTCGATACTTCCGTAGCTCGTTGATAGATACACGATTCAGCAATCGAATATCACGTCCCGGAGAGGGCGTAGTGCTTTCCACTTCTCCATTTGGCAGCCATTGGGCCGGGCGCCTTCTGAAGAACTTGCGATGGAAGGCGGTTGGACAAAGAAGGTGTGAGGAAGTGATGACTTGAAGTCGAATGTCAGACGAGTGGCCAAAGATCAAATGCTCTACCGTAGCAGAACCGCCAAGCCGCCTCGGTCGCAAGACCGATGAGGTTAAGTCGTACGGTGAATCTTCAACTGCCTCTCCGCATCTTAAAGTTGGAGAAATCGCAGACTGGCAGCCGTTCTCGAGTCCATGCTTCATTCCTGAAAAATCACAGCCTCAACTTAGCCTTGCATTTAGCTGGAGCCAGCACCATATCGTCAAGATGGCCGCAGAGATTGGTGATAAAACATGGGAAGCAGTATGTGGAAAATCTAACCAAACTCTTTCTCTTATCATACACTGACATCGGCTGCAGTTTTTACACCAGCACAACTCTCTCCTGATCCTGCTCGACTCCCACGCTTCGTTATTAGCAGAAATGCGAAAATTTTGTGTCGACAACAGTGCCACCCTGGACCTGGTGCAAACGCGCCTACTCACCACCGAGAGCCTGATCGCAACGTTCAAATTATCTACCGAGTCATTGGCAGAAATCACCAAAGGTGAAGAGCAGAACATTAAGGAGGACACGAGAGCACCTGAAGCGGAATTACCCACCGTCCCAATGCCTTCGACAACAGCTAAATCGGATGCTCACCTAGCCACCGAGCCATTGCTGGATCCCAGCGGCCTTTTCACCGTCGACACGAATCCTACCCCAGTCGATCAGCTATACAAAGGGAAGCCTGTTATCGCGGTGAAAGCCAAGGACCGTCCCAAGCGGAAAGCTTCTGGGCAGCAGCCAGATTCAGGCCTTGTCTCTCAAAACGAGCCCCTGCCAAAGCGATCAAAAAAGGGTCATGAGCAAGAGGGACGGGTCCCCCAGGAGGAGGACGACTCATTTTTGAAAAGAGTCGAGGCAAGATCACGCGCGAAAGAAGAACGCAAAAAGGCGAGGTTAGACAAGAAACGCAAGAGACAGAGCGGTGATTCGACCGGGAGCGCCAAAGGTCCCATAAAGAAGAAGCAGAAAGAAAAGCACGAACCCAAATTAGCTACAGCGGCCACCCCAGTTGACCAAGAGACGCGCAATGGGAAGAGGCCGCACACTGAGCCAAATAACGACGGCACAAACGCACACTCGAGCAAGAAGAAACGCCGAGGGTCAAAGCATTGAATAAACCGGAAATGGCCAGCAGATAATACTCGATTGCTCGGCTTTGGTATGCATACCAAGTCAATGCCGATACTTTGTGGTGCCCTTTTCACGAACGAACAATCGCAAAGTGCTCCTCTGTGCACACACCCTCCACTCGCAGTACACAGTATGAGCTCTTGTTGTGTCACCCAACTCGAACTTAAACCCACGCCCTCCATAGCACCGCTCGCTCCAATCTCCGTCATCCCGCTTTCCTGTACTACTTGAGCAGTTGGCATAAATCGGTGGCTCGGTCTGCTTTGGAACCTCAAAACAGCCCAACTGCTTTTTGGACAAGGTACACCCTGGCTCGAAATTCAACTCTCCTTTATTTCCGTGCCAGTATTGAATGTGGATCATTCACGATAGTAAACAGCAGTCGGACCAGAGCTGCATTGAGTCTGAACTGCATTTTTCAGGCGACGGCCTAGGCCATACGCATGTGGACTCCACGCCTTCTTGCACTCATCAACTGATCAGTCCACGCCGTTGTCAAGACACCAAAAGTGAAGTCTCTGGTCGGTAATCTGATTGATACCATCGCCGTGAGAACAGACATCATCGCCAATCAAGGTTGGAAGCTCATACACCAGCAGACATGAGCAAGCCGCACAAACCCCGTCTCGCAGCCCGCATCTTTCCACCGCCAATCAAAGCCAGCTGCCCAAAGGTGGATATGGCCAATGCGATCACCAGTTCAGCGAACAGGCCTCAAATGACGCCACTTCACCGACGGACATGTGCAGCTCGCGTTCCAACCATCATTACGGATGGTGAAGCCAAGCAGCGCCATCAGCAGACTGAAAACAGCGAGAGGGCACGTGACGAGGTGCTGAGACAGGGCATCAAAGTGCGGGATTTCCAGGTCGAGGCGGATGCGAGGAGGTATGAGAGAAGCTAAGCCAGTTATTGCGGCGGTCGAGGTGTGTCGGAACCAGGTTGTGAGCGAGAGTAGATGGTAAGGGGAGTGATGGTAGACGGACATCATGCGGAGTCAGCACGCTGGCTGTGCGGGTGGCTTGTAAAACCCAAGGAGGCTTCCAGACCTCGTGATTGGCAGCGACTGGGATAAGGCGTGGGCTGGTAGAGAGCTCCCATACACAGATCCGCACCTATGTCCGGTGCTCAGATCGCAGTCCCGATTCATATATCACAGCCGGGGGAGGGCAGCAATATGAAGTTCGAAACTCTTCTTTCAACCACGGTTATTCCGCTTCTGCACAACCTCTTCGTCCATCTCTTTCAACTCCTCGGCTTTCTTCTCGCCTTGGTTCCAAACTTCCCAAATCTGGTCGACAATCATGCTTCCATAACCTTCCCCCTGCTCGAGTTTCTCCTGTTCTTCTTTTAAGCGGCGTTGTTTCCAGTCCTCGCTCTGCGCACCCGTCCAAGCTCCGCGAGCTTGATCCCGTAAGGTGGACGTCCCGTTCCTTCGCTCCGCGTCCTGCACCATCGGTTCGAGGGGTATCCGTTGATATCCATTCACCGAGTTACCAGCATCGTCGTCCTGGCCCTGGCCCTGTCGCAGCGGGGGTAACGGTCTGTCGTGGAAATGCCAACGCCGTGAAGCGTGGCCCATGAAGCCCGTCCCCGTGCGCTCTCTGAGCTGGTAGTTCGCCGACGCGACGAACGCGCCGGCCAGGGAGAAGGTGTACAGATCCAGCTTGCGGGGCGGGACGGCGATCAGGGCGGGTGCGAGGAAACACGCCGCGAGCGTCGAAGCGTGCGCGAAGCTGCGGTAGTCGTCGAAGAGCCTTCTTTGGCGCTGCTGCGCGAAATCCTGCTCCGTCCCAGACTCGGAGGGCGGCGCCATGATGACAGGACAGAAGGGCGAAAAGAACGAAGAGAAGGAAGGAGAGGGAGAGGGGAGAGGTGCCTATTTTAGCGGCTGCCGTTGTGTATCCATCAACCACGCCCGTTGAATTGAAATGTATGTCGGACTTCGAGGTTGAAGTGCTTTGCTTTCCACAGACACCTCAAGACACCTCCAGTATTCTTCGTTGGTCAGTCGCGTACTCCGACGGAGACAGCCCTGTGACGAGGGGCATATAGACCGTTCACGCAGTCCAGATTCTCTCGGTGCGAAATGTGTCACAAACTCTCACACGTCGTATTCTTCATTAAATATGGCGAAGAAAGTCCACCGAAGATCTAGCCTTTTCTTTTCCACCGAAGATCTAGCCTTTTCTTTTCCACGCAATGGAAATGTTGGCATCCCTCCCGGCGAAAACATGCTTCAGACATCGCGGTCACGTGCTTCCTTCTCATCGCTCAAGAAACTTTCTATATTTGAATGAAGAAAAAACAAGGGTAAAATGCCCCGACAGTTTGGCCGAGTGGTTGTAAGTAAATTTACCGTCAAGGCTAAAAGTGTGGGCATCACCTCTAACGAAATGTAGAAGGCGGCAGACTCGAATGGTCCGTTCTTGGACCAGAATCGCCATCTGCTGGGTTCGCCCGCACAGGTTCAAATCCTGTAGCTGTCGTTTTTGTTTTTTGCTACTTTTTTCTTCTTTCTTCTGGTTTTTCTTTTGAATTGTCTCCTCTGTTCTGGCACCTTTTTTTGGATCCTCGTAAGGAGAATACAGCTGAAGGGGAAAGGATAACTAGGTGTAGGCTGGGCGCGACCAATTCGAGCCGCGGGGAACCTCACAAAATAGTTCACGAACACCAAAAGGTCAAGAAACACACAATCAAAGTACGCGAGAATATACGAGAGAACTGAACGGTATTTATTACGTACGCAAAACTCTCAGTGCGTCCACTGGAGATATCTGCATTTTGCAAAACCTAATACCACGTCTGGCAGCCGACCAGCCAGGGGGGTGAATGGCAGAAAGCACCTATCAGCGTCTGAATAGGTGACCGGATACATGCTCAGTACCAATGCTTTCTGCTCGCTATGTCTGAATTATGGCAAAACACGCTATTTCTAGGGGAGGATGCTGTGCCAGAGAGTGGCAAAATGTCTTGCGACAATCGTGTGTATAACAATGTGTATATTTCGAATAGAAGTGAACAGGAGTGGGAATGGGTGCAGGCCGCTGCGGCACGCTGCTGAACGGCTGGAACACCAAAAGATCGCAGCATATAGCAGCGATTTCAACACCCCACCATGCGAGTCATGGCCACTGATGGACGGACCTTCTCACACCAGATGAGAAGGCCATCTCGGATCCTTGTTCAGCGACCGTGACGCGAGGGCATATCGAAGATGATATCGTCAGAAGGCGCCTGCGCCTCCCTGCGTGCTATCATGAGGAGGTAACACGCTATTGAACGATGCATGTGTACATTTGGGTGGCCATGTTGATGGATATCGGTAGAATCTGACCGAGAGTGTTGTGGCTGTCGAATTCAGGGTTGGTATTGAAAGGACTGGAAAAGGACTGGAAAAGTGGTGCTCGTCTATTGAACGACGCAAGTGTACATTTGGGTAGCCATTTTCACGTGGTATGGTAGTAAGCGATGGGCTTTCTGTAAAAGAGTGACTTGTAGTTGAGTTGGACTTGAGCGAAATTGTATGTGCGAGAAATAAATCGGTCGGGGATGGAGAGGGTAATAAATACCTTATCTCAGCATATTGCATAAAGACCAGTGAACTGAAAGCACCTCGAAAGAATTCTGTTCTCAGTTCCCCATTGGGTCATGGATGATTGAGGGTCGCCGCCACACAAAGAGGTGCGGCAAGGCTGAGCGCAGGGGGATGAGGCTTAATATTGTTCTCGTTTAGTATTGTCCCTTGCACACACAAAGCATTGGAATGCAGAAGGGCTTGCACAATCAAGTTGTTGCCCGCTGAGGAAAAGAACAAACAAGATTCCTAGGGGTCTGGCCCTGGGCGTGGTTTGGTTTCGTCCATGCTCATAACAGTACCTGAGTTGCACCAGTTTGACACCTCCACGACAATTATATGTTTGATATCTAGAATCGGGTGAAGGGCAGCCATTTGCCTCGAAGGGTGATTTTCGCCTGCATCAGATCAGCCCCGAGCTCTGGGACGCGTTGATAGTCTTACCCATGTAACGCCGTCCTTGTCGACCTCTTTCTCAACCTTGGTGGAGAAAGCGATTGCGCTCATGATGCCATCGCCAAACTTCTCGTTCATGACCGCTTTATACGCATATCCGTAGTTCTGGACGATCTCGTACAAGCGATAAATGAGTGGTTCCTTCGGGGGCATCTCCACGCTCTTTCCACGGTCTGGGAACCCGCTCATTTGTGCCTCGAGGATTTCATGGTCAATGTCAAAATACTCTGACAGCGCCTGGATATCCTCTGGAGACGCCGTCGCTTGTCCGTAGAACAGAGCAGCCACCGCAACCTCCTCTCGACCAATCGCCTTGGCAATTGCCTCAAAAGTCGCCTTCTTTTTCGCCTTCGCTTCGAACAAGGTCACAGAGGACTTGGGCAGGTTGGGATGTTGCGATACCTAACGATATTAGCTGCCATGTTTGCTCCTCCTCGGGGTGTGACAACTTACATCCAGAGTTGCGAGAGACATGTTGGATGCTGGTCGATGGAATTGCAACCTCTGAGGTCTGACGAAGCACAACGCAGGACGAGGCGCTGACCTAACAGCGGTGAAGGTAAGACGTTGTAGGGGACGCAGAGGCAGAGACATGTTGGAGGCAAAAGGACGCTGTATATATAGAGCCAATCCACAATGAGACTCCCGTGGAGATGTGCACTGGTCAACACTTGTATTTCCTTGAAGCTGTGCTCTCCTCCCCGCATCAACCATCATCCGGGCTAGTTGCCGTCATCTTTCGTCATCCAGACGACCCAGATCTGCCGGAACGAGATAGCTTCCGCCTTGCCGACTAGCTGTTCGAGAAGCTGGAGGAATGCTAAGGCAGAACGAAGACATGCGATGTGTTCCCATATCCAGGGTATGTCTGTGCCAATCCGATCGAGGGAGTTCTGCGTGTTGATGAGAAAGCCCTAAAGCTTCTTAGAATCAGCATCTTTCAATTGCCATTCCGCGACGAGGGGCAGCTTTGCAGGAGCTTGCCAGGGGGAGATGTATTTGGCGGGGCAATGAGGCGCAGCAGCTGCGAAGCTTTGCAAACTCGTCATTGGGGCCATTCAGCGCAGTGGAGGGTGTCGCAAGCACGCTGAACGCATTATGGTTGGCTCTACATGGGCCAAGTTGGCCCAGGCGCCCTCATATTACCCAGCGAGCCAGTATGCAGCGGTGTCCAGCTTGGCGGTGCTTCACTTGATTGCCATGGCATGAATCAGCTGAAACGTCAGTCACTCGCCCTGGTCATGGCTGAAACGAACTCCTCCATGACTGCCCGCCTCGTTTGAGTTCACCGCTGGACGTCCCTCATTGTTCTTCGCGCTGAGAGCAAATCTCTCGTCGCCGTCTGTATCCTCTGAATCGCCTGCCTTTTCAAATCCAGCCCCAGTTCAAGATCTTCACGGATTCCCGCCATGTCTTACCCACAGCGGCCGGACGACGACGGACTCGCATACAGTGACGATTATTCGCAGTCCCGTGGCAGCGGTGGACAAGACGGCACTGATCGATCGCTGCTGGGAGACACGTTCAAGAAGTTCAAATCCGAGTTCGACAAGTACAAGACCGGTCCCTCCTCCTCGTCCCAAAACTATGGCTATTCCGGCTCCGGCTCCGGCTCCAACCAGCAGTATTACGGACAACAAGGTCCCAGTACTGGATATCCCCAGACAGGTCAATCTGCCTATCCGGGAGGCCCGCCGACTCAGCAAGCGCAAGGCCGGCCGGATTTGGCATCCAAACTCTTTGATGGACTGCATAACACTCTGCAGAATATTGGCTCAGACGTCACAAACTTGCTAGGTCCAGGCAATCGACCCCCGGCCCAATCTGGGCCTCCGGCTCCAGGCCAGACTAGTTATGCAGGCTACGCCAGTGTGCCGGGATCGCAAGGAATCCCACCAGGCCCAAATCGCTATGACAGCTTCGCTTCGGAGAAGCAAGGTAACGATGTCAAGTGGTATGTTGATGGATGTGGATACTTCTGGGCAGTCAGTCAAGCACTCGAAGGAGCGAAGCACTCGATCTGGATATTGGATTGGTGGCTGTCACCTGAGCTGTATCTTCGCCGGCCACCCTCTCAAAATGAACAATGGAGACTCGATCGAACTCTGCAACGCGCGGCACAACGCGGTGTCAAAGTTAAAGTCATTGTGTACAAAGAGGTCACCCAGGCTTTGACTCTGTCTTCGGCGCACACTAAACATGAACTCGAGAAGTTACATCCCAATATTGCGGTCTTTCGTCACCCGGACCATCTACCAGATGCTCAAACGACCCAATCGTCCTTGATATCTTCGCTTCAAGCGCTAAAACTTGATGCTGCGGGACTCACTAAGCTTGGTGCAGATGCCATTAAGGGAGTATACGGCATGACCGACGATGTCATTCTCTATTGGGCACATCATGAAAAGCTATGCTTAATTGATGACAAGATCGCGTTCATGGGTGGCTTAGATCTTTGTTTTGGTAGATGGGACACAAATCAGCATTCAATCGCTGATGCACACCCATCAAACGCGAACGACATCGTCTTTCCTGGCCAGGATTATAATAACGCTAGAGTCATGGATTTCAGCGATATTGCACAACCTTTCCAGAACAAGCTCGACAGAACCAAGAACTCGAGGATGGGATGGTCCGATGTTGCTATTTGTTTGCAAGGAGCTTGTGTCCAGGACCTTCGTCACCACTTCATCGATAGGTGGAACCTCATCTTCGACGAGAAATACAATGTCCGCAAAGACCAACGGTACTATAGACTCCTCGATGATTTCCCTCACCCGGCGACTGGTCCAGGTCAGCGACCTCAATCACGGCCACAGTCGCAAGGGCACCTCCAACCTCCTGCTCCAGCTGGCGGATACGCACCACCCCCGGGCAGTCAACCCTACACAGAACCGGCGTGGCATACAACCAGCAGGCCGCAGACCCCGACGACGGGTCAATACCAGGCTCAGGCAGGACCCAATACTGGTGCATATGGCAGTGCAGCAACTCCCTCCATTCAGGGCACTCAGATTCAGTCACAACATTCTGAAGTACCATATGGTCAAACCATGGCGCCCGCGAGTCAAGGAGCTCAGACTCAACTACCAATCCAGCCTCCCCCTCAGACTTCTGTCGGTACGTATGGCCAAGTCCCTCCCCCTCCACCGCAAGCGAGCCCTCACCCCGCTGCTGGACCTTATGGTCAAGTCTGTAGTCCTCCGCAGCAGGTAGCTCCTGTCCAACAACCTCCAGCCCAGTCCTTTCAGCAGAGTTTCCCTCCACCACCTCCTGGGCCTCCGCCTCAAACATCAACGGCCCCAACACAGACTTATCCGGGATATCCACCCCCACCCAGTGCAAATCCCCCTTATGCTTCATACCATCAAGGACCGACAGAACTTTCGTCTCAACAGTCACCTAGCCAATCATACCAACCTCAGCCCTATCAACCTTATCAACACACCGGCCCAGAGCAAGCTCGGGGTTTCGACGAATATAACCAAGAGTCTAGCAGGGGCTTTGATGATTATGGACAGGGCAACGAGTCTGGAAGAGGCTTCGGGGGCGAGCGAGGCTTTCGAGGAAGAATTGACCAGTACAAAACCGAAGGCAAATTGCTGGGTCAACAACTCTCATCCATTGGCAATGTTGTCTCAGGTGGGCTTGGGGACAAAGCTCACCAGCTTCAAGGCAAATACCTTGGTGGTACGGATTCGTACGGGCGCCCGTATAATCAACCGCGACCCGTAATGACCTGTCAGGTACTTCGGAGCTGTACGACGTGGAGCAATGGAACCCCCCTTGAGCATTCTATCCAGAATGCATATATCGACGTAATTCGGAACAGTCAGCATTTCGTCTACATCGAGAATCAGTTTTTCATCACTGCCACGGGCGATCAACAAAAACCGGTCAAAAACTTGATAGGTCAAGCTATAGTTGAACGAATACTTCGAGCAGCCCGGAACAACGAGAAATACAAAGTGATTGTTGTCATCCCAGCAGTGCCAGCATTTGCTGGTGACCTTCGAGATGATTCTTCGCTAGCCACCCGGGCCATAATGGAGTTTCAATATAACAGCATCAACCGTGGTGGCCACAGCATCATGGAAAAGATAGCGCAGGCTGGCTTCAATCCCATGGATTATATTCGATTCTACAATCTACGGAATTACGATCGAATCAATTGTAGCAATACAATGCAGCAAGTCGAACAACAAAGCGGGGTGAGATATGAAGATGCCCGGAAACAGCACGATGATGCTGTGGGAGCCGGGTATGGGCAGTATGGCGAGAAGACAGGAACCACTCAATTGTCTCAAGCTCCTCAATACCAGCAATATCAAAGCGCCGCACAGCAAATTGCAACCCCTGGAAGTGGTCGGTGGGACAGTGTAGCAGAGTGTTACATGCTTGGCGGTCAGGACATCCGTACTGTCCCCTGGGACGGTCCTCCTGAATCTGAGCTCGATGCGTTCGTTAGCGAAGAACTGTACATTCATTCCAAGGTAATTATAACAGATTATGCGAGTTATTCTTTGTCTAATCGGTCGCAGTGTCTCATCGCAGACGATCGAATTGTCATTCTAGGGTCTGCCAACCTAAACGACCGAAGCCAACTCGGATCACACGACAGTGAAATCGCTCTGCTGATCAACGATTCTACGCCGGTTCAGACGTACATGAGTGGCCAACCGTACCAGGCAAGCGGTTTTGCAGCCTCCTTGCGGAGACAGCTCGCCCGAAAACATCTCGGTTTGATCCGATCTCAGCATTTCTTTAGGCCCGACCCCAATTTTGAACCAGTCGGAGTGCCAAATGCGTATGACTGGGGCTCACCTGAAGATAATGTCGTGGCAGATCCTCTCAGCGACACTTTCCAGGCACTGTGGAACAGTCGAGCAAGGACGAATACCGAAGTCTTCCGAAAGGCGTTCAGGGCGATCCCGGACGACTATGTGAATACGTGGGCTGATTACAAGGAGTTTTATGAGTACTTCTACAACCATGCAGATGCACAGGCTCAAGGCAAGCCCAGCAAACTGCCACCTCGCGTCGAGTACGGGCATGTTGTTAGAGCAGACTTCCCTGGGGGAGTGAGCGAGCTGAAAGAACTCCTGAGTCAAGTCAAGGGCACTCTGGTGGAGATGCCGTTGTGTTTTCTTCAGAGTGAGTGAGGTGTCTTGTCACCTTTCTGGCATTCACTGACTTGCATTACAGATGAAGACATTGCTAAAGAAGGGCTGACCTTGAATCCGCTGACTGAAGAGGTCTACACCTGAGGGAGAAGCCTAAATGAAAAATAAGTGGCACGTTTAAAGCCTTCGATGGTAATGAGCGTTCCATTTACCTCTGGAAATAGAGGCGCTCTGTCCTTCATCTACGCCGTTAGCTGTGTTCGATATAGCGACCACGTCATCGTCGTTGAGCCCTCTACAGCTACATTGGATACAGGGTGTGTTTTGCGTCAGACCGTGCCATTTCTTTTTCCAAGCTTGGAGGGCAATCTCGCCCACAGAATGCCACTCAAGGTCATTATTGTTGACAACTGAGCTATGATTGAATGACTGAATGAAATCTGAGCATGCATGTATTTTGTCCGCTCTTCCTTTTCCCCGAACCCACGCATGCTCGGTGCAAAGAGACACGTTGGCAGTTTTGGTTCAAGTAGTGGACGGGAGGGGACAAGACAGGACTCGAGGCATTTCGTGTGGTGTGTCGTGCTTGGCCGTAGGAATACAGTGGGTGATTACGGTGAAGCAGCCATATTTCTTGCGCCCTTAAATAAGCTTTCCGTTCCCTTGTCACTCCAATCTATCCCTTGATTCGGTCCTCTTATGAGAACATGGAAAGAGGCACCCTGCCGTCCAGATCTTTTACCAAACTCAGTCCCTTGCAAGGAAGGGACACTGTTGGTTGACCAGAGGGTCAGTTTCACCTTCCTGGTCCTCAGTGCCCAGCTGCCAGCTGCCGGCGGGATCCTCTCGCCTGCTTGCTGCCTTCCACGTTTGCTCTTTCACTGACCTCTTTCACTGACATCTTCCTCAACTTTGCCTTGTCATATCTGTCTTCCTCACTTAACCCTGTCTTCTATCGAATTTCCTCTTTGATTGTAGAAGCTTTGCTCTGTCCCAGATCAAAACCTGGCCTTCTGTCCCAACTTCCTCGTGTCCTGCTCACTCTCCCAGCTCGTGATCTTGGTACATCAATGTCACCATGAAGATCAAATGCACCTTCGAAAATTGCCACCAGCACTTCAACACCAAGGAGGCCATGATTCAACACAAGGAGGTAGCGATCTATCACTCGTACTGCAAGCGATGCGACGTCGACTGTGAAAATGACATGTTCTTTTTCATTCATCAGCTTGGAAGTCCAGCCCACAGTGAGTTGGCTTTTCTTCCATTTCGTGACCATCCTCGGCCACTGACGATCTCATAGTCTGCTGTCCGATTTGTGGCAAGGAGGTATTTGAATAAGCGCTTGGAAGAATAGTATAGCCGTCGCTAACCCAAACAGTTCAAGAGCACGATTACCAGAGACAATCATGTGGAAAGTGTAGGCACCACTGTCAAATATTAATCAAATACTAGCTGATATAGGATGACAGCAACATCGTTCTGCTCAGAACATTGGGTGTGCTGGTTGCGGAGAGACGTGTCGATCGGCCGCGGCACTGATACGGCACATCGAACAGGACGAATGCAAAGTCATTCGGCTGACGGATTTTCAGATGCAGCGAGCCGAACGCCAGATCCAGAAAGACGCATGGAAGGCGGAAACAGATCCATTTACTGTCAATCAATCGACATGCGACGAGAAGAGTGCCACCAACAACAGTTTGCCCGATCTATTGAGTGGTATGGCAACCCATGAGTCTGGGCGATCGCTCAGCAACACCCTCGGCGGCCCAATCTCGACTGCATCGCATGGACACTTTCCACCACTCACAAAGTCTCATGCTTCGAAGATGGCCAATCTCAATCCTGGTTCACAGCAAGCTGGTCTTGGGGTTAAGACCATGAGTAACTTCGTCGACCTCGACCCACCCGTTGAAAAAGCTCGAAAGAACTTGCACATCTCCCAGCCGGCATGGGAGGTGCAACCAAAAGGTGATTCATCACAAGGCAGTGCCAACACTAACACTGGAATGGTCACGGGATGGCTTAAGGCGGTCACCGGCGCGGCTGAACCACCATCTGACGACGCGAGCGAAGTTGCCTCAATGTACGACAGAAAGGCGCCGTCATCCGAGGACATTGAGCAAATCCCACCAACTTCATGGACAAAAGCGAATCCGAATGCTCCTCACCAACATATCGTGCAACTGCCCGCTCACTCCATTGTTTCGACGAATGCTCAACTCGAGATTGAAAAGTACTGGGACGCCATCCGCCAGGTGTATTCTTGTCCCACCATCAAGTGCAAACGTCAATTCAAGACGCCCGTCCAATTTAGAGAGCATCTGCTGTCCTCATCACACATTGGTGGTCAGGTCACTTGTCCCTTGTGCTTGAAGTTGTTTGCGACCACCTCAGCTTGGGTGGCCCATACCGAGTCTGCAAGCAAGCGTTGTGATATCCGCAACAGTGCCAACTTCAATCAGATTATGCGAGAAATCACCGGTGGAGTCCTAGGAACACGCGGATACAATGACAATGGCACGGTCAAGTTCGTGGCACCAAAGATTGAAGATTGGTGAAGCGACCGGAAACCTCCATGGCCCGCTTGAATGCAAATCACACCCCGCCTAGGTATCATGTCGAGCCCAATTTCAAGATCAAGATCATGCCAATCCCTGAACAGAATTTAACAAGTCCACTCGACAGAACATTTATGGCATTTGCAGTGCTGAGAGACCTGGCTTGATATTATTGCTCAAAATTTTCTTTTGAAGACGACATTAGCTTTATTACTTTCGGACCCCCACGCCTGAAGCGCGCGTAGATTGTCATGAGCATCAAGTCGCATTGAACTGAGAGCGCCTCTGAAGAACATGGTGCGAAGGAATATGAATCAGGAAACAACCAGATATCCCTAACAACAACAAAACAAAAAAAGTCGAGCACGACCGTTCCGATGAAGCAGGGATATTGCACAGATGACACCTGAGAGGAAAAGTCCGGATACGCGGCTTGAAATTACACCGGTATAAATGCCTCTACACGAGAAGGACCCAGCAGAAGCAGCCGCTGGCAACTTTAGGAATGTGCTCAGACAACCAATTCCGGCTGAATAGCATTCAACAGACATTGTACATGGCGCTCAAGGTACGGGTCTCTCCACACAGCCTTGGTTCCAAGGTTGTTTTCATGTGTTCCGTCAGTAATCGTGGCTGCATTAAGATCAAAGCATATGTCGAGATCGTCTCTTAAGCGGACCGAAGACGCCCAGCGCTTACCTCCTCAAAGAACTGGACAGGTCGTTACGGGCTTTCCCCATCCTTTGCCGTTCGTACTCTAGCTCATCGACTTCATAATCCCCCTACTCTGCCTCAGTTCACAAGCGACTCGCGAACCCGTCTCTGTCGACCCTGCACAGGTACTCCCTTGTAATGTCCTTGACCTTGGTCACGCCCGCCAAGCCCATACAGAGTCTGAACTCGTCACTCAACAGTCTCAGACACAACTCGACGCCTTCCTGCCCTTTGTACGCCAAGCCCCAGAGGATGGGTCGTCCAACCCAGCAGAAGTCAGCGCCCAGGGCAAGGGCCTTGAAGATGTCGGTGCCGTGCCGGATGCCGCCATCGACGTGGACGGGCACACGTTTCTTGACCGCGGCCACGACTTCCGGGAGGGCGTCGAGGGTCGCGAGCGCGCCGTTCAATTGCCGGCCGCCGTGGTTGGACACGATGATCCCGTCGCAGCCGTGGTGCACCGCGAGCTCGGCATCCTCGGCCGTCGCGATGCCTTTGACCCAGACTTCCATCTCGGGGCCGCAGACCTCTTTCAGCCAGGGGATGGACTCGTCCCATGACAGGGTCGGGTTTGCCGCGTGTGTGTGGAATGTGATGGGCCCGCCCGGGGGGATGCGACGGTGGCCGTCGTGGTAGCCAGCCGTGCTGGGACGCCGTTGGCGTGGCATTTGCGGCCGGCGAGAGGCTGGAGTTTTCTTCTCGTCAGTGGCTGTCGTGGTTCGACTGTGCTCCCTCCCTGCTGCTGTATCTGTGTCCTCATCTTGTTCCGCAAAATTCGCTATGGAGAGGTGGGCCGGCAGTTTGAACTGATTTCTTATCTCGAGATTGCGGCGGCCGAGCATGGGTGTGTCAACTGTCAGGAGGACGGCTCTGTACCCTGCCTTTTTGGCGCGGTTTATGAGCTTCAGGGAGTGGTCGCGCTCTTCGAAGAGGTAAAGCTGAAGGACGTGGGTATTGGCCCCGCTGGCTTGGGCGACGTCCTCGAGAGTGCTGGTTGAGAATGAAGAGAGGCCCATGACAATTCCGCGTGAGCGACAGGCTCGTGCTGTGGCGATCTCTCCGTCGGAATGTGCCAGTCGTTGCATTGCCGTGGGCGCCACGCCGAAGGCAGAGCTGTTTGTGTGTCCGAATACCGGGACTGTGGCATCTATCTGGGATATGTCTCGTAATACCCGCGGACGGATGCGATATTTCTCGTAGGCCGAGATGTTCTCAGAGAGGGTGCTCCCGCAGTCGGCGCCTTCGTTATAGTAATCTCGCGTCTGCTTGTCCATGCGCTCATAGGCGAGGGATTCGAGCTCAGAGATGGTGAGGCAGTTTAGGTCGTGCGGTTCGGCTTGGGGGGCTCGAGGAGCAGAGGGGTCGGGTTTAGAAGGCGCCTGGGGGGCCATTGGTGCGGGCGAGGAAAAGAGCAGGCGGGATCCGTTATTTAGGAAGCTGTATGCTGGTTGAAGCAATGTTTTCCACCGCTTCCTTTATAGCAAGAGACGAGAGAGATCTGCTAACAGAGAAAATGGCACGGGGTACTTACGATAGCAATCGGACATACCTGTCTGCAATTCGATCTTTCCAGCTTGAAATCGACGCAGATGACGCTGTTTGAGCAGTCGAATCTGGGGTCTGGGGAGCTCCCTATCGCGTATGAAATCAGCGATCGACGAGCTGGACTAGGACTACTACGCATGACGTCGTGGAGATGGAAGAGGCGTTGGTGCGAGGGAAGATGGAGGAAGAGATGCATGACGAGTGCGCGGGGAAGAAGCGAGCAGCGCCAAATCGGGAACGGCGAGGACGGCAATGGAGCCTCGTCCGACTTTTGTCGCGTCTCGCATGGAACGGACGAAAATAGCCTGATTTCCCTCGCACTCTACAAGACTCCCGTCTGCGCGTCGCCCTCGATGGGGATGGAGACAGTCATGATGCCAGACAAATAGCGGACAAGGCCTTCCTTTCGACTCTCCCACGGACCGACAGTCTCCCCTGTCCGCCTGCTTACCCGTTCTCAGCAGCCATGGACCTCTCCTTGAAAACCCTCCGCGGCCTCCTCACGAATCCTACACACACGAGATTGACAGCTCCATTGATGCTCCTGGGCGAGGCTGCCCTCTGTGGCCTCATTGTCTGGAGAGTGCCGTACACCGAGATCGACTTCACGACGTACATGGCCCAAGTGCGCATGTTCCTGTCGGGCGAAAGAAACTATGCAAACATCACGGGTCCCACGGGTCCTCTCGTTTATCCGGCCCTTCATCTCTACATCTATTCGATCCTCTATACGCTCACCGACCAGGGCACCAATATCCTGCATGCTCAGATCATCTTTGCCGGGTTATACCTCGTGACGCTGGCCGTGGTATTTGCATGTTACAGACGGGTGGGCGCACCGCCGTGGCTTCTGATACCCTTGGTATTGAGCAAGAGAATGCATTCTATATTCTTGTTGCGGCTGTTCAATGACTGCTGGGCCACGCTGGGACTTTGGCTCGCAATCTACTCCATGCAACGGCGCAAGTTCGGAAGGGCAGCGATCATATGGGGACTGGGATTGGGGGTGAAAATGACTCTATTGCTAGCTGCACCCGCTGTGGGAGTCATCATTTTGCAGGCCCTCGGTACAGGCGAAGGGCTTTTCACAGGTCTCTATGTCTTTGTCCTCCACATGGTCATATCCATGCCCTTCTTCGGCGAAGGAACGAGCCTTTCATATGTCCAACGCTCATTCGACATTGGGAGACAATTCCTGTACAAGTGGACGGTCAACTGGAGGTTCGTTGATGAAGAGATGTTTCTGTCGCGCAATTTTGCCATCAGTCTCTTGGTCATCCACGCATCCTTGCTGCTCCTGTTCTTTCAGACGAAGTGGATCAAGCCCAGTGCTTCGAGCTTGGTCGAGTTTGCCAAGAAATACATGTTTGGTATGAAAGAGGCGGAGGAGCTGAGAATCTCCAAAAAGGTCACCTCGATCTTTGTGATGGATACCGTCCTAGCCAGCATGGTGATCGGTATGCTGTGCGCCCGGAGTCTGCACTACCAGTTCTTTGCATATCTCGGATGGGCAACCCCGTATCTGTTGTGGAGGACCGGGGGAGGTCCTCTCTGGGTCTTTCTCAATTGGGCAGTCCAGGAATATTGCTGGCTGGTATATCCGAGCACGGACGTGAGTTCAATGGTGGTGGTGGCAGAATTGGCGCTGCAGGCCATGTGCGCTCTTGTTGCACCACCCGTGGATCACATCAGTCCTCCGCCAGCGAGTTCGCAAGAGTTGAGGAGCTGAGAGGCAGACGCATCATCCTGTTTCGTCCTCGCTGTCCGAAGGCGGCATCCGGCCCACCCGTGAGTCCTTGTCGTCACTGTCGGCCAGTGTGGTCCTCTTGACGAACTCTTGCGGCCAGAAGGGTTGTTTCCTCCACGCCTTTTCGTCACCAACGATATTCACAATTTCGCCCTGGATCTTGTTGTCCCGGTCGGCCGTGGTAGTGGTATCTACCAGGACATAGCCGCCGCGCTTGACGAAGATGGTGGATCTGAAGCGGGCTTCAAGTTCGACGAGAAACGTGGATGAGTCGGGGGTCTGGACCGTGTAGAGGTCTTTGCCGTTGACTTTGACCACACGGGCGATCAACTGACCGGGAGCCAGAGAGTCAGGAGGAGTGAGGGTCTCTTCCGCGGTGCTTCGGATCTTACGGCGAGACATGGCGATAATGGGAACAAAGTGATTCGATCTGGTGGCACTGAAAAGGCAAAAGCAAGACCAAGTTGCGGTGACATTTTGGGGATTTTTTTTTTCTTCTGGCAATTCTGGCCGGGCAAGCGGGGGAAGGAGAGCATTGACAACCTGTGGTGTTTGGCGGGCAGCGTGTTGAAAGAGGAAAGAAACCCGGGCGCAGGCGGGTGGCTTTCTCACCCAAGCTCACCCAAGCTCACCCAAGTCACTCCCTCTCGGTGCCTCATCACACCCCCCTTACACCCACCACAAATCACCACAAAGCACCGCTATCAACCCGTCTCCATCGAGCTTCTACCCGGCGAATGCGGCAAAATACCCTCGAATCAACACTGGCTGATAGTATTTTCTTGAGAATTTAACAGTCGATCTACAAGCTCGTCCCAGGCCCACCATGTCCACAGGCTTCACATCGGTCCATCTCGCACCGCGCTTGCACCCAGCTTCAATGGACTCAGACCCAAATATGTTGCCTTGTTCTTATCAATGCGAGCGTATTCCAAGTGGGGCATGACCTGGATCAAGAGAGAGAGAGAGAGAGAGAGAGAGAGAGAGGTATATGTATATTTTCTCCCAATTCTGTCGTGACTGCCATCTTCTACCCACGTCTGCAATTGTCCCATCTCCTTTTCGCTTCTTCTTATTCTTCGTCTTCTTCATGATGACAGTACAAGCATTCGGTGCCTTTATCACCCATGAAAGTGACCCATCCGCTGCTGTCCGTGGACTTGCCCCCGTCGTCCATCGAGACAACATTACCGCTGTGTCACCCACTGAGTACGAGCTCGACGAACTACAATGGGGCAGACGCTTGAACGGTCCATGTAAGGCGCCCTCTCGCAATGCATCGCCTGTCGGTCGGTCTCTTCCTCCAACGCCTGGCGAGTTGGAACGAAGTCAACCTCCTACACCAAAGCGAGATCAAGCTGTTGATGCCATCGTTCAGTCCATATCGAATCCACCCAGAAATCGTTGGCGAGTAGCGGCGGCGAGTGTCATGTTCTTTTTGCTGGGCCTGAATGATGCCGCCACTGGTGCTTTGATCCCATACCTGGAAAAAGACTACCATATCGGATATGCCATTGTTTCTTTGATTTTCATCACTAATGCTCTCGGGTTTATTTCGATGGCACCAGTCATCCAGCTCATCGAGTCTCGGCTCGGTCGGACTCGTTCCTACATCATCGCAACCTCTATGATGAGCATCGGCTACATTACCATCGTCTGCTCTCCACCATTTCCTGTGGTGGTGCTCAGCTTCTATTTTCTCGGCTGTGGGATGGGACTGTTTCTAGCCATGACCAACGCCTTTATTGTCAACTTGCTCAATGGCACTGTCGTCCTAGGCTTTTGCCACGGTCTATATGGGGTAAGTCAAGACATGTCGGCATGGGCTTCGACCGAAGCTAACTTCTGCCAGCTGGGCGGTATTGTCTCCCCTTTAATTGCTACGGCCATGGTGTCAAGCGGCATTCACTGGGCGCATTTCTACTTCATTACGCTGTCTATATCCTTGCTTTCTGTTTTGTTGATGGGCTGGTCCTTCAGAGGCTTCGAGAGCGATGCTGCTGTCCAGTTACTTTCGTCTCTCGAACGGACCGCTTCACGCCAGGCTGCTGGTTCGGCCGAACTCACCAAAGTTCAGGTGCTCAAAAGGGCGGTCAAGAACAGGACAACGCTCCTTGGAGCGACCTTTGTCTTGTAAGTTGCCTCGATGAAACATCGATCCACTAGTTTGACGTTTCCTAGTTTCTATCAGGGAGCAGAGGTGGCCATTTCCGGCTGGGTCATCTCTTACCTGATTCATTACCGAAGAGGCGATCCCTCCCATGTCGGTAATGTCACCTCTGGATTCTGGGGCGGCATTACTGTTGGAAGGTTTATCTTGACTCATTTTGCTCACAAGGTCGGGGAGAAGTTTGCGGTCGTTCTCCTGATCATTGGAGCCGCCATCTTCCAGCTTCTGGTTTGGCTTGTACCAAACATTATCGGAAACGCCGTGGCAGAATCCATTGTCGGTTTATTCCTCGGACCAATCTACCCATGCGCCACCGCCGTCTTTGCCAAACTTTTACCCAAGAGCATCCAAATCAGCAGTTTGTCAGTCGTGACATCGATGGGAAGCTCTGGCGGCGCACTGGTACCTTTCATCACTGGCATATTGGCACAAAAATTGAGTACCGTTGCCCTCCACCCGGTTGTTTTGATTTCGTTTGCGTCAATGTCAGTTACGTGGTTTCTGCTGCCACGCATTGGGAAGAGGACCGAGTGAAAAATATCCTCACATCTGATGACGAAATTATATTGTCATGGGTCATCCAAATCATCTTTCACACCTTTTTATGTTCTTCGCCAAGCCATAATTGGACTACCACTCGGACAGCATCTAGTCTTCTCAACTATTATATTGGGCTGGATTTGCCATTGGAAGACCCCGACGCAAAGGACAAATCCTTCCATGGACACGGCGCAAAACACTTCTGAAACAGATTTCAAAATTGTAACCTGCAACACTTCACTGGGCCCTCACTTGTCGAGTTTGTCACGTATCCTATCAGCTGAAGCCACGGTGACACAGTCTTCGATCTCGTATCACACATGATTACGCGATCGCAGCCCAACTGATAAATGCAGCGCCATGGACCGCACAAGAGATGAACCACAACAACCTCGGGGAATCCGTAAACGTCTGTACCAATGGGCTGGTCAAGCGGTCAATCGATTACCTGACACCAACATGGGGCCTGCTACTCTCTCACCTGCAAGCCATCAGACAGACATCGCCTCTACACAGAAGCCCACGCATCACGATGATGGCAATGGCGTCTCAAATTCTCCAACAATACCAGATCCCTGCCGGTTATGGGTCAAGGTGCGTGGCACTCATGAATTTTTCTGCCGCATCCTGTTTCATTTCTTGAATACACTAGGAACAATGCCTGGTTGTTTGCTAGTTGGTATTCAGAGTCGCTTGCGTCACTTGCTATTGTCTTCAACCCGCCGTAAGCTTTTCACAATCGATCAATCAATCACTTACCCAATACTCTCGTGCTGTTGAGTGTTCCTGTGAGGATATATTGAAAATGTAAAACGCCTGCTGGAGCACTTCCTCTCGTGCTCCTTTCTCACCTCAAAAAGATCTGTCTGCCATGAACTAGGCAATGCAGCGATGCCAAAACCATCTTGCCCAATCTTTCCATGGATCTCTGTTTATTACTTACATTGTACATATTATCCAACCTAACATCTCTGCTCCAGGCCTCGCCGCTGCCGATAGACACTGCACCAGCTCTTGTCAATACTTCCAGCACAACGACCGCTTGCAAGCCATATCCACCCAGCATAGGCATAGTCTGCGTTGACTCCATTGGAGACGTTCATAGCGCCACAACCTACGTCAAGCGCGACCTGGGATTTCAAGGTCAACTCGGCCAGTACGTCCTTCTGAGTTACGGGGACACCCTCTACAGTGATGCCAACTATAGCGATACATGGCGCGGCATGACAAGCGACTCAGTCGCGATAGCCACACAGAATCCGCTTGTGGTTGTGGACCCTGTCCTCGACTCGCAAGGCTACCCGCCACAGTTCTGCCCGCTTATATCCTCCTTCGGAGAGGATGCGGCCACATGCGCTTTAGGCATCACTAATGTGGTCGAAACCGCCACGCCAAACGAAGGAGTCATGTTCTTCCTCCTGAATCACCGTCCCAACGGCACGAACAATCTTGTTGGCGCCGGGGTCGCCTCGATCACCCTCGACACGTCAGCATATCCTCCTGTTCCGGAAATACGACGTCTGCCTCCGCAATACTGGTGGGACGCCACGTGCGAACCTTGGTACGGAGACGTCGGCGCGCTGCGGTGGAATGAATACGTCTACGCATACGGCCACGGGCCACAAGGCAATCCCTGGGTATACTTGACTCGAGTCCGTGCGGACGAAGCCACCAACGTCAGCTGCTACGAGTATTGGAACGGTGAGACATGGCAGAATGACAGGCTCGATGGGAAAACCATTGGTGAGAAGGAGAGTGTATTCTGGCAGGTCAACCAGGGACAAGTGGTCTGGTCCAACTATTTTGGATGCTTCCTCTTCGTGTATTGTGGTAAGTAGTCACGAACGCATTCTCGCCCGGACAAGAGGACGAACCTAACATTTGGTTTATTTTACCCTGGCTAGACAACTGGATGAACTCGAAAGTGCTTCTGAAAACTGCCCAACGACCCGAAGGACCCTGGTCAGACCCGATAACATTGTACCAGGCAACGCCGATCACGCCGGCCAGTTCAATCTACGCTGCGGTGCCCCATCCTTATTTCGATGAGACTGGGAAGACTTTGGTTGTCACATTCACGAATCACCCTAATACCGTGCAAGCTGTGCGGGTCGTCTTTGCCTGAGGTGAAGTGAAATACGGAAGTCTGCTTGAGATGGGAGCAAAGGGAGCAAACACCAAACATGAACAGGTCGAATCCCTTCTAAGTACAGTGCTTCCGGGGGTGAGGGGATCAATCACCTCTGGGTAGTCTGGAGCCAAAGCAAGCAGGTATGGAATGTCTTTTGTCCGTGGCTCGAAGATGCAGGTCCTGTATCAGCGACGGACTTGGAGGTGTACTCCCAGCTTGGTTAATACATCCAATTCAATCATTCAAGGTCCAAGTCTCCCCTTTCAAAGACCTGGAGACGATCCGTCCAACTAGAATGCAGGGACAGGGCTTTCATGCAATCACGACAACGGCGACTTCTGCAATCTTCTTTGCTGTCCAGCTCCTCTCAACAATGGGGTCGATTTGGCGTGGCTGCTCGTGTAGGTCTGAGGTATATTGTGGTGCTCACCTCGCTGCATGATGGCATCGTCTGGTTGGCCGTCCGATGGCAGAGGAAGCGAGATGACTGGGGCCTCTCTCAAATATCAGGCGCGGTGCTTTCAGATTCGACACAAAGAAGTGCATGCATTACCAACGCAGTTCAATGTAACACATGTATTGCCAAGGTCATTTTTATTTTCTGGAACAGCCCGATGTCCAGCCTCTCCACTTTGCCGCCCGTGTCTTGTGCACGCTCTTCCCCAGTCGGCTTATTTGTTTCGTCCCTTGTCGCCCCTCGTCTCCTTCTAACCTCCCCGCCGCCCGCATCACCCTCCACATTCACTCACTCCCTGTCGCCCTTCCACACAAACTCCTGCTTAACGCTCCCTTCGCACAACGGCCTCAATGCGTACCCATAGTCCCCGCCATTCGGGGTCCTCAGCAGGGTGTGGATATGGAACTTGGCCGGGTCCTTGTTGTTCAAGAAGACGCCGCTATGGTGGTCGAACTCGACGAGCACTAGGGGGCTCTGGATGCGGAAGTAAAATGGGTCCGCGCTGGCGAAGCCACCGATCCAGCAGAAGTATGTCTCGTGGTAGAGGGCGCGGCACTGGTCTAGCCGGATCGAGCGCGCGGGCTGCGGCAGGTACAGGAGGTATTGGGTGAGGATCTGGTCGACGAGGGACTGTTGGTCGGCGGTGAGCGAGGACACCGGGATGCCCTCGTAGGGTACGACACGGTTATCTCTATACGCACCGCACAGGTGGCGTTGGTCGTCGTGGTTCCACCGCCCCTCGGGCATGGCCGGGTCTTTCATCTCCTTGTACACCTGGGCCTTGCGCTGCTGCTCGGCGGGCAGCGACTGCATCAGCTGCAACCCGAGCTTTTCTTCCTCGTGCAGGATCCGCGTGCCCTTGTACGGCCCATCGTCGATGATGTTGGGCTCGGCGCCCGTGAACCACGGCGAGATGAGCATCTGGGTGCGGTAGAGGAAGACGTTCAGGCACAGATGGTGGCCGTAGAAGCTGAAGCCCCACGGCGCCGTGGTCGACGGCTGCCCGAACAGCACAAAGTTGTACGAGAACTCGTTCATCACGGCCGTGCCCTGGACCAGCTCGCCCAGAAACCCGTTGATGCGCATCGCCGCCACGGCCTTGTCGTAGCCCTCGGGCGAGAGCGTCGCGCGGAGCACGGCCATCACACCGTCCCGCACGCCCGGCTCGAGCTCGTCCAGCCGGACGCCCTTGTCGCTGAGGAGGAACTCTGGATTCGACCAGGTACGCCACTCGGGCGAGTCGATGTGGTGCGAGAGCTTGGCGACCTGCGCTGGTGTCAGCTGGCTCATGAGCGCCTGCGCCGCGGCGACGATGCCGTCAATGGGCACGCCTTCGTCCTGGATCTTGAACATGCCCGGGCGCACGACGCCGTCATTGGTCACGCCCTTGAACGGCTCCTTGAGCAGTTCCAGCCAGTGCTTGTACAGGGCGTGCAGCCACGGCGGGATCCCGGACTCCTTGAACGCCGTGGCGTAGACGTGGGCGTCTTGTTTCGCCATGGTCGTGAAGCGCGGGATGCTCAGGTCCGGGAGGTATTGGCGATATTCGCTTTCTCCTGACGTCGAGGTCGCCATCGTTGTTCGGCTGATAGGATGGATCAGATGTATGGTTTCTTCAAGCACAGGTCGAGCCGTGTCTTTGTTACTGGCAGGTCCTCAGAGGAGAGTTTGTCCGTGCGATGAATACCCCCCGATGTCAGAAAATCCGCTCAACGGCTTGACCCAGTGCCTTTTATATCATGAACCCTTCTCGTCGCCTGCAAAGAGATGGCGGTCCCGAATGCGGGACAGCATCAAGGGATATCGAACTTTATCTGAAGAGGTACTCAATTCTCTCTGCTCTCAAGTCTTCTGTAGCAAATCTCGACATTTTCATTTATTGAGACGTCCCCACGCAGTGATTTGTGGCGGGGCAGCAGCAAGTGGTGAGCAACCTTGTAAGCCCATCGGAAGAGGCACCCACAGGCGTCGTTCGGTACATTGATAGTCCGACCCGACCTGCTTCCGCCCGCTTCAGCGTCTCCGCAATGGCTTCATCACCCCCTTTGTTCTTGCTTCTGTACTTGTATATATCAGGTCAGGATCAGGCCACGAGGTCTGGAAGAGGGCACAGCATGCTCAGGAAGGTGGCTGCCGACGTGCCGTGGAAACGTAAAGCCGCTCTCCCGCACCGTTGAAGTATTATCAGCTCACTTCTCTCCGTCAGGGCTGGTTCGTTTCGTCCCACGGGCAGATCCATCAAAGGTGCTTATTGGACAGCCTCAAGATGACAACGTCGATGTCGGCATCGCTCTGCGGAGAGGTCTTGACGTTCCCGTCAGTGTCTTCTCTGGTTCCTCCGTCCTGTCGCCTGGGAGGGATACCGGGACCTCTGCCGTCGTCGATCGAGTCCTGTCTCCTCTGGCCATGTCTGAGGTTGGGACTATTCGATGTATTGGGTTGAATGTGAGTATCTTAGGCCCATATGCTAGGCTGTGACGGAAAGAATTGCTCAACCACCCTCCAAAATAGTACAAGCAGCATGCGGCGGAAGTGAACATGACCCTGCCCACTGTGCCTACGGTCTTCATGTAAGTTTTTTTGGGGGGGTTGCCTTTCTACACCAGGACTGACTGTCTTCGCATTCGGACTAAAACTGGGGCACAGGAAACCAAACACATCGCTGGGTGACCCCTGGCCAGCGCCGACGATACTGCCCAGATTGACCCAACAAGACGACTGCGGCGACTACGAGGCCGAACTGGCTGTGGTGATCGGCAGGGCCGCCAAGAATGTCTCCCAAGCCGACGCCATGGACTACGTCCTGGGCTACACGGCCTGTGACGACGTCTCCAGCCGTACGGCTCAGTTCGCGCAGAGCCAGTGGTGTTTCTCCAAGGGCTTTGACGGCGCCTGTCCCATCGGCCCGGCTCTCGTGTCCCCCTCACTCATCCCGGACCCATCGAAGCTGCACCTCCGCGGCCTGAAGAACGGGAACCAGGTCCTCCAGGACTGCGGGACCGACGACCTGATCTTCCCCATCCCAGCGCTAATCAGCTTCTTGTCGCAGGGCACGACGTTGCCTCCTGGCACCGTGATCATCACGGGCACGCCCGCGGGAGTTGGCGTCGTGAGAAAGCCCAAGGTCACCATCAGGCACGGCGACGAGTTTCACGTCGAGATTCTGCCGTATATAGGCACGTTGGTAAACATTTTTGAGAATGGAGAGTAAGTCTGACCCTGTCACCCATTCAGCTATCTGGCGATGTTTTTTTTTTTTTTTTTTGGAAGATGAGAGGACATCCGGTAATCTGAGATTCTCGACTCTCTTGTTGAAGAGAACAGAGTTTCACTAGAGGACTGTTTTTCGGCACCGGGGAATCAATGACAGCGCTGTGGCTCGCACGCGAAGTTGATAAGGAGGCTGGATAGACCAAAGCATTAGTCAATGGCGGGTGAAAGGTGGGCTATGATCCCAGGTATTAATAGATTATATATGTGCATATATATTTTGACCCATAACATGGAATCCCATTTTACCCACAGAAAGCTGCCCTGTAAGCCGAACATTCTCGTTCGCGCATGACTTAGTCCCTCGACACCACTTCCCTTATCTTCTCTGGCCTTAACTCACCTTTCTTTCCCCACCCGCCCTGCCCCCGCTGTACACTCGGACGAAACTCCTCGTACATGTGAAAAGCCTTGACGTTAAACTCTTTCTCCTGGCCTCTGTTCCTCCACGTATCGATCGCCTCCTCCATGGCCCTCTTGACCCTCTCGTACTCATCCCCTTGTCCGAACTTGTTCCTCAACAACACTTCATTGGCCTTCTGCGGCCTGCCCGAGACGATCGCGCCTCCGTCCTTTAGTAATAGCCTGAACCGCATGACGTTGATCTCATCGTCGGCGCCTTCCTCGGCAGCGCGTCTCTTCCTCTCCTTCTCGGCCCGCTCGGCCGGGTCGTCCGACGGCTTTTCAATCAGTCCGATCGCGCGCCCCTTGGCGATGGCACATAATGTGGAGATCGCAGAGCCGATGCTCAAATGCGTGGCCCATGGCAGGACGGGATAAAGCGCCTGCGACACACATGCGGCCCATAGCTGCAGGACTGGCGCCCGGTTTATCAGCACGGGCTTGGTGGCGTCCCCCGCCGGCGATACGTCTTCCTCGGGTTTGAGGGAGGGCTGTTTCTGCTTTTGCTTCTTTGTTGAACGCGCTGCGTCCTCTGCATTCGTTTGGTTATCAGACTGTGTGCGTTTGCGTTCGGAGCGCGGTTCAGTCTCTTTCTTTCTCTTTGTAGTTGCAGCACGTTTAGATTTGGAACCTTGGCCTTGGGCTTTGTTTTCCTCCTTCGGCTCGAAGTCTTCTACACGTGTCTGATTCTGTTTAGTCTGGCTTCTCGTAGTTGCAGTCATATTGTGTCGCTGATCGTGACAATTGCAGCAGACGTGTAGCGAGATAATTGATGGTTCGATGGCAAGGCTGGGAAATATACTCGTAGTACTATGGTGTGACGGCGCCACGGTGGATGCTTTCGATGTATGACGTCATGTGTCGACTTGGGGGCCGGTGGGGCCATGTCACGTGGCTCAGCCTCACTAGCCCTTGACTAGCCCTGCCAGCCTCGCCATCACAACCTCCCTTTTCGTTGGACCCCCAAACCTTGTCCCTTTGGTAAGATAAAGAGATATGTCTGGTTTGGTCTTACGAACAGGAAAGACCTGGATCGTGATGTGTGTCCCTTGGAGATTCTTGTCAAACAGTTCAACACGATTGCTTACCGCAAATCCCCTTTCCACCTTCGAGTGCTATTGGAGAGACATTCTGTATAGAACGTGTAACTTTTTGGAGAATACTTGTCTGGGCCATGGCGAATCTGGAGAAAGGCTTGTCGCGGCATTTTGAGAATGATCAGGGGATGATATCCGAGGAGGATTTTGAAGTTGGCTGTGACGGGTAAAAGGTGGAAAGGTGTACTGTGGTCGTGGGGGCCAAGGGCCAAGGAATGAGACCTAACACTTACCTTCCTTCCACCTTTCAGAATAGACGCCCCCATTTAGAGTGCTATTCTCACATCGTCCTCAAAATGCTTCATCCAGCTTTTCGCCCTAGGGCTTGACAACATTCAGCCCAACCTTGCAAATCGTCCAGGCAGATGCCAAACGCCTGCAGTCAGACATCAAGTCAGAGTTTGCCAGGCTAGAGGGGAATAATGCATCAACAATGACGTCGAAAGTTAACAAATAAGTGGCACGCTTCAAGTCCCGCTGTTAGAATAGAGGTGGCCTTCGTTGGTATTGAGCCCTCTTTAGCTATATTGAGCACAGCGTGCATTTTGCGTCAACCTGTGTCACTTTGATTCGGCTGGTGGGTAACGCATGACAACCCTCACCAACACCATATTTCAGTTGTATCTTCTAACCTCTCGCCAAGGTCAGCGGCAAAAATCACACAAAACTTCTCCGGAGCAAAAACTCTCGCCGAGAGAAACCATCCTTGATCCTAATCGAAAGTTGATGCGAACCTCAGGTTTTTTATTTCATGACGGATTTGAATGACTTGTCACACCCTTTCTCTCTGCCATCATCACTCTTTAGAAGAGAGAAGATTGGGCAGATGCTGGAAGATCAGATGATATTGAGACCAGCTTCAGGTCAATGGCAATCTAGACTGCAGTTAGTCAGACAAGCTGCTCCCTAACTGTGCTAACCCCTGGAGAGGGGTGTCTTCAGATTGTTGAGAGAGAATAAGTGAGTGTAAATTGATAAAAGGTGGATTTTTCAGAGGCTTGAGGTGGGTCAGTTTGCATGTGAATTCTTTTTGGGTATAGGAATTCACAGCTGATTTCTGACAGAAACTACCTAGGGAACCCAGAAGGGTCTGGCAGCGGAGAGCATGGCTAGGGGATATAAACGCGAAATATTCACACCCGCTGGCGCCCACAAATCCCCCCCCAAAAAAAGAAAGGAAAGAAGGGGAAAAAAAATAATCTGTCTCCAATGTCGACAGGCTCGACAGTTGACAATCATCCAAAGACAACAAGAAAGTATGAGATAAGCCGAGGATCGCTGCCGCTTTCCAACATCCTTTGAAACAGTGACTACTTGGAACCTCTGTCAGACTTGTCAATTGTCGACAGAAAATTGACAATCAGAATACATAAAGGAGAAATTGTGGGGAATTGGTTCAGCGGTCTGGCAGAAGTTTGAAGTGTTGTGACCACAGCTGGATATCTATCTTGTTCCTTGGCGAAATGATCGTTTTTCTCCGCCGACGGCCATGAGACCGAGGGTCGTGAATCACCCAAGCCAAACTACAGTACTACGGCGCCCGATCCCCCTCCATTCTTCGGCCAGTGATCGGGAAACAGAGTCCCCTTCCAGCAGCCATGGGGAAATGTGAATTTGAAAGCTGACACTGAGATCGCGGCCTCGGTATACGTCAGCCCGTCAAAGGACTGGAGAATGCATTAGATTGAACTTCGAAATATCCCAAGTCTTGCACCAAATGCATTGATCAGGGTCGCAGACTAAGAATTCCGGTCGACCGCACATTGAGATTTCCTCCCTCAGAAACGTCGACCCAGGAAGTACGTGAATCAGCCTTCTCCCTCTCAGCCCTGTGCCCCTTCTATATCAAAAGTCGACTATGAAATTTTGGGTGCCGGAAGGCAAGATGAGTGCACAACCTTCCCGGATACCCAAGATGAGCACTGTCCGTTGGCGCCTCCATATCCAGCCTTTGCAATGGCTTCATTCCAGTCTGGAGCTTTGTTGTTGAGACTAAAAGCCAAGATTCATGGTCAGCCAAGTCCGTTGTCGCAAGCGCGTTGAACCGTTGGACCGCGAGGCCGGCAAAGGAGGGGGAGGTATCAGAACTTACCAGGGTGAGTTTGTTCCTGGCGGGCACTGCCTGCACTTGATAGACGCCGGCTTGTCGTAATTGTTGTACAGGGCTCCCAAGTTTGCCGTGCCGGGGTACGTGAGTTTGCCGTCCGTCATGCCGTTTGTCGCGGCGCAGTTTGCGGCGTAGTAGATCTTGCACTGCCAACCGACAGGAGGCTGGAAGAGACATTCAATCACGAATCAGCAAAACTCAAACTCATCGAAAGGGCAATAACAATTGCAAGGGAGAGAAGAGTGACAATCGACTTACCCCGACAGACGAGCCGGCATCCGTAGGAAAGTCCATGCACTTCGAGTCGGTGAGCTTGTTCCAGGAACACGGCTGCACCCAGTTCTTGTTGTTGCAGATGTACACTCCGGCCGGCGGGGTTCTCTTGGCCAGCCTTGCTCCCTCCGACTCGTCGACGAAGTACTCGTCGTCCGACGTCAGTTCAGGAGTGGACGTTTCCACGTCGCCTTCGCTTGGGGGCAGGACAGCGGGATCGGTGATTTCTGGCCCCGCCTGGCCTGCAACGAGGCTGGCGAAGGCTGCAATGGCCGCAACGGTCGATATGCCTAGAGTGAGGGCGCGCATCGTGGAAGAGGTAGGAGACAGACAGGTAGAAGCAGTAAATGTGGTAGGAAATATTGGAGATTGCAAAAGACGAGGAAATGGCGATGGAAGAGGGAATCTTTGACGTCTCTGGCCTTCGCCTTCTTCTTCGGACTGAGGCGATATAAAGGAGGATTACCAACCACTGAGCATCCGCTTGCGGACTCTGTGGGGTGTGATTTTGTTACGATTGTCTCTCTTTGTTTCTCACCATAACAAAGAGGTTTCTCCCCGGTGGCCCTGCCCGGCCCCAAGGTTTCAAGGCGACGTTCCCATGTTTTCAAAGAACTGATTGTTCCCGCCTGTCAAAACAGAGCGGAACAAAACTACCAGTCAGAGCCAACTGAGCGACAGATGTTCTAAGGAGGTGGAGAGGTGAGAGAGACGCTGTCACGGCTGGAAGTCAGAGATCCTCGTGCGCGCCCTGAGACAGCCGAATGCGAGAAGAACCAACGTGTGCGTGGAATGGAATTGTCCGTGCACCGGCTGGATCCTCCTCCGTGAAAGGAATACAGCACGTTTGCGCGTGACGAGGAGCTTTGACCCAAAACTGCAGAAAGTAAGCGTTTACGCCAGTTTCACCGCCTTTCTCTGGCTGGCCTCACAGCCTCTATGGTACTATTCGATGCCAATGCAATCGCATTGGGATAGGCTCCTGTGGCAGTATCGGCAAACATGATCTCTATACCTGGGGTTTACCTTTGTAGGCTTTTTTTGGGCTCACCATAGTATCTGTATTTCCAGACGGACACCCCCAGCTTGTGCTCTCCAAGTTGCGCCGGGGTTCATCGGGCATGTAAATACGGGCGTCAATAAGCAACGGCCCTCTCGAGACAGGTTTGTCCCTTTTTCTGCAAACGCACCACCCTCGGCGCTATTACTACCCACAAGAACAGGTCGTTTGATGAGATTCCCTGCCTGGCCCAACAATGTGTAATTCTGGAACACCGTTTTATTGTCGATGGTTGGGCCGAAAAGCCCCGTGATCTCTGCGTACCCTTTTGTAGATAGCCGAGAGATGATGACCCGAGCTGCATTCTGTGATGCTGTGAATACCATTTGCCCATTCTGCCTTTGCATTCAGGCCATGATATTCGCCTCTAAACTTTGGTGTTGTTCACACATCCAAGCAGGCTCGCGACAGTCAGCCAACCAGCGGCAGTCCTGTTGGGCAGGCAATTGCCAAAGGCCGTTGCGGCGCCAGACAGGACTACTGAACCGGCGATGATGGGGTCTCGCACTCATTCATTCAACAGCCAGTCGTTGATCCGGTAAGCCCACATTCTGCGTGAGACCCGGCGCACAGGAAAAGGCGTAAATTGCTACAAGGCAATTGAAGTTGACGGGGACGACGTCCTGCGCCTGGGCGAAGATGGCACCCTGCTATGATGAGTCCGCCGCACCGCCGGAATGAAAGCCACCACCATAGAACCAGACCAACACAGGTTGGAGGCTGGTCTATTTGTTTGGTTATTTAGTCCATACGCTGAGATAAAGGCAGTCCAAGCCTTGTGTGATTTGCAAAGCTCGCTCCCAACGCCGCAAGTTTTTGCCAACTCTGGCGCAAAAGAGTAGTTGAAAGTTGCCGGCGCCTGAATACAGGGCAACGATTGCTTATTTACGACATTGTTCTTATTACCATTGGAGGGTTTCCAGAGGGCAAAGCGGATCTCGTTGATAGCAGGCTCGGCGTGTGGTATCCCTAGATATTCGCCAAGGGTTGGATATTACTTGATGGCATGTCCAACTACGCAGCCCGAAGAAGTATTTACAGGCACGCCCACAGCAGTTTCTGTGTTTGGATGAGTTTGGACAACAGAGCTGGCCAATGTCGGGAGACTAGAGGAAAGAGAGAGAGAAAGCTACTGTAAGTAAAATTCTGAAGGAGTTGGTGCACATTTTGTCTAGGAAGACAAAAGGTGCTCTCCTCAAGCATTATATCTCTTCCGCTAGATATATTTGGGGCAAGAAACAGCATCGTTGCTACCTCTCAGGCTAGCACCTCCCACCTTCGGAAAGGGGTTTGTAGCTGTTCTTGGGCCAAGCGAGCTCTTATCGTCGATCGTACTGCGCAGGCGATTAGGGTACATGCATCGCAGCAAGGTCCTGACCACATTTCTGGGCGGCTATTTTGGGCCTCGCGTATCGTATATGTCGTTCTCATGCAGTGGCCAAGGCAAATTTCCCGTCGAGAAGTTACCAATTCTCCATGTAGAGACGTCGGCTAGGAAAACGCCAAGGCGAGGCTGATGCCCCCTTTTCCTTCGGAGGGTGCCCTCTTGCCATGTTCCTCATATTGGATCCATATCGATCTCTGGTGCTCCAAGGAATCTTGTTTGCACACGTTTGACGGCGCGCGGAGGGGCTCAGCGCCATGCGTATGAAGTCGCTGCCGTATCTCCTGTAGGTCAATTTAGCGTCGGTTCCCGCGTAACTCGAATCGATTGCAGAAAAAGGATATTGAATCATGGCAAGACTGCACAGCTTTCTGTCAATTCTTCTCTGACAGGTTCCAACGCGGGGCTGAAAGGCCGCTGGTCATTCAGACGCTGCATATTGGGGGTTTCTACCTGGGAGTCTGCGAAAGAAAAGGAGTGAGAATGAGTTTGTCCATGTATCACCGAGCACCGAATCTTTCTTCAGGGGTCCCAGGCTACCGATGCCAAGCCGCTCGGAACAACGACACGCCGCGTTTTCCCGAGCGACAGGCTGACTACAGGCTATTCCAGTCTTCACAACAAGACCCAATCCTGTTCGTCTCTTGACAAAGCCCGCCTGCCTCTTTCGATTCGTTTATGGGATCGCGTGTTGTCCGTCAAGCATCTGCGACATGGCCGACAAATCTGAGAGGCCTCACGCAGGCACGCGGCCCAACTTCCTGGTCATCGTGGCCGACGACCTGGGCTTCTCAGATGTGGGCGCATTTGGAGGGGAAATCAAGACACCAAATATTGATAGCCTGGCCCGTGATGGCCTCAGACTTACAGACTTTCATGCCGCAGCCGCCTGCTCGCCGACACGGTCAATGTTGTTAAGCGGCACGGATAACCGCAAGTAGAGCCTAAGACGTCGGTCTGACAGTTATCGTTCTAACGTGGATGCACAGACATTGCCGGCCTAGGGACGATGATAGAGACGATAAAAGAGTTTCAAGTGGGCCAGCCTGGTTACGAAGGATACCTGAATGACCGAATCGCCGCGTTGCCTGAACTCCTTCGAGATGCCGGCTACTTTACACTCATGTCGGGCAAATGGCATCTGGGCATGACGCCGGACCGCTATCCATCCAAGAGAGGGTTCGACCGATCATTCAGCTTGCTTCCCGTATGAGGCATGTCGGCAACCATCAAATTGCTCGCTGACAATCTCCAGGGTGGCGCGAATCATTACGGGTGGGAGCCACAGGTGCAGGAAAAGGTCCCCGATTTGCTGGAGCGCAACGGCCCTTTCTATGCCGAAGATGACAAACCCGTCTCGGTCGCCGGCTTGGGTCCGGACTTCTACTCTTCGGAGTCCTTCACGTCGAAACTACTGCAGTACTTCCAAGAGAGAGGCGAGGGTCAAAGGCAGAAACCGTTCTTTGCCTATCTGCCCTACTCGGCGCCTCATTGGCCCCTGCAGGCTCCGGAGGAAGATTGCAGAGATTATCGAGGGGTCTACGACGAAGGCCCGGACGTGTTGAGACAGAAGCGGCTGCGACGTCTTGAGGAACTGGGCATCATCTCCTCTGAGACCAAGGCCCACGAGGTATTTGCTTTGCCGCTCGATAAACCCCTGAGTAAAGAATGGAAGAGCTTGACAGAGGACGAGAAGAAGTTCTCCTCGAGGACCATGGAGGTCTTCGCCGCCATGGTGCAGAACATGGACCGGAACATTGGCCGTGTCCTCTCCTATCTCAAATCGACTGGCGAATACGACAACACGTTGGTCATGTTCATGTCCGACAACGGGGCCGAGGGACTGCTGTTGGAGGCATATCCCGTGGTGAAGGAGAACATCTTCGACCACATCGATCGATATTACGACAACAGTTACGAGAACATGGGCCGATATAACAGCTACATCTGGTACGGGCCGCGCTGGGCGTCTGCGGCGATGGCCCCGCTGAGGCTTTACAAGTCCTTTTCGTCAGAAGGCGGAATCAGGGTGCCGTTCATCCTGAGGTATCCACCATTAACGTCATCACGGGCCGGCAGACTTGATCGATCGTTCGCGACAGTGATGGACATTGCTCCGACCCTCTTACAACTAGCAGGAACGGAACATCCGGGGACCACTTATCGAGGCCGAGCCGTCGTCCCCATGCGAGGGACATCTTGGGTGCCATATCTGTCCGACCCGGTGAAGCGGCCGTACATCCATGGCGACGACTCCGTCATGGGATGGGAGCTGTTTGATCGTCAGGCCCTTCGGAAAGGGAAATGGAAGGCCGTCATGATTCCGAGGCCCTTTGGGCCCGGAAGATGGCAGCTGTACGACCTGGAGAGAGATCCTGGAGAGACGGACGACCTGGGGGCCCGGCACCCCGAAAAGCTGCAGGAACTTCTCAAACACTGGGACGAATATTGCAGGGAGGTCGGCGTTGCAGGTGCGGCGCCGCAGTATGGGATGCTGAGGGTTGACCAAGGCGATGGGAGTCCTTTGGCGGCGGCTGCATCGAGGGAAGATGGACCCAAGATCTGAGAATTACATGATTTAGAACGGAGGCTATGGGGGGATCCGAAGTCGAAAATATTGCAGCTCGCTAACCAACCAACTAGACCGTGCGCGGGACTGATGAGGGGCAAGACATACATACATACCTACGCATACATCCATAAATTCCCAGTCTCTCTACCAAGCGTCGTAATTCCCCCACGATCATGTCCAGCCCCACACTTCCTCTCGGGAATCTTTTCTCCCGCCCGCTGTGTTCGGCAGTCATCTGGACACGCGCGATTGCGCACCATCGTGAGGAACGATATAATGTCCACACGTTCCAAACAATGTCTCCCATGGCTGTTCTTGACGAAACTTACCCGCGACATCCATAGGCTGACACTCCCCGTAATCATTCTGATGCACTAAGACGGAGAGATCGATAACAGGCCCGAACCGAAAACCATGACAGAACCGTCGACCAAAGTGGCCGGACTGCCCAAGTTCTCCCGGCACATTACGACGCACAATGCGGATGGGGTAGCTATATTCGCGACGGCTGATCCTGCCGACCCGTCATCACCGAGCTCTGCAGGGTCAATGTCCCCGGACCCTTCATGGTTGAATTTTCCTGGTTCCCCTGCTTCAGGGTTCGGGCTCGCATACGCAACAGACACAATACCCGCCGACTTCAACGGCAACGCTGACCTGGACACCTACAATGCCTACCTGCCGAAACATCCCGGCATCACCATTCGGGGCGGGTCGGTATTCCGGGTGGTCGACATGGATCCCGGCGCGAAGTCGCCCATGCATCGCACCGTTTCCATCGACTATGGCGTCGTGCTCGAGGGCGAAGTGGAGTTGGAGCTGGACTCTGGAGAGAAGAGGCGTCTTGCGAGGGGAGACATCTTTGTCCAGCGAGGGACCATGCACATGTGGAGGAACCCCAGCGACTCCAAGCCGGTCAGACTACTGGCGGTGCAGCTGGACAGTAAGGAAGTTGTGGTAGAAGGGAAGGGAGCGTTGCCTGAATTGTTCCAGTCGTAAGGAGTGCCAGCCGAATGCCAGCCGAATGCCAGCCGAATGCCAGCCGAATGACCATTCTTTCGTCTTCTTTTTCTTCCTGACGACAAGGGATCACTGGAAAATTGCTGGCGAGGCCTTTGAGGCCCTTAATATCTGAGCGAGAGTTTCAGCGAAAGCTCAGCCCGCGTGCCTGGCATCGGCTGGACCATCCGTGGGAGCCCTGCTGCCCTGCTGCCCTGCTTCGTATTCGCTCGCCTCTGGGCCTTCCAGAACGTGATCTGGCGATGACTTAATAATGATCGAATGGGACAATCCCGAATCCCCCCCCCCCCCCCCCTGAAGCTGATCAATCGCCACGGGACTGGGCACCGGCGGCAATTGTCCGATCTGTGGTGTTCGGCTTACCAATTTCAGGAAATGCTCTCCTTGCCATGTCGCAACTTGCACCTCCCATCTCCACCACGGCGATGGGAGTGTAGATAGCTAATGTCCGTGTGGTCGAGGGGTATGTAACTACTAGGGCAAATATCCATTGCTCAAAGGCACCAATCTCAAACGTCATGATAGCGTGGCCCCCTCCTTCCTTCCTCGTTCTTCTTTGCGATCAATTTTTTCGCTCTGCCTCCTGCCTCGCATTTCACATTCTCTAACCTTTTCTTCTCCCTTGGTATATGCAATTGCTGCGGCGCCCAAGCTCACCAAGACTCATCTACAGCTTCGCCCGAAGTCTACGCAATCCGCAACCTCAGTTTCGTTCCAGATCGGTAGCAGACATGGCTGTCCGATCTGCCTTCGACCCCAAAGACATGGTGCGTTATTCCTCCGTCGAGCCCTGAGCCTCACTTATTGACTACAATCTCACAAATAGGTCTTTCGTCACCTCGGCCCTACTGGGTTGAAGGTCTCGGTCTTTTCGTTGGGTAGGCAAATAGGCGCCTTGTTCACCCGGGACGGGATGGAATGGAATGGAATGGCTAACGGCGCGAACAGGCGGCTGGCTCACATACGGTGGAACCCAGAAGGGCAACATTGTCAAAGAGTATGTCGTGTGCGCGCATTTGCAAGGTCATGCTAACATGATGGTGCAGATGCTTACAAGCCGCCTGGGACCATGGAATCAACTTCTTCGATACTGCAGAGGTGAGCGTTAACCCCTTCCCGTCTGGCATTTTCAGGGGCACTACTCACGTCCAATACAGACCTATGCCAATGGACAGTCCGAGATTGAAATGGGCAATGCCTTGAAGGAACTCAACTGGCCACGAGACGAGTATGTCTTGTCCACCAAGATCTTCTTCGGCACAGGTCGAAAAGAACCCAATACCCGTGGCCTCTCCCGCAAGCACATTGTCGAAGGTCTCAAAAGCTCTCTGGACCGTCTTCAACAACCATATGTGGATATCGTCCTTGCCCACCGACCTGACTATGCGACCCCGATGAAGGAGATCGTCGAGGGCTTCACTCAGGTCATCCGAAATCTCAACCTTGCCTATTACTGGGGAACCTCCGAATGGTCGGCGACCCAGATCACCGAAGCCACCTTGATTGCAGAGAAGTACAACCTCATTGCCCCCATCGCCGAGCAACCACAGTACAACGCCTTCCACCGTCAACGATTCGAGGTCGAATATGCCCCGCTGTACAAGGAGTACAAGTACGGCACCACCATCTGGTCCCCGCTCGCATCCGGTCTCTTGACGGGCAAGTACAACGACGGCATCCCCGAAGGCTCACGGTTCGCGAACCACAAAGATTTCTTCGGCAGCACAATCGAGTCCCTCCAGAAGTCCGAGGGCAAGGCCAAGATCGAAAAGGTCAAGAAGTTGACCACCATCGCCGAGCGACTGGGCGGCAATATGTCGCAGCTGGCGCTGGCGTGGTGTGCAAAGAACCCCAATGTCAGCACCGTCATCCTCGGAGCCACCAAGGTCGAGCAGATCGTGGACAACTGCAAAGCTCTCAAGCTGTTGGAGAAGCTGGACGACAAGACCATGCAGGAGATTGAGGAGATCCTCGACAACAAGCCTGCCGAGCCAGCAACCTTTGGACGATCGAGGTAGGCGGGTCTTTTCCGTTGACCCCCCCCCCAACCCCCCTGAATAGGGGCCTCTGTGTCGGTCACCGCACTGCCACTGTCCACCATGCAAGTTTTCGCCTGTAGGTACTCCGTACCATGCATGTTTGTTATGGTTATGTATCTGGATTAGGCTTGGAAGTCCACGGGCTGATTCACAAACGCTCCCAGACGCGAATGGCGCCAGAGATCGACCAAGCTGTAGGAGGGACTCAGAGCAGGCAAACCTGCAGCGGGCTCAGTATGTAAACACAGCCATTTGGCCTCCCAACCTGATTAGAAAGTTTCTCGATAGACAACCACCTACCCACCTGACCCCTTCCCAACAGCACAGGATCGTCTTTTGTCCCGTTCCTGTCGTGGTGTATTTAGCAATGTCTAGCTAGATTTTTTCCCTCTTCTCCCTCTTGCGTCGAGATCACCTCGCCAAACTTACTAAGCTCACGCCCGCACCGCCTCTTCTATCCAGTCGCCCGTTTCGTCGGCATGGATTGTTCTTCCTTTGGAGGAGCCGTCACCGCTGTCGCCTAGTCGAGCGATAACACATCTGGTTACTCACCCAAGTCCGGCGCTTCGAGCAGGAGGTGCAGTCATTTGGCCAATGTCGAGAGATCGTAGATCTTGGAAAGGTATGAGGCAGCGGCGTGGGTGGGCGCGCGTTCAATATAGCTTATATCCGAACAGATTAAGCCCGCACGTAAAGGGACTTCGTTCCACACCGCTAGACTGCACTGCTGATCAAGGACCACGGGCGCTGAAAACTGCTCTCGCCACCACCACTTCCTCCTTCGTCTTCGTATCTCTCAGACAGAGGGGCCGCAAACTCGAGCATGAACTTGAGCATCCACCGATCCATTTGGAAGTGCGAGTCGTCTTGGCATCGCAAGCAAGCCTTATGAAAGGCCTCGAACCGGGCGAACGATATGTCAATGCAGGGCCAGTACGTCTTCAAACGGGTTAGGAGCTCGAAGTTGCGCTCGAGCAGTCTCCGCGCGCGCTGTGTGTCGGCTGCGTTGTCGCTGAAGAGCAAGATGTGGAGTTGAACGGTGGACGCGATCGTCAGAACGTGGCCCACGATCGAGTTGAGGAGTTCAGCCCCCGGTGTCTCGCTCGCCAGGTGGATGAGGTTGCACACGTCGGTGGAATATTGTCTGCATTTTTGGGCGTACTGGCTCGTCGTCACTTGAGGGCGAATATCGTCGTGGTGGTTGTGTTGGGGATATGCTTGGTTCGCGCTGCCGTGGAGAAACTGGTAAAAGAGGAGCTGGCACAGGTGACAATAGTCCATGTGGAGGACGACGAACACGTTGCCGAAACCCTGACTTGCCCAGTACACCAGGTTCGCGGGCGTGTTGGTCATTCCGTCGGGGAGGCTGGAGGCCCAGGAATCCAGCTCAAGCGACACCCGCTCGACGGCCTGCGTGAGCTCGGTACCTTGAAGATCACCCGAGACAGCTCGCGAGTTGACCTCGTCGATCTGAGAGAAGATTTGGTTCACGACCACCGAATGTGCGATCAACGAGTCCTGTGGTATATGTGATTTTGCCCTCGGCGATCCTCGGTTGGCAATATAGGTTTGATTCGGCAGCGCGGTAGATGGGAGGTCGAGAAATCTCTTCTCCGCCATAGGGAGCGGGACATTGCGTAACGGCATCATCTTCGGCAATCGCACTCCAGTCGATGACCACGTGTCCGTTTCGTACAACGCCCACCACACTGATGCCAGGTCAGTATCAACAACCTGCAAGGTCTCCCATTGGTTTCTAACCTCTAAAATTGACCTCTTGCTGGATGCGGGTTGTGACAGGCGCGTTGGGAAGATCTAGGAGCATTCCTATGCGACAAGCAATGCTAAAGAAAACAGATTCCGTTGCCCCTTCTCCCTCGACTACTGCAGACGCTCCCAGCAACAGGCAAGCTTGGATGGTGGTGAGGGAGATGTCGTGTAGATTCAACAAGCGCTCTGCTTCTTTGGTGAAGGGTCTGCCTCGTTCCCGAGGTGATGTCTTGACTAGGCTTTCATGCTGTGAGAAGCGTGCTGACATACCGATGACTGCAAAGAGGAGAATCCTCGAGAGGGAGCCGTTTTTGAAGGCGGCCAAGAAGGACGGCTTGTGAAACAAGACGTGGAATGAAACATGGATGTAGCGGAAGTAGAGATTGATCAACTCCTCGCACAAATCCAGGGGCGGCAGCAGCTTAGACTTGTGCGTTAGAGCATGCATTCGGCGAGGGACGATCGGCTCGTAGCCATCTTCTTGAAAGTCGGTCTCTTGACTTAACACACACTGCAGATTCCTCTCGGTGCAGAAATCGCACGTTGTTCCTTGGTAAGACCGTATGCATTTCCTCCGACGTCTCCTACGAATCAAACTGAGTGATTCGACGTCTTGGATCAGGGACGTCGGAGACTTACCGACAGATGATACAGGCTGATTTGGGCCTCATCAGAAGTGTGGTGGAGAGATGCAGAAACAGGACACGGGGGAGTTTGGTGGGCTACTATGGCATCCACTTTAACACACTGTTGTCGCCATTGGCGTCAGTGAGTGAGAGCAGCATGTGGCATGGTAAAGAGAACGTGCTTGAGATGTTGCCGAAAATGGATTTGGCGTTGGCTGAGGGTCACGTGGATCTGGGCAAGTTGCATAGCATTGTCATGTGATTCTCAGTCTTTCTACCATGATCGGACTGACAACTTCGCTCCTTGCACCAGGTTGCACCATGTTGCACCATGGAAGTTGCAGCTGCAAGGCGACCTCTTGTGTGCTAACTGAAAGCCTCGGGGAAACCGGCCGCTATACAACGTCCCCCGCACAAATCCTGACGCTAATCTAGGTCGACCGTCGGAAATCATGGCGGAGAACATGCTACTCCGATTGGCACTCAGAGGACGTGCTGGATTCTGTCGATGAGCATTGGCGTAGGCTTTGAAAGCGGACTACAAGCAGTTCTCATTTGTTCATGCAGCGTGCAGCCAACCTCCTGTGGAGGAATACAACCCCCCCCAATAACGGATCGACAAGGTACATACCGGTCTGTCCCCAGCATTCTCGGGGCCCTTTCAATGCCCGCTGCGACGGCGTGTTTCGCGATGAATTTGGCCGACATGAGCCGACCGGCATTCTGCGATATGATCTACTTGTCACGCCTTGCCTTGGGGGCGCGGGAAGAATCATTTCCTTGTCGTTGTCTTTCTGCGTGAAATTCCCCGTCTCTGCTGGCGAGGAAGTCGTCTTGCAATCCACGACGCTGCAATTGCTCTCTACTGCAAGTATGCTGGAATCAATCGACGGCTTAGGTCTCGGCGGCCCCTCTGTACAGCAGCAGGTGGTTCAACACAGGCCGGACTACGCCAACGAGGCGGTTTTCCGCCGAAATACTTTGCCGCCGCGGTCTTACTGGATCCCCAAAACCTCTCTGTCGCTCAACGGTGCCTGGGACTTTCATTGCGCCAGCAGTCCCCTCGAAGCCGCGGATTTCGATCAACGACAAGAAAACTGCTGGACCACCATCCAAGTGCCGGGCCATTGGCAACTTCAAGGCCATGGTCGACCTCAGTATACTAATATTGTCTACCCATTTCCAGCCTGTCCACCTGATCTCCCGGACGAGAACCCTACTGGCACATATCGGCGGACCTTTTCTGTGCCTCCTGACTGGGACTGTAGTGCTCAATTACGACTACGGTTCGACGGTGTTGATAGTGCCTACCATGTCTGGCTCAATGATGACTTTATCGGATACGCCCAAGGCAGCCGAAACGCTGCGGAATTCGACATAACTGCCGTTGCAAAACGTGGGAAACCCAACAAGCTTCTGGTCCGTGTCTATCAGTGGTCAGATGGCTCTTATATTGAGGATCAGGATCAGTGGTGGCTTTCTGGTATAGAAATGCCTCTACTGGCTTAAACGAACCGCATGTTGACAGATGCAGGGATTTTCCGGGATGTTCATCTTTTAGCAGTTCCAACCATATGCAGAATTGACGATTTTTTCATTCGAGGCGATCTCGATGCCACCTACAAGCATGGCGCTCTCCACGTTACGGTTGACGTCCACAGCCCCAAAGGCGGGCTTGTTTCCGTTGTCCTGCGTGAAAGGCCCAACCACGGAGGGGAGACTTTAGGCAGTGCTGAGGCTAGCTTTGGAGGAAATACTACCAGAGTTGACCTCCATATACACGTGGACAACCCTAACAAATGGACGGCCGAGACTCCTTATTTATACGATGTCGAGATTATATTGACAGAGGGCAGCAAATCGGACCGAGTGGAGCATACCACCGGCTTTCGAAAGGTCGAGCTCAAGAACGGTTTGCTCACAGTGAACGGAAAAGTCCTCAGATTCCGTGGTGTCAACCGACATGACCATCACCCTCTGTTCGGTCGTGCTGTGCCGCTCGAATTCGTCCGTCAGGACCTCCTGTTAATGAAGAGGCACAATATCAACGCCGTGCGTTGCTCGCACTATCCGTCTCACCCTGGCCTCTATGCACTAGCCGACGAGATTGGCCTCTGGGTCATGGACGAGGCGGATCTGGAATGTCACGGATTCTCCGAGGTCGTGGCGACCAACACGGCAGAGTGGGACGGCGGAGAGGTTTCGTACGCACGTTGGATTGGCGCGGTGTCAAAGGAAGCTAGAAGGTACTTGTCCGACAATCTGTCGTGGAAGGAGGCATACGTCGATCGAGCCGTCCAGATGGTGCAACGAGACAAGAATCACGCCAGCGTCATCATTTGGTCGCTTGGAAACGAGGCATTTTGCGGCCAGAACCATGTTGCAATGTATGAGGCTTGCAAACGTCTTGATCCGAGTCGCTTGGTCCATTACGAAGGAGACACCAATATGGGGACGACGGACATTTACTCGTACATGTACGCAGCCGTGGATGCCCTTGCGGAGAGGGCGTCGACTCGCGACGTCGCTGCGGATGGCACTTTCACTAAACCAGTGATATTGTGCGAGTATGCGCACGCCATGGGGAATGGTCCTGGTCTCCTCGAAGACTACGAAGAGGTCATTCGCGCGCATCCACGCATTCAAGGCGGCTTCGTCTGGGAGTGGGCTAATCATGGCCTCTACCAGGTCGGCCCGGACGGCAAACAGTTTTATGCACACGGCGGGGATTTCGGCCAGAAGGTCCATGATGGCACCTTTGTCATGGATGGACTCTGCAATAGCGCGCATGAGCCTACACCAGGACTCATAGAGTTGAAGAAGGTGTATCAGCCTGTTTCAATCCATCTAGTGAATCAAAACTTGATTGTCGAGAATACATATGACTTTGTCGACCTTGGACATTTGGAGGTTACGTTCAAAGTCGAAGAATTTGGCCAGAGGTGAGTGATGTTTCTGCCCCCCTCGAAAGATAGTCAGATCCCCCGTTTGGGTTTCAAAATCGCTGATATCCACTTCTCAGCGCCAATATGCTCGTGGACGGCCAGCTTAAAATTCCTCCTATCGCTGCAGGTGCAAGACAAGCTGTTCCCCTTCCTGGCACTGTCTTTGAGCAGCAGTCCAAGTTCGAGTTAATACTCACAGTGACCTTCCGACTGGGTGAAGCTGCGAGCTGGGCTGAGAAGCGGCACGAGGTTGCCTGGTTCCAGCACCAACTTTCGCCAGGGTGCCGTTTTCCGGTTTCCTTGCCCTTGGGATCTTCCGTGCCAACGATCTGCAATAGCAATTCTACCCTGACAATCTTTACAGCCAAATCCACATTTACCTTCAGCCGAGCACGCGGTCTTCTTAGATCTTGGACCACTACTTTGGGCCCAATCATTCCAGACTCCTCAGGCTACAAGGAGTCTCTGATCCCTGGTTTCTGGCGACCTCCCACGGATAATGACATGCCTAAAGCTCTTCCCCACTGGCGATCTTTTGGTGTTGACAAAATCACATCTCAGCTGCGCTGCATGGTGCTGGACCAAAAGACCCACTCCCATGCCTTCACTTTGACGACGAAGACGTACATTGCTCCGCAGTCCTTGGGTTGGGGGTGGCATGCAATCACCACTTATCAGATTCAACCCGACGGCTCTGCGGTGTCAGTCTTCATTCATTTAGAGAACCCTGTGGGGACTGTCCCTCAACATCTTCCTCGGATGGGATTCGACCTGGTGTTGGCAAAGACGCTCACCCGGGTGAAGTGGTTTGGCCGTGGCCCCGGGGAGTCGTATCCGGATAAGAAAAGCAGTCAGCGCTTTGGTGTCTGGAAAGGCGACGACATCTCTCAGTTGCAGACACACTATGACGTTCCACAGGAGAATGGAAATCACATGGACACTCGCTGGTTAGAGTTGGCCACCGGAGGAAAAGGTCCCGTCGTAAGGGTGAGCGGGATTGACGCCCCGTGTCCATTTGGACCCACGGCGGCTGTACAAGATTGGGCAAGTCAACCACACTTAGCGCCGCAGCCCGTTTTCAGCTTTATGGCGACGAAGCACTCAGCCGACATGCTCGAGAAGGCTGCGCATCCCTGTGACCTCGTCGAGGAAGATGTCACGCTGCTCCGCCTGGACGCGGCAGTCAGTGGTGTAGGAACGGGTGCCTGTGGCCCTGCTACCCGGCAAGATCATATGGTAAAACCAGCTGGAGCCGGCTTTGGGTTCATATTAGCATTAAAATAATTGCGGGTAAGTCTTCTTGACGCGTGAAAGAGTCCGGTTGCCGTACGCCTGATAGAATCTGTAGAGGGCAATAGCAGGTTGCTTGATACCCTTTTTTCTGACAGGGGAGACTCCCCCCAGTTGATCCAGAGCAGCCCAGATCTCTTCATTTCGTGTCAAGACCACAGAATCTGTGGTGGTGTTGAAGTTCTGAATGAAGGATGCCCTGGATTCGCAACGTGATCAAGGCTGATGGTCGACTGCCGCATCGTTGCCAGCGAGCAAAAGACCAAGCATCAGGCTATGAACGAACACAGGCAGCCACCGTAGAAACCACCGTCAGATTTGCCACGCTTTATGCAAGTCTAAACGCGTGACAACACAGCTAAAGAATTCATGAACCTTGAAAGATCGGACCATGCTTGACCATGTCGGTAAAATGGCGTGAGTGAGTCTAACCTGGTTTAGGGTCAATGGAGGCTGCTTTAGAGCATTCCAAGAGAGGTTTAGTGAATCTTGGCTAGTGCATATTTGGACCACAAACCTGAATGTCTCCCGAATCTGCAACTACCGCAACTACCGTTTTAACCTGTCCAAGGACGGAGGAGGAATCCTCGCCACAAATGCCGCTGCAAGAATCATTCGTCGACACTGTATCCTTAGTGGGGCTTTCCGTCCAGGGGCAAAGTCTCTGCGCTCCTGTCGGTCTCTAGTCGGTATTTTAGGGGCGGTTTATGAGGCGGTTTTGGCGGTTTTCGGGCGGCTTTGTGATCATTGGATGATCTGCGAGGAAAGCAACCGTGTGAGCGCCCTAAGAGAATATCGGCAAAAGGAGCAACGAATTGTCCTCGGGCCTACCTCAATTTGCCAAAGACAATGCAAGGCTACAAACGGACTATCCCCACATGGGGGATTTTGAATCTGGAGAGAAGCTGGAGAATGCACATGGCCTGGAACATAGCAAGCACAAGTACAAAGAGAGGCACTTCACCCCTCGACACTCGCTCTTGACTGCCACACCGAGTTCTCACTCTCAACAGCTACACCATCACCAACCAAGCACTCAGCTCAAACTCCTGCCTGGTTCCAAGATGACATCGAAAAAGACGGAATCTCCCGAGGAGCAAATGGTAGAAGTCGTCCAAGGCGACTCACAAATTGTACAGAAGCATGAAGTCTTCGACCTTGCCAACGAGATCCGAGATGTTCAGCCAAGTGCGATCACGCCTACCATGTTCAAGCTCTATCTCATTCTGTCCATTGGCTACTTCTGCATCATCCTTCAGGGCTACGACGGCTCCCTGATGGGTGCCATCAATGCGATGCCCCAGTATTTGAACTATTACGGATTGTGAGTCAGAGAGATTTTACTTTTTCATGGTTGATTCTGTGTTGTATTCCACCTCTCGGACAGACTTTAAGAGACGTCGAGCCTGGAGCTTGTGCTGATCTACCTCTTCCCAGAAAATCCGCAAGTTCTTCCACAGGCCTGGTCTTTGCGATCTACAACATTGGAGCTATTGCAGCGCTGCCAATCAGTGGGCCAATCAATGACACTTTTGGGCGAAGATGGGGCATGTTTACCGGCGCCGCTTTGGTCATCTTCAGCACCTGTATCCAAGCCCCTGCGACCTCTCGGGCGATGTTTTTGGCCGGTCGGTTTTTTGTCGGGTTTGGGCAGGGTTTTCTCAATGTGGCGGGAATCACCTATGTCAGTGAGATGGCACACCCTCACTGGCGTGGTCCTCTTTCGGCCTTTCTCGAGACAAACTACTTTGTCGGGAGTATCCTTGCCTCCTGGGTCACCTACGGAACCGCCTACATGGCAGGAACTATTTCTTTCCGCCTTCCAGTCTGGCTCCAGATGGTCAGCTCCGGATACATCGTGCTGGGAGTGTTCTTCTGCCCTGAGTCGCCGCGATGGCTCATGGCTCAAGATCGATACGCCGAAGCTGAGGCTGTGCTGGCCACATATCACGGCGAAGGGTCCGGGTCGAGCCCGTTTGTCCGTCTCCAGCTCGCCGAAATGCGTGCCCAAATCTCCTCAGACGGCTCCGACAAGCGCTGGTGGGACTACCGCGACCTCTTCATGACCCCTGCGGCTCGAAGACGCCTGATCTGCGTGGTTGGCTTTGCGTGGTTTGGACAGTACTCCGGCAACGCGCTGGTGTCGTACTATTTTCCAGTCATCGTAGAGCAGACAGGCATCACCAACCCGCACACCCAGCTGCTCCTCAACGCGCTGAACCCCGTGGTGTCGTGGATCGCGGCGATTCTGGGCTCGCTGCTGAGCGACCGCGTCGGCCGCAGACCGCTGCTGCTGGGCGGCTTCACGGGCTGCGCGCTGTGTCTAGCCGTCGTGACGGGCCTCACCAAGATCTCCGTCACTTCTGGCGGCGCCGCCGCGGGCCACGCGGGCATCTTCTTCATCTACCTGTTCAGCGTGGTCTTTTCGTTCTGCCTCACCCCGCTCCAGCCGTTCTACATCTCCGAGTGCCTGGCCACCGAGACCCGCGCAAAGGGCAACGCGCTCGGGCAGATTGTCGCCTCGGTCGCGGGTGTCGTCGGTCAGTACACAACCGGCGTCGCCATCAGCCACATCGGCTACTACTACTACCTGGTCTTCGTTTTCTGGGACTGCTTCGAGGTGCTGATCACTTATCTATTCTTTCCCGAGACAAAGGTAACGTACCCCTTTGATACTCTTCATCTTCGCCTTCTGCTTCTAGATCCGGTCCCAGTCTCAGCTCGACTTCGACAACATTCGCCGCGCAATAGCGCAATCGAAGGGGCTTAGCTCCTCCGTATTCTTGCGGAGGCTGTATTGCGAAAAGGTCGATCGATGGGGATTCATTCCTTCGGTCGGCTTTTTTTCGGCCTTTTTTTGGCCATGTAGTTAAAACTCCGCAACGCACGCTAACATTCAATCCTACTGCTCCATAGGGCCGGACGCTGGAAGAAATCAACGAGATCTTCGACGACCCCCGGCCCGTCAAGAAGTCCTTGGAGAAGAAGGATGCCACGGGCGTCCTGCACGCTGCCTTGAAAGTGGGCGAGGCTTGATCCTCTCTCTCTCTCTCTCTCTCTCTGTGTGTGTGTGTGTGTGCTACGTCTTGGGTGCTTGTCCTCTAAAAGTTCTTCATCCGTCAGCTATGAGTACAGCGGCAACGACATCAAACGCCCCACAGAAGGGATCGTCGTGGCCGTGGGAAACGAGCCTCACAGTTTTGGCAAACAGCCCACGGAGGCGGAGCAGATACTTTCCAGTCCTGCGCTGAATAATACGATTCGATTGTGTCTGTGTATGGTCTGACGTCCTCTTCTCTAAAATTCCGTCGAGTCATTGCCTGCCTGGAATGTGTCAACTGCCTTTCATCCAAGCTTTGATTCCAATTTGGTCTCTTATTCCATTCAGTCATGTTCCGTTTCTCGTTCCTTCGCGGCCTCGTCCCAAACACTCGGTCAGGTGTTTGGCCCAACTCAATCCAACTTCATATCGCTTCATCACACATCATGTCCCTTACCACCTCAAGAGAAGCCTCCAGAAGGCCATTCATTGGGTTGATAGCTTAGCTGTGATATAGATGCAGTCCTTTCCCGTACTTCTCGGTCCCAGAGCGAACCTCTACTGCTTGCTTGATATCCCTGCCCCCAATTGCACTTACAGGCCTGGGTTGCCAATGTTTAGTTTGTCATCGTCTCGTCTAGATCGCGATTGCACGTTCTTTGGGGTCGACTGCAACCGTCGGCATCGCACCCGACTCCCTGGAGTCGGCTCAAAATGCTGGGTGGTCACAAGTGACCAATCGAAGCCGCAGAACCGATTCGTTCCCCGTGGGTTGGAGATCGGCGCGTTTGGCATGAACTGTCTCCTCGAAACATTGAATTTCTGTGCTGGACTCGACCTCACTGTCGCTGTGGCTCATTGACCCTCCTTGTCTTTTCTTCTCCTAAATGAAATCGGCCGTATACGAGAAACCACGGAACTCCTCTTGATGGGCGGGCGAAAGCACTGGAAGAAGCGACGTGTCAGTTCCAAAAATCCACAAGAGTATTCTGACCTGAGAACTTACCACTCTGCACTGGTGTCAGCACGGGCGTCACACTAGTAAACTCCTGATCGAAATTGCTGGTATCCTTTTCATTCTTGATGGTCGGCTTGAACGGCGTGGGGATCCGCTTATGATAGATGTCGTCCCAGTTGATGCCCTTGAAGAACGCGTGGCTCATGATTTCCTGCGCATCTCCCGGCCCACTGCCCAGTCGCAATTCTGGTTCCCTGGTCAACAGTTTCTGCAGAATCGAAACACTGTCACGTGGCATGTGGATTGGGTACAGCGGCTCGTCCGCAAGAATAGCGTCGTAGATTTCGTCCTCATCTTCGCCACGGAACGGAGATTGCTGGAGCAACATCTGGTAGATGAGGACACCAAAGGCCCACCAATCGACCGCACGACCGTATTTCTTGTCCAAAAGAATCTCGGGAGCCATGAATTCTGGCGTGCCGCAGAAGGTGGAAGTCGTCGATCCAAACCACATGTCCTCCTTGCAAAGACCATAATCAGCTATCTTGATGTGCCCGTCCAGGGTGAGCAGGATGTTGTCCAACTTCAAGTCTCGGTAAATCACACCATTTTCATGGAAATACTTCAGAGCCAAACAAACTTCCGCAGCATAGAATTGAGCACGCTTAAGGCCAAACTGTCCACGCTGGATGTGCAACATCAGATCGCCGCCCGAAATGTACTCCATCACGAAATACACTCGAGTCTCTGTTTGGAAGCAAGCGTGCAAGTTGAGCAAGAAAGGGTGTCTCTCTTTGTTGGCGATCAAGAAAACGCGCTTTTCGGATTTGGTAGACTCCACTTCGTCGTTCTCGATAATAAACTCCTTTTTCAAGACCTTGATGGCGTACAGCTTCTTTGAGCTCTTAGCCTCTGCAAGCATGACCTTGCCGAAATTGCCTTTTCCTAGTACAGCGAGGAAATTAAAGTGATCGAGACCAATTCTCGGTCCTGACCCGCGCCCAGATGGAGGCGTGGCTACCTGTTGTTGTGACGATGGCGCTGGTTTGATAGGGGCTGGAGAATAGCTTGCTGCTGCAGCAGCTTGAGGTTGAGGTCTTTGCGATTGGATCATAGCTTGTTGTGGTGGTTGATGTTGAGGTATTTGTTGTTGTACTGGTTGGCGGTCATATCCTTGATACGCGCGAGGGTCATACGAAGCATGTGGCTGTTCCGGGGCTGGAGGCCGAGCGTTTGCGTAACGATCAGCCGGCATTTTTTGAGGGCTATAATCATTGAACGTTTGGTTGTATTGTTGAGATGGCGGTCGAGTCGCGGCGGCTGCGGCTGCCTGCACTGCTGCGGTGGACACAGCTTTTTGTTGCAATGGTCTTTGCTGTTGCTGTTGTGGTGGTGGTTGTGACTGGCTCGCCTGAGGTTGGTTGTACATCATATTCTGCGCAGCACTCATGGCGGCAGCAGAGGGCTTCGGTTGTTCTGGGTGTTGATCATACGATTGGTTCGATATCTGTGGTGTTAGGGTAGTGTTATCCGAGACAAAGCTTTGCGTAGGAGACGTGGGACCAGGTCTGGCTGCGGAATTGGGCCTCAGCGTCCGATTGCTCATTCCAGAGCTCACAGAGGAGGATTTATTGTGGTGCTTCGTTCTTTGAATCGTCTCCAAGATTTCATTGGCGACGATCATGGACATGCCGCAAAAGTCCGGAACCAAATGCTGACATTGGGCATGACAGGTCAGACTACACTCCGAGCACTTTTTCGCATTGCGTCTTCCCAACGGCAGCAGATAACCGCAGTGACAACACCAATTGGCCCCGATGTTCGAGAAATTGTCGAAACGATGTGGGATGCGGTGGTTAATTTTCTCTTCGTCGGGGTCCGTTTCGTAGTTCGCCTTGCTGATGCATTTGGTCACCACTTTTGGATAACACTTGGTGTGACAGGTGTATTTGCAATCCGCGCACTGCATGCCAGCCGAATACTTGAGAAAATCTCCACAGAGAGCACAGCGCATGACGTTATAAAACTGTTGCTTGACGAACTTGTGACCTTGCTTCTCGTGCACCTCTTCCTTCTTCTGGCGCACGGCGCCTTGACGATTGAGGCCAATGTCGAATGGCCGTTTTCCGCCCGTCTGCTTCTGGAAGCTCATTGTGAGATGGATCCTGCCCGCCGGTTCCAAAGAAAACCATGAATCGATCATCACAGGTTGGACATGTTGCTGAGGATTTTGAGCGAAACCGGCCGCGGAGCCGGCACCCGCAGCATCTCCCGGTGGCATGAAAGGTGCGGGTTGAAAATCAGGACCTGGTTTACCCGGACTGCTGCCATTCGCCATCTTATCTGCTGATACCCAGCCATTCTGCTGAAATTCCGATTCAATCTTTTTCCGGCGCATTTCTTCCGCAATATCCGAAATGCGGATCCATAGAAACCCGATTGGGGTTGGTCGATCGCCTGCTTTGTCATAGACCGTCAGCTCGATCTCGTTGGCTTTGTCGATGTCGACGTGATGAGTCTCCTCTGTCCATTTATCCGTCCGTGTTGCCCGGGTCTTGGCTCGGATGTTGTCCTCCACCTTCATAATGACGAAGGTTTCGGGGCCTCGTGAAAAGCGTGACGAGGCTGCGTGATCGACATCCTTAATGGCATGAATGCGCATTTCCAGGTGACCGGTAAGGGGTTTTCGCATATTAGGGGCGTTGAGACTGTCATCTAGACGACGCAAGTCAGCTTCACCTTGAAGTATACGCGCCGATATGGGTGCCACTCACCGTCAGCAGCATCTGACGTTTCAATGTCGACGTGCAGATCCATGTATCTTTTCAGGGCCTGCTTCAACAACTGGACTTTCTGATTGCTTTCGATGCGCCGGCCCTCGGCATCCAGTCTGCTTTTTCTGTCACCCTCGTCTTGGTACAAGCGCACCATCTTTTCGATGCCTGCTTTGTACTGCTTTTCGACGGACAGTTTGAACTCGAGTTGGGAGAGCATGAGTTGGATTTTGGGTCCGAGATATGGGGTATCATATTTGATCAGGTCTGGAAGGCGGGGTTGTGTCAGTAAACCTTGGGGCTCGTTCACGAGCGTCTGGAAGGGATTATACCTAGTTTCGAGAAATTCGGGCGAGCTTTGGGGACCGGCGCGCTGTAAGGACGAGGGTCTCCGTAGGGAGCGCGTGGAGGCATCATGCCGGTGCCGCCCTGGCTATATCCCCCTGGCCCGGGATCACCATAGTCACCTCTCTCGTTGGGAAAATAGCCCCTCTCGTCTTTGGGAGGAGGAGTCGGTCCGCCGCCGTGCTGGAATCGTGATTGCTGCATCCGGGGATCTGGAGTCTGATAACCGGACCCCCCATGGGCAGGCGGAGTGGGAGCGGCACCCTCATTCTGGCCCCGCTGTCTCAGCTGTAACTCTGCCAGTTTTTCTTCCAAGTATGAAATGTTTCGCCTGCTGTCCCGGATGTTGCTGTCGACACGTGCCTGGACCGCGGCATTGTTGGTGGACTGTCGCATGTGAGTGGCGGCATTGATAAGAGCCTTTTCTCGCTCGATCTTGCGGTAGACCTCGGCGATGGCCTGGTCGGGGTCCGCCATGATTGCGGAAGAAGTCACGAGGTACGAGGCAGGGAGCAGAGAGGGAGGGAGGCGGAGGGGACGGTGGTGGTATTATTACGGCCAGCTGCGGCCTTCAGAGTGAACAGAAGTGCAATGTCACGGGCCCGTGTCGAGGCCGGAGGGGCATCTGTCTGACGAGGCCGAAGAGAATCAAAAGGGAAGAATGAGGTCGAAGGATAGAAGGAGGTAGAGGGTTTTCGGTCTCGCAGCGGAGGGATTCTCACGGCCCTGGAAAATGTCGTACGTAGGGTCAGGACTTATTGATGATGGCTAAGTGTGTTGTAGTAGTGTTAGCGAGGACCAACATGGCAATGCAGTGGATGAGCGGTGGTGGATACCTTATTGCGTGGATTTGTGTGGGCGGTTCACGTTCAGGCTTTCAGGCTATGCGTGCCGGTGGTGGTGACCTGTGGGTTACAACAAGTCGCCTGCGGCCTGCAGTTGCGACTGGGACTGCGACTGCGCCCACTTTGACCTGGGCTGCTGCGAGGGCTGAAGAGGAGACTTCCCCGCCACGCTCTCGCTCTCTCCCGGGTGTTTTCTTTCCTTCGCCACGGCGCAGAGGAGGTGAGAATGAGACGGTAGGGTGTACTAAGGATAGACAGCACAAAAGTAGACTGCTCGGCGTACAAATAGATTGGACGTGACGTAGTAGAGCTAGAGAGGAAACAATAACAAGCAAAAATGGTGAAACTTGACTGCGACAATCTTTTGGTGTTGTATTTGTCCGCCCTGTGAGAAGTAGTGGGTGGTAAGAAGCAACCGGGGAGTGGGAGGAAGAGGGCGCCAGTCTGGTTAGTACCGTCTACTTACCTACAGTACAGTACTCGGAGTGAACAGTTAAAAGGGCCACCAACAAGGGCACGCGATGGGCGTCCCCTCTTCTATTCAACCCCCTTCCCCCCCCCTGCACCCGCCTCAGCAGTCACAAAAACGTACCGAATATTTGCGTTACCTGCCTAAAGTCCCCAGTATAAGTACAAACTCCCAGTACTTCCAGGCTCAGGGCTCCAGGCTTCAGGCTTCAGGCTCCAGGCGCCAGAGTTCGCTCCCCCCCTTCTTCTAGGATTTGTGTGTTCGTGCTTGTCCTTGTCAGCTGAAGACTCCTCTGGACTCCTTTGGGACATGGCGCCGCCCGTCTTGTCGACATCGCCTGTTCAGCTCTTCAACACCCAGGACTCCGAACGAGGTACTCCGGGACTTCTCATCCTTCAACCCCTCATCTACCTTGCGCTCCCCGCCAACTGGCTTCCCCACCACACGAACTCGCCCCTGCCCTTGTCCACCCTCATAGTCTCGCATCTCAACTCGCAGCCCTAAGGAAGGCTACAAATAGAAACGCCAAACCCTCAGTCGCTGCTAATAGGTGCTTCGTTAGCAATGGCCGAGCGATACCCAACATGGAGGGCCCTTCCCCCACTCATCCTCATCTCACATACATGGTAGTGGGCTATGGACACATCCCGCGCTGCAAATACTCCATGCGGCTGAAAGCCGTGTCAGACAAGGGTTCGGATTTGAGCTTTCCGATCGCACAAAAGTGCAACCGTGACTAAACACTCTCGCTTGCTTGCTCTTGGTTGATAATTCCGGATCTTGCTCTCCTTGGCGAGAATTCAGCATCCTCAGTACCCTAGTATTTGTTATAGATCCTCGTCGCCCTTCTGTCGGCAACAACTAAAAAAACAAAACAAAAACAGGCTGTGTCCATACCCGTAGGGCTTCGGGTTGTTGATCACTCTATCAGTCCGCAGCTGGTGCCGTCCCCATGACTCCACGCCCGAAGAACTCACTGACGGTCCCGAATCGACTGTTGCTTCTTGCCAACGCCGCCTTGAATAACTCGTGTTGCTCAGTGCTTTCGATTTGTTGTCGCCGGATGGCCCGAATCGTGTCATTTCCGGGCTTGCAAAGCGGACACTCTACGTTGCTGTCATTTTCATCCATGCCAATTCCTGGTTTATTCAAGCACTCTTGGTGAAACGAGTGCTTACACACAAAGTGCACCGTGGGTAAGGTGAGATTTCGATTGCAAGACGAACACCGTCGCGCTTGAAACACGACCGGCTTCGTGCCCAGGTCCGCCAGTTCTGCCTTTTTCGACGCCGTTTCGGTCCGGTAAGAGTCGATCAATCGCCGGTTGGCCTGGATCTCTTTGCGCTCCCGAGAGATGTTGTCGGAAAGGTATCCCTTGACCATTCCCATTGTGACCGAGCCACCCTGCGACAATACCTTGACCACTTGGAGCGGGGCCATGAGATTTTCCCGGTCAATCTTGCGAAGAATGGTCTGGAGTTCTTCCTTGACCCCAGGTGCCTTGAGGACCTCTTCAGACGACGAAAAATAGCCAAGTGCAAGGGGATAGAGCGAGGCATCCTTTGATCCATATTTTCTGAGCGCTGATATGGCGCCTGACGTGTCTTTGGCGGACGTGAACGAGCGGAATATGTCGGCATACAGATTTTCGCGTTCCCTCACTAATGTCGTGCCAGCCGGGAACTTTGAGAGTGACGACAGGAGCAAGACATTCGAGGTATCTATCGTCGAGGAATCCAGTGATGCAGTGGCGTTGTCTGCAATCAAACTGGTCGCCTGGACTTGCCATTTCCCCCGCTCTGCCGGACCCGTCGCATTGTTGGCTGCTTCGAGATACATCTCAAACAGTGTGGTCGACAAGTCCGATCTGTCTTCTTTGGAGAGATTTTCCTGCAGAATCAGCGCCTCCAGGAAGGTAATGAATTGTGATGGATGAGCGAGGAATGACGAGAACGCGCTGCGAGGACGTGGTTTAATGTATGTTGGAGCTGCATCAACCTCGCCAGCAGAGGCACGTTCATCGTGTTCGGGCTTTTCATTTTCGGCAGGTGCTGCTTCACTGGTTGTGGATCGATTCATGAATGGTAAGCTCCAAAGAGCCGAAAGACTTTGAAATGCACCACCACCTGTCTGAGCCTGCACTTCCGAGACTGCTGGCACATCCTTCTTGGGTGTGTATTTCCCAGTATAGTATTCAACAAACAGCTTGGTTGTTTCTTCGGGGCAATGTTCGAGGAGGCTGCGGGCATATTTCATTAAAACTGGATATGCTGCATCGGGTTCCAGACGCCAAATGTATTGCAAAGCTTCAGCATACTTCTTTGAGTCTTCCACCAATATGTCGATCACCAATTCATTTTCGCCATGCTTAGTCGCAAGGTAAGCCGCCTGGTCAAAATATCCACCTTGTCGACACATAGCAATGGCCGTTTCGACGTCAAACTTCGCGGATCCCGGTGTGCGGATGAAAGCGTCCAGTTTGTCCGTGTCCTTGAGTTTAGCGTAGCAGTTCAACAGCAGCGTCGTGTGGTCTGCAGTGGCCCGGTCATGATCATGTAGTTCCTCGAGATAGTCGATCAAATTGTGGATTCTCTGCGTGTCCAGAAATCGTCGAATCACCTGCGAAGGCTCAGTATTGTCGATGGCCCTCAGATACTGCTGCATGGCCGTGTCGTAATCACCCTTTTGGTACAGGTAGTCCCCGTATTTCCTGAAGATGATGTTCTGTTGCATTTTGTCGGCGCCCAGTTTTTGTGCCAGGTTAATGGCATAGATATAAAGGTTCCGCTGATACAAGATCTCAAGCTTCTGCTGTAGGGTCTTTTCCTGGTATCGAAAAAGCTGCTTTGAATCAGCTCAAGCACTTACGTATCAAGCTCGGCAACGCACCTTTCCATCCACGGTCAGCAGAAAGAGTTCGTTCCATTCCACGAAGACCTCTTTGACCGGAGCAGGCAATGACTCCGTGTGAGCAACGTATTTGAGATCAGTATCAAGCAATGTGAAGGATGAGCTACTGAACAGCTCGTCAATCTCCTCGCCGCCCAACCTTCGGAATGTTTTGGATTTTGACACCTGCGCCACCCGTGGTGGGCACGCAACGCCAACATACTCCTTGTAAATCTTGACAATTTTCTTCGGGCCCTCAAATGCATAGCTAGGACCACGGCCGTTAACGCCATAGTAGTAGATGGCATCTTCTCGAGCAATCACTATGTCTCCAGCCTCGCGGTCTTGAGTCATGCATCCGACGTTGCAACCTCGATTGTCAACTGTGCGGACTGGTTGACCCTGGCCTTTCCCAGATATGATGAGGCTGCATATTTTGGCCGTGTTCGCAATGTATAGGACTTTTGTCGTGCCTTGACGGACTTCCAAGCCAGTGATCGGATCTTCAGATTCAAAGACGGTCCTTTGTTTAGTCCCGCGGTCGTGAATGAAGTCGCCGCGAATAACGGTGACGGACCCATTGGCAAACCCTACTGCCACCTGTGTCAAGTCATCGAGAACCACGAATGCCGATACTGGAAACTGTCTCCTGCCATTTTGCACTCCAATTGTACACAGACACCTCGGTGCTCCGGTCTTCTTCTCGATCTTATCCAATGCCCAAACTTTCAACGAAGGGTCCGATGACAGGTTCTCTGAGATGGTGACAAGGAACGGAGTATTGGGCACTTGCCGGAGGTGGGTGATTGAGCCATCCGGGACGTCTGAAGCTTGAAAGGTGCGCACAACCTTCAAGGCGCGGGAAAGAATGCGCACTGAACCGTCCGAAGAACCGAGGAACAGAGAATCCGCGCCCGTGGTCAGTGAGACGACTTCGTTCTGTTGTTGTAATCGGTTAGAAGACAATCTTGTACTAGACACAGGGTAAGAACGTACATCGAAGACATAGGAACCATCTTCGTCTGCGGGCACAGGAACCTGGGAAACCTCGAAGAACGGGAAATCTTTCCAGCTGGTGAGCGCCATGATTCCTCACCTCAATATTGGCCCAGAGATACACGCAAATCCATGTTAGCGAAGGGCAGGCTGGGCTGTCAAGGCAGGTTGCTCATTTTGCTAGACCTGCCCGTAATGTTAGTCGTGGAATGAGAGGATGGTGTTCCCGCGAAAGTGACGTCGCGAAAGTTGGAGTAGGAATGAGCGCAGCCTGAAATGGGTCAGTCGAAGGGGCCACATGGACAATATTCAACATGAATTCTATTGAGATCTTCCACAATGTACGGAGTATTTACATATTATATCTGACTGCTGGTATCCTGCCCAGTACTGTACAATCCTTCGCTTTTTCTTTTTCCATCTGGATATATATGTATCAATATATATCCACGCTCAGTAGAAACAGAACTAATATCGTGACAAGCATCTCGGGTCATTACACGTTCATCAATCTGCATTCTACCTCTGCAAGGCTCATTGTTCCCAGCTAAATCGGGTTCCTTGTGGATTCGGGCGCACAGGTAGACCAGGAGGGCGTTCTTCGCTCACAGTGCCCAGTCCTTCCTCGACAAACCTGCTTCCAGAGCTTGGCGAACGCGATGGAGGACGTCCGTTCAGCTGCGGTACCAGAAGACTACCACGGCTGGTGGTCATTGCAGGGCTGGTGCTCCCGCCAGGTAACTGTTGCGCTTGTGATCTTGATGCCATCTCTGGCGATATCGGACTCGACATGCTCCTGCTATTTGCGTTGCTAGATTGTCGAGAATGGCCGTCACGGCTGGCCCCGACTGGGCTGACGCCCTGGTCGTCGGATGACACAGTTCCAAACGCATGACTGTGCCTGACGCTATAGGGGCTGATACTGCTGCTGAACCGATTATTGATCTCCGCTGGTGAGTAAGGGGGGACTGGCGAGCCAGATCTTTCACTAGCTGCCGCTTCTGCTGCCTTTGTCGAATGCTGTTGCTCGAGCTCTGCCGGTTTTCTTGGATCGTTCCTCATGAGCGCCGATCCCCGACGAGGGCCTTCGTTGCTTTCGAAGAAACTCGGAGAGACAGGGCCTGCAGGCATTTCGATTGGTGTATTGCTCGCCAGTTCGAACCTGCTAACTGAAGGATCTGCAGGCACCTCAGTTGGGTGACGTTTATCACCCAGCAATTCAGAAACCGAGGTCTTCGAATCAGGATTTCGCTGCAACCGACTAAGCAGTGACCGTCTCTTCTCCTTTTCCGGTCCAGGACTGCCTGACGCACCCCTCTTCCGGAAGCAGAACCACAAAGTCAGTCCCAATGCAAGCAGTGCCCCTATTCCAGCTCCTAACCCAATCCCTATTTTGGCACCTGTCGACAATCCAGTCTCCGGAGGACCCGGCCATATGCTGCCGTCGGGTCGAGAGATTGCTAGAAGGTTGACATTGCTGACAGCGTCCAAGGTGAACACTGCCTGCGATATTGAGAAGTTGTTACGTTCGTAGTCGACTGTGAGATAGGTCTCTTGCAAGAACGCTCGACCAATGGTATATTGTGTGGAATTAGCTGCCTTTCGCAGAGGGAAATAATTTGTAGGAGGGGAGGTAAAGTTTGCCGCCAGATTTGGGAATGGATATGTCAGTTGAAGGTCGAATGCGTCGTAGGGTAACGTAAGTTCAATCCCATCGGATGACCCAGGCAAATTGCTCAGCGTGAAGGTGAACGTCAAATTCCATGCACTGAGAGCATCGGGCGACGATGAACCGTTGGAAGGGAAGAGGTAGAGTTGCAAGGTGTCGTCGTAAGTCAGGTTGAGAGCATTTGCGAAAGCGTCGCAAGCTGGCTCCGGAAGCCATAGAAATGGAGTTGACGAGTCAATGGTGAATAAGTCGGCCTGAGACAGATCCAGGAGTGTCAGAGGGTTCGAGCCCCAATTAGACGGTAGAGATTCAGCCCCGGACGAGACCGATATCGAGTTGACAGCAACAATGGGAGCATAGTCCTGGCTCAAGGTGAAGCTCATGTCATTCGGTACGAATCGATTCGCATCAACCCCTCCCAAGACCAATGACGCTGGAACACTTTTTAGACCTGGACATGGCATCAGCGTAACCGCAAGTATCGGGGAGTGTGAAAGAGCACATACGGTAGATTGCTCCTGCAGTATAGCCGTAACTACGGCTGGGGATATCGTTGCGCTTCTGGATCAAGCTCGACAAGAGCGGCGAGATGGCCTCGGAGCCACTAAAGCGAGTTTGTTGAACTCCAAGTCCCAAGCTGCCGACCCAGTAGTCGGTCGAATTTACCACGGCGATAATTTGGTCGGGCACAGAGGTCGCATCGTCTAGGGAGAGAGTGTCCAAGCCATAGTAGCCAAATCCACTACCACCCAGCTGGGGATCAAAGTTGAGCTCATAAAAGCCTCGAGGCTTGAAAGAGGACGACTCGTTTGCCGAAAACAACCCTCCTCTTTTACTCTGACAGACAGTCGTCCCATCGCAGCCAGCGGGACCTACCACCCACGTCTCCTGACTCAGGGTACTCGGGAAAACCGAAAGATATTGCTCGGGCGACCCGACCCGTATACTGATGGCCGACCACAGGCCGTCGTAGCCAAAGAAATCTGTACTTGTTGTCGCAACAATGGGGGTAGGATTTGAGGCTTCGACCGGGCCCAATGACAGTATCAGACCCAACGCAATCAAGAGGTCACCGCAAGACCACGAAACAGGAGCGAAGCGAACGTGATATGAAGAGCGCATTGTGCCGCGAATTCAACGAGTTCGAAAGACCCTCATAGCTTGCAAACTGGTTTTGGGGGGACGTTTGCACGTCAATCGCGTTGGGAAGATTTGAACGAGGGGCTGTAGCAACGAGGACGGAGTACAAGTTCGCGACAAGGAGAATTGCTGAACGAGAGTAGATGATAACTGCAATTGAGAACCAGAGGACGTCAACGGAACACAGAAGGATGGTGTGAACGATGGAGGGGACAAATGTCTCATCCACATGGCCGCAAAAAGAGAGAAGCAATCACGATTGTCCTCGGTCTGCACCTGCGGCGTCCACACTCGGTAGGGAGCCTGGGAGCCTGGTGAGCCGAATTTTTTGGAGGCCACCCAGACCAACCTGACTCGGTACTAGGCAAGTACTACAACCACGACAAGTACAAACAACTCGTAGGAACAACCTTTCGAGCCTTACCACCTCCAACTTGTGGGTGGGCGGCCGCGAATCATGGCGCGAACATTGCTGCCATTGCTGCTCTCCTCTTGCCCCTGCCAGCATTCGACTCGTGGGTAGGTAATATTAATACATTCTATCCACTTTCCCAGACGGAGAAAAAGGGACGCAACTTGGGATGCTCAAGATGTTGCTTCTACTTGTACGGAGTGTGAGGTGAGGGATTGGATTGACAAGGAATTCTTGCTCCTGCGCCAATGAATCGTTCTGATTTTCCAGATTGCACAGGTTTCCACCATCTCTTCCGCTTTCCTCCCACGATGCGAATGCAACTCAGGCAAACACATGATACCGTGGAGCTCCCCTAAAACCGAGTCTGCTTAGGACTTCTTTTTTGGATTGAATTCTGCAGGCCGGGCTTTCCAGCAATAATACCCCCTCCGTCAGATTGAGCATACATTTTTGCCAAAAAGCCAAGGCACCGTTTCGCCGCACTGAAAGTCATAGCCCCCAAGTGCCCCATTTGATTGAAACTGCTTGGCACTGCAAGATGCGAGGACAAAAATGTGTGCGACTTTCCGTCTAGGTACCCAGTACGGTGCTTTGCCCCGGTCAGCCCCAAGCAGATGTCGACCGATGCACGCAAAGAGTCGCACAGGGCTGTCTCTCGGGAATGTCTGAACGGCGGACTGCATCGGCGACTTGATATTGGCATTGAAGTGAAAGAGACTTCTCATCATCGTCCTGTCATCTGTCCCACCCGAAGGGCCTGGTGCGACAGTCTGGTCTGGACCTGCATTCCCGAACACGAGGAAGCTGATTGATTCTGATACCACAAGGCAGACAGGGTGGAGCCCGGCATCAAGTTCAAGTTCTCGGAACATGTGGCACTTTCCTTCTGGTAGCCCATGCTCAGAAGGCCCAGAACCTTGGCTCCCGGGGGGGGGGGGGGGGTTTCCTATTGGAAACTGTGTAACATGTGTTCACCTCTTTGGGATTATGATGGCGAGACAGAAGGACAGCAAGAAACAACCCTCCTCGTATATGAGCATTCGATGGGACAGCGGCGTGTCTCAGGTTAAGGTTGTGCGTAGGAGATGCTGCCCAGGCACTGGATGGCTTTGAGTTTGCCCATCATTATGCACGGTAGATTGGGCAGACGCGAGAAGAACCATCCAAGAAGCACTAGAGCTCGAGGGAACAGTTGTTAAATAAGCGGGGAGATGAAGATGATTTGGAGACAAACATGACAACCAGTGAGCAGCCTGTAGAGACATTCTGTTCCTCAGTGATGGCTGCGACGGCGTGTCCTCGGGCGGGGCCGGCACCAGTTTGGAGTTTGTCCAGGCTAGCAGGACCTGGAGGCTGCTACAAGTAAAGGCTAAGTACTTGTTAGAAGTTCTCCCCGTTAGGCTTCACAGTTAGCAGCGGAAACCCCTCGGTGCCCCCTTTGGTGCTTTGGCTCCTCCATCAACAGCCACCCAATGGGCACCGCAAGCCCCGAAACCCCTGCTATGGCGGCTGCAGGTCAATCCGAAGCTCCAGCCAATCTTATGGCGCCCTTGCAGCAGTGTCCGCATTGAGGCAACCTTGGTGATCCTGGACGGCTGGGCGGGCCACCACAACGGCTTGGCGACAAGGGCCCTTGAGAGTCTCCAGTCCCAGCCAGCCAAAGGTTGCAAAAGATGCCATCTCCATGCCAGATGCAAGAAGCCAAAAACCCGGTCCGGGCAACCAGGGCTTCTCGGACTGCTCGAGGCTGTGAGCGACTGGATGAAAGGCCCTGTCGGTATCGATGGGACCCCCCTGTCGCCCTGCCACCACGGTTGAATCTGTCCCTCTCCGCCTCTCTTCCGAACCACTCCCTTCCACAATACCGCAGACCTCATTGCGTATCAATCCAATTCTCCCGCAACTTCACTTCGGCTGGCCCTGTCCCTCGTTTGGAACCACAACAAGTCACTGTTCGTTGCGCTGTCCGGGGGAAGGGAGTCCCGAAAAGCAGCCCTTGTACCTGCGTCCTGTCGCGTCTGAGTCCTCGAACCATCTATATCTCTTCATGCCTCTCGAACCTCCGACATTCGCTATCACTCCACATCTACGATTGACCTGGGAATCGTGGATTGCCGGGAGCTGCTCGCCAGCCTCAATCGCTCGCCCTTCGCTACTATGACGGATTGAGGCCTATTCTTCGAATGTTTTATCGCACAGTCGTTCGTTCTCCTCCCGCATTGGACTTGACGCTCGCTTGAATTTGGATTTGAATTTGGGGGGTTCGACGCAAGAGCAGCGCAGAATATTCTCCGACGAGATGTATAACCTATGGTCGCTCGTTCTTCTACCTATCGCGCTGTCTTCAGCGCTGAACCTGGATCTGAATTTGGACTTGAGCTTGGGCAAGAAAACACCCCTCAGGTTCATGCGCAGGAATATCATTTATTCAAACACCACATCGCCCCAGCCAGGCCTCGCCTTGGAGGCATCCACTTCAGTTCCCAGTGAGACAACCTCGTCCACTGCATCGACAATCGCTTCGTCTAGTTCTACATCAACTTTAAAAACTCCCGTCGACACGAGTTCCAGCCTCCCCACAATCGCTCCGTTCAACCCTCCGTCGATTCCAGCTCCATTCGACACCAGCACCACCATAGCAGTCGCCACAATCTATCCTCCACCGATTCCAGCTCCCTCCAACACCAGTCCCAGCTCAACGGCAATCGCTTCGTTCGCTCCTCCACCGATTTTCGCGCCAGGGGGGTCGGACCCAAGCACCACGACAGTCACTGCACCAACGAACACATCCAATTCTCTCTCAAATGAATCTATTTCTTCTTCTGATATTGGCACTCATATCAGTGGATCTACACCTCCCGTTCTCAAAACCCCTCCACCGTTACCTTCAGTCACACGCCCTTTTACGAACACGACCACCAGTCTAGATCTTGGCAGGACTACGAATTCCTCGACCGTGTCTCCAAATTGTACAGGCTCAGTCACATACTTCGGGACTGTTCCACCCACAGTCTATGTGACTGTGACTGAGGGATTCGACGTGACTGTAACAGCCAGCAATGAGTCCATGACTGAGACGCCGACCTTGATTACACCATTGCCAGCTTGTGAAGCAACGATCATGCCCCTGGCTGCGTCATACTCATATGCCCCGTTATCAACAGAATCGGAGGCTGCTTCAAACATTCCTCAATTCGCTACCAATAATCCACTCATTGCTCCCGCACCTGAATCCTCTCGGTCAGTGGTGCCTGCGGGAACACCTGCCATTGCTACCGCTCCCACTCCCTCGGCGAGCCCTGCTTCTGCTGCCTCTACAGCCGCCGTCTACTCCAGTGTTGACTATACCAGTACTGTCGTCGTCACAAAGAAGACACCGGTGCCCGTGGTAGTCCCACCTACCACTTCTATCGACATCAACTTCAATTTCCCGTCCCAGAGTCCCACCCCGCCTCCTAGCAGCGGAGGAGGCGGGAGCAATAACGGTAACGGTAATAGCGGCGGAAACACCCCTGCTCCTGGTGGGAGTAACAACGCACCAGCACCTCCGGCAACCAGCAATGGAGCGGGCAGTTTCCCATCGATCAGTAGCCAAGGCCCAACCGGAGGTAGTTTGATCGTCGAGGCTCCTACAACTACAAAAATAGGCAACATCATCGCTTCCATCATCAACTCACCTTTTGCGACCGCATCGCCCACTGGTCATGCTTCCGGAGCTGTCCCCTTGACCACCACAGTTGACGGTGTCTCTATTGTTGTACAGCCCTCCAGTGTGGTGATTGGTGGTCAGACCGTTGCAATCCCTAATCTGGTTCCGACCACCGTGCAAGCCTCCGGCGCTGTCTTCACAGTGGAGCCCTCCAAAATCATAGCTCCTTCAGCGACTATCACAATCCAGCTTCAACATGACCAGATCGTGACACCTGTTCCTACGGCCACGATTACCACCGCAGTTGGCGATCTCACTCTCACCGTCGGGCCCACGGTCGCGATCATCTCTGGAACGACGTATAGGATCGGAGAAGGCGCGCCAGCCACGACAGTCGTAGTTGACGGAACGAGGATCTCCATTGGCTCTGCTGGCGTTGGGTTGCCTAGCACTACTGTGGCGCCTGGTGGCGCGACGAACTCGCCCTTCGTTGTCTACACCGTGCAAGGCCTGACCTTCTCGGTCGATGCCACTGAAGCCATTGTTGGTGGCACCACTTACCGCATTGGGTCGAATGCTTCCCCCTTTACTACAACCATCGGACCTCAACATGTATCAGTATCATTCGGTCCCAGTGGCGTAGGACTGGCCGGCACTACGTTGACACCCACCTCTCCTTTTGTCGTGTACACTGTGGAAGGGTTGACTTTCTCAGTTGACGGCACCGAGGCCGTGATCAGCGGCACAACGTACCGCATTGGATCCAATGCTCCCCAAGTGATGACCACCATTGGCTCGGGACATGTATCGGTGTCATTTGGCCCAGGTGGAGTTGGCCTTGAATCGACCACGATCGTTCCCACGACAGCCTCATCGCACATATCTCAGACTGCGAAGACCGGTTCAAAATCAACATCTGCAACTGCGTCTCCGACACAGTCAGTGAGTGTAGCCAACGAGGCATCATCTCAGGTCCGCGGACCAATCGTTCTTCGATGCTGTCTATTTGTTCTGTCTTTGGGATGGCTTGTTCTTTGAAGGCCCGAAATGACGTGATACGATGGAGTTTTAGATGTCTGGCATATTGGGAGGAAAATGTCTGGTCTCTAATGATGGTTGGATTTGCTGGATTACTTTAGCCTTGGCCTTTGGTACGATCATGATACCCGCAATAACTTGACGATATGATTGAGTTGAGTTGCTCCATGTGAGGAGCCCTCCCTGGAAGAATTGGGCACAAGGAGGATACTTTTTGGGAAAGGAAACAACGATAATGGCATCCATGGGTATGGACCGCCGGCTGGGTCCAAAAAAACCGTATACATATAATCATCTTGGAAAATCGCAATGTCATTTCCATTTTCACAGCTTATATAATGTTTACCTCCATAGAAGACTTCCGGCCACCATGCCGGACATACTCATGATAGAAGCCATGAGGAGGTTGATTTGGTTGTTGTCCAGAATGTCGTTTCCGGAGTTGATCACCCTGCTGCTCTCTTCACCGCTGAACCTGCGGCCATGCCCTTGCAATTGTGCTGGGGCTGTGGACTTGGGCCTTGTGAGGACCTTGACACCACCGGGTCCTTCGACGATCTTTCCCGACCGACGATCAATGACCGACGCTTGCAGCGTCGCCCCTAGGAGAGAGTCCAGAAGCGTGCCGATCGTACCAAGGCCTGTGAGCAGCAAAAACATACCCAGAGCATTGGTGGGTGATGCAGCGCAGAAGCGCAGGAATACCAGGCTTGTGGCGGCAATGGCGGCGCTGCCTGCCACACCAGCCAACAGTCCACCGACTGTCACGCCGCCGTTGGTACCTCGCGGCACGACTCGAAGCGGGTTGGTGATGAAGACTGGTTGGCTTTTGGAGAGAATGCCCAATTCGCTGGACAGGGTGTCCGCTGCCACCGCTGCATAGTTGGCCATTATTCCCATCAGCAACAAGTCAGGAACCATGTCGTTGTTCGCGCGTCTTCCACCAAAACATTCCCCCTCCTGGCTCACACCTGTGCCGTATAGCCAGACATGCAGCAGGCACAGCAAACTCGCACACCCACTATTCGCGAGCACCTGGATACTCGTCCGAGGCCCCTCTCCGCCTGAAGATCCACTGCTCGACATCGTCAATGTGGCTTTCACATCATGTTTCACTTTTGTGGCTGTCGTGCCGAGCAGGAAAAATACGCAAAGTAACGTGAATGGGAGGGCAGACGGATGAAGCGCGTGAGTTGTTGCGGTGAGTGTTGCGCACAGAATTCCCAGCGGTGTGAGGGAGCGCCGAGTGTAGGCGCGGATGACGAGGAGGAGCGTTAACGGAATGGCGATGACGGGACGCATCTTGAGGGAGAGGGAGAGGGAGAGATGGAGAGGGAGGGAGGGATTATGGAGAGAAATATATACAACCCAAGAGCTCTGTGCCTGGGAAGGTGCACAGGTGCGCCTTGAGCTGCACAGAGATTATGTGTGCCTTTGTTGTCGAGTTACTAACGAGGGCGCAGGGCACCGAAGCTGTTTCCGAGAAATACGAGCATGACGTCTTTGTGGAGCTTGCTCGGTTGGTCGAGCTGGTCCCTCCATCAACGGATTTTTATCCCGTCTTTTCCAATGGGCATGGCACGGCCATCCACTACTGATTGCTAGCAGAGGGTTGAGAATGGGAGACCCTTTTTCGAAGCTGCAGCAACACCATGTTCAAATCACTCCTCACTAGGTCTGCCACAGTGAGGCCGGGTGCAGTTTCGCGACCCACCTCCAAAGCCGTTGCTTCTCACAATGTTTCAAAACGAAGTCTCCATCTCGCTCCTCCTTTCCTCCTTGACGACTACATTCCTCGCTATAACCTGCTCTCCTCCGCCGAGGCAGCAAAAAAGCGTTCCGCCGCCTATGCTCACCTCCGTCAATGCAACCTCTGCCCGCGTCTCTGTAATGTCAATCGGTACGAGACCACCGGACACTGCTTGATCGGTGCAGAGACGGTCAAGGTATCAAACATCGCACCTCACTTTGGGGAAGAGCCGTGTCTTCAAGGGCATAACGGTTCTGGATCTATATTCCTGAGTGGCTGTAATCTGAGGTGTGTGTTCTGTCAAAACCACGATATAGCGCACCAGAAGATTGGCTTTGACCTGACCCCGGAGGAGTTGGCCGAGTGGATGATCAAGTTGCAAGAGGTGGGCAAGGTGCATAATATTAACGTCGTGACGCCCGAGCATGTCGTGCCCCAAGTCGCGCTAGCTATCCTGACGGCTAGGGACATGGGCCTTAATTTGCCGATCGTGTACAACACCAGCGCGTTCGACAGTCTGGAAAGTCTCAAGTTGATGGATGGACTTGTGGATATCTATCTACCGGATTTCAAGGTCTGGAACAACGAAACTAGCAAGAGGCTTCTAAAAGCCGACGCCTACGCGGATACGGCCAGAGAAAGCATCCAGGAAATGTATAGGCAAGTCGGCGATTTGTGTTTCACTGGCGACGGGATCGCGAAGAAAGGAGTTTTGGTCCGCCATCTGGTCATGCCGGGAAAGGAGCAAGAAGGAGTGCAGATCATGAACTGGTTGGCTGAGGCGCTCGGAAAGGATGTCTTCGTGAATATCATGGAACAGTATTTTCCGACTGCCCATGTTGGTAAGGAGAAAAGGGGCTCCAAGTCAGACAAGTCGAGCAAGAGATATCCGGAAATCAACCGCGCGGTAAACCACGAAGAGATCGGTGTGGTGCAGAAGGCAGCGAGAGATGCTGGGCTTTGGAGATTTGCTGAGCCAGCGAGGCATGGTGGATGGAATATTTGAAAGACGTTCGGAAGCTTCTGTTGTCCTTCATCAGTTGATCATTGGAGACTGCGATGAGCCTGAGACATGGTAAGTTATCTGAACGGTGATTCCCACAATCGATTGACGAGCAATGAACGAGTTTGGCACAGCGAATGGAACTTCCGCAGAAGCACCGAGAGGCACTGGTGTTGCTACAACAAAGCCCACCTGGTCAAACCTTCATTGTTCATGCAAATCCACATTCTTGACCTATCTTTGGTCGCGACTGCTGCCATTGGTCGGCCTTGCCTCTTTGTGAGACCAACCGGTCAAAGACACATGTTCTCACAAAAGCCGTGCGCGGAAGGCAATGGTTGAATCCATTCTAACTTCCTACGATACTCGAAGAGGGTCCCCGAGCCTAGGACGACCACGACATGGCCTCATTCCAGCATCTGGGACCTTTCGGCTCTCCAAGACCAACTCTAGTCACAGCTCTGCATTCCCAAGTCCGCCAGGAAGCAGAGTATATCCAGGAACGTATAGCTGCCGCGGAGGGCCTTTACAGAAAATTGACCATGGACATTATAAAGACCCAAACAGACCTTGGAGAAGTGGAAAAAAATGGGGACTCCGAGAAGGTGATCAATTCTATTAAAAGGAAAATCAGAAAGAAACGATCGCGATTGAACAGATGCGTGAAGAATCGGCAGATCTTCGAGACACAACTGGCTACCATCTTTGGAGAAATGAGAAGAATGGAGCAGCGGCAATGGCGCCACCACAGTGCTTCTCGCATTCACAACCTTGGAATGTCAAGTGCTGGAGATTTTGGTAATGCTTCTTGCACAGCACCGAGCTGGCCAGCGATTCCATACATGTCAGCGTCTAGGGGTCCAGATCTTGTGCAGAATCTCGAGGGTCCGATTCTCAAGGTGCCGTATTCTCGATTTCCCCAAGACCTGTACCAATCTGTTCCGAACTATGTTCCTCAGACACCAGTCCTACGCCCAACACAAATTCCACAATTAAGATTCGCACAGCCACATCAGCAGGAATGCGGTGTTCCTCGAGTTAGCAACGAACCAGGAATTAGCCCTACCGACACAGTATCCACTTATGAATTGAGTTCTCCAAGAGGCTTCCCGGTCAATTACACTCCTGCTGCTACTCAACAAGTCGACCTGCTCCAGGCGATGAGCCAGATGCACATCTCTCAACCCCATGAATCTTTAGCACAGACTTCAAGTATACCAACTATGGTGCTTGGGCAGAGGAGTCTTGATTTGTCGCAGCATCCCAGCATGCTTGATCACCAAAGTGTCGCGTTCCAACTCCAGAAGGCAGCCAAAAAGGGTAGAGGTCAGAGGTCCTGCTAGCGAGGTGGTACAGCCGTCGGCTTTGAGCAACGACTTTCTTTTTCGGATGGACAGGAGTCAGAATGTCGTTTATTCATTTTAAAAGTACAACCATACACGGATTAAGATGGTCGTGAATACCTTTGGAATCAGGAGTTGTTGCGTTTTCAGGCTCGCCATCAAGATGACTGCCGCCGCCGCGGCGACTCCAACAACGCGACAAGATGCATTGTACACACTGTCTGCTCTTTTTTTCTGTCATGCGCCTCTCTGCATCTTTGTTTGCCAATAAATCTTTCGTCTCCTTCCCAATTCAATCGATACATGACCGCTCCAGGGTTCAGCATCGACATCACCCTCCATCCGAATTACAAGCCTGGTTTACACATCCATCCTACTTCTCGTTTCTGTCTCATTTCCTTGTCTCCTTCCCGCAGTTAGGCGGACTCCTGTTTCTGGAACTTTTGGGCGAAAAGCTGCGCGCACCTCCAAAATGAAGCTGGGACTTTCCCTGTCTCATCTCATAGTGCGTTTCCATCACCTACTTCCCGTCTTCTTCACGCGATATACTAGTACCAGACAACACCACAGCAGACACGTTTGACTATCTGTAGTTAACTAGCTGTAGAGTTGCCGGTTTAGAAGTAGCCACAAGGCCGAGTGAGAATCCAACCATGCCCATGGCGTGCATCGAAGCTGGCTTTGCATGTCTCTATCCAAATGCGCTGCCAAGCTCGCAACGAACAGTGACAACCACGAAGACTCGATCGAAATCCTGGTCTACATGGGCGAACGGCCCCGTAAATTACGACCGGGACGTCAACACAACACCACAGAACCAACTTAATAGCAAACCACGCACGCTCAGCATTAGCAAGGGCGTCGGCGGAGGCAGTCTGTTCAACGGCATGGGTGTGGAATCGAGGCAACCAGAACGACTTCAAAATCTGGGGTCCGTTGGGGAAATCCAGACTCGGACCGCGGGAACCTGGTTGCCGTATTTCAAAAAGTCCGAGACGTACGCGCTGCGATACCACCACGGTCTGCAAAACCAGCCTGTTGCGTTCGTCGACGACTTTCTTGGGACCGGTGAATGTTTCCAATCCGCAATTACTACTTCTGACCAGAGACAAAGACATAGGAAATACTTTTGTCCAGACTTGGGCATTTTAAATACCAGTAACCTACAAGCCCCCGGACGAGAGAGCCATGCAACTGACGCCGTACATAGTATATATGCACAGACAACTGGTTCGGGGCACTTGACATCGATGTTGGTGACAAACGCACAACAGATCATATTAGTCGCGTATCTGTATGTGCATCTCCCATCGATTGTCGCCCTGATAACGCGGTCTGGGTGGCGAATAGAATGCAGCTAAGCCGGATTAATCGATTCGGGTGCTGTGCTTCAAATGCCACGCGAGTGATTTGGGAAACCAGCTAGTGGTGCTTCTGGTGATGATTTTAATTCATCTGATGGACCAATGCAAATAAATAGAATAGTACTAACTACTACTATTTCGCCTTCTCTATGATGTTAGATCGGTTTGAACTGGTTCAAATTGAGTGAGCCTAATCAGCGATGTAAGCACCAGACTCGGTTATAGCCCGGTCTGAGACCGATTCCAGATCGATTCGAACCGAATCGGCTTAGTTGACTAGAGAAATAATAAAAAAGAGTGTTGTTTAATCCTAGTTAGCTGCACTTTTTCTCGAAATTCTAATTTTTATCTCTTTAATTTTATAGTCTTATTTTTAAATATTAGTATTATATTTCTATTGTGGAAATATCTATATAAAAAAAATGCGTGAATAAAATCTATAAAATACTAGTATATAAATCGATTCGGCTTAGTTCGAAATGATCTCGAATTGGGTCAAATCAGTCTAGCCCATCTATAGACATAAGGCCTTTAATCGAGTCCAGCCCAGGCCAGAACACGGCTGGAGCTGGGCTGGAACCGATTCAACACTAGGCGGGCGGGCAATATAGTATTCACTTGAAGTTGAAGGGCTCATGTGACAAGCCCTGCTACTTTAGCAAGCTCGATCGCTGCTTTAAAGCCACCCGCTTCTTTCTCTCTCTATACTACTAGTATTTATAGATTCTATTGGAGATGAACTTGACATTGAATGAACTCTGAAGCTGAGATGCGTTTTGCCCTTTATCACCTCTCTCCCACAAAATGCGGGCAGGTTCCGATCTAGTAACTCTCAACTTCTCCAAGCAGCTCTCTGGGAACAAATTCAACCTCGCTCAAGGCTCGACGATGGGTGCGGACGACAATGGCGCCTATTTTCAGATACTCCTAGCACCTAGATGCATTCCCGCGGACTCCGTACTATCAATCAGGCAACTGACACTTGTCTACTGAGGACGGTACTGTCCAGAGTATATATGGTTCACGAATGGCGGGTTCACAATACGGAGTACATGCATGCACAGTCAGAAAACGCGGGACCTCGGGCGGCTCGAGAAACGGATTAGGTTGCCAGGCAGTGCGCTTGGCTCATGTCATTCGAATGCAACATCTCTCTCTCTCTCTCTCTATGCGTGTCATTCACACCCACATTAATTTGAGAGGAAACTAGAGGAAATAAGGCCCCAAATCGAAGTTCGAAAGGAGACGGATGCGGTTCCACCTTTGTCGAGGTTAGTGTACCAGTATGTTCCGAGTCCCTAGGTATTTTTGAGATGTTTACTTATCAGGAAATACCCATTCAGGAAAGTTGTTCTCTATTGGGCATGGGTCCCGCTCACGCCGCTTTTCGAGGTCGAAAAGCAGCCTGCGTCTAGACTGATCCCGATCCGTCCTCATTGGCCACTGTCGACGGATGGTGCTGCAGCATTCCAAGTTTGGTCTCACGTCCCCGGAAATCCAGAGAGTTCGGGGTCAACCAAGAAAGATGCCATAATCATGAGTCTCAGTGAGCCCGGTACTACGTATTCAAAAAGCGTGGACGCCCGCATCAAGGACACTCACTCTCTGCTCATTCGGCCCCTCCCACTCGGTGGCATATTAGAGATACTACCAGTAATTTCACGAAATCCGAATTCATTTCCAATTCACATTGTCCGCCTCCGGCAAAGAATACAACACTATGGCTGCGACAAAGAAGCCCATCCTCTACTATTTCAATCTGGGCAGCAAAGGCCGTGGCGAAGTTGTCCGGTAAGTACTACTGCTATATCCCACAGCTGAGGCCGTTTGGTTGAATGGATGTCGGTTGCTGTAAAGCCTGGTTGCTGACCTCGAGAACAGGCTGTTCCTGAGAGAACTCGGCATCGACTACGAGGACAAGCTTTACACTTACGAACCAACATGGCACCAGCAGGAGGTCAGCAAAGAACTCCAGGACCAGGGATTGACCATCACTCGGAAATTGCCATCATTGGATATTGACGGCCATGTTCTATCTCAGGTGAGATCTATCTATTAACACACAGTCCTAGTACTTGGTGGTTGTCGATGATGGCGTGTCCGTGAAGGATCTGACCATGAGTCCAGCATATTCCCATCCTGAGATATCTTTCACGGTCCGTGGGCGCTTATGATGGAACCACAAACTACGAGAAGTGGTTGGTCGATGCCGTTTCCGACACATACATCGACTGGAGGGTGCGTATAGCATTTCCGACCAAGTTTGTGTGGTTATGGTGTGGCTGAGAGATTCAACACACAGTTCCTGTGGGTGGCCAATTTGACAGACAACAAGCCTGAATACAAGGCCGCAACGGTTCCCCGCTTCTACGCCATCTGGGACAAGTTCTACTCGAAAAATTCGGGCCCGTACCTCCTGGGGAATACCGTCACGTATGCCGACTTTGTGATTTTTCAGGCGCTGGATAATGACGAAGTGCTCGGGTGGGCGCCGGTACGTCTCAGAGTCCCCGTTGTATCAAGGGTGCTGGTCCTCGTCTTCTTTGCTGACACCACCATCTCTCCCAGGCTTCCACTCCGGAGTCACTCAAGGCCCTGAGGGCTGCGATGTCCGCACGCCCAAACATCAAGGAATACATAGCTGCGAGAAGGGGATAAATCCGGCCTTTGGTGCTAGTTTTATACCACGGGCAGGTATACCAGGTCGGAGGCATTGCCAACTGGGTGAGGTCAGTCTGCAAACGGTCAATCGGCAAAAACCATATATGTCTCGCAGGGTTCAGACAGTCTGAGCCCTGCATGAATGCCTATCCTTTCCATCTCCATTCCAGGGGATGTCAATGGAAATACATGGACAAGAGTGGAGGAGTGACAGCAGGAATGTATACAGATCCATCGCGTGCAAGTATTAGGCTCAACAGAAATATCGAGAGATTCCTGAGATTTTGCAGAAGCCCCCATTTCACGCGATGGCCTATGCATACACGTTCTCGCGTGGACGAGACACGTTGATATTAATAATAGGTGAGCTGCGCCAGACCATTTGTTTGTATGTTCGAAAAATAGCTGGGTCAGCATACCACTCTAGATCAGACGATGAGAAGATATTCCAGTCACCAAGCCTGGTTCTGGGGTAGACATAAATGCCCTGAACACGGTGGCCATGGTACTAGTACTCTACCGGGACAACATGGCCAGCATGTCCCTGTAGACATAGAGATGGCATATAATGTGCGCTCAAGGTGTTTCTCTGCCTCTTCTGTCTTCTACATCTGAACATCCAGTAAAAGGAGCCTCCGAGGCGTGCAATAGCACGACAATCGACAGCGTCGGGTTGATATTTCCGGCTCATTTTATACGATAGGCACCAAGGGCCTCTACGGGACAAGATAGATCGAAATCTCCTCCACAGGGTCCGCAGCGTGCGCGAGGAATGCGGTCATTTGAGGACAAGATGGGCGAGTTTGAACGAGCTGGAAGAGAGGCATGTCAGTGGACGGTTGGAATCAAAATGGGGATAAAAGCTGCCAGGGGGAAATTCTTGCCGTCCTGACTCCCGACCCTGGCTTCCGGGCGGCGCCACCTCAAACAGACAATGAGTATCTCTCGATTTATGCCATCGCTTAACATCACATCTCTCAGCATGGTTGGAATGAGTCGAGGAACGATCAACTTTGGCGAAGGTGAACAGAACTTTCGAGTCATTCCTCGCTCTTTGCTGGTGGCTTTCCAGCGATGTCGTATCGCACGGACCAGTTCTGCAAGAGTTTTCACCGTGCCGCCTGGTCTCTAGAATCTCGTCCGAATGACTGCATTGCAGGAGTCAGATAGGATCTGCGTCATTTAAGCTCCGTGCAAAAGAGCACCATGCGGAAGCTCATCAGATTCGTCACGCACCTTGACATTGGTACCAAGAGAACTGCCCTGACCAACAAAACTGTGCTTTTCCATTGCGCACTAGCGACTCTGTCGAGGGATTTTGGAGCAGCAAGCAGAGGTCAACGCGCTAGCAGCAGTGTGACCAGGGAGCTGCAGTGCACTTTAGACCACCAGCCATGTCTGGATGCTCTCTGAGTTTTCGCAGAAATTGCTGCTGAAATCAGGTCTCGATAGTCCAGTCACCAAGCCATCTCTTTCCGGCTGCCTAGGGCCCCCCAATCGAACTGGGTACCTAAACACATCCATGCCTAATGTGGCTGAGTTTGTCACTGTATAGGGACATCTTATGAGTGGTATCTGGAGGTAGGTATTTGGGGTGGTGGCCTTGAAGCACGACTTGCTATTCAAGGTTGGGCCATTATGGTGGTGAGGAGAGTGAAAGAGATATTTCGGCGTCGACAATAAATGAACCAGTCCGAGACAAGCTATGGACGAGGTCTCCATACGAGGGAGAGCTCCATGCGAAGTAGTGATGATTGACATCAAAACCAATGGAAGTAAGGTGAAGGAATCATGGCTGACATGCGAGTTCGAGCGCAGTCTTCACTGAAAAAAAGTTTTCACCTCACTTTCGAACTGCCCTCTCTCTCCTCTCCATCACAGATCAACACCATCACGTCTCAACCATCAGGGCACTAGTTTGGCATATGACGCGATATGCCTCACTATCGAAACCTAACATGGACTTCTCAAGATCACAACAACAGGAGCCTGCCGCAACCCCGAAACTCGAGACAGCAATATCCTCACCCTGTGAGTTTCTACAATAAACCTAGCCCTGGGCCTCGACAGAACCATGGTCAACTACACTAAATGTCACTTGTCCCTGGGGCTCGACATAACGACCATCAACCCTGCTACATGCCACCGAACCCTACACTGCAAGAAGGCTACTATGGGCCCTACTACAGTTCACCCAGTCTTGCCCTTCTTCAAAATCGAGGTGAGTCTGACTAGAGCGAGTATGGTTCTCGGCCAGAAGAGAGCTATCGCGGACATCAAGAAGATTATCTTCCGGGCCACCGAGATAATAATGTCCGGGCCAATGGCTTCAACAAGCGAGAAGGCCAGAACTCTCGTCGCTACCGTCGTCCACGTAACCATAATCATTCGTCGCAAATACGTCCTCACATGAACGACACTCGCACGGGTCATCAGGCAGGAAGTAGACGTTCACATGATCAGGAAGATGATCCACTAGGTCCTCAAAATCCCGGTCATATCCAGAAAGAATTTTGGAAGAACCTTTACATGCTAGCAGCTCAAAAAGACTTTGAAGATTTGAGGTGGCGACTCGCTAGAATACAAAAACGTGACAATGAATAGAAAGAGCAACGGCCAGAGGTCAACGCCGACAATGCCAGTGAACAGAGAGACAATGATAACGCAGAGGGTGATACAGACCCTCACGTAAGAACTTCACGAGAGAACAAAGGTGCTACAGGAGCACCCGCTGCCGCTAGTCAAGCTATGACCACAGAAACTCCTGGACCCTCAACAACAGTTGTCAATCCCGTGCAAGAGGCTTATCAAGAAATTGACTAGGTGCAAAATAATTTAGAAGCGCAACAAGCTTCAACTAATGCACCAATGGGTGCCTCTATCAGAACACCCATTGAACCCCCCAGGCGAGTGTCAGGTGCTGCACTTCGAAATTGCAGGCAATGGAGGATCAAGTACCTCCTCATCCTCAGAGATGCCCGTGAGGTCATTAAGACAGGAACTTAGAAGGTTTTTTGCCGCCCCCACGAAGAAGCTTCTGGGCAACGTCCTTCCTTTTCGACTCGAGACTGGTTGGCACTTCGGAATACTCTCAACGCGCGACATGTTAAGGAGGATCAGCTACCTAAATTCGAGCAGCAGATGACAGACTTCGCGCCCGACCTCGTGTCCGTGATCAGGACTTCAGAAACAAAAGCAAAAGAATGCTGTGACAAATGCTTTGCTAGTGTCTCAAAATGCATCGAGGGATGACAAGATATCCCCCAGCTTGATCGATTTTTGCAAACCTCCAGGATGTGCGAAATGAGCATCTAATTTTCAATTTCCAAAGAGAAACCGGAGCATACGTGGTCCTTTTCAGGGGGCACGTCTACGAATTCTGCGCATTGTCCGAAAACATCAAGGCATGTCAACTCAAGACGAGTTTCTAGACCAATGGAAGTCAGTCCACTGGAAGCTTATTGCCACATCGCTGCTGGAACAAGCATCGGAGCATCGTCATCCCCTAGATGAGCACGAAATTCGTTCATTTGCCGCATCAGTGCAATGGGTTGCCGCTGGTCAGGCAATCCCACTCAGTCGGGTTTGAAAGAGAATGTGGGCGAACGCGGATATTGCCTGGCCTAAATCATTTGCACTTTTGGAGTATGTAGGCATGCGTCGTCGATCATGCATGAGCGCCGTGACGGTTACGCCGGATATGCATCTGATGCCTTGGAAGCTTGGTGGCTCCAGCTCGTCACGAGAAAGATGGCAGAAGAGACAAATTGCTGCTCGCATCTCCTATGGCACGAGACGGTCATTTCCTCGAAATCGACGGTCGTTGTGTGTAATCTGCGGATGCAAATGTTTGGGTAGCCTCAGGTGCAGGACCTCGCTTCTGCCCGCACGGACAGAGAGATGCATTTTGGTATGCTGGCTCAGGGGGCATGGATTGGGGGTAGTTTGGGTACCCTGCTTGAGGCATGGGCGTGGCGTAAATTTGGTATCCTCGCTGCGAACGGGAGGCCACGGTGTAGGGCTGAGGTTGGTTTGGGTACGCTTGATACTGCTCATCTGGCTGGGCTTGGTGTGCGGGTTGAGGTTTCTGGTGGTAAATGTATTGTTGACCATGTGTGCCAGGTTGAATTCGAAGAAACGATCCCTCCCCAGGGTTATTGGAGCTCATTTCATCTTGTCGTCTTTCAAGCTCGCTTCATTGTGTTCTCGAGAACCGGTTGCATCTTTTCAACTTTTCCGCCTCTCTTGATCCCACCGATCCATCTCCTCTCCTCGACTTGTTCAAGTCATATAGGCCGCTCACAGGCGAGCTCTGGGCATACAAAGGATCTTCTGGAGGCTTCAAGATACCGAGCATACTCATGGCTTCCATGCGGAAGTGTGAGCAAGTAAGGACCAAACATTTAACAAGGGGTGAAGCTAACGTTTAAAAGAGATGGGCTAGTCAGGCTGGAATAGCGGCAACGGCACGACAATTACGAGCCTCGCTATGTCTCGATGGAGCCAGAGCAATGGCACGACAAATGACCCCAGGGGATTCAGCCTCGTCAGACACTCTCTCCAGAACAGTCACTACAGGACTCTAAAACTCGAGATCAGCACCACCTCCATGGAAGGAGATTGAAGAGGTGGAGGGAAACTCTCTCGATCGTTCCCGCCGTCTCATTTTTGAAGCCACGGTATCGTCTACGATCGGAGCTGAGATCCTTTTCTTGGCAATGCTGACAGCGATATTATCGTCTTATCATTGTCTTCCGTAGGTACCCCGGTGCTCGCCCAGTGCTCCGTTCAACAGCCCCAAGCCCACCACGAGACCGTCGAACATGTCGCACTTCTCCAAGACGCAATACAACTCCATCTCCGCATCCTACGACTCGGTCAACGACCTGCCCATCTCGCGCGCCATCGTCGTCAATGTAGAACGCCTGATCCGGCCGCACATCCGGGGCGCCCGCGTGCTGGAACTGGCGTGCGGGACGGGCTTCTTCACCCGGCATATTCTGGATTGGGGCGCCGCGAGCGTGGTGGGTGTGGACGTGTCGCAGGCGATGGTCGACATCGCGGAGGCCGACACGGCCAAGCACGTCGAGTATGCCGGCAAGTACAGGTTCATGGTGGCGGACTGCAGCGCGCCGTTTTCTGCCAGCGACGAGGGCACAGAGGGTGGTGGCGGTGGTGGCGGTGGTGGATTCGACCTCGTCTTCGCTGCGTGGCTGTTGAACTACGCGCAGGACCAGGCGACCATGGGCACCATGTTCAGGAACATCGCCAACCACCTGAACCCAGGCGGGCGGTTCATCAGCGTGCTTCCGCACCCGGAGGACGACCCCATGGTGTGCATCTCGCAGGTCAACGCGCAGCGCAAGCTGGGGTACGGGTACGGGATCGAAGTACGCAAGGCGCTCCCGGAGATCAAGGACGGGTACTACGTGCACTTATTCTTCGACACCGTGCCGCCCGTCGACTTTGGGAACTATTACTTGCCCAAGAACGTGCACGAGACCGCGGCCCGGCAGGGCGGCATGAAGGGCGCGCTGACGTGGGAGCCGGTTTCGCTGCCGGACGATTACGACGAGATAAACCGCTACATGAAGGATCCGGTGCCCCGGGGGTATTTCGACCGGTGGCTGCAGTATCCTGATTTTGGGATCTTGGTGATTGAGAAGTAGCGAGTGAATATATGTGTTGCACCAGTATCTCAACACACATAGAAAGCGATTCCTTGTGCGAGTTCCATGCGGTCCCAGGTTACTTGCTTGTTGACTTGAGTTGCAACCCACATCTCACCATTCAACACTTCACCATGCCTCGACAACTTCATTGGCGACACACTCCTCACGGTGTGGTCAATCAGTAGCGAGGAAAAGTTCGACGTCGTTGGATCAAACATGCTGAACGCTAAAGCGGCTCGTTCCAATATCCACCGAGCAGTCTGTCCAGGGGGTTAACTTTGTGCACAATGCAGCTTCGATGACACCGTAAAAAGGGCCGCTTCTCGTTACGTCTCCCAAATAACTCACGTAGAGATACTTCAATTTGTATCGGAATGTCTTAGCGGACGGCGGCGACTGCTCTTCTGGGTGCTTAGCAGAAACAGCCACCATCAGATTGGGAGAACTCGTCCGCTAGGCAGGAGGAGCTGGGTTTTCCGTCTTTGGCTCACCCTTGAAGAGTTTCTGGACCTGGTAGACGACAACCCACCAGTCGGATGGCTCCCGTCGTTCCTTGCGCCAATGCAGGTCATCCAATGCATCTCCACGCTCTTTCCATCGCTCGCCAGGATCCTTCTACATATCCTGGACTCGTCTCGCCCTCATCTCCCCGTACCACCCGCCGAACAACTCTGCGAGGTTTCCGAGATTGAAAACGGCCAAATATGTCCCGATGGCAACTAGGATCGCCGTAATGATGAACGCGTTTCTCGTGGCAACTTCGGTGATGTTGGGAATCGACCACAGCGCCTCCAGCTGGGGATTAGTGACCTTCTAACGAAGGGTTGGATAATGGGCCGCTGCCGTCAAGAATTTCGGGCGTGTTTTGTTCCCGCCTACGACTTCATGAGTTAGGAAGGCAATGGCTTCCATTTTCGTAGGCCTTTCGGGTTTTGGCTGGTCGGCAGAGTGATAGGCCCGCGAGAGTAGCTAACGTGATATAAAGCGCAGAATAACGTGGGTCGACTCTCCCCTGAACATGCTACTGGGATGGTATCTGAGAAATCAACAACCTGGAATAGGAATGCTGTAGAGTGCAATGCAGCTTTATGTGAAGTCCTTCTCACAAACGAGCCGATAATTCGCAGAGCCGCACCAGCACCAGCCTTGTGTCGTCGGCGCTCGGTCTCAACGTGGAGGATGTGCCAGAGCACGGCGCCTCGTACTCAGCTGGCGACCACTTGGGAGTTCTCTACCATGCATCGTGTTTGATTGGGGTCTTTTCCCCTTTTCCCTCAAAGGAATGTGTGAAAGATACCTGTTTCACAAAAGTTGCGGCGAGGATCTGAACCGAGGGATGGAATTTTGATAGGGATTTTGTTGCACATGTTGAGCAGGCCAGAAAGACATCCGAGGGAAAAGCTTTAGAATCTATCAGAAGCTTCGTACTCCGCAATACCTGCTGTCATCCCTCGTGCAAATAGTCAAATACTGATGTATCTGTGTCAACTCAAATACAGATGTTGGCGATGCTCTCATGACATTCCATCCGTCGACGAAGGGTCTCTACCCATGAATACTTTGTACAGTCGTTTGCTAATCTGTGGACCTAATCTCTTGTCACTCCATCCGCCATCTTTGTTCACAGTCTTGCGAACATCTTCAAGCAACAAGTTGCCATGCTTGTCGAACCCTTTCACGAGCTTTCGAACGGTCTTGTATTCTTCCGCGATGCCATAAGCCATGCTTGGGGTCACTCTCTGTACCTCTTGAAGCATTTTGACATAGGTGTCCTTGCAGTCGTCTCCGGTCCGGACTTGCCCACTGTCCATGCAGAACGACGCAGATTTAAGGTTGTACTCAAGCTGCGCTAAGCGATATGGCCGGGTGGAAAGATGCTGAGTCAGTGCACATGCTTGAGATGCCGAGTCGCTTGGAGTCGATGTATGATGAATCAATATTGGTTGATGAGCCAGCTGAAGATGGAGGAGCAGATCATCGACAATGTCAGACGTTACAACGGACAGGTCCAGTGAGTCAGTCGCGGGCTTCTTTCGCTTGCGACTTCTGGTCTGGGATGTGACATGCTCGACATTTGCTGAACTTTCACCGTCAGTGTGCAATATCTGAGCTCGAACAGCAGCAGTGTATGCTCGATTCTTCGCATTCTCGTTCTTCTTGAGCCAGCTGCGGAGCCCTTCGATGAGATAGATTGGAACGCAGCCCCCGAAACGCCGCCGTATCGACGAAACATGCGCATCCAAGTTTGCCTTCATCTCTTCCTCCTCCCGCACAACACAGGCCACAGATCCCGACCTTGACGTTGCTGCAACGGCTACAAAGTCCTCAGCGGGCAGATGGAGCAAAACGTGATTTTCATGAACGATACAACATCTGGAGGTCGGCTCCCACAGGTCGTCTTCGTCGTTGTATGTTGACTTCACCTTACGGCGCCAGGTGATAATGCTTCCGTACCGCTCTGGCTCAGCACCCTCACCAGCCAGGTTGACCTCCTCATCGATATAGTTTACGTCGACCTGGACATTTTTCATTCGTTCTTCGATTTGATTGCCGACACTTGTATCCTTGAGAAAGCTCGACATATCCAAGATCATTTCCGTTGTTGCGTCTTTCTTATTCGTCCGTGATTTGTTGACTTCCGCAAGGTCCACTGCCTTCTGCTTCTCCTTCGCCTTCTGCTCCCTCTCCAACTTCCTCTTCTCCTTCTCAGCCTCTTTTAGAGCCTGTCGCTCTACCCTCGCTGCTGCCCTCTCGCCAGCTCTGGCAGCCTTTTTGGCTTCCGACAATTTGGAAGACTTTACGCTTTTGACCGGACTGGACGAAAATTCAATGTCATCAAAAATTTTGGGCGCCAGGTTCCCCGTCGTCATATTCTGAAGCGGCTTGACTTTAAAGGGTCGCGATTTAACTTTCCCTTCTTCGGTGGACTCTCGATGAAGGGTAGCAAGCAGGTTCGCCGTCCTGTGATCGTAGCCAGTTTGCATTGGTTGTGACAGGCTCAATATTTCATCGTCAAGGAGTCGATCTTCCAATTCATCCAATGGAAACACCCCAACATTCTTCTTGTTGTCCGTGGTCAACGGCTCCGGAGCGGATGATGAGAAGGTAATTTCATCGAGAATTTCGGCCTTTTTGTTCAGGCCCGAGGAGCGTAAGAACGAGGCTGCAGAGACATTGAGCCTGGGCTCTGGTTGCGGTCCGTCGCTAGCAAAGATCTCAAACGGGTCTTGTGAGCGTTGTTCGGTGGCGACATCGGCTCTTCTGGGCCTAAAAGGAGAGCCGACGACTGAGCTTGGTCGTTTCCTCTTAGAGGGCCTGTCAAATTTGACATCAATCGAACCAGTTTCGTCAAAGTCGTCGATATCCAAATCAAAGTAATTGTGGAACGGTTCTCTCCTGCCTAGTGATACTGGGGCAGCCTTCGTGGTCTCGGGACTTCTGAGTGGTGATGATGACAGAATCACAATGACCTCGTTCATTGTTGCTGCAGACCAAAATACTTTGACGTCGAGCAAAGAGAAAAGAGGAGAGAAACACAGATCCGACAGAAGCGCATCATCTGGCAGTAGCAATTGTGTGCGGTTTCATAGCATTGAAATTGACGATGAGGCACTCGACTTGTAGGGAAACAACACTTGCAAATGTTGTCATCCCATGCGGAAACTGCCAATCCGGATCAGGAAAAGCCCAAACATGCTTGGCATCGAACCGTCGCGTCCATCTCTCGGCGACGCGTAAAGTGGATTGCGCAGATTGTTCTGTCTCATCTTTGCCTATTCAACATCTATCTATTGTCCTCTGTTATGGAAGAATTGCAGCTGCTGATCTGCATCGGGATTCATTCTCCTAGCGCGTGCAAATTCACTCGCCCTCCTATCCCCTCGACCATACTTGGCCTTGATGACTGTAGCCAGTATTGCTGCCGCACAAGCCGCCGTGAGCCAGACTGCCAGGACAATGTCTTTCCTCTCCAGAAAGGTGCTTCGTTTGCTCTTCAGCATCACGGTCATTTCATCGTCGAATTTCCCTGCCATCGTACTCCTAGTAAAATGCTCACGGACTCTTTCTCGCCCATTTCGACCGATCATCTGGAGGTCAGGCGGGCTGAGTTCGTGCAATACTTTGTTGATGACTGCGGTCCATTCTTCCACTTTGGATGCGTCACGTAACCAACCTGTTTCGTCTTCGACAATGGTCTCCAGCGGTCCGCCAGAGTTTGAAGCCAGAACAGGGACTCCGTGGTGCATAGCTTCCACTGGTACAATGCCAAAATGCTCATTCGACGGAGTGTATAATAACAGCCGCGCTGTGTTTAGGAGAGTCTCTTTGAAGAACCCTGGCACGGATAGCATGAATAAGACTTGTATGCTGCTGGGAATACCTAACGCCGTCGGTACTGTTTTGGCAGTGGCAGTAGACAGACCCAGCCCCTCGGCCAAGTCCACCAGTTCTCTATGATATTCCACATTTTCACTCACCCGTTGGTCGTAGCCCCCGGCTATGATCAGTCGGGTACCTCGTAGGGCCGCGGGAGGTAGTTTATGATACGCTCGGATGGCCAGGCCGATGTCCTTTTTTCGCTCAAATCGATTTATGCTGAGGAGAACCTTGAATTGTTTGTCCCACAGTGGCTTCTCGTCTGTTCTGCCATCCTCCTCTTTTTCTCCATTACTGACGCAAGGGTATATGACCCCTAGTGATTCGGCAAGGGAGGGCCAGACTCTGGAGGCGACGGATTTTGTGAACTCGGAGTTGACGACTATCCTGTCACTTGCGCTCATGCTCCATCCTTCGAGCCAGTCGAAAGGGAACCTGTAAATTCTTTTTGCGAGTCCAAGAAGGCCAGAAGTCCGGCGATCGGCAAGTAACTGATCTGGGAAATGGCAATAGAACAGGGTGCGTTGACGATGGGGGTATAACCATCTTAGCAAGGGCACGCAGGCCGACAACTGATCGACCACAAAGACATCGGGTTTAATTGTGCTCAGTTCATTGCTCCAAATTGCGATCGAGAGAACGAGATGGATCTGACGAAGGATTGCGAGCAGGATGTGGAAGCGATTCAGGAACGTAGGGGGGAAGAGTGTGTTTCCGCGAACTCTGACGTCGAGGGTGCCTAGACTCATCAATCTGTCAATGATTTAGCCACGGCAAGAATGAAAACAGCCGAGAACAGGGACTGACCATCTCGTGCCTCTTCAAAGCAATGATTGGGGTCGCAATGCGAGGTGAAGATTGTGACTTTGTTTCCCTGCTCTTGTAAACCGACTGCAGCGTCGACGATCAGCCTCTCGGCACCGCCAATCCCCAGGTCTGGGTGAAAGAAGACAATTCGCTTCGGCCGCGCTGGGAGCGGCACAGTCGCCTCCTGTGAGGAAGCCATATCATGAATGTGCGCAGGAGAGGAGGTGGAGGGTCATTATAGCCTGTGCAATCCGTTTGTTTGTTGGAAGATGGAGATCAACTGCGCCCGCAGAACACAGAATCATCCCGGCTGACCTTCCTCGCGTGGCTGGAGTGCCTGGATCTTACTGAGGTACAGTACTTGTGAGTCGCACAGAGACGTTTGCTGCTCATCGCGTGTCCACTTCTCTCTGTGGACACATCTGTCCTGTCGGTTGATGTTGTGCTCTGTTTGTCGACGTATCATGATTATTGCGTGTGACAGTGAACTTGCGTCTCCTGTCTCTCCCCGTACCGGTCTATACTTCTATCTGCTGTGAAGCTCAACCCGGGAACGCAATCAAATCTCTCCTGCGCCGGCTCGCTCATCGGGTAATCTCCAGACCCATCAGGAGTGCGGGAGGTCCGCCACTTTCCAGTAGAGGGAATGATTGGCAGCAACTGGAGGGATGGGCCGTGGTGGCCCTGGTCCTCGCAGGGGATAAGGCCTGAAGTGGAGATGGATATCGCGAATGAAGCCCGTGGAATCTGGCAGAGCATGGCTTGACCATGCCCAAACTGGAGTAGGTGCATGAGCTCCGGATGCAAACACTGATGGAGTGTGCAGATTGTCCGTCGAGAAAAGGAACATGGGCTCAATGGAGTATCTATGTACGTCTTCTCCCTCCCGTCTCTCTCTTTAACTGCTCTATCAATTCCTTCACCACCTTCGCTTTTCTCTGTGATGAGAATCGCACCTGCGGGTGTCTAGAGGGTGCGCATTCACTTCTTGTGCTTCTTCTTCCTCCTTTGCGCCTTCTTGGCCAAGCTGCGTCCTTTCGTTCAGGAACCTTTCAATTTGCGCTGGCATAATCATCTCTGGCCTTCCCCTCGCTCCGTTTCGCCTTGTTCTGCCATCTGCTTCCTCTACCACTTTTGCATAATCCAAAGCTCAATCAATCAGTGACAATGGCTCAGGTAAGCTTTTGTGTTGCCCTCTACTCGCAGTCGAATCCTGACCTAGCGACAGTTCAAAACCGCGTTGCTGGCCCTCGTCGCCCTGTTCGCATCCTACGCCCTTGCCGTGTCTCCGCTCGCGGTCCAGGGCTCCGACTTCGTCAACAGTGTTGATGGCACACGCTTCCAGATTATTGGTGTAGCGTAAGAGAAGGCATCCCTCTGATTGAGGCTCAAGCAACATAACTGACGCCCTGTGTAGCTATCAACCGGGTGGCTCTTCGGGTTTCAATCCCGGATCTGGCATCGACCCGTTAAGCGATGCTGATGTCTGCCTCCGAGATGCTGTCCTCATGCAACGCCTGGGCGTCAACACTATCCGCGTCTACAATCTCGATCCTGACTTGGACCACTCCGCCTGCGCCTCCATCTTCAACGCTGCTGGTATTTACATGATTCTGGACGTGAACAGTCCCCTGCCGAACCAGTCCCTCAACCGCGGTGCACCCTGGGAGTCGTACACTTCGGCATATCTAGAACGTGTTTTCGACGTCGTGGAGGCGTTCATGCACTTCAACAACACCTTGGGCTTCTTCAGTGGGAATGAGGTTATCAACGAGGACTCGGTCCCAGAGGTTCCATCTTACATTCGCGCAGTCACCAGAGACCTCAAGGATTACATCTCCAAACAATCTCCACGACCGATCCCCGTGGGCTATTCGGCTGCCGATGTCCGTCCCTTGCTTATGGGCACCTTGAACTACTTGTCATGCGGATTGGACAATGACACTAGCTCCAAGATTGATTTCTTCGGCCTCAACTCCTATTCTTGGTGCGGCAATGCGACCTTCCAGTCTTCCGGGTACGACGTCCTCGTTGGTGACTTTGGCAACACCACGGTCCCAGTCTTCTTCTCCGAATACGGCTGCAACCTGGTCACTCCACGATTGTTTACCGAAGTCCCCGTCCTGTATTCCGAGCAGATGACTCCCGTCTTTTCTGGCGGTCTCATCTACGAGTACAGTGAAGAGCCCAACAACTATGGCTTGGTGAATCTCAACGACAACGGAACTGTGTCGATTCTGCCCGACTACGACAACCTCCGACAGCAGTACAACTCGCTGGATGTCAATGCCCTCGAGAGAGCCAACGCTACGGCAACATCGCTGAATCCGCCAGTGTGCGCAGCTGATTTGCTGGGTGGGTCCAACTTCAGCACCAGCTTTGACCTTCCAACTCGCCCCGACGGCGTTGATACCTTGATCCAGAATGGTGTCTCCGGCAAGTTCCCCTCGGGGACTTCATCTGTCACGAACACCAAGCCGTCGCAAACCGTGTATGATGCCAATGGCCAAGAGATCACGGGGCTTGAACTGACCATTCTGCCCAATGACGAGAGTAACTTGCCGGGCAACAACACCAGTGGAAGCACACCGAAGAGCACTCCGTCGTCGTCGGCCACGCCATCTGCCACCACGGGCGGTAGCCAACCCACAAACACCAATGCGGCTACAAAGGTAGACGAGAGGAGATTCGGTTCTCTTATCCTGGGAGTCTTGACTGCCGGTCTGTTTATGCAGTTGTGATTGCAGAGAGTGCACGGGACAGGAATGGAATGCGTATCCTACGTCGATTGTGTTTCGAATCACGGCTTCATTCGCTGCATCTTTTCAAAGGAACCAAGGGGGCATAGTTCACGTTCTCTTCATGGACATATTTGCAATTGACTTTGCAGGCCGAAGTCTAGAAGGACCATAGTCCTAGGACGTGCTCATAATGATGATTAGATGAATGCAGGAGAGATGTGTTAACCGACCAACTGTCTCGCAGGTCATGGGGGTACTCGGTGCCTGGTGATGGCTCCAAAGTATTATGGCCTCAAGCGTCACCTCGCTGTGTGGCGCGTGCGTTTCTCGATTCCGTTTGTTGGGAGAAAATTCTTGAAGGCCGCCCGATCGAAGCTGAGGTGGTGATGATCGGCCCAATGGCGTCTCGTCTTCTGAAGGCGCCAAGAGCGGAGTGGACCGATTGTTATGTCATGCCTGTGGCGCAGCGGCGTCTCCAGCCAACCAAATTCCTTCTCTCGACGCCTCGTTCCCTGCCCTGCGTCTTGTTGATTTGGGGATCGACGCCACAACGTCACTCGCCAACTTTCTCTGCCCATCGTTGCATCACAGTCAAACACAGTGCCACGGGTGATGAATGGTGAGTGGTGACGGACGGCCATCACAGACCAGAGCTTGGTCGACGCGCAGGGTGCACAGAAAGACCCCTTTGACCCCTGGCGCAAAACTACAAGAGCCCCGGTGGCCCCCGAATCGCGTTCTCGTATTCTCATTCTCTTCATCTTCGTTCTCCAAGCTCACGCGACTGACTGCCCCTACGCTTGAGTCTCCCACTCACCATCGATCGACACCATCCACCATGGCTCTTGGCGGTGCCCTCCTTCGCTTCGGCCAGACAGGCCTGCGACTCCTCGAATTTGCCTCTTCTGCCATCATTCTCGGTATCTACAGCTACTTTCTCGCCGTGCTCTCCGAGAAGAACATCTACATTCCGAGATGGGAGAAGGCTGTTGAGGGCATGTCTGGAGCGGCCGTCCTGTACACCATATTCGGCGTCCTCTTTACCCTCTGCCTGGGGGGAATCTCCTTCTTCGCCTTGCTTGCTGTCGTCCTCGATATCTGCTTCGTTGGCTGCTTCGCCGCCATAGCCTACTACACACGCCATGGCGCCAACTCATGCCGCGGTGTTGTCAACACACCTCTCGGTGTCGGTCTCTCCAGCGAGGCCGCTCCCGGTGCGGGTGATTGGGGCTACGTTTGCAGTTTGAACACTGCTTGCTTCGCCATGGCCATCTTGAACATCTTTCTCTTCCTCATCACTGCGGGTATGCAAGTTCTGTTGGCCCGTCACCACAAGAAAGAGAAACGTTACGGACCCAGCCCTGCGAACAACTACACCAAAGGCTTCGGCCGTCGCCCATTCTGGAAGCGCAATCGCCAGACTCGATCTACGCGTGACACGGAGATGGCAACAGGTACCACTTCCACAGCGGCATACCGTCCCAGCCACGAGACTGGCATGACCGGGTCAACAATGCACGGTGGCCATGCCCCTGTGGCCTCTGAACCGAAGTACTGTCAGCCAGGATATGGTATGCAAGGCTACTCGGCGCCGGCGACCAACTATTAGTCGGCGCAAAGAGCGAATGAGTGAGTTGAGACATTAGAGTAAAGGTCGAAAGAGGAACGCAGCTAGATATTTCAGGGTGACATGGTCAAACCACCAACGATTTAACCCAACTTTTCGCGTCAGCCTCTGATATACTCTCGGAGAGTTGTCGAGGCGGAGGATAGATCATATGGCCCGCGGGAAGTGTTCTCAACGTGTATCAACAGCACTCATCTTACTCACGGAGTGGACGGGCGGCACGAGCTTTCGCGACGATGTCATGATAGAATTCTATGTACCTCACTAGCTTATGCGCTAGGTAATGATCCCATTTAAACAGAACGAGGTGAAAGAAACTCACCGTTTCGCAATTCTTGTTTGCCCTGTTTTTGCTCCCGGTTTAAAGTCGCGCTTGTGTGACATATTTCCCAATTCCCAGGATGTTGTTGGTCAATGGACGGGGAGCCGAAGTATGCACTTGTCCCTACTACATCGCAATTTTGCAGTTTGCAACGTTATCAGGACTATGATATAACGCAAGAGCGGTAAGTCAAGCAAGACGTCAATCCAACGCATTCTTTGCCGCTTCATGGCACCGGGCCACTGGAGTTTCAGTATGGACACACAGCGATCCAGAGTCTAGAAATGCTCGCCTGCACCACACCTTCAGTGCCAGTCCGAAACCTTGGTGTTCCTCTCAGTCTGGAGGCTCGAAACGGTCATAGATATACCCATATACCTCAGGCCTTTGGGGACAGAGGAGGGCGATGGCGGTTCGAGAACAGCTTCCTCAACTGCTGATACGAAAGGCTATGTAGGAAGCCACGAATGGGAGGGGTGACTATTACCTAAGCCTGCACGGGATTGGCGAAACACGTGACTCCATTCGAAATATCTCCTGACGACAATCCTGAATTCATCCAAACTTCTCCGTCGCACTGCTGCGGTCAGTCTATTGCCCCCTTCACCCAAATCGACGAGTCAGGAGCTGCCAGCTTCGAAACAACAAGGCTTATGTCTATTTTTCAATCGTCGCTCCCTCAGCATGGGCGCAAAATAGCTGCTCCCCTACCGGGCATTATGTCATGTCCGACGGGTATAGTTTATCATTGAACATTTGATATGCCGTTAACAAAGCATCCCCCTGGTGCGGCCGAGGCGGATGGCAGCTACAGGCCTCCGCTTCGAGGAGTTCAGACAGATGATCCCAGTCACTTCACCGGAGCGCACGCAGGCGAAGATCTGAGCCTAGAGGAGCAGACAGCCGTTTTACAGGCAATGTCGCTCGAATCTCCTCCCGGAATCCAGTCACCCCATCCTCTACCACCCGACCCATCTCCTGGCATTGTTCAGTCACCCACCAGCATTTCAACCGAATTCAGCCTTCCAAGCCCTGGTTCGATATCAACGCCCACAACCCCTATCACGCCTCTCTCCCGGGAGGCCACGAATTCTTCGTCATCTCAGTCAAAATTTGTATCAGTCTTACAGGATGTACGACACTTTGCTGGTGGACTGATCAGTCACCCCTACGAGTCTACCAAGCACTACACGATCCTACGGCACTCCTTTGGGATAGTCTACTACAGCGGTTCATCGACAAATTTGGCCATCACAATCTTCTCTGACCGAGATCTTCCTCCGGATCGGACTTTGTGGTTACAGCGAAGAGGCTTCTCCGGCAAGACGGGTCTGAAGATCGGGGGCTTATTGGGTGCCAGAAGCACCTGGATAGATGTGACTCCAAGTAACAGGGCAGCACCAGAGCAAATCAACCCCACGGATGAACGCGCCTGGCAGAGAGATATCAAGAAATTTCTGAAGAAAGCTCCGAAAGAGCTTCGAGCTCATCGACCACGCGAGACGGACATACTCCGCATTCCTTGCGACGCCGACGACGGCTATCTGAGGGTGGTCCTATGCACCGCCGACGGAAAGCGGACGCTTTGCGGTAGCCCAGTATTTCGACTAGCATCCTCATCCACCGACTCCAGTGTTATCAGGGGCTCCTCTCTCAAGACTATGCCGCTCGAAGCAGGCATCAAGCTAGCAGCTGTCGTTGGAAGACAGTTTGTCACGGCTACTGCTGGTCCATATGTCGAGACTGCGAGACAGACGGCCACAAACCAGCTAACCTCAGTGTATCAACCAAGTGTATTGGCTCAGCAGGCCATGACTACCGCTTACGATCAGAGTGGAATTCAGGATCGGTTTGATAGTATGAACGAGCAGTATGACACTGCTCGAGATGAGTCTTATACCCCAACTGACCTGGATGGATACGATGCCTTGGATCGCCCAAACGTTATCGGACCAGCGTCTGGCCCAGTCCCGCCATTTCCCGTTCGGTTCCATGGAAAGGTGGTAGCTGGCACCGGCAGAAGTAGAGCAGCATTGAAGATGCCAACGGCCAATTTGATGGGTATTCCCGACGACGTCCTTTTGCGATACAAAGGTGTCTTCTTTGGCTGGGCCGCGGTAAACCTGCCCAGCAAGCTCGCCGCGGAAAAAAACATTTCAGATGAATGGCATCAGGCAATTATATTCGTCTCTCCAGACCCAGATGGAAGGAGAACTGTGGTAGGAAAGAACACCGCTCGGGTTTACCTGATTTATGATTTCCAATCGGCGGACTTTGTTGACGCCAAATTGTCTGTCATACTGATGGGTTATCTGCGAGCTCTAGAGCTCGAGTCAAACCAAGAGACGGATGTTGATGCACAACTGTTTGATTTCTACAAAGACGTCGCCATTACGAGCGCAAGTTTGGCTCGACCTGCCTGGGCAGCAGATGCCACATTGGAGCGCGTCAAATCAGCAGCGTCAAATCGATCTTTAACAGAACGCTATGTTGATTTCAGGCAGAGCACGCAGAGACAAATCGACCGAGTCCCGGTGCATCGATTGGGAGTCCGGACAGAGGGAGCGACCATGAAGGACAGATTGATTGGAAATGGTGGAGTGTGGATTCCAAGGTCACCCTTAACACATAATGCTACAACTTGATCGGCCTCTTGCAGCCCCTTTGGCCGATCAGATTTGAAGAGATACACGAAACTCTTGTGGGTTCCTAAAGCAAATCATTTGCCGCAGACAACCGCGAAGGCATGTTTAGCAAGATCCAATGTCCCAGACTCCTCAGTCATGGCTCGGGGTTGTCTGCGTTAGAAATCCCAGTACACGAAGGACCACTTTGTAAAGGAACAATTTGACTCCTGTGGCATGCAAAAGGTCAATGGTCCACCGCGAGAACTTCAGAACGCTGCTAGCTCGAGGAACCGCCACCTTGTCATAAGCTGTGATGGCTTCTTCGAGGGTTGAGGCTTTCTTGAGCGCATTGGCAAGGTCCCAGGCATCCATTATTGCCATATTGGCACCATTGCCTGCAAAAGGACTAACCGCATGGTTTGCATCTCCGATCCATACCACAGGCCTATGCTCCAATGACGGGTGCGGGAAAGGGGGACGATCCATTGCATTTAATTGTATGACAGTGCTTGGATCGGTCGCAGATATCAAATTCTTCACCAATGGAGCAAAGTTTTCCGCCAGTCTCATTGATTCTTCCAGTAATTCAACGAGACGCCCTTGAGGAATAGGATATCGCAATGATTCCTTCACCACAGGACTTTGACGACTCAAGGCCCAGAGCGCGGATTTGTCGTCTACGGGCGCGACAAAAAGCCCGATACCATCTGCTCCCAATACACCACCCCAGTCACGATCCACCGGCTTGGGGATGTCGTCCCGACTGGCAAATTTGGCGATTCCTGACCAGATATAAACGCCAGCATAGTTGAGAGGATCGTTTGGCCTCAACAGCGAGCGCAGTTTGCTTCGGGACCCATCAGCGGCTATTAGCATGTCACCCACTGCAGTCAAGCCAGTGCTGAGGGAAACTCGCATTCGGCCGTCTTCGGTCGAGTCCGCCCCCGTTACGGCCGTTTCCCAGAGAATTTGAGCTCCTGATCTCACAGCAGCGTCGGCGAGAACTTTCTGCAGCGCATTCCGGCGAATTCTCATGCCACGCAGCATTTTTGGTCCAACTGGCTGTGCCGTGAAGCGCAGAAAGGGGCGAAATTGGGGATCCCAGATGTTGAAAGAGCCCCTTTCTTCTGCGAGGCCTCCAGAGTGAACACTCACGCTCCTGACGAGCTCGTACAGGTCCAGGAGATCCAAAACCTGAATGGCACCGGGATTGTTGTCTGTTCTCAATGAAAGTGTGTATCCTTCACGGCCAATGCGGTTCTCATAGCTATCTCGCTCGTATATGATGACTTTGGGCCTTGCAGCTGTGGAAGATTCATGAGCGAACAGTTGGGCGATCGCGACGGCGAACGTCAGTCCAGCTATTCCGCCACCGGACACGAGGACTGTTTTGCCGCATAGGAACTTTGACGAGGATTCTGTGGATAGTGACTTGGGCCGGTCCATCGGCCGCGCGAAACGAGAATGAAAAGGTGTTTGTTGCTGTTGTTTTTTTCGGCGGCCTACACTTTCTTCGCAACTTCAAGAATGGTCTATTTCCCTCGCGTCAGGAGGCAACGCCGTGCCTTTAACATAATTATTCTCCTGCTTCTCAAGTACAAAGGCCGTCATTAGTGTTGAGACTAGGCTCAGGCAGAAGGATTCCAGGATATACATAGATGCAGGAGATTTCTTTGCAGTCAGCCAATGAAAGTCTTATGGGCTTCTGCGGTCCCAACACTCAAACCGCTCGCGCTCGAGCGCTCCACGGAGGAAGCAGACACCGAGAAAAGGGCTCATCCTTGCCAAAGCGAATACGATGTTGACATCACGGTTGTACTCGGTCAACCTGCCCTCGCAAGTCTGGGTCTTGTTGTTGTAAGCTTTCCCCAGACTCGGACGATCCGGACTCCTCCTCGAACTCCTCCATCTTTTGCCCCTCATTTCGGGATTTCCTAATGAAGCAATCCATGGGAGGCGAAGGTGATGAGGCAGTGGGACGGTGCATTGGAAGACAAATTAGATGAACGGGCTTCCACAGGCTATCCTTGAGCGGGAGGGCTGGAGGGGGGGGGGGGGGGGGGAAATGAAGGCAGGCAATGGGTCTATTGTTTTGTCTCCCTTGGGTGGGTTTCTGTACGCCGTCGCGGATCCCATCATTTCGGTCAAAAGCAGAGCGGACTGCCCGCTTTGACGGGATGACGATTGTTGGAGAGCCGCTGTTCTGTTGATTCTCGCATACTGTGCTGCTTTCCGTCTCATTCTTACTTCCCCTCTCCCATATTAGAGCCAACCTCAGCATCTCTGGACATCCTGCCCACTCGAAGCAAAAGACTATCTGCCGCCAGGGCTCGTTCTTCGTTTCTTCCCAGAACCTTCTCACCATGTCGAAAATGAATGCAGTCCGTTTCTACGGCCAACGCGACATCCGTCTCGATCAGATCCCCGTTCCCTCCGTCAAGCCCGGCCAGGTGAAGATCGCCCCCAAGTTCTGCGGCATCTGTGGCTCGGACCTTCACGAATACCTCGGCGGCGCGAATCTGATCCCCCAAGAGGGCCATCCACACCCCATCACTGGCGAGACCCTGCCTCTGACGCTGGGCCACGAATTCAGCGGCGTGGTGGAGGAGGTGGGCGAAGGCGTCAAGAACGTCAAGCCCGGTGACCGCGTCTGCGTGCAACCTACCATCTACGACGGCAGCTGTCGTGCCTGTAAGAGAGGGCTGGTGAATTGCTGTGACAAGAATGGATTCGTGGGCCTGAGCGGTTGGGGCGGTGGGTTGTGTGAACATATGGTCGTGCCCGAGAGCTGCGTCAAGCCGTTGCCGGATAACATACCGTTGGAGGTTGGTGCCTTGATTGAGCCATTGGCAGTGGGCTGGCATGCCGTCGACATATCCCCCTACAAGGAGGGCGACTCGGTTCTCGTGCTGGGAGGCGGCCCCATCGGCCTTGCGGTCGTGCAGGCGCTGGTTGGCAAGGGATGCAAAACCATCATTGTCAGCGAGGTCAGTGGCCGGAGGAGAGAATTTGCAAAGCAATTCGGTGCACACCATGTGATTGATCCGGTCAAGGCAGATGTCGTGGAAGAAGTCGAGCGCTTGACAAACGGCGAGGGCGCCGATGTCGGGTTCGACGCCGCTGGGGTGCAGGTTGCGGTGGACACGGCATTCAAAGCGATCAAGGCGAGAGGGACGTTGGTAAATATCGCCGTGTGGGAGAAGAGGGCGACGCTGCAGATGAATGATATTGTGTTTCGGGAGAGAGGGTATATGGGCGTGTAAGTTTCAACCCCCCTTTCCCCTTTTTTTCCTGTTTTTTTTTTTTTTTTAAAAAAATTTTGTTTTTGGCGTGAATCACAAGTGGCCGAGTCTCTTCAAGGCGTCGTCAATCGTCCCTTACGCGAACTCGCTAACTGAACGTGATTGCAGAGCCACCTACGCTCTCGGCGACTTTGAAGCCGTGATCAAAGCCATCTCAAGCGGTGCCATGAAACCCGCGGGCATGATCACCAAGACGATCAAGTTGGACCAGGTCGCCGAGGAAGGCTTCAAGACGCTCATCGAGGACAAGGAGAACCACGTCAAGATCCTGGTCGATGTCGGATCGGGGATCTAATGAACCGGATTGGTCTAGGGAGGAAGGAGGGGCATAGTGTGGAGGACGAGGGCGAAGAAGACGAGGAAGAGAAGAAGGAGAAGGAAGAGGATGGAACCGCATCAGGACTCGTGGGTGAAAAGAAACCACTGGTGTGCACGAGGAAGAAAGAAGGAGAAGGAAGAACGGAGATGGAGGGAGGGATGGTTCCTAGGATTCATCGAGATTGAATTCCGAGACGCCGAGCTACGTAGGCGGCCGACGAGATGCGATCGCGTAGCTGTTGATCGTCTTCGCGTCCTTGTCAGACGAGGACGTCGAGACCTGAGACTGCGAGAGATTCTGTGAGAGAAGAGGGGAAAGAAAAACGAAAAGTTACCTCCCACTTCCCACGACCCTCGCCTTGAGATTCATGTTTTGGATGCTATGCTTTGTATTCGTTCTATTAGCCCTTTGATCCCTTTCATCTTCTGGGAGGAAGGAGTACACATGGCACGACACAGTCCGGTCGTTCGCGCAACTCTATTGTTGTTCTTTTTCGCTCTCTTACTTGCTCGCTCTATTGGTTTTTTGGGAGGGGGGCGTGGTAATGATACATATGCAAACCCACCTAACCACCCAATCGACCGCCCAGCAGAAAAGAAAAAAGGGCAGGCTCCCAAACAAGTCCCTGCCCTAGGCCCTCCGGGTATTTAGTCGTCGTCGATCTTGTGCATGTCTGTATGCATATCTAAGAAAGCTGTGGTCGGTGAGAAAATGATGACAATATTAATAGTGGTGCTCATCGTGGTATTCGTAATAGTAATAATACATGGATGCGTGGATGCACTGATGATTATGTATTGGTACAGACGCCCCCCCAAAAAAGGGTTGGGTGATCTCCATCCCTTCGAATTCGGATCAGAGACGTGATGTGGTGACGGAAACGCAACAATACCAGGGTTTAGACCTGCTCGGCGACGACCTGCTGGCCTCGCTCGGGACTGGGCATGCGGGAATGGTCTGCGGTCGACAGCCCGCTGCGGGTGCCCTGGCTGCTGCGGCGCCAGCTGATGCGCGACTCGTCGACGATCTTGTGCTCGGTGATGAGCTCCTTGTTGATCTCGAAGTGCTTGATGAAGAGGCCGACGATGAGGGCCAGGCCCGCGAGGCCAGTCAGGAAGCCAAACACACCGTGGAAGCCGGCGACGTAGGCGTCGATGGCGGCCTGGCGCTGCGGCGCGCTGGGGTCTATCTGCTTGAGCACCTCCAGGTACGCCTCGGCGTGCAGGGCAATGTCGGTGGGCAAACCCAAACTCGCCAGCTTGGCCTTCATCACGTTCTGGAACACGGAGCCGCCCACGCCCACGCCGATGGCCATGCCGAAGCTGCGCAGGAACGCGTACATGCCGACCGCACGGCCCTCGTCGCCGGGCTTGCACGCGGCCTGGGACGCCGTGTTCAGCGCGTTGAGATTCAGGCCGTGCCCGAAGCCCAGGATAATCATCTCAACCGCCCACACGGCCGTGTTGGTGCCGCGGTCCCATGAGATGCTCAGGCCCGTGCCCAAAGTCGCGAGAATCCAGCCTGTGGCGATTGCCCACCGGAACTTGGCTGTCCGCGTGATGGCAGCGCCGACGATGACGGAGGCCGGGACCAAGGTGAGCAGCACGGGCAAGAGCGAGACACCAGTGCGGATTGGAGAGTACACTTTGGCAGACTCGAAGAAGAAGGGGATGTAGTAGAGTTGCGCATAAAGCTGAACGAGAGGGAACAGCACCTGTTAGCCAACGTGGCACTGGCGATGACGTGGTTGGAGCTAGAAACTTACGATGAGACCTTGGGCGAAAGCACCGAAGTAGATGGCGTGTGACGACCAGACGTGGAAGAGCGAGTGTCTCAAGAACGCAGTCTCTTGGGCGCCGTATCGCTCCCAGATCATTGTGGCCACCAGGCCGGCCAGGCCAACCAGCAACGGCACCAGGGTTCTCCAGTGATTCCATGCGTAGGTGGTGCCGCCCCAAGAGATGGCCACGAGGAAGCTGGTCGCGGAGGAGATGAAGAGGACCCCGCCGATCCAATCGACACGGCCGAGCATCTCTCTCAGGGTGGCCTCGGGGCGCCTGAGCCGCACGAAGAGTGGCACAAAGATCAAGCCAACGCCGCAAAAGGGCAACATCAAGTAGAAGACCCAGCGCCAACGGGTAGGGCTGGCAAAGGCACCGCCGACGATGGGACCAATGACGCTTCCCAGAGCCCATGCTCCTTGACTAGAGAGTCAATTGACGTCAGTGGACAGATCCAAGGCCAGAGGGATCTTCTTGGTTGCCCAGGAGAACGAGCAAGTTGGGGAGGAAAACTTACAGAACGCCAACGTATTGTGGGCGGAATCGCAGAGGGACAATGTCGGAAAAGACGACGAGGGAGAGGATAATGACGCCGCCACCCCCGACGCCTTGCAGACATCGACCAACCAGCATGATACCAATGCTGTGAGCGGTGGCGCAAAGGACGGTGCCCACTGTGAAGCTCAACAAGACAGTGAACAACGTCTGTGGACGTCCAACAATGTCACTGATGGAGGCCGTGAATGGCATCGTCACTGCAACGACAAGGAGGTAGGAGGTTCCTATCCAAAACCCTTGAGTTGAGGTGGCGTTCAGCGCTTGGACAATGGTCTATGTTTGATGTTAGGAATGCCTTTGTCGACGGGACCGAGAGGCACGTACCGACAAGGCGGTCACAATGACAGTGGCGTCGAGGCTAACCATCAAGGATATGATGGCCAAAGTCACCATGACCATGGCTTCTGTTGTTGATGGCCTCCATTTCGGAGAAACAGCATTGTTAAGGAGTGTGGTATTCTGTTCAAGGTCGGCATCGCTCCGCTCCTGTTTTCTCATACTGAACTGTGTCGTAGCGGTGGGAGAGGGAGTCTTTTTGGGCTCGGTTTGCAGGTGGTTGGAAGGGGCAGGAAGAGGAGCAGTATCTTGGGGACTGTTGCTTATGGCGGCGTTCATGTTGGAAGGGTGTGAGTGGCATATAATATGTTCGCCTGGCGGATGATGTAGCGTATGGTGCACGGCGACGGTGATAATGGCCGCAATCCATAATTACCACTGCAGCATAAGCACCAAGTGGTGATGCTGCACGTGTGTTTGTGTTTTTAGACGAGGGTAGCATTCCTTCACCTGAGCCCCAATTCACTTCGTGGTAAGTGATATTCGCATACAGCCGCATAGTCGCATATCACATCGCATAGCCGCATAGTCACATAGTCGCATACTGGGTAGTCGCGTGCCGTGCGGGACGAGGGAGGCCTCAACAACATCATAGACACGGACTTGACGCCTTGACGCCTCAACGACGCCTCGATGCTTATCTGCTCGCTTCCTTGTTTTGGCATGCGTTGTGTCTTGTCGGTGTGGAGGTCCGAGGAATTGCTGCCCGTCAATGCCCATCGGTGTCCGTCATTTGGCCATGTGCTGAGACGAATATGATCGGCGCAGTAGTGGACGCGCTGTTCCTCATCTGGAGGCATTACGCGAGCTGACGGCGAGCTCAATGGCCATGATGCCCACATGGTGCAGATAGCGGCCGACTTTAATAAGCCGCAGGGCTGCAACTAGAGTTGACACGGTTAGGTGGCGGAGCGGCCATGGTCCAACGAGGCTCAGCCGCACAAAGAGAATTGGGATTGATGATTGATGCCCCAAGCAGCATGACAGAGCGGAGAGAGGGAAGTCAATCAATGGGCCAAATATACGCCGGGCAACTTGGGCATGGACACGGACCGTGTAATCAGTGGCATATTTCTCAACCTCGCTGTCTATCGCAGCCTCGTCAAATCCCACATCTCGGTTCGTCTTGTAACCACCATTACCTCCCTCCGCCACTCAACTCCTCCCATACTCATCAACTCTAGCTCACTCACTGCTTCTGCCCTCTACGGGCCAATGTGACATGTCCATCTTCCTCGGCGTCAAAACACAGCTATCTGCCTAGTATGGTCCATATACCGCACGCCTTGCATGGTCTTGTATATGGGCTCGATTGCACCAGAGTGCCGTCGCCTTCCTACTCGTAGACATGGTCGCCGACCCAACATATACGCCTGCTCGCTTGCTGCACACTGTATTTCAAACGAGTCCAGAGACCCGTGTCCGCTCCGTGGTGACCTCTGATACACCTGATACACACGATACATCACTCTGTCTCGGCCGTGGAATTGCCTGTATGCGTGGTAATTTTCACATGTATATTTTCCATGGCTCCCGGTCCTGACTTCCAAAAGATCAAGTTCATACTCCGGTCTGAATGCTCCATCCCTTGATTCGGGACCCAGCCTTGCCAGGATTGGCGATCGACTCATTCCAAATTTCCACCACTGAGGGTGAGATCTCCACAGCGAGACCCGCTCAGCCTCGTCGTTGACAGTAATGGAACAGTTGGCCGCATAAGATCACGGCGCTCAACAATCATTGCTCCGCAACGGGGCGACAGGCCGCACTGTGACCCAATCAGTCAGGCAGACGAATCCACCCAGAGATCCGAATGAACTCCCCTAACAAATCCAAGTCGAATTCGAATTCGCCATGCGACACAGCGTCCCCTTCAAGTGATTCCCTCTCACCTCAGAGTGATGCTCAACTGTTATCCTCCAGCAATCAGAAGACCACCGACCAATCCACAGAGTCGCTCGCAAGAGTACTCGCCGAGAGGTCCGATGTCCTGCCCTTGTGCATGTTTGGCGGGCTGGTTGATGCTTCAAGCAACTTGACGTCCCAGCGGAGAGAGAAACAAAAGCTCACCTGGATCAAAGTTCAGCCTGGGGGGAAATGAGCATCGTGCGACTCAAACCGACGCCAAACCGCAACATGGCTTCTGCTCCACTAGAGAGCCTCATGTTGCAACCGCTGCGCCCCTCATGTCTTTTGCCAGATGCTGCAACAGAACGTCGGCAAGGGCTACACGTGCGGCAACATACAGCAAATACAGCTACATTCCGATCCAAGGCAGAATGTAGTACCATTCGAGTGATAGGACGAAATGGCGCAGGTGTTCCCCTAGATGCAGCTTGCGTCTGGCATCATGGAAACTGTTGAGTGTGCCGTCGCCTCACGCCGAGGCGTCCGCTACAGGGCGCTTGGAGGCGATTGCATGCGAATACCGGGTGACCAGATCCATCAATGACCGTTGATGTATCCAGCATAGTCATAGATTCAGTAGTCATATATCGTCATCTGAATGGTTCTCCAACAAGGCTGTTGGATAAGGGCTTATCGAATTTCGGCCCCTACTTGATTGTGGATTTCTCCATCTGCTAGTTTTAGCTGGCTGTCCTCATGATGGAAGGCCGTGGAAGAGCGTATCTGTATAGCAGCTCAGCGGCAATGTCGTATTCAATCTCGAACAAGTTCTACCAGAGACAGATGCGAGCAAGTGGAGTGAGATCAATCTCGAATGAATGACTGAAGAGTGGGGGTAGGTCATGTCAGACAAGCCACGACGGAATGGAAACATTCTGGAATAAGAGCTGTTATCAGCGTGCCGTATGTGTTCTCTCAGCGCGTTTTACTCCCAGTATGTACAACGATTGATGACCAGGGGGAACAGCTTCTCATTGCAACGCTGCATGCCGGACATGAAACTTCATGCGATGACATATCGGAATTCTAAAATAAGGCTGCATCGCGTAGTCCGAACTCATGGTTGTGGAATTGGGTAAGGCCAAACACATGGCGTCATTTCGGGCCGGTGGCGGTGGACCGGTAGCCGAGCGATCAAGGGATAAGGATTGGGGATGGCGCGCGATCCTTCCTTGTGAGCACAGTGAGACTTCTTGCATCTCACTTGACATTTCATTTCGAGGCGCTGGCTGACACGTCGCAGAGCACACGGATTACAATCTTGATCATCTCCACGGAAGTGAAGCGGCGTCATTGGACAGTTCGCCTGGTCAAAGACAGGCAGTCATGGGGTGTTGTTTGACCAGGTGGAAACATCAGACTTTGGGAACGCCCCTTTAATCGATGAGCCGAAAGCAGTTGGTCTCTTTTCACGATCGGGAATGGCCCGTATCACATCTGAGAAATCTTTCGACGGTTCCCGCGATTGAGGTGGTCACTGACTCCATCATCCCAAACAAGCGTTGCCATCTGGTGGCATGATGTCTGGTCTCTGAACCATGTGGACGCGACAATATCTCTGCTTTGTTTTTGCGCAATGGCCACGGGGTGAATCTTCGTTTGTGCGGGTCGGCACTACAGCATCTCACCCTTCTTCGGGGTCTGAATGGTATGACTTGCCCCTTCCTGCCGCGAGGCGCCTGGTTATCCAAATAGAAGTTCGTGGAGGTGATTCTTATATCCGTGAGCAGGTCTTGTCCAACTCCGGGCCTGAGACTGTATTTGGCATTCCGGGCTGGCGTTACATTTTCGAATAGACTTTCATTGCTCAATGTATATTCAAGCATGTCAAATTCGACGCGAATAGGTTGAATGACCAGGCTGATGCCCATGGCTTTGGCGTAGGGAGAGGGTTTTGATAGCCTCCAAAGCTGGGATGGAGGAAGAATGCCACTTAGAGGAGTGTTGAACAGACTGAATCACAGGTCTGTTGGTCTCCAGGAGTCGGCCGCCAGGAAACGGCGTTCTGCTTTGACATTTTCATCGAAGCTGGATCATATTGGTAAACTGGTGCTCCCTGTGCCTTCGAGCAATGCTTGCTGAGACCTGGGACTTTTGTCTCGAAAGCGCCGGCATCGTCTCATTTGTTCTGGACGGTCCATATTGGCTCCTTCATTTGGTCTTATCGTTTCTGGCCTTTGCTTGCTCGAGTTGCTTCAATTCATCGCGGAGGATCTGCTCTAATCCTTCATTTCGCCGAGAAAGTAGCATGACATCGTCTGTTTTGATCGTGGATCTTCCTGCGTGCTTTGCAAATGCTTCGAGGTCAATCGCGGCATTTCCTGGAAGACATTCAGTGTCAGCTTTAAAACCTCATCTCCGCCCCTCAGCCGGATGCATTGATCCTAACGTACCAATCTGTGCCCATACCAGTTCCATCAGACTGCCGATGAACTGCGGCGTCGCATTGACTCCCAGGTTGATGCTCTCTTCGTCGACCATCTTCCCAATCTGGAACCATAGAGCAGATCTGAGTTTCTAAAGAGAAAGTAAGGTGTTAGCATCATGGCATCAATTCACACGGAATCCTCGCTGCCTTCCAACGCCATGGGGAGTCGTGGGTGTCACCTTCTGCAGGGACTCCGCTTCTGCATCTGACGCAGAAGCCATGATGAGTATACCAATGACCAAGTTATAATAGACAGGCCTAAGGTTCTTCGAAGCGGTGTCGACCAAGGTACTCCGACACTTCGAGCATGCACTCTTGTTGTTATCAATTCGTGAAATGGTATGTAATGGAAAATCGTTTTAACTTCGCACGAGATCACGCGTTACGCGTCGGCGATGTAATACGTCTGAGCATAGAGCTGGAAATTGCACAACGGCAGGGCACAACAACACCAAATGTGCTGCTTAGATATAGAGAGACCTCGATTTCATTGATTCATCAATCTCCCTCTCTCAGTCGCCTTTCTCTCAAGAACTCATAATCCGGCATGGCATCTTTGACCCACGACAGAAGCTTTTTGGCTTCCTCTCCTCCAAATTCGGCTTTCCACTTCTGTGCTTCGCGCTCGATGTCTAACCCGATCGCGGTCTTCCCTTCTTTAATCAAGCCAGTCGAGGACAACAGGCTCGACTTCATCCTTCTTTCGAAGACATTTAATCTTTGCTGCTCTTCAGCAGTGGCAGACTCCCACTTGAATTGGCATTTGTCTGGGTCCAACCCGACAATCCCGCAATATCGTCTGATGACGCTCGGGTGAAGAATAACGTCGTCGGCGTCTAGGATGATCGGCCACGACGAGGTGGACTGCCCATCATTCCTAGAGCGCCTTCGAACCTTCCCAGAAGCCATGGATTGGTCAAGTCGTTGCTTGTTAAACCACTCCCACAAATTTCGGCTCCATCTCCAGGTCATTTCCATTCGAAAGCTCCCATCTGCATTCTTCGTGGCTTGTTCGGGGCCTTCCAGGTCTACAGAGGTTCGATAAAGTGACGGAAACACCAACGCAGGGTGCCGAATTAAAAACGTTGGTGTCCATGTGCGCAGGAAAGCATCAGGGAGGACTGTCTGGTTCTGTGCCTTTGTTAGGCTCTCGTTCTGTCCTTCCCCTGTTTCCTGCTGTGGGATGTTCGCATCACGGTCCTCTGTCGTTACCCTCGCTTTAACCAAATCCTCTGCTGCAGGCGACAGCATCCACATGAGATGTTCTTTCACACAAACACTCCTACCTTCGGCTTCTGCGGACTCCACGTGCCGGACTAGCTCGGCTGTACAAGCTTCAAGACAACGCTTCATATCTGCGTGTTCTTCTTCGGTCCAATCTTCAGAGCGCCGATCGGCGAGTTCCAGTCGGCGTGGCACGGTTGGGAGGAAGAAGTACCCACGTTCGTCGGAGCTTTCTGTGTTCCCACCCGGACTACAGACGGCTGGCTGATTCTCTAAGTTCAGGATTCGGATGACGAGATTTGAAGCAGTTCTCGGGTGGGTTAGGAGAAACACTCTCTTATTCCCACCCCGAGCTGGAGTCATATTCATTCGTATTTATGTCTTATTCTTTTGTTCAGTTGTTTATGCTTTCACAGATGCCTTCCTCGTAGATTTGACTAAACGGGGAGAATTAGAGTTAAAAAGAAGGAACATCAATCTGCTCCAGTCCATTGCATTGTATTGACAGAAGTCCATACCCTGTTGGGAGTGACCCTGGATGACCAAGTGTTTCGACGTATATCCGTCTGCTGCTGGTACGGCGAAGCATCGATCTCGTAGACAATCTCCTCAAGCTTTCAAGTACAGTCCCTCCGCCTTCTCACTGCACGCTCAATGCGCTCCAATTTGTGAAATCACGTTCCTCGAACCTGAAACTCTTTCCCCTACTCAGCACGACACATACGCGTACATACCCGGACCTCCACCCTCCGGCAGCCCCAAGGGGATAGATAAAACATATAAAGCCACAGAAATGTCCTACTTCAATTTCACCATCCCAGACGTCCCCACGCTCCTCGAACCATACCTCGAGAACCTCCCGCCGGCGGTACAGGCATACCTGACGCGCACCAACCTGCAAACCCTCCTGCGCGTCATCGTCGCCATCTCGACGTACGCTCTCTTCCGCCCGCACCTGGAGTCGCTGTTCCGCAAGATGACGGGGACGCCGGATCGGAGGGAGGAGGAGGCAAGGGCGAGGTTGGAGTTTCTTCGACGGCAGCAGCAGGAAGGGAGCGGGGTTGCGGCGGGAGCAGGAGCAGGACGGACGAATAAAAGTGTGGGGATCGTAGGGAAAGATGGGAAGATTTATCAGGTTGTTCCGCCGCAGGGGGGACAACAACAGCAGCAGCAGCAGCAGCAGCAACATGGAGGAGGGAAGAATGGGACAGGACGTAAGAAAAAGGATGCGAGAAAGAAGGCATGAACTTTCATTCCCCTCTCACGCGAAGCCACACGAAGGGGGAGATGGATTGTCTGTGGGTTTCTTGCATATGGCAACCAAGAAGATCAATCGATTGGCGTGTCCTCGAGCATGGATACATCTGCTGCCGGAAGTTGTGAAGGAAGGGGAAATAAAAAGCTCTTCCATGCAGGGGCACAAGAGCAAGAGTCGCATGAAGATACCCCTTCAACCACTCGGGAATGTGAGGTTTGCGACTAGTATTCCTCACTTTAAAGAGAGCCCACGTCTCGGTATTGGCAACAGGCTAGGTACGACGGCATCACGGACCAGCCAACGAGCTATTCAGGCCTTGGGAACTGGTAGGACGTCAAAAGTACGCCGTATTCGGCTGGGGGAAGGCGGCCTCATCTCATTGGAAACCTGTGGCGGCAAAGGAAAGATGTAGTAGCGGAGAGAGAACGATAGGCGTGGAACCAGACTCTGGAACGAGATGAACTGATCGCAAAACTTCAGAAGTTTGAATCTATCTCTTTTGGTGAAGCATTCCAAAATCGGCGGTCCATATTCACCGGACCAATATGTTATTACTGACTCGCCCGAGTCGAATCCACCTCAGAGTCCTGACGGTGTTCACAACCTGCCTCTGGCCAAAAACCTCACGGGCACATCGACGTACCGGGCCCTCAAGAACTCGGCACAGTTCTTGCCCAGGAAATCTACGGTGCTCGTACTGGTGGCGCCGCGATCCAGGAGGTTTCTGAACAAGAAGTGCACACCCCTCAGATTCGGCAACTCAAACCGCTCAATCTCGAGCTTGGGCACCCTCGATTCGTCGTACTCCTTCCCCAAAAGCAGCTTGATGGTCGAGACAGAGAGCAGGTTCTTCAGCCACACGTACTCGTCCTCCCGCGCGACCCAGAAGCCGCAGTTGCAGTCCGAGCCCTTGTCGCCGGAGCGGGCGTTGACAATGGATCCCAGGGGAGCCCGTTCTGTCGGACCGAATTTCGAGAGGTCGACCTGCAGCTGCGTGCTTGGCTGACTTGGTTGCCTCTCCGCGAAGACATTCGTGATTGTAGGTGGTGGGATCAGTGTTTCTCGGCCGTTGAAATGCACCACATGTGACACCTTCGCTTGATCCAGCAATGTGACATAATATTCAAAGTATGGCTTCGGGATCCCCAGACGGAAATCCAGATGGAAAGTGGAACCTGGGTAGCTTTGCATTATATTGTCAATCACCGGTCTAAGAAACTTTCCCGACGCAATGTCCTTCAATTCCTTCGCTTGCGCGAATACGCGGAATATGCAAGTCGCGGCGTTTTGGTTGTCCGCGTCCACGCCCGGCGTTCCCAGGACGCTGAACGACAGTGTGGTAAGTTTGTCCGAGTACCGCTTGAGGCTATGGCGAAGCTGTGCTTCAGTCATGCGGGCCTTTTCGGCGACGTCCAACCCAGTCATGAAGTACCAGGCCTCAGCTTGGAATCCGCCGCGAGCGGTAATTCCGACTTTTGTCGTGGGTGGTGGCGGGAGGGCTTGGACGCCGTGCAGTGCAACGCGGTCAGGGCCGAGCTGTTCGAACCAGAGTTGATCCAGGACGGCGGTGACATCGCTGTTGAAATACCAGGGTCCTTGGATCTCGTACAGCAGCTGCGACGAGCATGTGTGAACCGTCACTGTTCCGCCCGAGTTCTTCTGTTTTGTGATGACCACTTGCCCATCCTGCGAGATCTCAGCGATTGGGTATCCGATATCAACCCACCTATCCGCAGCCTCAAGGCTCTTGAATCCAGAGAAGTTCCCGCCCGTGACATAGGTCGAGCACTCGATCAGATGGCCCGCGACAAAGGCATTGGCCAATCGACCAAAGTCCTCCCTCTTCCACTCGTGAAACCACGTCGCTGCCCCGATGACGGGCGACGCATCAGCGACTCTGCCACAAATCACAATCTGGGCTCCCTGGCGAAAGGCCTCTGCAATGCCCATGCCGCCCAGATAGGCATGCGCGTAGATGGGTTCAAATTCCCACCTCTCCAGCACCTGGCCTGTATAGATGTTCTTGAACTTGGAACTCCCGTTCTTCAACCCTTCATTGATTGCCGGCAAGACCTCGTCGCCCGAGATCCACGCGACTTTGATCTTGTCTTGCAGCCCTTTCTTCCTCACCATCTCGACCACAATTTTATACAGGCCTTGTACGTCCGCATTTCCTGCGTTTGCAGCCACTTTGATCCCGTACCTTCCCAGGTCTTCTAACGCCGGTTCCAAGGCCTCGAGGAATGAGGCTTCAAAAGCCGGACCTGCGCCAACAAAGGCATTGCCCATGTCCGGAGTCAAGTGCGTCGAGTCGACCTTTCTGGCGGCCCCGATCGTCATGTTTACCTCGGACATGTAGTCTGATATGATGACGTCCACAGGGTCGGAGGTGTAAGACCTCGCAAATGCAGCCATGGCATGGCGGCGGTCGGAGGCGGAGCCGGACGCGCCTTCATGGGATAGAGAATGTTAGAGTGTCACGATTGAGGTGGAAGATAGCCGAGGAAGGGGGAGAAAGGATGGCTTGCCTGCTATACGAATTGTTCTGGAGGCCATTTTGCGAGGACGATAAAGCGTTCGCAGCCTTCTTCAAAAGATTGGCAAAAGGTGTAGCGCTTTGAGGGCTGTCAGGGCAGGAAGGCTTTACCGTGACTTTCACTGCGCGGGGAAGAATCTCTATGTAGCTTGGTCAATGCGAGACGTTCCCTTTTCAAGTAGCGACCAGGTATCCGAGGAGGGCCACGAACAATTGAAGCTCATTTGGCTTCGACAGCATAGCACTCACATCTCGTTCCGGTGGAGATGTACGTGCGGCTCGTGCTTGCGCCGAAGGACTGAACGATGGATGTTTGACCGAACTGGAGTTGGAGAAGCCGCCAAAATCCCGAGGTCTCAAATGCTTGGCGCCGAGGCTGCAGAGAACAAATCCGCCTGCGCTGGGCTGCTGGGAGGAGACGGCGAGGCTGGGCGAGGTGGTCATATTTGACAAGACTGGAAATGAGCCCCCCGGCTTTTCACAGGTTTCGCGCAAGACAAGCGATAATTCCAAGGGAGGGCAGCACGAAGAAGGGAAGAACAGACCCGGCGTGAAGGACAGCAGTCACTAGAGGAGAAACATCGCGTAAGGAACTTGGAAATTCAGTGTCAACGATCGTCTCGTATTGGTCCACTCACTATGAACCAATGCATTGTTCCCTCGTCCCAGCTCAGCTCATCCAATGCCCGTCGTTGCTTAGTCCATCCCCAACCTTTGCCATGTGAGCTGAGGGAGTTCATGGAGACCTCTTGGTCCCATGTGAGAGACTGAAAAAAAAAAGAGAGATATAGAATGAAAAAAAAGGAAAAGAAACCATTTCTTGTCAACTGAGTTTCATCACCACCCCGGGTGCCATTTTTGCGACGATCCGTCCATGCTTCCGCTCCCTTGCCGTGAGTGCTTCCCAAGCACATGCTAATGTCTCGTTTTCGTTGGTATCGTATCGTCACTCTCAACCAAAAAGCGAATGCCATGTTTGTTCGATCGTGTTGTACACAGCCGGCTGCCATTGTCGAGGACAGTCGGGTGGTCAGGGGTCATCGCAGATGTGAAATGAAAGAAACTTTTCTGTTGTTCTTGGACAAACACCCTCCCATACCAACGATGATGACGCTAAGATTTCGATTTTGCGCGCTGCTTTCAATGACTTGACAAATGAAAACGTTGCTTTTTCCGCTCCCCAACAGGAAAAAGCATGCCCATGGACGAAACGCCTGCTGCGCCGAGGTTGTCAAAAGGGTTTTCACTACCCCGAGGTCAGTATTGTCCCATTGGGGGAGTGGGGACAGGACTGTGACGAACCTTCATAGGCGCGAAATTGCCGTATGAGTGAGTAGGAGGCATGCCCATGGAAGGGTAGATGGGTGGCGGGGGCGCAGGGCGGTAGGGTGTGCCCGCTGGACCAGAGTTGTTCTGGCTACGTCCCCAGCTCAGACGAACTCGCGAATTGCCAATGGGATAGCCTTGCATTTGGTTGATGGCCATCTCGGCGGCATGGCGCTGGACGAACTGCACAAAACCGCAACCCTTGCCCGGTGGAATCTTGACATAGGTGATCTCCCCGAATCCCTGGAAGAAAGAGCGCAGCTCGTCCTCGGTGACGTATCCAGACAGCCCTCCGACAAACACCGTGGTGTTATTGGGATCGGTGAATTGGTTCATCGGCTGTGGCTGTTGCTGGCCAGCACCGTAGAACGGCATAGGTTGCTGACCACCCATAGGCGGGTAGCCCATTGGGCCCGCACCAGGCATTCCCATCTGCATGCCTGTCATCGGTCCGCCTTTGTTCTTGGGAGTTGCCGTAGAGATGCGCATGGGACGGTTGCCACAGTAGACGCCCTGCATCTCACTGAGAGCGCGCTGCTGGTCACCTTCATCCGAGAAGCGAACGAAACCATATCCGCGAGACATGCCGGAAAGAGGATCGGTCATGATCTTGGCCGACTTGCAGGACGGGAAACGGCTCTGGAAGAGCGACACCAAAACGTACTCGTTGACCTCGGGGCCGAGATCACCAACAAAAATCGAGTACTCAGGGCCACGGTCGTCGCGTCGATCAGTCAAACCGCCTCCAGAGGCCCAGTTGAGCTTGAAGGGGCGGCTGGAGTTGGGCATAGGTTGACCGCTGAGCTGGAGAGCCTTGGCCGCAGCCTGAGGCGAGGAGAAGTCGACGAAGCAATAGCCAGCGTTGCTGCTACCATGAGTTCAGAGACGTGCGAGGGAGGGGGATGGCTTTGCCGGAACTTACCCTGAAAACTTGTCGCGGATCATCTTGACGCTGACTTGCTCACCCATTTGAAACCAGAGATTACGGACAAAGTTCTCGTCAATCCATGGCTCCAGTTCACCCATCCTACCTAGGCGTCAGTGACATGACCCAACATGAAGTGACACTCGTCTTTGAACTCACCAAAGAGTAGTCTTTCCCTCAGCGCCCGCACCAGTTTGTGCTGCGGCATTCACATCCGAAGTTGGGAATGACATCTGTTGCTGAGCAGAAGGGTCGGTTGGCTGGCCCGGAGGAGCTCCATCTTGAGGAGTAGGAACTTGACCCGGAGCACCCTCCTGCGGAGGGTTTTGGAATTGGCCGTATTCAGGAAAAGACATGTTGAAGGACAAAAATCGAGATGACGAGCTTGAAGGCTAAAGTACACTTTCTGTCGAGATGAGTCAGATTCCGAGATCAGTCTTGATGACGAGCTTCCCACAGAATTTTCATCCCAATTGTCCACGACAGTCGTCGCAGTCACCAGGGGATTTGGAGGTGTGAGATGGACATACCAAGATCGATGGGACAGGGGTCTCTTGCTAAAGAAGCGGCTGCGAAAAGGATATCGAAGGGATTATGTGGACTTTTTTTTTGACAACTCAACCAACTTTTGTCGCACAAGAATATCCCGAACGGCGAATGTCCAAGGCAACAGGGTACAAAGCGATCGCAAAGAGTCTTTGGGAATCGAAGGTTGTTCTGAAGTCTAGGAAACAGACGAAGTTAGCGCATGCGATCTCATTGACAAACACAGGCGATCATCACGAGCAGAGTGAAGACAGGGAAGTCCACGCAAGCACCAAGTTGTGAAGAGCAGTTGACAATGCAGAGATTTTAAATGGGTTTGTGATGGTAGCTGTCGTGACTAGTGCGATTTAGTTGATGTTTCGGTGGTGGTGCTCTTCTGTCGTGCTTTGTATTGCTGGCGCCCTTGGGTATGCGGCTTCCATCTACCAAGCCGACCTGAGAGGATGCATATTCTCATGCGCAGTCATGTCCAATGTCCATCTCTTGGATTTGCGCACGGGTTGAGGCGAGTTCGCGGGAAAAGGAGGAGGTTGATCAAGGACTTCTGCACATACCGGGTCAAATGCGCAGTGGTTAGATGGGGCCAAAAATGTCAGTGCAAGCCACAGATCAGACCAGACGCAAACGTGAGGAACTCCGAGAAGAGCAGGCGCCAATGGAAGCAGGAAAGCAGAAGCAAGACTGCGATATTAAGAGAGACGCGCGCAGGAACAAGAGAGGTCGAGAAGATGGAGGGGTGAGGCAGAGAAGAAAGACAAGTGGGAAGTCCAAGGAAAAGTGCGGGAAGCACGACTAAAACTCAACAAGAGAAGACAGAGAACCGGGTCACCACTTGGGCAGGGCAGGGTAGGGCAGGGCAGGGTCGAGGGGGGGGGTTGAGCTTGTCTAGGGCTACCAGGGCCTTCGAATGTGGGTGCCCAGGGTGTCTCGGTGGGTGAGGGTGGGTGCGAGGGCGTGCGAGGGGTCACCCAGGGCCACCGAGGGCCACTGAAGGCTATCAACTACCTACAAGTAGGGATCTAGCTAAGTCCCAGCTAACTAAGGTTTGAGCTTAGAGGCTTAGAGGCTTAGAAGGCGTACCAGAAGGGGGAACGGCAGCCTAGTGAGCCTGAAAGCTTGGGGGGGGGGGGCATATTTAGGCGAACCGATGATGACACGGGAAGCCCATGAAAACTCTTTCCACCCTCCCTTCCCTCCACCCACCATCAAGACATGAGAGCCTGAGCACAGACAAGAGTCTGGTTCTCCATCATGGCTCTTCTCACCACCACTGAGTAATTCTTTCCTGATGGAGCCTTTTCTTGTCCTGTGTCCCCATGGTCAACGATCGCCCTCGTCTGAACCATATCCCACGCTGCTGTTGATCAATTGAAGGATCTACATTCCCTGTTCGTCCCCTAGCTCTCGAGAGGTCACAACAACCCTCTCCCCCTCCTTCACCATGTCCACATTCAGCTCCAGAGTCTCCCAGCCCCAGACTACCTACTAGTTACTGTAGACACCATGCTAGCCATGCACACCACGGATTACGCCACCAACTTGAAACCCTGTCAAAAAGGACCTTGCGCTCAACAGCTATTTGTCCGTCTGCTGGCAACGAGCCCTGATCTCGCACCATTGAAGGATCCTGCAGCAACACAATGGCCAAACAGTCAGTTTTCGAGGGGTCAACATGCATGTTGCCTGCCGATTCGCAATTCCGGCAGGCTTGGAACTTCTTGCCCCAAAGTCTATTGTTCTCATTTTGTCGCCTGTCTGGAACTTAATGGTTGCCCAGGATGGCATCTACCCTTGCTTGCCCTTGACAAAAGAGGACATTGTAGCAGAGCACACTTCACGTCGATGCGAGCTTCGAGACCTCCTGATTGTCTCTTTGTTCGGGTACATACATTGGTACACTGACAGCTGTCATTGCCAGGTTTTGTCCAACGTCAAAGTCATCCCAAAACGTGTCAGTTGATGCCCAAGGCCTTCATGCGCATCAAGTAGGGATTGTGCAAGCCAATCATACGCCTATTCGCTGCGATGACCTGCATACCCGAACAATCCAGTTGACCGATCGTCCAGCCGCCAGTCTCGCCTATCTCGAACTCCGTCCTCCTCTTGGTGATCCCTTGGTTACACCAAACAAATCCCCACCGATTTCGAGTGCAGGTCGTGAAAACCATTTGGGTGTCGGGATTGATTGCGGAGGTCCAAAAGTTGATGCTGATGCATGTTGATTACTGTCAGGCACAGTCAGGCGCAAAGTCAAGGCGTAGCCTCGATCACGGTCTCACTTTCTCCAAGACCCAACACCATTCGGAAATCTCAGCCGACCGAGCTATTGGCCCGCTGATGCAAGAAACTTGGCCTCTCATCGGTTTCGGTGGGGTCACCAGAAAAAATGGTCGCTGCACTAATCGTCCTTCGAGGTGGCCCAAGCTTCAGGCCGCAGATACACTGAGATATCGGATACGAGATCACAGACTGGCAACCGCCCTTACCACGATTCCGGACCTGTCCATGGGAGTGAGAAAGACGTTTCCCCAGCTTCACTGGCCAAATCCTGTTCTCTGTCGCTCTACTGTGTACCCGGTACGCTACGGGACAATGAGAAGAATACGGAGCGGTATGCCGCAATCGCCCGGACCCCATCGGTCTTCTTGCGCTTGGCAGATCCAATGGCGCTTGTTCATGCGTCGGTGGCTTGCGGACCTTCCCCAAAGCAGTTTGGAACGAGCTCGGATGTTGTTGCACCCTTCTTTCGATGGCTTGATCAGAAACCTGATTGAACGGAGAACAGTACTTAGAAGGTGTGCAGAGGGGTGTCAGGAAAGACCCTTGAAGCGTCTTTCAGCCATGCCTATTGTGGTGTTTTATTCTTTTCTGCCTTCTTCCCGTTTTACAGCCTGCGGTGCAGCCTTTCTTGCTCTGGCTCGGGGCAATTCTGTTTGCGCTGTACATTCTAGTCGTATGTATGTCGAAATATCTATGGAAGTAAAGCTATGTGCCCTCTTTTGTGCTGTGAAGTCGTGAAGCCCTCTCGCTAGCACCATCTCCTTCGTTTCTGCTAGGATGAGCTCTAGAAGTAGACAGAGCTCTGTTCGACGGAAGTTGCCTGACTCAACATCTCCCTTTCCCACGCCTCAAAGATATCATCGTTTCCTCCGTTAGGTTTTTGTCGTTGATTTCGTTATCTATCGATTTTTCGTTGCATTGTCCATCTTCTAATACCTAGTGCCCCCATTTTGTAAGAAGAAAAACAAGGGCAAAAACAATTGATAGAGAAGAGAAAAAGAAATAATCCCTGTCTAGCTCGCCGCTAGAATCCCCTTTGGATATGTGCCAGCCATGTAGCCTTGTGCAGCTTGCACTGCTATTATCCTGCTTCTCTTCAGCCGTAGTCGTTGGTGTCAATGCCCGAGTCATAGATTTCTCTTGTCGCCTGGCAGAAGATGGGGAGAGAGTCCTTTATGGTCTAACAAGTGATGATAGTGTTGTCGTGTTGCTGCAAGCGGAGCGCTAGGATGTCGGTTGTGTCGAATGACAAGACGGGGTATCGCCGATTGCTGCAAAGTTGCAAAAATGCAATAAAAATATGGGCAACGGATTTGTCGAAGAAGCAAGCTCTCGTGATGTCGTCTCATGGTTGGTGGTGATGGCCATTTCTCTCCGCCTCTCCTCGACACCTTCCATATGCTGCACATTGTGTCGAGTTCATCAAATACCGTGCGAAAAGTCCGGGATCCGATGATCCACAGGCTGCCAGCAAGTCTCACGGCTTAAGTATCTCACATCCACAAACCTCCCTTTCTTAGTCCCTATTTTCTTCAAGTGCGCTTCCTCCTCAAATCCTTGACTCTCGAGCCACTCTTTCAGCCAGATTTCGTAATCGTCTTCGCGGTCATCCAGCTTCGCCGCTTTGGAGTAATCCTTTCGCTTTTGCTGTTTGCGAGCATTTTCAGAGGGCGAATTCTCAGGTATGCGATTCTTGCAATTTCTAGAATCCTCTCCATTGCGACGAGCCCAGCCATTCCCCCTGGCTGGAGGATCAGGCGGTCCCTGAGTGGCTGCTTCTTGAAGGCGGTCAAGCAGCTCCGGAGGCATGGGGTGGTTGAAGCTGCGTACTTGAACCATCAACTTGTGCAGATTGCGTCCTCCGCCAGCGCTGTACATATGCCTCAACTCCGGCGCGACTCGAAATTCATAGCCCCCTTTCTTCAGGTACCCGCGATCTGTAGCATCCAGTAAAGCGTCCAGTAAGCATCGTCCCACACCTGATTTGCGGTGTGAGGGTGCCACATACAACTCCAGTTCGGCCGTGATGGCTTCAATGTAATCCGACGCTGACCAGTCTGTGGCAGAGGCCCAGCCAACAACGGGCTCGTCTTTCACCACGCCAATATATTCAGGATCAGTGTTTTGAATAGGATGATTGGGATTGACTCTCGGGCCCCTGCGTGATTTAGGGCGGGAGTTTTTACGGTTGCGTTCGACGGCAACGATGACTGGCAGACGGTTTGACGTCGAATCCTCTAACCGCTGGTTCATGTTTTCTTCGCTTATCTCTGCCAGTTCCGAGGGACGAGTGCCTTGAGCAATGTGCCAGTTGAGAATAGCTCTCATACCCGGGACGTCTGCATTAACGGCAGGGCGAAGGTAGATGTTCTTAGTTGTCATAAGGGGAGGCGGCTGTTCTTGTCGACTGACTTCTTCAGCCACCGGACTGTTCTCGTGCTCGACCTGTACTCGTAACACCACATTTTCTTGCACTTGCCTCTCCGCGCGTCGCACGCGCTCAATGCGGTTATCAATAAGCTTCTGCGCTGTTTCATCCTTCAGACGAACATTTTCAGGATCCGACAGATCGAGTTTTGGGTCACCGTCGAAGTCAACTGGGGACCATGACTCAGGCTTCGTCACCTCGCCACTTTTGAAGCTGTCACTGTTAAAGCCGTAGCGGCCAGCATTACTTTCGTTAACCATCGTCTGCTTTGGCGCAAACCCAATGCCGTCGGCGTGATTATCGATGTTCCGGACTTCTTCGAGAGGTAGGGCCGAGAAGTCGACTTCGGGCCCCCGCGACATGGTTCGCATTGTGGCTGCACCGAGCCAACTTTCGAAGCCACTGATGTATTCTGGGGTATTGTTGTAGAACCGGCCACGTCGCTCCCAGTCGAGTGGGGGTGGTAGGAATTTACCGTCCCATCCTGCAAGTTCCTCTTCGGGCACTTGAGGCTCATGAACGTGAATAAGTCTGCCAAAACCAACGGCCATGGGCCTCGTCGAGTCGTTATCACTCTCCGGTTCTTCTGAGTCTTCGACACTGTTACATTGTGGCGGCTCCAACTTATTCACGTCCGACCAGCTCTCCGCCGTTCTCTTTTGCTTTGACGCTGAGGGACATGAATCAGCCGAACCATCTCTGCCTCGTGAAGATTGATCCTGCGGCAGATTTAGCTCCAGGGCAGAGGAGGCGCCTGTTCGGATATTGCCCATCCCGGGTTGTAATTGATCTGAATCGGGCGGCAGTGGTTCTCGCAGAAGATGCAGCATCGCGAGGCCCGTAGTGACAGACTCGTCAGCGTATTCCTTCTGTTTTATCCGACGGAATGCCTCACGGCATTGTGTCTCTTGAAGGCGAGCAATCAGTTGCTCCGGAGTCTCGCTTCCTTGCCTTAGAGTTTCAAAGGTCTCGGGACGAGGTGGTGACCCTGATTTCTTTGCTGAACTCATTCGACTTGGACTCGCCACCTTGGGCGGCTGTTGGTACTTATGCATTTCCACGTCGACCGTGTTATGTCCAGCTTGAAGATTTGTCGGGGATTTGTTACTCGGCGTGTGGAAGGAGGTTAAATAAGGTGTGAGAAGAGGTGTCGCAGTTTGAAGACCTCGAGGATCTGGTTCGAGTTTAATGGAGGCTGTGGTTGGATCCGCCCCATTTTTCGACCAGACTGCACTTTCTGGCTTGATTCGGGGGCTAAGGCGCAGTTCTAGGCTACACCCTCTCGATGCACTCGCTATCTGACTCGACATTCTTCTTGTTGGGTCACCATAGGCCCTCTTGTCAAACCCCGGGATTTGGATGCTTAGTGGCGACACTGGACCAGGAGGAGTGGGGTTTGAGATAGACTCGGTTGGAACTGGTTCACATACTTCGAAGTTTGTCAGGTGATGCTCTACTCCGTTTGTTCGCACGCTCAAAGACACGCGTTTATCGTTTGGTTCTGCCTCTGTTGCAGTGCTCCCACCTGGATTCATCACTCCATTATGGCTCTCGCGCCATGATGCCCAGGAAGATTGTTGACCGACAGGCTGCTTCAACGATAGATTCCAGTCAGGATGGACACCCTTCTGAGACCGATCTTGACCCGCATCGCTAAACCTTCTCTTCGCTGTGGGACACCCATATGCACCCGGGTGAAAGCCCATGTTGTTGCTTAGGGCGGACTGACAAGGAATAAGCAACTATTCTGGAGGTCAAATGAACACAAGGCAACAGGCGATGATGACGAATGAACTGGAAGTTAAATAGGTTGTAGCGCTCACCTGTCCCCAGTGATCCTGAACACGTGCTTCTACTGGAGGCTTGTCACTGGCATGTGCAATCTGTTGTGGCGATCTTAGAGAGAGCGTCAATCCGAGGTGAGTTGAATTTGAAAGGCCAATGTCCAAGGCTGATGGATTAAGAGGAGGGGCAGAAACGGCTTGTCCTACTCGGCTAGATGTTGTAGCCTCAGAGTCATTAGAAGGATGGATAAATGAGAGCTTGAGATGTTCGTCACAGGTCATGCAAGTCGGGAGACGACTAGCCACGGATGTCTGAGTCTGAGCCATGGCTGTGGGAGTCACGGACAATGGCTGCACAAGGCGAGACTGAGACCCCGACAACTGTGAAGTGATGAAAGTGAAGTCAAGGGTAAAGTGTAAACAGCGGGTGTTGATTCGTTGCTGCTTCACAGCACTACTACAGAAAGCGCCAATCAGCAATCTCACACGTGAACATATGTTACTTAAGACTGTAAGGCGGCGAGTTACTATTCATGTCGTGCACGTGCTGGCACGTGCACAGAAGCTACAGTAACACAACCCAAGCACAGCCCAACACAGCCATCAAAGGGCCGCAAAGGACTACCACCATCCATTCTGCATTTGCCGGTTCCTTGTTGATTCGTATGCGTCAATGGACACAGGCAAGTCATCGCCATGCTCTCCATACTTCGCAAAGCGCGGTTGAAGGATAAGGAGATGCGTATTCTGATGCTGTACAGCGGCTCAATCCTCCTACGAACACGAGAGGCTGATTTGTTCCAGAGGACTTGATAATGCCGGAAAGACCACCATCGTCAAGAAGATCATGAATGAAGATGTCAATACTGTCAGTCCTACGCTGGGTTTCATCATCAAAACCATTGATTTCCAGGGGTACTGCCAGCTGTGACAACATTGCAGAGGGGACACTAATGAATGACCATGCAGTTACAAGCTCAATATCTGGGATGTTGGAGGCCAGAAGACTATAAGATCATACTGGAGGAACTATTTCGAGAAGACTGATGCTCTCATCTGGGTGGTGGACGCCACAGACCGACTACGGATGGACGACTGCAAGGCCGAGCTTAAGGGACTGCTGCTTGAAGAGGTACGCTAGCATTCACCCACCATAACCGTAGAGCCGCTGACAGGGACAAGCGGTTAGGCGGAGCAAGTCTGCTGGTCTTCTTGAACAAGACCGACGTAGCAGGTGGGATGACCCAGGACGAGGTCACGCAGCTGCTTGATCTCCAGCGGATCTTGACTCACCGTTGGGTTGTTATCCCTTGCAGTGCAATGACGGGCGAGAATCTGGAGAAAGGCCTGGATTGGGTAGTGCAGGATGCGCGAGATCGGTTGTTCTTGTACTAATACACCACGGTACCCAGTAGAGACTGGCCATGGCTTGAGAAGAAGGAATGATGAAGTGAAGCCGCCAGCGGTATTTAAGCAAGCCACATGGGACCCCTGCAAAGCAAAAAGCACAGGGGGTAAATTGGCCTGGTGCCGCCGGCCAGACCGAAGTGGCCATCAGCCCTATCTAGTCCCTATTTGATTTCAACATCTTGAAACCTCCTGTTCGCCATCGCCGCATCGACCTTCAACGATAACCGAGAGGCAGGCCAGGAACGAGACTCGACGGCGCCGGAAAGGAAGGAGAAGAAGAAGAAGAAGAAGAAGAGGAGGAGGAGGAAAATAAACAAACTACCGAGTACTGTTGGTCGAATTTTGGATTTGGCTGCGGAGACGTGTGCGGCGTGCGCGTGTGTTCCCGAAGTCCCGCGTGCCGCTCCTCTTTGCCTCTCGCAACCACACCACGCACTGCACGCATCAAGCATCAACAATCGATACAATCCACCCATTATCCTGCCGACTGTACCACTACTTCCTCACCACACTATTCTTTGCTGGTCGGTTGCCTACGAAACCATTCTTTTCGACTTCGCTCGCTTATCTTTTGCGCACGCCAGCCGCCGGCCGTTCCTTTTCAGTTGTTCCCAATGCAGATTGCGGCATAATCTTCACCTTTAGTACTGACTGTCACCGATTGAAAGCCAACCCCTTCCGCACCAATCAACATGGACGCGTCGAATGATGGCTCCGAGTCCGTCGACCAGTTCCTCGCCCGGATTGCCAGCCTGAGTTCAAAGCAGGGGCAAGAAGATGCCGAGCGATCAAAGAGAATGGAGGAGGAGATGTTGCAGGCTAGAAAGGAGAGACAGGCGAGAAGAGCAGGTATCTATCAACGGAGTCTCACACCACATGATGCAACGGAGATACTGATGATATGTAGAACGCGCTCGGTCTCTGTCCCCCTCGAAAACCGGCCCTACACCATCCTTGCGACTGGCTGGAGAGAGTGCTCCGAAGTCCACACATGGGATTGACCCTCCTATAACCCTTACGCCTCCTTCTCTCCAGCCTCGTACAATTGGTCGTTCCGACTCAATATCTCCAAGTCCCGAGCGAGCTGCAGCTTCTGGGCTAGATTTCACTCGACCTCTTCCTCCTCCACCTGCAAGCGATAAACCATCTTTGCCCAGCCCGTCTCTGAATGCCACTGTGCTCTCCAGAAGCGGGACTTTATCATGGCAACAACGGCCTTCATCGAGAGGAGTCGGCTCAAAACAACGGCCGCTATCCGTGGCATCCATCCCCGATTCAGCACTGGCTCTAGGCCCTGATCAGCCAAAGGACATCGACGACATGTCGAGGAAAGATATTGCTGCTTCGTTGGGCGCCAAAGACCCTTCCTGGTTCCGTCAGACTGCTGATCGTGGTATTGGTTCGGCTGCGTATCGTAAGAATGAGACAGATTCGGAGGCAGCTCCATCCTTCCCGAGTCGGGGCATGAGGCTCCCAGGCATGTCTAAGGATTCCAATACTTCAGAGAACCGCTCAAGGGATGATCCCGAAAAAGCGACTCCCCCCACGTCCCCTCCGAAATCATCTTCCCTCAATCAAGGACAATTGTCAAACCAGGAAGACCCGAAGCCAACGAGACCGCTCTCCACGGTGTCTTTGTCACCGTCAAAGCCTCCTGCTTTGGACTTGCCGAGTTTCAAGCCATTGGACTTGAACACTTCGTTCACAGCCGACACATCTGGTCTGGGAAGAACCTCGAGCATTTTGTCATCTGTGGGGCGCCCTCCTTCACCTACAAAGGGTTTGGGCGGGTTTGTTGAGAGCGCAATGATGAAAAGATCAGATAGTGTGAACAAAAGATGGAGCGTACAGGCAAATGCAGGCTTGAAGCGAGGTGACTCTGTTGCCACAGCTCGTCCAGCCCACGTTTCTGGGGCACCAGCTTTCACTCCTGGCCACAGCCGTGGCCCTTCCAGGGATGTCAGAGGTGTGCGAGAAGGCAATTCGTCCCCGCTATCAAGCTCCAGACCTGTTTCAAGCCATGGCACCGAACCCATTCCCCTTACCAAAGCCCGTCCGCAGAGCCGTCCAAATGACGACTCTGCAGCATGTTCAGAGGCTCAACCTGCGGATGGACAAGGTATCCCCGCTGATCTTGAAGCCGCCAAAATACAACATCAGAATCGCCCGACCACTCCACCGCCATCCGAAATGCTCTTGTCTCGCAGCCCATCAAAAACCATGGATCCTCGTCGCTGGAGTCCCACTAAAGCCAGTTGGCTCGAAAGTGCACTTAACAAACCAGATTCTCCGAGATTTACCTCGGCTAAACCTGAGACACCTGCATGGAAGCTCAACATGCAGCGTGCTAAACAAGAGCAGCAGCAGCAGCGATCATCCGAAGCCACTGAAAATGTGCCAGCGAAGCATGCAGTTGCGCCAAACCCCCTGATTTCGCCTTCGTTGGAGTCAACGACGCTCAATGAGCCGGCCTCTCACGAAGACACTTCCCGACAATCGGCAGACGAGGCAGAGAATTCAGCAAAGGAACTAGTACAAGGATCGTTAGTGCCAGGCGACATATGCACATCAGAGATCCAGCGGCCCAACATGGAGAAAAGGGATGAGAAACCGGCAGTTCCGTCTAAGAGAAATGTCACGCCTATTTCACAGAGCGCAAGCTTGAGCATTAAGTCTGAGGCTGCAACGGCACCATCAAACAAAAACAATGAATACTCAGTCGACGAATTGCAGGACGACACTTCTTCCGACTTGAAGCCACCGATGTTGAAGCCAAAACCGCAGACACCTCCAAAGACCGATTTTAGAGCCAGTTTGAAGTCACGGCAAGCAGCGCCCGCGAGCAATAGCGACGCAGAACCAGAGTTCAAAGCTGTCTTCGGGAAACTGAAGAGGACGCAAACGCAGAACTATGTCGCTCCCGACGTCCTGAAAGACAACATCACCAAAGGCAAGGCAGGGTTGAATGTCACGGGCGGACCACAGAAAACTAAACGGGTTGATGAATTCAAAGAAAGCATTTTGCAGAAGAAGGAAGCTATGAAAACTGGGAGTGGTTCGGTTGGAAAACGACCGGACGCACCTAGTCCTCTTGAGAAGCCGGCCCAGGCTGTCCCGGAAGCATTGGCAAGGCGCATGACACTCCATAAGACCGGTCCGTCCAGTGAAAAAGTCGAAGTCAAGAAACCGATCGATCTGCCTCCGAAGCCCGCTGTGTCAGCATCAAAGCCTCAAGCTGTTTCCGCAAAGCCAGCGCCAGAGAGGCAGAATGTCTCTGTACGTACGGAACAAGCACCGGTTTCAGCTGAGAGATTAGCTTCAGTCAAACCTGAGAAGTCTGAATCTTCCTCGACGACAGCTTTCCCCCTAAAATCAGCGCCTGGAACTCGCAGCGCCGACAGCCAACCAAGAGCAGACACCTCTTCAACCGAGGTCGCCCCTGTCATGGAGTCAGGGTTCAAAATGAGAGCGCCGGAGAACAGTAAACTTGCAGCTCGCCTTAATCCTGCACTTGCCGGCATCTTATCACGAAGTGGTAGCCCTAAACCTCCAGGCGACACGTCTTCTAACAGCGGAGGTGCGATACAAGTGCGAGATACTATCACGCAGTCACGGGAGAGTGCGAATGACAACAACTCGGAGCTCACTCACATGACAAAGGCTCGGGCTAAGGGCCCTAAGAGAAGAGCACCTAGGAGCGGCTCATCTCCGAAAGAGACCGCTGCAGCTAATATCCAAAAGCCTACATTGAGCTCTGTCGCCGGTGGCACCACCATTTCACAATCGATATCGTCACGACAACCAATTTCTGATACAAGCAGACCGTTACCCTTGCAAGTATTCGAATCGAAGTCGATCTCCAGCAAGCCCGCAGCAAACTTTGACGACAAGAGACCAGGTTTAGCCGTTGAAGACGCAGCATGTCAGTCAAGACCGGGGTTGGAGAAGGCCAAGCCCGCTAAAAAGATTGTCGACGAGTGCACTCCCGGATCAAGGCCTGTATTGGCAGAGATGAGTCCCAAACCAAAGCCAGTCGTGGCCAACAAGTCGGCAGAGTTAAGAAAAACTTCAAATCCTGGAATGTCATCCCATGTCGCAGACGAGCCACTTCCGGTCAAACCTAACAGATCTGCGGAGCTGAGAAAGACTTCAAATCCTGCATTGCCACCTAAGCCTGTACAGCAGCCGCCTCAAACTAAGCCCTCAACGCCGAAGAAGTTCGAAGTTCTGGCCGACCGTGCTCAAGCTGTATCGACCCCTCCCCAATCTGATAGTGTGCGGAAGAACACACCTCTATCGCCACCTTTTGCGGTGAATTCGCCTCTTACGCCCAACAAATTCAAGATCAATACACCTAAAGGGCCAAAACCCGACGTGGACAGTTCGGCAAAGATGTCCTCGTTCACTCCCTCTAAAGCCAATGGACTTGGCCTGCAGCTTACGTCTGCCTCAAAGAAACCAGCGGCTACGCCGGAACTAACACCGCCCCCAGAGCCGGAAGCTGCAACGACAAAATCAACAGCGCCTCTTAGGAGACCTCTGTCGCCCACGAAATCTACTCGCTCGATGAAACCCCGGTTTGAGAGCTTCTTTGGGGTATTGCCTCAAGCAAGAGAAAAGGTGGAATTTGATACACACGCTTTCTTGTCGTCTCAAAACAATGCGGGAGAAAAGTCAAAGACTCTCGGCAAACAGATTTGGGAAGTCTCTGGTGATGGGAAGAGAACAACCATGCCCCCCCAACAAGAACACATACTCTTCGAGGACTGTATGTATCTTTGCGTGCATTCAATGGAATCACCCAGCGGCTCAAAAAGTGCCGAAGTATATCTCTGGTCCGGGGATGAGGTCCCAGAAGCAGCTGTTGAGGATGCTCAACTATTCTGCCGAAAGGTTGCTCGCGACAACAACACTAAACTTGAGGTAGTAAAGCAAGGCAAAGAGAGTTCCGAGTTTTTCCAGGCTCTAGGCGGGATCGTCATAGTCCGGAAGAACAAGTCATCAGCTTTATACATGCTGTGCGGTAGACGACACCTTGGACACGTTGCATTCGACGAGGTTGATTTATCGGCTGATAGCCTGTCTTCTGGGCTACCGTTCTTGATATCCGCCAAGTTCGGGAAGCTCTATCTCTGGAAAGGAAATGGTAGCAATCCAGAAGATGTGGGGTGTGCGAGACTGATCGGCATGGATATGGGGCTTACGGGTGAGATTGAAGAAGTCTCGGAGGGAGAAGAGCCCGCTAGCTTCTGGGAAGCTTTCCCGTCACGGCCTACCAGCCAGCCACGCAACCAGACAGGCCAGCTTCACGGTCATGCACCCAGATTATACCGTGTTGAGCATGACAGACCGAAGTCGTCCGGCGGCTTCTGGGGCTTAAGGGCAGCATCACCCCCAAAACAACCCGCCAGAGCTTTAGTGGAAGAAATTGCCCCCTTCAGTCAGAAAGACCTTGACGCCAACCATGTCCACATCCTTGACACCTATGGAGAGCTCTATGTGTAAGTTCGGTCGTTTTCTACCTCTCGTTACGCGTTATGCTGACGTCTTCGGTGTTTGGCAGCCTCGTCGGTGGGTCAGCAAAGAAACCTGCCGAGTTCATGACGGCTGTACAGGTGGCGCAGGAAATTGCTGTCTTGTCTCCATCTGTTCAGGATAGACCTCTTTTACCTGCTTGTTATGTGGTGATGGGTGATCCTCCGCAGAGCATTAAATCGGTCTTCCGGAAATGGAGGCCTGAAAGACCGAATGGCCGGGACGAGCAAGTTTGTGTACGAGTGGAAGAAGTGATACAGGAACTAGAAATAACGTTGTGAACGAACGAAGGCGGATTGACGACCAGGATTTTTTGGAAAGGATTTGGGGACGATTATTCGGGATGGATTTTGGAGCATCTGAACCGCTAGGTTAGCGGATTGGGCTCACGGCATGCATGTAAATCTTGCAATCTGATGCGAGGAGTTCCGGCAGACTTCACATAAGGTGCTTCAAAAGAAGGTGGATGAACTGAGTTTCGTTTGGAGGAATGTGCTCTTGGTACGCCAAGTTGGCCCATCGGACTCGCAGCACACAGCCAGTCTCAAGGCTGCCGTGGAAAATGGTGTCGTCAAACTCCATCCAATCGGTGCCTGCTTATGTAATGAAGTTCGTCACGGAGAGTCTAGATCTCTCCCGAGGTTCCTTGGCATCATTTATTTCCTTCTGCCCGTTAATATCAAATCATCTCCAGTGTCCTCATTCCTCCCCCGTCACTGACTTCTCGGAAGTGTCCTTGCTGTCTTGTGCCGACCACCATGGATTGGGCGGCTTCGAATCTCCCTCAGACGAAGTCTAACACCTCTCCCCTCTCCAAAGGCCCCACCGCCAATCTCAACTTGGATGCCCAACTACAGCGCGAGCTGTCTCGGCTCGATGACTCCATCCCGTTCAACCCCAAAGGCCGGTATCTGCATCATACATGGGCACAGACGTTCTTCTCACGCCCGGAGCTGTATTTTCAGCCCTCTACGATCCCCGAGTTGCAGAAGGTGGTCACCCTTGCACGAAGATGTCGAAAGCGCATTTGCGTGACAGGATTCGGGCATTCGCCATCCGACCTCACGTGTACCTCGTCGTGGCTAGTCAACCTCGACAACCTCAATCAGGTCTTGGAGAAGAGGGTTGATGGTACCCCCGGCCTCTATCGCATCCAGGCTGGCATATCTCTGCATGATTTGAATGTTGAACTTGCCAAGGACGGCTATACCATGCCCAACTTGGGATCTATCGACGTTCAATCGGTCGCGGGAGTCATATCAACTGGAACGCACGGCTCAAGTCTCAGACACGGCTTGATCTCCGAATCCGTCACCTCCATGACCATTCTTCTTTCCAATTCTCAGCTAGTCACATGCTCGGTGACGAAAAATCCACAACTCTTCCGCGCAGGCCTTCTCTCGTTGGGCGCCTTGGGTATTATTGTCGAGATGACCATCCAAGCCGTCCCTGATTTCAAGATCTCCTGGTCTCAATCCCTTCACACCTTGACTTCTGTTCTTGATTCATGGGACACCGACCTCTGGACGAAGGACGAATTTACTCGTGTTTGGTGGCTACCTTATCTCAAACGTGCAGTGGTCTGGCGCGGCTCAAGAACTGACGCCCCCAGTCGCCCCCCGAACACAACTTTCTACGGAGGCATGTTCGGCTACTACGTATATCACAATTTGCTCTGGCTATCCAACACCTTCCCCCGAATTTTGCCATGGATAGAATGGTTCGTTTTCGGCATGCAATATGGCTTCAAACCGGGCAGCTTTGTCATGTCTGCGGTGCAACCTGCCCGCGAGGGGCTGCTCATGGACTGTCTCTATTCTCAGTTTGTGAACGAATGGGCCTTACCACTGGACAAGGGTCCTGAGGCGATCACTCGGCTCTCCGCGTGGATCAACCATGACGATGCCGCCGCGCGAATTCCCATCTCTAGTAAAGGAATCTGGGTGCATTGTCCCGTTGAAGTCCGTGTCACCCATACTGGTCAGGATGCCCCCAACCGTTCCCGTGTGAGGCCGTACCTTGACCCTACCGTCCCCGACGGCCCGACGCTTTATCTGAATGCGACTTTATACCGGCCGTACGGCCGCGACCCACCTTGTCATGTCGCCTACTACGAGGCTTTTGAATATCTCATGCGAGAGCTCGGCGGAAAGCCGCACTGGGCGAAGAATTTCTCAGATACGTCGGGTGGATATATCAACGAGGCATATGGCGATGATATGCGTGACTTCATGAAAATCAGGGATGAAAGTGATCCCGAGGGCATGTTTTTAGGGGAGTGGCACAAGAGAAATTTCCCTTTGAAGGCAACTGGAGGGAAGGACGCGCAACCAGGATTCAGGTTGATGGAGGAAGAAGCCCGCCGGACGAAGAAGGGGCTCGGCTGGGGATTTGGAGATGGTATTTTGTGGGAAGGAAGGCGGGCTGCGCCGGCGACAGCAGACGACGACAACGAGTTGAGAGACCTCGCGGCGGACATGGGACAAGACAAGAAGGTTGGAGATGGAGATGAGACTCCGAGCCCACCCGCGACCACGACGAGCGAGGAGTCGTTTGACTACATGGCCAAGGGAGAAGCAAGTGTTTATGGTGTGACAGCGGATGGAGAATAAACTCGAAGTCACGGTGCCGAAGAGCACGCTGTTGTTGGAGTAGTAGGAAGGACAGCTCATTTCTTTTCTCGGCCTCTCACATATCATATTGTCCGGAAGTCAGGCGACTCGACTTCGCTGCAATTTCTCAATTCATCGACACAGTAACTGCTTTGTCGAATTTCAATCCCTCCCCTCATTCTCAAGCTTGTATCAACCACTGCTGAGAAGCCACGTCTCCCCCTCCGTTTGAGGCTGAGGCTGCTTTCATTCTTCATGCACTTGGCGGCGAATGTGAAAAGAGAGCAACCTCGGTCCACCGGCTGATGAAGACTAGGGCCTTAATGGGATGCCTACGCCCTCCCCTCATTGTGGGGAGCAAGTGCGATATCTTCCCCAGAGAAATCTAGCACCAGCATCACACAGGCGGAATATCATGGTCGCCCAGAGTCAGATTCAAGTCTAACAGACTCCAAGAATTGCCAGGTCAGAGGTCATGTTGGCCGAATTCGCTGCGGGGTTCCGAATTCCGACCCCTGTTTCCCTATATGTAACCGAATTCGGCAACCACGAGGCTCCGCACAGTGGGCCAGTTCTTCTCATATTCCGCAGCATCTCCACCAGGGACTGGCCTAGTACGACATGTTCAGAAATTCATGCGGATCATGACCGCCGCTACCAGGCTTGTTGGCATTCATTGACCAGCATGGTTCGTTGGCTCTTTCTTCGGCTTCGTGGAATCTTAACAGGACTGGGCTAGGTCTTCAACCCCTTAAAATTCTCTCTCTTCATCAATCTATCAAAAAACACACCACTCTCTCCACACCATCGTCAAGTTCAATCCCGTCATGGCTTCTCAGAGCCTCAATCGTCTCGCCGGAAAAGTTGCCCTGATCACAGGAGGGGCGTCAGGAATAGGCCTGGCGGTAGCACAAACCTTCTTGACGGAAGGCGCCAAGGTGCTTGTGGTCGACTATTCTGCTGCGAACATTGAGTCGGCGCGCTCACTCCTCTCCTCGCAAGGGCTCGCGTCAGACATTGTTAAGTTTCACCAGGCCGATGCGAGTGATGAAGAGTCGGTGATCGCCTTTGTGGACAAGTGCGTCCAAGATTTTGGAAGTTTGGATATTGCAGTACTCAACGCCGGCATCGGGACTCAATTTTTCATCTCCGACTTGACTACTGCGGAATATGATCGTATGATGCGCATCAACGCTCGTGGTCGTAGGTGCTCTGTCTCGTTCTCTGGCCCTTCCACCCTGTTTCTTTTTTTTTTTTTGGCAAGCTTTGTCGAAGAGATGAGACTCACAATGGCCGCATGTATCCAGCATTCCTCGGAGTAAAATATTCCGCGCAGAAGATGAAGAGCTTGGGCGTGGGGGGTAGTATCATTTGCACAGCAAGCATTGCCAGTCTGGTGGCTCACCCCGGGGTGTGTGCCTACAGCATGGCCAAGTTTGCAGTTCGTGCTCTCATGATCACTGCGGCGCAGGAGTTCGCAAGGGACAAGATCAGAGTCAACGCAGTTTCACCCGGCTATGTACGGACATCTATGATCAATGTCTTTGAGGACCTTGAAGCCCGCCTTGAAGCTACTCCAGCCGGTAAGTCTCAGTGTTTCCCAGCTGCTCCCCGTTGTCCGCCGTTGCCGGACCATGCATGAAATGCGACTGCGCAGAACTTTGATTAACCCCACTGCAGGAAGGGCGGCGGAACCCATGGAAGTTGCGAAGGTGTTCTTGTTCCTAGCCAGCGACGAGGCGTCAATGGTGTCGGGAAGCAACTACCGTGTTGATGGAGGGTGGGTCAACCATTAGCATACGGAAGAGAGTGCTTCAAATACATAGAGAGGCAGTGATGCGAACAGACACAGTATTTTAGTCTGTACCAGCCAGCTTATTGGAGCTCTCGCGTCAGGATTCCCATGTAGAACCGAGATGTCGAGGAGTGCAAATGAGCCGCGTTTTGGAGCCGAAAGGCTCGTATACCTCTCGCTAACTGCCCCAGTCCCAAACCCCGCTCCTTAGCTCAGCCTGGTGTAGCCGAATGCATGAAGATTTCGACTAGTATTTGCCCCCTGCTTTTCTAGAGAGCGTTCACCTCCCTGTGCGAGGCATCTGCATAGCGACAATCACCTTTGGCTAGCATGGGTGACCATGATCATGCCAGAACTCGGATCATGAACCAGACAACCATGACCATGGCAGAGTTGCACCCCTCTGGGCATGTATCCATGACGGTAGAAGCGCCTCCGACCTATTTGAATCGCGCGATACGAGGGAAACGAACTAGATATGCCCCAAAGGCCTGGTACGTCCGCAGAGACTCTTGCTATTGTCTCTTGATTGCTGATGGTGCCTACCCGTACGACAGTGAAGAATGCAAGAGGCGCAAGGTCAAATGCGACGGGAAATCTCCATGTCACCAATGTACTCGGTCTTACTTCCGCTGCAATTATGCCGAACGAACTAGGTCCGGCCGACCCTCTTCGTGAGTCCATCATTCGACCGACGCTATTCTTCGTTGCTGAGATGACGGGGGCAGAGATTTAAACCTGCTGAAACGCAGGCTTGAAATGCTGCAAGAACAGGTCTCTGCTCTAGCATCCCAGAGGCAGAATGAAGAGGCAAGAGGGGTGAAGGAGAACCCGCAACGCCATGCCTTCATCGCTGATTGCGACTCGAGATGCCCGTCTCACATGTCAAATCCAACTCCGTCACAGGCTGACAGCCAACGTACCATGTGGTCAACCGCCTCGAACTATCCACCATGTAGTGGGCACCCCAGCTCGTCGTCCTTCCGTGCGACTGCCGCGACATCAATCTCGAGAATAGGGGTTCATTCTACGTCGAATCAACCCGATACTGTTTCCGTCAGATGTCCGGCCTTTGGCCCAGCAGATGTTCCACGCAGCCCGCTGCTTAGGATCTCAGAGGACGAGACATTACGCTTGATAGGTGTTTATGAAGCCGAATGTGGATTGCTTTATCCGTTCCTGGACCTGACAGCCGTTCGTCAACTGGCTCACAGTCTCTTATCACCGGCGCATGGTGGTATTTCGTCAACGCCTCGGTCTGAGCGCACTTCTAGGGAAAACGTTACCCTAGAGATGATTGTTGCTATTGCGTTGGTGATAGAAGGAAGGGGCCAGACTACCTCCAGTACCAGCATGCTGGACGATGTCGAAGCGGAAATGGATTTTCGCCCCTGTGGAGCGTCCATCGATGTCCGTTTTCTCGAAACTTTGACCCTTATGGTGAGGAGCGATACCCCAACAGCTGAGAAAAAAGAAGCTGAGAGACTTCTCACAGAGCATATATCAGTTTTATCGTGACGAAGAGATGCTGGCGTGGCGAACCATAGGTCTAGCGGCCAGAGCTGCCCTCGAAATGGGACTGCACCTTCGGGAGCCGCCCTTTGAATGTGGAAAAGAACGAGATCGCACGAATAGGCTCTTCTGGTGCATCTATGCTCTGGACAGACGGTGGAGCCTCGGTACAGGGCTCCCTTTCGCTTTGCACGAGGAGGATATCGACCCCAGCCTTCCAGAACCCGTGAGTTTATGCTTGGGCCCTCGGGGGGCCTCCTTTCTGTCTGATTGTACCGAACTGACGCAGAACACAGCGTGACTCCCCTCCTCATTTGTTCACGAGCATGATAGCTTGTTCACGGATTGGATCCAAGATCTGGAAAGCTTCATTGAACCTCGACCACTTTTTGCAACCGGCCAAAAGAGAAGATACCGCGTTTCTCGAGTATCAGGTCCGGCAATGGCATGACTCACTATCCCCTGAACTTCGATTCAATCCTGACGACGACCTTGTGATTGAGAGTCTCTCGCCGGCCATGAACAGACACAGAATTCTGTTTCATCTTCGGATGAACCATATGCGCATGCTGATCCATAGGAGGTCACTTCTGACGCCGAATACGATCACAGCGGACACAACACGGGAGGGTGCCCAGCTTGCTGTCGATCTGGCCAGAGAGAGTATATTGTTGCTCGACAAGCTGCACCGCGTTTCGGCCCTGTACTCTGCGCATCAGACCTGTTTCAACTACTTTCTGTACTCAGCCCTGACTTTGATCTTCCTGGCCGTGTGCCACGCCAAGGCACGATTCTACGAGTATTGCCGCCGGGAATTTCTCCTGGCTCTGGACCTCATTGGCGGAGTTTCGGCCAGATCGCACTTGGCCAGGAAGTTGTGGAAGACGATCAAACACCTGAAGGTCGTGGGTCCTAAACTGGGGATTCTGGCGTATATGGATACAGCGGATGGAGAGGGCGGTGGCCCCGGTGGAAATGGCCAAACCTATGTTTCCCCGCGCGATGAGCACCAGGTTTTCGCCGGACATGGACAACAAGTGTACGGCCATGCTGCACCGTCTGTTCGGATAGATTTCGGGACTCAGACTCGGCAGGCAGATGGTTTGCAAGTTCCAATGTCAAATGGTTGCCCCAGTCTCTTCATGCATGAGTGTGCTGTCGATGGAGGTCAATTGAGCTCCGAGCTCTCGGGCCTCTTCCAAGCGATCGAGCCCAGGTACGATCCGATGCCGTTGCAGCTTATGGGCCAGTACCAGCGGACGGCAGAACCCGCACGGGCAGGGACAGCAGAGGATTTATCCAGGAGTCTGTGGAACTATTTCTGATACAGAGGCTCGAGCTTATTGTATGGGCCGGGGCAAGACAAGTACCAATGATCAACCTTGACACCACCACGTCAAAACTTTAGAATGGATGGAAACCACTGAATCCGCCGTCCTTACTCTCGTTGAGCCTGTGGATGAACATGCCCAGACCACCCAAGAAAACCAGGACAGAACGAGTCTTGCCCTCGACGTTGGCTCCGTAAAAGTACGAATCAGACGTTTTGAACAACATCTTGTCGCTGACGAAGTTGCACAGCTTGCCCCATTCATCCACGCCTTCCTGAGTTGTCTCAATCACCTTGCCTGCCTGAGGTTTTTGATGAGGAGACGGCCCAGTAGCAGCATCTTGCTGCTGCCTTTTTGAGTGCTCCTCGGCCCGTTTGATAGCGTTGGTGATGAATTCGACGTGCGCCTCCAGCATGGGCGGAACATTGGCAAGAGGAGACTGCGGGCCGAGAATCATGAAAAGATTCGGAAATTGAGCCACAGCGACGCCCATGTTGGTGACTACTCCCCCTTGCTGCTTCCAGTACTCATCCAGCGTGAGTCCGTTACGGCCCTCGAAGCGTATTCTCCTGTAGGCACCATCGAACGCGTTGAAACCGGTGGCGCAGATGATGACGTCCAGGTCGTAGACGGTGCCGTCTGACAGCCTGATCCCGCCGCTGGTGAACTCTGCGATGGGGTTGGTGCGGATGTCGACAATGTCCACGTTCTCGCGGTTGAACTGCTCGTAGTAGCCCGTGTCGCACAGCGGGCGACGCGCGTACAGCTCGGTGGGCATCAACTTGCGCCTCTTCTCCGGATCGTGCACGATCTGCGCGATTTTGCCCTTGATGAAGTCGCACGCCGTCCGGTTGGCCGTCTCGTCAAAGGTGATGTCGTTGAAGGTCCCGAGGAGGAAGTTCAAGCCGCCGCCTTTGTCCCATGCGGCCTGATAGACCCGCTCCCTCTCTTGTTCGGAGACGCTCATGGCGGCGACCTTGGCCTCTTCGAAACCCATTCCTCCGATACTGTGTCTGACGTTGTGCCATATTTCGTCGTACGTCGAGTTGATGGCGTCGCGCTCTTCCTTGGTCACAGCCCGTCTCCCGGCAGGCACGGTATACTGAGGATGCCTCTGGAAGCAGAGAAGTGATCCCGCCCTCTTCGCTATATCGGTGATCACCTGGACGCCCGTCGAGCCATTTCCAATGACGCCAACTCTCTGGTTGCTAAAGTCGTAAGACTCTGGCCATCGTGCTGTATGGTACAGTTCCCCTTTATACGTCTCCCTACCGGGAATGCTCGGCCAGTTCTCCGCACTGAGGAGGCCAATGGCTGTAATCAGGTAGCGAGCCCGGAAAGCGCCGCCATTGTCGGTTTCGATCAGCCAAATCCCATCTTCTTCGCACCACCTCGCGGACAGAACCTCGGTGTTGAATTGCATGTGTTCGCGTAAACGATGACGCTCGACGATATGCTCCAGGTAGGTGAGAATGTCCTTCGCATCCAGGTAATTGTCTTTCCAAGCATATTGCTGGAGGTCTTCTTTGTCCCAAGAGTACCGATACACGTAGGACGGGGTGTCACTCATAGCTCCTGGATAGCGATTCCAATGCCATGTCCCTCCTAATCCGTGGGCTTTCTCGAGCACCCTGACCGACAAGCCTAGCTTCAACAGTGAATAAAGCTGGTAAATGCCCCCAAAGCCTGCTCCGATGATCACAGCATCATAGAAAGGGCTTTCCACGGTAGTAGCAATCATTGTGGCACCGTTGAAATGAGAGGAGACCTACTATACCCAAACCAAGAACCGGGAGCAAAGTGGAGTGGTATGTTTTCATGGACACCAAAAACTGCCCGCTGAAGGACTTATAACACGCCGACCGGGCTCGACTCTTCACATTCCCCATGCTTTGGAGGCTCCAGTACTTGTACCTCACTTGGCAATGCGGAACAAAGCAGAATGCTTGCCCCTTCGTCCACGTCCAAGGAGCATCGCAAGTCAAGGTTCGGTCCACATTATTTCGGTGTTTCGGAATCTCAAGTTCCGAAAATGGAAGGCAATCACATCTCCAAAGTGAGAAATACTGCGGATCGGTTCCGCAGATAGCCAAGGATCTGAAGTGCCTGAGGACCTGGGGACTCCGTTAAACGTGCTAGAGAAATGACCGTGACAGCGAAACCGTAACCAACGTAATGGCTGCAGAGGGCTCAACAATAACAGAGCGGCCGCAGTATCAAGATTCAATTATGGCTTAAGGTGAGGATGAATGACAGGGTATCGTTATTGTTAAAGGCAAACAGCATACTAATTGTCAATGAAGGTCACCCTCAATCCAATGGTGGATCACCATCACCACTGTACTCTTGTCAGACCGTGGGTCCGCAACACAGCTCTAACAAGGATCCAACCTCCTCTCGGATAGGGATATCGAATACCCGTGGCAGCTCAGACAGTCTCAACATGCTTAGAAGTCATCTTCTCGTTCACCACTTCCACGTCGTCCACGTTCACGTCCACCATTTGCTCCGGTTGATAATATCTCGGCGCAGTCATTGCCTCCTTGGCGCTTTCATACACCCTGACAGTGAATGGGTTCGTCTTCTCGTCTGGGTCCGCACTTTCTGCCTGGTCTGCATCGATGAGAATCCAGCCAGGCTCTGCCCTCTCAAGTCGTGCTCGTACGGTAGCATTCAATGCCACAAACCTTATCTCGAGTGAATCACCACCATACTTTCTAGCCTCGTTGAAAAGCTCTCGCAGTTTCAAGTTGGCCGTGGTGTCAAAGTGATTCACTTTGGTGAAGTCGAGGATGAGGAGTCGAATGGGAGGAAGGACGGAACTGCTTCCCGCGCCGACGGCTTTTCGGAGTTTGGCCACTCTCTTCTCACCTACAACGGACCATGTCCTCTCGGCTTCTTCACTCTCAGGCGAAAGAAACGAAGGCGAGTGATGTGTCTTGATCGTATCCAAAATCGCGGTCTTGAATCGGTGGGCGTTCGGGAAGAAGATTGACTCGGCGAACACGAAAATTTCAGTATCGGCAGGCACATTGTCGGGCATGTCTCTTGCGGCATCGATCGATCTTACAAGAGGCGAGGCGGACGCCGAATTGACATTCGGGACACGCTTGAATGCTTGTCGAATCAATGAGACGGCAATGGACCATCCCACGCCGGTTCCAATTCCGACTTCAGATGATTTGAACAACGTCAGCCAGAATGCCAGCATTGCAGCAACAAAGTCGGTGAAAGAGGTGCGCCAGTAGTAGTAATAGGTGCGCCAGCTTCCAATCAACGGCCAGATGGCGGTGATGACAATGGCGGAAAGAACAGCTTTCGGGATCCAGTAAAGCGCCCCGGTCAGTTCGTAGATGGTGATCAAGACGACAGCGGTGGTGATGGTGCCACAGAGAGGGGAGCGCACTTTGCACCCCGAATTGACAGATGTTCGTGACATGGCGCCACCAACACCCATGGCCATGAAGAAACTGTTGCCCATGTTGACGACACCAAGGTAGCAGAGTTCCTGGGAGATATCAGGTAAGTAGTTATTGCGAATTCCAAATGCTCGTCCAATGGCCACGTGTTCGAGCGCGGCGGCCACGAAGGGAGCAATGCTCCGGCCAATGGTTTTGGAAAATAGTTTTGAATCGACAACGCTCCCTTGGAGACCATCGGCCTTGACCTTGGCAACGGCGAAGAGATGGTCGTCGCTGGCTCGATTGTGATTGACAGCGTAGCTGATGCCAGTGTACAACAGGACGCAAATGAAGGCTCGACTGATTGAGAGGTAGAATGCGATGCGGCTCTTGTTCCCCCATTTCTTGCCGACTTGGTCCAGGGACACCAGGATAACCATGGCGGAGAAGCCGATCGCGCACGTGATCCCTCCCGCCTGCGGGAGCTGAGAGAAGACATAGTTGATCTGTTGAGCCGTGCCGTCGCCGCCACCAGGCTCACCGAGCAACGAGGCCACCTGTCCCAACCCAATGACAATGGCCGCAGCGGAGATGAAGCCATTGAGAACAGGTGTGGAAACAAAATCAAGGAGGAAGCCCAGTTTCAAGAATCCAAGGGCCATGCCATAGACACCCATGCCCAAAGACACCGCGGAGGCAATTTGCTGGGGAGTATAACCATCCTTGACAAGATCTTTGATGATGTCCGCGGTGAGCAAACCGATGAGCGAAGTGGGACCCGTGGAGAGATCTGAAAGACGTCAGATCTTCCATGTTTCGTGAGATATTCATTACCTTTGGAGGTGCCCATGAAGGTGTACAGGATGCCTGGCAGCCAGCTGGCCATCAGACCATACTGCACGGGGATTGTGGCAATCTTGGCATATGCCAGTCCCTGAGGGATCAGCATGATGCCCAGTGTAAGGCCTGCAATGAAGTCGTTGACGAGCCATCGAGGATTGTATCGAGGCAGCCAACTGGCAATGGGCACTTTGTCAAGAACATAGGTGGCCGCCGCCGAGGGGAATGCACGGGCGCCTTGTACACCATATCGCCGTGCATTATGCCAGTTGACATCGGTCTCAAGAGAGTGTTTGACGCTTTTGAAGAACTTCATGATGGATTGTTCGCATTGGAAGCTCTTGGGCTTAGCAGTTGGGAAGACAGGCCGTATCGAGGTGGCAACTCCGACCTGACTATATAGGTAGACACGGCGGCTACATGCCAAGACGGATACCTGATGTTGAAATAAGCGGTTAAGGTTTTAGGGTTCTGGATGTAGACGTGGGGGAGGGGAGAGACATCCACTCACTCCGCGCCGGGGTGCATTAGCCTCGTCTGTTCTACGGAGTACTTGCCACAGATGTCTATCAAGCCATGGGTGTTGATAGACTACCGGCTGCCTCTGGCATGTGGCCATTGAAAGTGAGTCGGTCTACCGTTTACAAAGCGGGGTGCCACGATTTCCAAGAAACCAATTCCACCAACGAGATGCCATTTTGTCGATCAAGCTGAATCCTGATGTCAAAGCCACCATCTCCACATCCGGCATTCGACCTTCCGCTTAAACGTTATTGCGGAAGCCCTTGAAACGCGTACTATTTACCAGTAAGTTTACGAGACGCAGAGACACGGGGTCTCAAGTGACAAGTGGTAAGCTCCCCGTGGCTCGAAGAAAGAACACCCACGGCTGTTGTCATTTCAAATTGTGACATCTCCGCCAGAATGATCTTCCGGGTGATATATTGGATCAAGCTGAAGTGGATGGAGGGAGAGGATGGGAAATAGAATAGGCGGCTTGTAGACCCCTAAGTGGCTTGTCCAGACCGTAGCCAGGTGCTCGAAACCATGCTTAGGATTCTGGATCACATATAGCACGTAAGAGTGGTGGACAAAAATCAAGATAGAAGACGCATCGGGGCAAGCCGAATTCGAAAATATGTGACCCAGTCTAACTCAAAACACACGCCGCATCCAATGTGGCCAAGCAGAGCTCAATAACAGCCAAGTGATCGCTATATCCAATGTAGCTAACGGCATCGATACTAGGGGACAGAGGACCTCTATTTCCAAGGTAAACGGAATACTTGTTACCGACGAAAGTCACCACGGTTCTAACGGCGAAGCCCTTGGACCACGCCACTTCTGTTTCAATTCGGCTTGGAGGCTAACGAAGCTCAATACTTGTGCTATCTGCTTGGACAGTCTTTCATACGGTTGGGAAACATCACCCATGCCGGTGCCATCCTCCCGGATTTCCCACATCATACCACACTCACACAGTCTTAGCTTCTTCCCTCGAAATACTCGCAGCCCTCTCCGCTTCTTGCGCGCGCCTTTGCTCTCGGATGTCCCTGACGATGCCCCTCTCGAACGTGTACAACGGCTTCAACTCAGCGGACTTCTGCCAGAAGATATAGCGTTTGATGAACCACGGTAACCATGTGCCTGTCTGGTAAGACATGAATCTGCGCGTCGGGACGGCGAAGATGTAGTCGAGTTCTTCGAGGGTGCGTTGCTATGGAGCATTTTGGTCAGCAAATCTCTGGAAAAATGAAAAGATATGATAGCTTACCTTCGTCTCAGGAACCCAGAAGAAGATCATGATCAGAGCCAGCATATTCAAGCCGGCAAAGAAGCCGAACGCGCCCGTGGCGCCAAAACTGCTCAGGATCTTTGGAAATGTCAAGCCCAAGACCGCGGCCCAGAATAGACAGGTGGCAACCGCCCATCCCATGCCGACCTCACGGTGAGAGAGAGGGAAAACCTCGGCCGAGTACGTGAATGGCACTGGACCTTCGCCAGGTGAGTAGAAAGCAGCGAAGAGGTACACGAAGAGTGCGATGACGCCCAGATGAGCACTGCTCGATCGCGGAATGTAGAAGGCAAACCCTGCGGCAAGGAGCGTCCAGGCCATGTTCGGGAACGTGAACAACAACAGAGCACGTCGACCGAAGGTGTCAATCGTGAGAAATGCTGGAATGGCGAAGAGGAAGTTGACCGCTCCAAAGCCGAATGAACCCAACAGCGCCTCGAAGTCAGACGCTCCACCCTCACGGAAGATGGTCGACGAGTAGAATGCCATGATGTTGATGCCACACATTTGTTGTGCGATCATGACTGTGAAGGAAGCCAAGGTAGCGCGACGGACGCGAGGCATGGTGAACAGCTGCATGAATCGTGAGACGTATGTAGACTCGCCGACAATGTCGTGCTCAATCTCGATCTGTGTACTGATATAATATAAATCTCTTGCGGCGAGGAGAGGATGATTCCGAAGCTTGAGTAGAGATTGATATGCTTTACCAGGTTTACCGTGTTTGATATACCATCTCGGACTCTCTCTATTCGGGTGAGGCGTTAGATTCGGAATCATTGAACACATCCAAAGACACCAAGTGGTGACAGAGTTCGGAAACTCCCAATGAAGCCATCAAAAAGACTCGGGGCTCAGACTTACGGGCAGAGAAACACCATGGCAGCAAGAGGAATGGCAGGAATGAAGGCTGAGCCGAGCTGAAGACGCCAGCCAATGTCGCCGGCATTCCAAACAGCCAAGTTAAAGGCGGTGCCCAGAAATATTCCAAAAGCGGTCCAAAATTGCCAGGTCATCACAAGGGCGCTACAAGCAGATGTCAGCTAACGCGGCGTTGACGGTCTAAGCAACAGGGAGCTCACCCTCGAATTGCGGCCGGCGAGTTTTCAGCGGCGAATACCGGGGTGGTGGCGCCTTTCAGACCCATGCCGATGCCCATTAAAACACGTGTGGCAAGCAGCTGTTCCCAGGTTTTGCAAAACGCACCACCAATGGGCGTTGCAATCAGAAAGATAGCAGAGGTGAAGATGGTGCCTCGTCGGCCTAAGTAGAAGTTGCAAGGATCAGAGAGCCAGCAGCCTAGGAAGGCACTGCCTATGTAAGGTGCCGAATTGACAAGCCCAATGATCCAGAAGTCTCTCTCGTAGCCGGGCTGGCCCTCTGGTGTATCAAGACCAAAGGCTTCCGGGAACGATAGATTGGCCCCGTTAGTTCCAGTCTGGTCCCAGCCTTGGACTGCGGCACCGATAGAACAGACAATGACGGTCATGTAGAGCTTCCAAGGATGTTTCCATTTTCTCGAAACCTCCGTGCGGAGAGCGTCCTTCTCTTCTTCACTAAGGAATGTAAAACTCTCAAAGTGACCAGGGTTCTGCGCGACTAAGGCGCCCTTCTTAATCAGCTCGATTTCAGAAGCCAGACCGGCACGGTTTGCAAAATCTCCAACCTGTAGGTAGGGCATTAATTAATGCTTCCTACTGAACATTGCCAGTGAACGAGCTTCCTCACCTCGGCCAACAACTCTTCCCGAGGGATATCAGCGAGAGGATTGGAGATCCTGTTCAAGCTTAGCCGGAGTATACGAAGACCGAAAGCGCGGCGTACTTCGCATCTAAGTTCTTGCCTCTGTTGAGATCCGCAATAGACGAGCGCCGGCGCTCTGGACCTAGAGACTTTTCATGGTGGTTCGCGATGTGCCTGTCGTCGAAGCTGCCGGTGCCCCTAGCGTCCGACATATTGGAGTGTTTAAGGTCCGTCACTATGACGGTCAGTATAACTCAGATGCCTTGGAAAGAGGAAATCAGAAGAAGAATCGCTGGATCCCGTCTTTCTCATATACACTGATCATCCTGTTCAGTTGTGGGGAACCCGCCCGCTGATCAAGTCCACAGTAAGGCGTACAGGCCATGGTGACATCGTCCCATAGATGACAGAGGGTTTGCAAGATGAAGACCCCCGATGCAACTGCCTTTCCGATCATCCATTGGCAGGTATTGGGCTTCTGGAAGCGATCGCAAGCATAGCGGGCGCCACTTCACCTGTAGGCAAAGCCCTTGGCAGCGGAGAAATCTCCACCTCACCAAGGAAAAAAGCGTGCGGGTTGAAATTGGCAGATGTCATTTGGTGTTGCCTAGAAGTATGTCTAAGTGACCTTGGTGTGCTTGTTTCCCTGAAACCGACTAATGAAAGTTTACATAGGCCTGGGCTCCTGGACTCCTAGTCGTCTTATACACAACTGAGGGTGAATATTCAGTATGCGGCTTCGGAAGAGCCTGGCTTCTAGACTAGCTTCTAGAAATGAGATGAGCATCTCAACTATCAAGGATGATACAACCGGTAGACACTTGTACAGTGGACTGGGAGCCACCGCCAAAACTTTGACCAAAGATTGGATAGGCGGGGAGTGGTTGAGTGGAGGAAAAAAAGACGGATTACCGCCAAGATGTAACAGCGGGAATGGACTGCCAAGGCGCTCGGTGGATGTCCAAGGGCGGAGATCATCCTTGGCCTGCTCAGCGGGATCTAGAGATTCGCCCTCCGGGATATCAAAGCCGACGTCAGCCCTTTTTCTGGAGAGGCTACGTCATCTTCGACATGAAGGGACAGGAGGAGGGTGGAGAATGCTTGTTATTGCCGCGAAGATGTAGAGTAGCGCTGGAAGGTCCCCCGAATCTGGACTGCAGAATGCGCTGGTTAGCGTAGGCGACGTAGATGGGGAGTTGGATTGATCAATGGCAGAAAAATAGACCAAAGCCTCAGCATCCAAGTGAGCAGAAAGTTAGATTGCTCTTTGATGTTGTCGAGGTTGAAGGTGCCGACGTGCAGGTGCAGCCCGTCGTCTGAAGGACGGAAAAGGGTGCACCAAGCCCATGATGACTGCACATGTACAGGGTATGGCACTCGACATAGGCTCTAGCGACGCTACCCCAACAATGGATAGACGAAGGAGTCGGCTCGTTAAGCTGAGTTAGGGGAATGAAACGCAGGTTGAGAAGAAGTGCCCTATTCAAGTATGTCATATTGAGCAAGTTTCAGTAGGCAACTTGGCTGAGAAAGGCTATGAGACAAGGAGCATGTGTGCTGTAGCTGGCGCCATCAAAGAAGACTGCAGTAGGACTCCTACACATCTCGACATACCAATGTGCAAGTGCTTCCCAATCATCAAGGTCTGATCCCTTCGATCTCTCAGCCTCCACTCAGAGGATAGAACCAATACCTCCAATGCCTAGTTCAATACACCACAAGATGAAACTTTGAGCCCCATGCCTTTCGTTGGCCGCAATAGGATCCATACCACACCTTCGTGCCACCTTCAATCGTACATTTTCGCTACGTCTAGCACGCCATTGGTTCCCGATCTAGCCTCAGTCAGAGAACCCTTTCACTCGTCTTCCTCATCTAATTCACCCCTCTTGCTATCTTCTCTTAGATCTCAAACTTCGGCAAAGGTGATACCGTTCGCATCCCAGACGAGCACCTACGCAAAGGTGGGCAGTGAACCAGACGTGAAAGCGAAAGATGACTCATTCCTTTTTGGACAACCGTATAACAGCCGCTGTGCCTCATTGGATTACATTCCGTGCAGGTGCATGCGATAGGGGATGTTGGGTTTATCATTCTGCATGGTATCTCGACCGTGTTGTTTTTCTGCTCGATGGTCTTTTTTGTCTTTTCGATGGTCTCCTGACCCAAAAAGTCATCCTTGCCTAGCGCCGCAAGGAGAATATCGGTCTCGTTCGACGGGACATCGCCATTGACCACGTCCATGACATATGTGAGTTCTGGCATTGCCACTAAGCGCTCCTCATCATCTTCGGCATCATCGTAGTACTGTCCAAACTGGATAAGCTCTACCCAAGGGTAGGGCTCAAGTTCTGATTGTTCCGGCCAACGGTGGAAACAGTACGGAGTCCATCAGACGGCCGAGAGGCAAAAAATCCGGTCTCTTCAATCCATTGGCATGGCTCCGGAAGAAAGGGCTCCGCTCGGGGGCTTAATGGCTGCGTAGAAGAGCCTAAATTTTTCACGAACCTCTCTTTGAACGTCTGTACAAACCTTTAAAAAAGCAAAAGGATTCGAAGATTTGGATTCGAGGGCTGTGATATCACCTGTCCCGTTTATGAAGCGTCGTTCGCGTTCGATTTTGCTGAGGACAAATTCATCAATCTTGAGCCGAATGTCTGCTAGAAGTGTAGAGAATGTGACCGGATTGTCTGTGGACGTCTCTTCGCGACCTGAAGGCGATACAGGTGCCATGATGCCAATATGAGAGTTTGCAGTTTGGGAATCTGGTGAGTTGAACAGAGGAGTTGCCAAGAGCTCACAAAGTAGTGGGATGAGGCGAGAAGAAAAGATAACTTAAGAGGTTGAAGGCAAGGGAAGAGACAGGAACACGCGTGACAATAACATGGGTCTTCACTACGAGGCCCCTTTCACTTCACCGACAGGGTAGGAATGGACCGGAATCAACAAGGACTTATACTTGAAACTGACCGTAGGTGTTTTGCATAAAGTATATATACTGAGAGATGATGGAGATCTCAACCTTGGAGAGGTCGAGGACAAAATCTTCACAAGTCTCTGAATAAACGATGACGCTCGAGTAGTCAAGTGCAAACGCACAGATATCCCAGGTCGTGTGACATAATCACAGAATTTCCATTCTAAACAATTATCATTTGATTTGATTTCACCTGTCACATTGCTAGACACCCGTTATTACGGCTAGCTGCCTAGCAACACTTCATCCCTATACCGAGCGCATGGTAATCTGCATAGTGGGGATCTCTGAGACATAAAGGACAGCCTCTTTCGCCGTTTTCGCCAGCTGACTCCGCATGAATTTCAGATCCGGATGTTGATCAACCGTTAACGAGTTCTGTGTTTCGTCCTGATGCTTCCCCGCATCCTCCGTCTACACACGACTGCGCCGGTACCATGGGCGGCGTACGTATCTGGCAGCCTTGGTAAGCACATACTGACTCCTATGAATTCTTGTGGTCAATCTTACGCTCCGTCAGCGGGAGCGGCCGCAACAGTCTTGCGCCTCTCTCGATGAACGAACCAGATGCCCACCAAGGCGCTGAAGATCCAGAAAATCGCAGATAAGAATGAGAACGCCTCAGCAGACCTATAGCGACCGCAGAATCCGTGGAAGCTGATTTGATTCCAGTCGAAGGTGTCTCCATCGCAGCTGGTGCCATTCGCCCATTCGACGAGGAGCCCAAAAGAGGCGAACCAGGCAAACGACAGGATGATATCCATAGGCCCTGTTTGAAGAGCAACCGGTTATTAGTGTGTATTCCCTTATGCGCCACATTATGCTGTCTGGGGCTCACAGTGAAAGAAGCCGCCTGCGAATGGGAGCAGCCAGAGTAGACCAAGAAGAAGAGAGATTCCAGCCAGAATTTCGATGTAGATGAAACGCGCAAGGGGCCAACCATTGCCGTGGCGGTAGTCATCCAGGTAGGAGCCGACGATGCCCGCAACGATCTGAGCACAGTTAGAGAATGATGGCGAGATGGGAGGAAGCTGCACTTACACCAGCGAAAGCGAGCTCGCAAACACGCAGACCCATAGACACGACTCTGGACACGACAGGCATTTTGACGATGGGTTGATGGTTTCCTGGAGAGGGAGAGAGAAGAGACACCACAAGATGAAAAGATACTATCCTGAGATACAGACAAGGTCAGAGGAGAAATGCCTACCAGTTGAGGGAGAAGCGGCACCTTAAGAATGAAGAGTGGTTCGTGAAACTAGGGTGCGAAGTGGTAACAAGGAGACACAGAGATTCCCCATTTGCCAGCCACCGTTGCTGCCGTCATCGTAGACCGGCACGGTATTCGTTGCACAGAACAGCCATCCATGCCTTGCCTTGATTTTGGGCCACGCCACATTGTGTGCTGTCCGTCCCCAGAGTCCAAGACCCTGGCGCGTGACATGAAACGCGTTGAGAAGACCTGACAAGACGTCATTGGGAAGTTGGGAAAGGAAAACATGCTACCAAAACCGGGCAGAAGGCTTGAGGCTCACCAATCCCAACCGCCATGGGGGAGATGATCACGGATAGGATCTGACAAACTGGCAAGGCTGAATGTGGTGAAGGAAGCTTTTAGAGAGAGCAAAAACTGGTAAGCGAGCAGCCGGCGGGTGGAAATCAAGTCCATTGCAGGTCGAGATGTCGGTTTGTCACGAGGTGCATGACGTAATAAGAAGCACGAGGCTCTCGTTCTCAGCCTCGTCTCAGTCATGGTTCCCATCTTGGCATCTTGCCACCTGCACCTCAATGTGCCTGTTGAGACTGACCAGATGTGCTGGATAATGGATAGCCCTTAGTATTCCCGCTCGGCACTCAATTCATTCTGATCAACCCGAAAAAGAGAATCTCCCGACCACCCCACCGACACCCTTACCTTCCTCCTAACACAAACACAAGGTTGCTCTCGATCAACGCCTGCCCTATTTCTCATCCCTCATCCTTCCGACTCCTCCGCTCGCATCTCTCGCTTTTGTCCAATGTGTGTTCAGTCCAACGCCCTCGCCTTCTCCTTCACCTCGTTCCCAAAGTCAAAGGTCCCGCCAAACAAGATCTGCCTGCTCGTATTCAGAATGATATCCGTGATCATGACCGTACGTCCAATCGCATCCCTCCATTTTTCGCCGAAGCCGCCCACGTTCATGCGTGGGTACATATCATCGCTCATCAAGTCTGGATTCTCTTGCACTTCCTCCGCCTGCGAAATTGCCAGCGCCGGTGATATCTTCTCTGCATCTGGCGGAAGGATAGGGAGAAGGTACTCCTTGTAGGTTCTCAATTCGAAGTCAGTGACATTGTAGAGTGTCGGATGGGTTTTGGTGCGGTCAGGAAGGCCGGCGGTGGTAAGATTCGTGGCTGGGTGAGAGAGGAGAGCCCGGATTAGAGCTGCATGTTGGGACGCAATCTCAAAGCGTTCTCCCGGAGAAGGAGGAGTTGAGGCCATGTTCTTTGATGCCCCTGAATGCTGAACCTGACAGAGAATGATCAATCTGAGCTGCGAAATGATGCGCGAGCGAACATCACGATGTATGCTAAAGAGAAGAACTGAACACAAAGGGCAGCAATTGTAGCTGCGGTCGGTAGGGGGTAGTCACACTTAGTTGTTTTCGGCCGGAGACAGGGACTGCAACTCGGTGGGGTGAGGGGAGGCTGGGTATTACTTGGTACATATTCGGTCATGATCGCGCCTGAAACGCGTGAGTAGAGCGCGTTTCAAGTCGCCAAGGGATCGACAATAAGGGCAAAGGCCAAGAGGCAACTCCGGCCCCTTTGCTTCTTCCGTTGATTGCCTCTGGCGACTCCTTCGTCTACCTGGATGTCGTCGATTGTACTCCCGTACGTTCTTTCTCGCGAGGCCCTGTTATATTCGAAGCCCTGTTCGAAGCATCAGGCAACGCTTACGCACGTAAATGAGCCCTTATCCACTCCTGGACTACCGCCCCCAGACCGGGGCCAGATGACTAACGGGCAGCATTGGGGTCTGCAATGCTTTGCTAAGGTACCGTGTACCGAGTACCCCTTAGCCTATAACGCTGTCGTGTTATTCTCGGTGAGTTCTTGACTCGAAAGCCTGCGTTTGCTCGACTTCACTAGTCCTATGAGGTATGTGAAGAGAGTCGCCTTTGACCTCAACTTGGACAAGACGAGTCTCCAAAGCCGTGACCGGACCTATACGAAGACTCGATTGATCAAGCTCCGAAACGATCAACGCCAGGCGATGGTCAATAATGGGTTTCCCAGCAAAGCCTGCGCCAACTGTCAGAAAAGAAAGATCAAGGTAAGCAGTATTGATGCAATGCCGGGACACTTTTGTCAAGCATGTGGATAACACCTTTTGAATCAGTGTGATCAAAGCAAACCGGCATGTCACCAATGCGTCAAGGCTCACTGGTCTTGCCCTGGTTATCGGTCAGGCGTCGACCTCTGTTTTCGTGATGAAACCAAAGGCGTCACACGGAAATACCAGGCCTATCGACCAAAGCGTCCCCGCATGTCGGCATCGGATGCAAGCTCTGGAGAATGTTCCCCCAATTCGAATGCCTTGAGTCCAGACGTATCACCGAGCAGGCTGGACATGGACGTGATGACGCGAGCAGTATCGTTCTTCTTTTCTCAATATGTTCACCGACCCCTGGCATCCTCCGAGAGATTCCAACCTGGACCCTTCGAATACCTGCCATCTCTGTACGCACGGAGTCAGCCGGACGGTCCCTTGGTTACGATCGCGCATGCTGCTGCGCTCGCCAGTTTTGCCAACGCTGGGAACGTTCCGAGTTGGATGCAGCAAAGTCACCGTTTGTTCGGGCTGGGGATTCTGAAATGTAGACATGCACTTGCGAACCCGGTAGATGCAAAGTCAGACGACGTCCTTGCCAGCATTATGCTTCTAGGGATATATGAGGTGAGCGATCAGAGCTTGCATAAACCGAGAGACGGCAAGTAACATTTGAGCGGCAGACTATTGCCCTTAAAGGACGAGAAACTATGAGGGCTTGGAGTCAGCATATACTTGGCGCAGCAGCCCTGATCGATTTCCGTGGTCCAAGCCAGTTCCGAGACAGGGTTAGCATTCAAATGTTCCTGCAGATTCGGCGCCTCATAGTAAGTGCAATCTCATGTCAGCTTGCACCTGGCGGTCGCTGGTTGCAGAAGAAGCCTGCTGAATACAATTGCTCCAGGTCCTTTCAGCATACCAACTCCAGAAACCTGTGCCTTTCTCTCTGAAGAAGTGGTCGACATGGTTGGAATGCGCCGATGTTGGAGGAAATTGCGAAGTTGTCCATCTTTCTAATCGACTTTCGGAGATTGTCGAGATACTTGCATCTGTTCGGTCACTGATCAGAGCATCCCAGACGCGAGATATTATTGCCGTCTCATCCATGCTTCTACCAATCGATAGCATGCTCCAGAGCTGGCAAGACCAGCTCCCCATGTCCTGGGGGTCCAGATCTGATCCCGCTCGCTGTCTTGAGGACTGTTCCCTACACAGTCATTTCGAAGGAATGCCATTTGAGGTCTATCCCGATCTATACATTGCCTCGCTCTGGAACAACTACCGTGGCGCCCGTATTTTAATCCACGAAACGCTTTTGTCCATGGCAACCTCCGCTTCCAACACAACCACATTCGATACCAAGCAACTATGCGCAACCATCAATCTCTTGCGCCAGATGACCGCTGAAATCTGCCTGAGCGTTGACTACCATCTGAGACCAGGCCCGAATGCCTCACCATACAACTCTAGTTGTTATCAGAATGAAATAGCCACGGACTCAATTCCAGGTAGTGAACTTCTTCTCTGGCCCCTCTTCATGGCTGGTATGTTACCTACGACAAGCCTTGAACGAAGGACTTGGATCTCGTGTCAACTGAGTCGAATTGGCACCAGCCTGGGCATTGGACTCGCCCTTTCGATGTGTCAGATTTTGTGCCACAAAAGAGACACGATTCCCTTCTCGCACAGTGAGTTGTGGGCGTATGGTGATGATCACTTTGAGTGTGTGTGCTACTGAGAGGAAGCTGATGTACATCAAATGAACTGCCTGCATCTCTAAATTTACGGCTGAGAGCTCATGTCGGATATTTGATGCCGAAGGCCCCTGAAGACCGACTACCTCGCATCGTCCTCCCCCTTGTCGAAACAAGTGATTGGTTGATAGTAAGGTGAAAAGCGGTTACCGTGCCTCCACTCGCGGACCTTGATTGGCTGCTCCGCAAGGCTAACCAAGAATGGACCGGGTGCCCATCCTCACCGTCTTCAATGGCCGCTGTTGCTAACGACGAGCGAACCGAATTTGCATTGTTATGGGCACCGCTATTCTCTGCAGCACGCCACTTGGCTTCACAGTCCTGTGCTCCAAATCTACCTGTTGAAATCCCCACCACTGTCCGTCTCAAAAGAGGAGCCTCTGCATGCTACAAATAGAAGGCAGCTCCTTGAAATCATCGATGTCGACATATACAACTCCAGTGGCTATTCTTGCTACGTCAAGAGCCAAAGACGAGCCAGCAACTTTAGTCGGTTTTCCTTCGCTGAGAATATGCTGCTCTCGTTGCTTGTGGCTGCGATTCTCGACTTCTGCTGGGTTACGCAAAGTGTCAAGTTGCCTGTCGTCGACCTTGGGTATGGGCTCCATCAGGCAATAGCATACAACGTGGGCAAATATCAATTTTCTCTCTGAAATACGAGTTGATTGACCATTTACAGGACTCTTTGGACTTTTATAACTTCTCCAACATCCGATATGTTCGTGCTCCAACCGGCAATCTTCGCTTCACGGCTCCCCAGCCTCCATTGGCGAACAGAACTGTTCAGAACGGCAGCTCCGGCGGGACCTGCCCTCAGTCATACCCTGTTTGGTATCTCTGTGGCTTGGCTCTGCTCAGCGGCTCCATCAACTCCACCGATGCATGTGATGCTAGCCTCATTCCCAAGCCTGACTCCACAGAACGAGAGGATTGCCTGTTCCTAGACGTCATCGTTCCCAAACAGATTTTTGCCGACGCCAGCACAAAACAGGCTACAGGAGCGCCGGTGATGGTTTGGGTATATGGAGGTGGATTCACTTTTAGCAAGAAATATGAGGATGGAAATCCCGCTGGCCTTATCCAGAGAAGCCGGGAAGAAGACCCCAGTGGCAAAGGGGTTGTCTACGTCACCTTCAATTATAGGGTAGGATTTCTCTCTTGTACGTCTTGCCTTGTTAAACATCTCTAACGTCGGATGGATTTAGGGTGGTGCATTTGGGTTTCTGTCAGGACCTAACGTCCAATCCAATGGGACGGCGAACGCTGGTCTGCTCGATCAGCGAATGGCGCTCGAGTGGGTGCAGCACTATATCCATCTCTTCGGAGGCGATCCAAAGCAGGTCACCGTGTTTGGACAATCCGCTGGTGCCGGGTCCATCATGCACCAGATCACAGCATATGCAGGCCTGAAGGGTCCTGCGCCTTTTCGGAGAGCAATTCTGCAATCCCCCGGATTTGAACCATTCCCCAGCCACTGGGAACAGGACAATCTGTTGCACAAATATCTCGGACTCCTCAACGTGTCGACGATCCAAGAAGCTCGCCAACTTCCGTTCGCTTCTCTCTCGGCCGCCAATGTGGAACTCGTTGCGGGATCGCCGTATGGGACGTTTACTTTTGCGCCTGCGGTCGACGGGGATTTCGTACCGTCGCTGCCAGGCAACCTGTTGGCACAGGGGAACTATGATACGTCGGTACAGATCATGACGGGCTTCAACGCCCACGAGACGCTCTACTTCACCGACCCGGACAGTACCAACAACTCCATCTTCGTGTCCAGCATCTCTAGCACGTTTCCCGGCATCCAGCCCTCGGTGGCCAACTACGTCGCCCAGGACCTCTACCCGCCGATCTTCAACGGAAGCTACCCTTATGCGTCGTTCTATGAGCGGGCCGAGCTGACGCTGCAGGAAAGCGCCTTCACATGCAACACGTTCTTCCTCCAGGAGGCCGCGAAGCTGGCGGCCGGGTACGGATACCGCTTCAGCGTCCCGCCTGCCTACCACGGCCAAGACGTGGCCTACACGTACTACAACGCCGCTACGGCGGGCCACGGCGTGAACGCCACGATCGCCCTGCTCATGCAAAGGTTCTTCACGCGCTTCGCGCTCAGCGGCGACCCCAACCGCAAGGGGGACGCGGTCACGATCCCAGTGTACCAGCCATCCGACAAGATCCTGGACCTGAACGTGACGGGCCTGGACGTGGTCGCGGATCCCAACGACAACGCCCGCTGTCGGTGGTGGCAGAAGTCTCTGTACTACTGAGGTGAGAAGAGAAGTTGGTCGTTACAGCCACGGGAGGTGAGGGAGGAGGAGTTCCGCTAAGAAGCAAATCGTTTTACATGACTTTACGCTATTTACGTAAAGTGTCCACTGTCAGTTACTCAGAGCGTACTTTTAATGCACGGGACCATAACGGCGGAGTATGTAGTTTCCAACCCGGCGACTGATAGCCATTCCTACATATTTGAAGGGTGCTGGCCTTGGAGTGTATTTATCTATCAAAGGTAAAGGCTCTCTTCTCCGGTTGTTCGCCCATGCCGCGGTCCAAAGGCTATCGGATACTATAGTCCGTCCTTTTGGTATTGTTTATGTGACCGTGAGGATCGAACACGGACTTCTAGCTCGAGCGGCATGCTTCGCGAATGTGGTCCTTAAATACGAGTTCAGCCAAGGAATAGATCAAAGGCTGACGACAATAAGCTATAATGGTATCTCTGAACTACAAAAACCAAATAAACACAACGGCAACCTACATCTGTCACATGCGCCCCACACCATGAAGCCCATCAGTGCTTGCCTTCTGTAAACCACACGGTCGCCTTGTCGATAATTACCTTGCCGCCAGTTTCAATGACATCCCCGTGGCAAGGAATGACTCGGTCATAGTCCCATTGCTTGACTCTTTTGGCCGACTCTGCGAAACTCTTCCTATCCTTGGCGCCAGCAGCGTACCAGAGAAAGCGCTTTTGCCAGGTCATCTCGCCCTTGGTGTTCATAATGCCCGCGAAGAGCTTGGTCAGGATTCCGGAATTCGGACGCATTCCCGTCTTGGAGTACTGCTCGGTGGCCGGGAGGTTGAAGAGCAAATCCGCCTCAATCATGGTCCTGCTCGGCTTGTGGAGGAAGACGAGCTCCTTGTTGGTATGGGAGTCGAAATACTCGTATGAGAACTCGGTGTCGAACTCGGGAGTGATGTGCATGTCGAGCTTGTTCTTCGCAGAGAAGACATGTGCGAATTTTGTCCCTTTGGTGGCCGGATCGCCCTCCCTCTTCTCCGGCAGTCCTTCCATGCCAATCACCTCTGCGTCCGGATATTCTTGAGCCCACGTGGAGAGGAATATGTGGTGTTCGATATCCGGTGCAATGATGTATTTGATGGGACCCATAGACGTGACTTTGGCCTTGACATCCGGTGTGAGTGCAACGGGGGAAAAGACGGCGACGTTGCCCGTCTGTAGCTTGACCAACGTACCCCGACCGCCAATCTTGATGTGCCCGAACCGCAGGAAAGGTACACTGAGCGTGGTGATGTTTGGAGTGACATCTCTGATGACCATGACCTTCGCGGGATCAGCGGGGATCAAAGAGGAAGAGGATTTGGAGGTGGACATGGTGAAGGCGCAGGTGAGGAGTGGTGTTGTATGGTAGAGGTATTCGACCTATTTGGAGAAGTTATCTGACTTCTGAAGAGAGAGGCGCTGCTGAAGAAGGGAAACTCGCATTGAACTGCAGGGAAAAGTCTCCTGATATACTTTTTTTTCCCTGAGGCCTCGTATACCAGGTATCAAACCTTCGTATCGATGTTTTTCAAATTGTCTGTGGCTTGCATTACCAAGTCATACGGTTGACTTCTGCCACGGTGCGCAGGGTTCAAGGACGAGACAGTTAAGAGGCCAGGACGTCATGCCAGTGGAAACTGCGCCGCCACGGCCGTTACTTTAAAGCAAGGCGATGCCTATTGCGGAAGAGCTCCAGCGTTGCCTCGGCTCGTAGGTTGCAAAACTGTCATAATCCCTGCAAGTAAAGTCAAATCTACTCTCAGCATCATACTTACTGCCTGGGCACAACTCCGGATCGCCGTGGAAGCTAGTAATCACCCTTAGTATGTACCTCACTAGCTGTTGAGGCTAAAGGGTTTAGCGCCCTGAAATGGGTCCCGGGTAGTGCACTTGGTAATCCCTAACATCCTGCATCTTACTTGTTAGGTACCGCACCCAGTACTGGGTACTCCGTGTTATGAACTACTTGTGCTTGTGAATAAATCCAAGTCGCCAACGAGATACTTCTCTCTTTTCATCTCTCTTTCGTCGGTTCTCTACACAGCGGAGGGAATGCTGACCTTTTGTTGGACCCTCTCAAGTACAGGCAAACAGCCATACTCAGGCATATCCTTCCGATATCTCCGCTATGTTAGCTAGAGACAATGTGGAAGAAATTGAATCAAATTTCCAATGTTGTTGTGGTTGGTTGTTCTATTCGTTCCCGGGCTGAAGATTGGACTCTATCTTGTACGAAATGCTTCTTGAAGACGCCGACTACTTGTAAAACTCAGGTGGTGTTGCATGCTCGTGATGAACGCCGCTGCAATCGCTCCATCCTCTTGAACATCTATTCTTCCCATCCACTAACTCGACGCAGTCGTCACATGTAACGTGCCGCGCATTGCAGGTCAGTATGATCCCCTCCTTCTCGAGCTAACATTGCATTTCCTTGCTCTGTTCTAGCACATGTTTCTTTTCCTTCCTACTGACCTTCTTGTGTTGATGTACCTCTGTCTCCCTTCTCTCCTTGATGTTTCTGATTCGCCTTTTGTTTTTTTTAATGTGGATATCTTACACGGCCATGCTCACGCCGTCCGCCTCGCCCGAGTTTACTGTCTTGCCGGTCTTTTTGATCTTCTCCAGCACGGTCTCGTACGAGACCGAGTCCTCGGTCGTTACGTCAGCGGTTTGTGTGTCGAGGGAGACGGTGTAGTTTTTGACGCCTGGGAATTGGTCTTAGTATCGATACGGAACTGGTGAGGATGATGCGAGCAAGTGGAATGAAAGAGAAGAGGTAGAAGAGGCAGGGAGGGCGAGAAGGGACACGATGGCATAGAGGAGGACGACTTACCGTCGAGTTTCTTGAGCACGCGCTCCACGGCGCCGGAGCAGCCGCCGCAGGTCATTGTCACGTTGAACTTGTAGTGGTGTTCAGACATTGTGAGAGATTGTTTTATGTTAATTTAGGTATCCGGAGAGCGGTTTCGATTGCGTGACGAGTGAGACCGCGAATGTAGTGACACAGAGGAGGAATCGAGGACGTCAGGGGAAATGGAGAGATGCCAGGTTCGTAAGCGAGGCGGCGGGCACGCGAGGACTTTTATATCGAGTATGCTGCTCTAGTAATGCGATATGCGAAGTGCGAGAGCGGTGCGGCAATTGTGCGTAGGGCAGGTTGGTGGGACAGCGCGGGTGAGTTGATGCGAAGGCTGAAGCCTGAGTAAGGACCGAGTTCAAAACAAAGGGGTTGTTGTCTTGTTTTCACTTATGGCGCTCAATCACGCGAAACTTGCTCGTTCTTGGGCGGGCAGGTTTTGAATTAGTAAACCTGCTCAACGCGCAAACATGGAGCAGCTGTAAATGAGACTGAAATGAGACACCAATGGGGGGGCGGTGAAGGAGGGGTGAGACCACCAGGCTCACCAGGCTGAGGATTCGGGTGCCCGGCCTGACGAGGGGTTGGGGCACCTTGGGGTCTTGGGCTGGTGGGCACCGAAACCACTCTTCTACTTGTACTTGTAGGGAGTGTTGCTATCTTTAGGCGCTCTTCGGACTCCCTATTTCTGCGATGATTGGACTTGTGATTGCGTGATCAGACAAATCAAAGTAATCTGTTCGGGAGTCACCAGAGCGAATCTCAAAGAGACCTCTGAGCAGGTTATACTCTTCTTGAGCCGCCTGCAAAAACACACCCAGCCGAATTGAAATAAGTGTCACGGGACCCAACAACAAGGCAGTAGTCGTCATATCGAAAAGAGCTAATGGCGGAGGTAGGGGACAGAGTGCCTCTATTACCGACGATAAACAGAACCCCCTTATCAACGAAAGCCACCTCTGTTCCAACAGCGAAGGCATTCGACCTGCCACTTGGGTATTTTTCGATTCAGCTTGCCACGTCCCAGGCGCCTCATGAGAAAGCGACACTCACCTCTACTTACTCAAAAGGGCTGCCAGCGCCACAGCCTGTTTCCTCAGTGCCGTGTGTGATTGCGATTGTAAATGTTACCTAGCTCCTTGCCGACCATCACTATCTTGCGTGATTTTGACCGGTAAAGGGTTTCCAGCTCGCTGAAACGAGCGATTTGAACAATGGGTGTGGCGCCCTCTGAGATGCTCTGTGCATACTCGGTCGTAACAGGTATTTGGAAACCCAGCGTATGGGCTTGGCTGGAACGCTGTTATGAGACGAAACTACTAGGTATCTTTGAGCATATTGACGAACACTCGTCCGGTGAATGGCGGTATAATAAGCATACCTGTGAATAGATATTGGTGTCGTGGGTGTGGACACAGATGCAACTTCCAAGTCATGAGGCCAAAACGCTGCCACGGAACCCAGAAAGCCGAAGACCGGGTTTTGCCTTCGATGACGCCTGAGATGCTGTCTGCCGGTGCCAGCGGACTTGCAGGGTGTCCCTGAGGAGAGCAAAGACGAAGACCTCAAGACAGAGCGGTTTGAGTGTCAAGAGTGCTTCGAGAATGACGATGTGAGTGAAGCGAAGGTGAAGGTGAAGGTGAAGGTGAAGGTGAAAGTGAAAGTGAAAGTGAAAGTGAAATGTGCAGAATGAAGGCAAGCAGTGCCAACACCAGCTCCGGATGCTCAGGCCCATGGGAAGGTGCTTCACCTCACCTCACTTTTCTCTGTACCTTGGCCCCGTCACCTTGCGGACCGCTGTGCACTCATCTCTCTTAGCATCAACGAGAGACCAAACTCTCGATGCGCATTCTTATCGCCGTGACAGCTCAAGACGACTTCCTACGCACCACCATCTCCGTCATGGACACCGACGATGTGGCAGACGACTGTCAAGTGTTGCATGGCCTACAACATCGACAACCAACTTCCAAAGATGAGCCAATTGAAGAAGCAGCGAGGCCTGCCATGGTATACCAGAGACGAACTCGTCTTACTCAGAGCTGATGTCTCAACAGGTCGCAGAACTCTCTACTGCGCAGTCTGACGGGGCATCGTTAATTGGATCCTACCCATTCAGACAATTCCTTACGCCGAATGCAATTCACATCGCCCTCCAGCTTTTCTCCGTCATAGCATTTTGCGCCCTGCTTTTCCCTTACCTACGATATACTCGTTCCAAAAAGGCCGCCGTGCACGAAATCTGCAAACAGAATGCGCGGTCTCTGTACGAGAGCCGGCTCGCTCTATGTGATGCCAGGGCTGCCACAGACTTCAGTTTTTACGGAGCCTTGGGTCTACATTGGTTGGAGTTTGGGACAATGTTGCTTGTTGCGGTGGCATGGCATCACGTCGTGTGGCTCTTCCAAGGTTGGGTTATGATGAGAATCTGCTTGGTCAAGAATGATTGCAAAGAGTAGCGGTGGCTGTCGACGCTCATGCAAAGCAACGAGTTGACATCGGATGCTGGAACGGGTGAGGGTATCAAACGTCTCATATGGAATGATGGTATTTGGCGTTTCTATCCCTTGATGAATCATTACTCCCGTAGTCAAATGGCCGCTCGTGCTTATAATCTACAGAATTCTTTTCAGCTCCAATTTCAAGCTGTCTTCCAACAGCCCGCTACCTCCACAAACAGTGCCCGTTCCTTGGTCGAACCTCCGCTTGATCTCGCCGTACCATCCATTGTCTTCCTCATCGCCCAAACCATGGTTATCAAGCAATACATAGGCGGTTTCTTGCCTCGGTTCTCGTACATCGGGATTGTTTGCGGCAACAGAATACACCAACTTCTTTGTCTCCCTCCTCGGACTCTGAAGACCCCTGGGAGTGATAAGGAGGAGCTCCGGATTATCTCCCGAGGATGGATTTAACGGTGCCCATGTCTTTCTTATGTCGAGAGACGTCAATGCGGCGTCCAGCGCCCGACTGTCAAGCACCATTCCTGGCGAACGCAAGTACAGTGCTTGATCATAATCCCATCTGCCCCATTGCAGCTCCCCAAGAAGTTGCGATCTAACATCCCATGCGTCGTATATCCTCACTGGGTGGTAAACGAGGTTGTAGAGTTCCTGGATTTCGCGCATGAAGCTCAAGGTTGATGTATGAAGCGCGGAAAACTCGGACTCCCAAGTTGATGGATACAGGAGTATAATTGACGGTTCTTTGGACAATCGAGATGATAACCGCCGCTGTTTCGCGAAGAGGAGAGCGGAGCAGAGATGATGTGGTTCAAGAAGGGCAAACATGTACGCGATGCGTTGGGGCGACGCACTGTTTCCCAAAGCTAAGTCTGACAGTTCTGCAGCGGAGTCCAAGGGGGCTTGATTCTGGTCCTGGATAATTACTGGCACTTGGACCGAGTTCAACACTCCACCGTCGCTTCCCGGTCTTCGGTTACTCTCGACCACCACAACGGGCTGCGAGCCATCTCGAGGCTGTTCCAACACGGTCGGAACAGTGTCATTGTCTTGATGCTGAAACCGAGGGGGCAAAGTTGGCACAGGCCTTCGTTCAGGCGGTCGCCGAATGGCTTCTTGTATGGATCGTACAGACTGCTGTTGTAGCACGTATCCCGAGAGGAATAGCAGGAATGTGAACATGCAGACCACTCCACTAGAAATGATGACCGAGACGGTCGAAGATGTAAGGAGGACCATTGCCCTGCAGGGACCAGTCCGTGATCCGACTAACAGATACGTTCATGCAGCTGGTTGATTCCGCGGTCGTGGTACGAGGAAGTTTCTCAATCGACTTTAACTTCAGAGTTGAGTTTCCTTGGGTCTATGCTGGTGAATTTGTTCTTTTGGTTTGCTTTTCTCAGATAGATCCGGATGAGCCTCGTGTGCAGGGAAACTGATCATGCAGTACAAGTTACGTGTTTACAGCCCCGTCGTGAGGGACAACGGGAGTCTGATCTTGGCGGCCCGACAGACCTCACGAGGCTTGGCGCCGATGACGCCGCTTTTAGGGTCACGTTACTTGCTGATATTCCTTGCTTCATATTCCGTTCTGCTCCTATTCGCCTGTGTGCTCCTCCAACCCAATGACTCGAATTTTACTAGTATACGACCAATACGAGTATGCGCCGCCATGGGCTCAGCCCTCTCAAATAGTGCCTACCGAACCGTAGTTCCGGATCTGCTCCGAGAAACCGCCCCCAAAAAACAAAGATGGAGAGCCAACTGAACAACTAATCCCACGCAAGGACCTTTCGACCTGACCCTTTGCGCCAAAATAAAAGCTACAAGCTCCGCTGCCGGCCGCCCTGTTAGCTCGATATCGGGAGAAGATCTCTGGTGTTCAGCTGCATCTGCATCAGGCCGGTTGAAGCCATGCCAGTCCCTCGATTACACGGATACGAGGGCCTAGGATCATCCTTGCAAATGATGGCAAAGCGAGCGCCGCATGCCAATGCGGCTCAAACCTTGATGCCCTCTCGGTACGGGTAGTACGTGTACTGTTTGCGCCACTGCTCTTGGACACTTTTTCGTGAGCAATGAGCAGGTGACCTGATGCCAGGGAACGACTAGACTCGGCCGTAGTAGCTGCTGGCTTGTCTCACACCCGGTCACAATGCCGGGTTCTATTTGTGAAAAAAAGAGATGGCATCCATTGAGCCCATGTGCAAGGTGAGGCTGAAGCCTGGCTTTCAAATTTCACTATGCTCCGTCTGCCGAGCAAACTTATATATCTGACTGTGTGCAACTCCCTGCTCCTGCACCAGCAATCTCTGAGCGTCAAGTTGGGACCCTCAACTCAAGCCTTCATTTGATTGATCGACGCCATGGCGAACGGCGATGCTTGCGCAGACTGTGAGCAAACGAATGTGAAAGTCTGGCTTTGTTCAGCCTGCACCGGCATTTCATTCTGCGATGGATGCTGGCCACGACAGGCTGCTCACAAAGCAAAAACTCCGGGCCTTGGTGGTTGTGTTCATACCAAAGAAGACAGAGCCACGATATTGATGATACGCTCAATCCTGGAACCGCCAATGGATCCTCAAGAGGTTAGAAATTTGCATGTCAAAGACCAGGACTCAAGGTGGTTTGGAGTCGTCAAATCCTCGGGGGGTAGAAAATCCGAATTTTGTGACTTTGGCCGTTATGGCCAAATGATGATGGAAAGTCGGCCACTCGGCGGCGCTGCCAGATACCCGAAACTAGTCTCTTTCATTGGAGACACATGTAAGTACTTGAAGATCTGGTATCTGGAGTTCCCTGACATTGGTTAGATGCTGGCAAAAGTACAATCGTGAAAGCGCTCGTGTCTCATGGCGGTTTGGTGTCCACCGATCCCGGTCGAGATTCTTTTCATACTCCTGTCCCGGGCTCCCGAGCCAATGAAGGAACGGCCACGTCTGAAGGCGTACACCTATATGCTGACCCAGAGCATCTGGAGGTCGCAATACCTATCCTTTATGCTGACTGTGAGGGCTTGAACGCCGGTGAGAAGATCCCTTTTGCTGCAGAAGATCCGTCCCATTCCAGGAAAACAGCAAAAGAGGCAAGCGGGCAAAACAAACTAAAAATGAGACTTGCTGGGAGGTCTGTTCCCATTCAATGGACAAAGGCCAACGATCCGGTTAAGGGGACTCGAGAATATGCCGTCACCAATCTTTACCCTAGGTTTCTCTATACTTTCTCCGACGCTATTGTTTTTGTCCAGAGAAATCCCAAGTAAGTTTATTTCACTCACGAGGATTCCCCACTTACAAAACGCAAGCCAACTCCACATCACTTACAAATACCTCGTCGACTTTGCAAAGCGCAGTGTTGAGAAGTCGCTGAATCAACCGATTCTGCCCAGCGCCATAGTTGTGCTCAACGCTGTTGAGGTGGCTGGTAAAGAAGAGAGATGGACAATTGAAGATGCGACGAGGAGCTTTTTCCGAGACGTCCAAGGTATCACAACTTCTGGCCATGATCTCAGAGAGCTCGCGAGGAATTTTGCTTCCGAAAGTGATTGCCGCAGCTTGTCTGCCCGTGAGTTGCTCAAATGCTACTACCGATCGGTACGCGTAATTCGCATCCCTGCGAAGAGCTCTGAAACGTACAACTTGATCAACAAGCAAATCTTGCAACTCCGAGAGGAAATCATCAGAGTCTGTCAAACCGCACACTACGAGAAAAGCATAAAGCGACGGCTGGCCAACGCCGACGACTTGCAGCAATACCTACAAGCGGGCTTCGAGCATTTTGCCAACGACATTGAAACACCGTTTGACTTCAGAACGGTGTCCACTCGTAATAAACTCATTGCCCACGATTTTAGCGATCATATTTTGACGTTGGCAAGAACCATCCACGAAAGCACCCGTCACGAGCGTCTCCAACCGAAAATACTTCTCGGGGGTCTGTGTTCGCTGATAGCGTCGTGCATTCTGTTGGACTACGTCCGGAACAACTTGCAGGGTAAGTCGGTGCTGTTCTTCGTGCGGCGAAGATTCTCATTACTGGTTTTACAGGTCCCGTGATTGATTACTTCGCAAAAAACTACGCCCCATTCTGCAGGACTGCCTTATATAGATTTTGCAACGACATTATGTCTTGCGAATACGCAAGCAAGAAAATTCCTCACTGCTGTAACGTCAAGTCCGCCCACGACAAGGGACACCAGAATGAGAGGGGTAAGAGAGAGATTGGACCATACAGGTCTTCACTTATAGCTTCTTCATATGAGAAGGTCTGGATCAAGAAGATCGAAGACAATCTGAAGGCGCTCAATAGCACTTTTATAAAAGAGCTTCGCACAAGGTATCCATTCCAGGGACAAGCTCGGACAAATCTTTCCAACAACCAGGAAGTCTCCGTTTCGACAGACATGAAACTAGTCTCACGACTACACGAAGAAAAACTCGCCGAATTCTTCTCATCCCAGATCAAATCTTCACGGGATTTTATTAGCTGTGTAAGCTGCTTTCGATGTCTCATGGCGACTCCTGAACATGCACTCGAATGCGGCCACATCCTCTGCGGCTCTTGCATTCGAGAACACGGAGAGGAACAAGACGACCTTATCACTCTTGTCGGAAGCTGCCCTTTGCATCGAGGAAAGAGGTCCATGAACTGGAAAATAATCAAAAAGCCCGAATTCGCAGGCCTGAGAATTCTGTGTCTGGACGGGTGAGTATCTCTGCAACCTCTCATACGAAGCTAACATCAGTGGCTAGCGGGGGAATTCGTGGGGCTGTGGAGCTTGAGATCTTGCGTGCGATCGAGAATTGCATCAACAACTACCATTCAACTCACGGCATTCAGATTCAACAATTATTCGATCTGATTGTGGGAACAAGGTGAGTAAACTAGCCCTAGTCCTTTCTGAGAGTCCTGACGCAGTTAGCACCGGTGGCATCATCGCTCTCGGCCTGGTTGCAGCCCAGTGGCCCGTTTCTAAATGCACACATAAGTTCACGGCTCTTTGCAAAACAGCATTCACAGAGAGGGAATTCGCAGATACAATCTTCGAGAAACTGGCGACCTTAAACCACGGGAGCAAGTACAAAACCACACCCCTGCATCAAGTTCTGCAAGAGTCCTTTCATAACCACCTTCTGTTTGGGGGAAAAGGTAATGCCGCTAGATACGCCACGAAGGTAGCTGTGGTGTCTACTTCAGGTACTGGCAACCGATCTTTAATCATGGCCAACTACAACCGACAGGAAACTTCTGATCCTGGATACACTTTGGAAACCGCGAGCGCACCGAATGAAGCCTTTCGTGTCTGGGAAGCTGCCGCGGCAACCTCGGCTGCTCCGTCATACTTCAAACCTTTTGTGAGGCGTGGAAGGACTTACCTTGATGGGGCTATCAATCACAATAATCCAGTGGTTGTCGCGAAAAGGGAGCGGAGGTTGCTATGGCCAGATGTCGAATCGCGCCATCCGGATATATTCCTCTCACTCGGTACGGGCCAACATGCAGCAGAGATGAGCCAGAAACTAAACAGACTTTCTGGTCACTCCAGGGAGGACCAATTGAGAAGAATGCAGCAAAAGGAAGGATCTCAGGACTCCCGAAAAAAGTATCGAGCCTGGAAAGGCATCAAAAATTACTTCAGCGTCCTAGTAAGTGTCACTGGTCCATGCTGATTCTGCCACAGGTTGGTAGATCTTCTAATCCCGGTCATCCAGGTTGACAAAATCGACAATATCCTTGATACTGAATGGTCCTGGCATGAATTCTACCGCGACACAGTCGGTGAACAGTGGGCAACGGAATTTGCGTCCCGTTATGTCCGCATCAACCCTGACCTCAGAGAAAAGCCTCCGCCATTAGATGCAAATTGGGATGTGAATAGGCTTCAACGAAAAGTGTATAAGCTGCTCAGACAACCTCCACTGGCTAGGGATATTATTGAAATTGCGAACGCGCTTGTTGCCAGCACCTTCTATTTCAAAAAGGACGAGTCTCACCTCCATGGCGATAGACAAAACCGGGTCTTTGTCTGCACAGGTGAGTCAAAGCGACTTGGAAGGAGGTAGTTAATGAGTTCAAAAAAAGGTCATATCCAATGCAAACTCGTCCACCAGGACCAGAGCATCAAAACCCTAGCTGAATTTCTGCAAAATCACATCATTGGGGACTTTGTTCCCACCTTTGTGGTGAAGAAGAGTCTAACGTCCCTGGAAGAATTTACAGTACGTACCACTTCCCTTGAAAACTTGATGCACATCTCTTTTCGCAAGGCCGCCGAGCTAAAAGGTGACGCAGCTCCTCGATCTCGACAAAAAGTTTCTCGACGACATGTACACTCGCAAAGTCTTCGAGGGAACCTTCAATACGGAAATTGAGATCCAGGATCGCGAAGATCCAGTCTACATCCTTCTTCGGCTCAGACAACCTAGCTCAACGCCGAGCAAAGTCCACACATGCGACTACCCCATCAGCGGCTTCCCGCGCAGATTTATCGTGGAGAACGAGAGAAACGGTAAGGATTCCTCTTGCGTTATGTTTCCCTCTCGATACCGGAGACTGACGAATGCGTGCAGCGTCAAGACAGCAAAAGCGAAGGCAAGAGCTGGCAAGGCGTCGTGAAGCTGCTGGCGAGGCTGCCGCTTCTCTGCCGTTGCCACCCACCAGCCAAGCCGCCGTCCCGAGGTCGTCGTACAACATGATTGCGCGTGTACCGTCTTCGGAAAGTCTAACCGATTCAGATAGAGAATGCGATGATGGGCTGCTGTCAGAAACAGTGCTGAAAGAGTATGAGGCATGGTCGGTTCGAGACTGAGTTGGCTATGCTTTATTAAGCGTGATTGATAAGGCCGTTGCGAACTTCACGGTTGCTAACTATATGGACTTTGCTCACCAATTGCTTGTTTTCTTACACCTACATTAATCCTATGTTAGCACAAGCGGAAGGACTCGTTACCGCTCCTTATACCCAGCTGTCACCCAGACCTTGACATCAGCCTTGACACCCTGGAGCGGGCCAGTGGGAGTGGCAGAAACAATCCAGTCGTGTGGCGGAATAGGTAGTTGTACGCCATGGCCGAGGAAAAGGTAGGGTAGCGATGCCTTGGCGATGAGGGCCGATCTTGCAAGGATCCGGGAAGGCAGCGGGTAGGGTCCATGGCCGCCGAAGACGCAGAGGCGAGGACGAAGCGAGAATCATGTCCATCTCCCCACAGGCCGAGTTCGCGCCATCGTTAGCAGCCCTAGCGCGCTGCCCTTCTTCCCCCGACCCTGTGATGCCCGTCCCGCCTGACTCGCGCGATCTGGGCGAGCACAGGGCGGCGTCACGCTAATCCGGGAGGGGAATGCGTTCCGAGCAGTTTTCAGCCTCGTCAGGTACTCAATACCTCTCCCGCCTCCTCAGCTCACTCTGTCCTATGCTTGATAGCCCAAGCAGAGTGACAACTGCTCGGAATGCGAAGATATTCCATGTTGGTGCTCTGAATGGTCATCGTCGCGGTAAATGCGTCATCGTCACACGTCATGTCCATATCGATGGCGGTGGACTAGGAGGGATATGTTGTCTCACCGACAAGCCAGACCAACACCTCCTGAATGATCCATAGTCGCACCTAATTATGATCTTCACACAGCTTCCCCAGGTTGTCGTGTATGACGAGTTTCGAGGAAGGCCTTTTGGAGAATAGAGTCTGGTTCCAATTTTCTCCCAGTCCTGGATGCAGGAGGGCCCCCAACACCATGGTCTCACTGTCGTTCGCTATGCAAAGCTAGCCTTGCACAGCCATGACTACGAATGCAATTTTTTCACTCCATATCCCTAAACGGCTCCACTGGGATAAATCTTCGCGGCTTAAGACGCTCCGTGATGTCTTCATACTCGTGATGTGAGAGTGCATCGGCATCTGCGCCTTGCATCAAGAACAACGAGCAGATCTCAAGCCAATCCTGAACAGTGTTGTTGCCAGTCTTTGCTAGGTTATTTTCGATGGTTAGGTGACGCAAAATCAGCTTCCCAACTGTCGACTCTTCAAACGGGGCATTGGGATCTTGACCACCAGACAAGAGTGATTTAACCATTGCTGGCAGCGGTGGAATTCCATGCCACGATCTGCCGATTGTTGCGTAGATCAACAGCGGACATTCGGGCTGACTCTTGAGATGAGGAGAAGCCAGTTTCGACTCGGCATAGCGGACAAGACCCTTTATAGTCACAAACGTCAGGAAGGATTCTGTACACAAATGGCACCGTCTGCCAGGCTTCGGATGAAGCAGCGTTGACCAGAACATCTCGTTCTTCCACGCTGTTGAAACTCCCTCGGGGCTATGTGGACTGTCTACTTCAATGAAGCGGTGCACAAAAGACTCCAACTTGTCAAGGAGTAGCACAAGAGCGTTGCCTGACTTCTCTTGGATCCGAGACGCATGTTCAATCGCACGCTCTATAAGGTCATTGGCATCCAGCTGCCAGTGAAAGCCGTCGTCAAGCCGGAGGTGCAGGAGAACTACGATCGACTGCAGAAGAGCAATGTCTGGGTCAAACGCCGAAAGGTTAATTCTTTGGTGAGTCGACAAGAAGTTATCACGAAAAGTCAGGTATTCTTTGACTGTTTGGTGAATAAAATAGACTCTGCCCCTAGGTTGTGATCAGCAATAACACATTAAACACAGGCAACGGACCAACCCTTGGACCTCCACCAGGCCATCACAACCGGAAACCAACTGGCGCTGGAGTCTTCCTTCCTGCTCGGTATAGTCAGGAATCAAACTCGAAATGTCAGTATCGACACTGGTGCCTGAGCGCTCATCCAACGCAGCACGAAGCTGTCAAAAGCTTATCCCATCACCACGAGCATGAAGCAAGATCTGAAATGATCTTGCGGCCTCGTTCAAGTATGGAATCTATTCTTGCAAGTGAAAATTCGAAAGCAGCGATGACGAAGGTAGTGAGAACTTTGACGAGGATGATGACGATGAGGGCTGCAGTGAAGTCGCTGGCCATAACAAAGCCTGCAATGAGCGCTACGAAGATGATGGAAGAGATGCAGTGCTGTCGGTGTGATTTCGTCGTTGAGACACAATCATCAACATCCATTGATTGCAAAATGTCCACAGTCAGAGCGGCCGAGATACCCATCAAGGTGAGATTCTGCAAAGCGCAAACGCCGCACGCTTTATCATGTGTAATCAGGCTAGGGCCAGCAAGTCCAAATGCATCCCCTTCCACAACTCTTTAAACTCCTCCCAACACTGGCTGGTCCTGGTGAACATACTTTCTGGAGGGTCGGCACCTGAAAAGATGTGGAAGATCCGCAATGCTGGCCATTACTTCTACACGGCCTGACGTTTTCTTCAAGATTCTACCTCAACTCCCCCCGCTCCGCCACTTTGACGACTAACAAGCGTCGGTTTCCTGTCGTTTGTGCCAAATTTTGTAGGACTTCGCGGGCAGAGAGATTGCTTCAGCCTACTCTCCCAATATCAAACACAAGAAAATCCCCCAAGTCTTGAAATTTACATGTTTATAACCACCGACGCTTGGATTGGCGAGCCCCCACTTCGTAAAAGCCTGGAGATCTGCCTCGTTTTCTCGTCCCTCCAGGAGAGGACACTCGTCCTGGGTTCGAGACAGTTGAGGCTTCCTCAAACCCCCTGTGCTGATGATCGCTCTTGTCGCGAACTCCGTTTCGTGAATCGTTGGAGACAAAGAGGGGCTGTCGAGGTCGCGGAAGCATATAGTTCTGTTGATGTCTGTCGCTGGCTTGGTGTGGACTGAAATGCTCGGACTGCATTGGAGCCCGCTGTTCGGTTCTCCATGGCCGAGAGCTCCACTCCGATCTGTGATCAAAACCCCTACCGTGCCGCAAACGAACGTCTTGATTCCAACGAGGCTCGTGTGATGACCATTGTTTCCGCCGGGGATCATATGGTGACCCTTCCTTCCATCGTCGCTGAATCGTGACCGGTCGAAATTCCTGAGAAGAGGTATCTGGTAAGCGAGGATCATTGTTATCGACTTGTGGTCCTTGCTGGAGACCAACAGAGTATTGTCCCGGCATCGTTCGACAAGAATCAGCCCTCTGTGCTTGGTTTCTGAGGTTCTCTAAATGTTTGGCTTTGTCATTTGGGAGGAGAGACAGCAGCATCTGAAACAATGCTTTGCCAGAGCTCCCTCCCGTTCGATGCCAAATCGAATCACCACCTTCCTGGCAGCGACACTGTCCTATCATATGACCCTCGTCAAGCCGTTCGTTTGCTCCGTAAAGCAGAAATAGCTCGCAAATATCAAGACAGGGTCTGAGAAGCTCGGATTTCCGGTCAGTCCAATCTGCGCCTGTTGTTTCCTTGCCAACCGAGATCAGGAAATCAGTCCATACGGTATGGCTGCTCCGGGACAGCCGCCGATTTGGGTCCAGGCCAGCCTGCAAAAGAAGAGCTATCATCGATGGGGCGAGTCGAGGGATATTGTTGAAATTCTTTAGGGCACTTTGAAGCAGAGGCCGTGAAGACGCCCGGTCAAGTTGGAGGAGCCTTGAACCATATTTAGCTTTCACAGAGAGAGCTAAACCGTTAGATACCAAAAACTCAACAAATGGCTGAGATGGACCTGATTTCTCAGCGTAGAGAGAGTGCTGACCGAGACTCTTGATCTCATCTGTCAGAGTTAATAATGGTCGTCCACCGCTAGCCTCCGCTTGGCGAGCATAGAATATAGAGTTGTCAAAATGAGAGTTCATGGAAGTGCACCTATCCCCAAAGCCGGCGTTTTCGACTGCTGGAGAGCTCTGATAAAGTTTGAACATTACAATAGAGCTTCGAAGTAATGCCCGATTTGCGTCGAAGTCAGTTTCCGAGGTATTGCGTAACAGAAGACACCATACCTCAGGCTTCTCGAGGAACTCCCGGACGGTCAGATGGAGAAAGTTAACATCCGGGCAAAATTCATGACGTCCCGGTCCGCTCGATCTTGAAGACGGAACAGCCTCGAGTAGGCCTCCACAACGGCTTTTGCAACGAGCGCCTGTTGTAGTAATTCGATCTTGGAGCCCAACTGGAGACATGGCGAAGAAATCGCGATTGGAGGGGATCTCTGTATCGGGGTCGTCTGCAAATGACAGTTCCAGCATTGAAAGTGAGCCTCTGGCGTGATACATCAACTGTAGTAAACGGCATGCCTGCTGTCGGTAGAAATGAGGTTCGATTTTCTCGAGGATCATGGAATACATCCCATCAAGCTCCAGCGGCAACTCATTTAGACGTTGTTGAAGGTCAGACGGCGAATCGTGATTCGTCATGCCAGCTCGCAAAGATCTCACAACCAATACCACCCACAGGAAAACGCCGGAAGCTCGCTTGACCACTTCATCTGTCAGGGATAGAATCTGCGAAGAAAGATCATGTGACACCTTGGACCTTGGATGATCTGAAAGATTGTCGAATACGTATCTTTCGATGTCTTTCCGAGTCAAATCTTGCAGTCGAAGATGAGAGTAGCTGCTAAACGCCTCTTCGAATACCATAAGAGGACGACTGGAAAGACAAATCTTGACGTGCGGAAATTGGGATAGTTGCCAGCAAAAGTCGGCGATTTCGCGGTGATCGCCGTCAAATTCATCCAAGCCATCAATGAACAAGCAGAATTTGAGCAGACTTTCGTTCTGGGTGATTAGTGTGGTCAAAATATCCCTGAGCTCGCTGACGGACCACGCATGCCACGCTGATCCCAATGATCTGAAGAAATCTAGCGGCTGGCGATGCAGTTGTTGCCACAGACTTGGAAGCACCTGGCTGATCATACTCGGCCTTTGCTGCAAGATATTATAGATTAGTGACCGTAATAGGCCACACTGCGATCTCTGCATGCTGTTCCCGAGCGACCAAAAGAAGAAGCTGGCTATCACAACTTCTGAACCGCCTCCCCACAGTTCTAATCCTCGTCGAGTATTCTCGTTTTGCAGGATATACTTGAGCAAGGTACTCTTCCCGCTCGCAGCTTTACCAGTTATCCAATAGATGTCTTTCTTAGTTTCGAGCCATTCGATGAAGTCATCCCATGGTCGCTCGACGTCTTCTGAACCCAGAAATAGCCATTGGAAGGTCTCGGCGTGGGCAGCAGCGACCGCCTCTGTGCGGACATTCATGCTTTGATATGCGAAGCTTCGTAATATGGCTATCTCGGTGGTTTCTGGGTTGTTGGATGGCTTTGTGGCCTTTTCTGGTAAGTTTTGCGGTGGGCTTAAAGTCTGCAGGTACTCAAGTGTTCTTTGCAAATTCAAGCCGTATTCTTCGATGAGCTTCGTGAGTGTTGTTGTTGCATTGTCAAGAGACGTGCTGACAAACTCGTTCGTGACAAGGTGTTCTCTTCCTACCACTTGGGCCACATCCTCGACCTGGGATTTAATTTGACCGATGCTGTTTTGGATTGACGAGAGTGCCTTTTCCTGCTGTCCAATCTTTCTTGTTGCTTCTGTCTGGCACAGCAGGTTTCGGTTGATTTCCGTGCTTTCCACGTTAGCCTCGTAGACACTGAGTTGAGGAGGCGACTAGCTCACCTCACGGATGTCATTAAGCGTAACGTAATCTGGTCGCGAAACATTGCCAATCGATTTGCCATGTCGTCTACTTCCTTCTTTGAGCAGACACATTTGACTGCTTGGCGAAGGCTCTTCCATCTTCGTAATCTGCCTTGCGCCTGGGCTTGATTGAGTCTTGTTAGGAGTTGCCGGGCTAGTTCCACGGAAGCAGACAGCAGTTGGTCGGGTATTGTCTCATCTGGATGGAGCTTTTCGAGTTTCGTTTTCATCAACAAGAGGTCTGAGGTGACGAGATTAAGATCCTGGTGCTCCTGCAGGAGCCCATCACGAGTACGATAGATTTGATTCCCTTTTGTTACCACCTTTGCAGCGAAGTCGAGGAATTGCAGGACGCTCCCTGCCGCACCAATCGCACTCACTGGGTCAACCATCTGTGAAATCAGAGCAGAATACGTTGCACGACACGAACCAAAGAAGCCCTGTTGGGCGCATCGTGGGATATATGGGAGGATGCCGCCATACTTGATTGTGGCTGTGTGGGGCTATGTCGAGCTGAGAAGTACTGGGTACTCGGTAAAGCCGGAGCCGATCACTGGAGGAGCTACATAACTGGATAGATTAAGCCCCCACTGGTGCCTATTTGTTTTGGTAGCTCCGTGCGTGCTCAATTGAGGCTGAAATGAGGCTGGTGAGGCTGAAGAGGGAACCAGGCTCGTCAGATGTGAGTACAGGGAGGAATCACGCTAATCCGAAAAGGGGCGAGTCACGAGCATTTTCAGCCTCGTTGGCTCTGTGACGTTGCTGCCAGCCTTGCAAGTCCGAGCGGGTAACATTTTTGCATGCGCCGAACTCACTCACTCACGCCGCTCACTCTCCGCGCAATATCAAAGGTGCTAAAGACAACTAGACTCCTGCTATCCCTTGTCCCATCCTTGAACAAAGAGCTACAATGACGCACCGCGCCGATGCCTCCAACACCCTCGATAATCGCGGCTACAGCGGTCCGCTGGTACGAGGGCAAAATCCTGCTCTCCTCCTAGAGACAGCCATGCGCGACCGCATCACCGACTCCCTTTACTGGAAAGAACAGTGTTTTGGTCTGAACGCAGCCACCTTGTGCGATCGAGCCGTCGAACTCAGCTACATTGGCGGTACATATGGCGTAGCTATGAAACCCACGCCCTTCATCTGCCTCGCATTTAAACTCCTGACGCTCGTCCCCGACCGAGAGATTGTGCTCGAATACCTACAAAATGGAGGAGAGGAGTGGAAATATCTGAGAGCGTTAGCGGCATTCTATGTCCGCTTGACGTTCGAGCCTGCAGACATTTACAAGACCTTGGAACCGTTTCTGGAGGATTCGAGAAAATTAAGGCAGAGGAGGAAGGAATCTTATGTCTTGATACACATGGACGAGTTCGTGGACAATCTGCTCACGAAGGATCGAGTGTGCGGGACAAGTTTATGGAAATTGCCTGCTAGGCAGTTGTTGGAGGATTTGGAACAGTTGGATGAGCGGGTTAGTCCAATGCAGGCGGAACTGGATGTCATGGAAGAGGAGGAAAATGGCGAGAAAAGAGATGAGAATGAGGGTATGGAAGATGTGGAAGATATGGAAAGAAACGGGACGGCTTCTGAGAATGGGAGGAGTCCCAGGTCGTCGAGCAGGAGTCGTTCGATCAGTGATTGAACACAAGCATGACCAAAAAGGCATGCATTACTCACATCGGAGCTTGAAATCACATTTGAAAGCTTGACTTCAAACGACGATAAACTCCTCGTCGCTGGGGGACGATGACTCGGCCTTCTCTGACCTCGATTTGGCCACATCAGTCTCGATGTCGCCGACACCATGTCCTGCATCTTCCGTCCCGAATGGCACGATCATGGACACCTGGGATCTGATGAGGTCGATTAGAGACGTGCCGTCATCGTGGCGTTCCCATGTCGGATGTTTTATGTGTCTCTCGGGCACTTCGAACTCCTGTGGCAGTGGCGGCTTCTGGGTCGTCGCTTGAGCCACATCCTGATCATTATCATTGCCGTCATCCATATCGCCCCGGACTTGATCCTCCTCGAGGTGGGTTAAGAGAGGAGTATCTTCACGAGCACCTGTCTTCGGAGTTACTTCCGCGTGCTGAGCGGCTGTTCCATCCTCCTGTTCTGGCGAATCAGGCTGCCTTGGGCTCTTCGAATTCACCAAGTTGAGGGCGTCTGAGCCCACAGACTTGTCATCGTCGTCATCATTCTCACTCCTAAAAGATCGTTCGGACGCATTATCGGCATCCACAGCAGCAACTTCCTGCTGACCCCAATTTCCCTCGCCCTCCTCACGAACCACGACTTCTCGTCCCCTCCATACCTCCCTCCTCACATACCCGTTCCACTCAGCAGCATCACATGGCGCGTCGAGTAGCTGGGGCATACTCGGGCCACCAATGTCTGTATTTACCACATTCAGCAATGTTATGGAAAATGCATCTCCAAGGGTATCGCCACGGCGAGTAGCCCCGCCACCCCCAGCTATTTTTCGTGGCGTGAGCGGGTTGGCATGGGCATATACACGAACGGGCCAGATGTTCCACTGCTGTTGAAGCTGCAGGACCGTTGTGTCAATCACATCGTTGACCCAATCCCTGTTCTCCGGGTGGAGAAGTTGCTCGAAATTGACAAGCAAGACGGGTTCATTGGAGTTGATGTGCAGGTGTTTTGACCGCGGGACGTTAGGATCAAGGAGTCCTTTGAGCATGGACTCGACCGTCTTTGCTGGAACCCCCATCCCCTTGCCCCTGCTGTTGCTGTGCTCGTCGATGTTCATCTCGTCCTCGATTTCGACGTGTGCTGATTCGCAAGTGATCAAGTTCCTTGCGGTGAGGTCTGTGACGTTACGGACGTCTCCGTCACTGCAGCCGCCCCAACTCAGCAGGGCGTCACATATTTTGGCCACGAGGAGGATCCCTGCACCAGTGTGGGCTGCGGCGGTTTTCTCAAGCTCCTCGTCCTCGAAGCTGAAAGAAATGACATCTTCCACTTTGACCTCGAAAGATGCTGGTAGGTCGAGGATGATGCTCTTTTGAGCTTCTGCTCCTGAACTATCCATATTCTTCTTTCTTACGGGGGACCGACGTCCGCGATAAGCCTGGAATTGGCAGCGGGTGACCTCGAAACTGTAGTAGTATGTCGCCGTCGATGCGTGTGACCTGGTTGTTTACGGTAGCCCAATTGCAGCCGCCTCAAGGATTCCAAACGGAGGAGGATCTTTACATTGCGTCAAAACTGTAATTCGACGGACAGATCGGGGAGATGCGACGATTCGAATTGACTTGATTCAATCAAGTCACGCACAGGCGTATGTATGTATATACTTACATGTAATATCCCCGAATAATCGTCCTCCACGCCCATTCGGCTAACTAATCCCTGTGCGAGTTGCTGTCCTGAGGCAATCCCGCCCATGACACGAGAGGGGTAGCAACCAGATTTTGGGAGGACGCCTTCGGCGCTAATGCAAGGCAACTTGGGCACAAAAGATTTTGGACGCATCCAATCAGACGACGCCCCCAATGTGAGTGGCGCAAGGCAAAACTACCAAGTAGAGCTACACACAGAATCGTTCCTCCTAGCGGCATCTCAGCCCCTGGGGAGGACAGAAGGAACCGTGGCACACGGGAGCCCTATATAAGGCAAGGACAAGGCTTCTTCCATTTTATCCCACTTCTCACCTCCAACCCCCGAGAAGTGAAGATTAGACAACACTGACCATCATCCAACCTCCTTCAGCTCATATTTGTCTCCAAAGGTTAGAAAGATGCCTGGTTTGAATGCCGACGTGCATGCCACCGATCCCATATGGGATTCCTTTAGGGACACGATTTGCACGTTGTACCTGATTGAAGATCAGAGTCTGGAAAAGGTCATGGAAGAGATGAAGACGAAATATCAATTCACTGCGACGTAAGCTCCGACTGCCATCCACCCTGTTCTAGTTATGCCTATCAGCTAAGTCTCCGACGTAAGGCGCAATTCGAAGGGCACTTCAGAAGATGGAACTTCCCGAAAAACTTAACCAAAGAAGAATGGGCTATCGTCACAGACAAAATTCAAAAACGGAAAAGAGACCACAAAGAGACCGAGGTGTACATTAATGGGCTACTCAAGAACCCAAAGAAAGTCCAGAGAGCTGTGTCACGGTATGGTTCTGACTCAAGAATGCTTTTTCAAGGTATAAACCCATTGTTTTCCCTCCGTATCCCAGGTCACCGCTCATCCAAAGTACCAGCATCATCACCACAAACACCAGGGGACATTACCGTTCGCACACCGTTGCCTCCTCCTCCTACTCCTGCTGCGGGAAGAACCTCTCCAGCACCTGTCTTTGTCACACCAACGCTAGCGAATCACACGACCTTTTCGATAAGCTCCCTCCCCTTCATGCAGTTTAAATCGGTAGTCAACATACAAGGTGCGTGGATCCGTGATCATGCTTTTTCCGTGGTTACTAGGCGGGGGACTCCTTGGAACCAAAAGGTTTTTCGATAACAACCAATGTGCCCTTTAACCTAACTTGAACTTGAAAGGGACCTACCAATCTTGGTCTGCAGACTCTCTGCAGGCAAGCAGCCCTGAGAGCAACAGTTCAACATCCGCTGTCACGTTGCCGGATCTTCAAACGAGCATTGTTGATCACTTCCAGAAAGGGGCAGACAGAGAAGGCCCTCCGACAGCATTCAGCAGAAACCTCAATGCGTTGATGCCAGAAAATCTGTTTTCCTGCGGCACCGCAAATTTGCAGATGACCTTACCGCAACACTCATCACCCGCAGTGGACTTTTTAAATCTCACTCTGTTCATGGTTTCGAACAAGCTCTTTACACTGGATTCGGATATGAGCAAAAAAGTCTATAACTGGATCCAACGCCGTTCGGATGTCGGGGTTCTTGAATATCTCTTATCCGTTGGCGGGCCGACGGCCGAAGCCCTTGCAGAGCAGTTCTTCTCTCTCGCGATGGAGGAGAAGGATGCCCCTACTGTCAAGAGGATATTAGATTCCGGTCTTAATCCCAATGAGTTGAGACGGTCTAATTCTTGGTATCAGCTCACACCGCTTCAACGAGCTTGCGAACTGCGCAGCCTGGAGCTTGTGCGAGTATTGTTGGATGCTGGAGCAGACGTCAACAGCTCATTGCGAAACACTAAATCTCCTCTGAGCTATCTAATTCACCGAATAGTCGCGAATTGGGACGGTGATGGCACTGAGAATTGGGACGGTGATGACATTGAGAATAGCGACATTGATGACATTGAGAATCGCAATCTTGATGACATTGAGCTGGTACAAGTTCTCCTTCGCGCAGGCGCCAATGTCAATCCCCCGGATGAATCCCCGCTGACAGAGGTTGCATCATCATGCATTCCGAAACTCGTTGCTGTCCTTCTTTCTGCGGGAGCAGATCCAAATGTCTCAGATGACCATTCCGGCACTACTCCACTCAGTGCGGCAGTGCAAAGTCGTGGGCCTATATCCGATATTATCTCGATAGTTCGCCATCTGCTTCAGGCCGGCGCTCATGTGAATGCTGTTACTTCTGATTGCGATGGAGAAACAGTAACTGTGTTGGAGGCGGCATTGAGCTCTTCCAGCGTCGAATTGAGCTCTTCCAGCGTCGACTTGATCCGAATACTGTTGGAGAGGGGAGCGCATGTTACCGAATCCGCATTGGTCGGAGCCGTGGAGGTGGGCAACTTGGACATCGTCAATCTCTTCCTCCGCTCTTCAGCTCGAGTCACGCAGAAAGCAATCAAAGAGGCAGCACGCAGTGGTCAATGGGGAATATTTTGGCACCTGCTTGACTCTGCAGAAGACAGCATAAAGGAAAGCAACCTCAGTGATGCACTGACCGCAGCTATAAATCGTGGAGAAAAAGATCTGGTTGACACTCTATCTACGTCTGGCGCCAAACTTCGAAGCTCTCCCGGGCTGACTGCGGCCATCCAGGCAGCTGCTTCTAGGGGAGACATTTCAGTCCTTCGTCTCCTTCTCAGTGATGGGTCGAAATACCGAGCTACCGCTATCGAGTCTTTAGGTTGCGCTCTCAGCGTTGCCATTGCCCAGGGCAAAAGCGACGTCACTACGTTACTTCTTACGGCTGGTGCAGACGTAAACGACCGGAACACTAAAACAGAGAGCACTCCCCTTTTGGAGGCAATACGTCAGAAGGATGCTGGCCTTTCACAAAGGCTCTTAGCTGCTGGGGCAGAGGTTAACACGACAATAACTAATCATCAAGGCATTGACCACAGATGTACAACTTCTGCACTGCCAGCAGCAGTGGAATTCGGTCATCACCCATTGATCCGAGACATAATCGCTGCAGGAGGTGATGTTAACGCGCCTGCGTGGGAAAAAGGCAAAACGGCACTCACGATAGCAGTCGAGCGAGGTGACTCGACCATCATTCAACTTTTGATTGATGCTGGTGCGGACGTTAATGCTTCAGCTGCCAGTTATTTTGGATATACAGCTCTTTCAGCTGCTGTTCGGAACAATGACATCAACATGGTCCACTTTCTCCTTGACCTGGGGGCGGACCCGAATGAGCAGTCCTTGACTGCTGCTGTTTACAAAAGCATAGAGGTGATGCAAACACTGCTAACAGCCAGGTTAGCCAGGTATAAACATTTCTCGACAGGATTTGGTTGCCCAAAACTGCAGCATGCTATCGCGTCATCAAATGCTGTCATGATTGAAGCGCTACTATCGAGTGGCGTGGATCCAAACACTATTGTCAGGTTCCATTATGGAGAATACAAGAATTTTGTCCACTCCTCTGTTGAGTTGCACAGAGAGTCTGCCTTTGGAACAGCAATCAGGGTTGACAAGAGCAAGGACCTATGGGTGATCCAGATGCTCTTGCACCGCGGTGCGGATCCCAACAAGGTCGTGAATGACACTAGAGATAATACCGCTCTTCTGTCAGCCATCAAGCAGGGGAGACCGGAACTCGTCAAAATGCTAATAGCTGCCGGAGCAGATGTGAATCTGCCACCCGTCGATCGGGTGTCGGCTACGCCGCTGCAACGGGCAGTTGAGCGAGGCAAAACGGATATTATAGATATACTCTTGGAGCAAGGTGCAGATGTGAATGCACCTCCGTGTGGTCGAACTGGAGCAACTGCGCTTCAATTTGCTGCTATCAACGGATACATCGGCATAGCGACTATACTGCTAGCGAAGGGAGCTAACATCAACGCTTCGCCCGCGAAGATTGGAGGGAGAACAGCACTTGAAGGAGCGGCTGAGCATGGTCGGATCGATATGCTACAGTTCCTCCTGGATGCTGGAGTGCAACTCATCGGACAAGGGAGTGAACAGTACGCAAGAGCACGAGAACTTGCTTCGGAGAATGGTCACATCGCCGCGAGGCGCCTTCTGGAGGCTTATTACGCTCGGCAGGTGATGGCTATATAGCTTAGGGGCCACTGGTAATGAATTTTAGGGAACAGCGAGGGTTACAAGACATGACCGACCGGATCCCTCGGTGCGCGCTTCGTACTACGGTGGGCTTGAATTGCTGCGGGCTTGGGAGATTGTCCCAAGTCAGGAGATCGTTGTACTGTGGCGGTGCTAGGTCGTTCGCTTTTGGGTGGCTATCCATCGAGGACAAGAAAACAGAGCAAAGGCCAACAAACAGAGGAAGCCTTGCGTGCTGAAAGGAAATAAGTAGTGCAAAACAAACACTATGAACTGGATATCCTCCTTGGATATCTAAAGGAAACAGAAAAAGGGAACAACACACTGGCTCCTTGCCAGGCACCAAAGGCTCGATATTGTTGCTCTCTGAGTGTCTCTGGGATGGAATAGAAGGAAAAGAGGAGCTGGCGGAATATCTTCGTTCCACTCCGTGTCCCAACCCGGTCCTGTATACACTTTCGCTGGGATTTAATGAGACTTGAGCCTTTGGGAAGCCTCGATCATCACCAGCAGATTCTCTGACCAAAATCTTACCCTTATAAAGGCCCTAGCAGCGCCACGCCCTGAAAGGCCGATTGACTATCCCCAAATGCCCAGGGAAGGTCCATATATCCCAGTCGGATTCTAGGATAGCTACTAAGACTGGAAGACCCAGGATCTGAGGGCTGCCCAAACCCAAATTTGAAAGCCTCATCAGCCAAACGGTGACACCCGTTGCTAGATGCCAGAATCTTGGGAGGGTCTAAACTTCGGAGGCAACGCAATGCTGGCCATCAAGGACAAGCTGTCGTGACCTAGAGTCTTTTTGCCCACCCAGGCAACCCCCTGATCTCATTTGCCAGAGCCCAAAATCTTGTGCGAGCGCCACAACGACCCGTCCGGGGCCTCCTGCCGTAACGTAGCATGTCAATTGAATGCGAACCAAGTCCCCAATCGTATACATGAGGACTGCTAGCATTGGGAATTCGAAACGGGCACTTTGGAAACCTCATCATCAAAGAGGAGAGACACATGTCTGAGGGGGTTAGCCTTCACGGCTCACCGCACACGCCAGGCGTCGCTGCCAAATACCCCTAACAGATTTTGGGAGCAACGAAGCCCAGAGTGGGCCTTGATCAGCTGGGTCCGTCGCGAGTCAAGGACACAAGATTCTGGGCGAGTCTACAAATCTATATCAGTGCGGACCTCCCACAAGCAAAACACTCCCCACGGAGCGTTCTGGCGAAACCCTACCCGAGCAGGTGTGCGGAGACCCTCCACATCAAATCCTGCTCTTTCCCGCTGAACCAAAAAATAACCCATGAACGACAATGACTCGGTTATCACTCGAAGCCATTGTCGCTATCGTCGGCGTCATAGTTACCCTTCCGCCTTCGGTGATTATCTTGTGGAGGCTGATTAGGACGAATGATAATCCTGCAGGGGATATTGAGGTACATAATGCCCCTATTGACTCACCCCTTCGCACTGAAAAGGCAGGACAGCGGGTTAATCAATGGGAACGGGGGGAGTTTTTAGGCTTCAGAAATGCCACCGTCAGCATCGAATCGGGTCGAGGCTCACTTGACTCGCCTGAGAACCATCACCGTAATTCAGCATCAACGTCAACATTAACATCATCCCCCGACAACAAGTCTCAAAGCGATTGCTATTGATGTTTTCAATATTTGGAAGAGAGATAGAGAAGGTCGTCGTGGTTCATTTAAGGAGTCTGGTCGCAGAAGCCCAGAGGGAATCAGCCTTACACTACGTGAAAAGAAGCTTTAGAGAAGTTAAAAAGCCGTGCCTCCAAAGAACGAAACTCTTTGTGAGATCTATTATGCTAGTCGCAGGAGCTAGATGTTTGAGAGCGGTAGCTGCTCTCAGCTAGATGTTTTGGCGTGCTATATAGTTTGGACAGTGCCAACATTAACTCCTTGGAGCATGCCCGTTCCGCATGGTCTTCAACAGCCTGGTTGTAGAAATCTGGCCCCCTCTCCCCCAAGGTTGTCTGGTCATTAAATCGATACTTGGTTCATCTCACAACCATCTAGCATCCCAGCAAAGGTATATAAACATCTCAATGATCAAATGAAAACCACCATCAAAAATTCACGAGTAGAGTGGATTCTAGAGCCGGTGAGACAGAATGCTACGAGAAAAGGTTTTAGAGCGGGATTGCTAGCAACAAGAAATGGGGATTCCACAAGCCCAGGAGGATATTGGAGGAAGGAAGAAGAGAAGGGAGAAAAAAAAAGGGGGGGGGTGGATAGCAATCAATGTACACACTACACGCGTTCCATTGCTTTTATGATAGCCTGGTCACGTGCTCGGTATTGGCACGGGTAGAGTAAATAGTATGGACCATTCAATCAACTCTCTGTGCGCCGCTTGGTCTCTCGATTCTCACCAGGTGGTGTTGCCATCTCCAACATCGCCGCCAGAATCCAGAAGGATCACGAGGGGATATCTAAAAGGACAAAGGAACCGCTTAAATTCATTCACCGCGACCAAGGAGTCTCCCTATTTTCGAGTTTACTAGCAGAAATGATGAAAATGACACCAGTCTTGATGATAGTCTGGGACTCACCGCGGATCTGAAGGAGATCAATATTAAAGAAGGCAACACCATTGAGCATCTGAAAGCGGACCTTGAAGAGATCAAATCTGAACAGGAAGCCCTCAAAAACCGGAATACTGAACTAAAGGATGAAATCCGATCCTTGCGCACGCAACTCAGTGCCTATTCTGGCTCCATCCCGGCTGGTTCTATTCCCTCCCCTAGGTCATGGGCATATATGGCAGCCAGCGGTGGAACAGCTAGAACCGAGAAGAACTATCAGGATCGACACCGACTAGGAATCCGAAGGAAAACCCCAACTATGTCCGAATCAGCACACAACCTAGGCTCGCCAACGGTGAGGACACCGAGATAGAGTTTACAAGATATCTATCTACGGACTCGGCTAACACCTACATCCGGAATTCGCTCCTGAATGTCGATACAACCAAAGGCGTACATGTAGCCGCAGTGGGAACAACCAAAACAGAATATATCATCCGATTTAAAGACCATCAATCTACTAAAACGACCCGAACCAATACCGAATGGCTCGAAGAGTTGGGCAATGGTACGAAGTTGGTAAAACGCACTGTACGGAGTGGTGGCTCACCGCGTACCCACGGTGGACTTTTCTTCACCCGGAAATGAGAAAGATGGAATCCAGAAGATTATGGAAGAGAATAACCTGGCCATAAAATGGTTCCACATTAACGAGATTGTATGGATGAAGACGCCCGACAAGCCGCTGAGCATGAACGTATCATTGGGGATATGGTTGGACACGCCGGACACGGCAGAATGGGTCGTGAACAATGGGCTAGTATTCGGTCCGCGACATAAAAGGAGCATTGAACACTATCGGATCGAAAAGAAGCGATGCTACCGATGTCAAGGATTTGGTCCACCTGGCATGATCATGCAAAGAAAGTGAGTACTGCTCGGGCGACCACGAGCGACGGAATCGCTCCCCAGGTGAGGCCGAAATGCCTGGGCTGTTACGGAGCGCACCCCGTAGGGGGTAAGAACTGCCAAAATAGTTCTCCCGGATGTTCTGTTCGCCTGGGTTGTTCGTGTCAAACCCGATAGTTGCAGCCCACAATTTCAGTCTCTTCTTGCGCCATAACACATGAGTAGCATGGTTGCTCCCAGTCACAGTTCAGCTTCTCTCTTTGACAGCGTACACATTCCTCGCCAGATGATTCCTCATCCGCTAGGGGACCTACAGAAGAAGGGGAGGGCAGTTTCGAGAACGACTGTACTGCCCATCCAATGCCAGGATTGGGTAAGACGCGTCACAATGAAAGACCGAAAGTTGCCAGGCAGCGGGTTTGGCCGAAACGAATGAGGTGAACAGCTTGGGCGATTGTAACTGAGGGCCCAAAGGAGACCCCTGAGCCCGAACTGGCTTCTGCGCGTTGGTATCAGGGCAGCACTCCCCGTGGCTCGCCCAGTGCTCGGGCGTGCTCCTCCCCGTACTGTGCGTGGCTCCCTCTACGCCCCGTCACATGCCCGATTGAAGCGGCATGGCTCCCCTTCCTGAACGAAAATGGTAACGCACGAAAGCACGGTTCGGCGTGTACATAATATAATACATATATATATATATATATGTACATTCACCACTGAGAAAAATGGATTAAGCAAGAAAGACAGATAAGCCATCAATAAGCATCTGCTCCCTACACAGAATACATACTTATGAGGAGGAATACGGGGTCGTGATTATTGATTTATTATCACATGCCTCGTTCTTTGGATTGGCTTCGTGGTAGGTTTAACATTTCGCATCCGACGTCGAGCAACAATCGCTGACGTTTGATCGACGAGGGCGCGAACCACCTCGCTACATAGCGAAGAGCTACCATGCACGAGTAGATAACTATCTCGCTATGTAACCAGGTAGCTCGGCAACTAGCTGGCGATTGGAGCGGGTCTGTGATCCGAATCCTATCCCATCGGTGCCCATGGCCCGTCCGAGATTCGCACTGCGGCGCTCGTCGCGACCCGACCGGCCTAAGTCGCCATCGAGGACCCCGGCTCGGAAAACAAAGTAGTAGAAAAACGGGACAGAAAATAAAAAGGGAAGGAAAAAGGAAAAAGAAAAGAGACACCTAAATCAATCAACCAGATACATGTAGACGCTGAATGCCTATCCACTGTCCAGATGCAGAAGTATGTATGAATGCAAGGTGGGGGTTAGCTGCGTGCGGATTATGCCACTATATAGGTCGGTCGCGGGAAAAGAAAGAAAACGAAGGGAAAAATACGGGATATTGCAACCTCCGTCCGGATCTTGGGGATGTCGATGATGAGCTCTATATCGTCGTGCTGTTTTCGGTGGTGTTGCATGAAATTCTGGTGGTGGTTCATGTCGTGGAATTAGGTCCGGTCGGCTTGTGTAGGACCGCGTGTAGGTGTTGGTATGGGTGTGAGTATCGAGTAGGATCTATTCCTCTGCGTCGGCCCCTCCCTTCTTCTTGAGGTTGTGTGTTCCCACTCGTGAACAAACTCCCCTACTTCCCCCGTGGCATCCCACGCAGCGAGACCACATTGCATTGCATGTATCGGCGCCCTCCCTCCTAGTTGCGTTACTCCACGTCCCCGAACCCCTGCCGTGTCACCCACTTCTCCTTCCAGCCGGGGAAATAAGGACTCTCGTCGAGCGTGTGATGCTGCCAGTCCTTCACAACGAGGCCTTTCCGGACCTGCTCGCGCTCGTACTCCTCCAACGCCGGAATCACCACGTGCTCCACGTGCCACGTGTTCTTGTACTTCATGAGATTCTCCTTGCCGTCCCGCAGCACCTTCAGCACGAGGCTGGGGATATAGGGTTCGTCGCGGAACTCGGCCACGGGGGTGAACAGCGCTTTGAAGTTGAAGACGATGCCGCCGGAGAGGGGGAGGCGGCGCAGTGTTTGCCAGTCGACGCGCAAGTGGATGCGGGAGAGGTCTAGGTCGGGGGATTGGAAGTCGCGGTACTTTTCGTGCGGGTCGCCCGGAGGCATGTAGAGCGGTTGGTCGACTTCTAGACCCCACGAGCCGCGCTGGATGGGTCTCGGTGCGGGCATCTTGGTAAAGAATCTGTTGGGTAATGTTAGCGATAACGGAAGATATGCGTCATGGCTCGGAGCCCTGGCCTACCTATCCATGCTAAACTGCATCTTCTCCTTGTAATCGGGGATCGGTGCGTGGATCTGGTGCAACTGCAATCCAATCTTGGTCCCGACATTCCAGCCCAAGGCCGAGCAGATCATCCCCGCGCGGAAATGGTAGTAACCGGTCTCCGGATTACGCAAGGTGATGGCAAAGTCCTCGGGGACGTTGTCCAACAGGACCAGAAGAGGATGCTTGGCTGAGACGTCCTGCTTTGTGCCGAGAATCTTGTTTTCGAATGTCTTCTTGTCAGAGTGTAGGTGGAAATACTGGGGATAGCGCGCACAAAGGAACTGAAGCGCCATTTCCATGAGCTCTTTGCAGGCTAGTTCGGAGCCGGGGAGCCACTGAAGCACAGCCTCGCCATGTTCGGCATACAGCCGCTTGCGTTGAGCAATTCGTGCGACATATGTGTTTTCCAGTTCCAGCCACCAGTCCGGCTCCATCTTGGTAAGTGCTGCGAGCAGAGACAGTTAGTTACGTATCAAAATAACACAAGATGGGGTACCGACACATGGTTTGATGATACGCCCATCGGAATGGTCGATATGGTCGTGGAAGAGCTTTGTTGATATCATGTTCATGGTATGGTTTGGGAAGCGGAACATCGCTGAGGACAGAATAGTCGGGGAAGTCTCCGAGCGCTCGAATTTCTTGGATCTTGTAGCCAGTGTAGACATACTTGCTGGGATCTGCCTTGCGGAAGTCCTCGTCAAATCCGAGAATAGATTTAGTCCAGTTCTTCTCGTCGAAAGTGGAATTTTGCAAGACCATGCGGCGATCTTCGGGTAGAGAGGCAGCGGCTACCAAAAGGGTCTCTCTGGTTAGAGGTGGGAAGGTGTTGACATATTCAGATGACTTCGGTGGCGAGTTGTTGGGTACCCTCTTCTCTGGTGAGAGGGATCGAGGCGGCGTATCTGCACTTGACGTGCGACGACCTCGTAACCGCAATCTTCTAAAGACGACTTCTTTCTGCCGCTGACTGAGGCTCAGATAGGTGACGATGCTGACGCAGACAGCGAGGCCTGCATAGAGCAGAGTTCGCCCGTCCAGGAATGACCCCATCCCTGCCGAGTTGAGAAAGAAGCTGAGTGGAGGATCAAAGGGGATGGCGATGTATATGTACAACCAAAAAGAATCCGAGCAACTTCCTTTGAAAGGCCGAGTCGAAAGCCGTCCCAAAGTCTTTCAGTTGCAAGTCAGGACCACCAACACTGGCCAAGCGACATATGTCAATGGAAGCGTGCAGAAGCCAAGTACCGCCTCTCGACAATCAATGCCAGGGACGGCGAAATGGCGCTGATATAAATATCGACGGCGGATCTCGAAGATCTCCCGAACAGGGCAAAATGCAAGCAAAAACAAAGATAATGGGTCAAGTCACACCACCGAGGCTAAGCGATGTTCAGCATAGCGGTAAGACAAGACCTGACTGTATAACAAAAATCGCAGGAAGACCAGGTAAGGGCAGAGCAGATTGAGCTTGCAGCAAGGGCTGTGGAATTGGGGGAAGACCAGAGGGGTTTGATGATGTTGTCAAGGGAGAAGAGAGCTCAAATGGGTGTAGAGCAGGCAGGGTCTGTGCCCGTGGCCAAAATGTGAACCCCACCGCTTATTGGAGAGGTGTATAGAGCTATCAGCCAAGATACGCAACCTGAGGACAGCTCGGACAAGGTACTTGAATCCCAGCGGCCATTAGCACGGCCTGACAGGTACCGGGGCATAGCTTGCACGGCCCATCCTCGACGAGGGTGATCGCAGCGGTTCGTGACAGGTTATCGAGCAACCTACCTCCAGACCTTGCCACGCCAGAAGGACTGATGGGTGAGCCCCAAAAGAGTAGGCGACGAATCGGCAGAAGGAAGCCAACGAGCCAGATCCAGGGCCGACTTGACTGGCGCTCCAGGGATCCGAACAAGAAGGTAGATGGAGCGAGAGACGATGGAGGTCGTCAGAATGCACAACGCTGCGGCTGGCTGCACGGACAGCCTTGCCACAAGGGGTTTAGCGCACGCTTGATACGGCGATAACGGATGAGACCCACTGGACAGCCGTGATTGGTCGCTGCCCGACGCCATGGGACCCACGTTTCGCCGTCTATCGATTGTTCCTCTTTCGGGCAAATCTATCCCGGCCGTGACCTCCAGCACCACGGCGCGCCTTGTGGTTCCGGTGCCTGGATCTTCTGTCCAAGCTCCACGACGAAACAAACGGTTCCGACAGCAACCTTCACCGTACGAGCCAGAGGAGTCTAAGGTGCAACATATCTGTCCTATGCACGCCAGACAACCGATCTCTTCCTAAGGTGTGTAATTTGCTCCGTCTGTGCGACGTTCATCTTCCTCGCCAGGATCATCGACATTGCTTCGACCATGCTGTCGACCATGCTGTAGAACACTGACCTGTACGACATCCTGCACGGGCTGTCCATTCACCTGGACTTGTCCACGCGTGGCCACCATCCCTCGGGTGCTTGCCGATCTCCTTTTGAGCTACTGATCGCGAAAGGTCATCTGCAACGCCTCTGTCCTGCAGTTCTGATTGTGAAAAAGAGCCAATTGCCTGGGCACAGGAATACCTGTTATTTGTATCCTGGTAGTGGCGCAGTGGCGTTAATAACGGCGTCAACTGGAATTCCTCGAGCGCGGAGCAGGCGGTCTAAACCTGCTGGCTTGCGGCCCGAATGTAGGACAGTTTCTCTAGGCCTTGTACCCGACCATTTGGTTCACCCGTTCTTGGTGACGGCTGTCGTCGCGTTTTCCCGGAAGGATCTCAACTTGAACCTCGCAAAGCCTTCTCTCCCCAGCCTTATAAGGCGATGCGCATATCAGCATGATAATGATCTCAACTGCTCACAGTCCAGAGCCGGTCGGTAACTCTTTCAGGGGCTGCGGTTACTCGATCCCCGCTCTTGTCGTTGGGCTCGTCGCTCAAATGCCCGATCCTCAACGTTGCTGAAACCGGCGGCCACTTGTGAGTGACATCGAGAAAACGGACGGGGCAACCTGGATGCTGATATGAAGCGACAGCGGACCTTCTTACCTCGTGGTGCGACGGTAAGCTCGACAACCGTCGTCCCAGCCTGAATTCATCGTGTAACCGGCGGATGGATTGCCAGCTCTCCGATATTGAGGCTAGTGTTGCATTTCGAGACACCTCAGGACTCGATAACTGGGAATATCGGCTAGGATTTGCGATATCAGTCTGGATTCGCGTAGATCCCGTCCCGGGACAGTCTCCTGTAAAGGTGACCCGGATCAAGAATTGATGAAGAACAGTATAATGCTCGGTGCACGCATGAAAGCCAGCAACAGCCTCAATCCGCACATTGGAATTCTCTTAATTTGGTCTGTTGTTCCCTGCGCACCGAGCCTGTTGGCACGTCCATGCCCACTTGCGTCAGAGTGTCTGCAGGTCGTGGCATTCGGTGCACGAAGCAATTTCTAAAAGCCATTCTCATCGACACATCAAATGGTGAACCATGGCAGAACAGGGTCCCGCTCTCTTGCTCTGAGCCAACTGACAATGTGATTGTTGAACCTCGAATAAAGGAGACAGTGCGTCGGAAAGCTTCTGTGCAATTCGCAAGGAAGTTTTTGCTCTGTGCAGACATTGAACGGCAGTTTGTGAAGTGAAACTCGGTGAAACGCTAGCTGCGCGTTAACAGAACTATCCGCCATGCCAGAGCCGGACGAAGGATCTGCACTGCAACAAACCTGAAAGACGGTATAAACGGGAGGCAGCCAAGGCTTGCCGACTCGACAGCTGAAGCAGTGCAATGCTGGTCTTCTTGACGCCTTTGCAGCTCAATTGCCTCACAGAAACCGGTGGTGCTCTGCGCACAGGAGATGTTGGTTTGCGAAGCGATGGGAAGTCCTAGGCAGACACCGTATCTGGCTGAGGGGCAGTGTAGCCGTTGGACATGGACGGTAGCCGAAGCTGCAAACATCCTGTTAAACCAAAGAAAGAATTGTGGTACAAGACAGCCTTTTTGTGTCCGACGCCATATGTGCGTGCTCCTCTCCAGATGGCACGTGGGCAGGCAGAGAACTCAAAGCAAATGATGCAGTGTCATGTTGTGCTGAGCGACATGCAATGCCTTCCTCTCTCCCACAAATGCACCGCAAAATGCGCTATTAAACGAAATGGTTGATTGAATTCAGGCCTTCGGAGTGGCATGCTGTATCAGAGTATCGAAATTGCCCTTGAGGCCTCTTGTCCTGGGTGTGTTGAAGGGAAGAAAGGACCAAATGGAACCAAGAAGACCCCAGATATCGTCTTGAATGCTGCGCTTGCTTCACATCTAGCTTGAATTGTATTCCAAGTGTCCTCGTACTGCATTGAGGACTTTCTTGCAATAGACTGGAGTTCATTGTCTAGAACAATTAGTTTGTGTGGAGGAATGATGTTGGCACTTTCGGCCACATATCATTTGGCTCCATCAATAGACTTGCAGCCCAAAGGATTTGAAGCCTTTCCACAAACCATCAGCCCAAGCTCCATTTGTCGGCACGACTCACCTTCGAAGAATGGCTGCGTGTATCAGAGCGAAGGATGATTCTCGTGGGAGCCTTGTGGGGTGGAAAGGAAGGGTGCTCAAGGGCAATCAAGGGGTGCTCTGCGCCTTGCGAAAAATACTCCACCGTAGCCGGCATTTTCAACTCCCAAACTCCAAGCGCAAATTTCACCTGGCAAACCTAACTTGGTGCCGACTCCTCCCCCTCTAAAGGTCGTCCAGCATGTTGCAATAACACATAGAGCGGCTAAAATGAGGACAATGGCTGAAAACCTATCCTTTCCACCGCAAAACACCTTCATCCACCATGGGCCCATTCGTGCCTCGCCGAGTGTACCCACACCTCGAGTCGATACCTAGATCCTACTTCCTGGGCCATCATGCGGCCGGTTTGTCGAAGATGAAATCCTTGATCTCGCAAATCGATCTAGTCATCGAATGCCGAGACTATCGAACGCCCATTGTATCTCGTAATCCGTTATTCGAAGCCAACCTCGGCGAACGACCCCGATTGATAGTTTACACCAAGCAAGATCTGGGAAGCAATTTCACAGGTGAAGACAAGCAGGTATGAGCGGCCCGGGGAATGAGCTTGCACATGGCTGTTCTGACCTGGAACAGAGAGAAAGGATCATCAAGAAATGGGATGCTCCATCCATATCATTCTTTGCAGATGTGAAGTCGCGAGTCGCTATCAACCGAGTCCTCGATTTTGCCCGGGCGCACGCGAATGCCTCGACCTCCCTCTTCGGCACCCGTCTCATGGTCGTGGGCATGCCTAATGTTGGAAAGTCGTCTCTTCTCAACGCTTTGCGGAATGTTAGCTTGGGAAAAAGCAAGGCTGCGAGAACTGGAGACCAACCAGGAGTAACCAGGAAGATCGGCAGTGATGTCAAGATATTAGAGGCGGAAGATGGCAGAGAGGCCGTATATGTTCTGGACACTCCTGGCGTCTTCGTTCCCTACGTCCCAGATGCCGAGAGTATGCTGAAGCTCGCTCTCTGCGGAAATGTCAAAGACACGATTATCCCGCCCACAACGATCGCCGACTATCTTCTGTACCACCTCAATCTTCGCGATCCGGCCTTGTATAACATGTATGCTGAACCAAGCAACGATATTTTTGATGTGCTGGAGGGCCTTGCGCGGAAACAGGGTCGCCTAAAGAAGGGCGGGCTGCCCGACTTTGAGTCTTCGGCTTTGCAGTTTGTGCAGAAATGGAGGGGTGGGCAAATGGGAAAGTTTGTGTTGGACGACGTGACAGAAGACGCGTTGGCTGAGCGAACTCGGCAGCTGGAGTTCCTGGGAGGGAGTATGAATCAGGCTCGCAAGGCCGTGAAGCAGCTGAAGAAAGAGGCCTACCTCGAAGGAGACTGAACTATGACCGACTTCACCAGGTTCAAGTGGACAACTTCACGAATCGGGCGCGTCTTTCTGCCTCCAACCTTGGCGATGCAGCTCACTAGCACACGTCGCCAAGCAGACACACTCTCAACGATCAACCGGTGTATCATGGTGATCACGGAGATCACACGAAAACCATCGATTGATATTTGGCGTCAAAAAGTGCAAAAACTTAACACAGAACAGCCAACCTTTGGTCTGTGTTAAGCGAAACTCGCCCCTTTCGGGGTTGGTTTTTCTCGGCCGGTTATACTACAAATTCTATACGGTTGAATCGATGTCTTGCTGCCTGCTAACCCGTTATTGTTAGTTCGTCCTGGCAAGACATAGATTTTGTCGTCATCGGAGGAGAGGAGGAGGATCGAATCGAGGTCCTGATGCCTGTTAGCGCGGTGCTAGTTGGACCTGGCAGGACCTGGACTGCCTGCTGTGATCTCGGTTCGGAATCGCCCTAGTCGCGGTAGGGGGTCTTTGTGTGACAGGAACTGAGCACAATAAAAATATAAAGGTGAATGATTTGAACCAGACCTGGTGGGTCACAGCCTTGCTAAGGGCTGACAAGGCTGAACCTGCGACGGGTCCACACACGGTTAACACGCGGTCAGGCAGTGAAGCAGAGCCTCCATCTGGGAGTGACTGGACACTAGCTCATCACTTCCGGGACCTTTGCTATCAAAATCCTCTCGATAACAAGCAAGTCTCCTCTCCTCTCCTCTCTTCTCCTGTCTTGGGCTACGTACCAAGTCCCCTTGTATGGAAACGAGGCCGGCTTCCAAGATGATAATCTCCACTACGTACAGCGAAATCTCTATTGTATTGAGAACTCTGCAGCTTCCCGAGAGATCTATTCTATGTACTGTATATATATATCCTCATCAGCCCTCCTGCCTCCAATCCACGATCGGTGGATCGACAGCAGTCGACACGGAGTTGGCCCACGCACGCCTAAATCCCTCGTACCTATGATAGACATGGAGGATATACAACAGGGCGGTCGACTAGACTGGGCTGGGCTGGACTGGCACGCAACACACGCAGAAACCCAGCAAAGAGGATATCGGATCTCGTGCGACTACGTAACTAGGTAGCTACCCGTACTGAGGACGTCTTCGACACGGGACACCTAGAGCGAGAGAAGAGAGTGTGCAAGGGAAAAGCTAACCTGCATGAACGGTTTGAAGAACTCCTTGCGGACAGGGAGGAGCAAGAGGAGAAGTAAGATTTCGTATGCAAAGCATGGCGGGCATAAATATATACATAGCTAGAACTTCAAAGCTCTTCATTTCCCATCCTCTTCACCATCTGCAGAGCTTCTAAAACCCCCCCAATTCGATGTAAAATCCAATGTCCATGTCGTTCTCGCTTCCATGGCGAGCCAGGCAGCGAGCGCGCCTCGCCACGACAGATTCGCTCAAAACTCTCCCATGAGGTCGTCAGGCAAGGTCCATATCCTCACGTCGCCCTCGTCGCCAGTCGAAATGATCATCTCCTCGCCGTCGAACCGTCTATCCTTGTCGCGCCGCTCGGCCCAGCCGACGTGGTTGATCTCGAACTCGTCGTGGGCAGCTTCCATGAGCGCCACGACTTCCCATTTCGAGCGGTGCAGCCTGTAAGGCGCGTCGTCGTCGTTGTCCCCTTGGGCGTTATTATTCTCTGGGGACCTGGGTAAGAGCGATGTTATCGTCGTGCCGTTCATGACGACGTCGTCTTCTCCTTCCATATTTCCACCGCCCGACGCACTGTCTTCGGCTGCTAACGCAGATGCTGACGCAGGTACTTCCCTGTACACCGCTATCGTGCCGTCTCCGCCGCAACTCACCACCATTCCGGTTCTTTTCGACCAATCCACTGCATATACACTCCGTACATGTACGGCTGGCAATTTCGAGTCTTCGACCCATTTCTCCATCGCGCTCATCGGGCGGATCACGCTGGGTATTCGCGAGGACGCAAATCCCATTGGCGCTGACAGATGTTGAGACTGTGCTCTTCTCTTCTCTTTCTCTGCCTCACTTAATTCCCTTCTCCACACACGCACCGTAAGGTCGTCGGAGCCAGAGATAATGCGAGGTATCCAATCTGCTTCAAATTCTCGTATCGCAACCTCTCTGTCTCGTTCGTTGCGACACTGCGAGAGGTCCAAGAGGGAGTAATTGATGTGTTTCTCCCACTTAAGATCCCAAACTGTTCCCTTGTGCCCGTCGATCACGCTGACGCACATCCAGTCGCCTTCTTCCTCGACGTCCCGCCAGAGGCGGATTGTGTCGTCGTATGAACCGCTCGCTAGGATGGGGCGACAGCCCAGGACGTCCAATTCGTCTTCTTCGTCGATGTCAACGTCTTGTTGGGTCCTTGTTGTTGCGGAAGTAATGCCGTTTGGTCGCCCAACTGTGTCTCCCATATCGACATCTCCGTCTCGATCTCCCGCATCTTCGAGCTTTCTTCGCTTCGACCTGCGGCCGTTCCCCCTTCTTGCCCCCTGACACCAACCAACGCATTTGACATCGCCCGTATGCTCACTCAGGACCGCGATAGTTTCCCACTCTTCGGGCTCTACTTCTTCCCAGATCCAAACACTCTTGTCTCTTGAGCTGGTCGCCAAGAGGTTCGCCGGGTAATGGGAGGGCGAGAATTCAATGGATTTGATCTCAGAATCGGGACCGGTCAGCAGAGTGGAAAAATGCCACTCTTCATCTTCATCGTCGGCCAGGTCGTTGGTCATGTCGACTTCGTCCGTGTCAGAAGACATGCTCCTTTCATCCTGCAGCGTTCGCCCTTTCCCATTCTCTTGATCGTCTGCGTCTCGAAAGGCCGCCCACCTCCGATCATCATTCCACACCCAGATCCCAACATTCGCATCAAAGCTGCCTGTGCCCAACACGACAGGTTTCTTCCTCTCCGTCTTCCTCCTGACCTTGGTGCTGCCGCCGAAATCCTTCCACGCGACGGTTCTCACGCTCCTCTTATGCCCTCCGCTTATCGTCGAGATCAGGGAGAAATCTCGCAATGACCAGATGCTGACGGACTTGTCTGCGGACCCGGTTGCGAGGAGCGGTGTAGACGGATCTGGATGCGGGATTGATTGCCATGATCGTGTCCTCCCTGAACCAGGGGGTTGGAGGGTTCTCAGAAGGGACAGAGAAGGCAGTGGGTGGGAGGGAGACGCGTCGGCCATTTGGAGTGCAAGGATGCGTTGTACTGTATGGGTGACAAAGAGGTGGTGTGAGGCCGAGCCTGATGGCGCCTGATTCTTCAGTGGAGCGGCTGAAGCGCCAAGGGCCACGCGCAAACACGAGAGAAAGAGCAAAAATTGCAGCGTGGGAAGTGGGATGCTCGGGGGGGTTTGAGCAAATGGAGATAATGGCAGAAACTTTCTCGAAGACGACTTTCTCTACGAATCGGAGAGAGTGACGTCGGCGGGGCGGAAATGCTCAACGAGACTCCTCCGCTATCGGCTTTGATGGGCTTCCTATACACTGCAATTTATATTCGTGGTGACATCTGTACAAGAGTGGAATCCTTTTTTTTTTTTTTTTTTTATCAAGTCAAGCGGATGGATGCTTGACATATCGCAGATATTGCCTCTGTGGCAGCTTTATATGCACTGACACATGAGTCGCAATCCATTGGTGAGCAAGAGAGTCGTCCGGAGAGCCTCTACGTACAGTATCTCTAAGTCGGCCGAGGCCAGTCTGGTCGTGGTGTATCCGAAGTAAAGGCCTCTTCGAACTGTATCGAGTCCTCGAAGGTTCTCCCTCTTGGTCCTCCGCAGCCAGACAGCCAGACACACCGGACGTGGATGAAGACCTTCTCCGTCTCTCCTGCAGGCAAGGTTGAGTCCTTTCTTCCCTCCCCTGATCATACATATGCTCACGGCTTTTTCCCGACCAGGTTCGTCCACCATGCACCCAGCCTGGTCGTGTCTTCCCTTCTCCTGTGACCGTTGCTCTGCAGCCACCGAGCATAGACGTAACCCACCGCCATCCCGCCTAAGTGGTCGATGTAGTCGTACCTCCCTAGACGGCCCAACGCCCCAAACACTTGGCTCAATGTAAGAACTATCAAGACTGTTTGGCCGCTGAAAGATAATCTGTCCGTCCAGTCGTGGGGGATGAATATAAGAGAGAAGTTGTCACTGTGAGGGCCCGTGTTAGTGCGTGCCGCAGTTCGAGAAGGGTTGGATTTCATCTTTACCGTAAATGAAGAGCAAGATATGCGGATATGATGCCATACACGCATCCGCTAGCACCCAGAACCGAAGTTGCCATGTTGCGCTGAGCAAGATGGCGCGCAAAGCTCACAAAGCCCCCCACCAGACCCGAAGTAAAGTAGATGGATAGAAAGTTACCACGGCCAATCTCTTCGTGGAGAGGAAGACCAAAGATCGCCAAAGCCCCCATGTTCATCGTCAAATGCCACAGTGTTTGGTGGCTAAAGAGGTTCCCCAACATGCTCAGTGCATACGGATAAGCGGGAACAAACAAGAAGTACTTGTTCAGCATAGACCAGCAAGGTGGGAACTTCCAAGCCAACCAGACGGCGGTATTGATGGCAATCAAGGTGCCAATAGTGGCGAAGGAAAGCGACACATCCGGGAAGAGTCGATCGGACTGTTTTGGTCGAGTCCAGACTTGGGCAAAGATGTAACAACCACCACACAATAATGCGACCAGGAGTAGCGAAGGAAACAGGCGCCGCAGCATGGTCATCTGAGCGATCTCTGGCGATTCGAGTGTTAGCTTTGACTGGGCTCGATTACGAGCTCTCAGCACCCATCTCTCAAACCTGTTGGGCGGCCTCAGCTCTTTGGCGGTCTCTAATCCTTGTTCCGGTCGCTGAGCGAGTGCTCTGGATCGCTCAGTCTGGGCCTTTTGGGCTTTTGCCATCTCCCTGTCGATTTGTGCTTGTAGTTCCGCCTCTTCCCTTTCACGTTTGGCTTCATTTTCTGCGCGGATCCTGTCTAGCTCGCTCTTTCCATACGGGTCGCTCTCTCTTTCGCTCAGCTCAGCCTGATAGTACCCACTCTGGGGACCGTAATAGGTGTCTTCCGGCGCTTTGTGTGCTCTGTAGAGGCCGATATCTTGTCCCCTTTGCATCAGAACCGAAGGGTGGTCCTTTTCGAGCTTGTCTTCTTCCCGCTCAATGCGGTACATAATAGCCTCATCTTCGTCGATTGGGTACGCCTGCCTCAAAAAGCGTAGACCGTCCTCGACCGCCTGGGGATAGTTCCCCAACTGCGACTCAACGTCCTTTGGGAGCGGCAGATCAAGCGTTCCATCGTGGCGGCGGCCATGGAGGACTCGGAGCAGTCTGTTCGCAAACTGAGGCGGTGGAGCGGGGCGTCCGAAGATAGACAATATCTGCTCTCTGCTGAGCTCGGCGTCCTGAAATCTCAGTCCTTTCTCAGGCTTGTTGTCAGAACCATAAGTTTTGAGTTTCTGAACAATGGCAGACTGGCGGAAGCTGCATTGCGAAGACTGCGAGAAGGGGCGCAATGGGACTTTGAGGAAAGGAGACTGGAGAAGGGGATTGCGTGATCGCGAGAATGAAAGAGAGCCCTCGCTGTGACAGGAAAATAGATTCATGAGCCATGCTCGCGAAACAGGCCTGAGAGGGGCCTGGAGAGTCGAGGCCTGCAGGCCATTCCTTGCTATGCGCAGAGCTACCGTTCCAACATTGTTCATGGCCCTCGACGCCCGAAGGCTGCCTCTCTGCAGCCGCTTTGAGATCAGAAGCTGATGTTCGTGGTGGATTTCTCGAAGAAGGACCAAGGATCCTCGGAGCGTGTTAGGGAGCCCAGGAGCCCAGGTCCGCATCCACATCACGTGATAACACGTTTTCTAAGGTTCATTTGCGTGTGAACATCCCACACCATGCATCGCTCATTTGAGAGGGAGAGAAGAGAAAGAGAAAGGAATGAAATGAAACCAGAATAGGCCCTTGAAAACGAAAGTGAAAAAGGTCTCGATGAAATTCCAGTGCCAGTGCCGATAGTATATAGTGCTAGGGTATCGTGCCACCACCCCAAACCTCCTATGTAACCTGAAACTCCATATATGAATCGTCATGACTTGTGACCAACCTGAAAAGAAATCCGTAGTTTACAAACAAGGGTGGCAAAAGGAAGAAGAGCCGCCTAGTCAGCTTTATCAAGTGAGTCTCAATCAATCTATGCTTCACCACCCACAGGACTCCGCCTCCCTGCCATTGTTGACGGGCCTGGTCCTCCTCCGTCGTGGTGGAAGGGCTGGCCCGTTCGACCCGTTTCGGGCACATACACCCCCGGCGAAGGCTCTCTAGGCATATTCATCATCTGCCCTCCTCTTGCTTCTATCGCCCCGGGCTCAGGGCTCGGTCCACTCATACTCGCACCTCTCGAACGGCCTCCAAATCTTGAATACTCGCCCCTGCCATCCCTATCGCCGCCTCTCATCATAAAATCGCTGAACCCAGTTCCCTCGGGTCTCCTTTCCCCCAGCTCCCAGTCTTGATCATCTGCCCCATCGGCGCGAGCACCGATATCCACGCCAAATCTTCGTCTTTTGCCCACGAGTCGCCGCTCGCGCCACCAGCCCATGCTGTAGCGTTTCCCGCCGAAAACGGTTTCGAACTGGGAGGCGGGCATCCATTCCGCGCCGTCGGGAATGACCTGTTGGCGCTCGTCGGTTTCATCGCCATTTTCGTCTGGACCTGCATGAATTGATTCGGGTCTGTTACCATCGTCATGCCCAAATGACCGTCGACGGCGTTTCCCACAGCATTCGCATAGTCCATCGTCGGCGCTATGGCACAAATCGCTGCCCGCGAGGAGGGACATGGTCCCTGCCATGGAGCACGGGTTACATGGGAGGACGCGCTGGAATTTCGTGGTTAGCCACGCTGATGCGGCCAAAACCGTCATGATGCCGAGGAGGGTTTGGAGGATAAGCTTGCTGTCTTTATCCTGGACGAGCCGCGGAGTATCGACTGTAGTGGGGGAGGTTATTGTCGAAGAAGTTTGGCGTCGAAGAAGGCGGGACGAAGTGCTCAGACTGTTCAAGGGTCCGCGCATGTTTGCGGAAATGGCTTGCGCCATGTAAATACGATAGAACCTGTTTATTGCGTCGATGAGGACATCTTGGTTGTCTGGGCCAGCTAGCGTTGCTGGGTCGTGGGGTTCAGAACCGTTGATAATGGCTTGGAAGAAGATGTCAAATGTATTTGTAGTCGAAGGGTTGGTCGCGGGTGTCCCGCCCTCGCCGTTAAACACAGTCATCTCTTGAGCGAGATTGTTCTGGATGCGGAAGTCGAATGTCTTCACCCCGCTGCTATTGCTGAGTGGATTGTCGTGGAGGAAGATGCTGCTCTCGACCACTGCTGGTGGATGACTCGAATCAATGATTGTACTGTTGGGTAGCAACGTGACATTTGCGTCGAGGCCTTGGATTTCTTGATAGCACACCATTGTGGTCACTTGGCTTCTGTCCGTGCTGTCCAGCTGGAAATGGCCAAAAGTGAAAGCCAAACTCGGGCAGCCAACTGGTGGATTGTCACTTATGTATTGACCACGATTCTCGCCATAGTTGCCGTATGTCGTCGCATTCTCTCCAAACAAAAGATCTAATTGAGCACCGGCAAATGTTCCCTTCCCACCTGGAGGCAGTTCGAAATTATTTTCGTAAAGAACAAAGTCATCTGTGCCTTTCGAGCCGCCAAGCTGACAAGAGTCCGGAAGCGCTGCTCTGGCGGTGATGAATGCTTGGTCCGTTGCGTATGCGCTGTCGGTTCCTGCCTTTTCTGTGGATAGGGAGAAAGAGTCGCTGGCAAGAACGTCGCATTTGAGATTTGCGCGAACAGCCGGGAGCAGGTGGGATGACGATCCAGATACCGTCGTTAGTGTATCCTTTGTCAGAGCGGAGTTGTTCAGGGACAGCTTCGGAAAAACGAGTCCCTCGTATGTGAATTGAGGGTAGCTGAAATTCTGGTGCATGATCAGACTGGTAATGGCCGCCGCTCCATTGTCATTAGAGAAGCTGTTTGGCCACTGAAGGTCGAAAGAGTCAACTTGAGTAAGCGAAATACTCGCCCCGTCAACTGTGTAATGCTGGACGTAGTACAGGCCTGAAGCAATCACTGCCAGAAGACTAGCAAGCGCAGCTGCGATGATGCTCAACATAGCCCCGAGGCTCCGCGTCCTCAGAGCCTGTAAGAATGCGGATGGAGGTGATCTTCCAAGAATGTTGTTGAGTACCGATCTTCTGTGAATGGCATTGCCTGCTGCCAGGTTGTTCCAGGGAGTGAACAACGCCACATTGAAATCAAGCATGTTGACAAATGCTGCCAAAATAAGCATTACGAGACCTGGGATATAGTGGCTGTAAATCTCCGTCCATTTGTCGTCCGCCACGGTGTAAAACCCATTATGATCGTCAGAATGCCGTTGAATGAGCTCCAACGCCGCAATGAGGCCCAGGGGGAGAATCAAGGTGAGTGTCAAGACCGGAAATGTTGCCGTGATCGGCACCCACCATTTAATATCCATAGTCAGCTTGGTGGTCGGTTCGTCTGGCTCACCTTCTGAGGTGACGATCTTGAAACTCCTCGTCCCAGAATCCGTCGTGGCAATTGCCGTACCAAATTCGAAACCTGCCAACGCTGATTTTTGATTTGCATAGCTCGGTGCGCCTTGCTTTCGCAGCAGTCGATCTAGCTCGGTACTTCTGGTCAGCATCGTCGCCATCGCCGCAATAGAGCTTGGATCGCGTGGAACAACCGCTCTGGGGGCGATGAAAATCAAGGCGACACAGAAAAAGAACAGCAATCCAGATGCCGAAGCCATCGTCCACACAGAAACATCATTGACTCGAAGCCTTCGTTCTTGACGTGTCACCTTTCCTCCATCCACATCGGCGTCGTCCGCGGCTCTTAAGACTTGATGAGCATATTGAGATAAAAGGCCTTTGGACGTATCCTGAGCAGCTGATATCATCGCGTCCGGGTTAATCAAAGTGTCGATATTCTGGGAGCCCCGCGTCAAAGCCATGAGCGTAAATATGGCGCTTGAGTCGGAAATAGTGTCATCGTTGATCGTGTCGCCAAAGAGAACTTGCGCCGCAATCGAAGCCTGCGTAAGGACAATGGTGGCATTCCAATTCGAAAATCCCGAAAGAGTGCTATTCCTTGCCCCATCCTTCAACGTGATTGATACGGCGTTATTACTCGCGAGTAGCCGGGTGTTGTTAGTAATCTCGGCCCTGGTCATCGAATACGAAGGAGTGCAGAACACGTTCGTCAGATTGTTCAGCGTCCTGGAAACGTCACTCGCAATGACAAACGAACCCCCCGCGAGGTCAGTGGCGTTGTCAAATAGTGTCTGCTGGTAACGGATGTCGGTAATCGTGAATAACAACCCTTGTGGGCCGTTTGAACCAGGTACACTAGCATTTGCGGTTCCACAGAAGACCTGCTGCATAGTGCCTGTAACCTGACGCTTCGGGAGAATTTCAGTGTACGGATTGTCCGCTGGCACGGAAACTGAAGAAAGCTGACTGCATACATCGCCCGCATTGATGGTGAAGGTGATATTGCTCGAAGTGGCGAATGCGCTCGCTGAGTTGGTGTCGTTCACGATCCGTGGAGTTCCCAACTGCACATTCAAAGTTTTGCATGTCATAGTCGGCACAAAGGCATCGACTTCGCCGGAAATTGTTGTATCGTCGCCGATCGGGGTATCCGAACTGACTGTCAAGGCACTGTATGCCAGATCAAACCTAACGCCATTTTCCAAAGGCACACCCTGGGCCATACTACCATAGTACGCATACACCGGCTGAGCCGGGAAAGCCGAAGAAGTGAGTGCGGCGTTCGGGTCGAAAGAATCCGCGTTGAATCCCCTGGCCCGCACGGTCGCGCCCTTTTGAGTCACTTGTGTTGGGAGAGCAACCAACAACCCAGTCGCAAAGACGGTGACAACTTTTAATAACATGAACCCGGTGATTGAAGCAATGACGGCGAAATGACTGTTTTTGAAGGCTTCAAGTAACGACACAAGCTGAAAATTCGAAATATAATCGACCAACAGGCTTTCAGACGGCTTTATCGGTCCGTCTTGGAGAGCGTCGTAGGGCATGGCCAGCTTCGATTGGTGGTCAACCATTCTCCAAGCGGCCACGACAATAACGACAATGACAGTAGGCGTGTAGGTCCAGGCATCATGGTTCGTTCCCTGGTCAACGTGGAAGCCATCGTTCTGTTCATCAAAGTGCCAAAGGAGGACTAGGACGATCAGAAAGGCGGCAAAAACGAGGGCGAAGAGGCCCAGAAACCACCGCTTCAACCAGATGGGAGTCCATAGAGTCGGCATCGGCCCTGGGGAAGGGAGTAGATAGCCATCGTCAGTGACGGCGGCCGAGTGCGGCCGAAGCCTGATGGACTCGGGTTCGTCTTCCTCTGGGACGGGGGAGATGGGGACATATTGACGAACTTCTGGTCTTTGTGAGAATCTCGGCGCATACTGTCTGATGACGGGCGGAGCGTGTATTGAGGGAAATCGGCTGGGGACTGGTGCCTGTAGTTGAGCAGAAGACTGTGCGGACTGAAATTCTGGCGAGGGCTGTCGAGGTTCTGGCAATAGTCGCTCGGAGCTGTCGTCTCGGTCTCGGACGGCGGCCTCAGCAACTTGAGCACGGCGCTCAGCTTCGGTGATGGGAACATTGAGATATGCGCTGGGTCGACTGTCTTCTTCCATGATTCAGGCCCGAAGCGTACGGCGACATTGTCGAAGAAGTGCTGCTCGGGCTAATTCATCGTTCCTTTTGTCTTTTCCTTTTTTGGCGGGGGCTTTCCGGTACGTAAATAAAGAGTTGAGAGGTGTCAGTTTTTTTTGTCACCGAAAAGAGAGGATGTTTCGATGATTTTTTGATTTGTTTTTCAGGCCAGAAATCCGAAGTTGCCCTTCGAGTCCAAGGACAAGCAAGGAAACGAGGGACGCCGGACAAGACAAAGGGACCTTGCCTCGTACACAGGCTTCGACGATTGAACACGGACGCCTCAGCCGCAAAGCAAATGAAAAGAATAGCACACGGAGGGTTGGGAGGTCTGGGCTGGGCACCGCTGGGGGGCCCGATGCACTCGACAAAGCAGCCCAAGACCAAGACCAAGCAAGACGAAACAGCACCAACACAGCCTTCATCTCGCCTTAGAAACTGGGCTGCCCAAGCTGCTTCGGGTCTAGCACGCCACCTGAGCCTTGTTCTCTCGCGGCTCGCCGCGCCCTCAGCCTCTTATCATCCCAACCCCAGAGATTCCAGGGACGCCGTGATGGGCTCGGCAAGCCACAGGAACCCAGATCATGGGTTCTCCGTGCTCACTGCTTACTACCCAGTACTGCTGTTCAGCTCTTCCATGCCCACCAGCCGCATGGTCGGTGCCACCCTTGCCCTTGGACTGCGCCTTCCCCGGCGATTCATTGACTGGAGGAATCCACAAGTGTGAACGGAGTATGTACAGAGTCAGTAGTGCCGCTTCCCATCCAATGTTCCGGTCGATCGCGATCCGATCTCCTCGCCCACAAGAGGCATAGCACCTGACGAGGACGTGCTATGTGAACATGATGGATGACGCGAAAAAAAGATGGGGGATCTGTGGCGGTGGATATGGTGTTTTTGGGTCTTTTAGACATGGCACCCCCTCGAGCCCCGTTGCCCGTCTCCCTTGTCTAGATTGTCGATCCACGGCAGGGCGCTGTTGACGCGGGAACTCGTCCAGGTGCGCGCCAAAAGGCAAAACGAAGCAACCGTAAGCTGCATTGCATATGTACGCAGTCGAGCTTATGATATCTTGCTCAGGCGGCATCGGACCATCAGCAGCAGCGAATAATCCTTCCTTTCTTCCTTCATCCCTTCCGACTCTTGGCGAACACATAGTCTCAAGGCTGATACCATACGAGTAGATGAAGTTCAAGACGGATTCGATGCTAGTTTGATTCCTACTCATAGACCTAAGTGACTATCCAGCCTCCTGCAGTGTGCGCATTGTAAACCACCATCATAAAATTCCGTGGAGCTCTACGTGAAAACTCTCCGCCAGGTCATCCAAATGCCATTTCCATGGACTCCGTACTCCTTGCGCTCGAACATTCTGTGTCCAGGCGCGCCGCTAGAAGTACACCATTGTCAAATCACTTTTGGTTCCGCCAAACTCGACAAGCCGGGGACGGGGAGAAAGAAAGGCGGACCAAGGCTTCTTAGACAATCATCTGGGCCACTCCCCGACCACCAAGCGTCGTGCTGCCCACAAATTCCTGCTGTTTCAACCCCGCCAGTGCATAGCAACCTGCTGCGAGGGCCAACACCACGGCGGCAGCAATCAAGCTGCTGGGATCCACAATGATGCTCAGCCATTGAACCAGAGACATGACGCCGTAGATCGCGGCACGCATGTAGTTGGTGGTGAAGCGTTTGATAAAGGCATCGAATTTGGCGGATGTAGGGCAGATACGTAGTAAGAGCGGGATTTCGATGAATATCAGAACGAGGGAGGAGCAACTGCAGCGATCAAAGGTCAACCTTTCGTACATCCGGATGATCGGGGCCCGTGGGGGACGCACAGTAGTATGATGCTGAAGAGGATGAGCAGGTTAAAGTGAAAGATGTTGGCGATACCCAAGGCAAGCCCAAGGATGATGGATAGCACTCCGAGCCTGTTATTGATTCACCAGTCAGCTTTCTCATCCCTGTCTTTCAGCCACCTCATAATTGTTCTCCGGGATCCGTTCAACTCGATGTGTGGAAAGCATAGGTATCTCCCCAGTCATGTTCTGCAGCGCAAAGGCTCACAGGGAAGGCATCGTTGGCGGCCACACATGGAACGAGAGGGAATGAATTCTCACCATTGCCCGTAGATGCCTGCGGTCAGCTGTCAGCTCTGATCTGGTGCAGTTGCGGGTATCAGCAGAAAGAAAGACTCACTGAAGTTGCGCATTTTGAGTTCGTCCATGAGCGCCATGGTGGATTCTCTCTTTCAATGACACTGGGGGGCGGTTCAAGTTGAGAAAGTCGGAGAGGACAGATGTGGCACAACGGCACTGTTTCAATGCAGCTGGACTATGGAACGCTTTCGATGTGAGACGTTTGTCGCTGAAGCGATGTCGGCCTCAATCGTGACTTGGATTGTATGTTGTGATCGAAAAGTTTGAGGTTTACAGCGTACTGGCTCGAGGAATGAAGCGAACACGTTGTCGCGAAGATGTCTGAGCTGGATCAAAAGTTGTCGATGGATGACGGGCACCGCTGGCGTTGGTGTTGGCGTTGGCGTTGGCGAGATGTTGTGGCAGGTGCAGAGAGGCAGGGGTGCGTCCGGTGCACCTAAACTAGCCGCAAGCCAGAGACTCCGAGGAACCTAGCGCAGGGCAAGACAGTTAATGGGGCTTTCTGAGGGTCTGTCCGACGCTTACGAGGTAACCAGTGCTTGCCAGTGCCTGTGCGCCGTATGTAGCGAGGTAGGTATTCGTACCTCGTAGACACTCGAATCCAAATCGACGGGGCCGGGTTTTTCTATCCCAGGCTTTACAGACAATTCCAGGGCTCACTCCTTTACAGGGCCCTTTTATGGGTGCAGAGCGGAATACAGTAGCCTGGACCTCGCACAGCCGAAGCTGCGCATGGGTGGCGCCATCAGCACCAGCGCCAGCGCCAGCACTCGTAATACTCCGTATTGTCCGCCAGTGCGTCTCGGACCGCGAAACAAGAACATTAGGCCACTCAGGCAGCGCGAAAGTGATTGGAAGCAGGAATGATGGCAGCCTTCAGCCTTGTCGGAATGTCTTCTGCACCGGCACGTGCATACCGAAGTACTTGTTGTTGGTGGTTGCGTCCCTTCTATCATCGTGCTGCCTTCTCCCCTGCTTGCTCAATGACCATCTTTGTGTGGTTTACAATCGCTACAGCCTCCTTCCCATCCAAGCTGCGCCATCTGCTATGCATGTCGGCCCGTCGTGTGCCTCTGTTCGATACCACCCTTGCAGAATATCAGAACCTGCACCACACCCCCTTGCTGCTGATTCATCTATCCGCTTGCGGCATACACCACTGTCGCCATCTGTTAGCCTTTTCGACCTCTGCCTGATAATTTCCGATTCCACCTACATCTAAAGACGTCGTTGAACACGAAGTAACTGCCGGCCTCGGGCTGCAGGTTGAAGGTCTGGACGTAGCTCATCGGGTGTTGTTGATCATCGACCTGTTTGTGTAGTGTCCATCAGAGACCACGCCGCCACGACTTCGACGCAGAGGCTAAGCCTTCAATGTGGCACACCTACCAGCAATGCACCAGTTACCATGACCAAGATGCCTCCTTGCTCGTTGGACGGCTGCGCATCCGTCGTGTCGACCCGATGTAGGACTTTTTGGAATGGTAGATTCTGCAACAGGCCACTCCGTCAGTCGCCCTTGGACATGGGAACAATTGATCGCTGAAAAGCTTAGATTTACGCACCGTCAGCTTTTCAAGAATAGGCTGTGTCCCCATGAACTGGTCTTTCTCGAAGGTAAGCATGGACTTGTCTCTCTGTGCCCTCGCTGGTGTGTCAGAAAACGTCAAGCTCTTCCTCTCCCTTCCCGGCTCAAGACATATCTACACCAGGGCGCGTAGTTGCAAACGTACGTAGAGGGCTGCCAACTGTGTGCGATCCGTGTCGAAGGTCTTGTAGTAGAACTCGACGAATTGCTCTGTGTCGCATTAGGCATGTCTGCGTCCTAGGCTTTCTCAGGAACAAGGAGGCTCACGGGCGATTGCTTGGAAGTCTGCCGGAGTTCATTTCTGTTAGTTGCTATCATGGTAAGGACATCAACTCGCGCCTCCGATGAGGCAAGCGGCAGACGAGGCTTTTGTGACTCGACACATACCTCCCATCTTGACTGAAAATCGGCGATATCTGCGAAACAGAAACTCTCGATGGTTTTAGGGGATCGGGAGCAACTAGAACTCGTCTGTTCTGTGCGGGTATTGCTACGGGAGCAACAGTGGACGGTGTCTTCAAGAGAACAGATGGGTTGATGGGTGCTTGTTTGACCCCGCGGGCCTAGTTGCCTGTTACCGCCAGGGTGGAAATTGTGTCACCAGCGCAACCTGCCCACCGCAGAACCCACCAGCCTGATCCGCCAAGAAAATTTCTACGTGAACGATATTACTCCGTCCTCGTCGTGTCCAATTTCTTCCCCCCTGCACTTTCTTCGAACTCCTTTCATCCTCCATCCTTCTACTCTAATACCGAACATTCTCGCATTCCGATTCTGCCATTGCATACCTGTTACAAGTACTTGTTCCACGGTCGCACCGCCTTTGTTTGGAGTTTTCCGACCACATCTCTGGTAAGCAGCCTTCTCAGCTTCCTCTTGCTCCCTTTCTTTTCCTTTCCTATCTGCTTTGGGGGGAAGATCTCCGATGATTTTGACCTTTATGCTCAAACGATAACTGACGAGACGGATCCGGCCATGTCAAGCCGTCCGTCGGTGACTTCAAAAATTATGTCAAGTCTCAACAGTATGAGGAGCCATCCAGCTATTGCGCGATTCGAGTCGTTTCTCGTTCAAGCTTAATTCCAAGAATCCCTGCTGACGTATTTCGACCTGTTGATACAGGCACTCGACAGGCACCCCCAAGGGATATATTTACTCCAGGCTTTCCCAGAGCCTGCAAAGAAATGGAATCTTGTACCAGAGTTTGTGAACTTTTACATGAATATATTTAATTACCAAGTTTGCAATACCGCGATTTCGAGTTTAGATCTCGAGGACCTTAATGCGTCGAGCTCATCACCTGGATGGCATCGCTTGTAAAACCCCTGCCCAGATACAGAATCCCTCACATCGTTCATAATCACGTTCATAGTTTCTCTCCAGGAATCACTAGAGAACAGTATTATCGTCTCTTTCCCCCTCTTCCGCTACCACGTTCACCGCGCTCCCCTTCCCTCTTGTGCCACGGGTCGCAAGGCCACACCCACCCTCTAACCGTCCTCGCCTCCCTTTTTTCCCCCATCTGCGGCTCTGGAATCCACTTATCTTTGCCGTCCTTCCCCAGCTCCTCAGCATCGCCATCCTCATCGCCCGAAAGAAGACTGCCGCCATTTCCACCATCCCAGACTCTTTGTCTAGTCAACGTTCCAGGACCGCCAACATCCATGAAGCTGCCTGGTTGGCCCGGCAAAGGCGTCGCTTTGGCAAGCATAAGCAGATAGTACAGAGCCAAAGTGACAGTCATGTCAACTTCTGCATCGGACGCGTTCCCTTTGCAAGCAAAGGTCTTGGTCTCCACTGCTTCCGCGACTTCCAGGTAGCCGAAGTACGGCTGGCCACGGTTGTCGCAGCCGGCGCGGACACAGACCAGTTCGATCTCTGTGATAATGAAGCCGTACCGACAGCTATGGTCTCGCATGCATTTCTGCAGATGCGCCAGAGTACGTAGGTACTCGACCTTGCGGGCAGGGCCTTCACGACGCATGCCTGTGTTCCAGCGGTCGAAAGACCGGACTAAGCCGACCACGCGGCCTCGCGGGAGTCCGGAGAGAATGCGATCATTGTCGCTCGGGTAGTTGGCAAGAAAAGTGGGGATATTGGCGGAGTTAGCACTGAGCCCTGAGCTAGTCGGGGTTGGAGTTGGGTAAAGGGCAACAGAGTTATTACCAAGCGACAGTCTCGTGGCAGCGTTGACCTTAGGGAAGTAGATCTTGGAGATCAGATTGGCAAGGTCGACTTCCGAAGCAGGTGTCACAGTGTTTGCGTTGGCACTGATAGGTGGTAGACAAGCTTTATCGTGTTCGAAGTTAAGTAGGGTCAGAAGATCAGGGATAGCAGACATAGTCTGAAGCGAAAACGAATTCCAGGGTCGGATGTTGCGCACATCCCACCAAAAGTGGTTTGTGAGGCCACGACCTGTCTGGAATGTGAGGTGCCGAACTAGGTTGATTGGTTGTGTTGGCTGGGTCAAGTAGCTGAGCATACTGATCGTAGAGATAGGTGGCAGCATGGGAGGAGGACTCATAGAGCAAGGTCTTGAAATGGTATCAAGATCAATTGGCATGTCAAAGGTACCCTCCAGGTTGATCATTGGCGGCTCGGGCATAGGAGCTTTGGTATATGGCATGTAGTTGGTGGCGAAGAGGTCTGGGGACGGGGTTTGTTGATCATGAGACACATAGACAGGCATTTGGCGGTAAGTAGGATAGCCAAAACGATTCAGAACATCGCTGTTAATGCTGGAGGCAGAGGTAGAGCGAGAATGAGTCCTGACAGGCACACTGAGCTGTGCCTTGGCCAATCCAGGAGAGGGATTGAGCGAGTTCGATCGCGAGTGAGGCGCGTTCGAGACCGGTGAAATCATCGGCGTACACTCAACAGGCTCAGTCACACTCCTATACATAGGCGGTCGGGCATGCTTGGAATTGTTGATGACGGATGACGAGGTCCTTCGGTGGATGGGTGGTCGATGAGCGAATGGGGGCTCCAGGGAGGAGTCCTGAGTCCTGATCTTGGGGAGCAACGTCGGGCCATGCTGACGGAGAACTGGTGATCGACTTGGAGTTGTATTACAAGTAGTAATTAACGACTCGGGCGACGTGTCGACCGCACAGGATGACGATCGAGACACATTCCGAATATGACCGTGCCGACCGGCAGCACCAGCAGCCTCTGGAGGCGTAAGTGGTCTATAGTAGTAAGGTGCCAATGACATTCTGAAAGACTCTATCAGTTTACATGGGTCAAAGCCAGGCAGCGTCGTGGAAGACAACTCACCTATTGTAACTTTTTGGTTGAGTCGGAGCAAAAGTAGTGGTCAGCGAGAAGCCAGCTTCTCAGTGTGGAGACGAGAACCCAAAGAACAAAGGAAAGGTACGAGAGAAAAGGCAGATGGGACTACCAATAGCAGACAGACTGACTCTTCAGTCTTGCAACTTGAAAGAATGAAAGGCTCAGAGCTCTTGGGAGGGAGAAGGACCAGGTATAAATGGGTTGGGTGTATGCGACCGAAAGAGACCGACATGAAGCCCGACCAACAGTGTCCTGCAGGTCATTACCCACCTGAAACGTGGAGCAGGAGAATCAAGCTGGCAAGGAAACAAACACGACTGACACGGTGTTCGAGAATCCGATCATGGGTAACCAGCGACGGCCAGTATCGCCTGCCGACCGCGAAGCGTGGAGCGTGGTACGCGCCAGAGGCATGGAAACATTCGGGCCCATCTGCAGCTATTTTGGGCGGCAGACGTGTGGCCTGAGGCTGCGGGTTTGCTCAGATCGAGTGTAACAAGGCTCCGGGCGATTCCACCATGTCTTACGAGGCAATCTATGTCGGCGCTTGCTCAGTTATTTCGAGAGATGAGCATCCTTGCGACTTGGCGGCTGTTCGACAAATTCAGTAGAATAGACGGCACCAGCGGCAGTCTGAAGAGACGAGAGATTGCCGGGAATTTGCAGAGGCGTAGCTGAAGCGCAGTGAGAGAACCCCGCAGAATTTCCTGCCATCTTTTCCCTCAGATTTCGGGCGCTTGGAAATTCTATAGCCGTGTAAGGAGTCTCATTGGTGGTGCAGTTGGCGCGCGATGCAAAAAATACCAGCGGATGGAGAAAAGAAGGTGGCGCAGCAGAGTCAGAGATGTCGAAGGACTAGGAGGCAGGTTTGCCGAAGTCGAGTTCACGTGTCCCACGTCGCGCAGGCCACCCGCGCAAGCCCGCGTCACCGCCTCGTCACCACGCGCGAAAATGGCACGAGGTCACCTGCACCAACTGTAGATATCATGCATTACCTCCTCACTACTGCAACCAGCTGCAGTAGCTCCACCACGAACGACACACGAACACTGAACGACTATGACACCAACCAAGTACTTCTCTTATCCCAACCTCCTCGTTTACATGCACATTGCCTTGTTCTGCATCTCTTAGTGTCCTTCAAACGTTGCTCCTCCGTCCTCTGTGGCCTCCAACGTCTTCCAGAATCGAGCCGTGTTTCATCTTGCCCACGGTCGGTGCGAAACAGGTCAACGTATTGGCCAACTCGAGGCTGAGTTGCAATGCATGCCATGGTAGCCGCATTGCACTAGACTGACAATGCACAGCGGTAGTTTCGGGATGCTTTGGATCTGCGACAACGCTTCGTGATCATTCGCTTTTGCTTCTCTGCTGATCGATTATTGCTCAGGTGAGTTCCTGCCTCCCAGGAAGTCAGAAGCGTATCTCCTCCATATGTACAAGTGTATGCAAGGCCCAACACCGTCTGCAGGCCTGATCCAATCAACCGTCCATTTGCAACGCCCCTCTCCCTCTATCATAAGACTGGTCTATCGCGTCCACCAATGCAAGTCCGGGCCCCGAACCTGAAACGCAATGTCTGGTGCGAGAATGATACGAATCCCTGCTCTGCTGCTGACCGCAATTATGCCTTGACTTCATATTTCCGTCGGAACATGTCGTCGACCTCGGTCAAGTAGTATGTACCCGGCACAAGATGCTCGACATTACCAAGCGGCTTGAAATCCTTCTTGAGATGGGCCTTCTCTCGGAGCATGCACATCTCGTCATACACTTCAGGTGCGACAACCCGTCGGGCGTCTAATCGTTTCTGAAGATTGAGCTTCTCGGCCATTTCTGTGGTGTCTCCAACAACCTTGAGGCTAAACATCGAGCTAGCGAGACCACTGCCGTAGCTGAAGACCCCAACTCTCTTGCCATAGAACGTCTTCGGGGCAATGTTGCTGATCAACCCCACAAGCCCGCCGTAGACGCTGCCGCAGTACATGTTGCCACACATGGTGGCCACTTGGATGGCAGGCTGCACTCGTTCGGCAAAGCGCTTCTTCGTCAAAGCCATGAACGTCTTCTCAACAGTTTTGTCTGTCAGAGATGCCTGGTAGTCCAGATCTCGCAACTCGGGCGCAACCTCCTTGAATTGGGGATGACTTGGATCTTCGAGGAAATCATTGTAGAGCAGACGAGCGTACGATTTGGAGACAAGCTTGCAGGTGGGAGCGTGGAAGGCCATGTAATCGAACCGGTCCATAGGGGCCTTGTCGTCCTCTTCCTTGTGCACGCCATTTCCATTCATGTGCGCATGTCCATTGACACCATTGACCTGTGACTTGATTGCTCTCTCCCGGGCATTGTATGCTCTGTAGCATGCGTCAACGGCCTCGGTATAGCATCGCAGGGAAAATTGGCCATCAACATAAGGATATTCGCTGGTGAGATCAGGCTTATAGAAATCGTAGGCGTGGGTGATGTAGGAACCTCGGAGACCAGCCTCGAAAGCAATGGGTGCATCAGGACCGATCAACATGGCCACGCAACCAGCGCCACCAGTGGGACGAGCATTTCCTTTCTTGTAAAGGGCAATGTCACCGGCAACCACGATAGCATCCCTTCCATCCCATGCAGATGATTCGATCCAGTTCAGAGAGTTGAAGACTGCATTTGTACCGCCACTGCAACCAGTCAGCAACGTGAGCTCTGCTGTAGTGCAGAGGTGCTCCACAACTTACTAGCAAGCGTTGTAAGAGTCGACGCCCTCAACATTGAAGTTGCCCGACTCTTGGAACAGCTGCATCAATACTGACTTCACACTTTTGCTCTTGTCCAACATGGTCTCTGTGCCGACTTCGAGCCTCCCAACATTTTTGAGGTCAATCGAGTACTTTGAGATCAGGCTCGTCAAAGTGGTAAGGGCAATGGAATAGATGTCTACTCGTGAATTAGTCGAGGGTCGAGGGCTTCTCAAACTAAATTTGCCGCTCACCTTCCCTGTCGTCGCAGAAGGACATTCTAGTCTGTCCGAGACCAATCGTGTATTTGCCAGCCGACACGCCGTCGAACTTCTCCAAATCAGCTTGATCGACACACTAGGAATGGATTAGCACCTGGCCAGCTCCAAAGTCTGGTTCGTTCAACTCTCGCCATACCTGATTTGGGAAGTAGATTTCAATGGCTTTGATGCCGATGTTGTGAGGTCGTGAAGCCATGACGACTTGCGGTATTGGGTTCAGAATGACAAGGTTCTTCAAGTTGTCCTATTCGAGATATGCCGTGGTTAAGAGAGAGAGGACTCGGAGGGTCGATGTATTCACTGAACGGTAAATGAGGCGGTGAGGCGGGGAGGAGACCAAAGTCAGATATCGAGGAGCGTGAGAATGTACTATTTTTGTGGGGGGCCGCAAATAGGAAGGAAGGTAGCTGCACGGATTGCGCAGGAATGTCTCCTTGTTTGCTGACTTGACAAAGGGTACAAGGTATGTAGACTTGGGAGTGAGAGCAGAAAGAAACAGGTAGAGAAATGTGAACAGTGCTTGCGGTGAGATGCTTTTGTAGCAAACCAAGCAAAAGTCCTGTATCGGAGTACCTGCACTTGGAAATGATGGCAGATGATGGCCACAAATTTTGACAGGCGAAAACTGCAAGCCCTGTTGCCCTGCTTGGGAGCAAGGGGAGTTGGGGGGAGTCCAGCAGAAACTAGGAGGCCACCAAGGCCCTTTAAGCACGATTAGGTTCCAGCCTAGTGCTTAGCTCGTGCCTAAAGGTCTCCCTGCGAGCCAATGGTCTGGGCCTGTTTGCGGGCGGTGTGGGTGAGGCGTTGGGCTTGTGGTGGGATGATCCGGGAACTGGAAAGCAGACTGGGTGTTCCTGCATGATGCCACCACGGCCATCCACTACCATCCACTACCACACCTTACAACCAAGAAGGCTCGACGGGCAATTTCTGGCGTGTGCAGGGTCGCCCAGCGGAAAGATCGTTCTACACGGAAGTGTCAACTCCGGTATGATCCATCCCCTGAATCGAGGGCATGAACTTGGGTCAGGTCTGCGGGTCAAATCTCTTCTGTTCGATTGTGGCTGTCAAGGATGTGATGCCACTTGATTTCGTATCGTCCCAGCAATGACTCCGCGTGCAGTCCTCCCATATCGTTATAGCCTTGTGATCGTAACTTTACCAGCCCAGCGCGCCATCCTATCTATGCCTCTAGCGATCTATCTGCCTGATGCCGTGTTGCTCATTTCCAGCCTAATATGATGCAGGCATAACACTGAGCCGTCCACCGTCCGTGACAACAACACATCCGTTGATGTATGCACCCGCTCTCGAGCAAAGCCACAGGATGACTCCCGCCATGTCCTGCTCATCACCTGTTCTGGTCGCGGGTACGACCTCGCTGCTGAAAGTGCCCTCGACATTGTGAATCTCTGTCTTCCCTTGAGCCTGGTACATTCCATGCGTCATTGGGGAATAGTAGAGACCTGGGGCGATCACATTCACCCTGATATCGTAGGGCACGAGTGCAGTCGCCAGCTGTTTTGAGAGAAACATGACCCCGGATTTGCTAGCACCATAGCTCAGGTTACCTAGAGGCTTGCGATTAAATCCTCCAATAGACCCGGTGGTGATGATCTGCGGACGAGGGGTGAAGTTGTCCTTTGTCGGAGCAGGTCTCTTCTTGTTGGCCGCATCCAGAAGGGGGAGGAATGCTGCAATCGTGAAATGGACGCCAGTAATGTTGATGGCGTATGTCTGCGTCACTTCCTCTGGCTCGGGCTTCCACATATTCTTTGCCAGTTCCTCAAGGGATACAGGCTTCTGGTTGGAATCTAGCGTCGGCACTGACGGCCCAGATATCCCGCTGTTTGCGACAAGGACGTCGATGGAATCGACCTCCGCCTGGACCTTTTCAAAGCACTGTTGTAGCGAGTCCTTCGAGGTCACGTCTCCAGCTAAGGGGATGATAGTGCCGCCGGGGACAGAGTTGGCAGTCTCCATCAAGCTGTCTTCACGGCGACCGATGATGAAGACTTTGGAGGCCCCATTGACCGCCAGTGCTCTTGCCATCATCCGACCGAGGCCTAGAGAAAGGGTTAACGGTGGTGGGCCGATCGAGTTGGTGGAAATCGACAGAGAGCTAAATGGGAGTGTACTGTACCTGAACCACCGCCGGTGATCACGGCAACAAGGCCTTTGACATTGAACAGGTTTCCTGCTTCGATCTGGGGGATATCGGCAGTAGACATCTTGGTACGAGCGGTAAGAACGTTCGAAAAAGGATGCAGGCTGTTTTAATATGGGGGGAAGACGCGCAGACGGGACTTTAATTCTCCTGGCCTCGAAGAAATATATGGTGATTGCAGCAATTAGCAATCAAGCAGATTATTGATTATTCGATGTAGAGATGGGTGTTGGTGGTATTGACGCACGGTCGGACAACCTCCGTCCGAAGGAAGTGACAGACGGAGTAGTTCGGTCGTTCTGACCGAGCAGGCGACAAGCGATTCAATCAATCTCTTGGGTGGTCAAGCACCAATTTCATTTTGTCTTCATCCTCCTTCATACGCTCGAGACTTTGCACTCTTAGCCTGTGGTGATTGGCTGCTAGTTGCTATAGGATGGGGTGAAAGTGCATTCAATGACAATATCAGACGAGCGATCCCGCGAGTCTGCAGGTCTTCTACAACAACAATCGCATAATCGGGTGAGTCTATGACGGCCTGCAAGACGAAGAACCTTACCAAATCCGTCACGTTGCGTGAGCATGACTCCGGTCACCGCAATGTATCTCACAAGTCCCTCCTCTTTAATGCTTTCCAAGACCCAGCTTGCCCTTGAGCCTCTGGAGCCCTTTGGCTGGCTCGTAGCTCTCTCCACGATCACCACTTGTTTGTGCGTGAGAGCCATCCGGTAATGTGCCGGGGCTCACATCGCGCTCGGAAGCACGGCGTCTTGCTGGAGCACTCGATGGGTTGGTCTGTGCGTCAGCAGCTTTAGTCGAGGCAGTCTTCGGCGCTGTCAAAGCGCTTGAGGGTGAGGTATTCGTCGGCTGCGAAGAGGGAGTGTTCTCTGCCATCACAACGGCTCAGCATGCAGATTCTGGATAAGGGGTGCATGCCGATTATACCTGCTGCGTTCCCCTGATCGTATGGCTCGGTCGCAGTGCCTTTGCCCTGCACGCCTGAAAGAGGTTCTTGGTCTGATCGGACAGCAACATTCTCTGCATCATCCAGCCATTCAGCAAACGTCGTGGAGCAGTGCATTGATCGGCTGCTTACCTGGTGCGTTTCCTTGATCGTACGGTTGATCCAGTGTCCCTTTGCCTTGGATGCCTGAGGGCGGTTCTTCGCCCGATTGTGGAGCATTGGCACCCATGACTCTGTCTTTCGCGTCAGTGATTGTTTGGTGGATGCTGTCAATGGCGGCCATTGTTGACCAGAGTAGCTTTGTAAAAAGAGAATCGAAGGCGAAGTGTACAGGCGCAATGCGAAAACAGCGTGGAAAGGGTCAGTCAGTATGCGACTGGTGGAGGACTAAGTGAGAGGCAGACTATTATCCTACAAAGTAAGCCTCACGGCCGCCGCATGCCAGTCTTATCAGCGCTGCAGCCAGCTCGCTTGCTCTCGCCCGCCTTGACACCCTGAATCTCGGCGACTTGCATCCATCGGCATGATGAGTTCAAGGCGCAAGGGCGGCTAAGTCCCATGCTACGCTATGTACGTCATGCATCCCGCACGTGGACGCGGGCTGTGGGAACGTCATACTTACAGTAGCAACACGCTCTTCGCTCTTCAGAAGTGTCGTGGGGTGGTGGCACTAATAGCACAGTAAACTAGCAAGGCTCCTCTGGTGCCTCTGGCAGCAAGCTGGTCCGGAAAGGATTCAGACCCATGTGCATGGCACGTCCCACATGATTGAATGAGTTGCTCGTGTTGCCAATTAGCGATTGGCTTCCAACCGTGTTGACACTCCATGCATGGAGAGGTCAAGGCTGAATGCCAAGGTCACTTAAGGTTCTTCCAGTTGGCTGCGACTCACGTTCATTTTTGTCCGTTCTTTTCGTAAGAAGCTGATATGGCCTTCTTTCTCACCCTGGACTCAACGGAGCCGCAGAAGGAGATATTCCAACACAACGTGGCGAGGTGCTCGGTGGGTTGCAGGGAAAATTCCCGCCGAATTTGGCGGTCAGTGCCGCCGCTTTTGCGAGGCTTCTTTCCATGCCAAGATTTCACTCCTGGTCCCTTCCCACCAAGACACCAGTCTCCATCCTGCTCGGCCGTTACTCCCCTCTCCGAGTGACTTGCCTTCTCGTGCACCACCCAACCATGCAACTATCACTGGGGACCAGAAACAGTCCTCCTTCGGAAATAGTAAGGGATCCGTCCAACTGCTCGAAAACCGTGGGTGCCTTTGACTACGCTACCCTAGCTATGGCGCCTTGAGGTCCTAGAGGGACGGCGCTTCTGGATTCCCTCACTGCCCCAGAGAGAACGTTGTTCGACCTTTATAGAATTGACTCGAACCGCGTCCCTTCTCTCATCTTGTCTCCCGTATTCTAGCGGCTCAACCTGACTTTGATATCGACTAGACGTTGAGAGTCTTATCGTTTTACTTTTCGCGAAGAATTTCACCTCCAAGCTTCCTATCCTACTTATTAGTGACGGCTTCATATTAACTACCACTATTGGTAGAAGGAAGGAGTTTGAAAAAGGAGGATCTTCCCGAAGGCGGTATGGCCGTACAGCCTCTTACCCGAAGGCCAGCAGCTCGATATTCGGCCGAGCATTATCGACAATATCGTCAATAACTTACTGAGAATAGTACTATGAACAAATCATATAGAGACTCTACGAAAGAAACACTCGAGGAGCGATAAAGAAGTGGAGACGATAATGGCGTACACTGTATTGAACCTACTAAGGGGAGCCGTTACTAGCTCGTCGGCTGGAAGAAAGCTTGACTGAAGAGAACTTGCTGAACCTATACAATAAGGTGACGGATAACCTGGAGGTGGTTGTTCGGTGCATTCTGGAGCAGTACATCCCTGTCCTTCTTCACCCAGGTCGTACACATGGCTATTGATTTCGGAGATGGACAAAGAGAAAGTTGGATTCGAATATTTATATGGAATGGGATGCGTTTGCCACATCGACGAGTAGTCACGCTCTAGAGTGACGCAAGGTTCTCACGCCAATAAGGGAAGGCTTCAATGGAGTCTTGGACGGACGTGGTATATGGCGGTTGGCTTCTGAAAATGCCTCTAGGTGTCACAAAGCTAACCTCGTTTGCAAACTATCTTTACCGGAAGTCAGAGCAGGATGGGACCATGATGAAGATGATATACTACCCTGGAAGACAAAGCCAAAAGCCAACAGTATCTCAACCCTGTAGAAGAGCAAGCTCTCGAGAGATATCTGATGCGAATGTCTGATATCTGATACCCTGTTCCGATCAAGTGTATCCGTTCGTTTACATACCTTCATTATTGCGCATCAACGCTCCGCGACGGCCGTAACGATCAAGCCTCCTCCAGACAGCATCCATCAGCTTTGCCCCGTACTTGTTCCGACGAAAACCACGAGAACAGCAGCATACGTCGCTGTCGCCGAGATAGTATCCTTATTATCCGTCTCAAACACTAGACTCAACGCTAACGCAAATAATACCACCGCCACGCATACAGTAATAAGGGTCTTCGTCAACGACGGCTGGAATACCATCACCATCATTGGCACCACAAGCGCACACCCGCCAAATGTCCCGATGATGAAGCGCGCTGTGGAATCCACAAAAGGAGAATAAATATCGGGCGCCCGCCCGGACGAGTAAACGTCTGGGCGTGCGCGTCGCTCGGATTCGGTCCAGGAGAGGCGGTTGGGGAGAAACTTGCGCAGGAGTTCTCGGATGCCGTCGCGGTTTTGGACGGTGCGTTTTTGGAGGGTCCGGTAGAATGTGTTGTAGGGGATGTTCCTTGAGCCAGGGAACGGGTTGGCAAGTTCCGGAAAGCTACCTTCGAGAGCGATGCGCTTTTGATTGCGGTATATGCGTGGTGGCGTGTTGAGCTCGGTGATGTATTGGAAGTCTCGGATTGCGTTAGCTGATTCGATGTCAGCTGGTGACCGTTTCAGTCATCGATTGATCGTGTACCGTAGTGCTGTAGCGTTTTCCTGAGCAGTGTCATCTGCTTCTTGCTTGTGGTTCCGTTCTTTTCTATGTTGGCCTTGATGAGAACGAGTTGATTGAGCAAATGTGTTAGATTCATGGCATGTAGCTTCTTGAACTCGCCCAAGGCAGGCTCAATCTCGTCCTGCTCGAGCTTGGTGTGCTCGCCCAACTTCCGCCAGTAATCCTCTCCCAATGTCACCGGGCCCGTATCATCCGGCTCATCGTCGGGCAAGACAAGGCTGATGGGAGTTTGAACCTTACTGTTCATCGCCGGTGCCATCCTAAATTGATCGAGATGCAATTCTAAGGAAGTATCAGACAAAACAAATTGTAAAAGGTCCACTAAATGACGATGTCTGTATTGCTTGCGTATTCTAGTATACTCTATCACGACCCCAAGCTCGATCATCTGGAGAGGGTGCCCAACCCTCTTAGGCTGGCTGGGTAGGGCGGTTTAGCGACATTGCCTTTGTGTGGTTTTGGCGGCGGGAGAGGTATTGTGCCTCACTAGCGGTAAATGGAGGGGACCGTCACCGTCCGTCCGTCCTCGTGGCTTAGCGAGTCAAAGTAGAAACTAGACTTGCAACAAATCAGCGGTGAGCACGCGCTGTGTGCACAGGGCTGTGCGTTCAGCTGCGCTGAGAAACATGCATGGGAAAAAAGAGAACTCAGCCACCGACTCGCCCGGCTGGCTCATCACCACTTATCACAACACAACTTGATTATCCAGTTCCCCGTATTTCCTGCTTGAATTTCAATCCCTCCAAGTCGAAATTCACCTAGTTGGTAGTAAAGATGGGCAAGGCGAAAAACAAAATCAAGTATCCAAAACAACCCCCACCCCGTATGCATTTCAGATATAGTTCTTCTGGGGACCCTCTCTACGGCTGGGAAGTCGTCGACTCCATCATTGCATCGCTCGGCACATTCGCGGATCTTGTAGAGTCGTTCACGATCGAAAAATCCGATGCGCAGTACTATGCGTTTGAAAAAGTCAAAGAGGAACTCTGCACCGCCGTTGTCGATGCCGCAAACTCCCTGTCCTCGATTTGGAACTCTGTCGTTGATCCCCAAAACTCGTCTACGGACGCGGCTCCGATGGAGGCCAGGAGCGTGTATCTGAAATTGCTGACTGGTAAGTGGAGGGTATTGGCAACTCCTACGGTACCTTTTTCTTAATATTGTCGATTAGACACTTCGCTCCCCGGATACTGCAACGAGATCAAACGGAATTTGCGACAACCGTGGGAGCACGCGACGCGCGATGGCACCATTGGCCAGCCAACGGACCTGGAGACTTATAAAGACCGGTTGCAGAAATTGATGCCGAAAATTCAAGCAGGGTTGAAAATATTCCTAGAGCCGGAGATTTCGAACGGATTGACACAGAAGGATACTGGACTGCCCAGGAAATTCGCACGGCATCTCTCCGTGCCGGTTTCCTCTCCGCTGAAGAACACGGCCATACCCTCAGATCCCAAGAAGAAGAACTGGTGTGTGGTCATGTAGTGAATGCCCCGAGTTTCTTTTCGTAATCGACCGAGCGACTTTGGCTACCTCGATGCTCTCACATGACTGAAGTAAATGATTGGACCAGGAGGGCCAGACGGGTCGGAAGGGCCGCAGACGCAGATCTGGATCTTGGCAGCCTTCGAGCCCATCGTGCCTTCCGAGCCCTGACCCGATTGTGATGAACTTGGCCCAGAGTAATTATTCGTTTGTGTCAGTGGGATAACGGGGGTCAGCGAGGGGCAATGAAGACCAACACACAATAACGTTGAATGCGTAAAGCAATGTTCATATTGACCACGAAGGACTATGAAATGCTATGGGTAATGAGCGTGACTGGGACGGAAAAAAATTAAAACTGGTTAGAAGAGGGAGTAAGTGAGAGACGAGGGTCCTCATAGTCGTCAAAAGCAGCGGCGCGCCCAGCCTACGATTATGCTCGAAACGGCAGGACCACCCAAGCCGAAGACTCCCGCAACAACTTGACATAAGTACTTACTTAAATACCTACAAGTACAATTACCGAGAGGAAGACACGCTTGGACCCATAGACCTCAATTGATATTTTGGTTGCGGGGGGGTAACCCTTTGGGCGGGCGCCGTCTACAAGTACATAAAAGCGGCGAGCCCCACGATCCCCGAAAAGAAAATTTAATACTCGGTACATGAACTTTTTTAGCGGTAATTTGCGTGAGGCCCTTCAGTCTAAGCTCTGCACTCGTCAGTCAAGCGTCAATTTCCATCTTCACATCTCCACCTACCGAGTATACTGACCAGAATGGCAACAAAACCACAGGGCGACATATGCGTCGACTGCCAGGAGCGTGACGCCAGCCTAGACATTAGAAACCGGCGCCTGTGTGCTCCATGTTTCATCCGATATGTAAACTCCAAGATCCTCAAGCGCATGGAGTCCTATCGATTCAAAAACCTTGCTGGAGATCAGAAGCGCCGGTTGTTTCTCCCTCTCTCCGGGGGCGTCTCGTCTCTTGTTTTGCTACAGGTCCTCGATGCGCAGCTGCAGAAGCAGATGGAGAGCCGCAATAAAACTGCTTACGAGCTTGTCATTGCCCGCGTCGTGCTCCCTGACACGGAGACTCAGACAGAGGCAGAGGGCCAGTATCAGCAAGTGAGCGAAAGATTTCCTTTGCACAATTTCCTCCCACTGCTGCGTCTGTATGACGTCTTTCGGCTGGACGAGAATATCCATCAAGACCTCATTCACCTTGGGATCCATCGCCAGGAAACCGAGTCACACGACGAGTTCTCGCGCCGTGTGCTCTCCTGTGCGACATCCGTGACCGCACGGGCAGACTTGCAATCCATTCTTCTACGGAGACTGCTGGTGTCCCTCGCCAGACGGCAGAACTGCGAGGGCGTGCTCTGGGGTCATTCGGATAGTCGGCTGGCAGCCCTTGCACTCGCAGATGTTGCGAAAGGTAGAGGTGGGTCAGTCCCTGCAACCATCGCTGATGGGCCGTCTATGCACGGGATCAACTTTAATTATCCCGCCCGTGACCTGTTCAAGGTTGAGCTTCAAACCTACGCACGAGCTTTGCCGAATCCTTTGGTGGCAGAGTCGAAGAGCGATATGTCCGATCGGGTGGCGCCTACGATCCGCAATACCTCCATTGGCGACCTTCTCACCAACTATATCAATGAGCAGGGCGTGAAATACCCTAGTATAATGGCAAACGTGGTGCGAACAGCGAGTAAATTGCAAGCTCAAGCCACCGATCAGGAGACGAACGCTTGCCCGGTCTGTGTCATGCCAACGATGAGAAATCCCAACAGTTCACGGGGGAATACAGTTCTTTGCTATGGATGTGCGAGGGTGAAGCAGGATATTCGAGCTTGAAATCCTCCAGGCTCGGAGGTTGTCGATGCCATGGATCTTCATCCACCTCTTTTTTCTCTTCTGAATCGTCTGATGAAAAGGGAAAGGAACGCTCAACGTTTACCATCGCTCTGATTGCTAACTCCAGGGTAATGTCGTCTTGGGGTAGAGCACAGCTCACTTCCAATACTCGCCAACTCAACGGGTGCGAGCAGGCATCGGAGGAGGTATGTCCTCTGCTGCTTCGACATCGTGTTGCCTCTCTCGATTTGACCTCCTGGACTCTCGTCGCGAAGTATATCTTGGGGGAGGACCGTTCTGGACGTTCAATCGAACTTCCTCGTTCTGGTAGTCAAACTCATCTGGAAGGCTCGGATCTGCGACATTTGCCTGCGGAGTACCCTTAATCCTCTTTTGGCCACGCGCACGCAACTCCTTTTCGAGCAGAACCACATTTCGGGTGTTGCATTTGTATGCCGCATCTACAAAGTCACCGATAAATGGAATCAGCCCAACTGCGAAGTCAATGACAACGTTCATTTGCATTCGCATTTTAATGCCCGAGGGCAACTCCGGGTCGACAGAGCAGCAGGTGCGGTAGACCATGAGAGCGAGGAAGAGATCAAGGACATCGCCGATGCTAAGGGAGGTCAGTTTTCGAGTGCTACATTTGTTAGGGAACAGAGTCCTAGGCTTACCCCGGGATCAAGCCGATGACCGCTCCCCAGCCGAATCTTGTGCCCAAAAAGCTTCCAAGACAGAGGTCGACGCGGTAGGCTCTTCTTTTTGCTTTGGTGAGGATTCTCTCCTCCTCTGAAGTCAACCCCGGCGGGAGCGCCCTTTTTCTCTTCTTTGTGGTTTTGTAGAGTCCTCCGAGCCTGGTAGCGGGTATCGTCTCGAAGTAGGGATCCTGCGTAAAGTTAGAGTTGGCAAAGGTTCCCGGGGTCTGGATCCATACCTCGCGGCCCTCTTTGTTGGACGAATTTTCCTTGAAGAGCCTCCTGGCCACCAGTTTTGCTGCGTAAGACGCCATGTGTGAGATGCTCGAGATGAGATGTGAGTGAAATAGGGACTGTACGATTAGGGAAAAGTAGGGAAATGGGGGGCAGATGTAGGGCAGATGTAGGTGGAGGGATGGCAGAGGCGGAAAAGTCAACAAAAGACCTGGACGTTCAGGCTTTATATCACTGCAAAATTTAGTCCCTAGTCCTGTCAAACAAAGCCAAGATGAGTCGCAAGGATAAGGGCCATTAAGTGCCACTTGGTGCTGTTAGAAGCCTGTTTGGCTTGCTGGAATTGATTGGCATTCAGACTCACTCAAAACAGGTTGATACGCGCTGAATTTCCTGGACATTCCCTGGACACCCTCCCTGCGCCTTCACGCGCGGCAACGTCATTCAATTCGTCACTTGGTGGCTGTGCGGCCTCATTAGCCACAGCAATATGCACAGCCACGGTCTTCGAAGACCTGGACTCTCTTTTCAACGCCTGGTGTCTCTCAGTCACCGTAACGAAAACATACCCCTCAGACCTGACTGGCTATCCGCCACTTCTCAACTCGATCGCAACATCCAGATGAGAGACTGTAGACTCTGCAGCCCTTCTGTTTCCGACCCGTGACCTCTACATCCTACGGTCTCCAGAGCAGTGGAGATGACCAGATCTTCTACTCCAACAACAAACTCAAGAGATGCAGCTGGAGGACTGTGAGACTCCCGAACCTGGCACGATATTTGTCCAGATGCTAACACTATGCCTTGTCAGGGTTGGATGACCTTTGTGTCCGATTCATCATAAACCTTCCCCCCGAGGAGCTCGAGTCCGTGGAGCGCATTTGCTTCCAAGTCGAGGAGGCACAATGGTTCTACGAAGACTTCATCCGGCCCCTTGACCCGTCCCTACCCTCTCTTTCCCTTCGTGCTTTCAGTCTACGCATCTTCCAGCACTGTCCACTTTTCTCGCAATGGTCTGCGCAGCATCACACCACCGCTTTCGCCGAGTTCCTGGCATATAAATCCCGTGTTCCCGTCCGAGGGGCCATCCTGTTGAATGAGGCGATGGATGAGGTCGTCCTTGTCAAAGGCTGGAAAAAAGGCGCAAATTGGAGCTTCCCTCGAGGGAAGATCAACAAGGATGAGGATGATCTTGATTGTGCAGTGCGAGAAGTCTACGAAGAGACGGGTTTCGATGTTCGCGAGGCTGGACTCGTCAAAGATGAGAAAGACATGAAGTATATCGAAGTTACCATGAGAGAACAGCACATGAGACTCTATGTATTCCGTGGAGTGCCCAGAAACGCGCATTTTGAACCCAGGACACGAAAGGAGATCAGCAAAATTGAGTGGTACAAGTTGACAGATTTGCCCACCTTGAAGAAGAATAATCATCGACAACACGAGGCCAGCGGCACGGACCACGCATCCATCAACTCGAACAAGTTCTATATGGTGGCGCCGTTTTTGAATCCACTCAAGAAATGGATCGCTCAGCAACGGAAGAAGGAAAACCGGTATAGCTCGCATCTTGCAGCGCCTCCCATGGTGCCAGAGGACGTGACCACCGAGGATGAGCAAGACGGCGTCGGGGCGCGGCTTGGAGAGACGTTGCCGCCGACTGTCAGCGACCTACCTGAAGTCTCCAATTCTAGTGCGATTGACCCAAGTTCACATCTTAAGGAGCTGCTGAATATTGGCATGCAAGCTGTCCCGCCTCAAGCGGCGTTGCCACCAAGTCATATGCCGCAGGTTGACACCGAGATGTCGAACGCTCTTCTGGCTCTTCTACGGGCGCCACGGGGAGACTTACAGGATCAGTCTGCCGCCGTCCCCCAGACTCCACTAGAACAGATCTCGTTGCCGCCCGAGGTTCAAAGGTCGCCGCACATCTCCCATGTACGGCAGCCTCAAATTGATCACGCCCAGCCACCGCCTCCATTTCAACCGCAACTCCAAGACCAAGTCCTCCTTCCTACACAGGCACCCTACCAAAGATCAAAAGATTCAAACATCACCTCAAATGCCGCAACTTATCCCGCCCATAATGCCCCTCGCGTTACACCATTCCAAAGGACCACCGAACCGTTGTTTGCATCTGAAGAAGCGATACAGCAACGACCGACCGTACCTCCAGCTAGTGCATTGCCCAAGCTGACCAACCACACAAAAGCGCTATTGGATGTTTTCAGGGGAGCGACAGGCACAACAACTCAGCCGTTGCCCCATTTTGAGATGTCTCCCCCAAATACCTTGCGCCAGAATGAAGCATTGCACCCTCCCCAAGCACAAAGACAGACCCTACCAACTGGCACCCTTGCGTTCAAAGCTGATCACGCTGTCCAAGGAATTGGCAAAGGTTTAGCTACTTTGTCTTCCAACGTGCCCTTACAATCGACCATAAACGCGGACTTTGAAAGCCGGGTCTCTTCCTTGCGATCGCCTAGACGACCCCAAAGCGCACAGCAGACCTCCCTTCTTCAGCTTTTTACTCAACCATCTCCACCAAAACCCATGGACAGCTCAACCGCTCGACCTCCACCACCGGTAGAGCTCGCAGCGACAGCTGCTGCCATCTCGTCTCCAAAGCCGAAAGTCGACGAGGATGACCTGCTCTCGTTGTTGAGGAAAGGTACTCGAGAAGCATCGCGAAAAGCAGCTGAGATCAAGCGGCCATCTCCAAGAGAGGGTGAGACGTCTGCTACCGTCAGTGGCCCATTGAATCAACCCGAATTCGAAGTAATCTCTAGGGCGACCAGACATGCGACGAACGAGATGGGCCGAAGTCCGCTTACTGCCAATAGGACGCTGTACGATCCAAACCAACCAGCACCAGTCAAGATTCTGAGCCGATCAGAGGAGTCTCGTCCACAGCGTCCCCGGTCACCAAGAGGCCTCAAGTCAACCTCGAGGCGGACAGTGAGGGAAAAGACGACACCAAAGGAGCAAGGGAAGCCATTCCAGCCTCAGATTCTTCGTCGGCCTCAGACCAATGACTCGACCATGGCTGTCAGGCTCACCGCCACGAGCGAGACTACAAGTCAGCAGCCGATTTCGACGGCCGCGGCTCCCTCGCCTCCTACCACGGCAGATGCTGGTGAAAAATCGACACCGAGCCGGAAGGCTTCTCAAACAGAGGCGCAGAAACAAACATTGCTTTCTCTCTTTGGTGGAGGGCTGGACACTACGCCTCGGGCAACAACATTACAACCTAGTTCGGGCATAGTCTCTCCGCTAACGAACAGTCAAATCTTCAATGCCAATGGCGAGGCACCGCTGTCCGGGATTGAACCCATTTCCACTCGGACATCCCGTGTGGGGAGCATGACATCGATCGTGAGTGGGCCAGGAACGGGGCGGGCGACGGGCGAAAAACGACAGACAGGCGCAGAGAACAAGGCATTTCTTTTGGGGTATTTGGGCAGAATCGCGAGCCAGGAGCAATGAATGTGTGGATTTTAATGATTTGACAGGACACGAATGATGTTGGGCACGGGCAGGCGGTCTGAGACGTTCACGAGCACGTGTACGATGTTGTTCGGGGAGCTGAGAAGTCAAATGCACCACTATACGAGGGGCTTCGTATTCGCATTGGTGTTTTCTGGAAGCGGGGCTTCTGGGCGCCCAGGCGCCTGGGCTCTCGGGCTCTTGAAATTTCTCTCGTGATAGTCCGCAGTTGGTGGTGCCATGGGCATAATTTATGCATCCAGTGTGTCGGGTAAACAGGATCACTTTTGTTTCCGCCCGCCCTTCGGCCTGGATGAAGATGGATATATTTTTTTTTTGGTCGCTCTTCCCTATGTACATCTGCTTTGACCTGCGGGCCAGTACCATGCCCAAAAGCAGTAAAAGCCGTGAGTGTGTTATGTCAAAATCGTGGAGTCGTTGACAGCCAATTGCAGGCATGGGCAAATGATGAGCTCAGCTGCATGGAGGGATGATTCAAGCATTTGAATGGTTCGACAGGTCCCCAACGAGGCTAGCTGAGCTTCAACTCTGTAACGAGCTGTCACCGGTCTTGGTGTGTTCGCCCAGGCTTTGGATCTGGATGCATAAGTCAGACACGGAATACGGAAGTAGATGATAGAAGCAGCAGTAGAAGAAGAGTGGCAATCCGCCCCCATGCAAGCTCACCGATGGGTTGCGCCTTGGGATCTTGGTTCCTGACTTGACGGCCGGTTTTCTTTCTTCTGTGGGATTTTGGTGTTTCATGAGGTTCAACAATGACAATGGCCCAGATGGTGGCTGCGCGGGTTGTAGCGATAGGAAACTACTACTTTGGTGACTTGACGACAGCGAGCGCGAGTGACGCAAAGGCAGAGGCAGAGGCAGAGGAAGAGGAAGAGGCCGCCGCCGCCGCCATCGAGTCTAAATGCTCTTTGTCATCACCCGCTCCAAACATTTGCCTCTCTCTCCCCAGCAGCGATGTGCAAGTCACTGCAGGCACTGCAGTCGCCAGCGCCAGCGCCAGCTCCAATGCGCAAATCCAGCAACATCTTCTCTCTCCTCCTCCTTCCCACAGCAGTATGTCATTATGTGATGTTCCAATCAGCCATTTGTGGTTCCCGAATTTAATGTCTGGGGCGCCAACCTCGTCTCATCGACTCTTTGCACTCCCCAAGACTGCCCAATCTCTGGTGCTGACTGTGTTCGCCCACCTCCAGAACCGGATGCTGCCAGCAGCCTTGATCGCGATTACAATTACGGCCTGACCCCAGGCACGGCCAGCTCATCAGGCAACATGTCTCCTATCCTGACCGTGGGCTCGTCAGAGCCCCAGCCTGCCTCCGAACCCGTCCTAGATCCCATCTCAAGGGTATCGTATACATTACAATACCCACTTGGCTGGCAACGCTTGGCTCATTCATGACCCTCTAGCAAATCCTCGAAAGGACCCAGTCGCAGAGCAAATTGCCTGCCTCTTCCCAAGGCGGTGTGCCTTCCAAGTCGCCTTATGCAGACTCCGGTTACTCCGACTCGGGCAGCCTGAAAGCCGAGCCGGTCTCGTTGCGACGGGTTGACAGTAGCAATTCGGGCAAGGAGAAGAAGTGAGTTTCCCTTGATAGAAGCCTGAAGGAACAGGCACCACTGTCTTGTTCCCCTAGCCCCCCCCCCTTCTCTCTCTTCCTGTCTCTGCCGTCCATGGATAAGCACTTTTGTTTCCATGTGCTTTCGGGGATCTGCTGGTTCCCGGCCTCGGCGCTGAAAGTTTTGACCACTGCGGTGTACTAATGGCCAATGCTTCTGCAGGAAAGGGGTTTCCTTCCTCAGTCGAATAATGGGCAACAAGAAGAGGGATTCCTTCGACCTTCACGACGACAATGCTTCAGAGGTCGGTTCCGAGTTTCGACCTGCCGGGGTCGAGGCAGAAGTCTTTTCCCAGCCCGTCGGCTTCATCCCCAAGTTCCCTGCGCCGCCACGATATATCAAGGTCAAGGCCCAATATAGGAAACAGAAGGATTTCGACAGGCTATTCCTGGCCCAAATACTGTTGGGGGCGCCGCCGTCCAAAACTCGCAAGGCCGAGATAGACTCCAAGATCCACAGCATCAATGATAGTCCGGATGATGTCCCGCCAACGCTCCCCAGGAACTCTGCAAACAATGCGGTATGGGCCATGGAATTCTCAAAAGATGGAAGATATCTCGCTGCTGCCGGGCAGGACAAAAAGCTGAGAGTGTGGGAGGTCATCTCATCTGCGGACGATCGAGAGATGGAAGAGAAGCTTGCCGAGACCAACAATGATGGGGAGAAGGTCAAACTCAACGCTCCCGTCTTCAAGAGGAAACTCATTCGCGAATATGACGGCCACACTTCGAGCATCCTGGACCTCAGCTGGAGCAAGAACAACTTCCTGCTGTCTTCGTCCATGGATAAAACCGTTAGGCTATATCATGTGAGTCGGGCGGAATGTTTATGTGCGTTCAAACATAATGACTTCGTCACCTCGATCCAATTTCATCCACGAGATGATCGATTCTTCTTGGCCGGCTCCCTGGACTCGAAGATACGTTTGTGGAGCATACCGGACAAGAACGTCGCATACTGGACGCAGGTTTCTGACATGGTCACTGCTGTCGCATTCACGCCAGATGGGAAGACCGCCATCGCCGGTTGCCTGAATGGTTTGTGTATTCTTTATGACACTGAAGGTCTCAAGGCGCATTCGCAAATTCACGTCCGGTCGGCGCGAGGCAAAAATGCCAAAGGTAGCAAAATCACGGGGATTGACACAATATCCTTACCTCGAGAGGGCGGGCAGCCGGACGTGAAACTCCTGATCACCAGCAACGACTCCAGGGTGCGCATGTACAACTTAAAGGATAGGACCCTTGAGGTGAAATTCCGCGGTAATGAGAATTCCTGCAGCCAAATCCATGCCTCGTTCAGCGACGACGGGAAATATGTAATCTGCGGGAGCGAGGACCGCAAGGTGTATATATGGCCAACATCCGTCAACGAACGGCCTGACAATGATAAGCGGCCGATGGAAGTGTTTGAGGCGCACTCAGCCATCGTCACTACGGCGATTATGGCTCCTGAAAAGACGAGACGTTTACTGGCACAGTCGGGAGATCCTCTGTATGACCTCTGCAATCCGCCACCAGTGACATTGGTCAGTCGTGCAGACTCGGTCATTTCGTCTCGCGCACCCACAAACAACAGCAACCACTCGGACGACAAACATACCAAGGATGGAACCAGGCTATCGGAATCTCCCCGCCGCGCCCCGGAGACGCCCGCGTATTTGTCTCGTCATTCGCATCCTGGCGGTCAGATCATTGTCACAGCAGACTACACTGGACAAATCAAGGTCTTCCGGCAAGACTGTGCTTTCCAGAAACGCAGACATGAGTCATGGGACTCCAGCTCAACTTTCTCCAGGAAAATGCTAGCTCGGACTGGATCTGTGGCAACGCGCAACTCTGTGAACTCATCCACTCATCGGAACTCGTTCGTCATGAACCCTAAGACCCAGTCAACGGATCGCATCTTGAGCTGGAGGAATTCTGTGAGTGTCAACGATACCGCAAACCACAATGCCTCGACAAGTATGTTGGATATCCGGGGCGGACTGGCCAACAACGAGCGGTCTCGTAGTGCTTCTCCCAGGAAGATCCTCGGACACCGTCTATCGCTTCACAGATCGGCTCCTCCACGGAAAGATACTGCTGCCTCCCCTGCATCTCCCGAATATCACTCGCCGTTACAGCAGATCCACAATGGGCCCTCGATTACGATTCAGTCGCCTCTCACTGAGTCACCTGGTAGTTTTCACTCAGCGACGCAGAAATCTCCACACCAGGAGGTACTCTCGCCGCAGGTATCTCTGAAGCCTTTGCCTTCGAATCCTACTCCGAGCGACCTCCCACACAGCCCGAACGATCCACTTTTCCTGATGGACCAGCAGTCGTACCTCGCTTGGGATATGAGGACCACATTATTGCCTATGGCGAAGCATATGCCCCGCACACCCGGCTTGTTGGGCGCAGATGGCAACCCCCTCTCCCGCGCCCCTAGCTACATGAGCCAATTGTCTAGTGAACTTACTGGTTCAGAACGCGAACCCAGTCCTGGCGGGAGTATGGGCGATGATGAGCGCAGGGCGTCGGCGGTCGATAACAAGAACCGCAAATCCCGGTCCTGGAGGCGGAGTAGTGCAGCAAGCGAGAGCGATTTAAAGTGCAAGAAGTGTGGAGGCACAACATTCAAAGCGACCATGACGGATAAGGGCCAAAGCTTCAGGTGTAAAAAGTGTGGGACTGCTGTTTGATTCATCCCGAAAATATGAGGAGCGTTCGTTGTGTGCGGGTAAGGTGTTTGGAGTCTCGTTGATCTTGGAATACAAGTTGTGGGAAGCTGAACCCATTGGATTACGCCAGACCGACAGATGTTTTGTTCCCCCTCGACACGGTCACGGAGGCAAACTCGAATGAAAATCCTATTTCATTGAGAGAGGGAGGAGTGACACTGGCCGAGGGCAGGGACACCATTCCCTCACAGTGACGACCACAAGCCTCCACCTCTGAACACACGCTATCGATGCGCAGACGAAGGATGACCTTTTTTTCTTTTCCTGACGAAGCACGAGTAACATGACTGCACCTCATGAGCGTTCAAAGATCATCAATGTACAAATAGTTGGAACTACGAGAAGGGAAAGATGCATTCTGTCTATATATTACAGGCAATATATCGAGTGGCACGTATGTACTCGATAAATCAACACAGACACACCCAAATTACATGTGGTATTATAAACAGTACAGAAGCCATTGTCATCGCCTCTCTCTTTCTTTTTACCAGGGTACCGTGTACATGCACATCCACACATCCTTAAATATCATTTTGTTGTCTTGTTGAGAATCAAAGTCTGTGTTCGAACCCCTTCCTCATCGTAGCTCGAGGCACGTGCCTGTGAAATACCAACCAGTCACATGACCAAGGGTGCGTAGCGAGGTAGCTTGGCAATAGCTTGATAGTTTTCCTTCCAACACGCCATCTCGATGCCACCGTACTTGGCTCTACATTCAATACTTCCACCACCTTGCCTTTCCGCTACATTCAGGTTCTGGACTAGTCGTCGACAAACACGTAGATATCTAGTCAAAAAGCATGACTTTTTGATCGGCAAGGTGCCATTCCCCTCCCCCAAATGCTCTTCCTTTCCGCCTCAAATTTGATGCCTCCTTCCGTCCACAAGGCTGTCACATCCATGAACACGGGCCAACACCACACCTCTCTCGTGTCCCAGTATCATCTCCAGCTTAGTTTTCTATTACTGGACTGTTTCTTCTTGGAAACACATGCTCTGTTACTGGTGCTTCACTCTCGGAGGGTGACGATATCAGTTCAAATCTTGGCAGGTTCTTCACCCAGGCTATAAGTCTTCCCCCCTTGACCTCGTCGTCAGTTCAACACCTTGATCCACCTCTTTGTCTCCTACCTTCTCTCACAACTTTCATATTTTTAAGTCCTTCACCCATTCATGTCTCTCGTTTGAACTCCTTCGTCCGTCCTTCTCCGCTCGGCTCTTTCCGCCAGCTCTACTCGTTTAGTTGTATTTGATTTCTTCCTGGCTTTCGGCGTTTCAACACGAGACCTCATCCCGTGCGAGTTTATCTTGACCTGCTCCTCCAGCAGTCCACTCGGAGCATCATGGCTACCTCAGCTGCTCTCCCCGCCTCTCTAGTTAGAGACACTATTGACCTCACAGACGACTCGGGTGACGTCGCGGTATGCGACATCCAAATGGTCCATCCAGTCATCAAGAAAGAACTGGATGGTGAAAAGAAAGACACTGTTGCCATCGAAACCACATCTATTCAACAGGACAACGAGTTGAACCAAAGGATGAACAATACCAACCCAGATGAGCTCAACCTTGAGACAAAACCAATCAAGTCAGATTTGACCAGCAACAAATATGATATCCCGCACGATCCCACGGAATGTCCGGACGAAATGAGCCTCGAGGGACTACCAGGACCTTACCCGTCTCCCGATGAAAGTTCGGAAATGGCTGGTTTCGAGGCTCTTCTGCAGTACAACCAGAATAAGATCAGCTTCGATGATGGTGATATCGTCAATGATGGGTCTGCCGAAGGCGCTGCTGAGCCATTGGGCATGGTGATTGACGAAAACGCCGACGAGATGGACTGGAATATCGCTCTGGAGGAAGATTCCTCACCGGCGAATGAATCCGCCGCCACAGTCTTTGCCATTCGCAAGAAAGAGTATGAGAGAAAGACAGCAGAAGGCACAAACACTACAGAGGACGACATTCGATTCGCTACAGAAGAAGTTGCGGAACATAGGCGCCTCCGGGACATCGCAAGGAGCAAGCTGGTTGTGAGAGATCTCCCTGGGCAGAATGGTGTACCTCCTGGTTATGAGGAGGCAGACTCGCTCTTTGTTCCGGAGGTCCCCAACCTGCCAGACTCTCGGCCAAAGAAGAGAGCAGGACCGACACCTCGCAATCGACTCTCCAAGAAGGACTTGCAAGACGCCATCTCTGCTGGCATCGACGCCGGATTTGGGGAGAGCCGCAAACCAAAGAGAAAAGCAACAGCCTCCAGTGATGATCGCCCACCAAAGAAGAGATGTCAAATCAATCAGGACGGCGGCGCCCGAAAGGCACCACAAAAGAGAGGTCGGCATCAGGGCCCCAATCTCAGCAATATTCAAAGTCTTGGACGAACCAATATCGTGGAGGCCGCCCAAGCTAACGCTTTAAGACCTAACGTGCCTACTTTCACCTCCGGCAATAAGGCTAAGGCACTTAAAGAGCTAATTGCAAGCATTCCGTCAGCCGAGCGAGCCACAGCCAGTTCCGACAGAGCAGCTGTCTTAGCAGCGACAAAGAAATTCAACGGGAAGGGCGCTGTTAGATCAGACAACCGTGGAGGATGGAGGCTTCGAGGTATGGAGTCGTCACTCTACAATCACCAGCTTCTCGGCGCCGCCTTTATGCGGGAACGTGAAACCGGAGAGTCGAAACCCAAGGGTGGGCTTGTGTGTGACGAAATGGGGTTTGGCAAAACCATACAGATGATGTATGTTGCGTCCCTCATTCCCCTTACCATTGCTAACTAGAGTAGTGCGAATATCCTCGACGGCAAAGCGGAGGAGGGAAGTGCCGTCAAGACCACCCTGATCGTTGCACCACCTTCACTGCTCGGCCAATGGATGCAAGAGATGGACAAGCACGTCAAGAGGAACGCCCTTGGTCGAATTCTCCTTTACTACTCCGGCTCTCGCCTCTACAGCAACAACATCCTCGCGGACTTGGGGGCGTACGACGTGATCCTTACGACCTATAGTGAGGTCCAGAAGAGCTATCCACTAGCAGAACCGCCTAAGCATCTGGCGTCTGAGGAGAGAAAGAATGAGTGGTGGGAGAACCACTACCGTAACCACGTCGGACCCCTCCACCAAATCAAGTTCCATCGCGTCGTGCTGGATGAAGCCCACCATATCAAGAACCATACCTCCAAAACTTCAATTGCCGTGCGTGCTCTCACAGGCAACTTCAGGTGGTGCATTACGGGGACCCCCATCTTGAACTACATCGAAGAATTATTTCCATATTTCTCTTTCCTCAAGGTTCCTCACACAGGCGACTATAGCACGTTTTGCCATAATTATTGCAGCAATCGCACCAACAGAGATCCGGTGAACATGGGCAGAATACACAACATTTTGAGGGCCATCATGCTGAGGAGGACTCATGTGGATACTCTTTTCAATGCTCCCATTGTCAAACTCCCCGGTATCACACACACCACGGTCCATATCCAGTTCAATGCCGTCGAGAGGCATATATACAACATGGTCAAGTCGCGGTACATTCAGCAAATCAATACGTACTCGAAGTCTGGCACATTGAATTCGAACTACAGCAATATTCTAGGGATGTTGATGCGTCTCAGAATGCTCTGTTCACACATTATGCTCTGCCAAGACGTGTTGAAGCGAATGTTCGTCGCAGCGGACATCGAGACTTTGTGGAGGCTAACCGCGAAAGAAGTCCAGGCCGCTGGAGACTGCGGCCAGATGAATATGATGAAGACTCTACGGAAGATGCTGGCAGCCAACGAAAATACACTCAAGACCTCCCAGACCAAGGAGCTCGAACTAAGCAGTGGGGTCACGCCAGACTTTCAGGATGACCAAAACATGGAAACAGGCTCCACATATGGGCTCTCCTTCAAGTTCAGAAAATTCCTCCGCGCTTTAAGCGAGTCTGGAACTTGGACTGAAGTGCATCTTCGATCAGTCTGCGCTCAATGCCGTCTTCCCCCCGACGATCCGGTGTGCACTTCATGCTTCCACGTGTATTGCCAAGAGTGCATCAATGCCATGCACGAGGAACGAAAAGCCAGAGGAGAGGAGAAGACCGCTTGCCTTGAATGCCAAACTTTGTTCGAGGAAACGTCTCCGTGTGCTGGTCTTAAAGAGTTGGGCTTCAACAGCAAGGAAAGCGCGGAGAGGGTGGACAAGAGAAAAATGAAGTTGGCGAAGATGGCGCAGAAATCTAGATGGAGAAGTGGCAGTATCCACCGCAACAACTTTGTGTCTGATGAAGATGACGAGGAAGACGACGACGAGGATGAGAAAGACTGGATGGACATAGGGGGCTCATTGCTACCCTCTGCCAAACTCGCGCATACAAAAGCTGCCATTCTCAACTGGAAGACAGATTGCCCGGGACAAAAGGTCATCGTTTACACCCAATTTCTGGGTCTCGGCCAGATCTTCAGCAAAGTGTGCTCCACAGAGCGATGGGGCCATGTGCTCTTCAACGGCAAAATGACCATCGAGGCACGAGGACGAGCGATCGAGAAGTTCCGCGATGACCCGGAAATCTTCATCATGATTTGCTCCCTCAAAGCCGGCGGCGTCGGCTTGAATCTCACCATGGCGAGCAAAATCATCATACTAGATCTGTGGTTCAACTCTTCCATCGAAGCCCAAGCCTACTGCCGGGCATTCCGCATTGGGCAAGAAAACCAAGTCGATGTTGTGCGCTTTGTCGTCCAGGACTCCATCGATGAGGATCTGATCAAAATGCAAGATCGCAAGAACATTGAGGTGACGGGCGCGATTGGGCCAGAAAGCATGGGGAAAAGAGCCACCATCCAGCAGTTGCTCGAGTTGTTTGGCGAGGTGAGAGAGGATGGTCAGAATGAATTCATCTTGGTGGAGGACGAGAATGAAGGCAAGGAGGACGACGATGAAGTCGACCTTACCAACAGACTACCCCCTCCGCCATTCTGAGGAGGCTGCGCTCTTTTATTTATTGGTACCTCATTCATCTTCACATCACCTCATCGTCTTTGGATGGCAATGGGCCGTCTTACGAGCTGTATATTTGCCCCAGGGCTACTCTGTGGAATAAAGCCATACGACATCTTCCACAGCGACAACACTACGGGCTCCCAACATGTGAACAGACATCAGTGAAGGAGGCCGAGCTAGAATGATCCCAGGCACGGGCGAATCTGTCTCCACCAACGGCAATCCTTCTTGTCCAGAAGATGCCAGGATGCCTCTCGACAGTTCATTCCGTGAGCACAACAATACGAAGCATTAACAGCAACAAGAGACTCAAAACAGGCATCCTCCATCGTCCAACATACCCTCTCAATCAGAAGAGGTATAGCTAGGTGGAGAAATTTGGATTTGAAGAACAGATTGAGTATTGAAGACAACTGGAAGGAGCGGAGAAGAAGATGACGGATACAGCAAGGCGGAACAGATATGCCAGGGCAGGAACAGACAGAGCATACCATACCACAGCGCACAGCGAGGCACTACACCGCACAACACCCCCCGGTCTAGGTAGAGGGCGGATGACATCAGCGCATCAAGAGTGCATCCATCTACAGAGATTGGAAGGAGGGAGTTGGCTGACTGGCCGGCTGGCTGGGATGCAGCTGGTAGCTTCGTACATAGCAGAGCATGAACACAGTGGTAGAATAGCATCAACAACACGATCACTCGATGACTTACTCATTCGTTCTCTCTTCCACCGGATCAACCACTCAACTTACCGGACTTGATTACGCTTTGAGATAGACACCCTTTCTCTCGCCGTGTCCCATGTCCCATGTCCCGTGTCCCGTGTCCCGTATCTCGATCATCGCGTACGAGGAGCACGTATATATGTACGCATGTCCAAAGAGGTCGATTGAGAAAGCAAGTACTCGATAGTATCTCCGGTATGTCTTTCGTTTGAAAACTTGGAACCTCTTTTTTTTCCATTTCCATTTTGCAAGCAGGCAAGCAAGCAAGCAAGCAAGCTACCTAGCTGGCTAGCTCTTTCTTTCATTCTTTCATTCTTTCATTCTTTGTTTCACAACACAGTCAGGCAGTCTCTCTTTCTTTCCTCGAATGGTGGCCAGGTGCTCGGCGGGTATCATGTAACATGCGTGCATATAGGTAACAAACAATCAACTCTTTGCCAAAAAGGCCAAAAAAGCAAAACAAAAAGCAAAAAAACCACAAAAGAAAAAAGGTCGTTGCATCTTTTTGGCCCGCACTCTGCTTCCTTTTTTTCCCCCCTCTCTCCTCGCTTTTCTACCCCTTTGTGCATCTGACCGCATGAGGGGGCAGGGGTATCAGGCTTCTTCCCCTCTGAAACATCACTGACGATTCAAGAGACATATACTCTCTCCGTCACTCTTTCCTCATGCCCTTCACAGGTTCAGAATCCAGGAGGTGCTCTGCTTCGCCAGAATTGATTTTCTTATCCTGATCGTACTCCAAGCTCAAGTCTGAGCCCAAGAAGCTCCGCGCTACTTCATCCCCATCCATTCTATTTTGGTCGGCGGTTGCAGGTAATGAACTCATGATTTTCTTGGCCTGAGGCCTGAAACCTTGTCTGCTCTTCTCCGCGAACGTGTTCGGTATAGGTTGATGACTGTTCGACATCGCCACGATCTATTACGACTTGCGTTCGCCATGCTGAAATTAGTCGAATCAAAACGGCCACTCATGGTAGGTGCCAATCGTTGCGGCACTCATGCCCCCAGCTCCTTGATTGCCTGTTTCCGCCTCTCCAACATTTCCTTCCTCACTATCCTGGTCCTCAGCGCCTCACTCGCCTGTACCAACGCATCAATACTAATGGCGTGATTGGTCATGTTGTGGTTGATATACGTATACACCTGCGCGGCGGAGTCGAGCGCAAGAATCGCGTTTTCATTGAGCTTGAGCAAGGCGAGGGCCAGTTGGAAGAGGAAAGGCGACGATGTACCATCGTGTTCATCGGGGGAATTGTTGTCCACCGAGGATGTGGTTTCTGCTTGGGCGTGCAACGCGGTCACGGGCGTGGATGGGCCACTTGTCAGGCCAAGGGAAGGAATGTCCACAGTGAGTGTGGTTTTGGATTGGTTCAATGCGTGTGGGGGGGCGTCGGAACTATTGAGGCACAGACTGTTGTGCAGAGAAAGGAGTCTTAGTTGAAGGTTCCTTGTAATACGAGGAGAAGAAAAACTCACATGACGTCCCAAACTCGGTACAGGGCCTCTCCGCCCGTTAACACGCCCGTGTAAAGCGACAAGAACCAATGAAACGTGCACGCCTCCAACTCGACACCCAGTTCATCCAGTTTGGCGCTCAGTTTTGGCAGGACTTCGGTAACATATTGGCGAAGAACCACTTGATCAGCTCGAGCGACAAGCAGAGTCGAGCTGAAGTATTGGCTTGGGAGGATGACGTCGATGATGGCAACGAGAAGCCAAAAGCAATCTTCCGCCGTGGCACAAATGAGCAGCAAAGACGCTGTGATGAGATTCATACCTTGACAGTATCCAATGCGTGGATTGTGCAAGGAATAGGCCCTTAGCAACTCTTCCAACCTCTGAATGCCAGGTCCGTGCCGAAAGAAGACATTGTCTGTGAGCGTCCGGTGAACATCCGCCTTGATTTGACTAGCAATATCCGGATCGATGTCTATGCCCTCCTGCGATCGAGCAACAAGGTCCTCATAGTAGCCAGGAATTCTCAGAGCACTTGCACCAGAACACTCGGCCCAAATCTTTGGCCGTAAGGAGACAGGGATACCGGCGAGAACCAGTGACTTGAAGTGCATGTACTTGGCTTTCGTCTTTGTGGAGCGCCCAAGGGTTGCTATTCCAATGAGCTCGCCGTTGAGAAGATCTGCTTCAGGGGTGTTGGTGTTGCTCGCGCGATCTGCGTTGTTCGCTCTTTCCGCTCTCACTCTGCGCAGAAAGTCATTCCACCGGACCGCCCGCTCGGCTTGAAGTGCATCGTGCAATTCTGTCAGCTGCTCCAGAAGCAATTTTGCTGGACCGGAGTCGGTCGTGGCTTCGGACTCGGAATCCGGTGTAAAGTCCGCAGAAGTCGCTGTCACTGTCGAGGGTTGCGGTTCCATCACCATGCTAGTGGTTGGAAGAGCCTTTTGCGAAGCAGCAGAGACGGAAATGGAAGTCTCTCTGCTTCGACGCGGTGGCGTCGTAGTGCCTGCTGCGTCCACCGTGCTCACAGTAACCACAGCTCCAGCAGAGGGCGTGTGTGAAAGCAATTCTTTTGGCCTTCCTGAGGACAAGGCCGCGGGTACTTTGAGGTAATCTTGCCATGACTTTTTAGGCGCCTCCTCATCTACCGAAATGGGTGTAACAGGTCTTTCGATCGAGAGTTCTTCAGAATGCGGAGCTTCACTGGCTCTAAAGCTAGCTATGGTTTCGGTACCACTCAACTTGTTTCGTCGGTGGCCTCGAACCTGAAGGTTCTGTCGCTTTCGCCGTTTCTGGTCATAGATGAAGCCGAATCTGTCCGTCAATAGTCCAGTGTTCTCCACATTTTGGGTTGTCATGGTGGGCGGCAGCTGGGAGCTCTCAATCATAGAGTCTAACTCGACAGTAGGAGGGAGGTTACTTGCGTTTGATTCTTTTCGCGTATGACCAGGACTGGCCGAAAGTCGCGTGGCAGTCGGTGTCCGCTTTACTGGCGGCCGACTCTTGACCGTCCCAGTTGTAGGTAGCGATGCAGATGACTTGGTGGTGGTTAGAGGCGGATTGGTGCGCGGTTTCGATACACTCGGTTCCGTTTCGCCTGCTGCATTCTGCTGTCCCAGCGACGATGCCCTCGATCGACCGGTTTGGGACTTTCCACCAAAAATCTGGGTCCAAGAGGCAAAAGAGCGAGTAGACTGACTAGAGCGGACACTGGCTTCGTCGCTGGCTTTGGGCTTTCTGACAGTTTTCCCGCCGATGAAATAGCTGGAAGACTGTGTTGGAGGCTGGAATATGCTTTGTAGACCAGACAACTTGGGGGTGTTTGAGCTTGGTATACGCGGACGCAAGGTGGCCTCCATATCCTGGCTACTGTCACTGAGGCTGCTGTTGGCCCTGCTAGGGGTTCGGCTTGCCTTGGCCAGGCTCGATGCCATCGACCCAGCCCTGCTGCGATTCGCTTCCGACTCGACTTGCAAGGCTGCTGGCAGATTCCGAGTATCTGAGACATGACCGGTGGGGAAATCGCTGTCCAGGGGACTGCTGACCACAATGCCATCTGCCATTGCTTCGCTCATCATGCCATCTAGCATCGCAGCTGCTCGATCCACAGAACCTGATGACGCCCCGAGACTTGAATCATTGTCTCCCTGTTCCAATCTCAGGAGCCTCTTCTCCACCTCTGCCGTCGGGACATTGGCTTCGCGCAGGATCTTCTTCAATTCCCTCTCCCTGTGGTCCGCTCGGATTCGTAGAGCCGAAATTTCCGCATCCCTTTGAGCAAGGTCGGAGGCATACTGACGGACCAACTTGACCGCACCAGTCCTGGCAATGAGTCTTTCGATGTGCTCATCACTAGCCAAATGCAGGGAACCCGGAATTTCCAGGGATGATCGTGGAGAGTCGTCGAACAAGGCATTTTGTCTATTGAGGGAGGGAGATGCACTGGTCAAGCCTGCAAGAGTGGCCTTCCTATCCCTTGCCTTTTGTGATATTGTCCGTATGGGCTTGGGCACAACCTCTTGAGCAATGCTTGCCGATTTCGTTTCGGTCTCTGGGGAGAAGGAGGGAAAGGAGGTCAGGGAAGGGTCGTCTTGTTCAAAGGATTGAGACGAGTGCTTCGAGCCATGACGCTTGGGGGCTCCTCGCACGGTCTTGGGCTTCTTCTGATCGGCGGACTGACTGGAGGTCTGTGAGGAGGATCGTCTCGATTCATTGCTGCCATGTTCGGACATTTTGAAGCCGACGAGGGCCCTATCGACTGGAACCCAGAGATCGCTCGAACACCGCTGCCCGCATCTTCACAGCACAAATAGGTTATGACAGTGTCGGAATGCGGGAGAAACGGGCGGAAGTCAAAGTCGAAGGATGGGGGATCCGGCCATGCTCTTGGATCGGATGACGATGGCAGTAATGACGTGTGTGGTAAAGCGAAGAGGAGACAAGGGAGAACAAGATGGTATTTGTTATGTCGCGGGAGAGGCGGTGATGGACAGCACAGAAGAAAGTCCGAGAGCTGACGGGACATCAAACGGACACTGTGTGGAGGTTGGTAGTGGTGGTAGTATGGTTGGGCATCTCTGGCTCTGGCAGCTGGCAATGGCAGAAAGAAATGCTCGTGTGATATGACGAAACCCACAAGTTGCAGGTTTGCGGCAGCTGGGTTGGTGTCTTTGGTGCCTTGGTGCCGGGGCGTTACAGGGGGGGTGGTGGAGCTTGTTCGTGCCACACACATGTGGCACTGGTGAAGTTCAAGACCCGGGTAGGTCACTCAAGCAAGGGCACCAACGGCACCAACGGGGGCGGAGACGGAGACGCAAGGCCGGGCAGGGCTGGGCAGCTGGCAGGGCTACTAACACACGCGGGAGGAAGAAAGTCCGGCGCTCTTTTCACGTGATGTCACATGATTCACCTCAGAGACTCAAACCAACACCAACACCAACACCCCCCTCTAAGAAATATCATTTTTCCAGCAAAAAGAACACCCATACCTGTCCAACCCCGACCCTATCCCACCCAGGCTCTTGCCCTTCACAAAGACACTCTAGCAAAATGAACTGCGCAAAATAACCCTGTCCCAGATTCGTCCCAAACGAAAGTGGTAGTCCTGTCAGGCACCCATCGTTCCCCAGCCCCTAGTCCTATCAACCAGATATTCCGGGCGCGCCCGCGCTTTCTACTTCAAACGCCTCTAGAGGGTGAACAAATCAAACCATTATGGATGCTGGATCCTCTTCATTTTCTCCTTAGCCCGTGTTTGGACTTGCTCACAGAGCCTCTCTTCCCCTAATCCATCCACCGAGTCTCCCGCCTGTCAGGTATTCAAGATGGGTCAAGGCTACTCCATGACCACCCTGTCCGCTGCATCCGCCAGCATAGATGTCCCTGAACTGGCGGACCTGGTGCACGAGAAGACCCTGGCCTCGGCCCGTTTCATGAAAAGCGTCCGAGCGAGGAGTCAGCAAGGCTTCGTATTTGTCAAGGCCGTCATGAAGCCATATTCGTCCTTCCCGGTCCACGAGTATATTCGCCAGATTACCCACGAGAGAAACACGCTGGCTGACATCCCCAATGCCCTGGGCTATCAGCGAATCATCGAGGTACCTAGTGGTGGCTTCCTTGTCCGCCAGTACATGTTCAGCTCGGTATACGACCGCATGAGCACCCGGCCATTCTTGGAGGACATCGAAAAGAAATGGCTGGCCTTCCAGCTGCTCTGCGCTGTTCGTGACTGCCACGCCCGCAACCTCCACCATGGAGACATCAAGACGGAAAACCTTCTTGTCACTTCCTGGAACTGGCTCTATCTCACCGATTTTTCCTCTTCATTCAAGCCTGTAAATCTACCCGAAGACAACCCAGCCGACTTCTCGTTTTATTTTGATACTTCATCGCGACGGACATGCTACATTGCTCCAGAACGCTTCACTTCGGCCAATCCAGAAGACGCCCCAGCGGAACTAAACTGGGCCATGGATATCTTCAGCGTCGGGTGCGTCATTGCTGAAATATTCCTAGAAGGACCCATCTTTTCTCTCAGTCAGCTGTTCAAATACCGGTCAGGGGATTATAGCCCAGAGCATACCCATCTCAACAAGATCGAAGATCCCGAAGTGCGGGCGATGATTCTCAACATGATCGAACTGGATCCCGAGAAGCGCTACAGCGCAGAACAACACCTCTCCTTCTACCGGTCCAAGATCTTTCCCGACTACTTTTACAGCTTTCTCCATCAGTATATGCTCGATCTCACTAGGCCTGCGACTGCGCTGAAACCCGTGGAACTGAATCTCAGGAGCTTGAGCGAATTCGATGAGAAGATAGAACGCGTCTATCATGACTTTGACAAGATCTCTTTCTTCCTCGGCTATGGCCCAAGTTCCACAAAACAGTCTTCGCGATCGCCGTTGACGATGAAGTCCAACAACAGATTCAAAACGCCGGATGCAGATCCTAGCCTTTACGACGGTAGTTTACTGTTTCTCACTCTTGTCGAGTCTAGTCTAAGGAATACGGCAAAGGCATCAGCACGGCTCAAGGCATGCGATCTTTTGGTTGCATTCGCTGAACGACTCCCAGATGAGGCGAAGTTGGATCGAATCCTACCGTACATTGTTGGCTTGATCGCAGATCAATCAGACGTGGTCAGGGCTGCAGCAATCTACGCAATGACCTCAATCTTCGAAATGATTGAAGTCGTCTCGCCGATCAATGCATATGTCTTTCCAGAGTATATCCTGCCGCGTCTGAAACATTTTGGGTTGGGCGCTTCAAGTGAGCCCAGCATCCTTGTGCGCTCCGCGTATGCATCCTGCCTGGCTTCTTTGGCATTGTCTGCTGAACGAGTGCTCGACATCTTCCATGCCATCCGGGCTGACGGGCGCTTGTCTGCGTTACGAGAAGATGAATTAGCTCCCCAGCAATCGTATGATGCTCTCTACGACTATAGCCGACGCGAGATCGTTCCCCATTTTGAAGAGTCGACCGTTGCCTTGATAACGGACCCGGAACCATCTGTCCGAAGAGCTTTGCTGGGCTCAATATCCCGACTCTGCGTCTTTTTCGGCAGTCAACAGTCCAGTGATGTGATATTAACACACCTTAACACCTACCTGAACGACAAAGACTGGATCCTGAGGTGTTCATTTTTTGAAGCGCTTGTGGGAATCGCCTCTTACATTGGAGCCACAAGCCTAGAGAAGTTCATATTGCCAGTGATGGTTGGCTCCTTGACTGATCCCGAGAGCTTTGTTGTGGAGAAAGTCTTTCGATCATTAGCCCGGATGGCTGCATTGGGTCTGTTGCAGAAGAGCACAACCTGGGAACTTGTCGGCATCGCCGCAAGATTTTCGATCCATCCCAGTATTTGGGTGCGCGAGAGTGCTGTACAATTCATCGTTTTGTCTGCCAAGTACATCCCAGCAGCCGATCAGTACTGCATTGTCCTCCCCATCATCCAGCCATTCTTAAAAGGGCCGATCTCGGCCCTGACGGAAGAGCGAATATTGGACAATCTGAAGCGACCTTTGCCGAAGATAGTGTTTGATTCCGCCACCCACTGGGCAGCGAGGAAGGGAAACAGCCTATTCTGGACAGCTGCAAGCCGAGATGGTGCATTGACACTATCCGATCCCACAACTCCGCAAAATCCGTCGGCGCTCACAAAGCGGCTGTTGACCAGAATACCCCCTTCTCAAAAAGACAAAGATGATCAAATATCTCTCGAGAGTCTACGAAACCTCGGAATGACCACGGATGATGAAATCAAGCTTCTTGCGCTGCGGGAGTACATATTGAAAATTTCCAGGCACAAACCACTTGAGGATTCAGATGAAAAATATCACTTGTTGAGTAATATCATCCCTCTAAATCAGATCAATGTTACCCCGCAGAACGTCTTCTTTGATTCGCGTCAGCCGATTAGAGAGAATACAAGTGGACCTAGGAGGACGCAGAGAAGATCAAGAGTGGATGAGAGACATAGTCTGGCAGATGCTCTTCTTGATGCGTCAACCAGTATCGACGACCATATGTCGAGGAGGATATCGTCCACAGAGCAGTCAAGCGGAACGGCAACGCCCGCAACTAAGCCCATGGACATCCAGCATCGCAAACCCTCCGAAACAAGGCCCAACGGCGCGCCTGCAATAGCAGTGGAAAGGGCAAGTGTGTCCTCCAGGCCAAGCATCTCAAATGGCGAGACTTCCTTAAATGGAGATAGGCTGTCATTGCGTCGCAACACCTCGTTCGAACTCAGACATCGAGCCAGCGGTTTGAACTTGATGAATCGAACGGACTCCGCAAAGGCGGACCCAGAAATTTCCACGATCTCGGAGAATGCATTTGGCAAGGTCGAAGTAGATGGGCAGTTTCATCGACGAAGCACGGGCGGACCCTCAGCGTTGTCAGTGACCGCCAATGTGGTCGCCAAATCAAGGTCCGTTTCGCCTCGTGGCAGCGGGACTAGAACGCCGCTCTATGAGCCCAACCATTCATACCAAGGGAACGACGCCAATGTTCTGCGACTGCTGGACAATCATTTCTTGGAGAATTTTCCCATAGATCAAATGGACTTTGGCGGGAATAGACCTCCCGCGGACACTAGGACACCTATTCGGAGAGCTACCGACGTCTTACAACAGGCTAGCGGGAAAGCGGCGCAACAGGAAGAGAAGTTTCGCAGCGAACCGTGGCGCCCTGCAGGCCAACTTCTGACTCAGTTTTCGGAGCATACAGCTGCCATCAATCGAGTGTGTGCAGCCCCTGATCACGCCTTCTTCGTGACAGCATCAGATGATGGAACTTGCAAGATCTGGGACACGATCAGGTTGGAAAAGAATGTCACGGCGCGCTCGAGGTATACACATCGACGCGCCGAGGGAGTGAGGGTCAAGAGTCTTTGCTTCATCGAGGAAACGCACACCTTTCTCAGTGGGGCGGACGATGGAAGTATTCATGCTTTACGAATTGACTATAGGAGTGTCGAAGGTGGTGAGACTTCCCGATATGGCAGACCGAGTCTCGTCCGGGACTACCTAATACCATCCAATCGAGCCGTGAACAATGTCAGCGGCCTCGATGGTAGTGCTGCTGGATCCGTTTCAGAATACGCCGTCTGGCTTCATCATTATCGCACGCCAACCTCGCAATCTATCTTACTAGCAGCGACTAACAAATGTCGAATTCTCGTCATTGACATGAAGAACATGGAAATCCTCCACAGCATGAAGAACCCGGTACATCACGGTACACCGACTACATTTTGTGTTGACAGGAAACACCATTGGTTGCTCTTGGGGACGAGTCACGGAATTCTGGACCTGTGGGACTTGCGGTTCAAATTGCACTTGCGTAGCTTTGGCATCCAAACCAATTCTCGCATAGATCGGCTCCTGATTCATCCTGCCAAAGGTCATGGGAGATGGGTGATGGTGAGCGCTGGTGGAGAGATCAGCACCTGGGACATTGAAAAGATGGTTTGCCGCGAAGTTTTACGGCCAAGTACATTCAGTCCCAAAGGTGGGCAGACACGCCCATATGAAGCGTGGTCTCCGGACGAAGAGAGCAGCGAAAAGATTCTGGCACGATTTGCCAAGGCGGTCTCTGAGAATGACGGCTTGATTGAACCTCAATTGCATCGGTCGCCGACCCCAAATGAGATATCTGCCGGTTCACCTACGAAGAAGTCGACCCCGTCGTCCAGCTCGGGCTCGGTTTCTACCTTTCCGATCCTTGCGATGTACATTTTCACCGACTACACCCAAAGCTCGAACCCAGAGAACCCCAACAAGCACTCCATACTTTTTACTGGCGGTGTTGATAGAGCATTACGATACTGGGACATTGGTCGACCGGAGAACAGCTTCATTGTCTCCGGACCACAATTACATGATGCAAGTGAGGAGAGCTTCACGCCGGCCGGGAGTGTCAAGTCTAAGTACAAATATGAAGTGTCGCATCCGTTGAGCCTGAGCGCTGGAGCGCAGATCGCGCTCGTACAGGAAAAGGACAATATCAGCGAGGAAGCCGCAACCTCGGCTCAGCCGTCGAGGAAAACATCGTCCTATACTCGTTTTTCGAGAGATGCCACAACTCATGTAGCTTCAACTCCTACGAGAAGATCGAACACACCTACGCAAACTGCCACGACGAGCAGCCGGCCCGGGACACCGAACATACACAGAAACTCCAGTACAAGCACTTCATCCACGCCTTCAACCCCTCAAGCCATCAAACCACCCCGCAACACGATTATCAGTGCCGCGCAGCAGCAACTACTCCGAACTCATCTGGATTCAATCACTGACGTGGTAATGCTGAGGAAACCGTATGGATGCGTGGTCAGTGTGGACCAAGGTGGGAATATCGCTATATTCCATTGAGCTGGAGTTGCTAGGTCCGGTGCGAGTCTGAAAGGATGAATCCATATCCTTCCAGCTGACGGGGCCGCGGTAGGCACCCACGTTGAACAACACTTGTATCCGTGGTTGAGGGATGTGTTATCCTCGTCATCCCTGTCAAGAGCACAGATGCCATGTAGAGGCGTCGAAAAGTCACATTAATACCTTGCCCACATATGAAAGCATGAAATTGGCATAGAGCCCATCAATATCCGATTCGGACCTCGTCAAAAGAGGGCGGAGCTGATCTCTTGGACTTGCAGCATGTATGCAACAGCATCTTCTCTTCGCTCCTCATTCTCTTGTCTTGCTTGCTATGAGAAGTGTCTTGCCAATCAATCGCCGCAGGTATTTGTTGCGGAGCACCTAGTTAGCTTTTATACACAACCCTCACAGAGCGAATAGTGTTTCGTCTTTTGAAAACCTGGCAACCTCTCGGCTGTCACTCGGGCCATCCACTCCCTGTTCCTATGTAACTCAATAGCATACCGAGGACATCTCTCCGCCCTACGTGAGTGTGTTTGTGAGTAGGTGAATGTTTTCCTTTGGCCTGTCGTGGGGGAAATAACAACAATAATCCACTTCAGATAGATAGATCGATAGGCCGTCAAGGTGAGAATATTCGAAAGGCAGGTTTACCTGGCACAGAGGGCAAAATCAGGAACGAAAAGACATAGGAGGAAGAGCAAGACAAAGGGCAAAGGCGCTGGTTATTGATCGGTGCAAAGAGAATCCAAATCTCGACTCTCGACTGAGGACTCTCATCTCCATCTTCAACCAAGACAGGGCAAGACCAGACCAGACCCGACCCGGCCTGTTTAAAGCTGCCTGACTGGTGAAATCCGTGTCTATACACAAACACTCTTTTCCCTCCCTCTCTCTCCCTCTCACATACTCTGTGCCTTGCGATACCCTGCGAAGATGCCAGGCCTCCAAGAACCGCCGTCTGAATCCGCATCGACATCTACAACCACGGGCATGGCCGCGACCACGGTGTCGTCGCACGCGGCCGAGCACATCGCCCTGATCGGCGTCGGCGCCATAGGAATCTCCTTCCTGGCCCTGCATCTGACCTACACGGCCGCGCGGGTGTCGGTGTTCGACCCGCGCCCGGACTTAAAGGAGCACGTCGCCGCTATGCTGCCGCTATACCTCCCGACTTCTCCGCCAGGGTTAGGGTCCGAGGGCAAGTCCTCGATCGAGCAGCTCACGGCGTCAGGCCGGTTGAGGTTCTGCACCTCGCTGCGCGAGGCCGTGCAGCACGCGACGGTTGTGCAGGAACAGGGGCCCGAGAACATGCAGTTCAAGCAGCGGACATGGTCTGAGGTGCTGCGCTACGTGGGCGCCAGCACGCACCTGTGGTCGTCGACGAGCGGGATCCCCGCGAGCCAGCAACTCGCGCACCTCACCGCCACCACCGGTGATCTTGATCTCTCAGAAGAGGCCATCGCCTCGGCCCGCGCGCGCCTCCTGATCGTGCACCCATTCAACCCGCCGCACCTGATGCCGCTGCTCGAACTGGTCCCGTCGCCGAGCACCTCCGCCACCGAAACCGCATTCGCAAGGAGCTACTTTTCCTCGCTGGGCTCGATCCACCGCCCGATCACGATCCGCAAGGAGAGTGTGGGTTTCGTCGCGAACAGATTGTCGTTTATCCTGTTCCGCGAGGCGTGCCGGCTGGTGCAACAGGGTGTGTGCTCTGTGCATGATCTGGACGAGATCGTGCGCGCGAGCCTGGGCCCCCGCTGGGCCGTGGCGGGGCCCTTCCAGATGTACAACTTCGGCGGCGGCGTGCGTGGCATGGCCGGCTTCCTCGACAATATCGGCGAGGCCATCGACGCCGTCTGGAAGGATGATGCTGGCGACCAGATCAGCATGGATGACGGTGATGGGTCCGGAGGCTGGAAGGCCACCGTGATCGAGCAGACGGTCGAGGCGTATGGGGTGCCCAGCGCGGCCGAGATCAAGAAAAGGGACAGGGCGTTGAAGGCGGTAGTGAAGGTTCAGGAGGAGCAGGCGCAGGCGCAAGAGCAGGGACAGATGGAGCAATGAGACCAGGAAGAAAAATCACGTCCCAAGGGACGCAGTTGACTAGAATGCAAAACTCTGACTTTGATATAGGACTCTGCTCTGTTCTGGCTTGCCCGCGCCCTGTTTCAACGGGTACAGTTACATCTAGATGCTCAAACACTTTGTTTGTTCTGGTTCCATTTCCTAAAGTCAACATTTTTGCAAGGCCATCAAGTGAAGTCTCCTGCCTCGACTCGGCAATCCAACTCGGTTGTCATGAAAAATACCTGTCGCAACACACACACGCACACACACACACACACACACAAAAAAGGAATATCACACCATATGAGCCCGTAAAACCATGACAGCCACACCAACAATTACAGATTAACCAAAGAAACAAATGTAGGAACATGCCGAGCGTCGGAAAGCGAGGGCAAAGATATTGCCTCGAGACGCACGACGGGCAAAGGGCATGAGATTGTTCGTGCCGCTCAGTTCCCAAGAGATATTGCGCCAAAGCTCCTTGCCATCCCAAGTTCGATGCAAATCCAAATCCAAATCCATTGCATGCAAAATTGTTCGGTTTTCAATCTGGTCTCTCACGCCTCCACGACGCGGCTGAGAACGGGGCCTCGACCAGGAGACGGTTTGACGTTTTCCTCGGACACCGAGTCTCCCTTCACACTGCCCGTGCCGCTGGCAATATTTGCGTGGGCACGTTCAGCATCTTCGTCTTCAACAATCTTCGTCCGATCTGGACCTCGAGTGTTGTGGTTCAGCGACTCGCGAGCAGTGTAGTTTGTTGGTGCTGTGCTTGCCATGCTCAATGCGGTGCTGGATCGTTGGTGAACCAAGTCCGGCGTCGGAGGAATCGAACTTCGTTCGCTCTGAGGAGTCAGATGGCCTGTGCCTGCACGAGAATCGGTGGCGCCATGGTCAACAGGAGACAAATTCTCGCTGTCTTGTCGGGCATGGCCCGTTGAGGTCGACATGCCCGCCTCGTCCCCCTCAGCCTGCTCGTCCTCTTCGACATCAGCCGCTTCGTTGGCGAGCTGAAGCCCTTCGACAGCAGCAGCACATTGTTCACTGATGTTGCGAATGATATCGGCAATGGCATCCGTCTTGTCACGAAGATGGCGATCGGCCACATCAGACATGCTAAGCTCTGAATAGCGTTTGCTAGCTCTCTTACTGGCGGCTAGGAGTTTGTTCTCCATTTGCGGCGTGACATCTTGGCCGTCAATGGAGGCAGATCTCGATGGTCGTTTGCCTGATCCGGCGGTCACGCTCTTGAGTCCGTCGCCATCCTCACCAGTTCCATCTTGCTCTTCCTCGTCTTGCTCTTCTTCTACTTCTTCATCCTCCTCGTCTTCATACCCTTCATTGATGTACTCTGCCAGCTCCGAAGCAGACCCAATAGAACGAACAATGTGTTCCATGTGGTGGGTCTGACCGGTGATGAGGGATCGGAGGTGGAGAACGACACGTTGAGCTTCATCACGCTGTCTCTGGAGGGTCTGGTTGGTATGTTGCAGGGCCGCAATTTCCTTGCGGTTGCGAGCACGCTCTTTCTCCAGATCTTCGGCAATACCCTGCTGAAGCACCAATGCCTCCAGTGCGTTATCACGCTGTCTCTCAGTGCCAGACAAGCGAAGAGCAAGACGAGCAGCGTCATCCTTTTGTTGATCGATGAGACCGGTAAGTCTGCGATTCTCACGCTTGTGAGACTCAATCTTGACACGAAGTTCAGCCAATTCCTTGTTGAGAGACTCGACGAAGGCTTGGAATTTCTGGAATTGCAACTTCCAGGTCTCGACTTCTTGTTCGAGATAGTTGTTCCTCTTCGCAACCTTGGCAAGCTCTGTATCCATGCGGCCCTTCAAGTTGATGAAGTCTTGCCATGCTTCAAGTGCGTCTCTCGAATACTGGTTACGTTCTCGAACAATCTCATTCATGTGTCTCATGGAGATCTTGGTCATCAGGGGTTTCTTCATGCTGCCACCAAAGATGGCCTTGACGCCAGTATTGCGGCCAAGTTTCTCGCAGACGTGGTCCATGACTGCCATGACGGCGTCTTGGTTCCACCACGAGGGGTCTTGGACACTTTCAACCTCGCCACGTAGAACGATGATCTGTCCGGCGGGGATGAGCTTGCCACCGCCATAAGCAGACTTGAGATGTTGGGGGACACCGCTAATCTCAACGTCGGTGTTCAACGCTTGCGTTAGACGGTTGATCATCTTAGTGCGCTGACCAGCAGTCAGGATATTCGGAGGATGATCGGTGATGACGAGATTCCGATCCAAGTCGACCAGAAGAGCGTCCTTAGGAGGCTGGAAGAGTGATCGACATTCAGTGGTGATACCCAGAATATATGGTCCAGGCTCTTGCACCATTTCACTAGCATTACGAGCGTGGACGACGGGAACATAAAGACCGCTCCATTCGTAGACTCGGACACAAAATCTGATGGTCTCAGCTGCGATTGTAAGCATGGCTGGGTGGTGACTGGTGAGAATGATGCGGCGAGTAGGCGATACAGCCGCCTCGATGAGGCCCACGATATTGGGAATGCTCAAGCAACAGAAAAGTGGCCACATATTGAAGTTCTGGAATCCAGTAGGCGAAGACGGGAATTGATAGCAGAGCGCATAATCTTTCATATCGATCCGTACGAGGTCGTTCAGTCGTGGAGCAGGAAAGCTGAGGATTCTCGAGACCTCCTCAGCGTGGAACAAGTTGGTGGCCTTGTTCCAGTGAATCCACATTCCTCGCAGGTAGTCGCCCAACAAGTTGTATAGAGGATATCTGGAGAGGAAGCTCAAGCAGTAGGGAATCCAGTAAGTCTCATCAGCGACATCTCTATAGTCAGGTTCGGTCTTGCGACGAAGATCACGAATGGTTTCGGCTCGTTTCTCGTCCGCCCGTGACCACACTCGAAGGGCAATGCCGTACAGAGTGTGCTGGGAATCCTGCTGGAGCACGAATGAGTGATGCACACAGTGTGGCTGGCTCCTGCCAGTGCAGATCTCGACATCATGTGGAAAGCACGCCTGTATGATGGTCAGTGTTGGAATCAGGACAGCTGGCAGCAGTAGCAACCTACCCTCATAGCACTGTGCAGAGCTCTTGCAATCTCATTGTCACTCTCGAGTCTGGGGCTGCTTCCCAAGATCTCGGGAAGCCAGAACTGCCCAACAGCTCCCTTCATATGTTGGATCTTGCCGTGTGACGGAGGAGGTGCTTTGACCCATTGCGACGGCTCTCTTCCCACCCCACACACCATATATGCATGTGTCAGAGTCTTTGGAGTAGGTCGATTGTTCGACTTGGCCAGAGTGGAGGGGAGAGGCTGGGTGATTCGTGAATGTAGAGAGGAGGTTCGGCTGGGAACCATGGCATTGTCGACTGCTTGTTCTCGGGTAGCAGGGCGATTTGTATCGCGAGTCTGAGGTCGGGCAGCCATGGAAGTCATAGAGGTATGACCTCTCAGCGAAGGGCCCATGGTTTCGATTCCGAGGCGGTAGAGAGGGTTGGCCTCAGTGTCTGAAGCCGTGTGTGGTGTGGGATATCAATTGTCCAGCAACTCAACCAGGAACCAAAGGCCAGCTCCAAGACACCCTCAGCCTTTCTAGCTTGGAGTATCTGCGCCGGAAAGACAATTCCTTTCTCTTCAAGAGACACGGAGGGGAAGAGGACGTTGGCTCAGAGACAGGCCCCGCGGTGTAAAGAAGAAAGAAAAAAAAAACCAGCGGTCGGAACCCGTTGGGAGGATAGAAAAGCAAGACCAGCACTGGAATGGGCGTAGGTGCCAGGAGAGATTGTTGCAAGGCACAATTGAAGCTCCTTGAGCTCCATAGATTTCAGGAGTCCATCTGGCATTGGAAGCGAGAAGAAGCGCAGCAAGAGGTGTCAGGCCAAGCGGGCCGGAGGCACATCAAGAGCCACGACTAGTACCAGCCAGTACTGCGGATATGCAGCTAACAAGATGAGGCTTGCAGGGGTCAGAAACCACTTTCAACACTCTGTGCCCGCCTACAAGCCGTAACCGAGAATGGCACCCGAGTAAGTACTGGGTAGGTAGCACGGTCGCCATCTCCCCCCATCTTGCTGGTTGCTCGGGGTCTCGGACGAGGTGCGTGGAGGCCCAGTCCTCAAAAGTCCTCAGTGCTCCCATTCTTGCGAGTTTGAAGACAGCATCAGCTACAAGAGTGAGCGAATCTGGTGAGTCCCATGCCCTCTCAAAGCTGCCCATGTCGATACAAGTCCAGTCTCTATCCAGCGCCAGCTACTTACTTACGAGCACCAAGTCCTCCGTCCAGGTACTCTACCCACCTCGTCCTGTGTGCACGAATCGAATGGCGAATCTCTGCCCACTAGCCTTTCAATCGCCTGCGCCTGCGCCTGTACCTGAGCCGTGCCCATGCTCGTGGGCCCCCTTGTTGCAAATCATCGAACATCCAAAAGAGCTATCCATCCCATCGTCCCCCATGTTGGGTCTAGCCAGGAGCTGAGGCATCACACACCGGCCAGGGGTCGACCAGCCCGCTCACACCGAGCCACGCCGTTTTGGGTTGAAGGTGCCCCTGGTGCCCTGCAGCACCCTGGCCATGTCTTGTTCCCCCGGCAGCCCTCAATTTGGCTGGTAACCAACACTCCTGATCCACTTGTCTGTGATGAGCCAGAAAACTTGGTTGATGGCCTGGGTGACGGATTGAGTGCCAGAAGGTGCAACCTGTGGCAGGCCTTTTTTGGCCACCTCCATCACAGGCTGGCTGAGGCTTTTTCTGGTTTTCTGGGGGGAGGAAAAAGGCCGTGCTGCCTCCTCCTCCTCCTCCACACCTGCGGCCCACTTGCTTGGGTGGGCTTCAGGGGGTTTCAACTTCTCTTTTGGGTTGCTTTTCTTTTAGGGATGTGGCTAGCCTTCTGGGCTTCTAGCCTTTCGTATAGCAGGTATCACAGAGAACCCCTCGCCGCTCTACCTTGTACTCCGTACATACGGATGCTGTTGTTTGGCCCAACAAAGACACTGCCGAGAGCACAGTCTACAAACGGAGTACCTACTTACACATTTCATTCTCCGGGGAGGGAATTCGCCGAGCATATTGATGATTCGATGGAGGCATTAGTATCGCGTCTTTCGTGTTCCAGCCGTCTTGCCACATGCTTTTTTATGTAAAGCACCAGCACGCAATTGGCAACGTTCCATTCAAAGTTTTAACTACGGACTGCATCTCCTCGAAGTTCTCTGCCGGGACGGAAGTCAATCATGGAGCCTGCGCGCTCGCGACACAAGAGTTGCACACGGGAATGAGAAGCCTAGGAGACGATTTTGCCGTCTTATTCGCGACCCAAGCCGCATTCGTCCCAGGACTTGTTTCACGTCAAGGCTGAGGATCCATGCCAGCAAGTGGACATGCGTTTTCTGTCTCGCATGGACAAACATGCTCCTGTTGGTCCATTGCCGCGCATCAAGGTTCTTGTCATCCTTCCAGAATGGAACGCTGCACTCCTCAGGGGTCGTCCTCTGCTACTCCATCAAAGGTAATCCGCGGGGTTGCGTCCAATCAAGATTCCATGACATGATCTGCTGGAAAACGTGCCAGTGCACGCCAGGAGCGATTGACCTTTGTCTATCTACATACCTAGGTTTGCCAGGATGTCCTCTAAACTCTGATCCCAATGGAACGGAAAGAGCGAAGCAAACAAGGTTAGTGCGTTGCCAATGAATTGGCTTGTCCTGCTCATCTGATCCAATTTGTTTTTGGGTTCTAACCAGCGAGAGCGCAACATGCACCAACAAAGAGAAGAGGACGAACAGAGCAAGGGAGAACAGATATTAGTGTCAAGTCCCATTGACGCTGCTCCGAACTCTATATTCCTTTGGCCTCTTCTTAGCCCATCGGCAGCAAGCCTCAGGCCGATTTTCGTGTCGTCCCCGAATTTATGCCCACCATCCTGATTCTCACATTCACAGCAGCGCCACCAGTTTCCAACTCCAATATCCTACCTAGTCTTTATACAGACTGCTGGCGCTAAAGGCTCCCACCCATTTGACCAGGAAGTGCTACTGTCATCGACGGCCAGTTTTGCGTTTTAGGGAGATGGAGGTTTAATAGTGTTCTGCTTGGGCTGAAACTGAGCGTGTTAGCTATCTACTTGCACTCAGACCATAATTCGTCACCTGGATGACGCCAAGTGTAATACCATCAACAAGGGTGACGAGGTCATTAATGCCACTGTCCACCTATATGGTGATAGCAGCATTGACGACTACAGTGAGTTGGGAGATGAACGGATGTTCAGCGAGGAAAAGAAGGCGACGGTCGAGGAGAGCTGTAGGAGGTTCAGTTGATACATAGGCTGGAGTGCGGTTCTCAAACGAGGCTGAACGAGGCTGCGCAGTGACGTAGCCAGCACAGGACTCTGGAGTGCCGCTTGCTTATCGATAACGGGCGCGGTGCAAAAAAATCCAGCCCCAGCCATCTTGGAGTAGCATCAAAATAAATCCCATGAATACATAACCTCTGTCCCTGCATCTGCAGTGTCATGCTTCACTTCCATCGATTATGCTATGCAAGAAACGGGCAGCGACCTGATATTGACCGATCTCTGTGCTATCTGGTGAGCTTGAAACATCTGTTCTCAGTGTTTGCAACAAAGACTAAATCTGTGACCTTGGAACAGCCACGTCAATCCTATCAAATACACTTGCCCTCGATGTGGAATTCACACATGCTCCCTCCCATGCGTCAAGCGCCACAAGTCCTGGGCTCAGTGCTCAGGCATTCGAGACCCTACCGCCTATCGAAAGCGAGCTGATCTGGCCACACCAGCCTCTATCGATCAGGACTTCAACTTCATCACTTCCGTCGAGAGATCCCTAGCGCGTGCAGACGAACTTACCATTAGCAAAGGGATTGACTTGGTCCCTAGTGGCATCACACGAAAGGGCCAGGAGGGTAGCCGGAAGTTCACCGCCGAACTCGAAAAGAGAGGTATACGATTGATCAAGGCACCGGAAGGACTATCGAGAAACAAACAGAACAAGTCTCATTGGGCGGGACATGGAAACTGTATCATGTGGACGACTGAATGGTTATGTTATGACGGCGACAAGAAAACTTGCAATGTACTCGAGTCGAGAACGGTTGAGGAAGCCTTTCTGTTTGCATTTGGGAAACACGCCGTCCACCGCAAGAAACGCAAGCGAAGTGATGCTGAAACAACGTCTGTATCAGCTCTTCAACCCGATGCCAGATCTGTTCAGTCGGTCGCTGCCGGGGGGAGCAACGGAGAGAGCTCGCATAACAGGAAGGTGGAAGGAGCCCCTGTACACCCAGGATCCGAGTCTGTCCAAGAATCAGTTAATGACCAGACTGGCATCGACAAGAACGATGAAACGACGCGAAGGAAAGGGCAACTTCCAAAACCCCCACAGGCATCACAGGATCTCCAGTTTTATCTTTTCAAACCAGACACGATATCCAAGGTGAAATGCTTGATTCCGGTTGCTTCGGACTCGAAGCTGGTCGATGTTCTCCGCGATCAGGCTATCCTGGAGTTTCCGACCTTCTACGTCCGGCAAGAAGGCCCGGAGAATTTACCAGCCCCATTCATCACCGAAGAAAATTACAACGAACAGTATGGGACAGAAATTCCTGTCAACCTGCCAACTTACGCTCCGGAGGACAAAGCAGATGGGCCTGACCTCGTTTCTTTGGACAACATCGACGAGAAAAGGGTCCTGGAAGTCCTTCAAAAAGACCTGAATGGCTGAGTCTAGGTTCAAATCTATGACGATCCTCAACCTAACTTGCCTGGGACGAAGGGATGTCCGGCACTCAACCCACCACATACGGCCCAGGCCTGACCATTGACGTAGCTAGCCTCGTCACTCCCTAAGAACAAGGCGACCCTGGCAACTTCGTCGGCCACCGCACCTCTCTGCAGTGGATTCAGCTGGCCAATCTTCTTCTCTGTGCCTCGGTTTCGTGCCGCATCATACATGGGTTTGGTCATCCCAGTCTCAATCACGCCTGGGCAGATAGCATTGACCCTCACTCCTGTCCCACTTAATTGATAGGACATGGTCTGTGCCATCGACACCACTGCAGCTTTGCTGGCTGAATAATCCGTACCCCCAGCATTCGACCTAATTCCAGCCACCGATGCCGTGCCAATGATGCTACCCCCCGGATATTCCTTCTCGGGACCAGTCTTCTGCATCGCGATGGCTGCATATTTGAAACACAGAAACACACCCACCGTATTAACCCTCAGTGTGTTCATGAATGCTGTGCTCGAGATGTGTTCGAACGTATTGGGCACGCCCACTATGCCAGCATTTGCAAACATGATGTCGAGTCTGCCGTATCTGGCCATGCATTGATCCACCACGGCTTTCACTTGAGATTCCTCCCCGACGTCCATTTTCACGCAATGGACCTCGCATTCGGGATACAAGGAGGCCATTTCCCGCTTATGCATTTCCAAATACTTGTCATCATAATCGCAAATGTAGACCGCTTTGGCGCCATTCTGAGCGTATTGGTGCGCAGACGCTCGACCAATGCCGATGGGAGAGTTGCATCCTAAAGAGGAATTATAATGAGAACGAGTTTTCCTAACGGAGGCTAAGGCGGCTCTTCAAGTGTTGCGTCCTTTGGACTTACCAGTAACTATAACAACCTTCCCCTTGACTCTTGGTCCTGCTGAGCTTTCTGCGACGTGTCTGATACGAGGAATCTCCTCAAATGTGCCCTCAGAAGGTATTCCTTCCACAAGTTGCTTGGACAGCGCTGTGAGGCGCCGTTTGGGGACGGCCGTCATCGCCCTAAAATATCTTTTACTGACTTGGAGCTTAGAAAATGCGGAGGTAATGTTCAGAGTCGCTGATGCCGTCGACCGCGAGGTGCGAGGTGCAAGCTGCGTGGTGCAAGGTGCGCACACCACCAAGTGTTGACTTGTGCGTTCAATGCGCCTCAGGTCGAGGTGAGGGGCAGGGAAAGACAGGCGTAGGCAAAAGGTATGGATGCAGAATGAGGTCAAGGTGCGCAGGAAGAATTCAGGAAATCAACTTTCTGTCTTGACTGCCGGGACAGTCTCACGAGAGCAGTCCTCGACCTTTGAGCAGAGCATGCAATTTTGTACCTGAGGATTAGTTAGTTGACTGGAGGTGTCGAGTGTGCAGATCTGGGGGCAGGCCCGTAGAACTGCCGAGGCTATCTCACTGATTTGGGGGAGCAGAATCAACACTGGTCTGGGTCGGTAATGAGGCGGCTATAGACCCTCATCCTGGAGATTCAGACCCTTCCACCGGAAGAGTATCTAGGTAATAATAGCAGGCTACAGTTATGTACCCTTGGACTTCATGCACAACCGGAAGAAGACGCAAATCCGCATTCGGGCAGCGAACATCCCACATATGCACGTGACCAGTGTTACATCAGCATGTTTATTGGAGAAAAAAATAATTTCGAAATTCATGTGCGGAGAGAGAAACGCAGACTTCTTGCGCGGCCACCAGGCCTCGCCTTCCTTGTGACACTGTGGACAGAACGCTCGACTGATCAAGATGTCGAAAAGAACCGCCGAAGACCAGGATAACCTAGAGTCCCTCAAGGCAGGGCAGCGACCAGATTCGAGTGCAAACGGTGACCCCACCCTCGACTTCGAAGACGAATTCGAAGATGAATACGAGTCGGAAGACGAGATCATGGAAGCGGGCGTTGATGGGCGGCCGGACGCCGAAAGAGAAGCCGAGCAGGCACAAGATGCTATGGATGTCGACACGAAGGAGCAAACATTTATCCCAGGCCGATCGATATTGCAACCTGGAATGTCGTTGACGCCGGACCCGTCCACCTACGAGATGCTTCACCTCATGTCAACATCGTGGCCCTGTCTATCTTTTGACGTGGTGCGAGATAATCTGGGGGGAAATCGCAAGCAGTATCCAAGGACAGTCTATGCCGTTGCGGGCACGCAGGCTGAGTCGTCACGCGCCAAAGAGAATGAAATGTATATTTTGCGATTGAGCAGTCTATCGAAGATGGATCGTGGAAATCAGACAGATTCGGAAAGCGATAGCGACGACGATGAGGACGACGAGGGCTCATCTGATCCCGTGCTCGAGTCGAGGTCGATACCGCTCCCAAGCACAACCAATAGAATTAGAGCATTCCAGCCAGCCTCTGCCGCTGCCGATATGGCCCAAATGCCTCAGACATTGACGGCTACATCCCTCGAAAATGGTCAGGTTCTGATCCATGATGTGTCACCATATCTCCATTCTCTTTCAACACCAGGCTACACACTGCCTCCGAATGCCTCGAAGCCGCTCAGCACGCTCCGAGTGCACAAGACAGAAGGATACGCACTGGACTGGGCGCCAGCTTCCTCGCACCCGAACGGTCGACTTCTCTCCGGTGACAATGCCGGACAAATATTCAGCACACAGCGAACCGAGGGCGGCGGATGGGTAACCGACACCAGATCATTTGTCGGCCACACTGACGCAGTGGAAGAACTTCAATGGTCACCCAATGAGAAATTTGTCTTTGCATCCGCAAGCTCCGACGGCACTGTGAAGGTGTGGGATGCGCGAAGTAAGAGTCGCAAACCCGCTGTTGATGTGAAGATTAGCAACACGGATGTCAACGTGATGTCTTGGTCGCGCCAGACATTCCACTTGCTTGCCACTGGCGCCGATGATGGCGAATGGGCAGTTTGGGATTTGCGGCAATGGAAGCCTCAGTCAGGAGCAGCACCTGGCGCACAGATCAAACCGAGTCCTGTCGCTAACTTTCACTTCCACAAGAAGCCCATCACTTCAATAGAGTGGCATCCGACAGATGATAGCGTGGTAGCTGTCGCCTGCGCTGATAATACAGCAACTCTGTGGGATCTCGCGGTCGAGCTTGATGATGAAGAATATGGCAGAGAAGCGGGCTTAGGTTTGGGTGAAGGTGCCGAAAAGGTCCCTCCGCAACTCTTGTTCATTCATCACGTTGAAGACGGCAAAGAATTGCACTGGCACCCGCAAATGCCCGGTACGGTCATGGTCACCGGCGGAAGCGGTCTAGGAGTCTTCAAGACAATCAGCGTTTGAAGGCTGAATTGGACCGGTCGGCGTCATTTGAATGTCACATGTGAACCAACGACCGAATATGGTGTGCAACTTGTTACTACAGGCCGATATTCACTGCGTTTCACGCTTTTCTTGAATCCAGGATGTCAGTCACTCATACAGCCAGCCGAGATCAAACTCTTTCTCTCAAATTCTCTTCAGCGAACCTTTCTTGCCAAGTTTTCGGAACCAAGGCAGAAATATCTAATGCCCCAGACAATACCCGATTTACCGGCAGCGTCGAGGGCTCGCTCGACGGACCCCGATTTCTCTCTCTTGCTTACGAATATCCCTTTCCAGATCTGCTTTGTCCTTCTGGCCACCATTATTGGACCATTGTACCTCTTCGTCTGGACCCTAGATATCCTGCTAGTTGCCCTCTTGAACAAGATTTACTGCGGTTTACAAGCAGCCTCTCTAGAAGCCACTGGTACTGCCGAAGGTATGGATCGATTTACTCGCACCAGAGATCACTACCTGTGCGGCGGATATCGAAGGGAAAGTCGACAACCAGAGACACCTGCGGCTGCTCCAGCGGCGGACCTCACCTTTGATTTCGACTTCAAGGACTCAACGCTCAACCTCAGCTTCGATATCGAAAAGCCTTTCGTTAAGGATGAGTTTACAACGAAGACCACGAATCAGATCGACCCCAGCGACGATATAGGCGTAGCACTTTCAGATGGGCCATATTGTAAAGAGCGAGGACAGCTCAAATATTCACGGATCAAAAAGGAGCAGAACCAAGAACTGCAACAGAACGGATGGATCTCACCTGTCTCAGAGATTCCGAGTGAAATTCACGTTAGGTTCTCTGTCCGAGGCGAACAACCCTCAAGGAATCTCCCACCTTGCTCCATCTACTCCAGAGAATGGAGACAGCGAGTAAGACAAATGATCGCTCCTCCAGAGCAAACTGCGGAGCATATCTCGGCAGAGGATGCAGTCGATATATCTGAAAGAAATTCCACTATCGTTATGGGCGCAACGGAACTGCCAGACCCAGAGAATGGGGCCGGAGCAGATAAGGAGCCTTCATCACTACCGAAGCCATCTCTGAAAAGCGCAAATAGGGCAGCCGAAGGGCAGCCGCTGCACTCCAGTTCCCCTCCCGAGAGCATCACCAAGAGCAGCAGGAAGCGTCTTTCCACAATCGGAAAATGGCTTTTGCGGCCGAAGACCCTCTGGGACAAGAGAACATCTAACTCAACCACTAACTCCAGCGTCCAAAGGATTCTCTCAAACAGGTCTACTTCCTCGTCCAAGGCTTTTCAAGATACATTTAATCAACACCAGAATCAGAGAATCGGTGGCGCTCTTCGAGCCCGAGTAGCACGGAAGCAAGCCGAAGCCCAGGATCAATCTTTTCAAGGGCGCCGCCCCACAGAATCTCTGCGTGGTGGAGGTAACTTCAACTCCGTCAATACAAGTCATCAGTGGGACAATGATCATGATGCGTTCAACAGTCACAGACGTGGACCGCACCGTCGCCAATCTTCAGGCATTTCGACTGCTCACAACTGTGCGTTCATATTTGCAGAAAATGAAGATCATCTTGACGACGTGCATCCTCTTCATCCGCCCTTACGTCGTCTAGTCTATCGCCAGCCTCGTCGACCTAGATCCCCTAGACCTCAACCTATGCAGCCCTATCCTCGATTGCCTCAAAACCGAAACCAGGATCGGAATAATGGTGTGCATCCTCGTATACAAATATTGCCAGAAAATTCGCAGACCCGCATTCAGATACAACGAAGACCAGGTCGACGGACACGGGGATTTGAAGATGGTACAGGAGGGCGAAGACCTGAGCGAGTTGCGCAGAGACCTAGTAACCGGAGACCTGAACGTCTTACACAGGGACCAGGAGATCCAGGACCGAATAGGACCTCGCCTTCAACCCTGGCCAACCAGGCGGAAGACACTCCGCCGTACAGACTCCCGAACGAGACCCAGAGCTCTCACACGCCTCTTTCTCATCGTCCCAGCCCTATATGTGAACCCACTCAGCAGAGTCATTCGAGTTTCCACTGTAGCGACCCTTCGCCACCAATCGCAGTCTGCGACGGACCACCAGACACGAGAGACAATTCATGCCAGGTGCCCTCTCAGACAGGACTTTCTCGACCACAACAGCACATCCCTCCCACGCATGGAACATCGATCCGAATCTCGATAAATGATGGCCGTGTGCTCAGCACGGCAGAGTACAAGGCTCTGCAGGAGAAGAGAGCAGGTAAGAAAGCCATTACACTCCAGGATAGGGATGAGGATCGGAACAAATCTGTAACTGGAGGGGAATCCAAAGATGAAGGACCACGACATGAACGACGGCCTGCAAGTAGAGGAGGAACTAGGTTAGGCAAGTCAACATTCGCAGGACCATTTCCAAAGGAAGTCCAAACGCCAGGTTCATCCCAACTGAAGGCGAAGACGAGGAAAACGACCCGAGAGGGAGGCACTTCCAGACTTCAGAAAGGAGTAGCGGGAGTGAAGGCACAATCCAGGAAGCGAGTGTTGGGCAAGTCAACTACTGGGAGACCACCGGTCGCAGCTGACACCAAAGCACACTCCGCCGGACCACTGCTAGCAACTGACCGTGGAAAGGAAGAAGCAAATATAAACGTCAAGTTGAATGAGCACTCGACAGCCATTACGGGTCCATCAAGTCAACATGCAGCTGCTGTTCCCAACTCCTCCACGAGCCAACAACATTCCACTACCGCTCAGACGTCAAGTCAGCAGTTCCTTACTGCAAGCGCGTCAAACAGAAACAATACGGCCGCCGCTGGTTCAGCAGCTGAGCAACCAACAACAATCCATGCTGGCGAAGCGTCAGTCGTCGGTCCATCACCTGTAAGCTCACTAAGCAAGCAGCAAGGAACTGGTTCGAGAGAGGACGCAACGACCGGGGAATCCAGTCGACTTCGGAGCTACTCTGACGGGCGAAAATGGCACGAAGGAAATAAAGCCGAAGAAAGACAATCGCGGCAATAATCAGGCTGAGACGGGTGGAGAGCCGACTTGGAGCTTCGCGAACCTCAAGCTGTAGAGCGTAGCTTTTGCCTTTTGCCTTTGCCTTGACCAGTCCCTCATCTTCGCCAACACTGAGCTGTACGGTTAGATAGACAAGACATAATTCAAGGGGGCTACGGGGTGATGTGAGACCTTGGACGCCCGATGAATGGACTTGAGCAGTCAAATTACATACATCCAACTCACAGTCTTCGTCTGCTCTGTTTGCAACGCAATGAACACCGTAACGTGCCCAGAATCGTCCGCACATATATAGAGCGGTTGCCGAGAGCATGGCTGGTCTGAGACCGACAGGTGAGGGATCGACAGGGACCGCAGCTTAGGCGTCTGTGGGGAATCGGGATGGCAGTACATAGCGCGGATCCCGATAATATAGCGTGCGTTTCCCTTCTTTTTTCTCGACACTCATGTCCGTGCACTCTCCCATCCCTCACACGCTGTATGCAAGGCATTTCATCACTCGCACAGTAGATAGTCCGGTTCTCTCCGCACTTGACTCGGGGTATCTCCGAAGAAGAGGGTCTTTGCGAACGCGTCGAACGCCAGCGGGGAGAAGATGATCAAAAGCGCCTCCTGTTCAGCACATCTCGCCGAGGACTGGCAAAGGGTGTCTGAGAAGAACGATCCCACGCGGCCCCAACTGCTATCAAAAAGCTTGCACCGTAGATCGAAAACCTCCTCGAGTAGACTGGCTTCCTGGCGCCGATCAGGTCTCCCCTCCGCAACATGCGAGCTTCGCGTAGATCACGTGTGCACTGTGCATGGTTTGGGTTCTGAATATGATTACTAGTTATTAGTCTGGCAGCATATTTGGAACCACGGGTGGTCAGACCTTCATCAAAGGCTTAATAATGTGGTGCCCGATGCCGCTGGGGACCTACATTTGGGACCTTTGATATTTTGAGCACAGAGGAAGCAGCTTTTGACACGCTGGTGCATATAAGGATCCGTCAGTCCCCTCTGTCTTGTTCAAAAATGTCGTCCCTCCCAAGATCGACAATCCCAGAATGGCGCCTAAACCGGTGGTATTCGTCCTTCATGGTGCATGGCACGGTCCGGTGTACTTTGAGCCGGTCAAGTCCAAACTTGAGGCGCTTGGATATACCATGGTCTGTCCACAGCAGCCTTCCACCGGTGGCATCCCCCCAACCACAACCTTGTACGACGACGCGGCTCATGTCCGGGCCGAGCTGGAGCAACTAGTTGAACAAGGCGAAGATGTTGTACTGGTGTTGCACTCGTATGGCGGGATGGTAGGGACACAAGCAGCCGCCGGATTGGGGAAGGCTGAGAGGATGAAGCGAGGACAAAAAGGCGGCATAGTCCGACTGTTTTATGCCTGTGCATTTCTTTTGCCGCTGGGAAAAGATCTGTGTGGTGGGCTCGGTGGCCGGCTTCCTCCGTGGATCAAAGAGGAGGCAAGTGAAAACGCTGCTCCGCTTATTTCAGGAGTATTAACTCGAGATTGGGTATCTAGGAAGACGGCAGCTGCAACGCAACTATGCCCGAGCATGTGTTCTATCATGACCTGCCAGCTGAAGAACAGAAGCATTGGGCGTCGAAATTGAAACATCATAGCACCATCGCCCAGAACACTCCGCTGACCCAGGTCGCTTACACCGACATTCCAGTGACGTACCTATATTGCGAGGACGACCAAGCTCTGCCTCTCGCTGTGCAGGAGATGATGGTGAAGCAGTCAGGTTTGACGGACGTGCAGGAACTAAGGTGTGGAGCCGGGCATTCGCCCTTCCTGAGCCAGCCCGATGTGTTCGTGGCCAGCATCATCAAGTCCATCACGGCTTGATGCAGACACTGTGGTGTCATCAGAAAAACCGATCACAGTCTTATTTGGACATTCCCGGGCGTCTGTGGAGATTGCTCAGAAGAACTTGGTGTTGGTATACCCCGACGGGGCGGCCGATGGAAATCAGACAAATTGCTCTGCTGGACTGGTAGAATCGGTATCCAGTCCGATGGAGACGGGTTACTATTTGGTCTTGCAAATACCGAACCTTGGTTTGACATATCCGTAGAGGACAAGGTGACCTCCGTCCATATTTGTGCAGCAGGCTCTTCGAGTATGTAGTCCCACCACAAGTATGTAGCCATAAGATTGATGTAAGCGTGCCAGTCGGAAACATATGGCCATCGCACAACATATTCTTGCAGTTTTTGCACAAAATATGGCTTGTTGGGAGTGTTCAGTGAAGCAAGACCTCCGAGTGTCAATGCCCACAGCAGCAAGCGGGTGTAGTCATCCATATCAGTGCCTTGATCAAGACAGGCAGTTTCTTCCGCTTGGAAAACTTCGAAATTTTCCATAGCAAGGAGAAGCTCTCCAGCAAGTCGGGGTCTAACACCGGCGGTGGGTGGCAGAGGAAACAAAACCAAATCGCTATAGATGAGGCCAGCCACACGGCAAACATTCCATAAGTAGTCGGTTCTTTGCGGATTGAGAGGTATCTTCGGCCCGAAACCGGATAGCTTGTGGTGCGTTTCATTGGCTGCATTAACTATATCGATCAGGTTTGGGGCGTTTGGTCGGCCTTGCTGGTAGTGGTCAAGAGCGACAGTAACCTCGCCCGCAACTCTCAAGGCATTTGCCAGGTCCATCCCGGTGGGATCTAGCTGTCTGAAGCCAGTACCGATCACCATCGACATCATGATAGCATCATGGTCAGGCTGATATGTGGGTCCTTTGAGAATGGAGAAGGATGGAAGTACCCACGGAAAAGAAGGTGTCATACCAAGTCTCGAGCTGACCATCAAGTCGGCGCTATCATCAGTATTAGCTGGCGTTTAAGACAATACGGGACAGGAATGTCAACGAACAATTGAAGAAGTTGCGGGAGTCCAAATTGTTGCATGGTTTGAATCCCACCACGCTTGACGACGAGTTCCAGCAGTGCTTGAATCATGGAAGGTATAACGGTAAGTCTGGCATAGAGGTGTAGACTTTGAGCGGTCGCTAATGGAGAGGGGCGAATGGTTTCCGGAAATTGGGTCGGGTTGGGATCGGTCAGGTTGGCTACCATAATCATCGCCATGATCAGTGAATCGGGTGCTGGGCCTTTGAGGTTCTGGAGCTCTTTCGTCACCAAAGCTAGGCCGCGAGCCTGGTGTTTCAGCCGCAGAACCTCGATATTGTTAGGAAACCGCTCGTTCTTAATGTCCGCGCGGATGAGGTTTGCCGCAGAGGCGACTTGCAGGTGAAACATCAACGGCCACTCTTGCCCGCTCCTTCTCCATGCTATCTTCACCATCGACACTTCGTTCGCCGAGGCGACGGTAATTAGCTTCGGATGTATACATTCATAGGCTTGCAAGAAGCAGGCGCGTTAGTCATAGCGGCAACCTCCAGGAAGATTGTCAACGTACATACCGTAATCGAGGACTGACTGGAGATATCTCGGCAACGCGGTATGAGGGTTGGACCCAAAGGGGTCGACCTTGTCTTGCGAAAGACGTGATAACGGGCTGATCTTGAATTTAGTCACCAGGACTTTGTCTTGCTCCGGCTTTTGAGTGTTGTCTTCATGAGAACCTGGGCCCTCAACAATCCATTTGACGACCGTCTGCCCACGCTTGGCTTTTCTCCTTGAATGTGTGACTCGAGCAGCGTGAGCACGTGCTCGGGACTTTTCCAACGACTTCCGAGCCGCAGCACTTGAAGGATCTTGAAAGGCCACGAAATGAAAGGTGTCCTCCTTCTTTTGTTGGTCAGCCATCGCGATCTCAGTGAATGCGGTAGTCTCGATAAATCCTTGTTGAGAATTGTCAAAGAATTGCCTGTCGAGTTGCAGCACTAAGGGAAATCCAAGCAGCCTACATCAATAGAGGGGTCGAAATGGATGCTATATCTGGAACAAATGCACGGACTTAATATTAGTGCGTTTTGGCGCCAGTAGTAGGCCTGACGCAGTCGCTAGCGTCAGCCCTTGTAGCGTCAATCAGGGGTTCAGGTCGGTTGTCGATATCTGCCGTCGGAGTGCATTGTCCTATCAAAAGGTATCGAATCACGCCTTGGGGACAGAGACTTCGAGGTAGAAGCAGAATCTGATGTAGAAAAGCAGGAGACAACTGAGTCCTTGACAAGGTCGAAGCTGTCGCATAGAATGAAAGTTGCGTTGTGCTTGCACACTTAGTCATCTTGGCTGCTAGTCATGAATGGAGAATGGTGCCTAAAGAAGTGATCCATCATCAGTGCAGATTGAGGAATAGGTGCGGGGAGATCATCAATAAGGAAAGGCGAGCCAAGGGCTTAGCAAATGCATCATATAAGGCTTTGTCGGGGTCAGTCAGCCAGAACGTTACCGACGCGACAGCCAGATATGTATATACGTCGTAACCTATGATGACCATCTTGATGTTTCTCATAGGGCTAAGAATGATGCAACTGACTGACAAGGAACAATTTCAGGAACTGAGCATTGACCACGGGGTAAAGAAACTGGTAAAAACGTCGAGATGCCTGGACGCCGCACAACAGCAGTCCAAAAAAGCGTACTCCGTACTTCGTATATCATCCATGCCCACTGGCGAGCCGGGCGAGCCCATGGGAGGAACGGCCAGAGGTTCAACCACCGTGCTCAATGTGGCATCAGTCCCAATCATGGGATCCAATTTGGTCAATCTTCTAGCTATTCTCTTGAGAATGCACAAGCGCTTTTGCTCTGCCTGAGAGAAAGAACCTCAAGCGGTGCAACATACCTGTTCTGGGATGGAGGTCCGTTGGAGGCTGATCTGGGGAAATGAGCTGGGCAAGGGTCGAACCTACTTGAGCCGCGGCATCAGTTGCTCCGCCGAGGCATTGATTGGCGATCTCGATGGAGGCCTGCTTTGCAGAGAAATCTGTATTGCATCGGACGGAAAACGTAGATTGAAGTCCGAACAGGATATGCATGAAACGACAGTACGGAGTAGGAATAATGAGTGGCAACAGGAATCAAAGTGAAATGAAAGTGAAATGGAAGTCGAGGAGGAAAACTCGCCTCTTGAAGGGGCATTAGCAGTCTAACCTCTTTGGGAATAGTGAATTTCCTGGAACTAGCGTCCCCAAAGCATTTGATTGGACAAACGCTTCTTCCTGCTCATTTCCTTGTAGCGGCTGCGATTCGATCAGTTCCTCCGCCTCCGCGAACCTGGACGCGTCTTCATTCAACTTCATGGAACAACTTCGCCTGGAACGTAATCTGCTTGCGGTTGTTGAGCTTGCTTTTCCTGTTGGCCAGAACACTATCTCTCATCACATGCTGTTCGCACGGATCTTTTACTTCACGTGGAAAGAGCTGGCCGATCATACGTTCCCACCCCCATCAGCTTGGCCGGACGCGGCAGGCTAGATTCCTTGTTTCTACACAATCCATACTCTTCGAGATTGCATTTTCCTCCTCGGTCCTCCAGCCTCAGCTTCTATAGCTTGTGTACCCTGCTTGACTACCGACCACCTGCATTAGCTTCAGGCTCGATGCTCAAGCTTTGTCGGGAAGATGCTACCTCTGGTATCAGTTACCTCCGGCGCTGCCTCAACACTGCGTTGTCGTCAGGAACTCGATACTTCATATGAAGCAGCTGCCGCCCGCCTCGTCTCAGTCTGTTCCTCATTCCTTCCAACTGTAGGAGGACTTTCCTTTACCGGTCACTTTTCGTTCTGTTATTCTTGCTGTTTGGTGCTTGCCGTTTCGAGGGCTTCTGCTCCTTGACTCCTCTCACTACTTAGATACTTTCTCTTTGGTCCTCTCTGCATCGTCAGCAAGCCAGCCACCGCTCACTTCTTTGTACTCTTTCTGTTTCACAGCTGGCCGCTCTTTTCGCCAAAATGTCCTTCGCTTCAACTTGTGTACCCTTTCTTCTTCTGCTTCTAACACTTGTCAACGCCGCACCGTTTGCACTTGATAAAAGAGGTAGTTGCTGATATTGGTGAATGGAGAGGATCGACGAGGCTGACATATGTTCTTCAGCTATTTCCCAAGATTTACTCAGCCAAATGTCATTCTTCGAACAATACTCCGCGGCTGCATACTGTCCGAACAACAATGTGGCCTCATCCAACACTACTATTACTTGCACTGCCGGAAACTGCCCTCTTGTTCAAACGGCGCAGGCAGAGTCATTGCTTGAGTTTCAGAAGTAGGTGTAGTCCGTCCTCTCCATTTCTATCTGTGCTAGGCTGAGCACAGCTAACGTCCATCTTCCCACTCACAGTGAAGGGCTGGCGGACTCAACAGGATTCGTTGCCATTGACCACACGAACCAACTGATAGTGATGTCTTTCCGAGGCACCACTTCATTCTCAAACATTCTCGCAGACATCAACTTGGTCATGGTTCCTTGGACCCTGTGCAATCTGTGCACCGCGCATTCTGGCTTCCTTGACTCCTGGCGGACGGTCAAACCACAGATTCAGGGCGTCCTTGCCAGTGCCAAAGCTAGTTACCCCTCGTACAATATTATCTCCACGGGCCATAGCCTGGGCGGCGCAGTAGCGACCCTGGCTGCTGCTGACTTGAGAACGTCGGGCTATAACATTGCCCTGGTATGTCAGCTTCCAAGGATCAGCCAAGTCCACGATTCTTTTGACTGACATCAATAAGTACACGTACGGTTCCCCGATGGTAGGAAACTATCTTCTAGCGACATTCATCACCAATCAATCAGGCGGCAATTACCGCGTGACCCATGCCGAAGACATCGTCCCCAAGCTGCCAGGTTACCCAATCTTCGCTCATGTTTCGCCCGAATACTGGATCACATCCCCGACCAACGCCGCAGTGACGGTAAATGATGTGCAGGTGAGCACCGGCGTGATTGATTTGCAAGGTAATCAGGGGCAGCTCGATAGCAGCATTGAGGATCATGGTTGGTATTTCAATAGTATTGCAGCGTGTTCTCCAGGACTTGGGTCGGAATTGGTCAGGTGAACTGTAACGGCACTGATATCGGAGTTGTCATGAGAAGAGCATCGCTTCTGGAGTGACGCTCATGGTTCACAAGGCATCCTGCGGACTTTTGGCATCTTTACGGACAATGGCTGTCTTGAGGCCAAAGCACGGCCGCACGTTGCGGGTGACATATGAAGCCCTGATTATATAGCTATAGAGTCACATAATTGGATCTGTACATACCACTTACCAACTTCCATTACTCTCCGAAGCAAGGAGTGATGCCGTCGATGTGCCTTTTCCAGGGATACAGGACTGGTAAAAGGAGGGGAATTACTAGTATACAGTCTGCTCGTTTGGTTTTACTGTGCCCTCGACACCACCGCAACCTCCTGGTCGTAAACTCGTTGTCACCGAACGAGGAACATGATTTGGGCCCTCGCTGTGTATAACGAACGGTGTCCATAGAACATGGGTTTGTAAACTCAGAACTCACCTCGCGTCGTAGGTGATGGAGGGGACTATAGGCCCCCGATGCCAAATTGGCTACCCGGCGTAGCGTTGAAGAGGAGGCCGATTTTACCAATCTCACTCAGAGTGTAGGTAGGGCTCTTTTTAGGTAGATGAACATCTGTAGGTGGTGGCGGCCACTACCCTCCGGTTGCAACATCCATCTCGGGCAGAGCAAATCAGTGCCTGCTTGCGTCTGAGACCCCGTGGCGTCGTCGTCCAATATCGCGGCATTCAAGTGTCCGCCGGGAACAAAGATGCACTGCTTGGATCTCGGTACCCTCCAGGCCGATGAAGGATGGTACTGAGCCCCCCCGGTCCCGACTTCAGACCCATTCTTTGGATCGTTCTGGGCGGCCTGGATCGAGTATCCGGGCCTCGGAGGCATTCTCTTTGAGACGGGATGTACGGAGGACCTTGAAATTGTACGTAGTGTCGTCCCCCTCTTGTGCTCCTGTGCTTGGTGGTGCATTACTCCTCCATCGGTGTGATTGATGCGTCAACTTATAATCACCACGCTCGAACCACTGGCACTGCTGGCGCCAATGACTGATCTCTTCCCCGCCCCCGCGGATACCGAGCATCACAGGCTTGCCGCAGCCACCAAGGCATCGCGCTGCACCATTTTCCAGGCCACACGCCGGGTCTATGCGTCATGCAGGTGAACCTTGAGCGGAGCGGGGCCTGGATCTGGACGACGGACTAGTTCCACATTGCGGAAAATTATGAGCTCAGCCATGCGCACGGCTCTTTGATGCGAAGTTGGTCTTCGGGCATGATATAGATGATGCCAAAAGGTACATGAGGATGTCTCACGGATGTTTCGCTCTTGAGCAAGTAAGGTTTCAAACCGACTTGCATTGGTCGAGAAAATGTCATCTCGTTGGGATAGAAAGGGAGGTGAAAATAAGTGTAAAGAGAGGCGCCAAGGGCAGGTCTGCAATCAATGCAGTCTAACCACATTAGGTAGTCCAATCAAATACTCTTCTTACATAGTAGGAGTATTAATAACACAAATGAACGATCCTTCGTGTACGAGTACTTGTATCTACGCGTAAGGAGCCAATGGCCTACCAGGTAAAGAGGATCAATAAGTCGCAGCCAGCCTCATCACTAGATAGTCCCCGCTATTGATTCCCTTGTACTTCTTTCCCGTCTCCTCCCAGGTGCCTGGCAAGGCCTCAATCCAGCGGTCAAAGTTGGGGTTGCAGAAATAGGCAATACTATAACGAGCAGGGACCATGGCGTCCGGGTCTTCATCGGTCAGATCCGCGTTTTCCGGTGGGGGCTGAATAACGCGATGGTTGGTCGACTTGATCTGATCGTTGCTCCAGCGCTGCAGCAAGTCGCCCGCATTGACCACGATGGTGCCCGGGATGGGCGTGGCTCGCACCCACGTGCCCTTGGGGGACTTGACCTCTAGCCCGCCAATGTCGTCTTGGAACAGCAGCGTGATGGAGCCGTAATCCGAGTGTTCACCCGCGCGGACCTGGTTCGGGTTGTCCCGCCAAACGCTCTTCTTCACGGGCGGGTAGTGTAGCAGTCGGAGCGTGTTGTCCCCTCCGTCGGTGTAGCTGTCGAAGAAGTGCTCCTCCATGCCCATGCCCAGGGCTATGGCGCGCATGACGTTGACGTGCAAGTCTTTCAAGGTGAGAAAGAACCGCTGCATGTCCCGGGTGAAAGCGGCGCCAGCTTCATCCAGGTGTGCAGGCCACTGGTTGGGCTTCCCCTCTACCCCTTCACGGCCGATCTCCATGGATTCCTTCAGATCCGGGTTCGAGGCGCGCAGTTTGGCGATGACATCTGGGTCGTCGGATTGGGTAACCTTTTCGCGGCCCCAGGTTACATAGCCGCGATTGGCGTCCGGGGTGGTCCATCTCAGCCCGTCCTTCTGATCCTGGGGACGCTTGAAGAAGTCGGCCGACTGCGCGAAGGCCAAGGAAACCTGATCCTCGGGGATTCCGTGGTTCTGCAGGTACAGAAAGCCTGAGGACTTGAAGGCCTTTGAAATTTGCTCGGCGGTCGCCTGTTTGGCGGCGGCAGAACCGTGCAGGAAGGCGCCAAAGTCAATCAGCTGTGAGAAGTTAGTCCTGCTAGTTAGGTGTTGGTGGTCGAAAGGGGAAGGTGGTGTTTATGGGGAAGTAGAGGAAGGGCAGAAAGGGGCAGGTGGTGCAAATGTGTCCCTAATAATGGAGCAGCTCCAATGAAGCCTCACTAGCCTCAGTGGAGGGGGCATGCACAGGCACATAACTATGTACTATGCCGTACTTACCGGCATGACCAGATCATCCTGCTCTACCCCCCTTTGGGAGACATCGCCTGCTGAGCCCATCTTTCGCAAGGCTGAAGTGGGCCCGATTCCCCTGAGGATCTTGGATGGGTGCGTATACAACGGACAGTGCGGCCGGAGAGTTGCCTTGACTATGTAAGTGGCTTGAAGGTGGATGCAGGGAACAATCTGCGGTAAATGGCGCGTGTGGTGCTCGTTGTGGAGTGCGGCTCGCTTGGCGACTCACAGACACAGAGACCCGAGTTCCTCGAGGGACTGCCGGATTGCTCAAGAATCATGAAAACAAAGAAAGGCGAGTTATATCACATATATCGTGACGGGCGTCTTCCTCGGCATGGGACAAATAAAACAACGATTGGACAAGAGCCTGATAAGGATAAGGAACACAAACTCGCCACCGTCGCTAGTGGCGGAGGAGCCCGTGTCTGTCCATACTCTCGATATCATTGTTGTCCAACCTACAGTGCTTCATTCCTCTATACACCACAGGAGGTAGCTAGATACTAGGTAGGTACATAGCCACATATGACCGCCAACATGCCTCAGCCAGCTGTCGTCGACATCCACACCCACATGTACCCGCCTTCATACATCAAACTCCTCTCCTCGCGCTCCACAGTCCCCTATATCTACCATCCAACACCAGCCGAAACTCCAGACTCAGATCCGCGTCTCATCATCCTCGCCTCGGATGACGACCCGTCGCGCCCCAAATCCTCGCGAGGAAGACCCGTCGACAGCACATACTCGTCCTTTGACCAGAAGCGTGCCTTCATGCGCCGCCACGGCATTTCCTGCAGCGTCATCAGCCTGGCAAATCCCTGGTTGGACTTTCTCGACCCAGACTCCGCGCTAAAGACGGCCCAGGAAATCAACAACGACCTCGACGCCGCGTGTGCCGAGAACAACGGCTCAGCCTCGCATGAGGGATTGAAACTCTTCGCCTTTGGCTGTCTCCCCCTGTCCGCTCCGGCAAGGGACATCGTGAGCGAAATCCAGCGATTGAAGTCCCTCGGCCACGTCAAAGGCGTCATCATGGGCACGACAGGCCTGGGAAACGGCTTGGACGACCCGGCTTTGGACGACGTCTACTCGGCCTTGTCCTCCACGGCGACCTTGGTCTTCTTACATCCGCACTATGGCCTGCCCGATTCCGCCTTTGGAGGCCCCGAAGTCGTCGCAAAGTCCGGCCATGTCCTGCCCCTGGCTCTAGGCTTTCCCTTGGAGACAACCATCGCCGTGTCCAGGATGTATCTATCTGGTGTCTTCGACCGTCATCCCCAGCTGCAGTTCCTTCTGGCCCATTCAGGCGGCACCTTACCATTCCTGGCGGGAAGGATTGAATCTTGTGTGGCACATGAACGGGAATTCATCGCCAATGGTGGTCACAGGCAAGGTCCCCAGCGGTCAATATGGGACGTTCTGCATACCAACATTTACCTCGACGCGGTAATATATGGCCAGCCCGGACTGAAAGCCGCGATTGAGGCAGCAGGGAGCGTGGATCGAGTGATGTTCGGGACGGATCATCCTTTCTTCCCGCCGTTGGGAGATGACAAGGAAGCCAAGTGGTTGAGCGTGGAGAGCAACAAAGGGGCCATTGACGGCTGTTTCCCGGAGGATGAGGACGCGAAGAGAAAGATACTGGGTGGAAATGCCATCAGAGTGCTCGGTTTGGACTTATAACATTTCCCACCAAATCAACGAGATCGATCGTCCCCTGGCGACTCTACTGGTACAGTATTCTTGTGCATCTGAACAACCATGGAAATTCGACAAAGACCTTCGGGAGTCCGCTCAAAAGAAAAGGTTCAAACACCCCTTCTTCCAGATAAGATGTCCCAACCTAAATGCTCCCAGACTTCTCCAATGAACCACTCCGGTGAGCACTCGCTCTTCTTGATTCCCTCCGTCATTTTCGTCAATTCTTCATTTTCCTCTTCTTCGTCCTCACGTCTCAGAGAACTGTAGAACGTGTCGTCATCATCGCCAAACACACCTCGAAGAAGGGTATTTTGTAGTGTGTCTTCGATGCGCCGCCGAAGACCCTTGTCATCAGCCACAGCTTTTGAGTCGCACTCCTGCACGGCAAAAAGGAGCAGAGACTTTTCAGACATTTTTTGGCTGTTTGCACGCAAAAATTCCATAGCCTTGCGCAGAATCCAGATAAGGTATGGTCCTTCAGCTGTAGCGGTACCTACTGCCGACCCCCTGTCAATATGCGCAACGTCCAACAAACCGCATGGTGCAAGCAGGCCTGGCTGCTCTTTGCTTATCCCAGTCGAGTCTGTGAAAACTAAAAGGGACAAGGATGAGCCCACATGGTCCAGGATTGTGCACAAGTATCCTTCCAGGAGTTCACACTGAGCATCGCTGGAGACATCAAGCGCAGTTATCATCTTCACCAGCGTCCAAATTATCTCTTTGGCTTTGGTCGCGTCTCGTTCACCGATCAGTGCGAATCCGTGGATGGGTGTCTCATGTGCTGGAGCAGATCCCCGTCTCTTCGCCTTGTTTGCAAGCTTTCGTTTGTGGTTCTCATTCAAAGCGAACTGATAAAGCTGTCCCAAGAACGCCCGAAACACCTTGATCACGTCGGAAAGAGCCGGGTGATACTGTTCACCGCCCTCGCCTGTCTGTGGCCGGATGCGATCCACCCCCTGCAGAACTGATGGGTAGACATTCCTGAAGGCCGCACAAAGGTCTTTAATAGATTGATCTTCCTGCTTGGCATGACTTTTCCGTCTTGCACCCAAGTGCTTTTCAAGTATCCTTGAGATAGGAATGGCAGAAGCTCTGACTGCATTCACAAGAGTCTCCTGATCGGGATCTGCTAGACGCAGGCTATGACGGAGAGATATGAAGCCGTGAAGGAATGATTGACGATCTACCATAGATTAGTATCTCCCCAAACCTGGAATTTTCGAGCGAACGCACCCATGAGAGGTACATCGAGGCCTTCAATTTTTAAGTCAATATCGTCATCGTCGAGGTCAAGGTTGTTCTTTTGTTGTTGGGCTGTTTGTAGGGCTTTTCTCGTCGAAGACGCTGGGGTTTCTCGCTTGCGTTTACCAACAGCAGACTGTCCCTTTGAACGCTGGGCTTCCTCACCAGCCAGAAGAGAGTCTCTCTCTTTTCTCAGCCTCGCCAGCTCATTGACTAGCTTCAAGCGCTCTGATTCGGCCTTCTGATAGCAGCTTTTCCAGTACATTCCTGCGTCGAAGTCGAAAATCGTGGTGGATGGATCACGAGACCGAGTCACAATGGACCGACGGAGATGCTCGAGGTATTCTCACTAGATCAGCCGAGAATAGCTTTATCTTGGCAGGTTCATACCTTCTATGGACAACTGAGATGGTTTCGATCGAACCACGGCAACTGCAAAAGCGATGTGGGCAGGGCAGGGCAAGTCATGATAGTTCCGGTTGGGGTCTGGCTTCAGGCGAGTGGTCATATCTCTTGTTCATGTTAAGAGAGATTATGAGAATGGCATATTGAGAGGAAAAGAAGACGAGATTACAAGCTGCTGAAGGAGAGGGAAGAAGATAAGGAGCGGTTGGTGTCATTGAGTCAAAAGAGAGCATTGGAAATCGAGAATTGCGCAGGAAGCATGGAAGGCACACCCATCGTTTCACATCTCATAGGGAGGAGCATACAAGAAATGACTTATTTTACGTGAGAGTCACCATAACCTCAAAAAGCTAAAATGACTTCGATTGACCGACTTGGGAAGGTGAGTTTCCTCCAGCTCTCAAGTGGGTGACAATCATCAGGCTGGTTGGACTGGTTGGGCTGGTCTTAGGTTGGTCTTGGGCTGGTTGGCGGTCAAGGCTGGTGCACAACATTTGGATACCGTTTTGGTGCGCCGTAGTAACTAGTGCGGAGCATACACTTTCTGTGTCCTTCCTTTTGTCGCTTCTCGGTCTTCGTGTTGCCTGCGAAACTACACCAACAACTGCATAAATCCCACCTTGACATGCGTCTTCGCAACTATGGCGCCGTCAAGTGAGGCAGATATGTCCGTCGACTATTACGAACTGCTGTCAATTCCAATGACAGCATCGGAATCTGAAATCCGACGTGCTTATAGGAAAACCTCGCTGCTCTATCACCCCGACAAAGTCAAGCCCACACCAGAGACCTTGGAGAAGTTCCAACTGCTGCAGACTGCGCTTAATATTCTGACAGACGCCGCTGAGAAGTTAAAGTATGACCAGACGCGGGAAGCTAAGCAAAGGCGTCTGGCAGAGACTGCTGCGCTCGAGAGCCGACGGCGACAGATGAAGGAAGAGCTGGAGAAAAGAGAGGGATCTGCCACTGGAATGCCCGCCTCTGTAAGCGGCGTGAAGCGCACTTGGACCGAGCGAGAACTCGAGATCAAGCGTATTGCCGAAGAGAACAGAAAGAAGCGAGAGGTGGCAATGGCACAGAAGACTCGAGAGGCGCAGGTCCGAGCACAGGCAGCCGAAGCAGCGGAAGAAGACAAGTCTTCCGGTTCGATAGACCGGTCTGTTAAGGTGCGCTGGATCAAGGAAGCAGATGGGCTGGATATTGATCAAGAGGCACTCGAAGAAAACTTCGCCTCGGGCGATGTGGAGAATGTCCTAATGCTAAAAGACAAGAAACGCCGTGTAGAAGGCAGAGAAAAAAAGGTCCTACTTGGCACAGCCGTTATTGTGTTCAAATCGTTGGCTACAGCTAAGAAAGTAGTGGCACAGGGTCCATGGGAGGGTATCGAAAGTGTCGAGTGGGCGGCAACAAAAGAAGCTGATGGCGGTTGAACGTGGAGGATGGCCTATGATTTCCACCAGTCCCGGCCACCGCGACCTGCTCAGAAAGTTCAATTTACGCCCAGACAGAGAGTCTCAAGCACCAAATCCGGACTGGGCCCAGAGGGCAAACTTTTGTCAGTGAGTTGCCGTCGGTTGTCAGGCACTGAATAAGGCAGCAGAAAGCCCTCTCCGAGATGTTGATTCCTCAAACAATGCAGCTCACAGCAAGACCAGTTTGCTCTGGGAGTCCATCGAGCCCCTGTGCTTCAGCCTGACTGACCTCTGCTACGCCAACTGCCAATCTGCAAGCCCGGATCGAACAATGACTGTTCATTCCAAACATTTGAGATGCACGGATCAAGTCCCCAGCGTCCATCTCACAAGCACCCTGGAAAATGATCCTTTGCAGAGGACGAGGCCATCTACAACAAGACGCCTTTGCTAAGCTGTGAAGGTTAGTAACTCGAGGAACCAGAAGGCAGGAATTCTAGAGATTTGTGCCTTGCAGCCCGTACACAGATCCGTTTAGCGACCATGGAAGACGAGAATTTTGTTGTTGTTTTTTTGACGTCGAAAGTCCGTCCTTTTAATCAACTTCCTCGTCGTCTTCCTCCTCTTCACGTCGGGGCTTGGCCTTCCTCTCCTTCCTCCGTAAACTCTGCTCGACGCCCTCCCTGAGCCACCGGGGTACAAACGGCTTGAGCATGACCCCTTGCTGTTCTCCACCTTCCGCTGTCTCCCACTGGACCTTGTACTGCTCATTGGGGTCATAATTCGTCCTGTCCGCGGTCAACTGGATATCCGTCATCATCTCCAAGCGACACAGCGCGAGGCCGATATTGCCCACCCCGTCGAGCCATTTGCCACTACTCCGGCCTCGGCCTTTTGCCTTCATCTTGCAGATATTTGACCCCGGAGGTGGGAGCGGAAGCGGCGTTTCCACACCGCGGGCTTTATACTCGGGCGTCTCTTGGTGTGCCGGCAACGGCTCGGTGTCCGTGGCGTACAGTTGGCACGGCAGTATCCTCTTCCTGACCACGCCAGTGTGATGCGTCCGTATGGTCAACTCCTGGCCCAGATAACACCCCTTGAAGAAGTCTATTCCGCCAAAGAAATCGATGTTGCTTTCTTGCGGCAGCGCGTGGCCGGAGATGATCTCGGACTGGCCCTCCGCAACGCCGTTGAGCATGCGGTGGATGGTGTATTCTTCCAGCGTCGCTTGTTGACTCCCAGTGTCTTCCAGTTGCCGTAGTGCGCCCGGTTTATGAGAGGATGCTTCGTCGAGCCAGCGGACGCCCATTCCAGGCCTGGGATCTTGCCCACCCAGCCTCGATCTGCGGTTCGATCTCTCTAAATCGTTACCACCGCCGCCGGAAGGCGACGGCCAAGTATAATACACCCCCATCGCCTCCGCGTCCACCTTTTCAAGCGTAAACTTTGCGCGTAGCTTGTGTTTCTTCAAATGTTTCAACAACTCCCCCGCGCTTGCCGAGTCGACTTCGATAAACCATTCTTCCCCAAGTTTGTCACTGCCCGCAGGTGGTGGTGGGTAGATAAATACATCATTTAATATCCTGCCCTGGGCAGAGAGAAACGCCGTGTAGATCGGGTTCGTGCTCCCTCCAATGTCGAGGATCTTCGCAGGGATGAGGTTATGGAGGAAGAGAGCAGCGTCGGGCCCGGCGAGGCGGATGATGCTGCGGTTCGTGAGATGGAGGTGCTTGCTGCTCCGGGCCGATGATGGAGCGTAGAGCCGTCGCGGGGAGGTCCTGAACGTGCGGCGCAACTGAGATTGGTGATCGAGATAGCGGCTCCGCGTCTGGCATTCGGGGCATATGAATGGGCGAAAGGCAGTGGCTTTGAGCTTAGGAGGCATGTTGAAAACGCTATATTTCGCTTTCGACTTACGGTGTCGAGGACCGGAGTACACTCTATACGGAGAGGGAAGACCAGGGAAGACCTACTCGGTACTTGGACCTGACAGCTTCGAGACGAACTTGGCCGACATTTCGCGGCGGATCTCCAAACGTCTCCGCACCGTCCAAGGACCGCAAGGCTGAGTGGAAAAATACATGGCAGAGCCTTGCAACCCCTCATTGACCTCATTTTCCTCCCTGGTTGTCCTTGAGGTGCCCTTCTGATACATGCACTCACTCTCCAACCTGATGAGTCGGTTACCAGGAGACTCTCTTCAAATCCATCAGCGGGTAGCGGAAACCTATCGTCCGAAAGACCGACGACTACTGTTCCAACTCAGGTGCGCCCAATGCACGCCCATGCCACTTGGTTCAGTCTTGTTGGCAGCAAATTATGAGGGCACCATCGAGAAGAGGCCTGCCTATAGAAGACATCAATGGACTCGCCTCTTTTTTTCTCCTCCTTGCGAAGAGCCGCATCCGAGCCGTTCCGACGAACCCAGGATCTTAGGATCTCAACTCTGAACTGCACTTCATCCCCAGATGTCAAGATCAACTTCGACTTTCAATCTCTCTATAGAGTCGTGGAATTGGTATTTGATAGCTCAAATAAAAAGAACGTTTGCACCCCTTGGATGTTCCGTATCGTCTGCCTCTTCTCGAATTAGCCCTCACAAAAAGCCCGCAGACGAATGGCAGGCGAACAGATTCTAGTGTCAACACCCGAACTGGCTCCGCGCAACGATACAGCTCTTCGAAAGGGCCCGGATGCCAGTCATGTACCCGTTCCTAGCGGCCTTTTCAAACGCGTAACATACGGACGAGACCTATGGTTGTGTGGTTCTACAAAGTTTGACGACAAAAGCATCGCAGTGGGAAGCTTCAGCAGTCTCCACAGAGTGAACCTCGTCCATCTTCAGAATGAGCTGGCGCTTATAAAGACTGAAATGAGCGAGCATGAGACAGTGTCGGAAGAGCAGATCCAGAAGCTGCAGAGTACTATGCATGACTATACTGGGTTACAAATTCAGCGCCTCTAACCAATCCTCTAACGCAGGGAAGTGGTTGCCATACGAGATTTCGAGTACATGAAGACCTTGAAGCGAACAATTGTGCAGACTCAACCTCGAGCACAACTAAAAAGCTCGTTTCAGCATCTGGTTGCATGATTCATCTGGAATCATGCAACCATCTGGATACTTACCCTAACGATACGACCTATCTCAATATCGAGCGGAACACGGAGAAGGAGGTCGGAGCTCTGCGCGAGTTCTTAAGAAAATGGCTGCCCAGACAACTGAGCTGGTCTTTGGAAGCGCGGTGGGAGAGGCCCTATGAGTACCATTTGGGTGAATATCCGGCTTACTATTCCCGGTTCGTGGAGGGAGTCCCCAAGTTCCTGTTTGCACCCGCGGCTGGCTGCTCGTTCGTTGTTCCCATGACGATCATGGTAAAAGGCGGGGCGTCGCAGAAGAAAAGCCTGACCACGGTATCTGTGGCTGTCACGATCTTTGCGATGATATTGACCATTGGGGCCAAACTAGAAAACAAAGACGCCTTGGCCGTCACAGCAGCTTACGCTGCTGTCCTTGTAGTATTCGTGGGATCTAGTGTGGGACAGCGATCCCAACATCATAGCTTTCATATGTAGCTCGATAGAAGGAAGACGGAGGTTGAAGGGTCGAGTCATGTTTAGCTTGTTGGCAATCCACGCATCCATAGAAAACAATTCTACTAGTGCTTGGGCAATGCCAACAACGATCGACCGCAAGGAAGTTGAGAAATATAAACACAAAATACGATATATATTGTCTACCTTGGTCCCTAGGTATGTAGTCGAACGCTTACACAACCGGTGCACCATTTCCTGTACCGTGTTAGTTCACGCTACGTCGAACCGCAGCCGAGAATTGGACAAATCTATTTTTCTGACTGTGGCATTTGTGAAGGCGAAGGCGAGACAACTGTCCATTACACTATCCAGCACTTCCATTCAAAGAGCAAAGAGTCCATGCTTTTATTTTGCTCAGGGAGAAGACAGTAAAACTAGGGGAGCAATTTCCCTTTCAACCAGCATTCAATGATATCCAGAACCTTGCAATCTGTGCTCTCCCCCTGAACTTCCTCCGTCGTTCTCACACCAGGCTTCCCCAGTCTTGAGAGCTCTTCATCGCTTCCAGAAGCCCATGTCCTGCAGTTCGGTGTACTTCAGCGGCATACGCAACAGATCCTCTTCGCGGAGGATTCTGCCGATTTCTTGGTGGTGCGGCATTTCGCGCCGAGCGTTGATTTTCGACATGTCGTCAAGCCTGTCAGGGAATGGAAGCGCGGGTTAGCCGGGAATGGATGGGGCCAAATGAGGTCGTTTGAAGACAACCCCCGACCGAAAAGCTTAGGCAAAGGGAAGTTCAGGATATTCCTTCGCTGATTCTGCCAGTTGGCAGCTCAGAGAAGAGGGAGGTGCAAGTGGTCACGCTATATGCGATGCCTCCGTGCATTGAACCCCCAGATGTGCAGGGCGATGAGAATCTGCGCCTGACTCGGAGGCGCAATGGAAGTTTCGCAAGGGTGATGGTCTTGATCTCCCACAGAATGCCACCTCTTGACCCGAAGCCGGGGGGACGGCCACAATTGGGGTCTTCTTCTCAGGTTATGTCCACCATATCGACACCTTATCCGATGGGAAGGGCCACAAAGTATACCTACCGGAAAACAACGATATACTCCTCATCTTCCGCCTCGGACGAGGAGCCCACGTGTTTGGCTTTATAATATCGGTAGAAGCTGATCCAAGATTCGTGCTGGCGTACTTCTTCAGCAGCCCTGGCGATAAGTTCTTCGACGCGTGTCGCCTTGCCTGGCTTGGGGAAGATTTGCACCATCACGTTGGGAGGAATTGGGGTGGTCGCCATCGTGGACAAGTTGTTCGATGTTTGGCAGTGGGGATTCCGTTGATGAAAAGTATGTGTTTCTTCGGTAAGGGCCTGTGTCGAGAAGGATGCGCAGAATTGGTGCCTTGGGGGATGGGAGACAATTTCGCTACTTGCCCGACCCAGGGGGCTTTAAATATAGTCCCCGTGCTGGAGAATGCACTGCATTCTTGTTCATGAAGTCCAAGGTTTTGCGAGCTTCAGCTGACTTCCTAGGCGCGGGGAAAGGCATTGACAGCTCGTGTCTAGAATGCAGATCGAGACGTTGATTCGCCTCGTGTTCCCATGACTTTATAATGGGGATTATGTTCGCCAAAGAAGCCTAAGACAGGTCGCGAGAAAGGGATTGAAAACTTTCTCACAGGGAAGCTTCGAGTCCTTCGGATTGAGTGTGTTTCGTGTTCCACATTTGGCGGTGTTGCTTGATTCGCGTTCCACGGCTTTGGCCTCGTAATCGCCTTTTCAGCTGAGCAGCCAACGTCCGGCCGGAGGATTCTGACGTGGTCTGGATCATTCAACACGATCAAGGGCTTTTCCACTTGCACGCTGGATATTGTCTCCCCCGCAGACACTGATGGAGCGACCAATAGCAGAAAAGCGAAATTCGATCCAGACCCTTCCACCCACTTTTATAGCAACTTTAAGGCCTTGACGTTAGCAACCCAAGGCAAGTCTGTTACGGTTTAGATTCGGACTTTCTTGATCGAGGCAAGACTGGTGGTGACGCCACGTTCAATTCTGGTGCTCTTGACCGACGACGCATTGAAGCACAGCTCTCGGTCGATGCGGCAAACAAGATCTGGATTGGGAGACGAGCAAGGCGCTCATGAAGATGCTGAATTCACTCGATAGATGGAGTACGGAGTATGCTAGAAGATGGGAGAGTGGTCGCTGCGACTTGCGTGCGCTCCGCCGCCTCCACGTGATCGAGCCGCGAGGCTGGCATTAAAAAGGGGCGACGAGGAATTGTGGACGAAATAACTACTCTGTAAGAACAAGGCCTCACCCACGGGTAATGACAGCATCTAGCTGCCTGCACAGTTGCCCGTACGTTTTATCGCAACTATTCGCTGTGATCCCGAAATGTGAACCGGAAAATGCCAGGACCGAAGCCGCAGAAGCGAACAGTGGACGCTGTTGCAACGACAACATTCAAGTTAACGCAACCCAGATATTGCACTAAGTATTCAGCCGGAATCCCGCCTCCTCCCGGATCATTGTCTATCCATGATATCAGTATACCCTAGGGTTCTCAGCGCGCTTTTCCAGGGGCAGTTTTTCCCAACGCCCTGTAACAAGTCTCCGACAATACCGTCCAAATGTGCGGATCCAAGAATAGGTCCTATTCAGCCCCCTCCGCCTTCTGCTCGCTCCGACTTTACCGCGCCACTTCTTCATCCGGAATGTATAGTACAGCAGAGGGATCATAAAAAGATCGAAGACGACATATGCCCAGATGAGACCAAAGTTGCGCCAGCGTTGCCCCCACGAGATGCCGCGAGGGCTCAAGTACTGGTCCGCAAGAGACAGGGCGCAGTACTCACAGTTGCTTGTCGCTGTTGGATTGTACAACGTGCCGGGGGCCGCTTGTAGGTAGGGGGCGAGATATTGGCCGCAGGTCATGTTTGGTGGGGGAGAGAAAACGCTCAATTCGTTCTCCGCGCACACGACCTTGCGACCGTGCAGCGCTGTGGCCACAATGCCATCGATGATGTAGGTGAAGGGACTTACACGGTACATAAAGTGCCAGAAACCCGGCAGTGCATCCGGTGGCTGAAGCACGCTAAGAAGGACAGCATTAGCGGGGTATGATTAAAGGATCGCCACGGATATTTACTCACCCATTGAATATCACACACATGGCAAACATGAGTGTTGCTATAATGCCGGCGGTCTCTGCATCAGGCAGAGCTGCGATCACCATCTGGGAGAATGTGCTTGCATACACAAAGAACTGGACGCAGAATAGTAGGATAAGGCCTTGTCTTTCGGAAGATTGGATGCTTGTGATCGTTTTAGCGAAGCACATTCAGAAATTCAAGTGCCAGGGACTCACCCAAAGACCGAGTAGTAATAGGAAGCATATACCATGACGCCAAGCAGAATTTGGTAAGGAATCTCCACGAGAATGTTGGCCAAGAGAAACGCGACATATGAATAAGCCTTTGACGGGCGCTCGCGGACTTCGTAGAGTGACCTCTGAATGACAAATCGAGGAATAATCTGCTGAATCAAGGCCGTGAATATCGACGTGAGCATGAAGACGCTGAGCAAGACATTCTGGAGCCCTTGTTGAGAGCTGTTAGATTGCCAGAATGAAAAGCCAATAAACCTATACCAGGTCAGCGCAATTGTTCCATTGAAGCTGCTGTTGAACCGTAACTGACAGAGCTGAAGCAACGCCAAGACCAAACTTGTGAAGAACATAGCCGGGAGTTCTCCAATACTGCTGAAAGGCGCGGATCGTTGTGTGATAAGTCTGGGTGTAAAGCGGCGCGGCAAACTGACGATGGCTCTCGACGGTGCTGTCCTCCGCGGGGAGTTTGCTCGTCTCCCGATTGATTTGGGCCAACTCTGCCAGCATATTCTTGTTCTCCTCGCTTGATCTCCAGATCTCGACCCAGTCACGATTGGCTTGGGCACTCGTTTCAGGATTGACAACTTCTAGCATGTACTCTGCCACATTTTCCGACTCGCTGCACACCCTAGCTCCGTGCCTCTCGAAATAGCTAGTTAGGGTTTGCGAGTTGGGACCGATGTCACCGAAGTAGACAGTCCGTCCTCCCGTAGTAAGGAAAAGTAGCCGATCGAATTCCTGGAACAGAAGAGCGCTGGGCTGATGAATAGTCGATAGGACAGCTTGTCCATGATCAGCAAGCCTTCGGAGGAAGCTGAGGATAGACCAGGAGCTTTGGGAATCCAGCCCACTGGTCGGTTCATCGAGGAAGAATAGAAGAGCGGGTTTTGCGGCGAGCTCCACTCCTATTGTAAGGAGTTTGCGCTGCTCAACGTTAAGGCCTTCTCCCGGCACCCCGACTACGGCCTCGGCGAAGTCTTCCGCATTAATCATCTTCAATACCATCAGCACGTCAACGAGGCTTCGAATAAGATGATGAACGAACTTTGATCACCTCCTCCACGTATTCGTATTTCTCCTTCTTTGAGACAGATTTAGGTTGACGGACCATGGCGCTAAAACGCAGTGCTTCACGAACAGTCGAGGTCTCAAGGTGGAGATCTTGCTGTTGAACATACCCTGTCATCTTGTTAGTTCACGAACTGCATTGAGCTGGAAGCCCCTTTCACCGATTCATACCTGTTTTCCTTTGGAAACTTAGGTCTAACGGCTTTCCGTTCACCAACATGTCGCCGGTAACAACCCCGATCGAGGTGCGCTGGGCTAACACGTCCAGCAATGTCGTCTTCCCAGCACCTGATACTCCCATAAGGGCAGTTAGCGTTCCAGGCTTGACCCATCCTGATACTTGGTCGAGCAACCTGCGTGTGCCCTCCTTGACTGGAATATCGTAGTTGACATTGTGCCAAGTAAAGATGGCTTTCTGCGGTGGGATTGCCTGGATATCTTCATCTTGAGTGCCTTGACGCCCGGTTATTGCGAGGGGAGCATCGGGATATTCTTGGTCTTCATATCTCAGGCCCTCCTCGATGTAACGTGGTACATGTCCACGTCGGAAGAGCAGGACTTCTCCCTTGCCTTGGGGCTTTGAGTTGATTTCCGATACTCCCAGGTAGGTAGCCATGAAGAAAACCAAGAAAGCAATCAATATGCCAAGGTTCCGCCAAATGTGGCTATAACTGTATCGGTAAGCTGTCTCCAGATACGTGTCGCCAGATACAGTTGAATGGCCGACAACCGCGCCCGGGACCGAACAAATGAATGTATTCCCGACTAGGTTCGGATACGCAGGAACATAGCTATGATCATAGTGAGTAGAGGGTCAAACAATGAACCAGATAACGGCTTGCCTGCCACATGGAAATTGCCTTCCATGGAACTCGTTAACGAGCATTGCTTCGAATGAATATGCCACCGGATTGCACCACGAAAGCCACTTGAACCAAGGGTGCATATTTGGTCGAGGTATTGTGAACCCGGTGTAGATCACTATTGCCAGGACAACAACTGCAGCGATTGCAAGTGCCTCAGAGATTGCCTTGGTCGCAGCACCGATCGTTCGGAATAGTCCAGTCATTGCCAGCCGTGTCAGAAATGCGAAAAGAAAGAAGATGAAGAACTGTGCCGCTTCCCTCCTAAGGCCTGACAGGAAATATAAAATGATATTGAAGATCACGGCTGTGAGGAGTTGAACTGGAAAATCCGCTATTACAGTAGCCAGAGCCTCTGTAAAAGGGTGGTAGAAACTACTCTCAAGTCAGCACGAACTATTGGGAGAACCTGCGCGGTTCAGAATCGCAAAGTGCTTAGAAAGTCACTTCCGCCTTGTAATACTCACGCGTATGAGACTTGCTTCTCCACGATTGGTCTTTGGTCGTACAATCGATTGATTTCCGTAACGGCAATAAGGGCATTCAGTAACACAGCGAAGAAAATGGTGGAGCCCTTAGCAAAGAAACTATTGGTGTCGTTTATCGTTCCGTAGAAAATGGAGCCGATGATGAGGGACATGCTTCCTTGTCCAATGATCAAGGTGAGTCGGATCACTCTCTCGTTCCACAAGCGCTGAAAGCCTCGCTTGGTACAAATCTGAATTTGCATCGGCATAGAAACGGTGTACGGAGAACTTGGAGGGACATGGTGTGCTTGGGCCGCGCGGCGTGCGACTTTGAATTCATCGGCAGCGGCGGAGCCATAATCTTCCTCTTCATGAGTCCTGATTTCTTGTTGGAGGGATTTGTAAAGATCTGATTTCCGCCAGTATTGTTCAAATTCGATCGCCGTGCGCGGGACCTTCTCCTCATATCCAGGCCGCGTTTTCCTCTCTTCCACATTTGTGATTGAGGTCAGAAAGTCGGGTGTCGGTTGCCGAGATGGACAGAACCAACCCATATCTGTAAAGTAATCCTTCGCAAACTTGGTTGGGCCAAAATAGATCTCCCTCCCCTCGTACAGAACCACAACCTTATCAAAAACGTCGTACATGGCTTGAGACGCTTGATAGGCCGCGACTGCGTGGGCAGAGCCGGTCAAGTCTGCACTCAATCTGAGAGTACGGACGAATGTGATGGCAGAGGAAGCGTCCAGACCACGTGTACTGTTATCCCAACAGCCTATGGGTGAGAACGAGAGCAGCATCTCCGCAATGCTCACTCGCTTTCGAGAGGGGTCAGCGTACAAAGTTAGAAGAAAAGAGGCGGCTCACCTTCCTCTCTCCCCCAGATGCACCTCGTATATATGCATTTCCTACTTTCGTGTTTTGAACGTGGGTCAATCCGCAAACTGCCATTGCGACGGCTGTCATTCTCTTGACGTTCTCGTTTCGAGAACTCCCCAAGATCCGGTTTCGTGGAGTACGCATGGCAGCAGCAAATTCGAGAGTCTGTCTGACCGTCAAATGTGGGAAATGTATGTCGACTTCTGCGTTGTAGACGATCTCGCCTTTGAAATGCTTGATCATCTGGTGCTGAGGTATTCCTGTCCGGATATTAGATCGCTACATACGATGAGTTGAAGAGAGGAGGCGAGGCATACCGCTGTAATGGATAACGGAGTCATCGCCCACTTTCAAACCATGGAGTTCTCCTGCCACAGTCTTCAAGAGCGTCGAGCATCCGCTTCCAGGTCGTCCCAGGACCAGCAGCATCTCTCCAGGCTTGACAACGCCGTCAAAGCCAGTAAGAATCTTTCTCTGGGGCTTCTTCGCGAATCGAACCCACTCGTGCAAGCGGAGTGGAGCAAGAAGATATGATTCTACCGTCGGCTGGAGGTTCATGGCGATTCCGGAGCCCGATACATTCAGATTTTTGAATGTGATTGAAGCACGACGTAGCTTGATATTTGCGCCTTCTGCTTCTTGCATGACCATCTTGGCCCATTTGTATATGTCGAAGGTTGGTTCAGAAGGATCCAGAGTCGGATCGTAGCTTTTTTCGCGCTGTCCAGCATTGCAATCAGTTGTGATGAACTGAGCAGCATTCACAAAAGATTCCTTTGATTTCCAGGGAGAATTACCTTCAACTCGCTCGCAACCCGTGTGATCTCGGCACGGTCAGCTTCCATGATCGGTTCGTAGCTACTCTCGTTGCTGGATGTATGCTGGAGATTCTCATCCGAGCCCGGACTTGGAGGATCCCCATGGGCCCTCGAACTAGAAACATCGTTTTCGTCGTCTTCGGGGTCAATCTGGCCTTGAGTAGTTGACGCCATCGAGGTTACGATAAGGTTCAATTTTGTTCTTGTAAAGAAGAAACCAACACAGCCATAGTGGAAAGGTGTCGGGCACGACACTGTCCCCCATAAATGCATCTACATTCGGGCCCGCCAAATCGCTCAGGGACTGCATAATTAGCCTCGGCCGCAATGCCTCCGACTGTAAGCCCATGGTACATAGTTTTTCTCCCCGGTATTTTCAGTCTTCTGACAATGGCCAGAACATTGAAATTCATATTGGAGCACATTTGCTGTCGTATGATATGGTCGGGTTCGCTACATCTCCGAAGTCCGGAGAAATAGCTGATAGGTCGGTCGTATATCGTGTCGGGTAAAGGCGGCCGTAGTTACTTCATCAAACACGTGACCTCGCTGTCGACCAATTGATATACCTGTTTCCTTTCGCCCACACGCCGCCAAGACATTTTCCGAATTCCGGTTTCCGGTGTGTTCACAACGCCCCGCATCTATGTTTCTTTATTTCACTAATTGAAGCAGTTAGACACCGAACCGATGTTCCCAGAGATGCCTTTTTGAAGTGCGCGAAATGAGATTAGCTGACAGATGACAACGGAAGCTCAGTGACGTCATTGTTCGAAACATACCCACCATACCTACCGACTGAGAGTTTGCAAGATCACACCTTGCGCGAAAATCGATCACACCACATCCCCCCACGAGTTTTCGCACGACAAGGGTTTCCATCCTGAGGGCCAAGGAAAAGAAGACACGGGGCGTGTCTGAGGCCAGAGATGACCTACTTCACAGATCTGCATACCTACCTGCACCAGTCCTCGCTCCTCATCCAAGCGTACCCTTCAGCACGAATCACGACAAAATACGCTCTGCCTCGAAAACCCAATACAAAAGCCAAGTCGAACCCTGAGGGATCCAAAGGGAAAGATGATCCTGCTTCTGGGCAGTCCACAACAGCCTCAACAGCAACAGCTGCTGTCCCTGCCTCATCACAACCCCAGAGCAAGCGGGAGCGTTCTGCCGTCCTCACTCTGAAAACATACCACCCAGACAGCGGAATATGCTTAAAATACCAAACCGACAAGGCGGCAGAGGTTGGGAGATTGCTGAACGGATTAGGAAGATTGGCTAAGGGCGAGGTCATCGAAATGCCTGCTGCGGCTGTTTCTGCAGTGACAGGAGCTGGGACGGCGGGGGATGGAGATAAGATGGATATCGACGCTGGATCAAGTGCTGTGACGACCAAGGTTGAGGAGAAGGTCGTGACAGCCCCGCCGACTGTGACGCACGGCGCAGGAGCTGGGAAGGGGAAGAAGAAGAAAGGGAAGAAGTGAAGTCTATGTTGAGCCATCTGGTTTCGAATCCCTCTGATTTCCATTTGCTCTTGAATGGTCCGCTTGGCTATGCACCATGGTTACTGTTGGAAACATGACGAGTGCCAGTCAAGATCAACAGTTGAAGAAAGATTATCACGATCCTCACACTTGACAGGAACAAGAGATTATGGATTGAACAATTCCGGAAGACGCCAATAGACGGCCCAAAGCGCTCGCCGGCTATGGCGTCGTGGATTGAAATCGTCCTCCAGGAGAGAATGTTGAAGCATTCAAGCAGTGATGGTCTCGCAGGCATTTTCATGCCAGCGCTGCGGATCAAATATTGACCGAGCCGACAAGGCTCGCTTCTAACGGGGGGTCAATGTAAGGCTGGGCCTTTTCTCCCTGCATTTGCGAACGAAATTATGTGAGATAAGAACAAAGCAATTCCAGTTATGGTTGTATTTCTCGTTCAGAGCACTAGTATGTATCTCGTACAGCCTTCCCGTTCACCGCGCTATGAATTCTTCATGATTAACCAAAAAGCAGGACCCACCAGACCCTCTCTAGCCGACATATGCATATGTGGAAAAAGGCACACCGTTCTCAAAACAGTTCAGCAGAAACTAGCCATACACCTGCCTTCTTTGCCGAGGACCGTTTGAACCTGCCATTGCCGTTCTTGATAACAATGACGGGTGTGGAAAATGGGTATAACAAGTGTAGAAAGGATGAGCCACCTTCCAGGTTTCCTTCCTTCGTGTACCGATGAGACGCCTGGAACAAACAGGAAAAAGATATGGTCGTGAGAGATCCGATATGATCTAAAAGTCTTCGTCAAAACTGATGCCGTTGCTTTCGTCCTCTGTCTTCTCCTCCTTGGGGGACGTGGACTTCTCCTCTGCCTTTTTGTTGGTTGAACTCATAACACCGCTCTTTTGATAGTCGCCGACGCGCTTCTCGAAGAAGTTTGTCTTGCCGGCAAGAGAGATGTTCTCCATCTAAAGATTTTATACAATTAGCATTTGAGTCCTTCAAAAGGGGGGTTCATAGGAAAGTACTTACAAATGGGAATGGGTTCTGGGCGTTGAAGTATCGTTTGTTGCCCAGGGCGAGGAGCAGGCGGTCGGCGACAAACTCGATGTATTGACACATGAGCTTCGAATTCATGCCCAACAATGAGACGGGGAGTGCATCAGTGAGAAACTCTTTTTCAATCTTGACAGCTTCGGTGATGATGTTTTCGATGAGTTTTGGGTCGGGTTTGTGCTTGAGATGTTGCATCAACAGGCATGCAAAGTCCGTGTGCATACCCTCATCACGGGAGATAAGCTCGTTGGAGAAAGTGAGGCCGGGCATGAGGCCCTTGCTCTTTAGCCAGAAGATCGCTGCAAAGGATCCAGAGAAGAAGATGCCTTCGACGGCTGCAAAAGCCACCAATCGCTGGGCAAAGCTCGACTCTTTATCTGCGATCCATCGCAAAGCCCAGTCTGCTTTCTTGCGAATGCATGGAATTGTGTCAATGGCGTCAAAGAGATATGTCTTCTCTTTGGGATCCTTCACATATGTGTCAATGAGAAGACTGTACATCTCCGAGTGGATGTTCTCCATCATGACTTGGAACCTTCCCACCCATTAGCGTTGTGACCATAAGAGGCGAGAGGAAACTGCGTACCCATAGAAGCAACGGGCTTCTGGTACTTGCACTTCGGCACTGAAGCGCTCGAGGAGGTTCTCGTTAACTATGCCGTCTGATGCAGCGAAGAAAGCAAGGACGTGGGAGATGAAATAGCGTTCGTCATTGTTGAGGCGGTTGTGCCAGTCGTGAAGGTCTTTGGAGAGATCGACTTCTTCCGCCGTCCAGAAGCTGGCCTCTGCACGTTTGTACATATTCCACTGTGAGAGGGCGTTAGTTGTGAAGCTCTCCAGATGGATCAAGTGGCGTGATTGGGAAAAGACATAGAGGGACTGTGCTAGCTGGCACGACACGTACTATCTCATGATACTTCAGAGGGAAGAGGACGAAGCGATGAGGGTTCTCTTGTAGCAAAGGCTCCTCGGCTTCAAGCTCTTTGGGGGTCTTGGGGACCTGGGGCTGCTCAATCTTCTCCTTTGCTTCTGTGGCAGGCTCTTTCTCGATCTCTGACTCAGGTTTGGCCGTGGGCTCGGTGGACTCGAGGGCGACAGGCATGTTTTCCTTGTCCTCTGCATTGAAGTTGAGCTTTTTGACAGGACTGTCCTTGACCTTGAGGCTCTCAAGGCTTGCAGCCGCCTGCGCGTATATGTTAGTTAATGTATAGGTCGAGCAAAGTAGATGATGCAAGTGGCAAACGTACCTGTTTCGACGGCGTAAGCTGGGTCGTCATTGTTCAATGATGCAATAGAAGCAACAAGAGAACAAAGAGGCGGTAGTAGTTAGGCAAGATAAGAGAGAAGTGGCCGTGGTTGTTGAGTGCAAAGGTGAAAGAGAAATGTCAATGGGAAAGAGATGTAAACTGGTTGCTGGGTGTATTTAAGCCGGACGCGCTAGAGCGTGGACCGCGACAAGGTGAGCGAGCGTGTTATGCGTGTTCTGGCGGGCTGGGGCTAAAGGCCACCCCAGTGCTGGTCTGCGCCGAAGTTGACCAGAGTTGATCCACTCCATCACAACAATGCACCGTGATTGCAACCGCAGAGTCTTCGCCAAGTGGACTTCTTACGGAATGCCGAACAATGTCTTCAGATGGGCTTGAGAGAAGGCCCTTTCCCATTAGCCATTTCACCCATCTTACCCCATTCTGCCAGACAGCTGCCTGAAGTTTGTGTAAAACTTTCACGTGGCGTGGGAATCTCTGTCTGTACATGTGATCCGATCCGATCTAATAATGACGTTGCTCTGTCCCTTTGCCGCCTGTGCCCGTCGAGTACGCACCGAATAGGTGTTGGGCGAGCAGGGGTGCATGCCTAGCGAGCTAGGTATGTAATAGGTGGCGAGTTATGGGTATCTACCCAGCGGCCGTCCGAGATCGGTCTCGCCAGCGCCCAGCCTTTGCACTGAATCGCGCCTGCTAGTATGTGAGGATCTAAAGCCGACCGGGCACTGTACCGAGCCAGCAACACAGCCTTCAATTCATCTCTTCTAGAAAAAACCTGCCAAAGGAATGTCGCTATTGGCAAGCTCAGCCAGCCCGATACCAGGATATTTCTAGGCGATATGCATCATTGTCACCATGACATTCTGACAAAAATGTCCAGGGTACAGAAAGCTCCTCTTTAGGACACACGATATGCCCAGGTCAAGATGTCAATTTCACTTTGATTGTGATATATGAACACAGCAACCTCCAGATGCTTGGACCAATGCGGGATCCGCCTTGATTACAGAAAACATGTTCCTCAAACTCTCAAGCTGTGGATGAATGCCTCTCCCAAGCAACGCCGTGTAATGCAACGCTAAGTCGGCTCGAGTCAGATCCTCCATGTCAAAGCTTCTCCTTGAGGGATTTCGGTAGGATCTTGCTTTCGACTCCTCGTATGAGCTTGTTTGTCTGCTCCGCTAGTGTCAATGTGAGGATGGTATGCGGCAATATTCGAGCCAGGTGTGCTGTGAAGCCTTTGTAGACGCTGAGCACACCCTCCGTTGAAATAGTCTTCCAGAGGCAGTCGAAAATACCATTGTAGAGATTGCCATGCTGGTTGTACAATCGCGCCATGACGGTATCCTGTGTCGTGGATTAACACTTGAAGCAAAACAGAGTATGGATGGATCAAGACAAACGTACCGGTGGATGCATAAAGACGCAGACAACAAAGCCGCTGGCAGTTGAGCTCAGCAAATGCAGTGCAGGGCCATCTTCCATGCCGAAATGGCGTATTAAGCGTCTCTTCGCAAAGAAATATGTCGGCAGCTGGACTGAACTTCCGGCGCCGGTTCTGACCATCGATGCGCCCATGCCTCGGTATAGACCTCTCACCCCTTCTGCTTTGTAGATCTGGGACAGTCCGTCAAAAGCATTGCGGTATTTATGCTGCGTGCCCACAGGCAACGAGGGAGAATATGATTGTAGTCTAGTCTTGACCAGAAAGAAAGGTGAGCCTGCCATAGCCCCCAGGATACCAGACGCCGCGCCGGAAAAAATGTTGATACCGAGAGATTGAACATTGGTGTCTTTGTAGATGAGCTTGGTGCATGCCGCTCTCAGTGGCTCGTAAAATCCCAATCGACAGCCGTTCAACAGTATCTGGTAGATGTATGCAGTTCCAATCCCTCTGTAGATTCCTTTCAATCCTTCGTTTTTTAGGATGACCCCGACCCCGTGGAAGACGCCTCGGTATTTCCTGACTGCGACGTCTTTGGATTGTAATTCTCCTTGAAGCTGTAACCTGATCTTGACTGTTTCAAAGGGATGTGTCGCGGTGACAGCACCGCAAGCAGCAATGCCGCCGGCAACGAATGCGCCGGTTGTCGTTGACATGGTCGAGTGCCGAGTTGGTCGAATGGCTAGCTCTCTTCCCTTGATACCTAGGCCTGCCGTAAATTTATTGCAGAGACGGCGTGACAAAGCGCAACATGTTCCTAGATGAGAAAGCCTTCGAGAAGAGACAAGCGGTGGCGGGTCAGCAACTGTCAGAGGTTGCGCGTGCGACCCTCTGCCATGTAGACAAAAAAAGTTTGACCACGCAGAGGATTCTTACGCAGAAGCGACGTCGGAGTTTTTTGAAGAGCAACACCAGCGAGACCCTTGATTACTTGAGTCAGCTTTGGGGATTGGAGTAGCCCAGCTCGGCGGATCGCCCAGGGGGTTAATTAAAACTCGCGGCTATTAACAGGGAGGCTTGATCGGCCTTTTGGGCCACAGTTTGCCGAAGGGTTTCTTCGATCTCGGGCGGGGACCATCTCTAACCAGCCCTACCAGCCCTGAGCCGCCAGGGCCGTTGATTTCGTAAATAGCAATTTTCATTTTATGAGATACATCCGTTCCAGAGGGTCACTACTTTAGAGCCACCATCATACGACCTTTCTCTCATGCTTTGACATTGCTTTTCCTCCTCTCCTGAGACTCACGCATCCGCGCTTGCATTGGAGTCGTTCGCTCGTCGATGCGCAGGCTGTTGCACTGCCCAAATCTTCCATCTTCTCGTTAGCCATGGCCGCTCTTCCACAGCAGAAAGTCCACGATGTGATCAAGCAATACCGGCCTGCAAGAGTGGGTACTCCTTCTCTACCTTCTTGTATTCTGCTAATCATCCGTAGCAATTTCCCGGTTCCACTCGCTCAGATGGGGTTGAGAGTCGTGTCACATCCCTTGATTTCGATGATATGGGCGAGTTCCTGGTCGCAGCCTCCGACGACGAGACGATGCATGTCTATGATATTAAAGAGGGCAAGAGAACCAAGACTATACCCAGCAAGAAGTATGGCATACATCTGGCTCGATTTACTCACCATCCGCGCAACGTTCTATTCGCAAGTACGAAGCAAGACGACTCTTTACGCTTGTTGGAACTCCACAACGAGAGCTTCGTTCGCTACTTTACTGCTCATACCGCACAAGTCACTTGCATAGCCCTGTCTCCAGGCAACGACCAGTTCTTATCATGCGGTAATGATGACATGGTTTGTTTGTGGGATCTCAATTCCAGAAGTCCTCAGGGAAAACTGAAACTAGTTACTCCCTATCTCGCAGCCTACGACCCCTCTGCTCAGATCATGGCGATAGCGTCGCAATCCACATCCTCTATCCTTCTGTACGATGTTCGAAACTTTGACAAAGCCCCCTTTGCTACTTTTGACATGGCGGAAGCGGAGGACAGGTATACCCCAACCACAAAGGGGCGTGCATGGACAAAATTGGAGTTCTCGAACGACGGCAAAAATATGCTTCTGGGTACCGACTATCACGGTCACTTTGTGCTGGACGCCTTTGACGGAAAGGTCAAATCATTTCTCCTAGGGAAGACCGCAGGGACTGGACGGGCTGCTCCTGTGTCGACATCAGGAAAACCTCTCGGTCAAGGAGATGTTTGCTTCACACAAGATGGGAGGTATGTCGTTGGTGGGGCTGGCGATCAGCCGGACCTACTTGTCTGGGATACCCAGAATGTCGCCGATGTTCGACTGGAGCCCCTGGTTCGATTGACGAGTCGAGGAATCAAGGCGCCAGTCGTACAATGCAATCCTCGATACAACATGCTCGTGACTGCCGACACCAAAGTGTGCATGTGGTTACCAGGCGACCAGATCAAGAACCCCGAACTATGAAAAACAGCCCGCACAGCTGACACAGCACGCGCCGAGCGAGACCTGGCGACCAAGTACGTTTTGGCCATATGGCCTAGGGAGGCCTAGAGAGTGCTCCACGATGCTCAAGGTGCTTTCGCGGAGCAGGCTGAGTGTTGCAAAGGCTTGGCGTGCGGTTGGTTCCGCCAATGAAAATGCGCCTCGGTATTCCTACTCCGCAGCCTGAGTCAGGCGAGCAGGTTTACTTGAAAATCATGACCTTTGCAAGAGCTCCCAAAGCACCCCTCTCCCCTTTGGATATTTCCTTGTTCCTTTACTGGGCAAGCGATCAATTCCCCCAAATCAACGAGCAGCGAATCAATGTTTGTCCTGGACGATTACAGTGGGAGCAACCCTTCCCGGCTGACCTCTGCCGACCTGCTCCGGAGTCTTCAAATCCGTGCCAGCGCCTTGCTACAGGAATTCCGGTTATATCAGGCTCGACTCAAAGCACGGGGCAAACAACAACAAGTTGAAATCCGAGGATTTAAGCGAGGTGTCGAGTCGGAGGTAAAACTATTGGAAAAAATAGGACGTGAATTTGCAACTTCCCAGAGCACCTCCCAGAATATTATCGCCGCCACAAGTCAGCAAGATGAGGAAGGTCCACAATTGCACGCGCTAAGAAGCTCTAACCTGCCCTTTTATGAAGCGGTCTGGGATATGGCGAAATCATGCCGCCATGTTACTGCGTTGGGCAAGAAAATGTTCTTTGCAGGAAAGGACTGCGTGGCGAGTAGAACAAATCACGATGAGAGATCGGTAAGCCGCACAGGTGTTTCGAAGGACGTGCAAAAGAAAGAGACCTTGGTAGACATCGTTGCTGACAACGGATTGCAATGGATCAAAATCTCGACTTTGACGGAGAAACGGCTTCTGTTCGAAATGGCCAAGGAAGGCTGGGAAAAGTACGGAGATATTGGCGAAGACGGCAATACAGAAGGCGGCCAGGTTCCTGAAACTGACCGTGGTGGCACGAGGACGAGTAAGCTTGAACTTGTGCGACTTGCTGAAGACCTCAAGATTGCAGCCCAAGAAGTCAGAGTCCAATTTCGGCATCCACAGATTCAGCTTGTCCTACCAAAGATTCGCGAAGGTATCTCCCCTGACGTGGATGCTTTTCTTGCCGACTTGCGTGCAACTGGCGCCATCGTTCAATGCAACACCGATATGTACAAACCCAGTGAGGATCGGCAGCTTGATCTCGACAGCCTGATGCCCACCGTCGCGACTGTTCCCTTGACCAGCACCATCAACGTGGATTGCACGATACTTCTGGCACTGATCTCTGACATATCAAATTTCCCACGCCATCAACTGTTGTCAACCTTTGCGGGCAAATCGGAGACCTATCACAAAGCGATTGTGAATCAAATCGAGGCTGAAGAATTATCACCAATGCTATCTGAGAGAATCTATCCTCTCCTTGCTACGCGAAATCTAGAGTGTACTCTACACGCTTCTCAGCGGATGCGAGAGATAGTTCACTGCATGGGGACGCCGAGTGAGTTAAGCCGCGCCGAAATCCTGCTAGGCGAAGGGCCATACAGAGATCAGCCTGCATCGACCCTGAGGCAGGCCTTTAGTGAACTATCAATGCACGCCGTCCCGACAGAGGTACTCTTCCCTGTCAAAGTTGTCAACTTCGACGTGAACACGCTCTTTGGCTCAGACTCTACCTCGATGACGCTGAATGCTGAATTATGCAAGTCATTTCCTACGTCCATAGCTGCCCGTACAAGGGACAGATTAAGACTTACCCCGATCAACGCTTCAGTTTTCTTCTACGGTTGGGCCCGCCAGATTGTAACACTAACAAGCAATCGCACAGCGGCAAGCGAGCTTTTGAAGACCATCAATGACGTCTTGGATTGCGACGAGAGCCAAGCGTGTAAGGAGGATGCTGAATTTCTGGGACCGCTCATATGGTGTGAGACTGCAAGAAGCCTGATAGGGAAGACCAAGTTCAAGGAGTAACAGTCAGCACGCAAAGAAGGTGGACAAGTATGAGGCAGCTTAGCTTCTCGGAGGCACCACAGACTCGAAGCATTCCCGATCAGACCCTGATCTGGCTTGCCGCTTTTTGAAAGCTTGGGCTCTGGACTCAGTCCACAGACCCATTTCAAGGCAGAGATCAGAAATCTTAGTAATGACTGGTGCCCGAATATCAAGCAGGTCTCCATGATATACATAAGCCATTGCTATCCTTGGAACTTCTCTGAGTGGTAGATTGATTTTGGCTTGATGGGTGGTTGGTGAAGCGGCTGCGCTGTGGCGGAGCCTAAAATGTCTCCGATAATAATACGTGACCTCGCATGTTGTACATGTCCCGTTCACAACATCGCGAACGGGCGTAACTTTCCTTCCAACAACACAGAATGCCCTTCCCTTCCTCCTGACATGCGCCCTGACTAAAGCAGTTCGGACCCCCGAATCGAGAGTGTTCTGCATTTACTTTGCCGTCGACTCTTTGTATCTGTTCCGCCTGTAACAGTTCCGCCTACACCATGCGCCGATGGGTGCCTTCACTTGGCCTCCTGGCATACCTCGCAGCAATCGTCGCCGGGAATGAAGTTCAGATTGTGAGAATTGGAGACAGCCATGTTGTTCAGTGCTCTCTCCGCTGACCGTGACTAGAAACAAGATGACGAACATCGCCAGCGGTGCTCAGGGATGTACAGTCGGAAATCTTGGGGCGGCTCAATAGATCCTTTCATCCTTGTCAAGTTCCTTCCGGACCACACCGAAGACGACTCAGACCCGATCGCAAGCCTCATAATATTCGAATGGCAAGATGAGCCTTTGATAGGCAGGATGCTACCGGGCGGTGAATCCTACCGAGATCTTGAGACAATATGCACCGCCGACGCCGTGGCACAGGATTTATGTGAAGAGAAGGATATTGGCGCTTTCATACTGGCTCCTAATGCCACAGAGGCCTCGAGAAACCCGATATCCAACGAAGCAATCCATTTGAAAGACCCCAAGGCCATCAACTACCCGATCCGTCGAACGGGGTACTATTGCGTCTCGACGTACGCCTTCTCAGATCACGAGTATAATGGCGTGGTGGAGTTCAGGAACGCATACGGTGAGCTGCCGGCGGCTCAAATAGCAAAACTCCCATTCTACGGCGGCCTCACTATTGTCTACGCGGTGCTGGGTGTGTTCTGGGCTTTCCTCTACTTCCAGAACCGTTCCGATATCCTCCCGGTGCAAAACTACATCACTGCCATCATCATATTCCTCATCGTTGAACAGCTCATGACGTGGGGATTCTACGACTATCAAAATAGTCACGGCAACAATGCTCTCAACAAAGTCTTCATGATCATCGTCTCCATCCTCAACGCTGGGCGAAACTCCTTCTCTTTCTTCCTCCTCCTGATCGTCTGCATGGGCTATGGGGTGGTGAAGCCCTCCTTGGGGAGGACAATGATCTACGTCCGCATCCTGGCCGCCGCACACTTCGTCTTCGGGGTCATCTATGCCATCGCCTCTATGGCCGTCACCCCCGAATCTGTCGGTCCCCTAATTCTCTTCGTCATCCTGCCTCTCGCAGGCACCATGACAGCTTTTTATGTGTGGACATTATCCTCCCTCAACGTCACGATAAAAGATCTTATCGACCGCAAACAAAAAACCAAGGCGATGATGTACAAGAAATTATCATGGTGCATTCTGGGGAGTGTACTGGTTATCTTTGCCTTTTTCTTCATCAATAGCTTCGCGTTGGCCGGGTCGGGAGCCGCGAACTTTGTGCCGGAGCATTGGCAGACGAGATGGTTTGTGCTGGATGGATGGCTGAATATCGTGTATTTATTCAACATCGCGTTCATTGCATATCTGTGGAGGCCGACAGCGAATAACCGACGATTTGCAATGAGTGACGAGGTGAGTTATCCCATACTCTTTCTCTCTCTACATGGGCTCCCCGTGAAAGATCATGGTTCGGCTAACACGTTTTTCTACTTTCTAGCTCGCCCAAGATGACGACGGTTTCGAGATCCGCAGCATCGCCGACTCCATCGAGGATGACGATGAGGAAGCCGCCAACGCGCGAAAAGACCAAGAAAGAGCAGTCCCTCCTTCGGCAGACAGAGGCGGAGCGGCGACCTCCCTCGCTGACGCAATCGCCAACGAACCATCTTCAGCGAGGAGGCCTTCCCCGGCACCTGCGCTTCAGAATAGCAGCCAGGCACCGCCGCCTTCCAAGCCACCTAATCAGCCCCAATCGAGGATGTCGTTGGATGGAGAGACCATCTTTGCGGTTGGCGATGACGGGATTGAATGGAGCGATGGGGAAGATGAAGACAGTGGCGATGAGAGGAAGAAACTGACCAGTAGATGAGGGAATGTCACTTCCGTAAATCCCTGAACATTGGGGCAGCTAAGGGATTGAAGTGCCTTGATTTCCTAAGACGCTTGGATGCTTGGAGCTTCTGAAAACTTGGACTCTTTTTCACTTTGGGGCCTTTGGGAGGGGCCTGGAACCCCGGGATCACGCTTGTCGATGAACACCGGTACAAGGTGGCGGAGGGCCGAGCCAAAATTGATCAATCGGGGTGGTTTGCACATTGGAGCAACTTTTATACGATAAGTCTGTGGCGCCAGGCAATCCTCCTGGTCCAGCTCAGGTTCAGGGAACAATAACTGGAACGCGACTGTCCTACGCCGATGAATTAATTACACGTAACGTGAACCGGTCATGGCCTCGACTTTCATCAGTCTCGCTCCCGGGGGTCTGCTTTGCTTGTCAGAAGCGAACCAGTTGGTCCGTGTATCGCACAGCCCTCAGAGAAAGCAGCGAGCCGAGAGAAGGGGGAAAGAGAAGATGGCTCCCGGAAAGGGGAATCCGATATGTATTTCGAGCTATGGCATTGAATCCGCGAAAGGCTTGTGCAATTTCTATACCTTATTCGTGATTAGGAGGAGGTCGTCGAACATAAGGAGGTAGCATGTCCGCTTCTTCGCAGAGGGTAATCTAGTGGTTCGGGATCGACAAAAAAAGGTATTCCTGCTCTCTTCGAGCCATGAAGTGTATCTATCCGAAGCCTATGATGGTCTCTGGCAACGCGGTACAAAATATTCGCCTTTGACATCAACCACCCAGCTTCTTCGCGCGGTCCTTGGCGATGTCGCACATGGCCTTTTGGCAGGAAGACGAGCTCGGGTCAGCCAATTTTGACTTCACTGGGGTTGCGCAAGTCCAGCAGAAGATGTACTGCCTACCTGGATGCCCTCTTGCTTTTCCAGCTGGATATCTCCTCGGTCTATCCGCCTCTGCATGTCTTCCATGATGATAGGACGACTTCGTCCGTTCACGAAGACCCTGTTGTAGTCTCATCAATAATCACGAGAGCCATTGGACACTGGGGATGCATGGAGAAACTCGAGACAGCCGCATTAAGAGAAAGTGGGAAGCCATACACGTATTTTAGGCCCGGAAACCTGTCTTCGTATTTCCTGTTCATGTCTGCCAACTTCTCTGCTTCGTCGGCTCCACCTTGATTCAATTGCGCCTGCTCCTTACGACTCTGCTCACTTTCAACCTGTTTCTCACCTAGACGCGGATGGGCGGACAATATGGCTTCCAGCCACTTATGATCGGTCTCTAAGTTTGACCGGTGGAGTTCTAGCAACTGCTCGCCCACGGCCTCGATGAGTGACTCGTAGGATGGGAATGACTGTTCCCGCAGTAAGCTGACGGATAATGTGTGCAGTTGAAGACATGGTTCGAAGAGGGTGTCGAGAACTTGTGTCCTTTGTTCGGCGTCCAGTGTGGGTAGAGTTGAGGTTGGTGGAAGAGACGCCATGACAAGAATTGTCTTTTTGTCTTAGTCAACTGCGTGACCTCCAAGACTCGACTGAAGAAATACTCCGTAGAGGGCTGCTCTATGAAGGATTATATGAGAATCAAATAACCCACGTCATTTGCAGTAACTCACGTACCCAGTACTTAGAGAGGTCGTCGGCGTTCGCCGAACATCTCAACGGCTTCACGTGGTTTGGCGTTGAATTCGCGAAGAGGCTGGACTGAATTGCCGTCTCGCTAATACGTGTAGGTCAAGCCACAATAATTCGCAGTAGTAATCGGCGGCCTGCCCACCTGTGCCCCAACCTTCCCATTGCCCCATGAGACGATTCCTTCAATGTGCGGCCACGTGAATGGACGGTGTCTCAATAGTCCGTAGAGATAGAGGGGCGGACTGGGACGGTTGATTCTGGGGAATTAGAAATTTCTTGCAGCAACATCAAGCCACTCAATGGCCATTGTGACCGTGGGTGGTCGTACAGAGGATCCAGAGCACGGAATAAAGAAATCCTCCTTCGAGGTCACCCACACTGGGTATTGGCTGACAAGGAAGGGGAACGGGGAATGTCATGCTCGATGCACCCGCAACGGGGAAAAGTTCGAGCTTGATCCCGCTTTGACATAGACAGAGGGTGCTGGGTACAGTTCCCCAGACTGTTTCAGATAAGTAAAAGTACTCGCTGAGACGAAATCCCCAAGTTGTTGTGCAGTCTTCGTGCAAACCATCATTCTCGTCTTTTGCTCCGGAGTCAAGATCGGCTCTATATCTGCCGCAGTCGAGATTTGAGGCAGAGAGATCGACGACAATTCGCAATTCGTGATCATCCGCCTCCAGGGCTTCGAGTCTCTGACAGACTTTCGCTTGTTTTACGTAGAAGGAGGAAATTCAAGTATCCAGAAGAGGCATAACGTCCTGTCTCGCTTGCTTCTAGCCGCATGGTCAGCGGCAGGGTGTCGGGAAATTGGCTCGTGGGAACTGGTGACATGGGCGAATAACGCTTGAGCATCGACCGTCTGGTTGAGAGTTTCAGCGTCAAGGCCAGCTCCACCATCTCGCAGAACGGGGCACGCTAGCCTTGACCAGGGCACATCGGCCACGGACTGTCGGCGGGCTACCCTTGTCGTGGCTCCAACTTGGCCCGTTGCAGCACCCCCCCCTGAACTGTAAGTACCGTACCCAGTAGATAGTATTCCGCGCTGTACTCCATCCGTAGAATGTCCTGCATCCTGCATGTGGCCCTGGACTTCCCCTCGAAGCTGCATCTCCAATCTGAGAGGGCTGTGGCTGCTTGCTGGCAGCTGGGCATTGGGTCCATTGAATTTGGGAGGTTGCCCTGATCGCCTCGAGCCTTGCTCTTCCACTCTCCCGTACCTTGTAAAGCCTTCCGCCCATCTCTGGACTGTATGAGATCGGATTCTGAAACCCATTGAGCAGGCTTGAGCCTTCCCAATGAGGCTGAGAAATGTCATTGAATGGACTTGATGGAGCTGCAGTCGCCGAAGCACACCAAGCTGCTCAGGCGGACGCAGGAGGATGGTATGTCGCGCGATGACTTTGACGCTGTGCTGCCTTGTGGTTCTGCGCAATCCGTCCTCCGTGACACCTGCTTACATGGATCAGGTTCTTACTGAAATACACCAACCGCGACACGGTTGAATTGCTGAGCAAGGGGACAGGAGGTGTGCCAGCTGTGCGTGGAGTTATTGAGAAATATGCAGAGAAATCGCCGCTGTACGGGTTGGTGCAGTATCGGCGCAAGAAAGTCGTCCTCAAATATGTGCCTGAAGGAACCTCTCGATTGCTGCAAGGTGGGTAAGGCGCGTTCGACTTGGAGGGATTCTGTCACTGACCTGCTTCACCCGCTGCAGTGCGGCTTACCGTGCAATTTCAATCGGTCCTGGAAACCTTCATACCACATGACACCGTCTTCTCCTTTGCTGCCGCCTCCGAGTTGACAGAGTCCGCGCTCGGCCTGTGTACCATGCTGCTACCCTCTGCATCGTCGCTCACCTCATCCAGCTCTTCTCTGCGACGGCGCAGACTCAACGAGATTACTGAAGATGCCGAAGACGCCGTGTTGCCAGCAGAAGAGGACAAGGAGAATGAGAATGAGAATGAGAATCAAGGCCTTGGTCTTTTCACAGCGCAGACGCTGGAGGAGCCGTCAACGCTGACATCGACCTCGGATACAGCTTATGGAAGGCATGAACTCGATGAACTGCCGGCAAGCGCAGTCCTTGCAAAAGCTCTTTTGGCAAAGAGGAAGGAGGAAGCCGCCGCCGTCAACGGCGGCACCGGTGCCCTGTCTTTACCGGACAAGAACATACACCCTCCTCGAAAAGAGAGCCTTCTCTCATCCCCCAAACCACCGGCATCACCGTTACCATCACCGCTACCGCCGTCCACCGTAGACAAAGAGCTCCCAGCCACTCCCGAACCGACACCACCCTCTACGAGCGAAGGCGAAGGGCCAAGGGCTCCAGATTTCGAAGCCACCAGCAACATCCTTCTCGAGACCACTACGGCAACAGCAGACACCTCCAATCCAGCTACCCCTCGCCCTCACGCTCGTCATCTCTCAGCCGCCGAGTCGGACAGTATCAGCCAGTGGAGTAGTAACGTCGCTTCGTATACAACGGTCAAGCCAAAGAAGAAAAAGCTGGGACCGCGCCCTCATGTTGAGTCAAGTCATCGTCCTAAGACATCCGGGACGACAGACAGCGGTACAGGTATACGGCCAGTGGCAAACCTTCCAACTTCTATTCGGGTGAACAACAAGTCTCTAGTCAGCCTTGGGCTGCGGCCTGGCTCCCAACAGTCAAGTCGAAGCGTCCCTGCTGGCCGTTTTGTGCCATCGAGTCAGTCCGTCAATGGTGTGCCGCCCCTGCCGTCGCCATCTTACCTGCACGCTCCCTATAATGGGGGGGATAGCCGCTCTGCAATCCTCCGACCAGCTTCTGTGACTGGCGATGTCTCTACGACGACTCCGGAAAAGCTAAGATTAATGAAGGCCTTGCAGCTACGGAAAAGGAATATTCTTCTCGCTCAAAGGGCAGCCACGGCTGCATCATCATCAACCCCTCCAAATACATATGTTCACAATGTCTCAGAGTCGAGTGTGAACGCCAACGGCTCGAGTACTCGTCTATCATCTATCCCGAGTCAGGAGCAGCTCTCAAACGTCGAAGAGGAGTCAAAGTTGACTCAATCATCTTATACAACGTCGCCGACCATCATGACAAACATGTCAGAAGAGCCTTCAACAAAAGCCTCTTCCATTAGCGAACAGGATGATTGTTCCCGCACTCGTCGCTCTTTGTCATCAGCCACAAGCTCGTCGCTGACGCCGAAAGCCCTTTCTCAGGAAGACAAAGCCGCGGCCAAGTCTGACGCGGCTCCAATCGGAGTAGGACCATCGACCAGTTCGGGCCGGACCACCCCAGATGAAGAGGACAAACGGGAGTCCGGTGCCGACGTCAAGGCAGCACTTGCCTACCTGGAAGCTGAACCAGTCATCACAGGGGAGAGTCTAGTCTTGGAGAGCAAACCTCAACCAACTCCGGCGACTGAGCAACGGCCTTCTATTCCAGCCCTGACACAGGATGCGGTGCCACTTAAGAAATCTGGACGTTTAGGACCCCCACAGCCCCTGAAGCTTCTATCAGGCGGCAATGCGTCAGCCTCAGATCTCTCAGAAGATGATTCTTTGATGGACGAGATACAGCACGCTACAGTCCACGAGGCTAAGCCAGTCTCTGTGGCACGTTCGCCCGTAACTCCAATCATGTCCAAAGGAAGTTCCGATCGTTTGCGCGATATTGTTACCAAGCCGCCAGGCAGTAGCCACTCAGCAAGCAGACCAAATCTTGTAACAACGCCCGATAGAAACAGACCCAGCAGCGGTAGCGTACGAAGCATTTCAACAGCGCTTCCACAGTGGCCGCCATTGCCGACAGAGACTGCTCAGCTGCCTCTTACTAAAAAGGCTACACTCGGAACAGGCATCTCAAAACGTATAAAGGCCTTGGAAGTGCTAAGGACAAAAGATGCAAGTCCTCCACGACACTCACAGCCAATACGAGAGACACATGCCGGGACCTCCGCCTTTTCGGCATTCATGAAGCGTTCATCATTCCTGTTGAATCAGCAACAAGCCCCGAATGCATCAACGGAAAGTTCACCCCCAAAACAAATGCCTACAACAGGAGCCCAATATGATCCACTTCAATCACTCGCGGCAAAGGAACCGCGACGTCCCTCGTCGGATGTGCACAGACTGCAGAAAGGCGAGACCATCTCTGTTACAGCAAGGATTGTGCGTGATCCCAGCAACAAACATCCTCCCCAGGCCCCCAGTTCTAGCTATCATACTCCTCTCAATCTCTACCGGAGTCCGTTAATCGTTGAGCATGAGAGGTCCGACCAGTCGACCTCTGACCACGCGCTGGCTTCAAATCAACCGAGGGTTAAAAGCCCTACAAAGTCGGAAAGGGGCCGATTTTCCTTCTCCTCACATCGATCTGGCTCTCATACAAACCTCCCTCGATCGGAGTCAAACCATAGCAAAGTCTCCAAATCCGGCCATCACAAACGACATGGTCCGCGATCAGTCAGTGACGCCGCATCCATTTCCGAGGACAAACCGAAATCTTCGATGACAAGTAGACTTATGAAACGAATGTCGAATCTAGCGAGCGCGCGGAACAAAAATCAACCGACGACGAAAGACGAGGCTCATCAGTCCCAAGCGAATATGACGCAAGAACAACCCGACCTCACTGGGGAGAATTCGGTAGTAGAGTCATTAATGCATGTTGTCGACATTGGGGATGTTAACGTACAATTCCCCGAGTCATTTCTGTGGAAACGGCGCTTCATGAGAATCGATGATCAAGGGTTTCTGATTTTTTCTCCGCCAATGACTGACGCGAATATGAAAAGCGTTAGTCGCAAGTACCACCTCAGTGACTTCAAGCGGCCTTGTCTACCAGATCATGAACGCGAGGAGATGGCGTGGAGTATTCTTCTTGATCTGAAGGATGGGACCTGTGTGCAGTGTGCATGCGAGAGTAAACAGGCTCAGCAACAAGTACTACAGAGTAAGTGCTAGATACCTTGCAGCATTTTGTCACGTCATTACTGACTCTCCCCTGCAGTGCTTGTTGACGCTCACAGCGCATATCATCAGCTATATGGGGCTGGATGAAGAGAAACAGAAGGATCCAGTCCAAGAGGGCGACCAGCAGTCACGACCACCGATCAATTGTTTTGCATAGTTGTTGATGTTTGAACGGCAAGCAACAAGCGAAGGCGAGGGGCGGCGTTGGGATGCTGTAGAGAGCGACTTTCTCCCATTCTCTTGATTTCAAGTCCCGCATGTTAGGAGACAGTTCAATCTACATACCCCCTTCAATTAATGTCTGTATCAAGAGAGATGCTGCCTCTCGAACGAGGCTTGCCGTTTAGAGGTGTGAAAGATGTCGTCACCACCTTCAAGTGTAGAGACATCGGCCATGAGACACTTCTATCGAGAATATTTAAAATACTAGGTAATCAACCTAGGTATGTATGTATCTGGTCTGTCAGGAGATAATACATATTATTATGATTAGGCCTGCTTGGGGTGACAAGGCTGTGCCGCAAGGACAAGTGGCTTTTCAGCTGGATGAACCTCGAATAAGGGGGCGCAGGCCGGGACTGCTTGTCGTGCATTTTTAAGCATTGCCGTGAAATAAAGCGGCGCTGTTCATATATATTCCGCCAACGAGTTCAAGTATTCACCGTCCCTGCATCCTCCTCCCTTGAACCCCTCGGCCTCACAATCTTGACTGTTTGCAGACGCCTCTTCGTCTGCGTTCACACGAGTTTCTAATATTACAACTTTCCCTTTGATACGGCGCCATCATGGTGCAACTTCGCTCCCTTCTCCCGCTGGCAACGCTCGCCCTGCCCCTCCTTACCGCCGCCTCAGATGTTCTCAATCTGATCCCCTCAAACTTTGACAAAGTCGTGTTTGAGTCGGGCAAGCCTGCCCTCGTCGAGTTCTTCGCCCCGTGGTGCGGCCACTGCAAGAATCTTGCCCCCGTCTACGAGGAGCTTGCCACAGCCTTCGCCGCCTCCGGTAACAAGGTAACAATTGCAAATGTCGATGCGGACAAGCACAAGGACCTAGGCAAGAGATTTGGTGTCCAGGGATTTCCAACGTTGAAGTGGTTCGATGGCAAACCTGGCTCGGAACCAGAGGATTACAATGGTGGGAGGGATTTGGAGAGTTTGACCGCTTTCGTGATGGAGAAGTCTGGCATTAAGGCCAAGGGGCCGAAGAAGGCACCGAGCCATGTTGAGATGTTGACAGACACCACATTCAAGTCCGAAATCGGTGGGGATAAGGATGTTTTGGTGGCTTTTACAGCACCTTGGTGTGGACGTATGTTTGCCCTTTGAGACCGCCGCTGTGTGGTATCACATGCTAATCTCTGGTCTACAGACTGCAAATCCCTTGCCCCGACATGGGAAAAGCTCGCCACCGATTTCGTCAATGAGCCCAACGTTCTAATCGCCAAGATCGACGCCGAAGCTGAGAACTCAAAAGCTACGGCACAAGCCCAAGGCATCACCGGCTACCCGACCATCAAATTCTTCCCCAAGGGCTCCACCGAGCCAGAACCCTACAGTGGCGCACGCAGCGAAGAGGCCCTGGTGGACTTTGTCAATTCCAAAGCTGGCACTTACCGAGTTCCGGGTGGCGGGTTGAATTCTCAGGCTGGGACTGTCGAAATCATTGATACCCTGCTCGCCAAATACGTCACCGCCAACGGTCTCAAGGAGATTGAGAAGGCCACGGCTGAGATCAAAAAGGCAGCAAAGGACTTGAAGGATTCGTCGGTCGACTACTATCTCAGAGCTCTGTCCAAGCTGACAGGGAACCCGGAGTACGCGATGAAAGAACAGACGAGACTAGCAGGTCTGTTGAAGAAGGGCGGATTGGCACCGGAGAAGATCGATGATCTGCAGAAGAGGAGCAATATCCTTTCGAAGTTCTTGGTCAAGGAGCCGGAGGAGAAGAGCGAGTTGTAAGCGACGACGAACGACCGAGTGGGCACTTGCGAAGCCAGGGGCAGATCGAGCAAAAACTAAAGATCTGCAGGGAATGGATCTGTAAATTGACACATCATTAGAGGAGTTCAAAAGGCTTTTGTGGGTTTCCAGTCTCTTTCCACGCATAGTTTCTCGGGTCAGTTGCACTCGTTGACGTCTTTCCTCTCACTCGGTATCTCAGCTGGGCTCGTCCGTATCTGGACTTAGGTTCCCTCGCCTTCAATAGCTGGGCCTTGTGTCGTAGTGGTTCGCACGCCCGCGGATGCTTCATATCTCAATCCTTCCCTTTCCATGCTCTGCACGAAACCCGAGAGTCTGTCCCAGAGATGGCATCCTTCTCGCCGTATGCAGAGTCATCCCATGGTTCACATTCCACTCTCTTGATCTTCCTATAACCCGCAGGACAGAGTAACCGTAGCCCAGCTCAGCTCAGCTCGACCCGGCCGTGCTCCCGGCCTTGCCACCGCCGACATTCTCCATCGCACTCGCGTCCCTCAACAACATCTCCTGCTCCAGCCGATCACACCGCTCTGCCATGTCATCGAGCTTCGTGAGTATCTCATCGCTTATCCCCTTGAACTTCTTCTCCAGGTCGCCGAGAAAGTCGTCGATCGCCTCGGCGAGCTTGGTCGCTGCGTCGTTTGGGCTGTGTAGGTTGTCCAGGACAGAGGCTGACGAGGTGGTCGCGCCAACCGGGCCATTCGATGCTGTAATGGTAGCGGAGCGGTAGGATTGCGAAGAGAGCGGCGGGCTTCCTACGCCTCGCGGTGGCGGAGGACTAGGGACAGACTAGAAAATGAGGTTTTTAGTTAGAGCATGCCCGTTGTCTTTGACATAACTTTTTAGACGGGCTGGCGGGGTGTAACAGAGGACGGGCAGCCTGTTAATCGTGGCCCTCAAAGAGCTTGAAATCGTCCAATGGCAATCGAACTTACCATTGTCGCACGACAAGTTGTTTTCTCCTTTTGTGAATTGCGCAAAAGGGGGGGGCTGGTGTTGCAACAATCAATGGACTGCCTCCCACACCCAGACAGATCAGCATAAAAGCTCAAGTCACACAGGAAACATGTTCTAAGAAGCGCGGCGAAAGCTCTATAGCTTCCCAGCGCCGCCTGGCGAATGTTCGAAAAGTTCAGTCGAAGAAGTCGGGAAGCAAGCGCCTGCGAACTAATACGGAGTGCGGAGTGAACGAGGCTGGGCTGGGGAATTTAAAATTGACCCGAAGTTTACGCGGAGTGGGCAAGTTGCCATTTTATAAACAAAACACATGGCAAGGCTGCACTGGCATCTAGCCCGCTAGGGGGTTCAACTGAGTAGAAGGAGATAATACGGATCCTGTGGGAGACAACTTTCTGGGGTGAGATGGTTGACACAGCGTGAGAATTACCAGGCATCGTACGGAGAAGTCAGCAAGCCAGTTGCTTTGGAAAGGCGAATCACAGCTGGCGCTGCAAGCAAAGCAAAATGACTTCGCGGACGACGACGACGAGACGGATAATGTGGCCGACCACAGCCAGAGAGGGCAACCACGCCCGCCGGCCGATGGTTCTGACGTGGACATGTACTCGGTACACATTGGCTTGAGACCCTAGTTGAGAGGAGCGCAAATGAACGAGGGTAACAACGGTGCTGGGCGAGGTCAAATCGAACGATACCTGCAGGGTTCACGCCGGAGCTCAACATCCTCACACCACTACCCGTACTCACCAGTAGAGCTGGGAAGAATGCAGCCATCCGGAAGATATTTTCAGGGCGTTAGGAACGGCGAGGTTCAGCATCAAGAGGGCCTCTGTAAGTTGAAATTCAAGCACTCGACCAGCCTCTGGCTGCTCAAAGCGGGGTTCTTCCAAGGATGTCGACGCCCTCGTATTTCCAGCCTCGAGCATTCTGAACCAAGGTAAGTGTGGTCCGGGTCGCCCTTCACACAGATTCCTACTGAATCGCTCCACTTTTATCCTTGCCCCCAGGCATTTCTCTCGTCTGACCTAGCTTATCTCCTCCTCCTCCGCCACCTATTGAAGCTCGAACCTATCCTTGGCTGAGGGTTGACCTCGTATTACCCCGGCTCCCGGAGGTTGGCAGCTGGGTCAGACTGAAGCGGACTCGGCAGGCGGACATTGGCGTAGAGACCCTGATGGTCATTGTTCTTTTTGCGCAAGCCACCATTGTCCCCTTCATGAATCCGAGCTCTGTCTTTGGCCACCACCAGCCTTTCTGCTTCTGCCCCGGAGAACGGTCGTCGTTTCCGCGCACTGCTTTCAGTCAAGCTCATGACTGCTAAAGTGCTTTCACAGAAATGGCTGACCTGTGTGCGCATGGACTCCTGGGAAGGTCCGGCCTGGAAAACCATTTCCACCGTTTCGAGCGCCTCGTGAAGTTTCTAGCTGCATCCGAACGAGACAGAACAAACAGACGATGGCCACGTCATGGACAATGAGGAAGCTAGATTTTCGAAATAAACTGACTTGCTCGTCTAGCAACCGCAACAAAACATTTGGCTAACTGCCGACAGTCAACGCTCCCGCAAAACACTGGGGTTTATATAATTGTGGCCTGGCCTCGAGCAATGGTCTGCTGAGCCTCCAGGACCGTCGCCTCGAAGATACGGTCTCAGTCGAAGCCATCACCATGGCTACTTACATCTGTTCTTCAACAACTTCTTCAGGGAAGAAGTCAGCGTGGGTCCTGTACTTCCAAGAGGGTAGTAAGAAGCCGTCCATGATCTTCCAAGCGATAAAACCAGGGACTAACAGACCCATCAATGGCAGCAATTTTACAGGTTGCCTCTTCGGTAAGGCCGCCCCAGCTCAAAAACATCGCCCATTCTTTCATGCTGCAGATTAGCTAATGGTAGATCGTAATGGGTTCCAGAATGCGACATGTCCTCGGGCTCTCCAGAGGGTGACCTGAACCTTGACTGGATGATCGATCTGAAGAAAGACCCGGACCCTGATACACAGGTCGGATGGGCCACACGAGTCAAACCAAGCGTTGGACCGGCAGACACTTGGAAAATGGTGAGAGTCGTGGCCTCTGACGACAAAGTAATCTATATCGCGGACGGCACCAAATACGCGAACACGTATGTTGTGCAAAGCCGTGGGGTCCTAAGCGTGGAGCACTTGAGGGCAAATTTGTAGGAGAGCGTCCAGCTCATCATGAAGGAGATGAGGGAAGGAGAGTGGGTGAATGACAGCGAGGTGATTGAGGAGGCTGCGCCAAGAATTTGTCCCGACAGATTCATAATAAGGATGGTCCTTTTAATAAAATGATTGACTACTTCATAAGGGAAGTGAGGGCTGGTCGACTGCTAAGCGCCTACTAAGCCCCTGTTAAGAAGCCGTTAAGCACTACTAAAAGTATTAAGGCCTCCAAGTGCCTATAGTCTAATCTAGCCACAAACACATGCTAAACTGCTACATATGTCTGCTTCAACAACAACAACAACAACAACAACAACAACAACAACAACAACAACACCACTCCTCCACCACCACCTCACCAGTATTAATGCATGCAGAAGATACTGGTACTGGAAAAGAGCCCGCTCTCGCGCCCTGCAGCAGGTGGGGGCAAATACAATTGCCATCGCATTTCGACCTTATGCATTGTGCCCTACATAATTGCCATGCGAAAAGAAGCTCCAGCCGCATGGCCGAGTCCAGAACATCACTTAACCCAGTGCCGCCCCATCTCGGAAACAGAATTGCTGAAAGAAAAGAGGGCGCAAACACGAAGAACCACTGATCATGCATGATATGACTGGCCAGCCTAATACCTTCTTCTGCAACCTGGGAAGGGCAAGTCACTTTTGCTGCCACACAATTGCTCGCTAAGAGCGGGTGCTGCTATACTTTTGGGCTGGACGGGGCCATTTCCGAAGCTGAAATGCAGCTTTACGCCAGCCACAACAACGTTTGGGGACGTTGTCCACTGCTGGTCTACTGACTGACAAACACGTCTCCAGTGTCTGGATGGCTTTGCCCTCCTTCACGAATTGTCCAGTTCTTGATTCTCTATCTTTGCGCTGCTTCCGTCGGCTGCATGCGCCGTTCATGGACTGTATGCCGTATGGACTTTGCGCGATCGCTCAGGTGCCTTTTGCGCAACTGGTGCATGACTTCAGAAAGGCCGTCGAAAGTGAACGACTCAAATACCCTCAGCCCACTTCAAGCTTTGTGCCTTCCTTTTGACTTTTGCTGTTCATCAGTTTGTGTTCGGTAGGTCTTTCTTGAAGTTCCAGAGATTGATCGCGCAGCACAATGGCGCCGTCCGCAGTACAGCCTGACTCGCCTACAAAGATTCCTCTCCTGTCTGAAAAAGTTCTAGAGACACCAGCTACACTGGCCAGCCATGACAGCCCTCCGCCTACTCCCGCTCCCCACCATGCGATCAAAGACAACATGGAGGGCGCCCTGCCCTCTTTGCTCTGGGGTGCATTTGCGCCTTGCGTCCCGGTTGCCATTATCTCCAGCGTGCTTTTGACTGCCATTCTATACAATCGAATAGACAGTAGCTACGTCTTTCTTCCTGCGAAGCACGAAACAACCTCGAATGACACAATAGGCGCTCTCCAGAATATCCAGCAGATCGAAAGCAATGGCGGTGACCAAGCTTACTATCTCTACTACAATACTATCACCAACCCAGCCGTGTTACACATGATCTCTTCCTGGACAGCCAAGATCATACCTTTTGTCACCGGAGCCTCGATGGCTCTTGTCGCCTTTTTCGCCGGCCAACGAATTATGAAAGCGACCAGCAACAAATCTGGGAAGCTACCGAGTCCTCACCAGGTATCCATCTTGATTGGACTACTCAATGGCGGTGGCACTCAACCTCTGCTCGATACCGTCAAGTATCGCTGGCAAAACCACGAATCTCTGGTCCAACCAGTTCCTCTGGCCTTTTGGTGTTTGTCGTTCATTGTGTTCATGACGTAAGCAACTCTTCGTCTCCCGGTATCCCTGTTTCTCTATATGCTGTGCTGACTTTTGACGATTCAGCTTCGCCATCGGCGCAGTCGATAGCTGGTTCGGTACAGTTACCACGGCCATGAACATCGCATTGGTCATTCCGAAGACCAACACATCCTACTCCTATGGAAGAGGTTTAGATCCACATCAGTGTGCGCCAGGAGAGTGGAAGATACGGGGTTGTCCATCCAACCCTCAAGCGAGCTGCAGTTACCCGTGCAGCATTACTAACTGGACTGCGACAAACGGAGAACGCGAAGGCGTGCTCAATGCGCAGCAAGCAGCAGAGACTCTGATGTCGAACTCTGTGAATAACACAATCTTTAACGTAACGGTCAATGGCTCAAACTATTACTTCCTTGGGGATGTCCTGAGCAGCAGGACGCTGGACTTCGTGGCGACGACGTTGGCGATCAAGACGCAGTGTCAAATGGTGACACCCAACTGCACTGTCACGTCCGTCAACGATGTCAGCTCGGGCTTCACTTGCGGCCCTTACAATGCGCCATCCTTTTCGTACTCTGGAGAGGTTGGCATGGACCCTAAGAACGCGACATCGGCGCCAGACGAGGCAATGGTTGGTATCCAATTCTTCAACGACACAGGATTGACTCAGCCAGTGGGTTTCGGAAGCAGCACTACAAACCTATTCAGCACGCAGAATCCGCTTCAGTTCCTGACTTGGTCAAAGGGCTTTCCGCCGGTGGACACCTATCAAGACGAATTTGCCCAAATGCGCAACAATAGTTACCTCAAATATGACGCTACCGGCGATACCGTGTTCATCCTGAGCTGTTCAGCAATCATCTCGGTAGTGAAATATAACTGGACCAACGGAACAGTGAGCCTTATTGAGCTTGAGGCAGACGAAAACACGGCGGACTATTATGGTGCCGTCTTCAGCGCCCCGTTCGCCATCAACAGCCCCCTTTCCCACCTGTCCCTTCAAGACGCCGCAGCGTTGGCCGCCTACCAGAAAACGCCAGAGGGTCTGTCAAAGATCTTCGCCGACCGTTTCTCACAGGCGGCCGTCGCTCTTAGCTCGGGAATCGCCATCAGGGTGAAGAACGAGCAAGAGTGGACGAGAGACAACTTTTTTCTTGCGACGCGCGTTCCGTACCTGCCTCTTTATCTCTTAGTCACGCTCAAAGCCATCTACGCCCTATTCGCGCTAGGTCTTGCTCTCCTAGCGGTCTTCCTGACGCAGCCGTCGCAGGCTCAAGAGGTCAAAGAACGGCTGACGGTCGACGGTCTCGCGGCGGGCTTCTTTGAGCCTCACGCCAACCACGAGCGGGCCGTCAAGAATGTCTGCGACCTGTTCGATGAGCACCAGAGCCCCGAAAAGAGCGAGGACACCAAGAAGATCGGCCTGTTGCAGACCGAAAAGGGCGGCTGGCTCTGGGTCACCGTGGCGCAAAGAGCAGCCGAGGGACTGGGCATCCAGGAGGTAGCCAACTTCGCCGCAGATCAGGCTGCCGACACGGCCGCGAAGCAGGCCGGGACGCTTGGTACCTTGGGCCAAGGATATAAGTTGGTTAAGGACATTATTTAGGGAGGCAGCGGGCTAGGTCAGGCTGCACGTCCTTTTTTTTTTTTTTTTCCACACGACTGTTTCCCTGGGGAGGATCACGGAACTCCTTTCGATGCTGCGACGAGTAATAGTCACAATGAGATTGTACGCGAGGTAATCATTTGACCAATTCAAGCAAAGGCCTTTTCCACTTTTTAAGGTACCAAGTAATCACTTCCCATCCTATCCTCTCCCATCGAAAGTCAAATGACCCTCACACCACATAGCGCTGCAGAACCGCGAAATGAACTCGCTTTTCAAGTCTTCTTCGCCTTTCCGCGCCCACCCACTCCGATTCCCAGCAGAAAGGCCACCCTGAGGGCGCCCACGCCGGCGAGGATGGCCAGGTTAGACCACTCCTTGGCGGTGACCAGCCCCCAGTCGAGGCGGTGCTGGGTTTTCAGAGCGCCCACGACGGCGCCGATGATGGCCAAGTCCTGGATGAGGATGCTGCCCTGCAGACAGCGCCAGACGGTCAGATCTGCCGGCCGGGCCCGTAGCATGACGACCTGCAAGAACATGGTCGAGACCAGGTAGCCAGCAGTGCTGTCGAGGAGCACCGTCGTCTCGATGGCTGGAGGGAGAGCGGCTGACGAAGGGTTGTAGAGCGTCAGGATAGTGGCCGGGGCGAAGACCTGCGTCAGTGCGCCGCTAAGGGCGATCAGGGGGTCGATGGTGCTGAAGAAGACGCGGTAGAAAGTCGGGATTGTTGGCGACGCCATGGCTTCTTTTCTGCTGCTGCTGGTATTTGGGAAGGCAGTCTGGCTATTGTAGGACTAAGTAAATGCGCGGTTTGAGTTTCGCTCAGTGCTGTTCTTGGGACATACATAGAAGGAGCGAGTCTGAGCGATACGTAGTCAAAGGACTCTCTGAAGCTTATGGTAGGGATGTAGGCGAACGACAAGTTACCTGACTGATGACGGCCTATTCATTGAGACTGAGACGGAAGCGGTCAGAGCCTTGATCCTGGACGGAGGGGAATGGATGCCTTGTGGCTTTTGAATGATTGTCATCGGTATCCACCCCCAGCGTGTCCGCCCAATTGCCGGATGTTGTCAGCATCATGTGTATGGACTTGCACAGTGCGTCTGGATCCTGGCGTGAGGCTGAAACTGCGGCTGACTTCGGCCATCAACGGGCGTGGTTATGCCAGCTGGCTATGCAGGCTTAGTGGTCCAAGCGGCAGGTTAACACCTGAGCAGCGATATATTAATCATTGGCAGTGAGAGAGGAGTTTTACCCATCTTCAAAGCTAACTAAGGCATATAGATACCTTCGGATGAGCGGAGAGATGTCCTAAGGACGTCAAATGGGCTCCATCACAACACTCCATGTCATGGTAGACACAAGGCTCGTCTCACGGCCTGTGTGAGCTCAGCCTCAGGGTCAGACACTTGTCTCCTCTGACGCCATGCCACAAAATCATCTGGCCGCACAAGTATGGCGCCTCGAGACGAAATGCCTGCAGCAGTTTCGAGTTTACCTTTTGGGCTGACAAGACCGCCTTCGGGACCAGCACAAAATGCGGCAATGTCGATGCCCATAGCAGAAGACACCCCATTTGCTGCTTCCACCCACGACGTGCCGTCTGCTCCAGCAAGTAACAAGAAGTTCTTGCCACATAAATCGAGGGTTGAAACACGTTTGCCCTGATGCTCAACCCATAAATGAGGGATCCTGCTTCCAGGCCTCCCATCAATCGAAAGTGCCAGGCTAGGCAAAGTCCATGGTCTCCAGGTCAATCCTCCTAGCGGAGAAGTGTCCTCCGCGCAGATTGCCTTACTTGCATAACAATATCCGTGACCGGAAAGCAAACGAAAGCCTTTGAGGAGGACAAGGGGTAAGGTGAACGATCCCTTTGTTGATATGATTCCATCCTCATCAGCCAGACTCGCAGAAAACTCAGCCGCCGCTCTCCCCACAGATATCCGCTCTATATCGTATGTCTCTAGCAAAGATTTGGTCGCATGCCCTTGCAAAACTGCAGCAAGCTTCCAGGCAAGGTTGTGGACGTCTGCGATGCCTGTATTTGCCCCCTGGCCCCCCCCATGGCGGCATCTGGTGTGCCGCGTCACCTGCAAGGAAGATACGACGATGTTGCAGTTGCTCCGCAATTCGTACGGAGGGCTTCCAGGGAAGGATGCTCTTGATATCAATCTCAATGTCGGGTATCCCTAACGCGAGGTGCAACAGCTCTTTACATTTTTCGGGTGGAAAGTCTGAAGGCTGCTCGCCTTTTGACGGGTCAAATAAAAGATGGAAGACCCAACAATCACTGTTATTGATTGATGTGATTAGGCCAGTAACTTCGGGGCGTTCGACCTTACAGAGAGAAAATTCGCGCCCGTGGACAAGAGACGTGAGGTCGGCGTGAAAGAGGATGTTGAGCAAATAGCCCAGTGTCCCCTTCCCCGTCGTTGGAACCCCGAGACGAGTGCGAATCGGACTCTCTGCTCCATCAGCAGCGATGAGATAATGCGCTCGAATAGTCGAAATGGCCCCGGTCTTCCGATCCTTCAAAACAGCGGTGACGCTATCTTCATCTTGCTCGACACCGACACATTCCGTATCGAATCTCACATCAACCCCGCGCCCTTGTGCAACGTCCACAAGAACTGGTTCGATCATATCTTGAGTGACAAATGTTCCGCTCACTGGACCCAATGGCGTAAGACATCCAGCCCAGGGGAGATTCCTAATTGCCCCTGATCGTGATTTGGGTTCAATGATATCCTTCAGAGAAGCCCCACTATAAATGCCCTTGCTGGGTGACAATGAGGCACCAGCTTCGCGGACAAGCTCCTCGATTCCGAGCCGACGATAGAGCTCCATAGTTCGTGCGTTGACGCTTCGCGCACGGGGATGGATGGATGTTCCTTTGTGGCGCTCAACGACCATGGAATGTATGCCATGGCGAGAGAGAAAATTGGAGGCAGAAAGGCCGACAATGCCACCGCCAATGATTATGACCGGGACATTTGGTTCAGAGGATATCTTGGGGTATGGAAGTGTAAAAGGCCCAAATCTCATCGAAGATCTTCTCTTCTTTGTGTCGCAATGGCGTTGGCAATGGTGAAACGGACACCTCGAGAGTACCACATCCTTATAAGGAGGCGTTGCAATGGGCGGGGATGAGGTTTGCTTGCCATGTAGACCGTAATTGAAGTTTATCAGGCCCCAGCGGTAAAAGGTTCATGATTCAACTGTGACAACTTCTATTTGACTTTGCACACTGGGGCCCGAGGTTCACCTCATCGGCCCCGAAATCACCTCCGCTAGCAGTGCTGTGAACCTGCGCTTTTTTGGTTACATATTGTTTTGCTAGGGAGCACTTACTGACGTTCTAAGCCCTCATTGGAAACATTTCGAATGCTGTTCTCGGTGGAGAACCTTATGGAACGAAGCCTGTGGCCTGTGTCTCTGGCTGCAGTACAGAATCCGGGTCAATGTACAGAACACATGGGGATCATTGCAAGGCTGACGAGGCTGTGAGGAAAGCAGCAGGCAACCATGTCTTATCAAGGACCGAAGAGGCAGCTAGCAATTTCATCTCGCCTAGCCATGGTAACTAACTGATCCTATGGTCTAGCTGGACCTTAAGAATATATGGACGTTGATGCCAGCCAGGCAACTGAACGGCGAAAGAGCTTTGACTTGACGAGACGGTTTCCTGCAACTGCCTGTCGAGGAATTCAGCCAAGTGAGAAGTTGGTCGAGCAATCTCATTGCAGTAAGGGCGCCGCCTCTCTCGTCATATCGGTCGGTCAAGCGGCCCAAAGGACACGACGTCGTCCCGAGCAGAATTGACTTCCACGGAAGAGGTTGAGACGGGTATACGCCGACAAGAGAACGGAGTCGCATTTCGGCTTGCGGTAGCTATACAAGCAGAGTACAGCCTTGGGCATTCAACCAGTTTTAACTCTGCGCATGACAGAGTCACTTGTGAACTGAGGATATTAGGAATAAGCTGATCCGTTAATCGGCTAGAAATTGCATGCACCCATTGTTCTTGATCGTCTGATGAGATTATGCATGCTGCCAATCATAAGAAACGAGTTGAGACTCCACCTCAGGACGAATCTTCAACTGATGAGCTCGCAGACGATGAGGGCTGAAGGTAGTGAAACAATCAGGATGAGCTCCGAGGTGCTTCTTCAGGTTAATCTTCCATACGCCGCCTTCACGGCATCCTCACATGTATTAGCTGGACTTGGTAGCGGCATGGTACAGATTTGTTCTGTGAGGTGCATACATCCGAAAGACGTGGCTTTCGAGATGCAAACCAGGAGATACATAGCTGATCGTGGCTGATAGATCGTATTGATCGTAGCATTAAAAGTGCGGAGACGAAGCTTTGCTCCACTGTATTGCGCCTTACCGCAACAGGCAATAAACCCACCTTCGCCTTGTGGAGTAAATTCTGGCTGCAAATGTCGAGGCACTTGAGCACCGCCTCCAAAAAAAAAAAAAAACCTGGAAACGGAGAAATCGACGTCTTCCCAACTGCACAAATTCCCACACCGCAGCCTGATAAAACCGTGATATTTTCTAACATGGCGAAGAAGAGCAAGCTTCTGGCTGCTCTAGATACTCACAGAGGGCGAGACTACCAGGTAGAGAAAAGAAAAGCACAAGTGAAAGCCGCCGAGAAACGGAAAAGACAGAAACTAGAGACGGCAAAACATGGAGACGATGAGCAGGAGCTGGCCAGTGGTGAGGAGGCTACGGCGGTCGGGAAGGCGAAACAAGAGAAAGGACAACCGCCTCATAAAGATGATTTTGCCCAGTTTGCTGAGGAGGGTAGTGGAGCAGACAACGAAGCGCGCGCAGATGATCAGAACGAGACGAACGTCAATGTATCCAGTGGTGATTTCGCTCCCACAATCCCACAACCACCTCAACCCATCGACGCCTCGGCCTCGGAAGCAGAGAATGAGTCCGACGTACCCGTCTCCGACCTCGAAGATTCTGATTTAGAAGACACGATTCCTTACCAAAAGATGACCATCAATAACGGCCCTGCCCTACTCGCCTCGTGCAAGCGCATCTCTCTCATAAAAGCTCCCAAATTTACGCCGTTTCATTACCATAACTCCTTGGTCTCAGATCTTCCGCCCACCTCACAATCCGTCCCCGACTCCAACGACGACCTCACGCGCGAACTAGAATTCTACCGCATTGCCCGCACGGCAGTTATCGGCGCACGAGACCTCCTTCTCTCCGAGAAAGTCGCCTTCTCCCGTCCGACGGACTATTTTGCAGAGATGGTGAAGAGTGATGAACACATGGGCCGTGTAAAGCAGAAGATGTACGATGAAGCCGCGAACAAGAAAGCAGCAGAGGAGGCGCGCAAATTGAGGGATGCGAAGAAGTTCGGGAAGGCGGTCCAGGTTGCAAAAGAACAGGAGAGAGCGAGGGAGAAAAGAAACACATTGGAGAAGATCAAGGAGTTGAAGAGAAGTAAGTCTATCCCATTCCACTGGATGCTTGATCGTTTGTGTTGCTAACACATTTCTGTTCCGTAGAACGCAAGGGCGCCGACACCGGCAAAGTGACCGAAGGCAATCTGGACGACGACCTCTTCCAGAGCATCGACGTCGAAAAGCCAGCTGGGAAAGATCGGGCAGGCCGTGATCGGGGTCTCGGGAGCGGACCCAGTCCAAAGAGACAGAAGCGCGATCAGAAATATGGCTTTGGTGGTAAGAAACGGCATGCAAAGAGTGGCGACGCGATCAGCAGCGCAGATATGCGTGGGTTTTCGACAGCTAGGATGAAAGGCAAGGGAGGGAAGGTGAAGGCAAAGAGGCTAGGAAAGAGCAAGAGGATGGCTGCCCGGTGAAAGCTTGACGTGAGACGACATGGGAAAAAAACACCAGGGGAAAAAAACTATTAAACTGGGTTGCATTCTCTAAAAAGAGAAACAAGGCTATATCAAAAGCACAAGGGGTATCACAGTCACGCACGCACAGACAAAATGCAAGACCCCTAACCCACGGACCCGAAACGCCTTCACCAGATGCTTGCCACGAAAGCTCCAGTTATGCTACTCAAACAACCCACTGGCCCAGAAATTCTTTCAGATGACCCGTCTGATGTTGCCGACCAACTCGCTTCGCCTCCTGAGCAACCAAATCGAGCATTTCTTGCGCTTCTGGTCCAGGCGGGAGCTCCGGCAACGCGTCAGGATCCGGATGGCCATTGAGTTGTCGACTGGGACTATCGTCGCGACTGCACCCTGAATCTACCATAGCTTCCCTCATCCTACTGGGCGGCAAAGGACCAGCTTGCCGTCGAGCTACCGGTGCTGAAACGGGGACATCACTCATATCTTCGTCCTCATCATCCACAACACCTCTTGCACGCTTGTGTGATTTGCTAGCCCCACTAGGACGAAGCACAGACTTCATTCGGTGCCGCTGAGGTTTTTCTTCGCCGGGTTTGCGAGGTGTCTTCATGGTCTCATCTGCTACCACATCGGCGAGTGTGGCTTCCAACTCATCGTATATTCTCCGAGTAGACCAATTGAATTTCTTCCGGAGTTTTGCTTCGTTCATTAGCTTGAGTAAGGGTTCTGCTGAGCGCTCAAAGGCAGCCACTGCATCTTCATGCGATCCCTCGAACGAAGGCAATTTTTGTAGCTCCGTGGCGGCTTCATCAATTCCACAGTGTCTCATGTTGAAGTTGGCTGACTTTCGAAGGATATTCAGCATATCCCATATAGGTTTGGTCCAGTCGATGGGCTCCGGCTTGGTTTCGGTCGCACTGCTAGAGGCAACCTCGGAATTAGCCTCCGATTCGTCTCCCTCAGATCCTTCTGACGTGCCCTCTCTTTCCTGGTGCGGCCCTTCATCTGCGTCTTTATCATCATCATCATCATCATCATCATCATCATCATCATCTTCTTCTTCTTCTTCTTCTTCTTCTTCTTCTTCCTCTTCCTCCTCTGAATCGGACGCCTCTGGCAGACTAGTCTGAGTGACTCTTGCCAAAGCCGCCTTCAAATCCTCCAGTTCGTCGGCGTACGTCTCAGCTAAATGTTTCCAGAGGTATGTCTGGGACCAATCGATCCCCTCTCGCTCTTCTACCATCTGCTTCAGAAGAAAGCGGTGATGTTTATGGATCGTCTCCATGGCCTCGTCGTCATCGTTTATTCTATAACCCGTGTGCTTCTGGTATGCGGTGAGAAATGGGTCGATCAAGAACCCAACCCGCTGACGTTTCTGTACAAGCTTCTGGTGCTGATCGACCATGAAATAGAATAAATCAATAGCCTCCAATGTGTCGTTATAGTAACTCAGATAGCGATCCGAGGGTGAAATCTCGTACCAGCCTGCCTTCCCTGCAGCCCAGATGACAGGCTTCCCATTGTCGTCTTGACCAAAGCTGTAATTCGTAACGTGGTCGATCTTTATTCGTGCATAGAGCGGTTCCTCTATCAAGGCTAGTCGGTATTGTCAGCATACCCTGGGAGTGAGGCGTCGCATTTCGCATACCAAGATGTTCCTGGTCGTCGTCCAAAGGCATCAATTCTCCTACCACACACAGTGGTGTCTCTTCCGAGGCCTGCAGCAGGTCTGCATATCGGCCCTTCCCTTGGTAAAAGATTTTTGCCTCTCGCAATGCAAAATCCGGCCAGTCATTGACATCATCGGGGACGGGGTCGAGGGGTTTTAGAACTCGTTCTTCCGGTAGGGTGGACATGTCCAAACGTGAGGTGTGAGGTTCATGCTGTGGATGAGGGGTTGCGCTATAGAGCTGGCAAGGCACGGGGTCTAGCCGTCATCTCGCAGTTGATCGTCACTGGATGGATCAGACAGGATTGATGGTGCACTTTTTACCCGTGGGAGGGAAGGTAGAGAGGCCAAGAGGGGTACCAGAAACGAGCGACGCGCATGATGGTGAGCAAGGAGAAGGGAGGCTGGAGGCTGCAGGCTTGCACCTCGTAGTGGGAGGACCATGGGCAAGGGACCTCAGGGCTCTAGTTGGCTGTGCTAGAATTTAGCTCTTGGGGCTCACGTGGGGCCCCACTCACTGTCTCGCTGTTTTGATGAGCCTTCTGAAGGCTATTCTCGAAGGCTAGGGGGGCTTGGGGGGCTGCGCAACTTTCAGTGCTTTGCCGGAAAACATCACCCCGTTTATTGGCAATACATGTGCGGTGCTTCGATCTGACAATCTTTCTCTATTGCATGAGGCCATCTTTCATCCTGAAGATGGCCCAGCCATCAGGAAAGATCCTCGAGGGTGTCTTTGGTGAGGCCAATTCCTCTCCCAAGACTGTTATTTCTCTCGCGTCCATGCCCTAACTGGTCTCCATGTTTATTAGCCATCAGCAAGCCTCCAAGCATCTCTTCTGCCCAAGTCCTTCGAGATCTGCAGCACAAATTTGCGGAGTCCAAGACGTTTGCACCCTTACTTAACCGGACAAGAAAAGCCCAGGAAGAACAAGAGCGGCATCAACCAAAGCGCCGCAAAAGGAGCAATGATCAGATATTCAAAATGGGCCATGGAGGCACACTGGACCCACTGGCAACAGGTGTCTTGATTGTTGGAATTGGTAGAGGGTCCAAGTCACTCTCTGACTTCCTTGCCTGCAAGAAGACCTATGAGACGGTTGTTTTATTTGGGAAAAGCACCGACACATACGATGTCATGGGGAAAGTAGTGGCAGAGGCTTCGACCGAAGGCATTACCCAGAAGCTTGTCGAAGACAGATTGGCGCAGTTCCGGGGCAAGATGAAGCAAATCCCGCCGATTTACAGCGCAATCAAGATTGATGGCATGAAGCTGTACGAATATGCTCGAAGCGGCAGGGAGTTACCCAGAGAGTTAGAAAGTCGGGATATTGAGATCTCCGACTGCACATTGCTTGAATTCTATGGCTCTGGAGAGCATGACTTCAGGTGGCCAGCAGAGCAAGCGAGCGACGAAGACAAAGCTGTGGCTCGAAAGCTGATGCCCGGTGCTGAGTCCACCAAGAGGTTCATGGAGCAAGAAGCGGCAGCCACCAGTCCCAAAAGCCCTCCTCATGAGAGGTTCCGAGAACAGCGCGAAAGCAACCATCTTCCCCCTGCCAAAAAGGCCGAACTGCATACCCACTATCTCCCGATACAGGAGGCTCAACCTGCCAATGCCCCGGCGGCCCGAATACGTCTGACTGTGAGTAGTGGTTTCTACGTGCGTTCATTTGCACATGACCTCGGTGTCGCTTGCAGCTCCTATGGGACGATGGCTGCCTTGGTTCGAAGCAAACAAGGCGACTACACCAATATCGACCCTACTCCAGAGGGCCTCGTTCCTGCACTCACATACGACGATCTGGAAGCTGGGGAGGATATATGGGGTCCGAAAATCGCTGACGTACTGACTAAATGGGTGGATTCTCATCCAGCCGCTTCCAACGAGAATAGGACTGATAATCGAGATCGATCAGATAGAGATTATCGTCACAAGGGGTTCAAGAATAGTCGGTGGAGAGAAACCGGCTCGAAGAGGACTTGGACCGGTCCGAGAGGTTGGGAAGGTTCAAATCGACCCCGGCGGCGCAACAGCTCGTCACCTGAGACTTGACCTGTTGTTCTGGACAGAGTCAAAGTCAATAGGACTGTCTGTTGGCGCGATAGCCTTGATAGCACGGGGAGAGCTTAAATGAAAAGCAAATGGCACGGTTAGACGTCAGACGAGACGGTATCGGTAGCAAACATAATGTCCTTTTGCTTCTCGGTCGAAGGTGGCCTTCATTGACAAATGGTATTCAGCTTACCTTGGAGATAGTGGTGCTCTATCCTTTATCGATATAATCAGCTATATTTGACACGGCGGCCACTTCGTCACGGTTGAGGACTCTTCCACTACATTAGATACAAGTGTCCATTCTAGAGGTCAGACTGTGCCACTTGTGTTTGCACTGGGCTCGGGGGGGTTTGAACCGGAATGTTGGCGATATGGTGGCCAATGCGAGCTCTACCTGGATCTATTAAATGAGAATATTTGCACCCATCTCCAGAAGCAACCAGTTGGAGTAATAGTATTAATACTCGAGACACTCTTGTATATCCTAGTTGGGAACTCCCTGGCGGCCCTTCTGCGCCTAAATGGCACCAATTACGTAGGCCAAGGCCCTCCGGGGAGGCCTGCCGATCTATTCCCTTTTTGCCGGGGCCAGGCGATCAGGCAGAGCGGAAAAAACTCATGCAGGTACGAAGTGCGCCTCACCCTCACCAAGCCTCACCTCGCATTCTTTGCAGATTCTCTTACCCACTCCACCCACTCTCTCAGTCGTGTGCCTGTAATCTTCTCCCTTTCATTACTTCCTGGTGCCGTCGCACACCTGCTCTGCATATGTTATGTCGACATAATCTCGTCCACGCTCCTTTGCTGACATTTATCCTGACACCTTTGTCTCAGCCCACTGTCGTCATTCAGCATGGGGTCCCTGCCTGCCGAGTCTCGACCCTTGTCGTTCGCTGCTCTGAAGGCCAGAAAAGCCCCTCTCAAGATTGCCACCAAAGTCGTCACTGTAAATTCAAGTGCGAAGCCGACCGCAAAACCTCCACCTCCACCATCTGTCTCTTCCTCCAAGCCTGCGGCCTCCCAGAAACCGCTCAACAACGGACATTCCCGTACCACGCGTACGCCTCGGAAGTCGAGCACTCCAGTTTCGGTCCATTCAAGGCAAGGCAGTGGAGAGCCGATAGAGCGGATAAAAAAGGAGAGACAAAGTAGGACAAAGCGAGCATCTCCTGCTGTGTCAACGCCAAGATTGACCAGCTCTGATGAAGAGAGCGAAGAGGACGACCACAAGCCTAGAAAGCGAATCCGCCTCGATCGCAAAGAGAGTATAGACGAGAAGCGCAAAGTTAGGGATCACAAAGCATTCTCTCAAGAAGATGGCAATGGCTTTCACATGGTGCACGCATTCGACATCGCGAATACCACCCTTGTGGAACATGGTCGAGACAAGTACGAAGCATTCTTCACAGCCCTAGAGGGGGACGAAGATGAATGCCCCATGATTGAACTGCAGTATCCGACTTCTCTGCAGAGCGAGAAATACCAGTTGGTCAAGCCTGCAGACTCTTCCGATTTTAAACCTCTTGATGAAATCGAGGCAACCATGAAGATCGTGGCGGAATACTATCTCGATGGCGAATCCGCAGAGAAAGTCACCAGTGACGACGGCTCGGGCCTGGTACAACAATTGCACCGGCAAGCCTTGCTTGGGATGAGAGGACGTGTTGGAGCCCAGTCAAAATACGTCCACGTGGTGGAGAAATTCAATACGTTGGTGGCCGACAAGCGCAGGGACGGAACAATCGCAAAGAAACTGGATCAGATGCGCCGTGTCGATCTCAGGCTAGTGGAGCACATCATCAAAAATCAAATCTACGCTCGGACAGTGTCGCCTCAAGTCAACCTGGTGAGACATTACGAAAGCTTCTCTGACAATGTCTATGGTGAACTATTACCTAAGTTTCTCAGCCGCATATTCAAGGAGACAAATCTCAAGTCCGATCAGGTATTTATAGATCTCGGATCGGGCGTTGGTAATTGTGTGCTTCAAGCCGCCTTGGAAACCGGAGCCGAATCATGGGGCTGTGAAGTCATGGACAATCCCAACACATTGGCCCAGCTCCAGGCTGACGAGTTCCCAGCTCGATGCCGCCTCTGGGGAATCAAACCTGGTGAAGTCCACCTCATTCACGGCAATTTCTTGACCAACGAACAAGTCCGGCAAGTCCTCAAACGAGCGGACGTCATTCTGGTCAACAACCAAGCCTTCACGGCCGAGTTGAATGACAAGCTCAAGTACGTTTTCCTCGATTTAAAGGAAGGATGCCACATCGTCAGCCTGAAACCCTTCCGGTCTCCAGCGCACAAGATCAAAGATTCAAACGTGAATGATCCTGTCAATGTGTTGACAGTCGTGGAGAAGGAGAGGTGGAGCTCTATGGTCAGCTGGACCGATGATCCGGGGAATTGGTACCATCATCGCAAAGATTCCAGGGAGTTGAACGCCTTTGTGGAGAGTATGGGAGGGTTTGAAAACTGCTAGAGGCGAACTATTCCCCGGCGGCTTCGACGGGCTATTGCTTGGTGGAGTGCATGAATCGGCATTTGGGGCGGTCATTCGCTTTATTTGGGTTGAAATGACTTGATGACACTATGCATAGCGTCGGGTTATTGACAGCACAATGCTTCGGGCAATCTTGGGATGAAAAGAAGATACTCCTAGATGTGATTCATAAGGGCCAGGTGCCATTGTATATCTTGGAATTAATGAAACTCTCGCTCAATGAGTCTACTCTTCTGGCCATCGCGCTGTGTGTCATCCACAAGTCAGTGACTCGGACCCAACTGGGAAAGATGTTAAGGGAAAGGTGTCTTGATGTGACCTACCCTTTAATAGGCTCTTTGTGGATATTCTGGACAGGCCAGGGTTGAGGTTGATCCTGCCCTTTGCCCGATTCGTGGCTTCAATACCACCAGTCTTCGAGATCTGAGTTTTGTCGCACGAAGCAGGCCAGTCGAAAGAGAGGGGGAAAAAGAGCCCTCTCATGCTGCTCGTATCCTTGAGGGCTGTGCTGACGATGCTATGCAGTCTTTTCCGCCTCTCGCCGAGCTCCAAAGCTAAGCCAGAGCGAATACGGAAAGCAGAATCTCATCTCATCCAAACTTCCCCTCTTCATTCATCTTATCGGCCTCCCTGCCCTTGCTCGTCATCCATCGATCGACGAGGTCCTGATTGTCCTTCTTCAACTTCTGCGACTTTTCCTCCGCCATGTTGAGCTGTAGAGTCAGTGTGACGTTCTCGTCCTGGACGCTCTCTATCAACTTGGCTTTGCCACGTAGTTCTTCGTCGCGGTCTCTCAACTTGATCGTTAATTGCGAGACGGACGCATTGAGTTGTGTGATGCGCTTGCTGTCGGCTTTGGCCTTTCCTTTCAAGGTCTCGAGCTCGCGGAGCGCCGTTTCCAGGCGGAATTGCAAGTCGGCACGCTCGGTCTGGGCTTTGGAAAGATCCTGCCTCAGTTGGGCGAGGGTAGACGCTGTACCCGAAGGAGAGTCCGGACGCGTTCCCTGTGTAGACGGGGAGGTGACTCTCCTTATCCCCCATCCAGGAGACGTGACAGGCTCCGGTACCGGCGTGTTCTCCGAAGATGATGCTCTCTCTGCAAGTCTGGCTTTTTTCTGTAACTCGGCCCTCTCATCTGCGAGCTTGGTGCAGTAGTCATAAAGCGCAAGGTTGGCCTTCTCCACATTATCCCGGGCTTGCAAGGCTGCTAGATATTGCTCTCTCCATGTCGCCATGATTGACCGCTCATTTAACGCGAATCATTCTGGAGTCGATCTATCTATTGAAAGAATGAGGTTAGGCAAAAGAGTGAACGTAGTTGGAATGAGACGAGAAATCCACAGGTAAAAAATACATCCAGCGTTGATTCACACGAATGACAAAAGAACATGGCGGCAGGTGGACCGCCTTTGACTGCCTCGCTGCCTAGACGTCTGACAAGGTCGCAAGGTATTCCGTCGTCGGCTGACCTTCCTTATTCCCGAGACGCTTGTTTGAAACCCGTGGGCCGCCAAATCCATCTCGCTGTGTCTGAGGCTGGAGATGGAGAAGCGGCAGTGGCTATGACGGCTGCTGGACCACCATCCCGGATCGAACTTGTCGCTGCCCTTCCATCCTCTCCATCCTACGCCCCGACTTCACAGGCTTCAAACACCACCTCCAAACTCCGCCTCTCGGTTGCCTTCAGAGTCATACGACTGAAAGCGCAGGCATCAGCGCCATCCTCTCTACCTCGGAAACTACCATCGACCTATCGCGTGACTCTCCAGCGGAGAACTGCCACTCAGATCGACGCCATAAATCGAATCAAGCCACCCCAGCAGCTTCCGTGACACCAGCAAAAGGCTTCTCCTGTTCTTGGAGTGCATAGGGGCGGCGCAAGTCACAAACCGTCAAGAATAGCCATGGCGTCGAGGAAGAAGGTGTTGTTGAAGGTAATGATAGCCGCGCAGCTCGTTATCGCATACCGATGCACGCAACTGACCATGGCCTTGCGCAGGTCATCATTCTAGGCGACAGCGGTGTGGGCAAGACCAGTTTAATGAACCAATATGTACGGCTCTCTCTATATCCCTACTCGATATTTATTCTCGAATGTGGCCTTCTGACTGTTCCACAGGTGAACAAGAAATTCTCCACCTCGTACAAAGCCACCATTGGCGCCGACTTCCTCACCAAGGAAGTCACCGTCGACGATCGAATCGTGACCCTCCAGATCTGGGATACCGCCGGTCAAGAACGGTTTCAGTCGTTAGGCGTTGCGTTCTACAGGGGAGCAGATTGTTGCGTCCTCGTCTACGACGTCAACTCTGCAAAGTCATTCGAAACCCTCGACTCCTGGCGCGATGAATTCCTCATCCAAGCTTCTCCCCGCGACCCCGAATCTTTCCCCTTCGTGGTATTGGGGAATAAGATCGACCTGGGCGAAGACAGAAGAATGGTTTCGCAAAAGAGAGCACATGCTTACTGCCAGAGTCGCGGGCAAATGCCGTACTTTGAGACCAGCGCAAAGGAGAGTATCAATGTGGAACAGGCGTTTGAAGTTATTGCCAGGAACGCGCTGACACAGGAGGAAAGTGAGGAATATGGTGGTGACTTTTCGGATCCGATCAACATCAATCTTGATCAGGAGAGAGATGGATGTGCTTGTTAGAGGGATGATTTGCTGGGCACAGATCTGACTGGCTTCCGGTGGATAGCTTGGAGGGAGTGATGTCGGATTGCATGATTTGTTGCATAAGTTGAACTATGGGTATCACGCCGTTGGTTCGGGACGCTCTCTTTGACAAGGCCCTTCCCATCCGTGGGAAAACGAGAGTCACCATGGAATCTGGGGCACAAAGAAGGGAAAGCATGGCAGAATCTCTCGAGGCTCCACCCACTCGAATGCCACCCACAGCATCGGGTGTACTGGGTGGGGGGGTTTTTCGGAGGGGGCATTTCTATACTTGTTTCTATGGTTCGCACGGCCTTTGGTGCTCGAGTCGGGTTCAAGGTCCGTGGCGCAAGCGGGTCGGGATAGCGTGTACAGATATATACAGACTACAGCAGCAATTAAATGTTGACCAATGCATGCTATCACCCCCTGCCGATCAACCGACTGCGACACCCGTATACAAAGTTACACAGTCGTGTATGTGTAGGGGACCCAAGAACTCGAATCTACAGTCAAGGTACGGTGAATTTTGTCTGAATTACGACTATGTGTAGTAGCTAGGTCAGGTTCAAGCGCGTCCACCCGTGCTTTTGGGAGGAGGGAAGGGCGGGAGATCAATCTGCCTATGCTCAAGCCCACACCCATACCCACGGGACAGCTCATCCTTTCCCGCTTTGCAAACCAAAGCCAAGAGAAGACGAAGAACAGTGCTAGAACACAATGCATGGAATCTGCCGTAGGTGCCCGACGGTCAACGTGAACACTTTGTTGGCATGACACTGAAGATGGAATTTGGGAAAAGCCCTCATTAGCAAAGAGCAGACAAGACAGACGGACGGACAGACTCCTCCTGCCTTTCCCCCCTTCCCCCGTTCCCTTGCAAATTGAACAATCCCTGGAAACTCGCTGTGATCGATTTGCATTCACAAAAACATTGGACTTGAAAACTTTTTATGGTCGCGTGCTCCATTGCTGATTCCTTTTCAGCATTTCTATAACGTCCTTCCTCACACTTGTGCCTCTCTTCCGCTCTTCCCACATGACTCGTTCCGGCTTCCCCAATCTCATCTTAGAAAGACACCACACGCAGAAGAATAATGGAACGAAGTCGCAGATATCCGGGTTCAAATTTGGGGATTTTCCCTTTTTTTTTTGGAGTGCGCTGCAGTTCGGTCGCCGGATCTGCAAGCAAGGCTGATTTTTTCTGTTGTGGTGAGGGAAACAAGAGGAGCTTGAAAATTGTGTTTGTCAAGATTAGACATGAAACAGGAGACAGTAATAAACTCCACCCGCAGCAATGCCCGGTCATAAGAGTCGTGGATTGGAAACAACATGCGCGTTGTGTCTTGCCGAACGTCGTCGGATGGCAACATAAGCAAATCACCGATCGCTCCTCCAGTCCTTTGAAGATCCCACACGCAAGAAAAACCTATCCAGTAAAAGATTTTTAGGGGTTGGTGAGAAAGCAAAAGAGTCTTCAGGTTCGTGCAACAGTCAAGTCGGGAGCGAGGAAAAGGAAATCGTCAGAAGCTGTCGATAGGATCGTTGACAAAAGGTGGTTTTGTTGATGGTGCTCGCCCCTTGAAGATGACATTTGGTCAAATTGCCGCTGTTGGAACAAAGTATATCCTTCTCCCTGTGCCATTTCTACCATGCCCAGATTTTGAGCTGAGAATTGTGCGTCAGTCGAGTTCTGCATATTGCCCAAAGACTGAAGGGTTGCTTACTAGGGAATCCCATGAGCCAGTACATAAACTGATTCCATCGTTGCTAACACCAAGGCAACTGACTCGGTTTTCGTGGCCATTCAAAGAGCCGACCTTATCACCACGCAAAGTATCCCAGACCTAGGAATGCCATCAGTTGTGAAAGGAACATTGGAAATCAGATCGCACAAACCTTGCATTCAAAGTCATCATACCCTGCGAAGAGCAGCCGGCCAGAAACCGAGAAAGCGACGGAAGTGATGCCGCAGAGCACTTGTTCATTCTGTGCAGAATGTCAGCCAATGTACAGTAGCAAGATGCTGATGGTGAGCCAAAAAGGTACCTGATAAGACATTAGTTCTCGATCTGCCCGAATGTCGAACAGCCTGCAGGAGGCATCGTCTGAGCCAGTTCCGAAAGCATTTCCATCGGGGAAAAATTGAATGGCGTTAATGTCAGATTCGTGTCCGGCAAATGTTTGGACGGCCTTTCCAGTTCGAACGTCCCATAATTTGGCAAAGGCGTCGCAGGCGCCACTCACGAAAATGTTAGCGTTGGTCGGGTTTATGCTGATGCTCATCACGTCGCCCAAGTGATCGGCGAACTCGGTGACCTTGGAGCCCGTCTCAATATCCCACATCATGCAGGTCATGTCACCAGAAGAGGTAATGATTTTTCGGTCATTGACAAAACGACAGCAGGACAGGTATCCAGAGTGACCAGAGAGCTCGCGAGCCACACGCGTGGGGCCTTCCCTTGTAGAAAGGTTGTAAATTGAACAAATGTTGTCAAGACCACCACAGGCAACGTAATTGCCGCTAGGAGCGTATGCGCAGGTCATGACCCACGAGGAACGAAGGGGAATGGCGTGCACCTTGTTAGTGGTGTAGGCATCCCAGATAATGAGCTTGCCATCCTGCGATGCGGACACCAGGTGCCTGCGATCTGTTGACCAGTGCATAGCATAGATCTTTGCAAGATGGCCCTTGAGATTTCTTCGAGGCTTCATGCCTATCCGAGGTAGGGCTTCGGTGTTGTTGAGGGCGACTTGTCGCACTGCAGAGACGCGATTGATTAGCAATCCTGAAGAGGTTGGCAGATAGCTACGCATCAAAGCATCTTGAGGTAGGGCTCTCGATCGACTTACAGCTTGTATCAGCCAAGTCATCCTTCTTGCGCTTAATTCTGTCTTTCAGGCCCTCTGCTTCTCTTCTCGCGGCTGTGATTTTGGCCTGCATCTGCTCTCCTGTCAAGTCGGTCGACATTGGGCCGATTGGGGTCCGCGTCGGACCAGAGGACGTGGGAGTTCGCAAGTAAGTCACAGATTAGAAGCTCAGCCTCGCCAGAGCGACGCGCACAGCAGAATAGATGTATATTCAGTGTCGAGACACGGTGGGCGATGGACGAGCGCAGGAGCTCAAACGAGCGAGATATCAGGGATGAGGTGGATAAATTGCTGGGGGGGGGCCACAAGAGCTGCGATTGGGGGAATTCGGGATCGCGGGAGAGTGCAGAGAGGACCGACGACGAGAGGGAGGTAAAGTCGGTTGGGAATTCTCAAAGAAGGAGACGAAGCAATTGACTGCCTGCAGAGCGGCGAAAGTCGTCGACGAGGTGGCCAGAAGTCGAGGGCTTGATGATGGTGGTGGTGGTGGTGGTGGTGGTGAGGTCGGGTCACAGAATTGAAAAGGGCAGTCTTGGGGGAAGGCGTTGCAAAAGGAATGGAGGCCAGAGTTGGAAGGTCCGGGTCTGGCTTCTTGGGGCTCGGGGGCGCCTTTGACTGTTGCTTCTTGGTGTCTGGTTCGTTAAACTCCAAGTGGGGACCGTTTTGGTTCGGGGGGTTGGTCCCCCCTGTTCTTTTCCTACTGCGGTCAGTCTCAATTGGCGAACTCAAGGGCAGGGATTTAGCTGTCCCGGGAGCAGGGAGGGGGGCGGCTTGGACTCTTGGGGTCCTGCTACAGTGACCAAGGGATACACACTCCACGATCTTCAAACATCAACCAACCCATCACCACTACCTCGTATGCCATCACCCAACCTCGGGTCAGGTGCCCACCATCTTCGGTTCTACAAGTTACAGATCGTCGCTGTCACTGCATGTACCTCGTACCGTCCCTTCGATAGAAAACCCCCCTCCTCCGAGTGTACTTGATGGTCTATAATGCAGCAGCTGTGCCAGACCAGATCAGGGACGCAGCACACAGTGAAAAAAGATATGAGAAAAACACGTCAAATTCTCCTAAACGAGATCCTAGCAAACGATAATACCTCCCTTGGCTGCCTCTTAATTACCCAGTACTACTGGCTCTTACCGTGGTCTCGATTGTTGCGTTAGTTCGACATTAAGCTGGCCCCGGGGGAACACTGCCGGGTGGCCCTCAAGCTCCGAAGAGACGCACCGGGCACTCGGTGGGCTCAGCCCAGGGATATGAATTGCCAATCCGACATGCAGAAACCCGCCTGAGAGTTGGGAGCAAAATTGGGAAGCGAGAACAACTCAGGCAAAAGAGAAATTGCCCGGCCGCGTCTAATGTGTGCTAGAGACAAGTTGGTGCAACGCCCGATCCCCCCGTTTTTACGCCTGGTATCCGCTTCTGCAGCAAGGAGGCAGAGATGAGGTACGCCTTCAAATCCGCTGCCAGTCCTCTCATTCAGCCTGGTGGTCTTTTCTCCATACCCAGTACGGTACTACAGGCACTTGGACGCTGATCCTCCCACCCACTATCGGTCCACTAGCTGCACTAGGCTGGGCATTATCCCCACGGGCTTATCGTTGCGTCCACTACGTGCTTGTTCCTGTCAACTCTCATGGCGGCCACCCTGCTACGCCTGCCTTGATGCGCGAGTTGGTCAGGATAATAGTATTTATGACGCCTCGATCGAGGGTCCTTTTTCAACAATGCAGGTGCCCCAGACACCTAATCTGGAGGATCTACAGTGCTGCGTACACTTTTCTGATCCCTCCGTCTCTATCACGAACCACACGTGGTTTTCGCTAATCTAACAATGATGAATTTCATGAGGGTGGGAAAAGGGCTGCCAGCAGTCGATAACGTTGGGAGAAAGGGGGACAAGGAAGGTTGCAATTTGAACCGACAAAGTCCCATCCACAGAGCCAAGCTGCTGCACCAAAGCCCTTCATTCTGCGAGGCGACTCTCTTACGGATGGCAGGTCTTCTGAGACCAGTTGCAGCGAGTCCTGACCATGGAAAGCGGATGCTAACACCTCTGTTCCAGTACTCCGTATTCCATGCAGCAGGCAGCAAACTACCCTGTACATCGCTCTCGTTTGTTGTGAGATCCCGAGTCTTAATCGCAACAAAAGAGTACCCAATAGAATAGCACAGCTCGCCTGATCATTCCAATGCAAATGATGCAAACTCGGCAAACATGGCAAACAACCGTCTGCGGCACCCGTGGCCTTGTGGTACAAGTGGTGTCAGCTCCTGGCACACTGTCTCTGCCGTCTACGTCCAACGCCAGCTATTCCCCCTTTTTCCGATACTGCTCTACTTTTTCCTCCTCTTTATTTTGGTTAATCAATTAGTCTCTACAATGTTTTGGACCATCGGCTGTATTTATGGGGCATCCTCCGTTGTATTTGGCGCGTTTGGAGCCCACGGGCTGAAAAAACACATCAGTGATCCCGCAAGGCTAGCAAACTGGTCGACCGCAGCTCACTATCAGGTAATTTATTGAGCACCGAGGGAGATTTTCCTGATCTCGTTCTGACTGTGTTTCTCCCGCGCAGTTAATTCATAGCGGTGTCCTCCTTCTAACTGCGGCTGCTGCGCCAAAGAACAAGGTTATATTTGCTTGATTCCTGCCTTTGCGAATCTTGTTTTAATCAGGCTCACAGGTTGCTGCTGCACTTTTCACTGCTGGAATGACCATGTTTAGTGGTAGCATCTATCTGCTCGTTCTGGATCCTCAGCGTTTCAAGGCTTTGGGTCCTGTCACCCCCTTGGGAGGCCTGTGCTTAATTGCTGGATGGGGAGCTCTCGCTTTTGGCAGTCGAGGAAGACTCGCTTAGTGAAGCGGCCTGAATACAAAAGGAATTTTTGGGGGTTTATGTATCATCATCTATTTCGGAATTCTCACCTCAATAACACCACCACTACCCACCACTAGTAGCACAATAGTTCTCGCTACATCCACACCATCCTCATCTCATGCCTTTGCAGTCAGCGCCTTTTCCATCTCCAGCAGATTCCTCGCTGTATCTGCGACAGTCGTCTCGAACGGTCGATATGTCACACCCAACTCCTTTTGCGACGACCAATTGTCGATCTTGAAAGAGCCCGCAGGTAAGGCATGCTGACCTGGACGCCCGAGCGGGATCTTCTCATCCAGCTCCGGAAACTCCTTTCTCAAAATATCGCATATCTCCTGGTTGCTATTGCTGCCCGGCGTGACGAGAAATCGACGTCCCCCAACTCCGGGAGCAAATGCAGTCTGGTAATGTGCGAACGACAAGTCCTGCAGGGATAGAGGAATTAGCACGTGTACCACGGCCTCAGAATTCCGTCATGACCTACTCGAACAGCGACATAGACGTGCAAAAAGTCTTCTGGGACTGGAGGACCCCTTTCCAGACGTCATAAATTTCCAAAGAACACCGTTAGATGTATTCAAATCACTCACCGAATCAATGCTATGCCTGAGAGGTCCGTAAACGATGGGCGGGTTGAGGACGACGAGCTCCGAGCTCCGAGCTCAAAGCTCGGTTTCTGGGTCTTCATGAATTCTCACGCTACGAGCGACAAGTCAGTCTCCTTGACAGATGACAGAGATTCATGTATTAAAACTCCTACACTCACCGGCCTGCTCTGCAAAGGTCTTGCTTGCCCAGTACGCCAGTGACAAATCGCCAGAGGTTCCCTCCTCCTTCGCGGCAGACTTCAGTATTTCCGTTGTCCCGTGGATCGCTGGGTTGATGGAATCGGAATGTGTCTTGGCCTCGGTATATTTGAACGGGGAAGCCGCGCGGATAATCACGTCAAGAGGTGGTGCGTCCTTGATGCACTGGTCAAAAGCCCCTGGCGCTGTGATGTCGGGCACTATCGAAAAGTCGAGGCTGGATCTTTCAAAGTCGGGGAAGTCGTTCATGACTCTCTTCGCTTTGGCTTCAGATCTGACTACGGCTTGCACGAAACATGACGTTTCCAAGAAGAGAGAGCGAGAGGAGATGGCTTCTAATGAATCCATTGGCGCCCGTCAACAGAACACGGGGTATGTCCATCTCGAGCTGTTGTGTTGTTTTGATTTAAGGTGTGATATTTGAGATTTGAGATTCGAGGTCTGAACTTCTAAGCCTTGCTTGAACATGAGGCATCCCTTTGAGGTATCGCTCGCCGACTTTATACCTGGATGCCCGTGCTTGAAGCCAAAGATCGCACATGCAAGATCAAGGAGATACGTACTCTGCGTGCCCATGCGTGAAGCAAGACGAGTTACATGTATGGCCAAGCAGATACAGGAAGTTTCGAGGAAATCGATCTTTCCGGACACCATATTCCCAGGACATGGTTTGCTATCGCTAAAAGGGGAAAGCACCTCGACACTCGGCGGCTTCCCGTCGACGGCAGCACTTCCATTCCCATGGCTGAAACGAAGTTATGATGCCACTAACCATGCACTCTGCCCTTGCTCAGTGCTTGACAATACCTACCCAGGTAGGTCACCCCTGTTAGACACGGTAACCGGTGGCACCTGCCAGAAGCTCAAGACGAGCGTACGCGACTGCCGCAGCCTTGCGAAGGTTTCTTTATATCCGCGAACTCCGAGTCGACAAATGAATTCATGTGCGGTTATGCGGCTGTGTGGGTCGGCCTGAACCCTACAGCGAGTAAGAAGGGCCTACCATATAAAGGGCAGTCTCTCCGCATACGTAGAAGACAGCAATCACACTTTTTGGCAAGTAACGCAGGGGGAAGGGGTTGGAAAGGTCCGATGCGGGTTGCTGGATGGGGCGCTTCTTAACCTGCACTGGTTCGCAGGGTTCTCGTATTCAGCCTCGTTGTCTGTGAGGGTGCAGCCAACTTGCAGAGCTCGATAACCGGTCTTGACGAAACGATCACGGTCGACGACATGGTCTGCACAGATCGATTCCACGAAGAACAGAACGATACGTCGACGAAGCGCCCTTAACCAGACTTGCATCCCTTGAGCGTGCATGGTCGAGGCATCGCCTATATGAAGACGAGAAACAGCCCTGTAAATAGCAGAGCCATGGGGTTGCCTGCCAGCAGCAAGCATTACCATCGGAAGATGGTTGTGGACATACCAACTCTTGAGGTGGTTAACGACATCTGGAAGAAGGCTCTACCCCGTTGACCCCGTAAACCATCAGCATGGTTAGAGGCAGGGTTTCGGCTATTGGCCAAATAGCCGCTTCGAAACAACAACCAGTGGGCCAAAAATAGGCCTTCAAGCGAGTTCCATGATTTCGACCTATTAAGATCGAAGGTGCATACTGTTGGACCACGTCATATCCAAAAGTTTTGCGGTCTGTTTGTTTGTCCTCCGCATAGGTTCTAGGGCCCCATTAAAAACATCTCGATGGCTGGAACCAAGCATAGCAAGGGAAGGAGAAACAGACCAATACCCAGTCCGCGGGATGATCCCACAAGGACGGAAGGCCGAGAACATGAAGATCAGGTCCAGACCTGGGGCACATAGCAAAAGTCTAAGAATCCAAACTCTGTCGTTCGTAGCACTGATCACACAACGACCTCTCTTGCCACGAGCGGCAAGGGAGAAAACATTATCAAGCAACGGTACGAGATGAAGAATTAAAAACAAAAGAAAAGGGTCATGTGGCCAGGGGGGCTGGCCTACGGAGAACATACCAGTAGTATGTATAGCCATCTCCGGAACCGATTTGATTGGACGTGGGGCACCCGTTGCCACAATAGCATCAAGGCTCTGCAAGGGCTCTGCAAAGACACCAGAGATTTGTTCTGTCTGACTAATTGCTCGATGTTTGGTGGTTTCCGGAAAAAGGCGAGAAAAGACAACCGTCGAGAACATAGCGAGCCAGATTGTTTTGGCTCTTTTTTACCACAGCATTTTTCCGACTCAACCAAATACATGACTGCCACGGACAATAATTTCGAGGCTGTTGAGGTTGATGTGGTCGTCAACCAGCGCATGATGGATTTCGCCAGATGAAAAGGAAAAAGTCGAAATTCGGATATTATACCACCGTCAGAGATCCCTGCGACATATTAAAGAAAGGGCCAGAGCAATTGGGCATTGGAAGGGGCCCAGTCTCGTAGTAATAAGTAGACGATCGTCTCAAGCGCGACTCCAATTCCATAGCCGGGCGAGGGTTGCCCACAAGATTGCGCCGGTGGAGACACGCAAAATCAGCAAAAAGAGAGCTGTTTGATTTCTGCACAACGGCGAGACGGGGGCACATCATTTGGCAGAAGGGCTTCGCCGCTAATTAATGCTTGAGCATGGACGCCAGGGGGGGGCGAGTAGACCGTGAGGGAGGAGAAGAGGGATGAATGCTCGAGCCCATGGTGGCTGGCAGTGAGGATGCCCAGGCTTTATGTACTTGACTAGGGTTTGTATACGGGCCCAGGAGAGTGGTTAGAGAGCGGTTAGTCTGAAGGTTGCTGCGTGTCGAGAAACGAACTGAACCAAGAGACGACGGTGCCAGGTGAAGGTTGAGCCCGAGACGCTGAGACCAGCCGGACGTGCTCTCCAACAAGGATCAGCCACCGCAGTCAAACCGCGCTGCACTGCGCTGCTCTCGCACCTTGCACCTTGCAACCTTGCAACCCTCACGCTAAATCGACACAGACTACCACCATTACCAAACTTCACTTCACCACCTCCTCTTCCATCATCTATTCTCACCATCCTCACCATCATCACCGACCGCCCTTCCATCTCTCCTGTTCCATCTGCTGCGTCGCCCGCATCTGCTTCTCCTCGCCAGGCTGCTTTTGGTTGTTCCATCCCGGGAGCTGGGCACAATCCTCCAAGCGGCAGATCCCTCGAGTCCTGCCCTGCCTCGCCTCGCCTCACCTCCGCCTCCCGAATTGCGAACTCCGCGTCCTCAAATCCAGCCGCCACACTCTTTACAAATCGTCCCTATACTCGCTATTCGGTTCTCTTCTGCCCGGCCATTGAGCATCAAGAACATTGAACAAAACGGTCCTCTGTATTTGTTAGCTGCCAACATCCACCCCCCGACACCCAGCTCTTGCCCTTTCACGCCCTTCACTGCTCATCGACCCCCGGGTAGACCACACTCTGCCAGTCTCTGTCCCTCTCTTGATGGCTGCTGGTCCTTGAATCCTCTGTGCATAGCCAGCAAAGGTCTCATCCGGTGACGCACTCCCCCTTGACGACAGCTCGGCCCAAGCATCCTGCGCGTGACGGAAGTTGCCACAGCTCGGACGCCCACTGCGCCGTGAGAACAGAACAAATATATTTATCCCATCACAACCACAAGCTACAGACATCAACATATTGCATGGTGGAAAAGCACTGGTCAACATGAGAGAAGTCAACTTCAGCATCCCCAATGTCAACAAGGCCTCCGTCCATATTACCACCACCCTCTACGACCGCCGAGCCCTGGATTGCACCTCGACCCTCCCCCTCATAAACTCCCTCAATCACCTAGCATACCTGACGACTTCTTCTGCGCGTATTCGAGATATTCTTACTGTCGATGGCGGCGTTGAGCGCCTTGTCTGCATATTGAAGGAGGGCCGGAGCAAGGATGAAATGCACATGTGGAAATGGAATCTCGCTTTTCAATGCATCGTAAATATTGGTGTTCGAGGCTCGGAGAATGTACGGACGCGTGTTGTGGAAGCAGATATGGTACCGGTTATTGCGACAATCTTGTGGGACTACATCTTGGTCATCGAAATGGAAAAGGCAAAGGCCGATGCTGAGCAGGAGAAACGCAACGGATCCAAACATTCTGGGGCCTCCAAATCCTCCAAACTGCCGAGAGAATTAACACAAGACCCCGCAGCAAGGACGTCCTTCTTTGAGCACCTGCACGCCGCTACCGACCAACGTTCCAATCGTCGTCAAGCTCCGCCGCCGTCGCTTGATCTACCACAATCTTTCTCGCAAAGCTTTGGCACCGCAGAAACAGGCCCAGCAGAAGGAGGAAGCATCATGCCTCCAAGCGTTTTCACCTCTCCTCCCGAACGGACAGTCTTTCCCCGACGTGATTTGCACCATCACAACCGTGGGCACGAGAGCAGGAACTCCTTTCACAGGTCCCTTAATCTGCAACCACCTGCTACAGCAGTGCCTTCCATGGATACTTCCGATGGGTTTTCCTTGCGGCCTGTTCGGGAGGTGGATAGACTGCCTTCTATGCTCCCACCCCTGAACACAGGCGTCACATCTCATCCCGACTCACCAACTACCCCATCTGCGCCACTCCATCGCGGATTGCTGTCTCCCGTTGATCGCCGCATGAGAAGGCCGTCGATTCGTCATCAGAACTCTACTGGAGAGACCGACGATATGGGCATGGATGATGTGGCTGGTCCCGACGACGAACTCTTGGATCCCGAGGGACCAGCTGAAGGTCGGAGCAGGGTCCAAACTCGGGATCCCAGTCCTCATGATCCTCATGATCCTCACGATCCTCACGATCCTCACGAGATGGATGGCCGACAACCATTGACACTCGCTATCCCTCCACAGCAGGCCCGAGAAATCGACGACAATGTGGATATTGCTCAGCAGACGCCAATCACCGCAGGTATGGGCAATCCCTTGGGCCCTGGAGCTCTTGAGGCAATTGGTGTATCGCCAATTCCTCCTCCGCCTACCACTGCTGCTTCTCCTGCAATCCCGCTTAACGCATATCCAAACTTCTTCCTGAGAAACGCAACTGCCACTGCTACCACAGCCTTGATGCCCCGCGATGAGGATGTTCTAATGGGCTTGCAATTACTTGCTTATATCTCCAAATACTGTTACCTTCGGCATTACTTTCAAGCCACTCATTTGGTTCCCCGGCTCAGAATTGATCGAGAAGTCGAGAAGATCTACGGGCCGATGCGAGGCTGTGCACCTCTTCCAGAACCCACCGAAGATGAGGATGAAGAGTTTCTGCAACCTGACGACTACAATATTTTCCCTCTGGTCGAGAAGTTCACCGTTCGTCACCACTCGAAGGACATGCAATACTGGGCATGCGTAGTCATGCGCAATTTGTGCCGCAAGGACGACGCCCGTGGAGGAATTCGCCAGTGTGCCAACTACAAGTGTGGGAAATGGGAGGAGTACACACGCCAGTTTGCCAAATGTAGGCGCTGCCGCCGGACCAAATACTGCAGCAAAGTACGTCATTTTATCTCAAGCTCGTTGTGACGCGATGCTAACTGCCCTGACTAGGAATGCCAGCGGGAATCGTGGAGCATGCACCGGCACTGGTGCCACCTGGAAAATGCCTATCTCAACCGCCGGCCCAATGCATAAATTGCCTTTTGGAGTTGCATAGCCCTGGAGTATCTGGACCGAGCGTCGTTGGTGTCGGCGTCGTGGAGTTTGTCGATTTTTTCGAGGCACGGACTTTCAGCATCGTTTTCACATTCACCCTTTGGCAAAACACCCAGCACGATTGATGTACAGCGAATCGATATTGTTGAATGAGGTATGCAAGACTTTGAGGGTATATATCATCCATGAATGTAGCAGAGGACGAGGCATTGACACGAAAAATGGACGGGTCCACGACGAAGATGGGCAGCAGAGGTGTTATTTTGGATTGCTGGAGCCTTTGAGCTGTTCTCGTCGAGTCGGGCACCGGCTGGTCCTGTGGAGATTGCTATTGACACACCAAATGTGTAATATGACGAATCGAGTAGTGCACAAAATGATGAACACTGAGATATCAAGTATTGACACCGAACTGATTTTCCGTATAACGTTTCCATCTCCCTGGGTCGGCTGACAGGTTCCGAGAGTTCCAAGGTTGGCAACGCTTCCATCAGGCCAATGATTCACCAATAGTTTGCGATTGACCAAGTCGCTTGCTGTCGCCGACTCTGAATGTGTTCATTGGACTCAACATTGAATCAAGGCTCCTGGCCGAGCCAGAAGTGCGACCTGAGTCCAGAGCTTCTCGGAGCTCGCCGCTTGACGATGGATGCCCGTCAGATCCAGACATATATCCTGGTTGGTTCTATCGCTATTACTTTCCCTCGACATTTCTTTTCCTGCAAGCGCATGGCATTGTTTTCAAATAATTCAGCTCCAGTGGCGCTTCCACGGTTTGGATTCCAATACAGGGACTTTCACCGAGCATTATATTGTACACAGCTGGTGGCTCACTTTAGTCGACCGTCAGATATTCTGCTTCTAGCCCATTAGGCCCTAGGCCCTCCCACAGGATCATAACTGACCGAGAGCAAACATGGGATCTATTGGGGCAGGCAACAGCGCCATACAGCTGCCTGTCATCGGCATATCAGATTTCACCGTTGAGGTTGGTAAGAAAGTATTGGAGGCTGCTACTACATTCGGTTTCCTCTACATCGACACCAATGGCACGGGCTTCACAGAGAGCATAGTGGATCGCGAATTTGCATTTTCGCGCCAGTTTTTTGCCCTGCCTGAAGCAGAAAAAGAGCCTTGCCGCATTGACAACACGAATCGTGGCTGGACAGGAATGCATGGCGAGATCCTCGATCCCAAGACACAGCGCAAAGGCGACTTCAAGCAGGCATTTAACATTGGGGCGTTCCTGGATGGAAAACCACAACAGCCTCTGCCCAAATTCCTCGAGAGCCGGATTGATGAGTTGGCCGAGTTTGAGAGGACATGCAAGCAAGTCTGCGATCGAGTCCTAGATCTTCTGGGGCTGGGACTTGAAGTTGAAGAGCCCAACTTCTTCTCATCACGGCACACTCAACCCAGCGGGTGTACTGTCCGGCTGCTACACTATCCTGCCATCCCCGCCGACGTGGACTATGAACCATAAGTCGATGTCAGAGCTGGTGCCCACTCCGACTACGGGAGCATCACCTTGCTGTTTCAGCGACCGTCGCAACCAGGCCTACAAATCAGAACCCCGGAGGACGCTTGGGCACCGGTTCCCGTTATCCCTGACGGATATCACTCGACGACATTCCCGCCTGTTCTGGTCAACATTGCGGATTTGCTATCATACTGGACTAACGGGATATTAAAAAGCACGGTACACCGAGTCATCTTCCCCCAGGATGCCAGAAGGGGAGGTGAGGACCGGTACTCAATAGCGTATTTCTCACACCCAGGGGACGACGTCGAGTTGACACCTGTGCCAAGCAAGCTGGTAGAGCAGCACAAGCTGGACGAAGACAAGGAGGTGGGATATGGAGGCGGAGCTACCAGCAAACGAGCAATGACGGCGAAAGACCATCTTTTGTCTCGGCTGAATGCGACGTATGGATTCAGAGGGGCGCAGGCCAAGGAGATTGACAGCACTGCATAGGGAGGCGATGTGATCTCGATCTCTGTTGCTGAAGGACGGTGTAATCCTCCTGTTGACGAATCTGTGTACGCAGCTTGACACCTGAAGATTAAGCATGAACCCGACCACAAGGAGCTTTGTACAGCCTTGTGCCCATCGCCCATATGGCTTTACGGGGGAATGACCTCCCCTGAATATCGGGGCAATAGTAGGCGGAGAGGTAGACACCGCGGGCACCAGTCGGGTCCCATCCTCAGTTGAAGGCCTTAATATTTGTACCGAGTTACGGAGTAGTCATTGTTTTAGCGCGCAGCCTGCATCCCAAAAGTTACAGAGTTGCCAGTTGCGAGGTTTCCCTGCGCCAAAGCGCAAACGCCTGCGTTTTACTTGATCGATTTGCAACAGACGCGCGACCTGGTCTTCGCCTGTTCTTCGACTAATTCATTCCTTCATTTCACTCCTTCCCTCCCATTGCTTTTGTGTTTCCGTATTTTTAAATTCTCTTCTGTTTTCGTCTGTTCTGCCCTTTGCTTCTCTTCCAGCCGCCCAGGATGTCAGGTATGGATTCTCTTGACCCTCAACCATTTCTCTTCTCACATTGCAACCAGTCCAGAAGTTCGACCAGTGGGCCAGCAGACATGTCGAACTTTGCCAGCTGCATATGCTGAGAGATGCCGTCATCGGCGTCGATGCCTCATACTACCTGAACCTGCGCCTCAACGGGAACAACGAAGAGCCTCTCAAGCATGCCCTCGGGGGTCAGCCATTCGTCTTTAAGAAAGCCATAGAGGACGATATTACCTTCCTGCGGCAGAACGGCATCACCTTGGTGTTCGTCTTCAATGGCCTCGACTACGTAAACAAAAGCCTCCCCGACTCACAACTGGCGGATAGCCGAAGGGTGCAAGATGAAGCATGGCATCACTATATGAACGGCGACAGCAAGCGCACGGTGGCAGACTTTGGAAAGGCCAAATACCCCGTCGAAATTATGATGCGATCCCTTCAGAAGCTGCTGTTTGACAATAACGTTCAATACATGGTTGCTCCCTACAGTGCCACTGCACAGGTGAGTCTACGGGTGGGAAACTGTTGGACTGGGCGGAAGCTAAACCGGGCAATAGTTGTCGTATCTTCTGAAATTGGAAGACCAATACATCGATGCCGTCATGGGCAGCACCGAGAGCTTTCTCTTTGGCGTGGATAGGGTGGTGACGGATTTCAACCTCAACGACTCAACCCTAAGCATGGTCAGCCGGGGTGTGTGCGAGGATATTCTGAAAGTCCACAAAGACGTGCTTCGAGATGCCCAACTCTTGCTTGGGACCTCCTTCACCCCCACCTTCCCCATCCTTGAAAGCATGGCCACGGCGAAATCGACTGGCATTGTAGATGCCATCACCCTCCTTAACGGGGCCAGCAAAAGCGTCATGCAGCTTTGCAACTACCACCGCGACAATCCTCAAGTGCAGAGTATGAAGTATGCTGACCGGTACAAGAAGGCAATCATGACCATCAGGCACCATGTGATTATGGAGAGGAATGGTGTTGTTGCTCCGCTGAACTTCGACGAGGCACCAGGGGACGTCCACGAGTTTGTTGGACAAAGACTTCCTGAGGAATTGTTCTTCTACATTTCCAAGGGCATGCTAGGCCCGCAGGTCCCCAACTGGCTCACGTCGGGCGAAATCGTGCTTTCGCTGCCTGGAGGTGTCTTCGATTCGGAACCTTACCGAAAATTGGTGATAGAATTCCTCAATCCTTTCCGGACCCAAGCGCTCAAGATCCTGGCAGAGTCTCTCAATTACTACTATCAATCCCGGGTCATCAAAGTCAATCCATGGATCGCTCAGGACACAAGCAACTTGACAATCGAGATCAGAAACACTCCCGCCATGAAGCCAAAACTGGCACAGTGGAGAGTCCGAGGGACCAGCATTGATTCTGTCATCGGCAAAGGCGAGGTACGTTTCAGAACTCTTCAGCTGCTCATCGTCTGACATTAAACAGAATGTCAGTCTATTTTTGCCCTGTTTACGGTCGCTCAAAGACGCGGCATTTTCGAAGAAGACCATCACCCTAGGCAAATTGGAATACCCGGCTCTGCGAAGTGCAGACGAGGTAGCTGTCAACACAGTCTTTCGGTATCTGCAAGTTCGTCGCTACGTTGACGAACAACACAACCTCACCACGTGGGGAAAGGCTCTGGAAACAGCGTTGACAATCGCCGACGAGGAATGCACCATCATTGGCGTAGAGATGTTGAGACTAGGACTCTTCACTGGCAATTTTGCTTCGGGAGACCCTGTAGCGAAAACTGGTTGGTTGGACCATTATTTCCCCCGAATGTTGCTAATCCTCGTGTAGACAAGGACCACGACCGAAAGGTCAACACAAATCTCATTTCCAAGGTTGCGTGTCTGGGTAGAATTCGACACAAGCCTATGGGATTTGTTGGACCTCTCGATCGGCAACTATTGACCTATGCATGGAAGATCTCAGCAATCCGGACAACCCTCAGAGATCTCTTAGAAACGATCATGACGAGCATGTTCCTAAATGGCGATGTCGACCGGGACCGTCAAGATTGGATTGCCCTAGCCCAAAGGTGTGTAATAACTTAATTGGTGACCGCAAGATGGACACGACTGATCCAGTTTTAGGCTACCATTCTCCAGCGATAACGGTTCAGGGCTTGGAATTGCCGTCAAGACGTATCTAGACGCTGTCAGCGAAGAACCCGAGGCGACCGATGCTCTGAAAACCAGCATTAAGCAGCAAGAAGGGAAATTCAATTGGTTTGGACAACTCCGAGGTAGTGGTTATTTGACTAAGAGTCTCGATCAAGCCTGGAAAGTATGGGACGCTGTAAGTCAAACCGATGTCGCTGGTTAGTCGCATTGATACTAACCGCTGTTAGATTTATGCTGCCAGCCAAGTGCCAGGCACAGACGTCAAGGAGGCCAAGCTCTTCTCTGAGGCGAACGAATGGCTCACACCCCGACGATGAGCGGCTATCAACGGTGAAGCAGAAATGCGAGATTAATTCCGTGGGGTATAGCATCACAAGCTCTGGCTCGAAGGACGGGGGGGCATCTTCTCGAGCGAGAACTCACCACGCCGCGACAGCCGCCGAACTAGACGATGCCCAGGCGGAGTCAGCTGGGACCAGTTTCTCTCTGACTCCGCACCGCGTCACAAGTATGTGCGTCTTTGAACTCTTCAGAAGAGGTCCGGTAAAAGGAATGGCAGAATCACATAATCTTGTCTTTCGAAGCGGCTGGCAACACCGACACGGCTTGGAAAGAGGGGCCGGGACGAGAAGGAATGAATGAGCGTTCCGGGAGCTGGGGGACGAAGTAGACTGACTGTATGATCAGGGGGTCATAAGCAAGGAACTCCTGCCTCTCGTCTATGATGACCGATTGAGTTGCTTTGCTGTTGAAATCAGATCCATTTGTGGCTCAATTCTGGGAGCTGTCGCCGTATTCCTCGACGTCTCTTTGATGCCTGGCTGGTGAGGCCATCTAGGCCACTAGGCTGTCCTGGGCTGTCTCGCTGGCTCCGATGAAACGGAAATGACCGCTTACATAGGGGGACATGGCTTTCGGCGGCACGAGGCGGCGAGGTGGTTCCTGCGCAATGACATACAGTTTCGTCTATCCCCTATCTTCGCTTTGACTTTTGCTCTCAGCCACTTATCGTTCAGCACTTTGGAAAGAACAGAAAAAATACCCATCCTATCATTACTACGGCTCTCTCGTTCAACCCCACGAGTCCGGGTGCCAGGGCCGCTCGCGGGTGCCCTTACCTAACTGAATTTCCTAAATAAGCAATGTCGGGTGCGAGGGGCCTACAGCATGACTGTCCGTCCCCCTACATCTCAGTCCTCAGACGAAGAGCACATTGAGATGGAGGACAATGGCATATCGAGGAACTCCTCGAGGCAGAGGTTTCTCCGGCCTCGAGCGCAGGCTGCCCGTAGACGCCTCGCCGGTCTGGCCTCTCACACCCTGGGGTTGATCCTTCTCCTCTGCGTCGTCTTCCTATGGACCATGTCCAATTTTCTCGGTAGTGTATGCACGGGACGTGGTCCTTGGGCTCAGGGGAAACAGTGCTAATCTCATACGCGTTCAGAGCATATTTGCTGACAATACATATGCCAAACCCTTCTTTCTTACCTACCTCAACACGTCCACCTTCATACTGGCCATGATCCCGACACTCCTCCGGACCGCATATAAACGGCACAGAGACCGTGGGGATTTGTACGATACGATCCGGGCGCGCGTGTTGCGGGCAGTTGGGAGGAAAGGCTATAGACAACTGTCGAATATTGACAGTGCACAAGACCCAGAAGAAGAAGGGCAAAATTCAGAGTGCGAGACATTCATTCAGAAGCCAAGTAGGAATCATTCCACCGCGGGCACTCATCACCATGGACATCACAACGTGGAAGAAGAGGGCAAACATCTAGGAATCATCCCCACGGCTAGGCTGGCTTTCGCCTTTTGCATTCTCTGGTTCAGCGCCAATTACTTTGCCATGGCGTGTTTGAAGTACACCACGGTCGCATCCACCACGATTCTGACATCGACCTCGAGTTTCTGGACGCTTTTCATTGGGGCGTTGACGGGGACGGAGAAATTCACGTGGCGGAAACTGTGTGGTGTCCTGGCGTCCTTCGCGGGCATCATCTTGATCTCTACTGTTGACTTTTCGGCCAAGACTGACGGCGGTGTATCTGGCTCCTCACCGCAGCTACGCGGCGAGGGGGGATCGATCTCCAAGCGGGTCGACACGTTTCCGGATAAACCGCCCTCCGAACTCGCCTTGGGGGATGCCTTTGCATTATTGTCCGCCATCATCTACGGCGTGTACACCATCACCTTGAAGAAGACGACCATCAAAGCCCTGCCGCGGTCGCTCAACATGCCTCTTTTCTTCGGCCTGGTCGGCGCCTGCAATCTCGTCCTGCTCTTCCCGCTCTTTCCCATCTTGCACTATACAGGTCTGGAACCGTTTTCTTTCCCTCCCTCAAGGAGAATCTGGACGATCCTGCTCATCAACAGCTGCGCGAGCTTTTGCTCGGACCTGTGCTGGGCATACGCGATGGTCCTGACATCCCCTCTGCTGGTGACGGTGGGGCTGAGCCTGACGATCCCGCTTTCTTTGGTCGGCGAAATGGTCCTCCAGGGACACTACGAGGGCTGGGTATATTGGGTCGGAGCCGCGATTGTAGTCGGCAGCTTTTTATTCATCGATCAGGAGGAGAAGAAAGAGGAGGTCTTTCACGACGGCGGCTCTCGTGTTGAGGCGCAGAACGAAGAGGATGAGGCAGTGGGTGAGGCATTCTCTACCCATGCTGCTGCTGCAGGGAACGACTACGACGATTACGGCATCGACGGGCATGGGTATGAGCGTAGGCATGCATCCTAGGCATGTAGAGTTGGGCGGCTGAGATTGAGATTTTACTTGGGTTATATACTCCTGTTCAAGTACCATCCATGTATATCATCAATGTACGCTCGCGGGCACGTACCTCGGCCTTGGATTTAAAGAGGACAACAACGAGAACAAGAAAATACCTGATGAGACGCAGTCACAGATCTCAGTTTGGTATTTCATCCCAGACCAGCCCGTTCTCGTAGTGAATGGTAAAGGTAGTCAGTCAATCTGGTTGATTGTTTGGACTGGATTGGTACATAAGAAGAACCTCACAGGTCATAGGCCATACGCAGTATATAAAAACATACAAAAACCGATGGTGAGGACGATGATTGCCGTGGGCTCCCCCTGTGATGACCACGATCCTTCCATCCTTTCCCTTCTCCTCCCTCCTTGACCTCGCACGTCATGAATGCCTCCGAAAATCCGTATGCCGGCGGTAGCAGTGACTGGCGACTTGCCTCGAAAATTATCGAGGTGGGAAAAGAATTCAGACCACGTCTAGAAACGTCTCGTAGCACAAGCTAGACTCCTGGAGCGCCGACTGCCATATCATCCAGGTCTCCTCGTTTCTTCTTGCGTAGTCGCTCGGCGTCGCTCGGCGTGAGACCGTAGATGTCGCGGGTATTTGGGTCGCATTTTGCGTCGAGTAAGACCAATAGAGTTTGTTCAAGGCGAAGGCTGTCCCTCTGGGCGGCCCGGCAGAACGACGTCGCGTAATGTTCGTCGTGGGGATGCGGCTTGCATGGACTGGTGCACTGGTGGCGAGAACCGCATTCAAATCTCCGACATGCATTGGGACAAATAACAAAGCCGTCAATGTACAGAGCAGAGTGAATTGCGCCTCGACCGTAGATATCAATTGCTCAGGCGTCCACACCGTTTGAGCTCATAGCCTTGAGGAGAATGATGCTGTTCACCATGGATGTGTAAAGTAGTAGTGTTTGTCCTTCACAAAGTGGGGATTCTAGGTCGAAGACGCCTTTCAAACACCCAACTATGATCGTGAAGCGCGGTGTATCGTCTGTTCTATTGATATGATACAAAAGAGGAAAGGCGAGCATGGCGAGTTCAATGAACGGCACAACGGCAAGATTCTTAGCGCACACCAGCTCTGTTATTTTCACGAAAAGTCTCGAAGCAATCGTATTTAAATGCATACTAAATGAGCAACCATTAGAGTCCACATCAAACGGCGACGCTTGTCCAAGATCAAACAGATGCTGTAGCCCTGAAACATCGTTTTGTCACGTACGCTCAATTGCTTCAGCATTTCCAGGTATCACATGGAATGTTCTGAGGGTTGTGCAAAGCCCGGATTGCTGGTGGATGTCGAATGATCTCTGTAACGTGAGCGAAATACCCAATGTGCCTCTGCGTTTGCGCGGAAGATGTGAGATATGTACTGAGCGAATTGAAGCATGGTTTCCTGCCATTCGAGTACCTATAGGCAGCTCTTCATATTGAAAGAAAATCGTGTCGCACTCTTGGCTTTCTCGAGCGATGACGCTTTTCCGTCTCGCTCCTCTGCTGAACACATTGTTTAAGTTGATAGAAGCGGTGTAGGCTGATGCTGATGTCTGTAAAATATTGTGAGGCGCGAAGTAGGTGTTGTTGGTTTTTTTTTTGGAACAGCGCACAGCTTTTTCCTGCCTCATCATCTGAGCAGACGCATCCGAAGCAACGGCAGAGAAGGTGGTCCATCGCAGCTTGGAACCATTCACTTTTCAACGCGGAGCACAGCCTCGTCAAATAGGATGAATAGTTAGTATCAGACACCCATTTATGTTGCCACTGCTGTCCATAGTCGAGGAATTCTGTGCATATCGAACTGAGATTGAGAATGAGACGGACAATGGCTCTTGGATCCACGTCGCTGCGAGTTCCATGGCTTAGCGCAAGACCTTCGACAGTGGATTTGTTCTCCGGTAACCGAGTTTGTGAGGACGAATGTCGAATCATTGGCTCGTTGGATAAGGCACCCTTGGAGGACAGAGTTCCTCCGGAAGGCCACCCCTTCCCAGCTGGAGCCTTTTCCTTCTTTGAGAAGCGGGTGGACAAGTTGTTGGAGGTAGCTAAGCAGCTTACAGAGCGGAGTGGAGACTGAAAGATGGCAGCGTCTGAACCGGATGGCAAGGCTCTGCCGGTAGCATCATGTGACACGAAAGCTGTTGGGCACGACTCAGTGAAGCCGAGAAAGGGGTTGGTGTACTGATAAAGGGCGACATCTCGGTACTAGGTCCCTGCGTTCCGAAGTTTCGATCAAGGGTAAATCCGGTCTGGGAAAGAGGGGACAATCCCTGTAATTTAGTCGGAGCACCGAAACAAGAAAATTTTCCAAGGATTGCCCGACTATTGTTGATGTCCTGTTGGAGTAGTGAAGCTCTCAGGGTCCCAAGCGTCGTCTCGGTCGATGTGAGACCGATATTGTAAAGAATCGTCTGGCATGTGAGCTAAAATATCTCACTAAATCAGCGCACGGCGTCAGTCTATTGAGGTGGATTAAATCTCACCTTCGGCTCCGGTAGAAGATGTATGGATCTTCTGGCGCTCCGATGCGGACTCGCTTGACTTCGTGGTGCGTTTACACGCGGGATGGCTGATAGGCTCTACGAGGCTCCATATCTTCTGATATCTTTTCTGCCTCAGTATATCCTCCTTTTCAGACGATTTGATGTTTCTTCTGATTCCCCATTTCTGTAATATGTGCTTAAGTTGTTTGGGGCTTCGTGCGTCAGTTACAGATCATGCCTCTTTCGGACGAGGACGAGCAAGCAACGCGTTGTATTAGGGATCACGGCTGACCTTAAAAAGAACTTGTCTTCCTCTGCCAGGATGTTGATAACCTCTTCTCGAGACCTTCTTTGTTTCAAATAAAGCCCTGAAATCATTTCGCGATGCAGATCGTATTCGTGATCAGGGATGCGTCTAGATCGGCCATGAGGCTCTCGAGTCGTCTCGGCCTTGTCGATTTGGAAGGACATGTCGAAGAACACAATTCTTCATCAACAGGAACAGAATGCCTGGCGTATCGAGAGTTGGGCCCTTAAATTGCCAATATCTAGTGCAGGAGTGAAGCACTTGCAGGAGATGGTTGAGAAACATGAAAGACGTTGGCGTTGCGGACTTCGAGTAACACAAACCTAACCTCATTTGTCCTAGTGACAAAAAGGGCCATAGAGTGACTGCCAAATTGGTAAAATGCTCCATATGAAGTAATACCTCTCCGGCATAAGGACCTTTGGGCTCGGAATGCCAAATGGTACATAGAGACGTCGCAGACACTGAGAAATGGTCCATATCCGCGTGGCGCCTGTCGTACTTCAGAAATGCTGGTCGATCAGTGGCCGTTCGGTCTTCCTTTCTGTTCCAAACCTGCGTCAACTCGACTCAAACACTACGCCTAGGTTCTCGGAATAGGCTGGAAATCCGACAATGGCTGATATGCAAGGCAGTGTTGAAAAGTATGAGACTGCATGAGAGCACAGGAGAAGTCGCTCACTGTCGCCAGGCGGATGGCGACTCCATTGAGCCCTGCGAGCATAGAACGATCACAGCGACTTGGCGCATACCTTCGAGACAAAGACAACATCGCCCTACTAGGATCGAAAGCGCAGATAGATCCCAAGTCTCGGCCCGTCATAGGCACAGTTGCCCAGAGGGTGAAGGAAAGGAAAGCTGAAAGGAAGCTCGAGAGCTTCATGGATTGCCTTTCTGACCCTAAGCCGATTGACGAAGCCAAACAGGCATGGAGAGGCAAGAAATAAGGCCCAAAGATGTGGCAGGAGCAGGTGCTGAACGCGGTGGCGGCGGCTGAGGAGGCCAAGGTCGCAATCAATGGGAATGAGACTCGATGATGCCACACAACAGCAGCTGTCAGCTATGATCCATCGGAAGAAAGCAATGAGCTTGTTATGAAAAAAGCCAACGCCGGTGGAGAAGTCGCTGCTGTCAACCGGAAGGCGTAATTGGAGCTGCATCTTTGGAAGGGGGAGATCTCGGTGGCAGGGCGCACCTTGGATAAAACAGGAAATCACTTCTGGAAAGGAAGACGCAGAGGAGTGATCAATATCTTTTACCCTTTGCAAAGTCTCTGCCCCTTCGGCCTGCTTTTACCTTGATAACTTTCAATTCTCTTGCTTTCTCTCAGCCTCCTAGCCATGCGCACCGGCGGACTGAGACCAGTGCAGTCCGCTCCACGCATGATTTATCCTTTGGGTCATGGATATCGTCGTGGTGCTCATAAACTCGTCTGCTCATGTCTTGCGGAGGCCGCTGCCAGCTCGCACCTCAAGGGAGTCGCTCTCAGAGATCTGTGAAATCCTTGCACAAGTATGTCTCTCACAGATTTCTCATCACTCAAGTCCCAGCTCCTGCATAGTCGGCACTCCGTCTCTCCAAGGCTTCGGCTCACCCTCGCCTGGCATTTCGAATCCATTCGGTAACCGCACCGTGGGGAATCCGTCTCTCTTCCATACATACACTTCATCGAGCTCTAGGCTCTCGAAGGCACCTGGCATTAAGCGAGTCTTGTCTTCGTCGCTTTCGTGCCTCGTTGTCACCCATTTGCTTCGTACCTCGTGGGCTTTATCCTCGTCGACCAGCACCAAAGCTCCGCTGTGCCAGCCTGCAGCTGCGATAGCAATCGGGAAGTAGGATCCAAGATTTGCATAGTCTCCTGCCAAAGGGGTTTCCGCTGTGTCGGCGTGTGACCCCGCGTCTGCGCTGCTCGCAGGGCCTTCCTCCCAATGCTTGCCTTCCTGCTCAACCCACTCGCTGAATGCAGCTTGTTTGACCGGATCAATATCCCAGATATGGCGGGCCGGCTGACCATTGACGGTGAGATATGGTTGAGTCAGCTGGTCTTCCATCCATTGCAGCCAATCCTTCCGTTCAGGTTCAAACCAAATTTGACGACCGCGGACATTTGCGATGGGTAGCAATTGAGCATCGCTCCGGAGGCCGGGCCTATCTCGACGCAGGCCACGGAAACGACCACCGTGCTCCGGCCCGGAAAGGCCTAGCGATCCACAGCTTTGGGAGTCTGTACCGTATGAGGTGATCCTGCCGTCGGCGTGCAGGGCGTGGTAATGGTAGTCACCATATGCCAGTGCAATGACGCCAGTGTGCTGCATGGCAGGCACATCGTGGGGCCTCGAGGCAAGCAAGGTGGTCATGGTAGACCAATCGCTCGATGACAGTAATTCCGGCCGATTTCGAATGGCTTCAGCACAACGTCTGACGTACCCCGTATCACCAGAAAGCACTTCGCCTGTTGCTGTAAACACACCAAATCTGTGGAATTGACCTTGGATATCTCTCAAGTCGCGATCTGGTGCGTCGAAACCCGGGAGTTCGAATGGAGGGTGGGTGGGTTCTAGTTGATCGGAGTTGTCAACATGAAGGGCACATGCGTAGACCTTGGATTCGTTTGTTATCCACACGACATACTCTTCGAGAACGACGTGTTTGAGGACTTCCACATATCCAGTCTCGGTTCTGCGTCTCGCGGTTCCGGGAACGACCTTTTCGTGGACCACCTTTCCATCCAGCATCTCGTCTAAGTGATCGTTTTGCAGGGGGCTCCAATAGACGATGCCTATGTTTGGTACATAGGCGGAGCTCTCCGCCCAGCCTGCGGCAACCCTGACTGGTTTCTCCCCGAAGTCTGTCCCATTTCTCGGGAAGACCATCAAACCTTTTGCATTGATTCTGTCCCAGGAGAGAATTTTCCCCCCGTCGGTGAGAGCCAGAACATGACGCCGGCCGGAAGAAAATTGTCGAATGGTGGAGGTGCTTTGAGTCAAATACTCGAGTGGGCGGAAATGGTCGGAAGATTCGCCCACTACCCTGCCGTCCATGGAATCAATTGAACCGGTGGTGTACAGCTTGCCATCAGAGGATAAAATTGTAGTCGACCAACCTCCACATTGGAGGTCAGCAATTACTTCTACCTCATCGGGGATGTGAGTTTCTGTAGGCCAACTGGATGAGGTTCGCTGAAAGACTTGACGGGGGAAACCTCTGCCAGGATATGGCCGGGGAAGTATGGTTGGGTGAGGACGGGTAGGGACCCGAGGGAGGACCCTTTGGGGAAGATGAGGCGGATCATGAGTTGGCGGACGGCGGGGCACTGAGAGAGCTCTTCCTGGGCCTAAGCTCCCTGGCGATCCTTGACCCCAGGTGTAAAGTCGAGTTTGGGTCTTGAGCCGTTTGTATAGCCAGTACCAGCGAGGGCCGTCGGCTGCGAGAAGAGGGCTAATTGGGAGGCGGAATGTATTCGAGGTTTCATGCCTCCAGTACAGAGGATCTTGTCGGTATTTCGAGTAAACGACCTTTGAAACACGGCAAAATGCGAGGTAGTCCTTTGGATCTAGGAAGGATAGGATGATGGGGAGAACGTCGTCTGGCAGTTCTAGGAATGGCATCTTTGCGAGGGATTGAACATCGCCTTACCAGCAGGAACGTAAGAGAGCCACAAGAGACCTGCGTGGGAAAAGCAGAATATCGGCGACGATGGTATTGACAGGCAAACGCGATTCACACCACGTACGTTGACTACGTACGTTGACCACTTGACCACAACGGTGACAACACAGCTGTTCCTCTCACGGGTGGAGGATGATGTCATTAAGGGGGTTCGTCTTGGCGCCGGGCTCTGCAGGGGCTAGTGCCCGATTCTGAGGCCTGCTGGGCCTGGCATCTTAAATCATGCGCCGCTCTGGCTGTTTGATATTTTAGTGTGGGGTGCCAACAAACACCTACTGTCGCCCCAGTCTACAGTCTTCTATCACCCAAATCGCATCTGCCCTTTTCGAGTCCTGCCAGCTTTCGATCTCCCATCCCATCCTGCGCATATCTCGCAAATATGGCCGATTCCGCTGATGCCAAACCCACTCCCTCGGCGGATCAAACTGCCTCGTCCGACTTGAGACCTGTCGAACAGGAGACTAATCTCGTGACGAATCCTTTGGGTGATCCTTCGTCTGAAGGCGCGGCAAAAGATGCCCAAGAGACTAAATCTACCACCTACACCGAGACTGCTGCCAAAGCCGCCAGTACTGCCGCGAGCACCGCCAGCGCAGCCGCAACCGGCGTCAAGGACTCTGTCTTTTCCATGTTTGGTGGTGGAGCCAAAAAAGAACGCAAAGTCGAAGAGGATGACAATGCCAAGGATGAACCCAGCGGCAGTTCCAAAGCCCAGAAGAAGGAGGATGAAGACGAAGTAAGATGCCCACCGCAAGAATGGGACGGGGACTGACCGCGTTGATGCAACAGGAGAAAGCCGACGAGGAAGAAGTGGATGTCGAGTTCGAACCCGTGGTCCGACTGACCGAGAAGGTCGAGACAAAGACCAACGAGGAAATGGAGGAACAGGTCTTCAAGATGCGGGCCAAACTCTTCAAATTCGACCGAGACTCAAAAGAGTGGAAGGAGAGAGGTACTGGCGATGTCCGACTGCTCAAGCACAAGGAAAACGGCAAGACACGACTGGTTATGCGACGAGACAAGACTCTCAAGGTTTGCGCAAATCACTATGGTAAGCTGCCACCTGTTGGAGATAGTCGCCGTCACATGGCCATTTGCTGATTTACAAATCCAGTCACCCCGGACATGAAGCTGTCACCGAACGTTGGTAGTGATCGCAGCTGGGTCTGGAACGTTGCCGCAGATGTCAGCGAAGGCGAGCCCGAGGCCCAGACCCTCGCAATCCGATTTGGAAACAGCGAGAGTATGGCATATCCCGGCGTCGGCCACTGTCTAAATACTGACCTTTTACAGATGCGAATCTCTTCAAGGAAGCGTTCATCAAGGCCCAACAAGAAAACGAATCCTTGTTCCAGAAGTCATGATGCATTGAGCAATAGCCAGCGTGGGATGTGTGATGATTGGTCCGGCATTGAATCTACGACTACCAGCAAAGTCTTGCAGCGCAGCGCATATGAAAGAGTGGATGCGATTCAGGGTTTGCCGTGGACTCTGATACCATCGTACCGCCCAAGCTTAGATAGAAATGAAGTCTGTCCACGGCCTTGAAAGCAATGAATGGAAACGTGAAGATGCCACCAGGGCTTTCACGCTTCGGACGTTAAGAAAACTTGGTAACTGACTATCCTACCCTGATACGGTGCTATGTTCGGCAAAGTTGCCCTTTCTGACATATGATATAACAAGTACGTGCAGCTTGGTGCAGCCCACCTGCGCCCATCTGTATCGACCCACCCATACAACCTTTGTGAACGGTAGAGCATCTTTCCACCAAGTGCGACAAACGACTTGCGCCTCCTGTTCTCCTTTCTCTGGTCAACATCTGTTGTCCAACAGAGTGGTCTCTATCGACACCCTGCCATCCTTTGGATCGACTATTCTCTTCAATTTGTTCACCAGTTCCTATCCATTCCCACCTCAGAACCACGTCTTCATCAGCGCGACACAGCCGATCTCTAAACCCCGCCATTTCTCTGTTGCCCTAGCCTCAATCAAATCCCGCACCGTCCACCATGCCGGACGTAAGTCTCAATGTCATGCTTCTTACAAATGGCGCCGCGATTGACAGTCTCCGCAGGTCAAGCGCAGCGTCAAAATCGTTACCGAACAGAAGATCATGTACGTCGATCTGAACGCCGACCTGCGCTCACCCCCGCGTCATCTCTCTATGTCTATAGTCTAAACCTGCTGCGACCGACCCCTCAGCACCTGATATCGCTTGCCACATTTTGCAAGTCCACAATCTGACGTAGTGTTTGCAGTCCCGGGGCCGACAGCGGCGTTGCTGGTTTCCCCTTGCGACATTGGTCTATGAAGATTTTCCTACTCCATGCGGACACCAAACAGGAGATCGATGCAGATGTGTTCGAGTCGGTAACATATACTCTCCACGAGTCATTTGGTGACAAGGCAACACAAAGTATGTGAGACTGGTTTTGGCACAGGTTCCTTTTCGCACAAGGTGTCAAGCGACTTCCGACTGACCACCTGAGCAGCCTTCAAAAAGCCACCATTCCGCGTCTCTGAAGATGGGTGGGGTGAATTCGAATTGCGCATCGAGATGAAGGATCTCAGCGGCAAAGTCCACAGTATCGTTCACGATCTCAACTTCGCCAACGCGCGCTACGAAACTAAGCAGATCATCACTTTCAAAAACCCGAAGGGTGCTCTCCTTGAGGCGCTTCGCAATTCAGGGCCCATTCCAGGAGAGTCGGCTGCGAATGGCACCGAAGCCGGGAGCAAAAAAAGAACCAGCGAAATCGGTGGAACTCAGAAGAAAAAGAAAGCAGACAACAAAGCTATTGACATGGACAAGCTAGCCGAGGGGCTTCAGAAGCTCGGTGAAGATGATCTTCTTCAAGTTGTGCAGATGGTGCATGACAACAAGAGCGAGGATTCGTGGATGCGCAACGATGCTGAGCGTATGTGCAAACCTACCCCTTTTCATGCGCAGGGCAGGAACATGTGTGGTTGCTGATGCTCGTTTCTGCTACAGAGGGAGAATTCCATGTCGACCTGTACACACTTCCCGAGAACCTCATCAAAATGCTCTGGGACTTCACCACTGAGAAGAACGCCATTTCGGCTTCTGCATAACCAGAGTGTCACAATGTCTGCTACGCATGAGCTGAGCTGGAATGGCTTCCCCCCATTCTCTGGCCACCTCATGCCCATTTCTATCTGACTCTTTCTGGATCTTTAGCTTCGATGGCGCGGCGTCTTTTCGTGGCAAGAGAACAGAGAAACAAGAGGGTTGGATCGCTGTACCATCAGATCTCTCAACAACTCAGGCATGATACGGCCTGGTCCTTTTTTTTTTTATGCAAAGATTTGTTGCTTCTGATGATGATTGCATCTCTCCCAGCGCACACATCTAAGCATCTGGGAACAAGCCCGAGCAAATCATTTTTGCATTCCTGTCATCATTTCTAGGAGGGGAAGAGGGTCTTTCATGAAAATGGTGACTTTGATCTTGATTCTCTATTTCCTTTTTCGCTCTTTAAGGCGGGATCCCGGTGGATAGCATGACATGACATGAACACGATAGCAACTTGCAGCGCATTCGGAGTTGGGTGCTGATGTACTCTTATGTCGGGGACGATTCCGCCATCTCACGCCTCACGCCTCACATCCTGTCTCATGTCTCATGTGCCGCCTATTACATAGCCAGATAATTAGGTAGCTAGGGACAAACACCACAGTGGGCCCCAGAGCAGAAAAGACAAAAGAAATGAACCTTCAACTTTGTTGCTTTCAAGCAACCAGATATGGACGGAGGAGTCGGGGGTATCCTGCATTACATTCGTAGCCTACCTGCCTACCTGCCTACCTGCCTACCTGGTATGTCTTGCTTGTCTCTGCTACCTATAATAGATACCTCGGTAGTGTCTATAGAGAGACACACAGGCGCGCAGAGACGAAGCCACACAGACACATGGAGCGAGGGAGATACACTGCATGATACAAGCAGCGGGTTTTGCGCACTCGGTGGACATCGATCCGCTGCGCTGAAGCCTGAGGTGAGAGATCAATACGTCCCCAAGTAATACGATGCAATACAATAAGACAACAATGTGATGTGACATGGTTTGCAAAGTCAGATGTGTGAATGCATAGGTTACATGCATGTGTGGACTTTTTTCAGTCATGTACTTTTATTTTCATTGTTAGATTGTCTCCCCATTTCCAGAACGCGAGTCCTTGTCCATGTACAGAGTACGATCCCAAAGACTATTCTGTACCGCCAAGCATGAAGGGAAGAAGGAGAAAAAAAAGGCGACTCCTCCAGGATCCCCAGGTATGAATTGCTGGTATCTGTGTAGATTGCAAGAGATTCTAACCAAAATCAGCAGGCTCCTCTGGTTTTGCCTTCCAAATCCCTTATTTTCCTTCCTCGGTTTCGCGGTGTGCCCACTTGTCAAACTGCTGTGATCACGGCCAGTGCTGTGCATTTTCTGGACGATCGGATGTATGTGGATGTACAAAGAGAAAAGTCCAGTGGCGGGACGAGAGGCTTACGTGTCGTCAGGAGGTAGGAGAGACGATGGATGACTGCTGGAGGTTGCAGAGCAGGGCCCAGAGTGGTGGATAGCTGGTTGAGAGACGGGATTCATGTTCGTCCCAGTGAGAGAGGGGGTTTCGTAGAATGAGTCCAGCTCCGGGGGGGGGTTGGAGGGTATTTGACATGATGAGCATCGTCCATTATTTCATTGCCGGGCGTGAGCAGGACCTGGGTGGAATCGGCATATCTATGTATTAATACATGGTTGGAAAAGGATGAGATGCTTTTCACAAGCTGGGTGAAGGAATCTCATTGGAGCACACGATTTCTATTGTGACGCGGATTAGCTCGAGTCATTTGATCACCACAAGGAAAAGAATGTCAAGTTACTCACTTCATCAAAACACCTTCTAAACCCTCTGCCTTTGCGCCGGATATCGTAGCAAACACATCACCAGCCTTGTAAGCCAAGATAGCGGGGATCTCAACAGTCTCCATCTCCGCAATTTCATGGTGCAACTTGATGAAGCGAGTAGTATTATGTTTGTAGGCAAGCATACTCAGCTCATCTTCCACCTCAGCACTGGTACTGGACAAAGGGTCGTATATCATGACGACGACCACCGTCTTATTCGAGACTTTTTCGATTGCGTCCAGATAGCCATTCGCGTCGACTTCCATGAACATGCCCCAGGTGCGTTGGCTGGGGAGGTGTTTTCGGTGGGAGCCGTAGGTGGATTGGGATTGGGAGGAGAGCTCTTGCAGGCGGGTGGCTCGCCAGGTTTTCATAAATTCTGAATCGGCCTCGTCGTCGGAGAGAGCGAGGCTGGCCTCGGAGTTGGAGGATGTGGTTGATTTGGGAGACCCAGAGATGATGGTTTTGCGTTTGTCGCCCTTTTCTGTGACGGTGGGGATTGCTGCCGGCTTGCCGCTTGAGGTCAGGTTGTTGGCGAAGCTGGCCAGTCGTTGACGGAAGGTTGATTGTTTGGCACGGGCGAAGGATTGTGCGTCTGCAATGACACCTTTGGGCCCAGTGTTGGCATAATGAACTTGTGAAGGTAGATGATAGGTGGTCTTTGTGGTAGTCATAGTCGCCATGTTGCCGGCGATGTCGTCGTCTGTACCAGGGTCTGAGAGATTGTCAAATGCAGGTTCAGGCTCAGGGTCGAGGTCGGAGTCGTTGTCCCTGTCGTCGCGGTCCTCGGGATGGGAAGTTGGGTGGTCTCGATGGGAGAAATAACGGTCTGCCTCCTCGCGGGCGAGGTCAGCCATAATGTATATGAGGCGCCTTTTCCCCTTCCTTTGCTCAGTCGGCTGTGGTTCTTTGTAGGGCGGCAGGGGTGGGTGGGTGGAGGGCGCTCAAAGGTTGGATGGAGTCACAAGGAGGGCAGACGTCGGAGCTCGTTGGCCTGTGATTCCGTGACATAGGGGGGAGGGGGGGGTCGAGCAAGATCCGTCAAAGTTTGTCAGACCCTGGCCGTGCTGGTCACCGACTGGTGAGACGGAGAGTTTGGGGAGAGCTAAGTAGGGTTGATCAGCTCTGGAAAGAACAAATGCGGTCATGCAACTTGATGAGGATGGGATGTTGGCAGTTTGAAGAGAAGATACGGGGGTGGGGATTGGGCGGGCTGATGGCAAAGTCGTCGCGAGATCAGGAACGGAGGCGGAAACAGGAAACGCCTGAAACACAAGCCCTAACAAACCCTAGCGAAGAACCCTGCAGAACAGTGGGTCTGGACCAGGCTGACATCTGCCAGCTCTTCCAAGAAGGTGAGAAATACCTGATGCATCAAGGACCGAGTCCTCGTGGGTAGCATAAATTGTTTGCTGCGTAGCCAGAGAGGGTGTTTTGCTTCGAGACGAATGGGATTGAAGGCTGGTGAGAACGACAGCTATTTGTACTGATATGTTTAGAGTACGGAGAACCTCGTACCTGACACTAAAGGGCGGCGGCGGCGGTTCTGCTGGAGGGAATCTCATTAGGGTTGAAACTTGGCGTCTCGTCACGCTCAGCTGCTTGTCTCCTGGTCACGCCGACTCACTGGTTCCTGGCTTCTAGCGGCTGAGGCAACAGCAGCGGGGCGTCACCCAGCGGGGCGGAGGTGACGCAGTGACGGCACCAGCGGATGATATCATAGGCGACTAGCCTGACGAGGTTCTACTTGTTACCTAAGTAAGTACTTGTCCAAGTAGGCGCCAAGGCGGGTACTCAGCCCTGGTGGCCTTCCATGTCAACTCATCAGATTCATTCACTCCATACACTGGCCACTTGAATGTCATCCGGACCGTGTTTGGCCTGTCGATCTCGGACTCCAATTGACTTCCCTTCCTCCCTCTCCACTTCTCCTTGCACAAGTCCGGCCTCAGCGTCTGCTCTCGACAATGAGTTCCAAACAGCACTCACACCAAGTCATTACGGTCCAACCACTGTTGTCAACAGTGCAGCTCTTCATTACCAACGCGGGAGCCACGACCGAAGGAAGATCTTCCCTTTTTCGGCCCCCCGAGATCCCTTGACGCATGGTCGATCAGTGGAGCAGGCAGCCAGTACGAGAGGAATCTTGGAAGCTTCGAAGTCCGGGAGGCCGCGAAGCCGGGAGGCCGGGAAGCCGGGAAGCCGTATCCATCTTGTTGATACAATCTATTAGACACGACTTTGCCCCGATCTGGGCTCTGAGACTCAACTCTCCTGTCGATCATCCTGTTGGTCGTCTGCTCGCGAAGGCCCACCTCTTCGATGCCCTGGTGCGAATTGTCAGATGCGCGGTATCGGGGAGAAATTCTTGGATGAAACATGAGATCACGTTAAGACCCCTTCTTTCGTTGTTCAACAGGCCCAGAAAGCGACCACACATATTTCTGTGGAAGACCGTACAGTATACCCAACTAAGGAGAATCAAGGATTCAAAATTCCTCGAGCCCTTGATCCGGCAGGCTTCGTTGCTTGTGCCTGGTCCGTCTTCCAGCGCCCCACCCGGCATTTACACTCGCAAGTAAGTCATCGTCTCGAATCTTACGCTCCGCCGTCTTCAGTCGCCTCGAGGGTGGAGCTTCCCCATCCCCTTTGCTGGGGCCCTCCTTTCCCGATCCTTTTCTTCTCGAAGCTGCCAGTTTCTCCCGCAACAAGATTGCTTCTTCGGGATCTTCATAACCTAGCTGCGTCATGGGTGGTGCTGCATCCTGCTCGCCCGAGAAACCCACCGTCCTCGGCATGTCTGGATCGTCCATCTCAAAGGGAGCTGATTTGAGTGCAGCTAGAGTCTGCTTTGCCCGACCGGTGAAGCTGAAGGTTCCTTTTTCAGCTGTACATGTGCCTTCGCCGCTGTGTGTCTCGACGGACTGCATGGTGACAATTTCGCTACCAACTCCATCCGTGTTCATACTGTCAATCGAACTGGCCCTGGAGCATCTTACGTTTGAAGCCGCTGACGAGTTGGACAAGTTGCTCAGCGCTCGTCCAAACAACCGGCTCTTCTTCTTGATTGGTTCATTTTGATTGCTGTTGCCAGACTTCTTTCTAGAGTGCTCGTTCAGAATGTCTCGAATGGCACCATTGATTGCTGCAATATCTGTGGGTTTGCTTTGAACTCCAGATCGTGCATCGCCTTTGATTGGCGCCGGAACGTTCTCTTTCGATGTTGAATCTTCCATCCTCGAGGTACCGTCTAGCGATTGAATCAACGGTCGATTAGGTTCCACTAAACGTAAGTTTCTGCCATTGGGAGATAGTACACGCAGCGCACAGTTGCCATCCCCATATAGGGTTGCTTTGGCCTCACTTCGTCCTGAAGCACCACTCGTGTTACTAGAGACCAATGGTTCTTCTTGGCGTTGTTCATGTGTCTTCTCCGCTGGTTCCTGCTGGACATGAAGACGAGAATGTGATTCCCTCGCCGGTTTTTCTACCGTGGATCGAAGATCTGTTCCAGTCCCGACTGGTTTGGACGGTCTGTTCGCTCTGTGGTCGACTGTATTTCGTTGTAGAGGAATCGTGCTCACTTCGACGTAATCTTCCGCGGCGCTCCTCTTATGCGCTGATCTCTCGGTCGCGATACGCGCTCGACTTGGGGCGACAAGATAGCTTTCAACGCCTGCTTTGGTCTGATTCTTGATTGTTGACCACAGCCATTCCTCGGTGACCGCAGGGATGACCCAATGCTGTGCCAGATCAAGTTTGTCCTTTTTAGCATTGCCAGCCTTGCAGATAAGTATTGAGACTCCTGAATTAAACATCTGTGAGTAAGTCCCGCCCAACAAGGTGACAATCTTCACGATATGCACGGCTTCCAGTCCATCAAAGCCGGTTGCGTTGATGGTCATATCCTTCAAACACGAGAGGGGACCACTCAGGATCTGCCCGAGCGGGTATCTGCCCGGGTCTATGAAAGACTTTGCAAGCATGCATCTTTCCAGCCAGAGCTCCGACACTGCCTGAACGCCGCCTTCGACGAGTCTTGTTGGCATCGAACCGTTCTTGCCTATATCGTAGGGCAGAATGGAGATTATATTGTCGGGATTGTTCTCATCCGCATCTTCTCCCTCACTCGTGACTGTTGCACCGTACTCGAGTAATATTTTTTGCAGGTGATTCTTCTAGAATTTTGTAAGCAGGAAGCGGGAATGACAGAAGAACACACTTGCGTAACACACCTTTATCTCGTTGAAACATTTCACTAGGAACAGACGACCAGCCAGGAAGCCCAAACTCGCGGGTTTTGTGCCGAGATTGGGATCACGGTCGACGGATTCAGCTCGAGGAGTGCGGGTTGCAATTGCTGGGCCGGCAGACTCTCGAAGAGCTGGCATAGAAATTGAAGGCTTCAACTGCGGACGCTCAACCTTTTTGGCCTCAAATCCAGCACCGCCCACAATATCCGACCACATATCTTGACTTTGACCTCCAAGCCTGGCACTCGCCGTCCTTCGGAGTTTCCGAGAGCGTTCTGGGCCGACATTGTCTTCCCTAGTCCGTTTACCAAGTTGGGGAGAACGCCGAGCTTTTCGATTCCATGCCCCGACGCCCTGTTCAGGTACAGGAACAGTAGGATGATAAAGTTGCTCGTCCAATTGCATGCCTCTTTCGAGTGTGTCCTGGTACCATTTGAGACTGACAACTTTTTTCTGCCATTGCATGCCATATTCATATTTTTTCCCTTCGGGCTTTGCAGCGATGAGGTGGGTCACATCTTTGGTCAAATCTCCTGTGTACTCCCCGCCATTTTCTTTGACGTTCTTCTGCACTTGGGCACGAAATGCAAGGTCATCAAAGCCTGTGATGCATATTTTCAATCCGGCCAAGGTGGGCACGCGAAATTGCTGGGTGAGGGCGTCGAGGTCTAAAGGCAAGTCTTTGATCCAATGGTCTCGAACAGCTTCAATCCATTCCGGGCGCAGCACTTTAATGTCTTCCCTTTCTCTTGCAACATATTGGTATTTCAGAGTGTCCGTGCTACCGACAATGAGATGGGTGGTATCGGAAGTCAAATCGAGCTTGTGTTCGGCTCCCATCTGCATTGCAATGTCGGCATATCGATTCTATGGGCTTCGTCAGCATAGAAGTCGAAGTTGCTCATTTTGGTTTGCTGACCCTGTCCTCCGGGCCGATTGAAGTAAAGCACAGCATCACACCTTGGAGCGGTTGCTCGGCGGATCCTGGAGCACAGAAGTTAGCACGCTAGCAGCGAAAATTCTGATGGAGATGGGTACCCCGAGGTTCCATTCTTTCCATACTGCATGATCAGCATGGATTATCCTATTCATACAATCATATTCTCGTGGAAATCGTCTCGCAGTGTAGGGCTGTGAAACTGTCGGTGAACTTTGGTCATCAGAACCGATCGAACGCGTCGAGCGCGTGTCAAACTCGCACAGCAACTTACCCGAGGCGGGGTGCAGCCATGGTCACTGGCATGATCACTGGCGCTTGGCGAATGTGGAGTATACCCATTGCGTCCCTGACGCCACTGGTATGATGACGTCGTAGTGCAGACTGTCCCTCTTCTATCTTTCGTGCACCAGAGGTGGTGGTGATGGTAATTTTCTGTCAATATTGGAGACGAATCAAGAGGGTATATGTTCGGAACAGACCAGGTCTGTAGCCGCTGGTCAATCTCATTTCATACATTGTTCCTAGCATGGGTGCTCGAGTAAGGGCTTCAGTTACTGAGTACCCCAACTCCGTGTTTCGCCCACAATTCATCATTCCCTCTTTTGGGTCCCTGCATGCTGGGCGCTGCAGGGATGCAATATAACATAATCACCCCGAATCTACTTGGTACGGATTTCGACGATTAACAATCACGTGCGACCGATTTATCCACATTTGGAGAGTTCATTTCAGGGCTGGGAAAACCAAAACCAAGTATTCTTCGTCCACTGTGAAGGTGCTATCCAATGTGCGTGTGGCGAGGTGGAAAATATCGCATGACATGTCACGTTCTTTCAACCACATGGCACGGTAACCGGGCCGTCTTCTTGGATCATCCACAAACAGTCAGATCTGATACAGGGTAAGCGAGCCGAGGAATCCGCTGACTTCCCTCATCGTTCAAGGCAGACAGGCCAAACCCCACGCAGAGAATGTCCTTCGCTTCCGTCTGACCAGAATCCTCAAGTCTCTGCCTGACGGGAGTACATACGCACGGCAGGGGTCAATTCGGATGGTAGATGTGATTAGTTAGTCCAAGAAGCAAATCAATACTTGCGCATCAGAGAAGCTGACTTCGCTGCGAAGCAAGCCTCCCGAGCACGAGCCAACCTTGCTCAGCCCCCAGTGACACGCGTAACTCCAGGACAAGTGTTTGGATTCTGGACACATAGTGTGTGCCTCATGGGGAGACAGTCGTGTGCTGGGGCCAAGACCGAAGAGAGGTTCATGCAGGGTCAACATACCAGAAGTGGCAATGTCCACATGCTCAAGAATAAGCCACAATACTTGTACAAGTAGATTGTCGCAGCAGGCCCATTACAAAGAATGCAGAAGTTGTGACTCAGGGTGCGCGCTAGAGCAACTTGTCGCCAGATCCCGCTGTCGTTCTCGTCTGGAAGTATGCTAAGGGCACATCATATTGGCGTGAGTTAGATCTACCCATCTGTACTTAGAGTCAATGATGCACGAGCGTGGGTTTTGCTTGGGCAGACTATGCATGGACTCAGGGCTTGTTTCTCCGCTATATCTGTAAGGGGTATTCGGATAAAATACGTACTTGTACCAAGTACATAGCTCCTTCTGCTGCATCTGACTGTAAGTTGATTCGCAGAAACAAGTAAGTCCAAGCGAAGAACGGGCAAGCAAGGAAAAGGCAAAACCCCGCGGATACTGTAGTGACAAGCAAGTTCATCGTAGAATTGTGGAGATATCGTCCTAAGGAGGGCGACTGTTGCGAGGCAAGACCCAGAGTAATGAAGGGCACTACAGTACCGTACAAACATAAAATGGGTAGATGCCTTGAACTTTCTGCCCGACCGGGATGACACGGGTGATGGAGGGGGCGCCGATACAATCTGATTGAGATGGCCCGCCTATTACGGAGTACAAGCACAATCTCTACAAGTACAGTTGGCCGAACAGAGGTGGAAGACACAAGCAGACAGAATCAGCGAGCCAACGTGGCTAGCACGGAATGCGAATTCGGGAGGCTCGGCTTTTGGTTTTTCTCTTTGTGCCTGTTCTTTCTTTCTGGCCTGGCCGCGGTCAAGAGTTTTGTCCACTTGCGGAGGGGCGAAGGCCAACTGTCCCACGACATCCGAGAGGATCGACAGGTCGTGGGGCCTCAAGGAGCAACTATTTGAATTATTATTATTGTTTGGCGACCAGCAATCAGAACTGCTGCAGCGGAATTGGTCGTCCATGGTCCTGGTGACCTGCTGTGAATCATATGGTTCGATAATATCGACGTCGAGAGAGAGTGGTCAGACAGTCAACTGGCGTGCTCACCTGTAAGGCTAGGCGTAATGCAAAGCGGCATGCAGATATCAATCAGGCACGCGACATGAGTAAGATGTGCTTGCAAAATTATTAAGTCAAGAAGTCACCGAGCCCTCGGAGCCACGGAGCCAGAGTCTACCAAGTAAGTACTTGTTACATCTCTTGTGTCTCTCTCCACCTTTGCGGAAGCCAACGAGCCAGATTGTTGATCAAGTGTAGCATCCGCCGAGCCGAAACGAAGACATCGAGTGTGGGAGAAGAGGGCGAGAAGGTCCACAGGAAGCCGGGACATGATCGTTGATTGTTTATATCATGGCCATCATTCGACTGATTGACTGACGACGACTGACGAAACCGAGAAAGAACGAACGAAAAAAAAAGAAAGAAAGAAAGAAAGAAAGAAAGAGAAACGCCCAGAGTTGCGTATTACTTGGTAGAAGCAAGTTAGTAACAGTGCCTGGGGCCTGTTACCCGCCGAGCCTGGGACCCAGCAAGACCCAGCAAGACCCAGCAAGACCCAGGAAGACCACCAGCCGGGAGCCTAAGCTGCTTCTGAGCACCTGAGGCCTTTTGCTTTCCTTGGGTCGCCGGGCCGGGCGTGCCACTCTGCCACTCTGCCACTCTGCCACTCTGCCCAACTCGCTGGTGGGTGGCTGTCCGCGTGTCACTTATCCCAATCATCATCTCATCATCATCATCATAATATCATCCGTCTCCCCCGTCTCTCAGCATTCTAGAGCACAATATCTCCCTGACTAGGTAATGCTCTGAATCCCCCAAGTCTCTCTCACTCCGGTCAGTGAGCAACACCTCCATCAGCTCCTCGGTCACTCCTTCTCCTCGACATTTGTTCCTTCTCTGCTATATCACACACACACACACACACACACACAAAAGACAAAAAGCAATGCGCCAATGACACCCTGGAGGGTCATTCCGGTAAACGGCACATCCTGATCCCCGACTAGTCCATCACTCTGCAGTTCACCATTCAGCTGAATGGTTGCTGCTGCCACATTAGGTGCGTTCCCTCCACGCCTCCAGGCCAAGCGCAAAAGCAGGTCAGAGTTCGAGTTCAAACTTCCCAATTCAATCAAACTTGCGGATTTGGAGTATCCAAGTTGGCAGCACGGCGCACAGACTTGCTCACTCCCCCGCCCACCACCATCGATTACATACCATCTCTTGTCCCCTTCCTTCTGTGCTGCTCAACCAAGAATCTGACAACGATCAATTACAGTCACCTGCAGTCGTCCAAACCGCCGCATTCGTCTTGCGTTGTCCTAACAAGGTCCTTACCCCTGTGCTGCTTGTCATCACCACCCTCTCCAACATCCTGTTGCCCTCGACTCGCTCGCGAAGCTGGCTTTCTCACGCGAACACGCAAAACGATTCTTCAGACTCAATCTCCCCACCGTCTCTTCGCAACCGGTTCCCCTACATCCGGGAGTATCTGATCGGGCTTACCCAAGAAGAAGTTCAGCGGGAACGGAGGAGATGGTGTTCGCCGACGTCGGCAGGCGTTCACCTGAACGAAGGGGGCGGAGTCCCAGTGTGGTCAGCAGTATAAGCCATCGATCGAGACACGACAGCAGTGCCCGAACTGCTCCTGCTCAACCACCCTCCCCCGATGCACAACCTGCGCCGAATATAACTCTCCTGGCAGATGAGAAGCCTGTTGCAAGCGGCAATGGCGTCTCAGTTTCCATTGCACTGGCAGAACCAGTCTTGTTCCTGCAAGGGTTCGATCCCAATGATCCATCTACTCACAGCACGACAATGCTCCGCGGGAGTCTCCTCTTGAGAGTACAGAAGCAGGCGAAGCTAAAATCAATATCTCTGAACTTCCGCGGCAAGTCAGAAACGGAGTGGCCGGAAGGGATCCCTCCGAAACGCGTCGAGTTCCGAGACACCACCACAATCATGAACCATACGTGGTCCTTCTTCAACGCGCAGATCCCCCAAGCCGAATATAGCTACGGTGCGGACATTGTCCAGCTCTCCAAGGGGGGTTCTATAGAGTCGAAAGAAATTGGCGTTACGGCGTCTTCATTTGACCTCTTCCAGCGCAGTGCGTCTCCAGCCAAAGGGCACCCAACGACTCGCGATCTCAAACGGTTGTCCCTTCAGGCAAATCATTCGAGGAGCTTCGGTAAAGGTGACACAATGAATGGAGGCCCGACTGTCGCCCAACGTGGGTTTAAGGTATTTCACCCCGGTGATTATGTCTACAATTTCGAACTCCCACTCGACTCAAGGTTGCCAGAATCAATCAGTGTCGACCTCGGTCATGTCAAGTATGAACTAGAAGCCCTTGTTGAACGTTCCGGCGCCTTCCGTGCCAATTTGGTGGGCACGAAGGAGTTGACCTTGATCCGAGCCCCCGCCGAGGGATCCTTGGAACAGGTGGAACCTATCGCGATATCTCGGAACTGGGAAGATCAGTTACACTATGATATTGTGATTTCAGGAAAATCATTCCCACTCGGCTCGACGGTGCCCATTGCCTTCAAATTGACTCCCCTCGCCAAGGTCCAATGCCACAGGATCAAAGTGTTCGTGACGGAGAATATACAATACTTTACGAATAACAAAAAGGTACACAGGCTGGAACCCACGAGAAAAGTCCAACTTTTCGAGAAACGTGCCGATGGACACAGTGTAACTTCCTACCCCGGGAGTTCAATGCGGATTCTTGCGGGTGGTGGTGTCCCCTACGACTATCGCCAACAAGCTGCCGCTGGTGATGAGGATATCCCCCGAGATCAGACAAACTTGCTCGGCAATCTGGATAACGACGCTGGAAGTATTGGTCCTACAGAGATGGAATTCAACGTGCAACTGCCGAGCTGCCACCAGATGAAGGACAAATTGCGAAGCGAGCGATTACATTTCGACACCACATACTCCAACATTCAAGTGAACCATTGGATCAAGGTATGCATATCCTTGCTTTGTGTACTTTGTGGAAGCTAACTATGGCCCTCAGATCGTGATGCGGCTCTCTCGACCAGATGAAAACGATTCTACCAAACGACGCCATTTTGAGATCTCTATTGACTCGCCATTCAACATCCTTTCTTGTCGTGCCACACAAGCGAACATCTCGCTCCCTGCTTACAGTGCTGGTGGTGGTCTTCCAGCCTCCGCCGATGAGTTCGAGTGCGGATGCCCAGGTGCTGCACTCAGAAGACGAAACACCCCCCCTGTATCTCAAAGTCGGATTCAATCTGTCAATAACTCGACAGATTTCAGTGCTCCAGCGCCTGGTGTGAGCCGAAGTTGGACGAATGATACAGGTGGATTGACGATGCCTACGCAAGCACACGTGCACAACGACCCCAATGCTGGACAATCAAGACCTATCCACTTGCTGAGAAGTCCCTCCTTCAACCCACCGGCCTTTGATGATGACGAGCCACCCCCTCCTTTGGTCACTCCGCCTCCCCTGTACGATAACATTGTGCCTGGAGATTCGACAAGCGCGTTAGCGGATTATTTTGCCCGTCTCGCGGATGAAACTTCCGATGAAGACGATCGCTTGGATCGATCACGTGTAGATTACCCTCTGACTCCTGGCGGACGGGTCAACAGGAGTATGGATATTCCGAGGAATTGGATGCCATTGGGCGCGGGAGCCAACGCGGAACCAACTCCATCATCACTGTCATCTTCGACATCGGTAGCACATTGAGCGATTTATGTCTTACTTTTGGTTATGAACCAGCATGGTATGATTGACGAAAAACGGAGGAATTTATCATGAATTTTCAAATTGCATCTATGCTAGCGGGGCCTTGATGATTGGACCAAAGTCAGGTTGGAACTGCGAGCAGAAAGGTGTTAACGAGATTGGACGAACTCATGAGGACTGCAGGCTGAGTTCCCTCCACGGGCCGCAGGAAAAATGTTTCTTACTATCTATCCTAGCCGTGGGATAGCAAAGTTATTGTGTCTAGTAGCTAAGCTTGATTGAATTCAAGGCATCTGCATTTTATCACCAGAGTTTTCAAATGAATTGCGAGATGGATATCAGCTCGCCAGGTAATCTCCACATCGGGCTTCGGAAAAACTTCGCGTATTGAATGCCGAGAGAAATGGTGAACGAGGCTGAGGGGCGAGGCTGCCACATGTGTGCCCACAAACACGCCAAGAGCAAATGGTCGGCGTGGTCGGCGCGCGGCTGCTACGGCGGATTTTTGGAGCTGCGAGTTTTTGCTCAGCAACAGACATTTACAAGTACATTACTCCCTTGTTCGCACCGCGAAGTTGTCATGGCAGATGCTTGATGCATTGCGTGATGTCCGGCATGACCTGCTGATAGACTTATCTTATTACGGCGGCAGTCTAGCCATTGACCCTCTGCAGTGTCCGCAATGGCGGCCATCACTGCCAATTCAATGGCTCATCAGATACCTCCAATGTCCATCCCTGCCATGCCACGAATACGGCCTCCTAGAATGTTAAAGGGCGACCCCCATCCGAATCAAGCTCTCCCGCCCTCCGTCGCACCCACAAACGCAAGCATAAAATGGGTTCAGGGCAAATGGCGAGCAGGAGGATCCAATGCGGTCAAGAATAAGTCAGCCACGCAAGACATCCAAGTCACAAAGGCTCTTCGGCATCAGACGCATGGTCTAGACATCTATGCCTACCGCCATATTCGAACTAATCAAGTTGTGTACAGCTTGACGAGGACTCTGCAGGTAATGGGCTGCCTATCCTTCTGCGGTCGCGGGTCGCTAACAAACTTTTGTCTCAGGAAACCAAAATCCTCAAGCAACTCCTTTTCCATGGCAAAAAGACTGTACCTGCATCGGTACGCCAGGATATGTGGACGCCATACTTTTCCATACATTTCCCTCCAACTGCTGCCGGAGCGTTAGAAGGTCTTTTTGCTTTCCAGAAACTCCGCGAGCTTTCGATGCAAAGACAGCTATCACCACCCGAGGACTTGATCAAAGCTACACAAGAGGACATAGATATTGTGAAATCGAAGCTAGGGTCTCCCGTGACCCTTCAGGAAATGGCTGTCCGTGATGAGCTCGTGAAGAAGATCCCCAAGCTCGACGAAATCCTACCGAAGAAGCTACGAGCACGAAAATTGATGGACCAGAAAGCCACCAGTGTTGCTGATGCTGCATTTGTGCTTGACTGGATATCTTCCGGACCTAACCCATGGGCAAAAGTGACCATGGTAGAAACCAATCGGTTGATATACGCCACGGAAATGACAAACCGAGCACGACGACGCATAAACAAGATCCGCAAAGAACTTGAGAGGAAGGTGGCAGAGATTCGAAAACGTGCCGCGCTGGCTCTCCAGGATATTCCTGACTACGAGCGGGCCCTCCTGCCTCTCACACGCAATGCAATTCAGCAGCTCAGTATGGAGCACCATGGCGTAGTTCGAGGGAGCAAACTTGACAACGATTTAAAGAGGTGGAAAGACTATGACTCTGTGCAGTTACGAGAGGAACTGAAACAGCAAAACTTTGATGTCTTCAGGGAACGCCAACAAACCGTTAAGGCAGCGGAGCAGGAAGCTATGAAAGAATGGTTCAACCACAACAACGTCCCAATTACGGAAACGGGATCGGTCTGGGAAGAAGTCTCCGCAGCTAGAAAATCAGCTCTGAGGGCGTTTGACGCCCAAGATTTGCAAAATCCCCCTTCGAAACCTGATTGGGCCGACGAACCCCGTGAGATCAAGATGTACTGGGCGGACTTGAATGACGGACTCTTCGCGCCCGCTTGGCCTCGAAACGTCGTGCACGGCGCTCTAGCACCTTTTGGCTTAGCGAAGGCTTGGAAGACAAAACTTGGACTCGATGATGAGGGCGAATTCCAGAAGGGGAAGCCGCAGCAGCAATACCAAGCTGTTGTGTCCAAGAGCGTGCATGTTATGGGCAGTGGGATAAATGATGGGTGGATGCCCGAGGGGATGGCAGATGGACACACACAACCCCCAATATGGGAAGAAACGCCACTGAAAGAAGGTGAAGAGGGGATGGCGGAGTATCAAACTGAACGAGCGGAGACGCAGGAGGTTGGAGCTGTCTCGCCGGAAGAGAAAGGTGCGCACAAGGGGCCGATGAGGGAGTATGAAGATGGAGATGTGGTGTTTGAAGCTAGGCCTAGGGGTTTTTGGGGTCGGGTAAGAGGGCTTTTTGGTCGATGAATATCGATGGCCTTTATAGGAAAACACAGTTCAGAAGGTTTAAGGGATACGATCAGTGCACTCAATAGATTG